CCCCCCCAAAAGCAGAATTATGTACATGGCATATCCTAACTTCACAATGCTAAACCCAGAGCCTTCTTCATCTTTGCCATACTTCTAGTCTGCAAGAAAAAATCAGCAGGCAACTTGAGATTCAGCTCATTTCGACACCGATGAAGCAATGTCAATGAAAGCAGGGAGTCTACACCGATAGCAGCCATGCTTGGTGCCGCTATGAGCTTCGCGCTGCTCAGACCCGTCTCTTGCTCCATGATGTGAAGAATCGAAGTCATCACGGTGTCGAGGTTGACAGCGCCTTCACTGAAAATGGTCATCTCGTCTCCAGATGTCGAGAATTCGCTGGTGTCAGTGGTACCGTAATCAGTCATTGTCCCATCTGTGCTCTCAGACTGTGTACTGCTGCCGTCGAGAAAAGCCTTGAACGACGCTACGGTAGGACAATGTTCAAACAGACTTGGCCTGACGTTTAAACCTGCATTCAGGCGTAGACTGGAGAGGATAGTGAGACACATAAGTGAGTCAACGCCGAGGTCTGTGAAGCGGCAAGACTCATCAACAGTGCTGATATCAACACCAATTTGCTCAGAGATGACCGTTAGGCAGGACTTAGTTAAGCATTCGCTCTCCGATTGCTCAACCTTAACCTGAGGAATTAATTTTGGCACTTCCGAAAGGGCCCTGAAATTGTCCCCTTCAACCTTGACACTGAGGGCTCTCTTCGAGGGCATCGCTTCTGAAAGTAAATGCTCAAAGATCTGACGCGGAATCTTCTTAAACGTGACTCCGGAAAACTTTCCAATGATATCGGTGCCTCGGAAAATATATAAATCTCCAATGAGTACGGAGGTGTCGCCGTTTGCTTTGCTGGACCGCATCTTGACATATGTGTGATAAGTATTGCTCATATGCAACGGTTCAGTAAACCGAACAGAGGTCCATCCGGTATTGATGTATGCAAATGCATCCAGATCCAAATAATCACTGGTATGAATCACAAATCCACTAAGGTGACCCAAGTTGTCTATCCATACCGGGTTGAGAGAGTATGCACCTGTGACGGCTTGTAGCTGCACTTGTGCAGTTGCTTCAAGATTCTCAGGATCGAACTGCACCTCGCCCATTGACTGATAGCATGGACCATAAGATACGCTCGTAGAGAATAGCTTGTATGCCATCTTCTGGCGCAGTCTATGAATAGACAATGAATCGCCGTCCTTGCGCAGGCGTGTCACGTTTTCCTGAATACCAATGAAGCTGGATCGCCATTCATCTTTCCAATTGCATGATGCCAACGCTTGAATCTTGCAAGTTGCGTGAACAACACCCTTCACTCCATCCTTGTAGGTGTATAGTTTCATCATTCCAGACAAGCTAGTGCGGTCCATTGAGGTCTCTGCGCGGAAGAGCTGCGGCCCTTGTGCGTTGAGAACTAAAGCTTTTTCGACACGCATATCGCAAATCTCGATAAAATATCGTTCATGATGCTCGACCATAGGCCGCAAAAGGTCTAGTGCAAGAGTGTAGGCAACATCACAGTAGAGACCAGATGGCGTCAGCCTGACACCATTTACTCTGTGCTGTTCAATAACTGGTCGAAGCTCGGTGTCGAAGAGATCAGACTCGATAAGAATGCGGAAACCATTGCTAGTCTCAACCTTTTCAATAGTTCTCTGAACCGAAGAACTCAGTCTTATAGAGTTATCCTTGACTGGGGCATCCTTATAGGGAACATCGCCTTTGGTGAGACACCAGTTGTTGACGTATTGGCGCCAATAGTGTTCAAGATCCCAGCCATATGATGGAAGGCGCAAGACAGTACCGGCGTTGCTTTCGGATTTGCGGTATTCATTCCAATCAATGTCCAGCCCAACCAAGTATAACGAGTTCAGGCTTGCAGTCATGGTCTTGAATGAGCTCGTCCCCTGGCGAAGCGTTGGTAGACAGTACGTTTGACCAGAGGCGATCACGCTAACAAGTCGACTCAAAACGGGAGAACCACCAATTTCAACGCATATGCCTTTGTAGTGGATGAGTTTCGAGATCTGCGCTGCTTCAACTGCCCCAAGGAAATTCACCTGCTGACGGCAATGGAGGCGAAGATACGATGGCCCGATCATGCCCGATCGAGTAGCAACACTTCCAAGCACAGTTGATACAAATGGAATCTTGGGCGTGTTGAAGGTAATGCGACGAGCAATTTCGTCAATTCCTTGAAGAATGGGATCGGTTTGCGAGGAGTGGAAGGCATATTCAATATCCAGCGGTACGTACTTATGTCCGCGCTTGTCGAGTTCCTCACACAGAAGGCCAATCAGAGCATTTGTACCACTTAAGACAGTATCGTTTGGCCCATTGATACAAGAAATTTCAATGGCAGTGTTAGATACAATGTCTGACAGGGCATCAACGCTTGCTCTGACTGCAACCATCCCGTGTGTGCCCTTTGCGCAGTACTGTTCAAGAAGTATTGCTCGGTGGCCGCAAGCATAGATTGCGTCGCTGATGCTAAGAATTCCAGATACCTGCATGGCGGCGTACTCGCCGAGGCTATGGCCAAGGACATAGTCAGGCTTGACACCGAAACTCGTCCAGAGTCTAGCCAGCGCCATCTGGGTGATGCAACTGCCCAACTGAATTTGGGTTGCTGAAAGTGACTCCATAGGGAGACCCTTGGCAAAAGGCAGTATTGAAGGGAAACCTTGGGTTTGGGCAACGCGATCAAAGTCCACAATATCTCGCTGAAACGATTCAAATCGGTCGAACAGGTCGGTAACAATACCCTGGTATACAGCTCCTTGACCGGTGAAGAGAAAGCCCACCCCGTGCTTTTTTGTAGGGACAGAAAGCTCCTCATTTAAGCTCCTCAAAGCGGTAGAAAGCTGCATCTTTAGGTCTTTTGCAGTGTTTGTAATAATGCTCAGTCGATGACCGTGGTGCATTCGACGAGCAGAGAGCGTGTACGACAGACTGCCCAAGTTTGTGCTGTCATCAACCGTTCTTATGATGGAGCGTACGTTTCTCTGAAGAGCGGTTGAACTATGTGCTGAGATAGGGAAGACATAGTCGGTCTTCTCCTCATTCTCCCACTTCGACCTCCGACAGCCCGGAGCATCAGCAAGGAGCAAGGCAGTATTTCCACCAGCTGCTGAAAAGTTATTGACGAGCGCAAGGCGGGAAGCATGCTCCGGTTTAACCCAAACTGTTTCCTCTGAGGCAATACGTACTCCCCGAGCTTCAAGATCTGTGGGGAAAGATTCATTGATCTTTGTTTTGATGCCACAGTGACGGGGGATTCGGTTCTTCTCCATCATAAGCAGCACCTTGATCAAGGACATGACCCCAGAAGCAGATTCACCATGCCCGATATTAGATTTCACTGAGCCGATATGAAGAGGTTGTGTTTTTGGTCGGCTGTGATCCCAAGCAAAGGTGTCCAAAACAGATTTCATTTCAACGGCGTCGCCCGCCTGGGTACCAGTGCCGTGCATCTCGATGTAACTGACGTCATGCGGGCGTACATGCGAGTCACTAAGAATCTTTGTGAAAAGAGCATGCTGAGCAATGGGCGATGGTCGTGTAATAGAAGAGGCATCAGCCGAATGGTTGGTGCCAGCTCCAAGGATGACGCCAAAGATGGGGTCGTTGTCTGCAATAGCATCGCGATACCGCTTCAACACCACCGTTCCCACTCCTTCCGCCCGACAGTAGCCATCCGCAGTGTTATCAAACGTTTTGCAGTTTCCAGTGTGAGATAGAAAATGGCCACGGTCTAAGCCGGAAAAGTTGTCTGGGTTGGTCAAGATGTTGGCGCCACCAGCAATGGCTGTATCGCACTCCCGTGTTCTGAGAGCTGTAAATGCTGTATGGATAGCGGCAAGACTAGAAGAACAGGCACTATCGACGACCAAACTCGGACCACTAAATTTGAAATGATAGTTGATGCGACCAGGGATGAACGCACGGACTCCGCCAGGAATATAGTAGGTATCTACATCCTGTCCGTTGTTGATTTCGCGCCAATCGTCACTGCATATACCGTAATAAACGCCAACACGATGACGTTGGCTTGATGGTGTGCGATCAGGGACAAAACCAGACATCTCAAGAGCTTCATAAGCGGTAAGGAGGGCGATCCTTTGCGCGGGGTCCGTTTGCGCAGCTTCGCGAGGAGAGATGTGGAAAAAGCTCGCGTCGAATTGACCAGGATTCTTTAACCAGCAGCCGTATTTAACCCGGCTGGTGTTCTTCCTTTTCAAAGTGGCATCATAGTGGACGGTGCCGTCGAACCGTGAAGCTGGAATTTCCTTATGAACATCCAGGCCCTTCTTCAGTAGATCCCAAAATTCTTCGAGGCCATCAGCTTCTGGAAATCTTCCGCTATATCCAACAATCGCGATTCTGTCATCATTACCACAGATGGGATCGACAGCATCATCGAAGAAAGAGGCCAAGGTAACAGTCTTGATATTCCACTGAGTCAACATGCTCTTGAACAGTGGTGGGAGTCGAGCGTTGACAGTAGCCACTTTGTACGACGCACCGGGCGACGACAAGAGTTTTGACAGCGTGTCAAACATGTTGATATCCCGAAGTTGTTGAGTGAGGATATGTTTTGTGAAGAGTGCTAATATGGACAGCAATGGCTGATCTTGGAGAAATGCATGGGTGGCGACAGAAAGCAAGGGCATTCTGGATGTCTTAATGTCCGATACGCAAGGTATTATTCGTTCGACAAGATGGTCGATATCATTAGAAGCATATGCTTTGGGGGAGTGGTATGGGCCGGTGACGGGGGTTTTCGTGATAGTTTTGTTCAGAGATGCAAGGGCGTCGAGGAACCGATCCAGCACTGGAGGAGGAGCACTGATGGTAACACCATCAAATGTGACAGCGCTGATATAAGGCTGGTAGTAAAAGAGAATGTCCTAGTGACAGAGTTAACTTTTTGTGCTGACCGTGTTACAAGAAAGACTTACATTGGCAGAGCAAAATGCAGAAATGGCCCTTTGGGCGTCGCTTTCTGTCATTCCAGTAATAAATGCCGCCCAGCGGTTGTCTGCAAAATTCCCAACTATCGATGCCTGTCTATGGACACTAAAGCCAATTCGGAAGGCTAATGTAACAGCTAGTGTTCCATAGTTTTGAATATCGACGACACTCTCAACACAGCTCAGAACGGCGGCTGTGAGAGAACCGATACATTGTCCGGTATAGATGGCAATTTTTACAGGTAAAGGCTGTGCATTCACCCAGGCGGTACTATAGAATATATTAGAAAGTGTTTAGTACGTCACTTAGTATATTGGACTTACTGAATGTAGGAACCGATCTGGTTGATGCAGACGAACGCTGCATCGAGGGCTGCATGGCGATATCCTCGCTCGACGGCCTCTGCTAGAAGACCCAAAGTTTCTGCTTGTGGAAAGTGATTTCTTTCAATAGAGTCTAGATTGTGAATCTCGCGTTGCAGAGACAGAAATGAGGCGTTGAGGAAATCTGCCAAGACGGGGTTGCCGCTTACACGCAGCAGAGATCGGATGCCCTGCGGCCCAGGATCAGCCGTAAGGTCCCCAAATACGAAAAGAGTCGTTTTGGAATCCATTATGGGCAGTGAAGCAATAAGCACACAAAATATGACTTAGGGAGTACGAGAAGGAGCATCTTCTTGAGAGCCGGCTGAGCTCGCCATTTGTATGCCAGAGGGGCATGTCTGTGCCCGCCCCAACAGACCCTATTCATGGTGTACGCTTCCTATTGACAGCCATTCTGCTTGGCCTATTGTTCGTATCCATTGGTAGGTTTCGACAAGGTAGGGCGGGCGCCAGGCAGGCAAGCAACATCCACCAGCGGGCGTGAATCATTCACAACGCCACTCTGGGGGCTTTTTTAGCGGGCGGGTTAGCCCCCACAGCGCCCACCCTACAAGCCTGGAACAGCAGGGCAGTATGTTAGTGCTGTTCCAGCTTGGTTCTTTTGGTTGGAACAGCGGATCCATTTTTTGGGCCATTTTTTTTCTATTGTTCAAGTTTCAATAGGTTTTTGTTTGCGTGCCCGCAGACAGGCACTTACTGCTGTCCTGGTGTGGCATGCCGTGATCTGTTACCGGTGTCGCCGTTGCGGTTCTGCGCGCTCTCCAACTGATCAGGGCATCGAGGCAAACTGCCTGTTTGGGACATCATCGGGCCCTTCGTCTGGGGGTCTTTTGCCGATGGCGCTTAGACGCTAGGTTCGCCGTGTACAGTGTCATATCTGGCCCAGACTGTGAGGATAGCGGTTCCGGGGGCCTGGTTATCTGCTGCTCGTCCATATGGCTTGTGACGAGAATGTGAGGCTTGCAGGATGTGTGCGCCATAGATGCAACAGCGGCTGGCGATCACAGTGCATTACAGGGCGGCGAGTGAGCCATCCAGCCCTCATGACGAGGGTGATGCTGTCTTGCCCCGCCTCGCGTAGCCTTATTTGCACAATCGTTTGATACATGATGATGCAAGACGCCGTCCTGACAGCGGTTGTTCATTAGTCGTTGTAAATGAAGACCTGGCAGGTGGCAGCCGGCAACTGACAGCTGGCAAATTGGTATTGCAAACTAGTAAACTGGGCACTAACCAAGTCACAACCAACACTATAACCTACAAAACAATTATCAATAAATGATAAAACTAGTACAGTAAACCGGCAAACGCTCACAGTGGAAACAGACCACACAGTGAGTGCGACGCCCTACTCTTGGCCCCCTGCCCCTCGGCTACTGCTTTTTTTCCTTTTAACGTCGCGCTATTACGACTCAGTGAAATCTACGAAAAGTTTTCAAAAGTCGATAGCTACGATTCAAGCATTCAAGATTACCGAGCATCAAAAACCCACTCACTGAAAAATATAACAATACCAAAACACCTTCGAAAGTACCGTAAAAACCGAAATCGGTGTCGCGGGTGCATTTAGCGAGTTTTAGTAGTATGGTGGGGAGAGATGTCCGCTATTTTTGGCTGCTGACCTGTTGGGTACCTTGGAAGTACCTACACCTAAATTTACCACTGTACGAAGCACTAAGAATAACCACTGGAATTGCCGTTTCCACCGAGCCATTCGGTTTGTGCCTTGCGTCATTAGTTAACGTTACGTCAAAAACAGCCTTACAAAGCTGACCATGGCGCCGCCATTAGGTGAAGAAATCCGAGACCAGATCTTTTCTATGCTAAAAAAAAAAGGGTTTCTCGACCCAAGATATTGTCTTTGCGAACTTATGCAGCGCCTGAACCGTCCAGCGTTTCGAACAACTTCGTAACCTACCTAGAAGCGAAATGCCGCAACGAACAACCCGCGCCGGGCGGCGCAGCCGAATAACGCCAAAATGAAGAAATACTTATGTGACCAGCTGACTAACGATCCGAGTTACATTTAGAAGAGATGGTACAGATGTTGCTGGACAAATACAGCGTCAAAGGTTTCGCCAAGTACAGTTGTCCGAGCTATGAAGGACTAGCCACGAAAGAAAATGTGTCGTATTGCCCAACAGCGACACAAAGATCTTCGAGACTATTATCTATACGGACTTGTCAAAATTGACCTCCAGTCATTTCATTTTGTTTATTTTGATACGGCTGGCACCAATACGCTTGCCTGTTATGTCGTAAATGCACTGTATACAACACCTCAGCGGCACCGGATCTCTACACGCAGCAGCCTGTAAGAAAAAAACTAGCCCACAAGTTAAAAAGCGAAAGATCCTGTAAATATATCAGCAGACCGAATATATTATGAATAATGGAAGTATTTCGTGCCATATGAAGATCATGTAGAACGGCTATGAAGGAACCTATTGGCTTCGGTAAGTCTTTCTAGTGGGTATCAGTGGTTCTTTAAAATCTATATGTGTGCTATAATAGATTTTCAAACCAATCGGTGATGTCTAAAGGTTAGCGTAGAAGCCGATTAAGAATGAAATAAGTAGAAGCTGGCGTCGAAAGGTTTTGACTGTTGTTTATGGCTTATTCTTCCACCATCTAAAGCGGTGTTTGTGTAAACGAATCTCTGTCAGTGCATGCTGCGATGCAAGCCGAGATGGGTGAGTCTCTGCTAGTATCTCCTTCTCAATAGCTACCACATGCTCTAGTACCTTGATCGCTTCCTTGACCTGGCTGTTGGCTCTGTATGCTATAGCTAGTGTATGCTGCGATGCAAGTCGATCTCGGTGAGTCTTTGCCAGTGTCTTCTTCTCAATAGCCACCACATACTCTAGTATCTTGATCGCTTCCTTGACCTGGCCGTTGTCTTGGTATGCTATTGCTAGTGCATGCTGCGATGTAAGTCGATCTGGGTGAGTCTCTGCCAGTGTCTCCTTCTGAATAGCCACCACATGCTCTAGCACCTTGATCGCTTCCTTGACCTGGCCGTTCTCTTGGTATGCACCTGCCAGTGCATGCTGCGAAGTAAGTCGATCTGGGTGAGTCTCTGCCAGTGTCTCCTTCTCAATAGCCACCACATGCTCTAGCACCTTGATCGCTTCCTTGACCTGGCCGTTAGCTCTGTATGCTATTGCCAGCACATGCTGCGAAGTAAGTCGATCTGGGTGAGTCTCTGCCAGTCTCTCCTTTCGAATAGAAGTGAGGAGCTCAAAAACCCCAACCGTCTCCGTAGTCCGCCCATCCACTTGTAGACAAAGCCCTGTTTTGTAGCATAACGATTGTAAAGTTTCGTTTCGTCGTAACCGGACCTCCTTCAGAAGAGGTAGAATATGCGGCAAGCACAGCCGCCACTCTAGTCTATTCTCCCACTCACTTGATGGAAATATCTTATTGAGATGCTCAATCGCCATATCCTCCGTGGTCAAAGAGTTGCCAGTTTCCTGATCTAGCCACAGTCGCAATGCCAAATGCACTAAGCTGTGCATGTCCAGCGTCTCGCCGTCCTCCCGCCAACTAAGAAACCCATACCTACACAACATATCTATCGAGTCTTCCAAATCCATCGGAGACCCTGCTGTGGGAAACATGCTTTTGGGTATCGCCTTTGGCTCGATCCACCGGATAAAAGAAAGTAGACGAACAGCATTTATATCTGTCTTGCGGATGGCTATGAATGACACGATCCATGTCGTCGCCATAGCCCCTTGCGCCTCGTTGTGGTGTGCCTCGTCGCGGAGCCGTTTACTAAGAAGATCAATCATGTTCTGGTCGGCCGACCGGCACCGCTCTAAGTATCGAATAATAGGTGTCCTATTCTTGTTCATGTATGCTGCAGCCTGTGCTAGCGCGAGAGGCAAGTATGTTAGCTTCTCTAATAGCTCTTTAGTGTACCCTGTATTCTGAACTTGTCCTTTGTCGAGTAGCAACGTTTTCATCAATAAATATGCATCAGCAAAAGTCATAGAAGTCAGCTCGACCATAGCACTACCTGCCGCGTCCACAGCAACTGAGGCTTGTCGTGTTGTTAGAAGAAGTCTTCCCTTGGGATTTCGCGGTAAGAACTCAGAAAGTCCAGTCGGTTGGCCAGGTAATCCATCCAGCACGGCAGCATCATCAATGTTGTCAACCACTAGAAGCCAATAGCCTGCCACATCTGACGCAAGATACGTTCGAAGAGCGTCCGTCGGGTCGTCATTGCCACACTGGATATTGAGCCGCTGCACCATGTCCGCTGCTGTCTTGTGAAAGGCCGCCATGCTCTGCGCCTGTACCCAGAATACTGAGTACCTCTCTGTCATACCCTCGACTTCCATATTCTGCACCCGGTACGCTAGCTCCAGAGCAATCTGCGTCTTGCCCATGCCCCCAAGCCCCACTAGCGCCACTCGTTCTCTCTTCTCGCGGAAGAGCATTTGCTCAAGTTGGCCAAGCTGTGCTCGGCGGCCTGTAAAGTCATGATTACGTCTAAACGGAATATAGCCACTTATTGGTCGCCGCGGTCCTATCTGCGCTAACACTGCCTTAGCATAGGCTGCTGCCATTGCTGCCGCATATGGCTGCCATTCCTTATTCTTATGCTTGTCGGCATAGTCGCATACACCACGAATTACCCCGACGGGGATTCGATTCATCGTTCCCGCCGCCTCCATCTCAAGTCCGATTATGTTATACTGATCCCTTAGTGCATTTCGAATTGACGCGTTCTTCATAAGCTTGTCCCCAGATCCAATTGGCCCATACCAAATGCGTGTGCGTCGCCCGTCCGATCGTGACACCCGTTTTTGAATCGTTGACCGTCCCGACTTGTCGGTGCCGTACAGTCGGTCTGTATCCTGTCCAGGATCGGCAAAAGTCCCGCTACTATGCTGCTTGTGCTTGATCTTGTGGTAGTATGGGAGAATCAGGTTTGTATCGTCTGGCGCTTGCGCTTTAATGCTCCCGATGGCCGCCCTCACAACTGTCTCCGTCACCGCCAGAACATGGCCGCCTCTAAGTAACTGAAAGCCGCCTGAAGCGGTTTCCTTGCCGAGATCATACGCAATCAGCCCGGCGCTATCCCCCTCGGGTAGCGCCACGAGGACGTCGCCTAGTCGGATATCCCGCGGCGAAGGTCCCGTCAGCTTGGGCAGGCCAGCCGCCACGCCGACAAGTAGCCCGAACCAGAAGTTGGGAAAGAATTTTTTGACCTGACTTGCAAGCGCGGCTGCAGAGCCTGTCCCGTACTCCTGGCCCGCGGGTAGCGTTGCGATAACGACATTGTGCCCGCAGATTTCTCCAGCCTGGTAAACATAGTCGTCGCCGCGCTGCATCGGGAAGCGTCCAACGTGCGCGCGATCGAGCATACAAACGGCCGCGCGGGCCTCGATCTCTAGCGGCGCGATCCACGCGATAGTGTAAAGTGTGGGGTCTAGCTCCATAGCGGTTCCTCGCTTGCTGAGGGGCAAAGTCCAATCGGAGTGAATGCGAGATGCGGATGTTGAGGTGGACAGCCCAGGTTCCAGTGCAGCTGAGTAAATATAGTAGTAACGTTAATGTAAGTGTCGGCCCTTTTCACTTTACCCCGCCCTAGATTGGGCAGCAAGCTGTTTCTCTCCTAAATATGGCTGTCCTCCTCACCGCACAACCCTATGAAACCACGGGTTTACAATTTTCTGCTCCGTCCATCGCTGCATCCTTCCAAAGCTGATCCTCGCTGTCCTCTTGAATTTCGGATGGCAAACATGCATTTGGGATTTCTTGTGTTTAAGTATAATGTCGAGTTCAGACTGGCTAGCGTGCTCTTATTTGTTGGAGACGGAGCTGTCGGATATATGGGCTTTTGTTACGTCATGTGACAAGGTAACCAAAAGATCATGTGGAAAGGCTGGGGACTGGCCAGAAGACCGTACAGTAAGTGGCAGGGCTTCCATAAACTGGGAATGCGACCGACGGAGCCATCGTAAATGTGCACACTGTTCCGTTGGCTTCCATGGCTGCTTCATCATCTACTACCCAAATCGCCTGGAATTTGTGACAATTTTGTCCAAGAAGTAGAAAATTAGAATAAAAATCGTTGAAATTGAACTTAGAAGTGGTTGGTTTATAATGATGTTGACGCTCAGACAATCGACCGAGAGATCTACAGTAGGATTGCCACCGAATCAGGGGGCATTTCCCACTAAATATGGGTACACTAGGGCTGAGATGCAGAACAGTGCCTGGCTAGCCAAGGAGCCTACTAACAAATAGGGAAGGTGTTCTGAGACAGCTAATTCAGGCGACATATGTCCAGAGAAAGATGCCTTTTCGTGCCGTTTAGGGCTATAATACCGTGCGCAATGATGAAGATATTTACTAGAGATTAAGCGGTAACTAGCCGTTAAGTCCTGTTAAGGGTAGACAAGAAGGTTTTAGCAGGTAAAGCTTCTTTTGGCTGCTGCCCACTAAATTTGTTCTGTACGTGTCCACCCGCGACACCCATTTCGGTTATTACGGTACCGAAGCCCTTGCTGTAGCTGCAGCTCGCCAGCCCGCTGTCGAGAGCTGGATATCCCACATCCCACGAAACCCAAACTGCAATGTTTAAAGCCGGGAATCTAAAATAGGCAGGCAACAATGCAACCAGCAGCAGGCCTCCAGCCGCAAAACACCCCGCTTAAACGACTCTTGACTGGTGTTTAACGAACACTCCGCTCCCGCGCTAGTCAGCCTTGTCCTAAATGGGTAACATCATGCACGAACTCTCTGTCACTGTTACCTACCAATAACATTGCATTGTTTGTAAATCTGCTGGTACACCATCGATCCTGGGACCCCATGGACTTTTGAAGCGCAGCATTGAACAGTATCTTGTGATAGCTGACCCCACACATAAGCGCTGCTCCTGCATTCGGCGACTACCTAACTGAACCATAGAGGTATGCTGCAAAAGAACCAGGCAGCGACTGTTGGCCAGTCACGAATTGTTATTAGAAAGGCTACTATCAGACTACCGCACTGTATCAAATCAGGCTAAACGCTTCAGATACACCATCAAACGGCTGCACACCGCCAAACAGGCTCTTTGAGTCACCGTAGTATCTGAACCGGTAAGTCCCTGGTTCAACGTCCCGGTTCGTCTCCCATGCTATATCCGCCTCGCTGTAACCAAGAACCAGGCTTGTTCTGCGCCACGTGAAAATAAGGAACCAATCGTCGTCGTCAAGCACCCTCACCCACCGCTTTCCACCGACTAGCATCTCCACAGCTGCATATGTATCTTCCTGCCGCAGATTGTTGCGGGGGTTAGCCGCTTGGAACGAAGCCGAGACCTTTTCGCCTCTGGAGTATGTCTTGCGTGGCTGCCTTAGGGCCGCTCCGTATGGCTTTGACCCAGGATGGCGGTCGTAAAAGACGCCTGGGTATAGCGACAAAGACGACTGGCGATTATCCTGCGCAAAGGTAGTTTGAAGCGGCAAAATATCGGAGCCAGTAGCAAGATGATGCAAGTTATCCACTGTCAGGTTGATAAACGCTGCGAGTTGGTTGGGTCCGTATAACGTGGACGAGCCCTCGTAACGCTGCGCACCGTACTCCTCTTTTGTCGTCATGTAATGGGCGTACGTGTTTGCGGGACCAGCCACAAGCGGGATGGCGTTTTCATCAATGATTGAGGCGGCCTTTGCACCAATAGCATCTCGCCAGCGGCGACCGGCCATGGTTGTAATCTCAGTCGGGCTCACGGCGACGACAATCTGCCCAATTCTCAGAACCTGAATATCTACCATGTTGGGCTCCCACTGGTATGGCTTTGATAGACGGCCAGCGTCCAATAGGATGGGCTTGGGGGCGTGGCAAGCAACCTGCTCAGCACTTGCTCGGCCAACAGTAGTGAAGAACCACGTCCACATATTTGACGGCAGATTGGTAAAGACTCCCTGAACAAAACCACCGAGTCCCTCGCCATCTGTTGTTCCAGCTGCTGTGGCGTATCCAAAGGCTGAAGGGCAAGTAGCAGCAGGCGATCCGTCAGGAAGAGTAAAGTTGAAGTTGCCCAAGTCTTGGAAGAAGTGGAAACCGGCCACACGACCTTTGACTGGCGTCGGGTCTGTTTCCATTTTATCCTGTAATATTTTATGAGCAACTAGAGACAACAGAATTCATAAGGGCACAAGGTAACTTACAAGTGCTTCTCTTGCACCAAGATACTGTCGTTTGCCGATTTCATAGCAGCTCTTTATTCCAGCATCGTTCTCGCGAAACGCCGGCCCGCGCCCACGGCATCTCTCTGACGTACCATCGCTACAGGTACTTGTTGCGACATCACACATAACGTTGGTTCCGTCATCGCACCACGCGCCCTCAATGTTTGGGGAGGTATCGCCTTCGTTGGACTGGCTGAAACCTGCGACGAAACCTTCAGCGGCCGTATCATAACCATCCATAGACCTTTCAAACATCCACGCTGCGACGCCTTTGTTATCACCGGCAACATGCGTGTTGTTATTATATATGGATGTTCCATGGACGGGAAACCAGTTGAGAATACCGACAGTCTTATAGTCCCTGGCACGCTGGAAACGCAGCACCGTCATGGTGGTGTCCACCATGGATGGGTACTTGGCTCGTTCTTCTTCTGGATTCATCAGATAGGAGGATGGGGAGCGGTTAATCGAAGCGTCTGTTACTTCAGCAGTCGCAACATCGAGATATCCCTACATTTGTGTTAGTCCCCGCTTCTCATACCGCCAAAGTCGCACTCACTTCTTCTAGGCTATCATGAGCACGCTTGATAGACAGCGCAGCACCGTCAACGATGGCCTGATAGCTCTGCTTATCCAGACCAAATGTTGGCGCCTGGGGAATCAAGTAGTTGAACCATCCTCCAGGGCCAGAATGCGTGTGTGTGGCTGTCATGGCGACATTGTGCCCAGTGTACAGCGCATAATCGCCGCCCATGGCAGCCATTGCCTCCAACAACCCATATCTTACAGCGGTATCGCCTGCCAAGTCGTCCAACACAAGATATGCAACGCGATCTTTGGGATTATTCACATCTGCCACCACAAATGCCCGGCTGTAGAGTCTCTGTCGCAACCCACTTCCGCTCTGTTCAAACTTACCGTAACCCGCCAGGCTCAACTCAACAATAGGACCAGTGATGTCCGCTTTGCCAACACCAATCAAATACTTGTCACCCTTGGGCGTGGATCTGCCATAAAGCTCCAATCTGTTCCTGCATGTCTGAGATTCACCCGGAGCTCCCAGACACACGGCGGACACAGATGGCGCAAGAAGCACCACAGTCGTGACGAGCGAAGCGACAAAATGCATGGTGATTAATAAGATATCGTGAAAACCGAAGATAGAAGGCAGCTTTTCGTCCTCGATCTCATGTTTATCATGCAAAAGAAGCAAATCGCCCTGGGAACGGGGAGACGGGGCCTCCTTTAGGTCCGGAGAACTCGGCCGGCCAACGGTTTATGCGGGGTTTCTCGATTAGGAAACGCTGCGAACAGCTGCAATATAAACAATGGCACATGCGTCCTCGGCATAATAAGAAGAGACTACGCGTTTCACGCCATGAAATCTATTAAAAGAACAAACTATAATACCAATAATATTAATACACAATGAAATGTGTCTAGTTGGTGCTCTTGCCGTTGACTCTGTAAATCTCGGCTCTCGCTCCATCCCATTTCTTTCTCTTGCCATCAAACAGTCTATACATATGTGGACTGAGAAGACCATCCATAAGGAGGCTACAGAGCTCTCTATCGTTCATCCAGAATTTCCATCCCTCTGCACCCCAACCCAGATGCTCGGCAACTCCCGTGCCCGCCATCCGATTGGCCCAGTCAAGCCATTGGCTTCCCTCAACCCAGCCAGGAATAACGGGGCCTTGTTCGGCGATCGTGCACATGTGTTCATGGTGCTTATCTATCGCGTGATTCATTTCCTGTTTGGATGGCAGGGTTGAGCTACCCTTCCAGATCTGCGCAACGGCCATCGAGGCCAGATCGTACAACGAAAAGACACCCGTGAGAAAGGCGACGCCGCCCATAAAGGCCAAAGAATCGGGATAATCCTCCGAAATTACATTCTGGTATAATCGTGGTAGAGGTTTGCCCTTGGATCCCTTTGCGGCTGCCCACCGTGGCGTTGTATTGCGCGTCGGGTCGGCCAGCGCATCAATCAGTCTAAAGTCTGACTGATATCCGGTGCACCAGACAATACTGTCAGCTTCCACCTTGGAGCCATCTTCAAGCTCTAGGGTGGTAGGACCGAGTACTTTGCTAATCCGAGGAATTGATGTCACTTTACCATCTGTAAAGTTCTGCACCAGATTGTCGGAAACGACAGGGATCGCGTGCACGATGGAGGGAGCCGGAGACAGGCGCCATTCTGGTTTCATCTGGAAGAACTCGCCTTGCATCTTCTTCAACATGGAATTCATCAGAAACTCATGAAGCTTGGGAAAATTGGCTGCAAGAAATCCGGACGTTGCTAGCTTGCGGCTCGAGAAGGAGTGGTCGAATGGTTTGCCGTTAGCTCCGATGCGCGGAAACTGTGTCTATGAGTATTCGAAACAACTAACTCTGTATCAGGATTACTACTTACAACAATAGAGCCATGGCCATGAGAGATGTAAACTTCTTTAGCATGGGGGCATAGAGCGTCGATTGTGTCGGCGCCAGTGTTGGCAAGACCAACTACGACGACTCGCTTGCCCTTAAAAGCGGCGGGACTAGATACGAAGTCAGTAAAAGCCTATAAAAAGTAAAAGAGAGTGGTTATAGTACTCTTTAAACGCCCTAGAGTGAACATTGTTGCCAGCAAATAGCTCCATGCCTGGGATCTTTGGAATATGTGGTGTGCCTTGAATGCCCGTCGCCATCACAACTCGATCAAATATTTGAGGATCGGAGCCTTCAATATCCAGGATCCATTTGTTTGCCTTCTCGTCTCGACGAACTTTTGTAACGGTTGTGTTGAGTCGTAGACGAGGTCGAAGGTTAAAGTGATCGGCATAATCCTCCATATACTGCTCGACTTGCACTGCGCTGCAGTAGCTGGGGGTCTCTTTGGGAAAGGGAAAGTCGGTATAGCAGACCTTTGCAAACGTTAGAGTTGAAGTTCTGTTTCTGATAAAACTGTCTCACCCTTTCTTTGGAAATATTGACAACGGTTGCTAACACAAGTCAGTAAGGCGGTATCACTATTAGCTTAGACGGTACCAACTAGGCAGGATAGAGACTTGATCTCCAGGCGAAAAGTGCCATAGACCGCCAACATAGCCATTCCTGTCGAATCCAGTGACATTGAATCCTTCTTCCGCCAAGTTCTTTACCGTGACTAGCCCCAGCACGCCTGTATTGTCACTGTAAGTACCGCATACAGCAGCGTTCCCGTCTTATACACTCACCCAAGCCAACAACAGCAACATCTTGTCCGATACCCCTCATTTTTGTATAGCTTTATACTTGAGAATTTTATTTGATATATTTTCCCTCAGGTCTGCTCTGGCCAAGTTGCCCGCGCCGCCGCATCACGATTTATACGCGCGGCGTACGGTGCGGCTGAAGAATACCAAGAAAACCATCCAGGTTCGGCACGGTCGGGTTTACTATCGGATTCCGCGATTTCGCTACGCCGGTGCAAAAGATCGGGAATATCCCACATGACATTGCTAAACCCTGGCGAATTGCCCATGCGTTTTGGGAAGCAACGCGAGGCTGCGCACGCAACAATGCGAAAGAGCCAGCCCCCAAATACCCTTTCTAATAAAATTGCCTTATCCTGCCTAGCTAATCGCCGTATTTCTTAATCGGACCGCCTCTCCACCAAAATACAACCGGTGTCAGACGCAAGGGTTCAAGAGTCCCCGATGGTCCAGTCCCTGAACCCCGTGGTCTGGTCGACTACCGACGACCCTGCTTCCATGGTCTCTTCCATTGGTGGCATTGTCTGCGCCCCTCCCTTTTAGCTCGAATACAGTGCTTACCAGTCGCCCATGATTGGTGGGCCTGAATATCTCCTTGTTGAGTCCCTCTGCGGCTCCCCACGCGACGGCGCGCTAGTCAGGTAGGTTAAAAGTGAGTGAGCACCGGAGAAAGCAGATATAAAGAAGAACCCGAAAACATAAATATCGCAAGCATTCCCCCGGCGTTTTTATTCTTTTCTTTGTTTTAGGTCAGTAAAATTTATCTTTACCACTCATTGTAAGTTGTCGGTCGACTTAGACCCGCCCACACCCCTGCATCACCCGCGATGTAAGCTAACCACACCACTATATCTCAACAGCACAATGCAATTCTCTCTTGTTCTCGCCGTTATGGCCTCTACTGCTTCTGCTGCTGCCATGGGCAAATCTAAGCAAATGCAGATCAACTACTACTCTGATTCTACCTGTCACAGTTTCCAGGGCAACGTTGACGTCACTTGGGCTACTTCCCTCTACGACAGCAAGCATAACAACTGCTACAACTACCAGTACGGCAACAGTGTTAACATTGCCGAGTGCGATGTCAAGGCTGGATGCCTTTGCAACTTCTACTACCAGAAGGACTGCACTGGCGGAGCTACCCAGCAGCTTCAGGGCAACGGTAACTGTGTTGGTGGTGCTCAGCAGCTTAAGTCTTTTGCCTGCTACTACAGGTAATTGGATCGCAAGAGTACAAAACCCAAAACTGTATATAAATACGTAAATAAACATAAATGTATGATATCCAATGTCTATACTCTTTGCTTGCGGTATTCCATGTTAGCCTGAAGCTATGAAGTGCGCCGTCGACAGTCAGGACTCACGCCGCAATTGACGCCTGAGAAGCCATGATACAATAAATTTATATTTGTAGACGAATAAACCGCTCAACTCCAGAAAATGAAAATTATTAAATGTGCAATTGCGGTTCTTCTTATTGAGTTACGCAGTTGATAGGTATATATACTCCATTATTTCACAATTAGTCATCACAAATCCGCTACAACAGGTGCTCAACACCTGCGATCTTCCGTAGTATAGTGGTCAGTATGCGAGCTTGTCACGCTCGAGACCCGGGTTCAATTCCCGGCGGGAGAGATCCGCCACAGCTCCTCAGAGCTGTTCTTTTTTTGGGTTTTTGCTCAACTGATTTTTTCCTTGGGGCCGTCTCAAAAATATTTACAACATTAATTTTTTTTTCTTTTTAATCTAGGTCGGGCTTGAGATACAGGTGATTTCTCCTGTTAGGCATTTTTAATCACAAAAGAACAATCATTCTAGCATCATTATGTACAGTTTATTCTGCAAAAAAAGAAAGATCGCTTCTATATACAATGCCAATGACCTATATGAGGCCTAATTATTTCGTTAATTCACAGCTGTTATTATAGCTGCAGATGAGTAAACTGGGGTCTGCTGGGTTGACCCTTGAGATGAGCTGCAGAGCCCTTGAACAAGCTCTGCCAAATAAAAGCCTCGCTCAGCAGTAGCTCAATATCCTTCTCTGTCCAGTCTTTGGTCGGAAGGCTTTGGAGAAACATCATAATCTCTTGAAAGTCCATCGACACAAGCTTTGCGGACCATTTTACGAGAAGTGCTGCACACACATAGAGATGGAACTCCGAGAATCCCTGCTCTTCAGCCTGCAAGCCCACAAGTTAGAACAAGTTGCCACATTTGGGCTTAAAGGTGAGTGATTGTGACTTACCAGGTACGTATCCCACATACGAATGATATTTTTAACACTCAGCTCTCGCATTAGTAGACAATTCATCCATCTGAAACTGAACTGGATAAACTCTATGCCCTCGTTCTCAAGATGTTTCGATAATGAAGCGTCGATTCGTGCTGTTAGATCATGCAAGGCACTGACTTGGCGCTGAATACCAGGCTGAGCGACAATGTAATGATCTTGGATACCGTCAAGCAGCTTGGTTAGACACCAGAATGAATCTGCTTCCACTGCATCCAGTACTGGCTTCGGAAGTTGACCGGGATCCATGCCAGTCTCAATATCTGGGTCGGCGATATAAAGGCCTAGGAAAACTTGCCAGAATGGAGTTACAAGATCGTTGATTCCTTGCACGTAGCCACTGGCAGGGTGTCTCACTGCCCAGACGTACAAGATACGCTCGAGGGATCTCTGTGTGGCTTCGTAGCTGTACAGTTCGATATGAGGATTTGTTCGCGGCACATCGATGCTGATTTGATGCCAAATCGCCTCATCTAAACCACGGGCTTTTCCAGATGGTGTAGAAGTGCTGCCCGGTCTCTCAAATGCCTGCTTCACACCGTCGAGGTATTCTTTGCGCTTTCTTTCAAGAGTATTTACTCGTCTCTCGCTATTGGTAGGAAGATAGCTGAGTAGAAGCTGCCATGTCATCGCTCGAAGCTCCTCGGGTATGCCAGACCATGCTAGAGACCTGAGCTCGGCTAACGATATTGATGATGCTTGCAACAGCTTTTTGAACTTGTTTATGCGTGTGAGTCGAGCATTGATGGTATCGGTTTCTTTGGCTGTTGCATTCGCAGCAATGGGTGGATAGTTGATCAAATTCAAGGCATTTGCTGGATCTATAACATCATGTTAGCAGACTGGTTGACCTATCCTAACTAATGGAATATACCTCGTAGAATTTCCTTGTACTGTGGGCGTAGAATCTTACCCTCACTCTTTCGAGGCATCGGGTATGATGATGCAGGTCTTTCCGCCGCAATATCTGCACTATCAGAATGGCGGCGCTCTTGTGAAACTACGCCATCCAGCGCTGCGACCAAGCTATGTGGTTGAGAGCTTTCAGTTTGATCCTTCGCTTTTCTTCTGGTTCGTCGCTTCATGTTTGCGAGACTTGGTAAGCCAAAGTCATCGCCATCGTCATCTTCGTATCCTGATATTTCATCTTCGTCCGCTTTCCAGTCGTCATTCGTATTCGATAAAAAGTTGATGTAAGTTTTGAAGGGGGGAGAGCTGCCGCTAGCCGATTGCCGAGGCGGCTTCGGCGATGGATTGTCTTGACGGACTCTGCTTGAAGATGCTGAAGGAGGCGTCTTTGGTCTACCAGCAGCACTTCCCAAATGTCTGTACCGTGGTCAGCTATTGGATTCACAACAAACCCTTCGCATCTACCTACAGAGCATCGAGTTTCAGCATATCAGCATGGGAGTATGCGGCGCCGACAACTTTCCCACCATCACGTGGCGGCGCGGTGACGCTTCTTTTAGGTGTGGTTTCCCGCAGCGAAGGTCTCCAGAAGGGCGAGGCAGAACTGCGATCCAAGATTAGTGTTGAGCTGGCTTATTACCGTAAAAATGCACGTACTCTGAACGGTCTGACGCAGCAGAATTGGCTTCGTTAGCAACGCGACTATGCAACATATCTCCTTGGATTCGATATTCCAGCTCGTAATTGCTGTGAATCGTACTTACCGACCTGGACCATTTCTGGCGGCTACAGAGATGTCAGCAATTCAATTCAAGGCCAGATGGCGCCGAACGCGGGGAGCTTCTGGTGGCGGACGTACAGGTTGGGACGGCTTTTTGCCATTTCCCGAGGATGACCACATGATCGAATTTGCTTAATAGAATCCCCTAGACTCTTTCCTCATTATCAACCACACGGGAATCGAATTCGAATAAGAATGTCGCTCTTTGCTGCGCGTTGCAGCTTGATGGTCATCAAACCACCTGATGCGTCTCAACGACGCTAGAGCGCCCCTCCCTTGGACACCCCCACACTAACAGTGCAAATGCCGCCTTAGTCATCCGTTTTCCCGCTGAAAACCACGCCCGCAGTTCCCAAGCTCATCAAAATAGTGCAAACGTAACCTCATCCCTTTGCTTTGCCATCAGTATTGTGTATCTGTTGGTATCCATTGCAAGCGAATTCTGAGGATATTACTGCAAGAGGAGGATTTCTTTCTTCCATTTATCAACATTAACATTTTAGCAAACTATCCGACCGGTAGCAATCATGGCGGACGGCGACAACTTTGAGGATGAGCTCTTTGCCGATCTGTAGGTTTAATCCGAAAATACCAGCGCAATTTGCCTTGAACCATCCAATCTAACCGCTCTATAATAGCTACGACGATAATGACACATCCAAGGTCGCCCCAGCGCCCGCTGCCGAGACCAAGCCTGCAGAACCAGCACCTCAACAACAGGCCGCTGGTGCCAGCCATAGCGAGAATGTAAACACCCAAGGGGATGACATGGACGATGACGACGATGACGATGATGTCGACTTCAACCTTGGCGGCGGATCATCCAGCGCCAACCAAGTAACACAACAACCACCACAACAAGAACAAGCAGAAGCAGAGGATGAATACGATCCTGCTGCTGATAACTCCGGACCTGTACAAAAGTCTCAATCAAAGGAAGACGGGTAAGTTCAATTATTGCGAATGTGCGTCGAATTTGTAGTACAACAGTCATGTGTTGGGAAACGGGCAGCCACCATCTGTGCGTGTTTACTATGGCCCGAGGTGGTACAGCCATCTAGTTTTCTTGGGTTGCCAAGCAAGAGCCTTTCGGTCGGTGACTCGAACCGTGCGCCTTCATATCCGCTTAGAAGAACGTGCAGTTCTTATGAGGGAGAGGTCTCAATCGGCACTGGATGAGCGCATGACGGGCTAAACGCGCTGCTGAGGGACGCAGCCGGAGGTTGATGGCAGTTTTGCCAAAGGCGAAATGTCCGACCTTGGTTGATCTTGAGACTAAATGAGGGATATATCAAGTTGGATATACACAATGAATAATCCACTGTATCCACAGCGCCTCATTGCTGGACTCTTAGACATCGCAGATATTAGCATTATATCAGCAACTATCTAGCCAGAGACAGTCAGATCAAACAGTCAAGCCGATAGCCAAAGACAGATCAAGAGAAAAGATACAAGAAAACAAGGATATCCGACAACACTTGGGATATGGAATATTTGACTTGAAATCTTTGTCATTGTTAAGCCACCAAGACGACCCTCTTCCTGCTTTCGCCTGGTTGAGGGCACAACGGAACCTCAACTCAACCTCCAAATCAACATCACTGGCGAAGAGACTGCCAACAACCAGATTGTGCTTCAATTCTGTATAATAATACTATGCACAATGGAGTCCAATCTGCAGGTCCTCTCAGAGCCGTTCCTCAGCCTTGTTACTCCACCCATGCCTCGCCAACTTCGACATAGTTATTACTTCTTCGACTGCATCACTCCAATTAAACCATGTGGTTTACACTATTTGATTTACTAACATGTTTCTTGATGTAGCAAAATGTTTATTGGTGGACTAAACTGGGAGACGACAGATCGTGAGTTGGGACTACAGATGGATCTTTTAATATCGTACTAATAATTCGTAGAATCACTCCGCGAATACTTCGAGAACTTTGGCGAAGTTGTTGAGTGCACTGTTATGCGCGATGGCGCCACAGGACGATCAAGAGGCTTTGGCTTCCTCACATTCAAGGATGCCAAGACTGTTAATATCGTCATGGTCAAGGAGCATTTCCTCGATGGAAAGATTGTAAGTGTTTTCTTTTTACCGTTAAACCGGTCGTACACTCGTGCTTATACTTGTCGGAATAGATTGATCCTAAGCGCGCTATCCCAAGAGATGAGCAGGAAAAGACTAGCAAAATCTTTGTAGGAGGTGTTAGCCAAGATACGACAGACCAAGAATTCAGAGAGTTCTTTGCTCAATTCGGTCGCGTTGTTGACGCAACTCTTATGATGGACAAGGACACTGGACGCCCCCGAGGCTTTGGCTTCGTCACCTTTGAGAACGAGGCTGGTGTTGACGCCTGCATTGATATTCCCCTCGAGATTCATGGCAAGCCAGTTGAGGTGAAGCGAGCCCAACCGCGAGGCAACTTGCAGGAGGATGACGCTGCGAAGCGTAATAAGTTCCGCAAGGACGATCAGCAAAACAACATGCAGCAGATAGGTGCCAACAGTAGCATGACGCCACAAGCCATGGCGCAACACTTCCAACGCATGCAGCAGTACTTTGCCATGATGCAGTCGCAGATGGCTATGAGAAATATGAATCCCGCCATGTGGCAACAGATGCAGATGCAGCAGATGCAACAAATGCAAATGATGGGCCGTGGCAACGGTGGTAATATGATGAATGGCCAGCAGATGAACCCCCAAATGATGCAGCAAATGCAACAAATGCAGCAAATGCAGATGCAACAGCAGCAGCAAATGATGCAACAGGGCAACGGCGGAAACTTTGATGGCAACTTTGACCCGAGCCAGCAGCAAGGCGGCCACCAGGGAGGCCCAGGTGGTCGACGAGGTGGCCGAGGAGGCTACAATGGCGGCGGTGGCGGCAACGTCGGCTGGGAGGGCGGGTATGATGACCAGTCTCAAGGTGCAAGCAGCAGCAACCAGGGAACGCCCGACCCTCAGCACGCACCTCCTGCCAACGCACCGACCGGACCCAAGAACGCTGGCCGTCCAGGAGCCAACTATCGCGGCGGCGGCCGTGGAGGCAGCCGTGGATTCCACCCCTACGGAAGGTAAAAGCCCGATACATGGAGGGGAGGGGGGAATGGTACTGAGTCAGGTTATGCAGCCGGCACTTGGCTTGGAGGTTAATTCGTCATTTCCGAAAGAGGTGGGCGGGCGCGGTGTGGATGATGTGAGTGAGTGAGCCTGCCCATTCATTTCGGATGGTTTCTACTTTTGTCTTAATCGCCCTTTATTTCTTTTATTTTTTCTACGGACACGGTTGTTTCCCGCTATATGCTTTTTACTTTCGATACTCAAAAATCAATGTAATCTTTTGCTATGCTAGCAGATTTCAATCAATCAAAAAACCATTTACGTATTGTACAAAAGCGCTTGTTTCAACGAGACCGTGTATTGTATTAGGACTAGGTCCTCCCAGAACTAGTACTTTCAGGGCAAGGGAAACTATCGTAATTCATCATCATTATGCTGGCGTACCAATACAGAAGAAAAAACAGAGCAGCAGCAATCCGCAAGTGACTAAAAGCGCTTACAAGTGTCCCCGTCCTCAAGCTTACGCAGCACCCCAACGGCATCTGCCAATAAGATGCTTCTTCCACCGAGACAATCCCTTTCCAACAGCTCCCTGGCCAATCCTACGGCTCCCTGTGCGTTTCGTCGTCCAGATAGACGAGCAATCTGCCCAGGTTGCGTACCAGACGCCGCATGAAGCCAGTGCAGTGCAGCGCTCCGTGACGGGCCACCGCTAGCTGCGCAGTCGCGGCCGGCATGGCCAAATGCCCAACATATGAGTGAGCACACGTAGATGCCCCAAAAGTCGGAGATGTCGCGGCCTAGGATACTGCTAGTCTGAGACTTGGCAACCGACTTGTCATCCAGGTAGATGCCTAGGAAGATGCGCAGAGCACGCGCAGCAAAGGCGACTGCGACGTTGGCACTGCCCGAATCGCGCCATGTGGCGAGCTGCTTCTGGTGCTGAGCAAAGGATGCAGCGCGTAGAACCTTGCGGTTGAAGACCCAGCTGTCTCCTGAAACAGACAAGACGACGTGCAGCGGTGCAAAGTGTAGTGCAAGATATGTAAATGCAACAGCAGAGTCCGAGAATATATCGGCCATGGTGAAGGAGTCAATATCGACTGTTGAGGCATCTGCAATCAGATCAAGACGGGTTGCGCTCGCCCGCGGAGGTAACTGCAACACATGCGCTGATAGCAGAATAGACGCATCGAATGGGCAGGATTGATACTCTCTGATAGTGGCGGGACTCTGGGACAGAACCTCGCCGACTATTTGTGCGTGATGGCTGGCAGTGTGCATGGATCTCCACTTCTTTATGCTAGATGCTTCCCAGGCTGCCTTGGAGCGGGTGAAGAGATACACTGGCATGGTTTCTGGTTGGGTGTATTGGAAGGCAATGGGGCACGACTGCTGCTGTTCAAAGTAGCGCATGCTGTGCACATCAAGCAGGAAGCAGGCGGAAATAAGTCTGCGCCGGGACTCCATGTCAATCCATTGGTCCCAGGTCATCGAAGACTGGAAATCAGTTTCAAGCACGGCTTGGTCATGCGTTAACTGGGGAACATGTTAGCGATACAATAACAAATAATCGGTTGAGAGATTTCCATACCTTGTAGTACACTAGCTGGAATAGTGCAGACGGTTTGTAGGCGTCCTTATCCCGACCGCGGAATCTCGAGTAGTATTCAAAGAGTATTGTGGCTTGTAGAAGATCCATAGGCCACGTTTGCTCATTAAAGGCTGTGAATTCCTCTGGCCGGGGATGAGTCGAGTGTGAAAGGGTCATACCAAACGCTTCTCTGAGCTTCTGAGAAGTGTACATGTGCAGCTGGTTGCCGTTGATGCGGTGATCTTCATGGGAAAGGAACTGAGTCGCCACTGCAGCCATGGCACAATGCAGAGTGCTAACAGGTTCATTATCCACGAGCTTTGCTTCTTTGAACGACGGGCGGTGGATGATGGGATACATGGCATTGACCTTGTCCCAATATACATCGATATAAATGGGTATTGACTCGCGCAGCGACTGCTTCAACGTGGTAGACAACGGTTCCATAAATGCGAAGCCAGCATTGTGGACAGCTGGGACAGGTAAGGTTAAGCCAGAAAATACCGACAGCGCTGGAGATACTGGGGGAGGTGCGGCAAGTAGCATCCCTGAAGATGTCGCCGTAATTGGTAAACCGGCGCCTCCAAACATGGGAGTGCGGAGAGACGATGTGATGGAAGCGCTGCGTTCTTGAAATACATCTCTCAGGGATTGATCCAGCGTTGTTGAGGAGGTAGCATAGGTGTTGATGGCGGTTGCACCTGGTCTCACACTTTGACTGTTAGATGTGTAGGCAGGAATGGCCGTGGGAGATCGAAACAACACGGAGTTGCGTCGAACTTCCCAATCGGTGCTTGAAGATCGGGATTGGGGTTTTTGAACGAGGGCTACGATGTCGGATGGTGTTGAAAAGCTACTGCCGGTTGTGGAAGATATCTCTGGACTCTCTTGCCATGATGGCGGAGGTTGATTGCCTACCGGTTTGCTGGAGATCTCTGAACTCTTCACTATAGCGGCCGTCGTTTGTAGTCCCTCTGGACTATGCTGGATCCGAGTGTCCATTCCGTAGGTGTTTTGCATTGGCACCAAAGGTCGGGTTTGCTGGTGTTGATGTATATCTGGTCGGTCCATTCGTCCAGAGCCGGTGTTCATAGCTCCGACCGCCGTTTTAGCATGTGGCCACTGTTTGACGCTAGATGAGCCTGGTTGACTTGATGATCCAAAATACGGTTGATTAGAGCCCATACCTCCAAGTGAAGGCATGTGTTGATGCGAGGACCTCGGAGAACTGCTGTACTCTCGTCCATGTGGTGATGTGTGTGCGCTGTCAGCGCTACCCGGAGACCGATCGTCTTGGTCGCTATTTATAATGTTAGCGGATTAAGGTTCAGACATAGTGGAGAGAAGGAACTTGGTGCATACTGTCGTTGTTGGTGACGATCTAGCAGATCTTTTCTGTGAAAGACCTTGTTGCAACCAGGAACAGGACAAGTTAGGCCTGGAGGCTGGTGGCTCAGTTGATGCCGTCGGAGGTGTTCTGCGCGGGTGAATGTCTAGGACGAGTTAGTGGTTTTGAAAGACTATCTAAGCGACCAGACCGAGAATTACTTTGGGTGGCCGGCAAAGGTCACAGGTATGAACTGGCACACCCTTCTTTGCGCGGCTTACACGACCAGTGATGGGCGTGCGCTTTACGGGAAGATCTGCAGGATTAGGGACGAAGGCTCCTGGGCGCATTGGCGAGGAGGACCCATAGGTGGGTTGCTGCCCGTATACTGGCGGATGGCTGTAGTCGTACTCCATCATCTCTCCGCTTGCGCTATTGTGACGGCTAGATGAAGCCATCGCATGGTGCCCAGGATGAGGATGGTACTCGTGCCCTTGAGAATGAACGCTGTACTGTGAACCGCGGCGGGAAGTAGGCGGCATTGACACCGGGTACATGGGGTGCTCTTGGATTGCTGGATATCCGGCTGAAGACGAACCAGCGTGGGGGTGGGCGTGGTGCTGCATGCCAGGATATGGCGGCTGTTCTTGACGAATATGTTGCTGTTGATCACCACCGTCGTCGTCATTCATAATATTTCGTAAGCTAGCCATGTTGTGTAGAGATTGCCGACAAGGCCGGGTTCAAGTACGTTCGGAAAGGACTGTATGTAGCAAATGCTTTGCAACTAGGGCCGCTCGATGCCCGAACCCAGAGGAGCCACTGTTGCAGAAGAGGTGACAGAATCCGGCTACTCTGGTATCATGGGAACAATTGTTCGTAGAGTTAGTGAAGAGTGTGCTGAGAGCTTCTGTGCCAAAACCAAGACTCAAGAGAGGTATTAGGCAGAAGAGAAGCAGTAATAGCAGGCGAGACTTCGGCTAGAGTGAGGGATGGGCGCTCGTTGGAGTACTAAACTAAACAACCAACAGAAAGCAGGTCTCAGCCTCACAGGAACCAACGGTTAAAAGAGGACGTTGGTGTAGTTGACAAAGCACGGATAGACTAGACGCGCAGGCTGGGGTTCAGGTCATGTATAACAACAAAAGGGGGGGTGGAAGAAAGGACAAGCAAAGCTAATCGGGGATGGGACACAACAAGGCTATGTAGGAACTCGAGTCAAATAGCGGCAACAGACTCAAAGTCTGGCAAAAAGCGCGAGCGCCGCCTATGGGGGCAGGCGGAGCTGGCGTCTCGAGGCTGCGGCGCCATGCTGGGGCACGGAATGACAGCCAGCTGAGTCCGTGGCAAGTACTTGTACAAGGGTTCCCATCCAATTCGTGATCCTACTCGCCGCTGTGGCAGGAGGGCGTTATTCGTGGGCTCGGTGCCAGCCCGTTGGTACGGCCGAAAACCAGGCTGGGTAAGGATGGGCTAACAACACGCCGAAGAATCACATCCCATGACGCTAGAGCGACCAACAGCGAGTCTAGCTTCCGACCCCTTGGCTAGCCAGTGGGGTCTGCCCACGCTTGTTGGTTGGCCGTTGTCCACTGCAGTCATCGCTAAGGGAAGTGGGCAGCGGGCTCCCATTGCTCGTTTGTGCACGACGGAGAGCACCCTCAGTGGGTACATGAGGCTTGAGCAGCGAGAGCCACGGGAGCAGAACCAGCGAATGGTCTGACCACCCACACGAAATGCCCGTATCGGGCGTTTTGACGAGCCTCCAGGCGGTAGAGCGGTTGTTATCGGTGGGCAAAGATGGCTTTTTGGGGGTATCTTTGTTTGTAGTATCGCTGAAAAGAACCCTTGTTGGCCGTCGCATTTCTACTTTATTAACCTGAACAACAGCAAAGACCGACGGTGGCAGATCTGCACCGTGGCTCTCCCCCTCAGCGCTTTTTGGCGTTAACAAAGCCACTGTGGGCAAGGTTAGAACGTGTCCGGGGCCTCCCCGATGAGCGGTTGTGCATGAAGCCAAACTTGCCTGCATGATTTCCAGGGATGACAACTGTGATCAATCATGTTGGCCAGCGGGCGTTGAAGGCGCAAGATGCCAGTCGCCCCCAGCTTGAGCGCTTCGACAAGGAGGACGGACCTAGAGGGGTTGGCTTGCAGCGAAGCTGAAGCCCATTCCCCCTACTGGATTGGGTGGGTGGGCTCTTGTGGTGGTGCCTTGCCCCCGACGGTTAGCGTGGGGACGTGGAGGGGGGCGGCGTTGTACGACTGGTCGCCCGCCATGTGCTTTGAGTTTGTGCAATGCGACGGTGGCCACAGGCGAGTCAGGCACTATTTCCACAGAGTCGCAGCGCGGAACTGAGCAACGGAACACCGTTTGCTAGGTGCGATGATGGATCTTGGCCGGGTATTTCGCGGCGAAGAGTCTGCTCGGCCGAGTTTGAGCCAGAGGAGCACATGCATAGAGCAGAGACGACAGACGAGAACAGAAGCAGGTAAGATGACCACGGACAAGCGACCGCTATCGCCGATGCACAAACTATTTTCCCTAGGCAGCAGGCAGCTAAACGATGGTTGTCGTGCCCAGAATTGCAGGGACGATAATTGCGGAGGGGCAGAGTGCAGAAAGCAGGCTTACGAGCTGGCGGCCACGAACCAAGAAGGCAATGGCCGAGGGGGGTTCTGCCAGCTGGCAAAATGGCACGCAGAGCAGCAAAAACGAACAGGATTAAAAATACAAATCTTAGTAAGCACCCAGAAGCAGAGCGCAAAATAGACAGCAGCTGCCCTAACATTTGCAACGCTGCTACCAGTTGCAGCACACATCCCCCATCATCAGTCGTCTGTTGTCGCTTCGCCCAGCGTCGCACTGGTGCCACATCGAAAAGCGCATGTCTAGCTTCCCACGGGCACCACGGCCAGTGGAGGGGAGGGGGAACGGGGGCGAGGGGATCTTTCTTGGGGGCGGCGCGTCAACCATAAACTCGTCGCCCCCGCACCGCTCGTTACAGCATGGTTAGCGCTGCTTGCCCCGCTGCAGTGGTGTGGACAGGCGCTGTGGAGTGCTGTTACATGGGGCCTGTGGCGTGTGCCCAGAGAAGGCTCTGTGGAAGACGAAATGGAAAAAAGGGCGGCCAAAAAGCGGAACAGCCTGTCTTGGAGGGCAAAAGTTTTTCGTTGTGTGAAAGGCGGTCTGATCGGGCGCACCAGCAAATGAGAAAGGAAATAAAAACCGCAAGGTGGAAAATCACGCTCAAGCAGCGGGCAGGATAAAAATCAACGTAAGCGTCCTGCTGGTGGCACTCAGCGGCGGGCAAAGGTACTGGTACAAGCAGTGCCACCCACTAACCAGCGCTAACCAAAGTAAGTTCCCCAAACGGCTACTGTACCAGGCCAGGTTAGGTTGGCTGCCTGCTAGAGAACCCTCATCAACAGTTTGCAGCAGCTAACAAAGTTTGCTCCGGCGTTCCGTTTGCCAGACCATAGTTCCTCTCGACGACCAAAAGAGGGCAGTAAGGCTCGGTCAAATGACGCCACAGAACCGTACGACTCTACTACTGCCATAGGAGGCGGTTTCAAAAGTGCACATCATTGGGCTGTTTCCACGACCACTACTGCTTTTGATGCTCCCACCACCTATCGTGTTGGAGGCTTCGACAGCCACGGGAAAAATCAAAGATGCATGAAGGGGGCGACTGCAGACGCTCTCTCTACTCGCTAGTCTCAGATCAGACGGGCAAGCTTCTCGCTAGAGATGCAGCTATGGATCCCTGTGGCTGCTGTGTGTCAGTACGCCAAGCTTGCGCGTCAACAGACGCTTTTTGGCTCTGGTTTGACAGTATATGGGGACGGTGACATTTCGGAGCTCTTTCCGCTGGGCGGTCAAATGGTACGGCTCTCGTTCAGCAATCCAATAGACAGGGGACCTTGCTGGTGCAGAAGGCTACCCATGATGTCAGGAATTTTGTCCATGGCGGAGACGTGCTCAAATATCCCACTTTTACTCTTCCATGTTGAGTCTAGTGAGGATCTTTATTCTCTCGGGTGCACAGCCTTGTGTTGGTGCTTCCCCTCTCGCCGACCACACATGTAGGCACACCGGGCGGCCCTGTTGACAAGGAGACGTGTACACAAAAATAGTTGTTTGCCGCCGGCAAAACATCTGCAACGACAAAGGAGGGAAATACTGCTACGCGGCCGTCGATGTTATCGTGGAAAGCGGTTAAAGGGCAAAAACAACCGCATGCCTCCCCAAAGTTTACCCTCCACTGGATACATACGTCGTGGTTGGCCCCCCTCTCCGGGCGTGAAAACTTCCGGAGCCGACTCATGGGAACCTTTGGCCCAACTTCGGCTGTCGCTTTATTCGCTAGCTCGTTCGTTATGCACGACCCGTGTAAGGGCCAGCACGGTGCAGATGCCAGCAGCCACCAACAGTGCTTGTTCATTCACAATTTACTGAGGCTGTTCCAATGAACGACGCTGATCAGCATAAAACCTTGCTCATTAAGGCATGGCGCTTATTCTACCAGTAACTTATGCAACTTTCTTGGCCCCCTTCCAAGGCCCTTGTGCATCACAACGTAGTGGCTGCGCCAGGCGACAAGCTACAGCGCCGTCCTGGCAGCCTTACAGCCAATCGTTGGCCATTGCGACCCTCTCTTAGAAGGTGAACCAGCGCAGTTGGAAGGTCACCAACTGTCTGCGGCGCAAGCGAGCTGAAATACAGAAAAGAGACAAAAAAAGAAAGACAGCAGACATACCGAAATCCTTCTCGATTTCGGCTCTCCCTGTTGGCTGCCTGTTGGTTGCTGGTGGTGGGGTTGTGCAGTCGAACCAACGAATTGGTAGCAAATCATATCGACAAAGTCGTCGGCGAAAAGCTCGCCATAGCTCCCCAAGATCCCTACTGGTGGCGCCAGCAACACTAACCGGGTACTGCGGCCTGTGCGTTTACTAGTGTGTGTGTGTGTGTGTGTTGGCAAAACCAAGATGTCGGGTCGGATGTCTACAAGTGACTGGATGGCTAGGTCTTAGCGCGACGAGACATATATCCATATCGAGACGAACATCCGCTCCTAGGCACAAACATGGAACCCAGGAGGGGACCCGAGCACTCCTGAGCCGCCCAGCATGAACCTCGCGGGCGCTTAGAGGCTCAGTCAGTCAGTGCGATTCGAGGGGGGATCTGCCTGCCTGCCTGCTCGGTCAAGCAACCCAGCCCAGCCTGGTCGGAGATGCGACAATTATGCGACAGGCTACGGAGGCTCCGGCCGTCGCCATCGTGCGCCACGAGATTGCAAAGCCTTAGCCTGGGCAAAGGACGACAGAGCCTTGCTTTCCGCAGTTGCCTGTTTGCTATTAGCTTGCTTGCTTGCTCCGCCCTGGAGCATACTGCGGGTTGCCGCTCAGGCCTAGCCCACTCAGGAACATACACACAATCTCTCTCCAAAATCGTGGATAGCGTGGAATGAGTGCATAAACGCTCCTCTGCATTAGCTGCTGCTCTACTCAGCCCCCCATGTGATGTGATGTGGGTGGTGTGGGAAGAGGGGGCGGGTTGGCGTCAACGCACCGCGCCAACAGCATGTCACAGAGGCCGAAGCAAATGTCGCCCGGCGTCGTCCCTCCCACTTACCTGACTGACGGCCGCCGATGGCGAAGGCTGTACCTGGCGATGGACAGTGCTGCTGCACGTTGCATGGTTACATTTGGTCTCAGACTCTTGTTTGACAAGTGGCCGGCCAGGGGCGGCAGCAGCCCAACCGTGCATGTCGGAGACAGTCCGGAAGGGTTGGTTGTCCGGCGATTGGATACATATGAATCGCTTTGGACAGAGAGATGACAGGAAGACATGAGAGAAAGTATAGTCCATTGACAAGAGGGAAAGCCATCCCGAGTAATATATAAAAGTGAAGAAGTAAAGATCCCAGAGAAACACAACGCCAACGAGCAAAGAGTGACTGAACAGCAACTGTTCCAAGTCAAGCCAAAATAAAGACAGACAAAAAAAGACATATTTTCCCCCGCCGTTTTCGTATCCTATTTTCCATACCTCGAAAAGCAATAGTTATAAAAAAAGAAGAACCTGTATTGAGTGTATGCTGGTTCATTCCCCCAAGCACACGTATTATAATGTAATAAAAAAAGGCGAAGAGTGGTGAAGACGTGGCGATGATGATACTGGATAGCCAAGCGGTCCTAGGTTATGGGCGCTTAGGCGTAGGCGCAAGGATAGGCGTGTTGGTGTTACTGCTGCTGCTAGCTGTGCCGTTGGCAGTATCCTGCTGCTCGTCGCTCTCGGAGTCGTCGTCGCTCAGGTTTCGGTCACGAACCATGCGTCTATTCTTGGTCATCTAGATTGCGCAAGTCAGTTAGTCATTCATACACACGTAAATCAAAGGGGAAACGTACCCAGGTGCGGACACCGCCGACAAGGCCGACAGCGTAGCCAGTGATGAACTCCTTGGAGTTGGGCCCGTGGATGCTGCCGGAGCCGGTAGGCGAGCGCGCCGGATCGCTCGTAGAGCTGTGGAAGCGCGCAGGACTCTGGGGCCGACTGGCCGGCCAGAACTGGCGCAGCTCGCGGCTGAGCTCCTGGCCCGTGGTGGTCCAGTTGTTGGTGATGTTATCGCGCAGCTCCTGGACGTGGCGCTTGAGGTCGAGTTCGTTCTTCTTGAGCCAGCTGACGTTGAGCTCCTGGCGGGACGTGCCGCGCTCGAACTGACGGGCAATGTACTTTTCATAGTCTCGGACGATTCTGCACACACACACTCGTTGTTAGAAACCAAATGACTCCCAGCGTACCGTGCAGGGTCTTACACCCTTGCTTGCTTAACTTACCTGGTAATAAGGCCCGTTGTGCTGACGCCCTCGGTGCGTTGTGTGACTAGGAACTTGCCAGCCGCCTTGATGGGTTGGTAAATGTCGTCGCCCTCGTCGGCGCCGTACGGGATGTCGTCGTGGGCAACGTAGTCGAGGCGGTTGGCTTCGAGGAACTCGGGGGTCACGATCCACGGGCAGTCCTCAATGACCTCGTCAACCCACTTGCAGTGGCGGATGGACTCGGCGCGCTCCTTGGCCGACATGACGGTTAGACCCTTGCGGAGATGGGTCTCGGCGTCGCCTGTGACGCCGACAATCAGGGTGGTGTTGGGGAAGGCCTTTTTGGCCTGCTCGAGCTGGCGCATGTGTCTACAACATGGACGTGTCAGTTAGTTCGTTGCTATGCCAGCTGCAGCAGAGTCGGTCGACGTACCCGAGATGGAAAAGGTCAAAGACGCCATCGGCATACACACGGACTGCGCGGCCAACGGGAGGAGGGTTCGTCTTGTAGCCGCCAGCAGGGTGCGTGAGCTGGCCTAGGGGCGGCGGCACCATGCTGGAGCCATTGAGGGCTTCGGGCTTAGTTTCGACATTGAGCTTGGGATCTAGAGAGACAATATCCAAGTTAGCGCCTCCGTTATTCGTCCTTTTTGGTGTTTAGATGTAGCGAACCTCCGCGTTGTCTCTTAGTATTGGAGCGCGAGCTGTCATCGTCGTCTTCCGACTGCGCCAGGTTATCAATTGTCTCGGCGACAGCCTCGACCTCGGCCTGAGCATCGGCATCGAGACGCTTGCGCTTTCCGGCTTGCACTTGAGCAGCGGGCGAAGTCATTGTGGCGGGCTGCTTGGTTGGTTGTGTAGTTGGCAGAGTAAAAGGACGAGGTGTTTTGCGCAGATGACGTCAAACTAGAAAAGGGGGGCCGTCTCTGTAAAGTGGTCGGCGCGTCACTGGGCGAGATTTTGTATGCAGACGCCAGCAACCAGAAGCAAATAAAAATCAAAGAGGGACGCTCTACCACTGGCAGTGAATTGCGCTTTTTGGTCAGTGTTGCTGCTGCTGCAAAGAAAATACCAGCTGCTGAACGAGGGCGGGTGCGTGCTCTGCAGGTTTTGTCACTTTTTCGGGGCCGCCCTGCTTCGTGTTGTGGCGGCCGCTGTTGAAGCCAAGCTTCTAGTGGTGCATGCGCTTGGAAATTTACCAGTACAGCGCATATGCATGCACACCACACACACGTGAGCCCATTCACCCGCTATATGGGACGATGACATATAACTTGGTTATTATCTTTTTATATCTTTTTATATAGCATTCACTTTTGTTCTTTTATTTCATTGTCACTGCTACTGCTCCCAATGGATATAAACCGAGCTGCAAATACACTCCTGCGAGAAATAGCAGCCTCGCAGATCCCATCCATCCCACTAACTATGAAGTACAGTAACAAAAGGTCCTGTCCGCAAAACAAAGGGGCACATATCCACCGTCGCAATCTTTTAAAATGGGGGAAGAAACACAGTCTGGCCTTATTCACTCTGCGTCTCCGCCGTTCCCCTTGCGAAATCTGGGTCGCTGCACATGGATTCCCCAACATTGTTGGGCATTCCGCCTATCCCTTAATCACATGTAAACGATGGCCTTCTCAACACTTTCGGCCTTTGCTGGAGCTGCAATTCGTTTTCTCTCTAAAAAAAAAAAAACTTGTCCATTCTCTGTGCAAGAGCTAACAATGGAGGCTAGCTAACAGAGATGATAATATTCTTCGTAGCCCTGGTCTGCGGCCGCAGAGCCCAGGGAAATTAAAACGGCGGCGCGCCCACGTCGCGTGTCCACTACCTGAATCGAGCTTCCCATGTCTTGAACACCATCCTAACGCTACTGTTAGCTGGCTAGCGCCATCTGAAGCTAGCTAACATAGTCATGTGTCTGTCTGTCGACGAAATAACGTAGCAGCCACATCCACATCAGGCAGGATCGGCTGGCATTTCCACGGGATCCTTATTCACAGAAATGTGTGACGCCCTCCAGTAGCCCGACGGCGCCTTGGAGCTGCGCTGGACAGACAGCTCAGCTGGCGCAGCTTGTGCTGAGAGCTCAACCCGGTCCCGATTCTCCAGCTCAATAGAGCCTAGCAGAGCAGGGGCGTCGTCTGGTGTACTGCCCTGGTCCTTTTCGGAAGCAAAGGCGTTTCTGTTTCGTCTGCGGATATAGCGCCGGGAGTAGAGAAACCCAATGACAAGGAAGCTTATAGCAAAGAAGATGCCTACCGCCACGCCAGCTACTGCGCCGTCGCTTAGGTTTATAATCGACTTGGATGATGATGTTGAACTTGATGTTTCTGCTGGTGACGAGTCTGTTGAGGTGACTGTCCATGTAACAACCGCCACGCTCCCAGGCGTAGTTGAGCTTGAAGGCAGTCTTGTAGGCATCGTCGGCGGCGGCAGCGGGCCAGTAACATGTTGGAGGTCTTGTTCGCGCCAGCGAATCTCAAATGCCGGTGCTGAGAGGACGATGCTGCCGTATTTTGAAACCGCGTACTTTTGATCTTTTGTCTGGTCGTTGCATTCATAGCCCCTATCGCTGTTAGTGCCGGAACCGTATGCGTAAAGCTTTGTTATCTTACGATGGTATACAACGAACGACTGTTTCCCCGGACTGAATGGGATACTCGCTTTTGGCAACCCTTGTTTGCGTACATTGTGCCTGGTATCCTACGAAGCAGACGCCGGGTGAGTAGAATCCTCCGCTTGCCCACATCTCCACGCCCCCGGGGACTCGACAGTTGGAAAAGTCGTCTGTAAGAATCGGAGCCGGGCAGTTGATTCCTTGCACGGTCATGGGTATCGTCGGGATCTTGGTGGTTGTGCTCTCTGTCACTATGCTCGTGGCAGCAGGAGTAGCCCTGGCCGCCACCATCTGCCTTGCTTGAGCCATGAACAGTTCCAAAGATACTTCAAAGAGCAATATATATAAATAACAGTTGGTCTGATTGCTTAAAATCAAATCGTAGAGGTTTACTGTAGCAGTGTTGTATTTGGTCCGTTTGCTCAGAGAGCCTGACAGTTTGCCAGCTGGTCACCAAAACTTCAGGTCAGTTCGGTCTGTATCTTCTACGCACGATTCAAACACGGCTTTACAACAACAAATACACTAGAAACTTCACGGTGAAACCCAAGGCACTACTGGACCTCTCAAACTGGGGAGCTGGGTTTATTGGCTTGTCCATCTGTATACAACAATGAAACACTTCCAACCCCTAACGTTGGTAACACACAGCGCGGTGCAACACTTCAACTCAGCGTATCGCCATACTTTTATTGCTTTTCCTGTTCTTCATAAATTCGTTACTATTAATCGTGATTAATCCACATCATCCGTGCTAGTCTCGTGCGGCGGTGTGCCCAGCTCCTCTCTCGCCTTCTTCAGCGCCTCCTCCTCATCATGCTCCTCATGTTCAACAGCACCAACACTCTCCGCAATACGCTGCTCAGCACCCTCCTTAATCGACCCATTTTCGTTGATATCCTCCTTCAAGAACAGCGTAAACACAATCACCATGTACACCTCCTCTGTCGACTTATTCCGCAACACATATCTAAGCCTGTGTGAGCGCCTGTCTGACCTGGAAACAAACAAAACAAATGAGAAACTGTGCTTCATCTAGGTTGTACAAAAGAAACATCCACCGCTAAAGAAAGGGGAATAGAATCACGTACCTAACGGGCTGGCCGTCCCAGTAGCTCGCAAGAGACAACTGGAACCCAGGCAGCTTAAGAGCCAACTTGGCAAAGTCAATGTATGGGTTGAAAAAGTCGAATCCGTACGTCTTGCCATACTCAAACGTCCACTTCTCCTTATTGGCGTCCGTCAACGCCCACTTCATTCTGGCTTTACCTGTGACGGGCATGCCGACCTCGTCACGCGCCTTTTGGCCTTCTTCGTCGCCACCCTCTTCGAACCAGAGGCCGCCCTTTTCCTTGTCGAGTTCGCCCTGTCCGACATGCATGACGTTGAACGAGCTTAGCGCCGGGCCGTACAGGTAGGGTTTATCTGCATAGGCGTCGCCGTCCAGTCCAGGATCGATCCACCACTTGACGATGCTCAGTGCCGTGTTGAAGCCGGGCGGCAGTCTATCGCGGATCGGCCGGTCAAAGTCGTTTCCAAACTGGAGATCGTTTCCGTTGATGCCCGCATCGTCGGCGCCGGCAGAGGCGGACTTGTGCGGGGTGAAGCGGAGCGAAATGCTGTACTGGTCCTGGTTGTAGGCATGGGGTTCGGTAGAAAAGTACGGCGATGTGTCGGGCGAGTTAATGGGCAGTCCATTGTAGCCCTGTATTCTTACGTTGAGCTCAATATCGCCTTTGTCGCCTTTGATAGAGATGGGATCGACGCTGTTGATGGGCACGACGACATGGTCCGACTCGTCGTAGCTGGAGCCCGCCGAGATGCGGAGGACGTACTTTTCCGACATGTTTTGTTCTTGTTTCTTCGACAAAGGCCTGTAAGTCGTCTGATGTGCGAATCTAAGTCCAACAATGCTCGCGAGCGTAAATCTGGGAATTTTGTCAATGACGTGCAGCACCGCTGTGGGCCGTTTGTTGGGGCGCTTGCGGCTTAAACCGGGACGCGACTACTTACCCTGAACGTCACCATGGCATGTGACAAAAGATGAGACACTGTAACTAGGGAATTATTAAGAATATATGGTGCTGTTATTATTGATTTTCGCTAAACTACACTCGCTCTAAATAGCACAAAACAAAAGCTTAGTCCAGCGTCATATATAGCCGCATAATTGCTTCATCGTCAATCCGACCAATGCAAGTCGGCTTCCAGTCCCACATCCCACAACCACTGTCGGAACTATTGGGAGACGATGTCTCGTCCTTAGCGTCCTTAGCAAATGTATCTATTGGCCCAATAATTCCGTGCACTTCAGGAGAGTCGTATATATATATATTGTCGCCGCCATGGGCATCGTCGCCGGAGTGGCTCGAGTCGTCTTTGCAACGACAACTCCACGTACCAAGACTCTGCAATGCTTCCGTCAGGTCTGGGACAGAATAGGATACGGGCTGAGCAGGGTAACAATTAACAAAGGGATCTGTTGTGATTGCCAGCTCATATGCATGCGGCTTCTCGTATACATATTTCTCTGGGCCAACGTAACTGCCTTGTTGTATAAAGTACTCATCGGGGCTGATGGAGACTAAGTCTGACTCAATAGTGAGACCATGGAACTTGTCCCAGATGTGTAACGGTACAGATTTGAGTTGTTTTGCTATTGTTGAAGGTAACCAACGACTGTTTAGAAGAGGGTCCTTTGCTGGTGTGCACAGGATCCCATCGCCAGCTATGCTACCCGCAATCTCGCCATCCGAGACGTATAGTTCTTGCGCGATACACGAGCAAGGTATCTTAATTGTGGCCCGTAATTCGTAGGTCAACCGAGCAAGAAAATACTTGGTGTTGCAGCGAGGACAGTCGGCAAAGACTTTGGCACCCTTAACGTCGGGAAGAATCCACCTCATTTGGTCCGCATCAAGCTCTTTTGCTAGCGACAGCTCTGGCCATTTGATTGCATGAGAGCAGTTTCCAGTTATCCCCTAGCGTCTTGTAATCAAGATCCCACAATCGGGAACAGGGCAGACTGTCTTGGCATAGTTGAGGGCACAACTGTAGCCGGCAAAGTGTCCACAGGGCAGCACCTTGGCAACGTGTTGTTCGTCGTCCTCAGCAGTGTCCGCAGTCAATAGAGGGTTATCACTCGGTGTACAGCCTTTGAGGGAATTTTGACAAAAAGCACAAATAATTTCGACGTCGTAATGAGAGGTGGGTAATTCGGGTTTTAGATCTTGATATCTTGTGATCCGACGGCGGCAAGCGCTGGGTTCAGGACAGCAGGAGGGCGAAGATGTCGCAGACATTGTAATTTTGATGAACGAAAGTGATGTAAAATAAAATGAGAGTCTATTTTGATTAAGTGGTGGATGATGATATGTGATGAAGTTTATGAGGTTGATGAAGGGGCTAGAAGGTAGGCGAGAGTATAAGGTAGAAGTTGTTGCTGACGAGGCAGGCAGCTTCCTGCTTCTCGAATGAGTCGCTTTGCCCCCAGCTTGTAACACCTTTAGGAATTGTGGAACATTTGGCCGAATAAATGGAACGTAGGAAAGACGATAAATTGTTTCAGATAGCAGTTGAATAAGAGACAGCTGAATCTTAAAAAGTTATGCATCCCAACACTATACGGACGCTCATGATCAGTGGAAAGTTCACGGTTGTGGTGCACCCGGATTTGGCTGGGGCAGAATATTTTCTGGCCTAGCCATGTATATCAAAGGTCAAAGTCAAACTGACTTGGTTTTTGGCTCCCGAATGATGCATGTATACACATATGTGCCACCATTCTTGGTGGGCATAGTGATACTGTCTACCTCCTGGAAGCCAAACTTTTTGTACACTGGTAAACCGTTGGGATTTCCCTCTGTATAGCATACTAAACCTCGCTCGTCAGCAAAATCCGTCATCTTCTTGAGCATCAAGCTAGCAGCTGCACGGCCCTGATGCTCCGGCGTCGTGCCCATCATGGATAGCCCTAGAGCGACTTGTCAGCGACATAACGTTACTTGGGCAATGGGTGATCTTACGAAGAGTAGGTCGGTCGCCGGCATATTTTTCAATGGCAGCTGTACACTGTTTAGAGAATTCTATGGCGAGTGGATCGTCCAGTCCTTCGGGAGTGCTCGGCGGCGAAGCAACAAAACCAGTTGGGGACCCTATAACACGAGAAACGAGTAAGTAGGCTATTAAGAGAATAATGAAATCTGCGTGAGAGGCCTACCTGTTTGACCAGGCAATGTACTCCTTGCATCTGTATTGCGAAATGTCCATTTCGAGTAGCTGACAGGTAGGCCTATCTCGTCATCCACCACAATACACTTGGCTTATTTATATCCAATCTGTTATAGGTGAATAGTTTGTTCTACTGAATATACATTTAATTAATCCGTTTATACTAATTTATATACTATTATTTGTGTAAAATAAAGTAGCCCATCTGAGTTAGATTGAACCACAGCCCCAACAACAAAGGTCCAAGCGTATCGAGTGCAGGAAAAGCGTGGCGCACCACGTGTATCCAGTCTGCTCTTAGCTTGTTTGCTTTTTGATTGTATAATGTGTTGGTGGCTGTTTGCATTAGCGTGATATAAGTGCAATTGCAGGATTATATCGCGTAATAAGGTTTACCCAATAGTTAACTTTAGAGGCGCATCTCATCCACCATTTTTGACCAGGTTATTCTTGTACCATTGCTCTTCTTCTCATACAAGTAACTGACTCGTTCCTAACGGCTCACACGCAGCGAAACAAACACAAGACATACAAGCAGCATCCCTATCTTATGCCCAGACATCGCCATGGCATCTTCTGGGCTTGCGTGTTCGAATGTTCTACACTCAAGGTCTACACGCCTCAGATCCCGCCCATACAATGATACAGCATTCAACTATTCAACAGTATAAAACCAACTCATTCCTTATTTTCTTTGGCCCCAACCATTTTCCCTTCTCACTATAAGTTGGTGTAAAAGCTCTGGCGCAAGCAGTGGGTAGTTCGGCCAGAGGGGGAAACCATCGCAGCCCCGCGACATTGCGTCACGTTCGCCAGGGTCCCCGCGGGCCGGCCGCCTTCTCCGCATACAACCATTAGCTTCCATAGTTTCACCACAACCCATCTTGCCATACAGCCCGCATCCCAATTAAATTTATTCACAACCTCAAAATGCCAGAAACGCCGCCTTCCCTTCTGCTGCTCCCAGCACCCCCGTCCCCAGCAACCTTCAGCGCCCTCCAAACAGCCTACCAGCCGCCGCTAACCTCGGTGCTCGGCAAGCTCCATGCACAGTCCCTCGAGACATCGTCCACCGCCAACCTCACCATTGCGGTCGCATATTCAGCTCTTGCCGGCAACAAGTACGCCCGCAAGAGGCATGTTAGATGGCAAAGCGCACAATCACTCCTCGCTGGCCTCTACTCTCTCGTATCAGCCATCTGCGCCGAAAAGGGCATCCTGTCATATACAGACGCGGGCGCCGGCGGCGTCGATGTCCGCATTGTCATAGTAGACCACGAAAAGGGAACCAAATATGAAAAGGGCTTTGACGGCAAATACCCAACCAATTCGACCTGCGTCCAGTCGCTAGCTACCTACGCTAGCACTGTGTACCCATGGGGCAACATATACCACCCAAGCTGCGAGGCGAGCTACGCCTTGCTATCCCACTTCTTGGCTATTGCTGAGACAAGGCAGACCATTAAGCAGAGCCAGATTATTGCCGTAGAGGGCGGTCTTCATCTTTCGACAGAGACAGCGTCGGCGTCTGATGACATCAGTAGCCTACCAGGCGACTATGGCGTCGTCTGCTTAGGCGGCACCTTTGACCATCTTCACCCAGGACATAAGCTTCTGTTGCACGCTGTTGCACTACTACTTCAGATTCCAGAAGCAGGAAAGAGCCCCGAACCTAGCGTTATTGTCATTGGTATCTCGGTGGACGACCTGCTCAAGAAGAAAAAGTACGCTGAGCAGTTAGAATCTTGGGACGTCCGCGCACTCAACGTCCTTCGATTTTTGGCTACTGTTTTGGGGTCCTCACCAACTACTGCTACAATAACCACCACTAAAAAGGATATTTCATCTGCAGAGCTTCATGCCTCGTTCCGGGACGGCACTGTTCTGGTCCGTTGCGTAGAGCTGCAAGATCCCTTTGGGCCTACAACTGAAGAAGAATCCATTGAGGCGATTGTAGTGTCTGGTGAGACAAGAAGTGGCGGCAGCGCTATCAATGATAGACGTACGGCAAAGGACTGGGCATCTTTGGCAGTTTACGAAATTGATGTGCTGGACGCTAGTGGTACAGTTGACGGCGATACACGCGCAACAGACAACTTTGCGTCAAAATTGAGCAGCACGGCAATTAGACAGCGAATCTTCGAATCAAATCAAAATAAGTAAATAGCAAACCAGTCCTAAGGGAAAGGGAAAAAAGAGATTTGAAAATATTGAATACTATGTACGCATCAAGGGTATATGTAAATGTATATGCAACCAAATATACAGAGAAAGAAACCAGAAAATGGCCAACAACAAACATCAAATCTGACCGCCAAAGCAGTCTGAAATCTGCCGGCATGTGAAAATGCGGTAATAAAACGAAGGAATACAACATAAAAATCAGCCTCAGCATGACGTCGTTATACTTTGAGTAAAGGATCGATATCAACTCTCTCATAGAAGCTGATATGTCCAAAATCTACCCAGTACTGAGCCAGCTTGTTTGGCGAAATCAAAATGAGCTGGCTCTCAATGTATTTATCTGCAAAAATGGTTAGCCGCTGTCCCAGTTGCTGTTGGTTTATTCATCAAAGCGCTTACCTCTGAGAAATCCTGTTCCGGCAATGTGCCCCTTGCTTTTAACAACCCGGGCACCCGCAAACACGGCATCAGTAGCGATTCCAACACACCCATTTGCTCCAAGATCCTCCACAACAAAAGTGTATTCACCTCTGGGGATGTTGGGATCTCCCGTTAGTTTGATTGCTTCCAACCGCCCTCGGTGTATACGACCGAGCTGTTGACGCTCTGCCCATTCCTTGTCCGTTTCGTAATCGTTGCGAGATAAGCCGAGTTCCTCATCAGTAGCAGGTGCATCATCCGGTTGATTTATCAAGAGGAATTCACACCCGTGGCCGCCATAGTCTCCAACCCAAATACCCCGCCAAGGCTTATTAGGTGTTGGCGTGTAGAGGACTGGATCGAGAGTCGAGTACGTAACAGTTTCCTCACCAATATGAACACTGACAGGGGCTTCGTTATCAAGCATAGAGTCAACGGTTGGCATGCCGGGCAGGCCCTGCGGCCGCATGTAGTGTGGTGGGACTGGACTGCCAGCAAGCTCCATCCATTGCCGAATTCGGAAGGTCTGGTCCGATACTTGGCTTCGCGATCGCGGTTTGTCGTCTTGGTTTAATGACACTAGTCCTTGGCCGGATCGTGCACCAGATACATGATGTCGAGCAGGAATGGCTGGTGGTGGCCACACTCTATCGTATGGGTAGTTGCCTGCCAGGCGTTCGTCGGCATCTGCCGATGCAAGAGGGCGGGTTAACTGAAAGTTGCTATACATTCCACGCATGCGCTCATCGAGAGCCATGGGCATCTCATCGGCGAAGCGGTTAGCACCGGGTCGCGATTTAAACGCCTCATTTGCCTCCTCTTCCTGCACGTGGAACTGCAGGATTGCCTTGTCCAAGTGTAGATTAATTTTTGGTTCAAATCCATGAATCACAACCTTATCATCTGCAGGCCAGTGCTCAAAGCTGTTTCCACTGCTCACAGCGAGCAGTTGGTAGCCTTCAATGCAGCCCCGACGTGGGTCGTAACGCACTACGATCAACCTTCCCATCAGATCACGATCGCAGAACCAAATTTTGTATTTCGGAAGAAACCACACGCGGTCATGCTTTGCATATAATTCCCGGAAGCTTGCACATGGTGATGGACTCGTAAGCCAGACACCAGGAATGTTCATTTGAACGAGGCGGTGCCAATGACCTTCCACAAGGGCGTGTTTTCGCAACGTCCAGCATGATGCTGATACTGCCAAGAGGTCGTAGGCAGATAGGTATGTCAGGATGCCATGAATAAGCTCAGATGGGAGAGAAAATAATGGTGTTAGGGTTGCAGATGCATGAGATTTAGGTGGCCAAGCCTCCACCTTGTCTCTGGAGGCAACAGTCAGGTCATCTAGCAAAATTTGGTCAGCCAATTTATGCGCAACAAAAGTACACCCTATAATACAGGGCAAATATCGACAAGTTGAGCCATTTGATTGGACAAGCTGTGAAAGTGAAGGCGAAGCAGGGAATCTTACCTTTCATTGGGTCAAACCACTTTTGATCCGCATGCGGACCTGGGACGTCAAAGGACACAGCAGGAATATCGCTATACCGTCTGCAACGGTCAGCACCAGAGGAAATATCAACGAGATAATCCAATGCCTCTTCATCAGAAAAGTCGTAGCGACCATATACGCTGGCCATTGTTTCGGCAAAAGTGCTGGTGTTGGATCCGGTAGCTAGGGCATCAGTGGGCGGCGAATCAGTGGCCTCTGTTGTAATGATGGGCACTGTTCTCGATGGAGGTGTCTCAGATGGAGATGCGTTGCCCGAATTCTCCTGCGACGACAGCACCGCCATACTTGTAGGAAAAGTGCCGGCCGCAATGGAGCCGATGCCACGCAGGGTTGATGAAGTTGGAAGGTCGAAAGCGATGCGCCTAGCAGCGACGTTTCGATGGGGCACACGGCCTAGGGTGGACCCTGGTGGTATACAGGGTCAAACTATCGTGAGATCTTTTGTGCGTTGCAGCCAGCATGCGCCCGGCTTTTGGGGATGCCTGCGATACACACCGGGTAAAACTGCCGTTTGGCTGCAGATGCGGCCGAGGAACCTCTGTTGTGCGAGATCCGAGACCCAGCAAACAGGCAAGCTGCCTTTTTCGTCTAGTGTCTGCAGGCTGACCGCGGTGGCGCGCGTTAATAAAAGAAACAAGCAAATCAATAACGCCAAGTAGCTGCAGGTTTCTGATTGATTGCTATTGCAGCAATGCGTCGGCCTGCGCTGGTGTTGACGATGCGAGGAAAAAACTTCCTGGTGGCAAAGGATCAACCGGGACAGTGTGGTTCCCTCGCGGAAGCGCTCCGATGTTGGCAGGTGCGCCAGGTGGTGGTTCCTGGCAGGTGGCAGCCAGTTGGCCCGACTGGCGAAAAAATTGGTTGGAGGGGCGCGAGCTTTGACAAAACGGATAAAGAACAAAGACGCAGCAGAGCAAGAGAGAAAGAAATCCGGAGCGACAAATTTTTATTAAGAGAAGCAGCTTCTGTATGTTCTTCGTTCTCACGAGCAATACCTTTTTCTGCGCTTGGTTTCCTTTTTTTTTTCTTTTTTGCTGATAGCAGGCTGGGAGCAACGAGCGTCTCTTTCCAACACCACGGCGATGGATGCGCTGACTGATCTTCAGTGATTTGAAATACTTAGCGGAAAAGGGGTATGGTCAACCCTGAGCTATGTGAGCTCTTAGATCAGGCTATCCCGTCTCTTGAGATGAGATGAGGTAAAATAAACGTCTCCTCCAGGTCGACGTGTATCGGGATATGGTGCTAAGGGCGTTTGGGCTGGCAACGTGCACTAGTTCTAGCACACGATGCGACACAACCTGCGAATGATTATGGCCAAGTGCCTATAACTGGGGGAGACTGGATGGGTCGAAGCTGTTAGCAATGCCGTAATGGGAATACAGGCTGACCAGGGAGGTCCGCGGCGATGTCTGCCAAATATGACGGGCTGCTTCGTTGCTGTGCGTAAGTGGTCTGCGAACGGGGCAAGGGCCGAGCAAACAGGTCATTATGTACCTCACAACGGAGGAAACCACCATGGCAATAAGGCGAAGCCAGGAAAGTCCATTCAGCCGTGGCCCCCAAGGTAGTGCAGCATACGCCTCTGTTGTGTTGGTTCCATTACCTCCCGGGCGCCCCACCGCGAAATAGGCAATGGCGCCGAGTCTACGACCATTTCAATTACCAATAGACTGCTTGTTCAATACTGGGAGAAAGGAGGCGCTATAGGTTGCCCACCTAGTGGCCATGGCTCAAAGTTGTGGCTAGCGTACTAATCTAGCCCGCTGGGGCTAACCCAAACGTCCGAGGGAGAAACTTCGCTGCTTCGGATGTAATTACGGAACCTTAGTTGGACCCGGTTGAGCAGGCCCTCACTGCCAACAATCCTGCAAGTCCGCCTAGAATGAAACGTATGCTACCGACATTGGAACCGTGGATCCTTGCATTTTTGACATGCAGCAGCTTTCGAAGCGCGGCCCTTTTGCGCCAGACATCCCTGGCCAAGTGACGGTGCGGACTTGAACAATATCTGCTCCGAATCATTATCGACTGGAGCAATTGTTTTCTGTACTTTCTATTACGCTAACGCAGGATTTGCCCACCTCCCTGTTCCCTATAGGACCAACGCGCAACCTTTGCTAATGGCGCCCACAGGGGGGTCTATCTTGGCAAACATCAGTGCGCACGGCTGGCAATTGAGGTATTCGATGCTAATAGGACGGGCATGGTGCATAACATAAGGATACCTGCCCAAAACGGATATCTGGCGACCGCGACTCGATTGCTTGAGAAAGATGTTACACAATCAATTTCGAGAGGAGTTGGGTCGGCCCTACAAATACCTTATTGCTACTTGCGTTATCCCCTGCCATTCTATATTTAGACCAACCAGCTTCCTCTTTGGGCTGGATCTTGCGCTAGCTTCTCGCACGTAAAGACCCAGGTTCTGTAGCTGTGGTTTGCGCCGCCCACTCAATGGCACCGTGGAGCCAGCCCGATGTGACGGAGCTGACCGGCCACACTTTGTTGCTTGTGTTTGGTATCCCTTTCTCCCCGATGAACCCGGACCAGATCAATGTGACAGTGCAGTGGAGGACGAAATGTAGGGGCTGCATTTTGTCGCCCACTAGCAGACACAGGTAGTGCAAAATGGCGATCCAGGCACTTTTTCTTTTGACGGTATTTCAACGAGACTGAGAGCCTCGTTTACGGGGACAAAAAGTCCCTTGTCCCTCCCTTGTTGGCTTGGTATTTTTTTGTCACTCGCAGCTTGCCACCGGAGACCTGGATTTCGTACAGCCTCGGGTAGGCCGTTTCGGCCACAAACGTGTGGCCGAACAAGCTCAACGCAGCGGCGCTGATGGCCTTGTGGTCTTTGGAAGCACGACGTCATTCGCCCCCTCAGCGCCTCAACAGCACCAAGGGGACCGTACGCCCAGAGTTTATGTGGCCTACGAGCTAGAAGTTCCCCAGACCGCGAGATTGTAACCACACCAACTTGGCACGTCATTTTTGCTTTACGAGACCGCGCTCCTTCGGCAGTTGAGGGCAAAGAAACTGAGCGACTGGTTCGTGTGCTCCCTGGATTACAAGCACAGGCTAAAATGGCAATTCAGAGGATAAGCGGGATATGGGATACTACAAGCATGGTTTCGCCCTAGCATAAGCGTTCTGGAAGCTAGAAGGGTGAGGCGGACAAACCTCCGCCGTCAGTTCTGCGGACTAAGTTACCCCACAAGCTGACATTTCCCAAACGTTGCAGAACCCCAATTGGCCAACTTTGTTATCTTTGAAGTCTGGGGGTGGCGCACGCGTGGTGCACCCTGCAGCATTCTATTGTCTTGGAATTTTGCTAGTCGAATTACTCGTGGCGATATCGGATATCCAGCAGTTTGGCTAGCAACTCAATCGCGGGTTATTGGCCAAAAAATGGCTTCATTCATTCCTATCATCTCGGAGATTCTGCCGATGATCATGCCCGCTTCCACGCGGGTAACATCTGCAGATGAGGTATCACGAGCAGAGGCAACAAGTGATGATGCGGTCATTGAACAAGCCGCTGTAGTTGATCAATGCGACAGCATGTGCGCGTCTGGTACGTTGACTCTTAGCCTGCGAGATACGCTGATCCGGGGAGCGCGACGGACGCAACTGCCGTTGACCCCATGTTTCGTCTTCCCGAAACTCGGCAAAGGTGTCCCCATACAGAAGGTGACGACAGATTTGTAACTATTTTAAGCAGTCCTTACCACGCGACCCAAATGCAGTTCGTCGATACGTCACAATAGTGAACAAGGTATGTTCTACCTTATTTCCTTATCCTCCTTCCCATCCGAGCATAGATGGGCTAGCGGGCAATTGCGTGATTAGGTCTGGTGAGCAAAACAATAGTATTAATTGGACATGCACTTCTTCTATAGATGCTATAATCTATGCTGTCTCCGGTACCGGTGTATTGATCGTCAAGGAGGGATTCGATGATACATTGAAGCGACATACGATCAAGCCGGGCGGATTCGCCTTTATTCCCGCCTGGACGGAGCACAGAATAGAAAACGAATCCGACGTTGATGTCGTATGGGTTGTGACGAAGAGCGGTCCTCGTCCTGTAGGCGCTGTTCTTCAGGATTGGGGAGGTGATGAGGTGCTTGAGGCGAAGAAGGCGTAGTAGTAAAGTGGTGGTGGCCGTGCATACTGTAGTATATTCAATGCTCTAGAACTACTCTATTTGTGCCACACGCTCACGAAATGCGCCCTCCTGATCGTCTATTAAGCCTTCAATAATGCGCCTGTAATCTATAGCACTATCAAACACCTGCGCGTGATCAAGTCGGGGAAACGTCAAAACTGTAACTTCTGACGATGCACCAGTAGCCAGCTCCGGTGCTTCACCTGATCTCTGGGCCAAATACTGCGCTGCTGCCAAGGGATCTAGAATAATGTCACGACCAGCCAGACAGACGGTCACCTTCCTTTCCAAGACTGGGAAATTGTCGGCGGAGCTGGCAACTAGCTCTTCTTTCCAAGCAATATTCTCGCGCCAGAAGAAGTGTCTGCCGAGGCAGTTGGCCACCACGGGATCCGTGCTGGCAAAGTACCATAGCTGCCACTCATTTGCTAAGCGAGGCGTGCGGCGCGTGAAGTTGTACGCAATCGTCGGCAGATGTAGCATAACGCTGACCGGGTCAACCAGCATCACTGAGCGGACCTGCTGTTGCAGAACATGGTCGCTCAGCAATTGCGATGTTACAACCGAGCCGTATGAGTGCGATGCTATAGTAAACTCCCGCCAGTTGTGATGTTTGAGGATAGTGCTGATTTGTGCGACGAGATCATCCTTGCGCGGCATCGGCTGCGTTAAGCGGAAGGATATAGGAAGAAGCTCAATAGCAATGATACCGATATTGCCCTCGCTATTTAGTTGAGCTTTTCGTAGGTCTGCCAAAAAGTGTATATACGTCAACAGACCGATGCCGATTCCGTGGATGAAGAGCACTGGTAGTTGCTCGGTGCTTGTCTGTTCGCTAAACCAGTAACCAAGTCTAGCAGCAGGTGACTCGTGTTGCTTCCATGCCAGTTCCTGTAGTCTAGGAGGAAATGTTTTGATCGCATGCTGTGTCTGGCGCGAATAATATTGGAACCCGCTGAAGCGCATGGCGAGATGTGTAAAAGCGTCGACCCAGAAGATTATGATATACCACATCAAACCTCGGTACGTAGAGTGTATAGGGTCTATAGTCAATCGCAGACTTTTTGCTGGTCCTTTCCCAATAGCAAACTTATAATCGAGTCGTGTTTCTATAATTTCGATGTACTCGTCTACTTCGTCGTCTATATCGTCATCGAGTCCTGCCGGGATATCGTCATGTTCGAAAAACGCCCAGAGGATAAACTCCCGAACATTGTCGCGTCTAATATTGGTGATTTCCGCACCAAGGAACCAGCCTTGAATATAGGATTCTAGATTCGGGACATTATCGAAGCATTTGTGGAAGAGCGCTCGGCGCGCATTTCGAGAGAGTGGTTCCGGGTGGACAGCGGCATCGCTGAGTCGCCGTGTTGCTGGCCAGTATATGCATACTGCGAACACTAGCTCCGCGATTATGAGCGCAATAATAGACGACGTGACAATATGGTCTCGCGCTTTGTTGCCGTATCGTAGGTACTGGCCGCCGAGGAAGATGGTGTAGACGACAACGGGGTATCGCAGGACGAGGATCGAGAGGCGGATGAACGCCCACTCGCCAAAGGATGTACCGATCATGCCATGCGGTTGCTGCTCTGGCGGGGTTTGTATATGTAGAATAGTGAAAATTAGACGACGGAGAGATGTTGCCCGTCGTGATGAAGCTGCGCGAGCGCCTGACAAACATTGGGTGTCGGTGAGGACAGCGCGTCACGCGGATCGTCGCTCGTGATGACGTGCAGCCATGTTTTAGGTTTTTTTTGGCAGCGAAGGCGATGTGTATGGCAGGCTAGTATGAGGAAGAAAAATATAGCGAAATATTTTACGCAATTAGACGAAGTTGACGATTTTTGAAGAATGCCATTAGTCTGTAGATATGGCCATGGTGGACTGTATTGTAGTGCTGCACAGTAAAGCGTGGACAGGTATTTGTACAAAGTGGAATGACATCACAGCAACATGTATACGTAAAAAAAAATAAAGATAAAATCATCAAGTAACTGATAGAAGCTTTATAAGCGAGGTCATCTCATGTTAATAAAACAGAAAGTCTGGCAGTTACAGCACAGGTGCATCACGCTGCTCAAAGTGTGGATGACTGACTGGTGCTCTGTTGCTGTTGGTTGGTTATACGTGCAGTCGAATACACAACTGGAGAAAAGACAACAGAAGCAAAGACTTTAAAATTCTAGAAGTAATACAATCCTATTTTCTCAGCCTTACCGAGAGAATTAGAGCCACCTGCCCCTCCAAAAAAAAAAGCAACGGGAGCCGTTTTTTGCCTTTTGGCCCTCTGTGCCTCCTGTAAGTTAGTGGTCTTGGGTGGATTGCGCATTGCAAGGTATCGATCACGCAATCGCAAGCTCGAGCGGGGATTGGCTGAGAGGCCGCTGCCAAAGGCTCAAGACAGGCACGGTGGATCTTTCGGTAGACGGGCCGGTGCAAAGAGCTGTATCAGATCGATCTAATGAACCGTTTTATCGTGGAGAGGCGTATTTACTTTCAACTTCACTTGTGATGTCTTTTATTCCGTCGCTTTGCTGCTGCTGGCCTCTTTGTTGGCTCATCAGGATGCCTGCAGCCTCTGTCGGCGGGCTCCGCTCAGGCCTCAGGCTGAGAATTTTTCGCAGCTCTGCCCCCACGGCCGTCATCGGCACAAGCTGGCCAGTCTCGGCTAATGTTGGCACTGTCTGGACAGGGACAAGCGATCGGTGTTGATGGTGCGAGTTTTCAGTTAACAAACAGTGAACATAAATATTTATTTTTGTATGCTGTGATTGCTGAGAAAAGCAGCTTCTTTTTGAATATAATCATTCCGTTTATTTTGTTTAGTCGTGTCTGTGTTTTGGACAATGAAAGCAGAGCACTCCAAGTCACTCGTCCTCCTCATCGTACCGTGTGCCCCAATACGTCATCTATTTGCTTCGTCGCCAGGAACCAGCTGGCAGCAGCTGGCGGGCAGCTGGCAAAATATACAGTAAGAGATACAATAGTGTGCAAAAACAATAAATTCTTCCTCTTTTCTTACATCACACCTTTCCTCTGCCACCTTTGTGGTCTTCTTTCCATCTTCATCTCCTCAACAGGCGGTACTGTGGTATCAAGCCACCTCGAAAACATAATACGGAATTACAGCGAACCCCCCACTTCTTGTCCACTCCTCAGGGTTACTCTGGCCAATTAACCTTACTTGTCTGCGCCAAAGTGTTCCATTACCCGTTTCCGCTGGGGCAAACTATGGTAGTGATTATTGCTTCGGCCCAATCAGACAGCTCTCGCCCTCGTCTTACGAGAGGCCAAGGACTGATCATATGGGCTGCGCCCTCAACCAAATTCTTATGCCGGTACTTTCAAGGCTCACGTGTATTGCGTACTACAACAGGTACTCTTTGCTTTCTCGCTTAAGCGTGCTATTACCAAAACACAGACCCCTGCCGCCTTGTTTGCAAGCATCTTCAGCTATTCCGCTCCTCTCCTCTTTTGCTCCTCATCCCCCTCTTTCGTGCTGCGTCTTTTCCATCCTAAACATTGTTTTTACTTGCGCCTTGGAGTTGTGCTTCACCTTCTCGCCTTCACCCGATGCGTCTGCCGTAAGGAATCAACGACGCGTACACTCACTTAGTATACAACATGAGTACACCTACGCCTTTTCGTTTGCTCTGCCGAGCAGTGCCCAAGAAAACGTGTGTTCGACCAGCTCAGTGCCCATCCGCGCGCCAGGCTCTGCATACTTTCAAAACCAACTTCACCTCATCAGTACCTAAAACACCTAAAGCCAGAACCCGATTCCCTTTCCACAACGCCCTATTAGTTGGTGCCGGTATTGGGTCATTCTGTATCGGAATATCATTATCTCCCCAGGCTTCCTTCGATGCACCTAGCGTACTATTCCCATTTAACGGCGTCTTCAGAGAGACAGAGGAGGTGCGAAAGCTCGCTGATAACCGGGATCACGCACTTCCTCGGTTCCGTCTATCAGAAGTCAAAGAACACGATGGTAAATCGAAACACCCATGGGTGACTCGAGGAGATAAAGTATACGATATTACCGACTGGGTGGCTGCCCATCCTGGAGGAAAGATTATACTGACTGCCGCTGGTGGCTCCATTGACCGATACTGGGACCTCTTCGCCATCCACAAGCAACAATATGTTTATGATATTCTTGAGCAATACCTCATTGGATATGTTCACTCAGCAGATCTCATCGATGGCAAGCCCCCACAGGATGCTATCGAGGACCCTTTTGCACAGGACCCAGAACGAAACCCTGCATTAATTACACGAACAGCAACACCACGAAACGCCGAAACTCCAGGACAAGCCATTAGCGATAGTTTCCTCACGCCAAACGACCTCTTCTATGTTCGAAACCACATGTGGGTTCCCGTGGTGCCCGAGAAAGAGTCAGACGCATACTGCCTTACTATTGAGATGCTTGACGGTACGACCAAGGAGTACACACTCAAGGACCTCAAAACCAAGTTCCCCAAGCGCCAAGTTACAGCTGTATTACAATGCTCTGGCAATCGCCGCAGACACATGAGCGAAGATTCCGGACGAAAGACCAATGGTCTCCCATGGCAAGTCGGTGCCATTTCCAACGCATCTTGGGAGGGAGTTTCGCTAGCTGATGTTCTTGCCGACGCCGGATTCAAAAACGACGAGGCCATGCTTGGAAGAAGTGAAGTGAAGCACGTACACTTTTCTGCTATGGAGGCGTACGGTGCATCTATTCCTATCAAGAAAGCAGTCGACCCGCAAGGCGACGTCCTTCTTGCATACGGCATGAATGGCCAGACATTACCCAGAGACCACGGATTTCCTCTCCGCACCATTGTCCCTGGCCATGTGGCAGCACGATCCGTCAAGTGGCTCTCGCACATCACACTGAGTGAAGAAGAAAGCATGAGCCAGTTCCAGCGACGCGACTACAAGTGCTTCGGCCCCAACGAGACGAAGGTTGATTGGGATGCCGCTCCCGCTATCCAAGAAATGCCCATTCAAAGTGCAATCACAACAGCGAAGTTAGACAAACCCAAGGTGGCTGCACCATCAAATGATCAAGAAACGCCGAAGCCGACCCAAGATTTGGACGTTAGCGGGTACGCCTTCTCTGGAGGCGGCCGTTCTATTATTCGAGTTGACATCTCCGTCGATAATGGCAACTCATGGTCCCAGGCGACAATCCTTCCCGACCACAAAGACGAGAATGCTCCAGAACGCGGCAGCGCCGACTGGGCATGGAAGCGCTGGAAGTTCAACACAGCTCTGCCTCGCTCTGCCTTTACCGAGTACGAGAAGAAGGATATCGGCGACAACATTAGTAATGAAGAGCCGAAGAAGCGATGCACTACAGTCGTGGTAAAGGCCACCGACGAGGTATACAACACGCAGCCCGATACGCAGGCCGCCATTTGGAACGTGCGAGGAAACCTGGCCAACGCGTGGCACAGGATGCAAGTCTGCACTGAGTGCGAGGAGGAAAAGAAGAAGACTACAGGAAAAAGCGCCTAGACCAGTACATATTACTACAATATATTTTATCCAGCCATGCATTTATGTGCAGTGAGCACAGTCATACGAGATCCTTTTGTTGAAGAGCATATAATATAACATTGATCATTATTTCACTTGTGCGCACTCTAAAACAACGTGATTGTAGTAAAATTATATTTTTGTTTGTTGTACACAGTAGATTATCCTACGTCTCCAACTATTGTCTAATTTCTTTTTATAGGAATGACGTATCCTCCATCATGATTGTGGCTCTTAATCAGAGTCCTCTTCCTCATCGGTAAAGTATTCAAACTTCTTGGGGACGGGGGCGTCCTCGTCATCCTCTTCGTCCTCATCGACAGCTGTAAGAACAGCCGCGGCAGCAGCCGCACCAGCGCCAGACTCATCATGTCCTCCGCGGACAGGAGTCTGGGGGTCGACCATGCCGAACGGGCTACGTCCCTGGCCGCGCAGAAGCTGGTCCATCATGGCGCTACCAGTTCCGCCTCGGCCGTCAATCAAGCCATCCAGCAATGAGCGGTTGCCCTGGCCTGAGCGGCCAGCTCCGCCGCGGCCGGGCTGTTGACCGGCGACAGGAGCACGCTCTGTGGTAACCTTCTTAAGCTTCTCTTCAAGTAACGACTTGGGCTCATCAGGTTGAGTATCGTGTAGCAGCAGAGGTCCGCCAGTGGGCTTCTTGACAGGCCTGTATCTGCTTGAAGGGAAGCTGATGTACTTGAGCTGGCCAGGCAGGATACGGGTCATGTTCTCGACTTCGTATCCCACCTTCTCCTTCTCAGGCTTCTTCTTGGTCTCTGTTGCAGATTCCTGATCTCCCTCCTTCTTATCCTTGGCCTCCTCCTTGGGCTTCTCCTCATCAACGTCCATCTTGTCATCAGCCTTGCCAGGGGTGGGGTCCAGGTCCATGCTTTCCCGGCGCTGGGCACGCTCCTTCTTTTGTGCGCGTCTCTTAGCTTGAGCAGTGGTGGAAAGGATGGCAGTGGCAATCAATGCAGGGCCTTCCTCGGCCTTGACTTCCTGCTCAGGGGGGTAGTCAAACAGACTTTGTCTTGTAGCGCAGTGGAACTTGAAGTCTGGCATGTCGAGGTTGTGGTCAAGACCGATCATGGCAGTGGGGGAGAAGCTCAGTGAAAGGAAGTGGGTGAAGGGGAACCAGTACCAGTACTGTGTAAAGATGGCCATACCAACGATACCGGCCATGTTGAGGTTTCCGGTCTGGGTCTGCAGGCCAATAGTGCAGTTGCGACCACCAGCATCAATGATGCCCAGGGCGAGGGAAGCACCAAACTTGGTCATGGCATCCTCGTGGCGATCACCAACAACCTTCTTTAGCGTCTTGCGAATGGATGCAACCTTGGGGTTCATGACCTCGTTCTGCTGGACCATGATCATGGCGAGGGAGATCAGAGCACCTTGTCTGACAAAGTCAGTGGGATCCTTCATCATGGGCTCAAGGAGGTCGATGGCCTCATCAAGACCAGTTCCGGCACAGGCAATACCAAGAGCCATAGCAGAACCGTAACGGACATGGGGGTTGTAGGACTCGGAGAGCAGCTCAACCATGCGAGGTACGCTACCAGGCTTGCGGAAGAGAATGAAGCCCAAGCTCATCACAGCAATGCGGCGGACATCGTCATTGACATCGCTGACAGCCGTGTGCAGCAGCTTGCGGATGGCCTTGTTACTTCCAGTTCCGCAGTAAGCAAGGGCGACAGTCATGATACCACCATAGCGGAGGGTTGGGTCAGGGTCATTCAGAAGACCATCAATCAATACATCGGCGCCTTCCTGGCGGCCATACATGATGAGGGCCATTCCCATGGCAACACCACGAACGATCTTTTCGTGGGTTGTTTCGTGAGCATAGGTGATCATATCCTCAAGAGCCTTGACATTGCCAGTTCCAAGCATAATCAGACCCATGGAGACACCAACAGCCTCACCATTGAGGGCGGAGTCCTGGAAAAGGACTTCCTTCAATTTATCAAAAATGTCGGCATCGCCAGTAGCCATGCCCGCAATACCAAGACCAAGTGCACCACCATGTTGGACGACTTCCTCCTCGGCCTGGACAAACTGTTCCTTCAGAAACTCCAGAGCATCGGCACCGTGGTTGGCATGAATGAGACCATAAGCGTACAGAGCACCACCCTGGCTGAAGATGGAGCCGCTGCTAAGGCCGCCAGAGCGGGGGAGGTAGGGTTCGAGAAGCTTTCGGGATTGGGAGAGGTTACCGCGGTGGATAACACCAAGGGCGGCAGTAGCAGTGAACTTTGACCAGTTGACGGCTTTGCCGAGCCATTCGAGGTTGTCGCGGAAGAACTTGTCGTTTGTTGTGCCTTGGTTCATGAATGCGTTGCAGAAGGTAACAGCAGTGTGGAAAATAGAGCTGCGACCTTCCAGGCTGTCGCGGACCTTGTTAAGAATAGAAGCATCAGTGCGGTTATTGCGGTAAAGGAACTCAAGGTTCAAGCGAATGGTCTTGGAACCGTCCAAGATGGATCTAATGTTCTTGTAGACCTTGGCTTCGGCTTCGGAAAGATCTTCGTCCTCCTCCTCAGAAGATTCCTCTTCATCCTTGTCCAACAGCGCATCCTTTTCGTCGGCGTCTTCCTTCTCTTCGGTCTTCTTAGCCTGGCCGGATGGAAGAGCAGCAAGAACCTTGCCCAAGAATTCTTGGGTACCGTTGTCGTACAAGTCGAATGCAATTTGGTAGGCGTTAGCAATGGCAGTGCGGTTGCCTGTGTGGACGAGTTTGCGAAGCATGTTGGAAGCTTCTTCATCCGAGTTCAAGTAAACAACGCAGCGAGCGATCGCAAAGTAGTCAGGGTTCGGGATTTCGTTAAGGAGGTCGAGGATGAGTCGAAGAATTTCGGTACGGAAGCTGCGCTCTTGGACGATATCCATGCAGATGCCCAGAGTGTACTCCATTAATTCCTCAGCCGGTCGAGATTGGCCATCCTGAGCCTTACCAGTAGCCTTCTTCTCAACCTCAGCGGCAGCCTTGATAACACGGCGCAAGACAGCAAGGTTCTTGGCTTCGATGGCAATGCCGACAACCTGGCGGTAGCGGCCTTGTTGAAGACAGCTGGCAAAGAGACGCTCAATCACGCGCTGAAGAGAGGCTTCTGTGGCACGGTCGGGAAGTTGGCCAACACCGCCAGACTTGCCATGCTTGGTAAGAGGCTGGAAAGTGGCCTCAAGCATCGCATTTTCCATGGAAGCTCTGGAAAGGAGCGACTTGGGAGGGAGGGTCGTCTGAGAGAACGGTGTGGTGGGCGACATGACGGCATTCTCGGAAGCGTTGGAGAAGGTAGTGGAGAGTTCAGGCAAATCGCTCTTCTTAGCTTTGGGGGCAGTGTGGCGAGCGGCATTGACAGCAATGTACTGATCAACACACTTCGAGATGATGGTTTCTTCAAACTCTCCAGGTTCGTCGAGCTTGAACATATCGCCCGCGGCAAGCGCGAAGACCATGCTGTCATTGTATGCTTGGAGGTGGTAGTAGACCTTGGCGAGGACGAGGGCGGCGAGCTGTCGTTCGGGGAAGGATTCGTCTTCGTAAAGAGCCTCGCTATATGGAATATTAGAAATGGTGTGCGACGAAGGGGTGCTGGCGCGGGGCACGCGAATAGACTTACATTTCGCTAAGGGAACCAGCTACTTCGGTCCAAACGGTATCAATGTCATCGTTGAGGGTCTGGAGAGCAAAGACCTTGAGCTCGGGCTCGTCCTCGGAGAGGAAAGCCAGAACACCGGTTGCTGACACAAGGCCCTGCATCGTGGCGACTAAGCTCGGCGGTTGTGGGGGATAGCGATGGGAGGCGGCAGTCGACAGGAATTGGTGAATATAACACTAGGCAGTAGAGTCTAAATCACAAGCCTTATGGTAAGAGCCCGTGATAGGAGTGCTCGATCGGCCGAATGCAAGCGGGGGAGGATGGTTGGTGATGATGACGAGAGGTGGGAAGCTGATGTTTTGCGCACGCACCGCAAGTCGAGTAGGCACGCAAGATCCACGTCAGGCACAGCTCTGCCTAGCCAGCTCGCCGATGTGTAAGCCCCACTTATTTGCCAGTTGCTACAGCTGGCGCAGCTGGTGGCCGAAAGGCATGGAGAGCCAAACCACGTGACCCGCCGGGATACTTGCGTGAAACAACCCCATTGCGGGTCTGTTGCTTGCAGCGCCAGGTCGCCCACGTGTATCTCGACTCACTATTTTGTACGGAAGGGGCACATACTGTACAGTTGCAGTAACAGCAGCACGTCAGAAGTATAACAGTGGTGGTTCAGGGGACGCGACATGCTAAGCCAAAGTTAAATCAAGAGGCGGAATATAAACAAACAATATTGTTATAAAGTGTATATATTTTGAACAACAACTATTTCCAGCTATAGTATTTTTCCTCGTTTTTATTTCCTTTTTTTCCCCAACATTACCTGCCTCCTCTCTCCTGATTGCAGCGCCGCACCACCACTTTGGGCGCTGGCGCACACCCTGTGGGCCAAAGCAAGACAGTCGCAAGCAGAAAAAAAGTGTCCTCCAACCACCAAAGGCCCAGCCTGGCCAATTCATCGCCAACCGCGCCAACATATCGCCGCCTTTACGCGTCCACGACACCACCACCGACACCGGCGCCGACATTTTCCATCGTCTATAATTCTAAGCGACTATCCAAGTTTTCTTTGCGCCGCAGTTTGCGCGTAAACACCTTCCGATCCCGCTCCTGAAGGGCCCAACAATGTGCCTTTACGACACAGCTGATATCGTTTCCGTCCACATCGTCTTAATGATTTAAGCGCCATCGACAATTTGTACAACACTGTCTACTATATGCATGGAGACGCATTCATTGCCGTTGCTGTAGCTCACTTAGTAAAGCCGACGACGGCGCTCTAATTCAGCCATCGACACCGTCGCGCCGCTGCGCACTTCGCAACTGCAGACATGGATCTTCGCTCCGTCCTCAACACCTCCGACAATGGAGAGCGCAAACGCGCGCAGTCTTCGCCTACAGGTCCTCTACAGCCGCAGCATCCTAAACAGCATCCGGCGCATCCTCAGGCGGCATACGGATACCATGATCACCCACAGCAGAGCTCTCCCGGCAAGTATCCGGGCCAGGAGTACCCTCCTCATCAACATCCACAGTACCAAGGTGGAAATTATCCTCCGCAATCTCCCTACCAGCAACCTCCTCCGCAACAGCAGAAACAACATCAACCTCCTCCACATCACCATCAGCAGCAGCAGCAGCAGCAGCAGCAACAACAACATCAACACACTGCTAGCTACGCTGCGCGTCCTGGACCACCTAATTCTTATCACGACCCGCGCTCCCCTACTGGGCCAGCGCCGGCTCCATCACCATATCGTGGACCTCCATCGCAGTCAAGGGAATCAGCTGGCGCATATCCGTTCCCTGCCGCGCAACAGCAGCAGCAACATCAGCAGCAACATCAGCAGCAACAGCAGCAGCCACCGCCTCAGGAGCTGCAAAGCCCAACCCAACGGCATCAATATCCCCCTAGTCATTACCCCCAGCAACGGAGAGATAGCCACGGCCAAAGCACTGCACCTCCTCCACACCCGACTACTCCCTACATCAAGCAACAGCATCAAGTGCCGCAAACACCCCCTATTGCAACACCCGGCAACAACCAGCCTTCATACCCGCATCAACGATCCCAATCAACACACTCGACACCGACCCCTACATCTGCTCACAGCGCGCACCAGTTTGGCCCGCAACATCACGGTAGTCCTGCTGGCCCTCCACCTGGTCAAGCGGAATACAATCGCCATCCATCGCAGCCAGCGACGCCACTAGGACCACCACAGCAGGTCAGCTCTCGTCATTCGTCTTACCAGCAGCCCGCGAGCCCCTATCAAAGCAACAAACGCCCGCCTAGCCGCGAGCCGTCCACCTCGCAACCGTCTGCACCAGAGCCTGCCAGGGGGCAAACTCCCGTGCGCCCAACTCCTCCCAGCCGTGGTGGTCCGGAGGTCACAATGCAGGACGCTCCGTCGCACGCGCGTATTTTGCTTGATCGCGAACCGTCGATGTCTGTTAGCCCCAAAACACGCGTTGGCTCTTTGCCAAGCAATGCAGAGCGCTCCGACAACGAAGCAAAACCGGCGAGAAAGTCGCAGACAAACGCTGATGCCGAACGCGAACGAAGTCAACGAGCGTCAACACCAGCAAAGAGAAAGCTGGACGATCGAAGCATCAGCCCAAGTGAGTTGGAGCATAAGCATCAACGGCCCCCGCCAGGCGAGACAAACGGTCGTCATGAGAGCCCAACCCAGCGACGCCAATCATCACACGGTCCGCCGCGCAAGAACCGTCAACCGCGTGCACAACCTCCCGTTTGGGCGCTTGATAGTAGCACGCTAGGCAAGAAGCTCCCTACGCATGCTAACTTTGTTCTCCATGAGAGACATGCGCCAGCAAACGGCCATTCCGGAAGCGTCAGCCACGTCAAGACCGAGCCGGACAGCCAAAATGGGTCTCCTGAAGTTCAAAAGCCCCAGCGAGGACAGAGCGTTGCTGCTGCTGCTGCGACAGCAGCACCAGTGCCTGAACCTGGGCCCGCCGATATCCTGGGTGCCTGGGAAGCCACTATTACCGGTGTCAAGCCTTACGAAGAAGTCTCCAAGGCGGTGGCTGACTTTCTCTTTGTCAACGTGGTGAACGGCTCTGATATTCAAGAGATTATGAGCCGCGGAATCAAGTTTGAGATTGAAGCCAAGCTTGGTACCTTGATTGACAAGGATACCAACCACCGTGTGGATCGCAACGTAGCGTCAGAGTGTATCTTGGAAAGCAGCTCACGTGTTGCTTTCCGAAGCAGCATGACAGAGGTCCACCATAAGGCCTTTAACGATTTCCTGAACCATGTGGTGATCCAGGCCGATCCTCGCGCGCCTCACGGCGGCAACCGTGTTCAGGTGCACTACAAGCATCGTCGCGAACTAGATCGCTTCTTCGAGCTGCCCGCCGACATGCAGAACCGTATCCCGGGATGCATGCGTGCTCGTCTCGGCGGACGCGGCAGAGGCATCAAGGTGCGAGTAACACATGACCAAAAGACACAGGAAGTCATTGGCAAGATCATCAAGGCACGAGTAGCCGATATCGACATTCACATGCCCACCTCGCCAATGGACTGCCGCATCAGTATCAATCTTGAAATGGACTGGGACGGCTCTGTCGAGGAGCTCGAGCAGCTTGCGTCACAGGGAGACAAGCAGCCGGACCGTGCCAAGGACCGACTGAGCTACACACAGGGCCACTACCAGGTTGATTTGACGCAGGTGACCCAGACCTTTTCAGGCCCAGGAGTAAGTAACCTCATTACACATCCAGTAAATAGAGAAGCTAACGATTTCTTTTAGAGCGCAAGAACGGAAAAGGAACATGAACTAGAGATTGAATTGGCACCCGAAATTCTCATTGACCAAGGTCGTAAAGCCATGAGCGGCGGTGTTCACCGATACCAGGAGCTGGTGGAAGGCTTCGTTGACAATGTGCGCGTGCTTGCCCGCAAGGCTCGAGACTTCCAGTAAAGAGGCGACAAATGTTATCTCTTGAACGATTTGTCTTCGTAGCATTTTATTGCCTTTCAAATTTCCGTCATTTTGTATTTATAGTCCCAATTAGTGCATAGGTGAAGGACAGACGACGAGCGTTGGACAAGGAGGCAGGCGTCTAGGGGCGTTTATGATTTTTTGTGTTTGAGATTATTTCCAGAACGGCAACGAACTAGGTGTGGCTGGGTTTCGATCGTTTCATTTCTTGTTTACTGGTATTTGATTTATGGCATCTGCTGATCGGCGTATTATACATACATTCATTCAAAGTTGTGTCACTAGAGTCTTGTTCTGCAATTGTGTTTGTGATTATGCAAAGTTGTATTAAATACAAGAATAATATGTACGATGGCGCGTAAATTTCAAAGAATATGGGGGCGATTAGTGCGATGCGGGAGGTTCACCATTATCAGACGCGGCGCCCACTGTCTTCTCTTGATGCTCGTCTGCTTCCAATTGGCGGCCGGGTCGATATTCTTCACCCTCCTCTTCTTGAATTGTTAGATTCAAAATCATGCAAATCAGTGCAGTGACACAGAAGCCAGTCTCCATGACTAGAACGATGGCGTCAAGGAAACCACGGAGCGACTTGTTGTCGCCTTGATACGTAAAGATTCTATCAAAATAGGATGGTACCAGCGTTGCTCCGTATCCGAGGCACAGACCAGCTGTCAGGATAAATCGATTGCGTCGTGTAAATGGAACGCCGCGGGCAATGATGGAGATGCCAGAGACCGCCACGGAGCAGAAGAGGAACGTGGTCATGCCACCGATGACAGACGATGGAATGGCAACAATCGCCGCGGCAAACTTGGAAAAGATGCCCATAATGACGAGAAAGAAGCAGCACGCATAGCCGGCCTTGCGGTTTGCACAGCGGGTCAGCGCAATCACGCCGTTGTTCTGAGCAAACACGCTCATGGGCGTCATTGTCATGAGCGACGACAAAACGCCGCCGAGGCCGTCTGCCAGAATACCTCCTTGCACTCGCGACTCATAAATTGGGCCGTCCACTTCGATCTTGGAGACGTCACAGGTAGCAGTAATATCACCGGTGGCTTCAATGGCGCAGATAATGTACACAGCCAGGACTGGCAGCACAAGCGGCCCATACACTGACAACGGGAAAGTCTTGATCCATAAGAACGATGCGACGGGAGCAGCATCAATACCAGATTGATCAAAGTAGCCGCAGGCCGCAGCGATAATGCATCCAATCAGCAGACCAATCGCAACCGAGGTTGACCGCATAATGGGTGCGCCGAAGCGTTCACATAGTAGAATAGACACAAACACAGCAAACCCAAGTCCCAGATACTCTGCCGAACCCCAGGGCAGCGCATGCGGGGCATAGATGGTCGGACACAGCTCAAAGATGCCTTTGGCTGTAGCTGGGTTGGTACATAGGCCGGCACCGCCCATCCAGTCCTGAAAGCCGCTCTGAATCAGATGGATACCAATGAGCATGACAGTAGGTCCGGTGACAATGGGCGGGCAGATCCGCAGCAGGATGCGTGCAGGGATGAACGAGATGAGGATTTCGATGAGTGCACATACAGCCGACGTGCCGATAAGCGCACCGTACCCGCGGGGGCAAGGCAGCGGGTTACCCTGGTCATCGGAGGGACAGAAGCCGTTTTTGTACATTTGTGGAAAGACGCCTGTAACAATGGGGATGATGTTGAAGGAGATGCCGACGACGGAAATGAGGCCGGTTCCTAGGTAGTATCTGTGTTTTGTCCTGTTAGTACGAGTTGATGTAGTATATAAGAATAAGAATACGCACGGCGACTTGAAGAGCTTGAAGCGAGTGATTTGAATAGTAGACAGGATCCCCGAGATGATGAGCGCCGCAGACACGAGATACTGCTGATCTGCTACGGCAAGGTTGGCGCCAGCTGGGCCGCTGATGATGAGCGGCGGGGTGATGATGCCAGCCAGCATAGCCAGTGAGTGCTGGAAGCCCAGAAGCAGGGCTAGAACGACAGGCATGTGGTCATTGAGGCCGAAGAAGGGGCTGCGAATCGGCCCGCGGCGCAAGAAGGGGATGTTTGGGCGGAAGAGGTATGCGTAGTCGTAGTCGCCGAGAATGCCTCGACGAGTAGTGAATGCTCTGCGAACCGATTGGAGGCGAGATGAGAGCGATTTCCGAGGCTGTGGCATCACAGACGAGGGTGCTTGGTCCTCGTCCATTGTGGAAGAATAAAAGATGCAGATGTTTGAGTGAAGACAGGCGAAGGGCGTAAAGTGACGATGTCGACTGTGCGGTGCCGGATGCTTGGTTTTATCAAACCATCAGCGTTTCTGCGTTCGGCGGATTCCTATCAGACAGACAGATAGATTAGATAGCTGCCGGCTCTATCAAGCCCCCTTTTTCTGTGTATTTGCTTAGCACATGGAATAAAGGTGAGAGAATTGGTGATCAGAGAGGGGGGTCATGTGTCTTATCTTTCAGCCTTGCAACTTTTTTTTTACCGTTTTAGCGTATTTTGGGGGTGCCCTGCAGGTGGATAACGGGAAAACGGCGCTGCTGCTGCAGCTGTTGATTAGTGGTGGGGAACGCCTGCTGCAAGGCATTGGTTAGCGCTTGGTTAGAGTGCTATATGGTACGGTAGTGGCAGTTGACCTGGATGGGCGACAACAGATGGTTTTACCACAAGAAAAGAAATTGAGAAGAAATTAAAATGTAATCAATAAGCAGATTAAGAATCTATTGGCACGCACTCTGCTAGCATTTTTACACAGCTTTCTGTATATCCCTCCAAACTGGGTAGCATTTTGCATTCTAGTCGTTCCGTGGAGTGTACTTAACAGCTCCAACACCACAGGCAGATATTGGTTTGCCAAATAAATATATGATATATACCTTTATAACTTTATATAATGCCCCAATTATATAATTATGATTATTTTTTCCGTGTGTGCTGCCATAGCCATGAATCCCTTTTGCTACAGGGTAGCTAGCACTTATTTACAGCGCATCATCTCCAGCCAAAACGCCACAGCGTGTCACCTTCCCGCCTCCCCTCCCCCCCCCAGGCTGCGGATCCTCCACTAAAACACGCTAAAGTGCAAAAAGCCCATCTTTTGCCACACCACAATCCCATCCTGCGCCCAAGCCAAAATGCCATGCCGCTCCAAAGGCGCCGGCTCAGGACCACCGTCTCACCCGCTTTTCCCTCTTGCATCACCACCATCATCAGTATCGACACTGAGATTTTCGTCTCTCTTTTTCATCGTTTCGCCTGCTTTTCTTTCCTTCACCAGTTGTCGCTCCCGGAAAAAAACATCACTCACTTACTGTCCGCCCGTCTTGCACCTCACTGTGTGGCTCACGCACTCTTACTTCACCATCACGTTAAATATCGACCTTTGCGGCCGCTGCTGAGCTAGTTAAACCCGACGACTCTGAAGCCACAACAAAGGAAAAATCAGACCACCAAAAAACCAGCAACAATATCACACCCAGCACCAGTATACGACTTGCTTTTCTCTACTCAGGCTATGCAACCCGTCGCTTGTTAAGGCACACCTACTCTTCCAATACCAATGGCCAGCACCAGCACATCACATCATGACAAACACTTCGCCTTTGGCGGCCACGCAGTCACCTGCGATGACCTCACCAGAGAGTCTCGGTCATCACCGCCACAGTCCCGTGCTTAGTAGCAGCAGTGCTCGCAAATCCGCAAGCTCCAGTCATCGGCACCGCCTCGAAGATGAGAAAGTACAAAGCCCGAGCTCATCTGCAGCTAGAGCCTCGTTTACCCCCAAGATTGTGTACGGCCGCGGCGCGATTAACCGTCTGCCGGCAGAGCTTGGAGCGCTGCAAGTCTCCTCGCCACTTATTGTGGCGAGCCCTTCCCGAGTCCCAATCGCCAGGCGTATTCAGGCCATTATCCCAAATCTACAGTCTCATATCCTCGATGCAGCAGTCATTACCGTCCCTGACCATGTTGTCGACGATGCAGTCGAGCGCATAGCCGGCCGCGACGTCGTTATTTCTGTCGGAGGCTCGTCGGCAGTCGGCCTTGCCAGGGCCATCTCGATCCGCAAGGAAATCCCCCATGTCTGCATCCCAACAACTTACAGCAGCATGGAAATCACGCCTTTATTTGAAAACGATGCCGCCACAATATCTATTAGTCGCCGTCGTGGCTCAATCAGCAGCGCCAAAGGCAGCAGCAGCAAGCAGAGCAGCGCCAGGACGACCGCCAGTCGCAACAGCTCTCGTCAGAGCGTCACCATGCGCGACGCAAGATCAGGAGTGAAACCTGCAGTCATCATCTACGACGAGGACCTAACGGAAATCTCATCAAAGCGGGTGGCTGCACCATCTACAACCAAAAAACCGCCTCCCAGGAGCGACGGCTCGGAATGGAGCTTCCTCGATCTTCCTGGTATATGAAACCTCACGACCCAAGCTTGTGTGATGATTTGAAAGAATGATAATCATATATTACGATGGAAACGGCCAAAATTTTACGCAGCGTTGCTTTTTTTCTTCGTTCTTCTTTTTTAGAGGTATACTTTTTCGTTGTATTGCAAAATATCCATTGGGTGGCAACTATGTTTTCTGCAATCTTTAGTTTGTACGACCACTTGATTCTTAGTGTATCACGACTTTTACGTCTCTCCAAAATAGTGTTTAGTATAATTGACTGAATGCCATCTATGTGAAATAACTGATGCCTAAATAAAAACACCGTCTATGATTTGCTTTTTTGTTCAATGTACAGCCCACACGCGCGGGGGGATTTCTCCTCGTATATATATCAAATTCAACACCAAAAACGCCGAGTTTGCTTTTTTAGTCCATGCCCTCAAAGCCCATAATGCCGTGCGCACCCATCGGGCCCAGCTTAGCGCTCTGAGCTTCCTTTCTGCGCTTCGCGCGACGCTTCATCTCCTCTACACCGTCGTCATCGTCGCTATCATCATCATCGTCACTGTCACTACCGGCAGCAGCACGCTTGCCGTTAGGTGCAGCCTTGTCTTCGTCATCATCATCACTGTCATCCTCATCATCGTCATCGTTTCCTTGCAGCTCCGAAAGCTCCTCCCAGACCTTGACGGTGCGGCCGCCGGCTGTGATTAAGCGGTTCGTCGCGTCAAAGCCCACTGACACCACGGCCTCCATGTCATCATGGCGGAGGTTCAGCGCGGCATCTACCGTGCGCTTAACCAGGTCGACTATACGCAAGCTGCCATCGCCCATGCCGCAGACGGCCTTCTTGCCAAGACCCATCTCGTGGGGGATCACAGCGATAGCATCGATGCTTTCGCCGCCGTCCTTGCCGCCGTCGACAATGATGCGCTCCTGCTGGTCGTCCCAGGCGCCCTTGTCCCACATGGTCAGGACACCAGATGATGTACCGGTGGCGACCATGCCGTTGTTTCGCTTCTTCTTGGGACCGAGGCCCTCGACAAAGCAACTGCTGAGAAGCTCGTCTTCCTGGTCCTCACTGCGGACAAGAACGCCGCGGCGCACGTCGGTCACAGCTAGTGTTGTGCCACCAGTGCTGACCCATTGCTTGGGGAAGCCGCTGGTGCTCTCTTCGGTAGGCGGCAATGGTGTAATGGACGAGACGTAGTCGGCGTGCGGAAAGTGTGTTTGCGCAGGCTTCTTGTCTGGTCTGCCGTCGCGGACGTCAATGATGTGGATGGCGCCGGAGTCGGTGGCGAGGAGGAGAGCCTGTGGGTTGAGAACGTGGAGGAGAGTCGGGGCGTCGGCCTGCTTGGTGGTGGAGGGAATGGCCATCTTGGAGATGACCTTGCCGGTAGGAGCATCGAAGTACTTGACAATGGCGTCGGTGCCGGCCGAGTACATGTCTGTGGATGAGGTGTTAGCTTTGAAAGGTGGTAAAACAAGGGTCAGTGATTCTTACGGTTGCCATCGTGGGAGTAGGCCAGGCAGCGACAGCTTCCCTTGTGGCGTCTTGTTTGCCAGATGGTCTCGAGGACGCCTTTGCCGTCGCTCAGCACGCTGGTGTTGCCGTCGGCGCTGCCGTCGTCACCAACGGGATCAGGAAGTCGGAAGGTCTGCACATGGCCGCTAGACAAGCCGACAGAGACAACGGGCTCCTCGGGGTGCAATGCCGTAGCAAAGACGTCGGAGTCGAGAGGCAAGGTGCAAAGATTCTCAAACATTGTCACTGTCTGTAGGCTGTGCCAGGAGGTTGCGGGTGATAATGCGGAGACTTGAGAGGTCAATCGGTATTTGGCGTGGCTATTTCGATGTTGTTTATCGAAAACCAGTCTGGAAAGCCAATTTTATTGCAAAGTGTTGTGTTTTCCTTGTTAATGACAATTGTGGCATTCATACGCAGGTTTGGCTGACAGGATGTTTTTTTCTGCCACCTTCGAGCTATGCCGTGGGGCACGTTTTCGGCTGACCGCTCTGGCCAATGGAAATGCGGCGCTAACGGCGTGTTGTGCAGCGGCAGTGCGAGGAACTGGATGGTATTTGTGAAGCAGAAAATTAAATAAAAATTCTCTTTTGAAATAAAATACCCAAGATTAATTCACTACTTTTATAAACTTGGTTATTTTGAAGTCTGATTGATTGTAGATGGCTAACGCCAACCAACGCATCAATAGCTGACGACGTTGCAGTGTAGTGTCAGCGTGTTTGGGCCGCTATAAATAATATTGTTTCAGCGTGGTTCGTCACCTTTGCCAGCTGGCCGCCAACTTGTTTCCTGTCCTTGCATCAATCGTGAGCAACAAGCTTGAATGGCGTTACAGCAGGTAAATTGATCACTCTTCTTTCAATTTATAAAGCTTCAATTCTGCTTCAAATCCTCCCAGAGTATGACTCTCTTGTTCAAAATCGCAGCACTTTTGCTGTTGACCATGGGAGCAGTTGTCACTGGGGTTATGGAGTCCAAGCGGTGCATCATGTATCTTACTGGGTAAGGATACTCCTCTCCCGTTTTCCATCGCCAATTAATCAATTGTAGGCAACATAATGTCGTTCCTCAAGAGGAGATACTTAGAAATGACATCACCCACGTTGTGCTGGCGTTTATGAGATCAGACGTCTTTGCCACGCAAGAGACACCGACTGAGTTTCCATTATTTACCACCGTTGACAAAGTACGCCAGCAATTTGACGCGGATACTAAAGTCATGGTAGCAATAGGAGGCTGGGGAGACTCCAAGGGCTTCGAGGATGGTGCCAGAACCCCGGAATCCAGACGTCGCTGGGCCGCTAATGTAAAGGCCATGATCGATGCCACTGGTGCAGATGGTGTTGACATAGATTGGGAATACCCTGGGTAAGCCTTTCGAAAAGCGCATGATGCTCATAATTGGACTGATTTACTGACTGTAATCAGAGGTAACCGCGACGACTACAAGCAGATTCTAAACAAGGAGCGAGTCTGGGAGATTGAAGCATTTGTTGCCCTTCTCGAAGAGCTCCGCAAGACCATCGGTGCTGATAAGCTCCTATCTATAGCTGTACCAGCCTTAGAGAGAGACTTGATGGCATTTACTACAAAAACAATGCCACGAATCGTCAAGGCTGTCGACTTTATCAATGTCATGACTTATGACATGATGAATCGCCGAGATACGACTGTGCAGCATCATAGCGGAGTACAAGGTTCAAAAGAAGCCATGAAGAGATATCAAGATCGCGGGGCTCCTGCTGATATATTGAACCTCGGACTGGGGTACTATGTCAAGTGGTTCATGACGAAGACCTGCGATCCTGACAACATTGTTGGCTGCCCAACGCAGTTACTTGAAGACCCCGACACAGGTGCAGATATGGGCAAGACCGGCGCGTTTAGCTGGCGTGACAAGACGCCCGAGGAATTGGCGCCCTCATTTGAACGAGCAAAGGAGGATGGCTTCTACGATACCGACGACAGTTTCGGCTACTGGGACGAGGAGGAGAAGCGATGGTGGTCATTTGACACACCAGAGAGCATCAAGACAAAAGTATTCGATATATTAGGGCCAATGAAGTATGGTGGTGTTTTTGCTTGGGGATTAGGAGAAGATGCACCGGCGTTCGAACATCTCGACGCTACCATCCAAAGCCTTCGCCAACTCAGCGACGTGCAAAACGGTCTGGCTCATGACAGTAGTGAGCTATGATCATGTAGCTAGTTGCATTAATAAACATATTACGATTTAACTACAAACTTCCAATCCGTTTTCATCAATCGTGCAATCAACATTATAATGGCTCCCACCCCCGTCGTTAAGCCAGTCCATAGCCATATCCAAAGATAACCTCCGCTCGAAACCTGAATAGCACCAGCAATTGGGTTGCTCACCAACACAGCAAAGGACAAAATTCCGAATGCCATGCCGATTCGAGTACCAAAGAGCTTAGGATCAGGACTGAGGCCAATCACTACCACTGGTTGCAGTGCGAAGAACAAGCCCGATGCACCGCCGTAGAGGGCGCTCACAACCGTTAGAGCCCCAACGGAATCGGCACCAATAAATGCAAATGCAAAAACAAATGTGAGAATGCCTGATATAATGAGCATGTTAAAAGGGCCGGTATACGGGCTGAGAAAGTTGGGCAAGATGCGTGCCACCGCCGACGTCGCGTTCATTATCGAAATGATGTAGAAGCTGAACGTTGCGTCGGTGATGTTGTTCTCAATAGCGTACACTTGGATATAAAAGAAGGGAGTGAATCCACCAAGAAGGTAAATGAAATTACCAAGTAGGAATACCACAAATGGCCAGTCCCGAAAGGCTGTCTTGTCAATGGCTTTTCTTGCCGTTTCAGGGACCATGCGTGGTTGTAAGAACAGCACGGGTAAAAGAAGAGTGGCCAGCAAGATAAATCCAATGACTCGAACAGTCCATGGGAAGCCAATTCTTGGTTCTAGCTCCCTGAAGACGACGGGCAAAATTATGCTGCTCGAGAATTTCAGTTAGAGCTGTCTTATCGGATATGGATATAGACCCTTACCCTGATATACCGGTACCAGAGGCAGCAATGCCTGCTGTTAAGGGATATAATGTGGTGAAGTATGTGGAAAGAATTGTTGGAGCTAAGAAACCAATCATGCCGCCGCCTAGGCCGATGCATAGCGATTCCGCCAAGATAAAGTGCCAATACTGCGAGCTTAGGCTCTGCATCATAGTACCAAAGACAATGAGCACCGCGCCAGTAGTTATAAGAAAGCGAGTATAACCAGCATCGTATAGTGGTCCTGCGAATGCGCCACCAAATAGCACAAGGAATGTCTCTATGCCACCGATGAGAGATGCGAGCGATGGGCTGAACTTGAGTTCGCTAGTGTAGTACGTCTGGTACACACCAAACGTATTGATAAGGCCTGATTGCTTTAGAAGTAAGAACCAAGTAAAACTTATAAGTTTACGGACTGCGCACCATATGTATTGAAGAACAAAAAGAAGCCGCAGACAACTTGAAGCCACGCTTTGATGCCGCCGTTGGGCCGCGTTGCCATGAGCTGTGCCTGGTCCAGTTTCGTAGCTTTCTCCGTTTCTGGAGACGAGTTTTCGTTATTAATATTCATCTCTGATGATCGTTCAGTATCTGAAAGCTGGGCGTTTATTGCCATGGTGGTCACTGGACGAAGATATCAGGAAATCGGGATGAGTCGCGGAGTGGTGTTGGGGACTTGGCGCGAAAAGGCCAATCGAAAGCGAATAAGATGCAGCAAATAAAGGACCTATTTATTCATAAGAGAATTCTTATTGATTGTAAATACACCTGTTTCGACGTATTGATGCTGTATCCAGTCCGGAGGTTACATCCGGAGCCGGTCGGATCTAGGTTTCGGGGCTTGCCTAGATAGGTATGCATCGTGGTGTTATTGCCGGCAGACAGCTATTTCCGTACCCATAGCCTCGAGTTGCTTCCTAATCAATATTAGCCTAAGAAGGTGAGAGATGGACATATTCATAGATACTGTTGATCGGGGCAACGACATTGGAGCGGCGTGCCGTCACGCGTCGGATGAAACCTGCTTCGTTCCGACATGCTCTTCCCAGTGAAATTAGTATTCGGCATTACTCATTTAAGTATCAGTAATATCGTAAATCGTATAAACATGTCTATAGAGAAGAGTACTGAACTGGCTTTACCACTCCCGAGCTGGAGACCAAGGAACACCAGCGACCCATGGAGCATAGCTAGTCGCCTCGTCGTCAAAACAGTAAAATCTACATTTGATTCGAGTAGGTCCAGAATCAAACTTGGGGTACTTTATCTTGCTCATTTTGTCACATCTATGCAAAAGAAAAAAGATCTCTTCGAGATTTGGTGCATGGTCCTGCAGCGTCTCAACTAAAACCCGCAGATCCCCTTCGCGGCTGGCGTGGTTTAAAATCAGTGTCTTTATATCTTTCGGATAAATGCGTTGGTAAAAGTCAGGATATTATTCGCGTAGAAGTTTGTAATAACGTAAATCATCCAGTTGTAGCGCTTTGACTCGTAGCCCCTTTAGACTGAGACTTGGCTGGGTCATATTGTCTGATTCCAAGTCCTCCTCATCCCATGGCTGGATCTATAGATAGTCCAAGTAGATTACTCGGTCGTTTAGAACACTAACAAGCCTTTGAGGCGTCAGAGGCCATAGTTCTTCGCCTTCCCAATAATCAGCTGCCGCGACAGCCTTATAATAGAAAGCAGATAGCTTTGGAAAATTAGATAGCACCTGAGTAAGCTCCTCCTCAGTCCATGGAGTGTCAAACACCTTTATCATGGATAAACCAGGATGAGAGAGATTCTCAAAGCCAACAACCTCATGCCCTTCAAGCGTGTGCAGATTGGGTGACGCATCCAAGATCCATTGATATGATGGTAGCACAGAAATGTGGGAGTCGCGTCCGAGAAAACCAGTCAGCTTTAGTGTCGTCAAGTTGGCGAACTCTGGAGCATTTCGGACAACACAATTTGCGTCTTCCAGGCGACCTAGGTCCAAAGCTAAATATTGTAGATTATTACAATGGACTAGGAGCAAGGGAAGTAATTTCAACGTATTGGTTCCTGTGTAATCATAGTCTTTTTGGAAAACGACACGGGCCCCTTCTGAGTCGACAATATCGTACTTGTCAAATTCTTCGTGGCACGTTTTCGCCGATTCTGATGACATTAGACCGTTTGAAGACACATCGTACAAGATAATTTGTTGTATATAGCTGAAATAGATAGGATGGGCGTATAAAGTTTTGAGTAGATGATCCAACCTCGAGGTTTTCTTGAGCCGATGCTGCGGTATATAAATGACCGTGTTAAATCGTGTAACTTTCTGTTTGTCTTCCCAAGCGCCTGCATGGTTACCCTTCCGTTGGCATGGAGGGGAAGAGATAGGCACCATGGGCAGCATGCTACGGACATGCTTGCGTGGATGGTTGTGTGTAAGTGTTGGCCCATCATCTGCTGGATGCACATAATTGGCATCGATGACAGCTCCAAGCGAGGTGGGAGTTGGGCGCGGCGGGTAAAAGTGTTAGATAATGCAATGGAGAACCTCCAACGGTAGTTCATCCAGTATCATCATATTTTATTTTAAATGGGGTGGTGTGATATGTATGAGATTCTATAGAGAGCAAGAGAGGACATATGGGCGATCTTGCCAATGAAGCATCGTCCCTTAGTGGCTGAAGAGCACCTCCTTAGATGCATATGCAATTGCAGGAGTAATGAAGCATTTGGCACTGCGGCCAGTGTTGCCAGCTGGCAATTTCTATTTCTTGTAACCCAACGGTCTGCTCGTCTGCACAGTTTTCTTCTTCCAATTTCCTCTTCTTCACGCGATTGTCGTTTTCTGCCAACGTCACTGTCTGTCACGGCCCAGAACCCACGAACCCGCATTCTTCAGCCAACTGCAAACAGGGCTTGCCTTAGCGTGGAGCCCTGCAGATTAGCTCCACGCCGCTTTCCCCAAGGCGTGGCCCAAACTAGATCGCTCATTTGTCGGCATTCGTCTAAGCTTAAATCCCCAGCCCGCATTCAAGACCGACTCTTCACAATAGCTCCAAGCCTCTTGAATTGGTGGCGTATTGCATATTAACATAATCCACGAAAAATCAGGCGGAAGTTCCCAGCTCCGCAGCAATGTCCCGCACCTTTTTACCACGATGACGACCGTTAGCGAGGTTGCAGTGCCTCGTTGACGCATCTCCACTCGAAAACGTGGGCATGTTGATTGACTCGGTGCTAGCTCGGTACTGGTGAGCGACGGGAAAAAAGGTTCTCGTCGAGACTTGGCGGCCCATGAGGGACAAAATTTAAAAGGGTACATTAGTAGCGGCAATCCCGGCCCTCCGTCTGCTCAATTCGTCCCTCTGCACACCCAATTGAACATAGTCAAGCTTCTTTTGCCTCGTCCCGTTCACCATGCACAGCAATTGCATCTCCGTTCTCGCCGGCCTGGCGGTTGTCGGCCAAGTCGCCGCCACGCCGTGCAAGCCCGATGACGGCAGCTCCGTCAAGCCCATCAAGCACATCCAGCTTGGCCCTCGCCCGTACTACCTCGTCGACAACCTCGAGAAGGGCGCGCTTAAGAGCAAGCTCAACTCCTGCAAGGAGAATGAGATGAAGGTGTCGCCGTGGGTGATTGCGCATCGCGGCGGCGCATGCCTCCAGTTCCCCGAGCACTCGCTCGAGTCCAACATGGCTGGTGCGCGTATGGGCGCCGGTATTCTTGAGTGCGACGTCTCCTTCACCAAGGACCGCGAGCTGGTTTGCCGCCACAGCAACTGCGACTTGCACACCACCACCAACATTGTCAACATCCCTGAGCTCAATGCCAAGTGCTCTACGCCCTTTACCCCGGCCAAGGACGGCAAGCAGGCGACCGCAAAGTGCTGCACCAGCGACATCACGCTCAAGGAGTTCAAGTCGCTCTGCGCCAAGATGGACGGCTTCAACGCTAGCGCCGTCACCCCCGAGGCCTACCTGCACGGCACGCTCCCCTGGCGCACCGACCTCTACAACACCTGCGGCACTCCCATGTCCTTCAAGGAGCACATCAAGCTGACAGAGGCTCTTGGCCTGAAGCACACCCCTGAACTCAAGACTCCTCAGGTCAAGATGCCCTTCGAGGGCAACTACACCCAGGAGCTGTACGCTCAGCAGGTCATTGACACTCTTGTCGAGGCCAAGGTCAAGCCTGAGAACGTCTACCTGCAGAGTTTCCTTCATGATGACCTCATCTACTGGCTCAAGGCCGACAAGGAGTTTGGCAAGCAGGCCATGCTTCTGGATGAGGGTGATGGCGGCAACTCTGGTGATGCCGCGTCTGCCAACTTGACCCGCTACCGCGAGGAGGGCATCAACTACATTGCCCCTCCCATAAACTTCCTCCTCTCTGCTGCCAACGGCACCCTTGCCCCCAGCGTCTACGCCAAGAAGGCCAAGGAAGCTGGCCTCAAGATCATCACCTGGAGCTTGGAGCGCTCTGGTCCCATTGCCGCTGCCGCCGCTAAGAAGGACTACTATGTCAGCACCTTCACTGATGCTATCTCCAAGGACGGTGACATCTTCCACATGCTCGATGTTCTATACAACCAGGTCGGTGTCACTGGTATCTTCTCCGATTGGGTTGCCACCACCAGCTACTTTGCCAACTGCTTCAAGATTGATCTGTAAATGGGGTGATGATGATTGTAAATATATGAATAGTATTGATATAGAATAGAAAATGTGTTTATACAAAGAATGACAATAGCTAGTTCAAGTTTGTGCGGGTGACAGTGATGTTGGGGTAGCGGCTATTGATTCCTGTAAGGGGACTGCTCTTCCCGTTAAAGACGAGATCGAAAAACGCCATCAAGCCACCATTCACATCGCGATCCATATCCTGCCAGCTAATGGAGCCAATTTCCTGCTTGAGGGCTTCCCGTACGGCGTCGGGGAGGTCCAGCTGCGCCATAAGTCGTAGAAGATCCTCAAAGCTGCCATGAGTGGTGCCGTTGATAGACAGTTGGATCTTCTTGCCCGTGATATGTGGCCACGCCTGGTCCCAGGTAGGATCGCCTAGATCATGACCCTCGTGGCCAAAAAGCAGCGTCGGCTTAGAAATCTCTTGCGACTGGATAGGCTCAACAAACTGACCGTCCAGATCGACAGCGCCGAGGATAGCTTTGTCGGTGCGCGCAGCAGCAATAGACGCCATGCCGCCAAGGGAGTGACCGTGAGCCACGAGACGAGACAAGTCCATACGGCCGGGGTAATTCTTGAGCAGTGGATGGATGAGCGTGTGGTTTCGCAATTGTCTTACAACAAATGAAATATCAGCAGCCCGGACTTCAAGCGCTTTGGTCAGCTGGGCCGGGTCACTATCATCAATGGTGGCAGGAGGAACAGTTGTGCCATCAGGGAACTCGACCATCAATCCATCGTATGGGTGGTCCATAGAGACCACGATATAGCCCTGGCTGGCTAGAGATGCCTCCATTCCACCATATATCAAGCGGGAGTTGCTAAGCCCAGGTGAAAATGTAATGACTGGGAAGCTTCGCTTTTTGTTGCATCCCTTCAGTTTGTCGAGGTTGCAGAATTCCAACTCCCACGGGTCGAAAGTGTTGTTGGGTAGCCCATGATCGACAGCATATTGGTTGTAAGCAGCCTTTACAGCAGGTGGCATATAGGGAACCACCTCGGTGGGACAATTTTCTCGTTGGTCAACGGGAAGATAAAACGTGAGAAGGACACGGCGATGTTGTGGTTCATTGGCTGGTGCGTACGGGTCCATGCGCGAAGTGTCTGTTAAAGCAACAATCTTGGTGCCGACAGAGTATGGACCCGACTTTGAAGGAACCACGATAGCCGAGACAGCCGTGAGAAGGTTCAGAGCGATTTGAGCTTTCATGTTGAAGGTGTTGATTAAATTTGAGTTGTTGTTGGCTTACACCGGCTCACTGGTTGGAGAAGTACACTACCTTATATGATTGAGCAAACCCATTTTGCGCCAGTCCCAGATAGTATAAAAACTTGCGATGTTGGGACACGCGTAATACATCAGACCGCAACTTTCAGCTCTACATTGTTAATACATCACAGAGCAGAGCCTCACATACTTCAGCTCGGCGGAGCGGTTCCGCAGTGCGCGGCCTCGCTCAATTGTTTCCCGATTAGGCTTGGCCGCGAGTCCCGCTCTCTCAGCCCCCAATTACGACGCCATATGCCATATGCCGACAACGGTGTTTCTGTTCTCGCGAGATCTTTTCTTCTTCAAGACACCTGTCGAAGCAAATTTGCGAAAATGGTTATGCGACTAGGGCCATTTGACGGGAGGAAGCGACGCTTCCGCTGCATTGGGTGCAGCAAGGCGCATCTGAAAGTGAGTACATGCGACAGACGAGTACCTTGACCATACTAACAGTACAAAGTGTTCCGGAAAGCAGCCTTGTACGGTATGCACTAAGAAGGGCGTTGAATGTATTTTTGAAAAGGCAGAGTCTTCCAAAGTCATTATTCATAGGGACACTAGAACCCACCAAACGGCTGCTAGCTTCCGGGTAACCACGTGGAAGCCTCCCATCTCTCCTCAGCCAATAACAGAACAGGAGGTGTTTCTATTTTATTTTGGCGACTTTTCCAAGTATAATAACTTGACGGGACGAAAAGGCCATGGCTTGGCTGATGACGTCAAGGGGCTGGCGCTGTCCCGTAGAGATGCGCATCTTACTGACGCCATGCTGTCGATTGGCGCTCTCCAAGCTCTGAAGCGGATATCGGAGGATGATGAACGACGGCGCAAATATTTTTATTCAGCTGTGAAACATTATTCACAAGCTGTTGTAGGGTTGAAAGAGCATATTAGGATGCTACCAGCGACTGTGGATGACGACCGGCAAACTAATATCCTGTGGACAACCTTTTTTCTCGGATTATTTGAGGTAGAGTCACCGTTAGGTATGCCAATGGCCTATACTAACATATTTCTAGTTGGTCAACCAGATATACGCAGAGGCATGGCTGCAGCATATGATTCATGGCACAGCCCGCGGGTTGGAAGCAGCAGGACCCAGCCTTTGCACAACGGACAATGGACGACGGTTCTTTCAGCAAGCCCGTGTAATGGAGGTTTGCCGGTCCATCTTTTTCAATTCGCCAACGTTTCTCACGGCGCCTGATTGGATGCATATGCTGCGTCGGCTGTCATCGAAAGAGCGACTACCACTAGACTCGCTCTTAGACATCATTGTCATGTGCACTTCTTTACGAGTAAAGATTGAGAAGGCTCTGGCTGACCGCGATGCACTCTCATGCGAACCACCATCTGAAGAGATGTATGCGGTTGCCGCCGATGGTATGAAGCTACGCCGGGCGCTTGTCGTATGGCAAGAATCGTACGGCGAACCCATTGACGCCAGATCGACCATGGTAGAGGACGAGGCCATGCTGCTCTGCCACATCTTCTTCGCCGCCGTGAGCATCTACCTCTCTGGCGCGTTCGACTACGAAACCGAACACTGGGTAGGCCACGACGTCCAGATACCTACCTTGTCCGAGGTCGAGATCAACCAGCACCGCCAAGACACAATGGACCTTGTCGACCTAGGAATGAAGAGAAGCAGTCTCTCCCCTGTACTTTTCCTATTTCCCCTGCATATTGCTGGCGCCCGCGCGACAAGCGAACGAGACCGGACGCGGATCCGGATCCTCCTTGAAGCAATTGGGAAACGGTTCGCGGTTGTAACAGCAGTGCGAAACTCGCTCGAGGTTGTCTGGGACCACAGAAAAGCCGTAGAAGCCTGAGCGCCAACCGCCGTGCCACAAACACCCAGGCGCTTACAGGAATTTACTGGCGGGGATTGCGCGGCGGGGGGGCGGGGGGCTTGGACCAGCGTCAACTGTGCAACGCCATGTGGAATTGGAAAATGGGCCCGGGCCCCCTTGTCGAGTAATCGTAGATGGGGAGAGCATAGCGCTGCGGATCATGTGCGAGCCTATCCATCCATCCATCTGGTGACGAGTCGCCGCCGCCTCTCTTGGCCTAACCAGCGGCGAATACACGGCGACAAAGAAAACAGAAGTTAGCTCTAGCAAAACGGCGAATAGACTAGCGTGGCGTATTCGGCAGACGTATCGATGCAAGGCGTGGGAAACTATTGGTTGTAGCGGGCGCTAGGCTGGCGGTTTATGGGTGCAGTGCAGCGAATACCTGTTTCACGGCCGCGTTTCCAAAAGGTGCAAACCGAGTACGAACGGATGGCCGTCAGCTGCCCGCCAGGTGCCGCCAGGTGCCAGGGTGGAGTCGTTGGCCGGGCCTTGCAGCTGCGGCAGCACCAGTCGCGGCGAGCTTTAGCTTCAGCCACTACCGATGGTCGGACATTTTTTTTTTAATTCTTGGTTGTGTGAAACTATTTCTGGTTTCATCCGAGAAGCTGGGAGAAGAAGTTACTGTGTGAGAGATGATACAGCAATACAATTTTTTTAATGAAGAATACAATATCTTTTGCTGTGCTGCTGCGCATAAAAGACAAGCTACAGTATATACAGGTCGCAACACTTCACCTCACTGTACGCGGAGGTACACCGTAGAACATCCATGACGATATGACCTCATCGCGGGCGGCGTACGTCATGGCCGTCGACTCGGCGTGTCTAGCGCCCGAGTATGGGTGGCTCAGCTGTGATGGGCGGTAGCTTGTGGCCGATGAGACAGAATTGGTCAGGACCTTTTTGCCATTGTTTCCTGTGCGCGCGTTCCTCTGTGAAAGAAAACACGATAAAAATTACAATCAATTTCTTTACGCACATCTTCTTCTATTTTTTATTCTCTATTCACTTCCCTTTCCCTTTCTTTCCCGTTCCGCAAACAAAAAACATTACAGCGCTACCCTTCTTCCGGCTCTTCCACACAGGTCCCCACTCTTTTATTTTGCACGGCCCCTGCTTGTCTGACGCCCTGCGAACAAGCTTGCTTTGGTGCAGTGCTGTGCTGCTCGCTCCTTTGCCGGGGCCTGTTTTCCCTCTGTGGTCTGTTTTTTTTTTCTCTTGGTGATGCAGCTTGCGATTAAAAAAAATAATAAAAATAAAAAAGTGTAGCCCCACCAAAACCTTGCTTTCCACACGCAGCGCTTACCAGCAAGCCCCAGAAACGGAAGACAAGCTGCCCCAAATAAAACCAGGCCCCCCCTTCTGCTGTCATCTATTTCTAGACTCCCTCCCCTACTTCCATCCTTCACCCGATTCCTGCTCGTCTCTGCCAAACTATTTTGCTCTCGCCATCTTGTATCTTTGCGCCCGAGATTGCTTGCTACCGACGCGTCGCCTAGCGTCTACTACTACCTCCACGACCTCCCTACGCTTAATTTTCCTCTAATCCGTCGCAAGACTGAGCACTACCGCCGCAATGGAGATGGGTATCGTAACAATCATCCACGCCGTCCTGGCTGTTCTCTTGATCATTGAGCTTGGTCTCACTGGTGCTAGTAAGTTTCCACCTCTTCCGACAGCTGCGATTGCGTTGGCGCAAGCGCAAGCACAGAGTCGCTAACATTTACGCTAGCTGTCCACAACTCCCTTGGCTGGAGCTCGCGCTCCAACTTCATGCTTTTCAACTCCATCTGGTCCATTCTCGTCCTCATCTACCTCGCCGTCACCCCCCGCGTCTTGTCTGCTCTCTACCACGGTGTCATTGCCCTTGGCGCTCTCGTTCTCACTGCTCTTTTCTGGTTTGCCGGCTCGATTGCCCTCGCCGTTCCTCTTAGCATCCACTGCGGCGGCTACGGCCCTTGCCAGACCGCCCAGGCCGCTATCGCCTTTGGCTTCTTCCTCTGGGCCATCTTCACCGGTCTCGCTGTCATGGAGGGCCTCGCCAGCCGCCGTGGTGGCTTCGCCGACAAGACCTCCCGCGTCTAAATGGCTTCGAAATCGTCAATTGCTTGACTTGGGAACGAATCTCGTCGATTACACTCTATGACTTATTTCTAAACTGGCTCGTTGTCTCGTCAAGCTGCCAAGCTTTCACGACGCCGCCAACATCTTGGCCACAGCCACAACTATATTTTAATGGGCGGCGCTCTGTTGGTGGCCCGCACGGATTAATGGATACGAATGAGAAGGATTTGGATTGGTTGTTCTTGTGATTCTACTTTGGGGTAGCTGCCGCTTTGACTGCTACCTACGATACCCTGATTTATTTTGCCGCTTGCGATCAACGACTGGAGAAAAGAAACGGTACTTAATGAATCAAACGAGGAGAAAAAAAATATACATTTGAACCAAACTGTACTCGGGGTCTCTGCTAAACTACTCTGTGCCCTCTCTTTAGTCACCGCTTGTTCAACTTGCTGTCTTATATTTCCTTTTAGCCTGTCTCAGCCTTGCGCCTGCGTTACTTTTTGACTGGCGCCGCAAGCTCCCACAAATGGCCGGAAGGATCTTCAAAAGTAGCAACCTTCATGTTCCATGGCTTCACTTCGGGCGGGTTGACAAACTTGACGCCTCGGGAAAGCAGCTTCTCGGCGTCGGCGTCAAAGTCGTCGGACCACAGCGAATACAGCGCACGTCTGCCTCCGTCGCGGGGAGTGACGCCGCCCTTTCCAACAAAGTCCACTTCGGCAGATGATGTAATCAAAAGATTGATCATGATGTTGTCGAGCTTGAAGCAGTAGCCATCTTCCTTCGGATCGAGGGTGGGAAGGGGAAAGCCAAAGGTTCTAGAGTACCATGCGACGGAAGCGGGTAGGTCGTCAACGAACAGCGTGATGACGGCGAGGGTCTTGATCTTTTCAGACATATTGAATGAGACAGGTAATTGATTATTTGGTATAGTAATTGATTGGTGCCGATTTTTCTAGATGAACTTGGAGCTTGGCGATTTGCTTTATATAGAGGCGGGGTCTTGGGGTCTGGGGGAGCTGTTGGATCTGCTGCAGCCCACTGATAAAGAGGCGCGTGGGTGCCTGGTTGTGGCTTAAATCTGTCAGCGTGAACTGCCAACTGCGGCTGAAGAGCATCAAATTCACACCAGTGTATCAAACTAGCATTTTACACGATTCAGTTGACTGTAGCTGAAATACAATTAACCGGGTTTCTTAGTTCACGTCAATGAATCTTTTGTAATACGTAAAAAATATTCATCAAATTAACGGCTAACTATTCTTCGACGACACGCCCCAATGGCTATCACGACAATGTCGACCAACTCATACATTCACACAATTTTTACAGAGACTTGGCAGCCTCATCAATAAAGTCAGAGACCTCCTTGGGCTTGGAAGCAAGCGAGGCGTGGCCAGTAGCAAGCTCAATGATCTTCTTGGGGTTCATTCTAGCAGACATCATCTTCTGCGCGTCAGGGTTGATGCAATGGTCCTCGGTGGAGATCTGGTACCACGAGGGCTTAGTCTTCCAGGCGGGCTCGGTGATGTTGTCGGTAAAGGTAGAGGCAACGGGGGCCTTTTGTGTAACCTGCATGACAAGGGCCTTTTCGCGGCTGACGTCCTGGCAGAAAGCCTCCTGGAAGTGGTCGCGGTCGAGCCAGAGGTAGCCGTCCGAGTCGGGGGCGATACGCTTCTCAACAGCGGCGGCGGCGGGGTACTGCTCGGAGATGCTGCCGGCAGACTCGCCGGCGTCGGGGCCAAAGGCAGCAATGTAGACAAGGCCGACGACGTTGGGCAGGTTGCCGGCCTGCGTGATGACGGCACCACCGTAGGAGTGGCCGACAAGGAGGACGGGGCCGTCGATCTGGCGGATCATCTTCTGGGTGCGCTCGACATCGTCGGCGAGCGAGGTGAGGGGCATCTCCACGGCCTGCTGCTTATAGCCGCGGGCATCCATGTCGATAATGACATCGGCCCAGTGGGCGGCGTCGCCCCAGAAGCCGTGGACGTAGAGGATAGTGGGCTTGGACATGATGTAAAGAAAAAAGTGATGGGATGATTGATTCAATTGATGGTACAGGAAGAATAAGAGGATAGCTAGCTACAGGTGGAGGAGGGGGCAAGTATATATAGACGTACGACCTTACCTTACCTAGCCCATCACGGTTCCTTTGGTACTCCTACTCTTGAAACTCAAATTCTTCTGATTTATGACAATTCGCGCCAATAAAACAGCTAAACCTGATTCTGTTCCCCTCTCGAGGGGTCTAGAATGCAACGTGCAGAGAGCGGATGGGCGTCAGGAGAGGGGCACTGATCCAATAGAAGACGGCGCTCGGAGTGGGTGTGCTTGGGCCTGATCATTACGCTAAGCGATGCGTCTGTGCATGTAGGATTTGAGAAAGCCCATGGCTATTTGGAAATGCCTACTGCTATTGCTGCTGCTGTTGCGGGGATATGCGGCTTTGGGTTAGCTTGTCCAGTGGTGGTGGGGAGCTAGACCGTGTTGAAGCTACTGCAAGTTAGCTCGCTGTTGGTGGTGGGCTGGCGCACAACAGAGGGGTTCAGCAGCTAAGCTTCAGGCTGCGTTGGTGGGGCATCGGTGGGAATTGCAAATACGCTTTGGGTGCCGTTGGGAGTTGCCGGGAAGGGTCTTGACAAATGGTGGAGAGGACGACGCAGAATCATTTGTAACGCATCATGCGACGGGTGGAATTTGAAATAGAAGTTCGAATCTAGATCGGGTCGATGCAGGCTCGTCGATCCGAGTTGATTAATTGCAATGACGTAGGGCAGGTATTTGTATTTCTTGACCGGACTGTCTTTACGGCAATTGACTTCGGCCATGGCTTCGGCGGCGGCGGGGGAGAGCTCGCTTGTAGGCTTTTTGTTTAGTGTGTCTGATTAGTACATACAAAACGGCTGTTCTTCGGAGCAACGGAAAGCTGATGTTGCTAGACGAAGTTCTGTTATGGCCAAGGTTCCATAATATTCATATACAAAAGATACAAGGTACATATTGTATATTAATTGGCATTGTAAGCACCATACATCACGTGGAGCTGCTGCTCCGAACCCGGCACGGCTGGCACCTGGCGATCTCGACTACCCCTCTTCTTTCTCTCCTACTGTTAAAGTTCGGATGGTAGTATCCGATACTTCCGACTGATACAACGACCACAATGATTGTGACCACTAGTTGTCCCGGTATTCTGGCGCTGGTTGTCAGTGTGGCCATCTTTGCTAGCCTGGCCTTCGCCGAACCGCTTGTCACGCTCCGCAATGGCACGTACGAAGGCTTATATGCCCCAAGCTTTCATCAAGATCATTTTCTCGGCATTCCATACGCCCAGGATGCCGGTGGAAAGAATCGATTTCTAATTCCACAGCCATTGAACGCCACCTGGGAAGGTAGTCGGCCCGCCAAGCAGTACGGCCATGCATGCCCAGACGCGTCTCCCAAAACTGACGCTGTCTGGGGCATGTCTGAGAACTGCCTCAGTATCAATGTTGTGCGACCAGCTGATGTAGGCTGCAACGAAAGTCTACCAGTGCTGTTTTGGATCCACGGAGGAAGCTACCAAGAAGGCACCAGTGCTCTATACAATCTGAGCTACATTGTGCAGCGATCTGTCGACATTGGTCGACCTGTGGTAGCTGCCAGCATCAACTATCGCAAGGGAGCCTGGGGAAATCTGTATTCGATTGAGATACAAGGCTCTGGAAACACTAATCTTGCGTTACGGGATATGCGTCAAGCTCTGTCTTGGGTGCAAGAAAACATTGCTGCCTTTGGTGGAGACCCGGGCAGGGTGACCATCTGGGGAGAATCGGCAGGTTCATTTGCAGTTGGTCAGCTTTTGATGAGCTATGGAGGGCGTTCTGATGGTCTCTTCCACCGATCAATCCAGGAGAGCGGTAGTGCAGCGACAGCATGGTACAATGGCACTGAATGGTACCAGCCAATCTACAACAAAATTGTCGGACAGGTAAACTGCAGCGAGGCAATTGATACGCTAGAGTGTCTGAGGACTGTTCCTTATGAGATACTCTACCCTTTTATGAATAGCTCCGTGCTTGCCGGGCCGGGGTGTTATCCTACTGTTGATGGCGATGTCATACCCAACTACCCGACAACGCTGCTCCACGAGGGCCGATTTGCGCATATCCCGCACTTGTACGGCACAAATTCAGACGAAGGAACAGACAATGCGCCTACGGGTGTTATTAATACCGATGATGACCTGTACAAGTTTCTGCTTAATAGTACTGGTTTTGGATTTCCACCTGCAACCGTGCGCGAGGTCATGAGGCTTTACCCGGATGATCCATCCCAAGGTGTCCCCATCAACACAGGCAGCGAGAGGTTCGCTGAAAAGGGCGAACAGTATAAACGAATTGCCGCTATTATGGGCGATGTATTTTACCATGCTCCGCGACAGGACGATGCCAGACACTATGCCAAGCACCAACCGGACAATACATTCATCTATCGGTTCAACACCAGAGGTTTTGTTAAAGCCAACAGCACCACTCCAGGTGCAGTGTGTATCAACAACATTTGCGGAACTCTGAAGCCAGCATATAAGGGCGTCGCCCATGCAACCGAACTTGCTTTTGTGTTCAATGTCCCCGACCAAACGGGCCCTTGGCCAGAATACCGTGATCTGGCCAACGATATAAGTGCCATGTGGATCAATTTTGCGCACGATGGCAATCCAAACGGCCCCGGCGCCGAGGTAACATGGCCGCCATATTCGACTGGCCCAGACGGAGCCAATTTAGTCCTCCAGACCAAATCGCAAGGTGGAATGTATGTTGAAGCAGACACTTATAGATTACAAGGCCGAGAATACTTGACAAAATGGGCCAGACGGAGACACGTATAATGTGTTAGTTGGTCATAATACACTGCGCTCACCACACCTATGTCGCCGTTGCACTCACTGTTAAACCCTAGCACATTTACAGCGGGGACTGACCTAAGCCTTGCCCGTCGGCGTCCGATCGAGAGGTTATCGGAGCAGCGGCCATGGCCCAAGCTTCTTTGTTTTTGCAGCAGGCCTACCGCTTGGTTCTGCAACATCGCGTCACGCCGTCATTTATTCCATGCCAAGCGCAAACTGCCTAATATACAGGCCTCTTCAGCCCATTACGCACACTAAACTGCGCGACATACCTCCTCTGCGCAATCTAGACCAGCCGTGTGGCTCGCCTCATCTGCACAATGACATCAGCGCGGAGTTTGCAGTCTCAGCAGCACAGTGAGGCAAAACGGCTGCTATTTTGCATTAAAAAAACAACTTTTCAAAAACAACTTTTATGAATCACACTGTCGTCTTCTCTGCAATTTCTAGAAAATCCCACCATGCCGGTCCATACAACGTGGCGGCTGCTACCCCTCCGCCGTGGGTGCCGCTGGTTCGTCTTGGCCCTGCCGGTCTACTGCGTCCCCAGCCTCCTGCATTAAAAATGGCCGCCCCAGCCCTTGCATTTCGCATTTTCTTTTTTTTATTGCGCCCAGCCCTGCGAGTTTCTGGTTAAATAGTAAATAGCACCCCGTACCCTGCATTTGGGAATCCCGTTGCTATTTACATTCCTCACACTTACGTTTTTGCGCGCGCCCATTGTTTTCTTGCATCGCATTGTTCGCCAAGCTGTCTCAGCCCACTTAGGCGATAGCCTCACCCACCTCACTCAACTTACACCGCAGCGCTGCGCAACACCACACACACATAGTATCACCACTGCGAAGCAAACAGCTGCCCGCCATGATTTTCGCTCTCTTCTTCGTGTGCACGCGCTTGTCGCAAATCGCCACCTTGGTAAGCAAAATCACTCACTCGCATCTATGCGCTCTAGTCATTTGAAGATGCGAAACTAACACTCGTGTCTCTCACAGCTCTGCACAATGTCCATGCTCGCCTGGTTCATCAACATCTTTGTCGGCTACAACGCACTCACGCCCAACCCGATCCTCATCATATTCATCGTCTCCGTCATCGCTCTCACCTGGGCCGTCTTCACCCTCTTCACGTACCACCGATCCTCGCACAACGCCCTGTTTGTCAGCTTTGTCGACGCTCTCATCCTCGGCGCCCTCATCGCCGCGACCTACTTCATCTCGCCGATCCGCCTTGCGCAGTGCGACGACGCTAACCCGCGCAAGTACTGGGCCAACTTTGTTGGCGGCGACCAAATCACCGGCCTCGGCTACGAGTGGGGCTACAGCAAGCCGTGCAACATGCTCAAGGCCTGCTTCGCCTTTGGCATCATGAACTGCCTCATGTTTGGCTTCACCTCGTTTGTTGCCTGGATGCACGGCGACAAGATTGTCATTGTTGAGGAGCGCCGCCACCACCACCCGCGAAACCATAGCCGCCGCCACAGCCACCGTGGCAGCAGATCGCGCTCTGGCGACTCTCGATACAGCAGAAGCGAGCACTCGCACCGCCGTGTCTATGTTTAAGAGGACGAGACGGATGTGTTTACAGAAAAGAAAGCGAAAATCAATAAAAAAAAGAAGAAATATATACCACGACTTTCGGAAGTCGATACGCCGGATATGACAGGACGGAAAATGGGAACCACGACACTGCGCTATACAAAGTATAGGCGCTGTATTTAATGCGACGCACACAAGATGTACGATTTCATATTTCATTGGGTAGCGCAAATGTTTTATATCTTTATGCTTGCTTGTTTTATATTTGCATCCCTCGCACAAATCTTATATTTAGACTACTACACATAGCCCTTCCAAAAAAACAATTGAAACTTTGCCATTCACCCCAAGACTCCCACTCAAACAGTGTGTACGCCGTTCTATATGCATGGTTCTCATATCGCATCTAATTTAGTGCTTGTTTTCGTCATCGCCCACCACGTAGCCCCGCGCAACACCGCTGCGGCCTTCTTCCACCAGTGTGCTCGCCTCATTGTCAAAGTCGCTGCCGAGACCCTGCCATGTTCGCTGAGATCGGAGGTATTCCGCGCCAGGGCTGACGACACCGTTAATACTAGCGAGCTCGCCAACGGTTCTCTTGATAAGCGAGCCGCTACCATTCTTAGCATAGGTGCCAGGCTCACCATTTGTCGTTGTGCTGCTGCTCTTTGCTGGGTTTTGTCGCATTGGGCGACTGTGACTGACGAGACGGCCAGTTCGCAAGTCAAACTCGGGAGGAAGCGACTCTTCCTCATCTAGATCGTCGTGCTCATCACCAGCCTTGTCACCATTGGCGGCTTCCTCGACGGGTGCATCTTCAAGAGACAGCTTCTCCACACCACCCCACCACTCGCCTCCCCAGACTCTCTCGTCTTCTCGCATCAGCGCAACCTCCATCTCAAAGGGAGTAATGACAGGTCGCCAGTACGCAGTGTCGTCCTCGACGAGACCACTCTCCCAGCATCCAACGACCACCCAGCCCTCGATTTCAGAAAAGTTGGCCAGCTTGGCGGGGTTCAGCTTGCCTACTACAATGGTGTAGCTCTTTTTTCCGGCCTTGGCAATCTTGTCGCGCAGGATATCAATGGACTTGAGGTAATTTGAAACAGACAGCGTGTTCACCAGGATGCCAATAACGCCTGCCGATGCGAGGGTCAAGACCTTGGCAAATCGGCGGCGAAGGAGACCAGCCGCTTGCATAGTCGGGTCGCTGACGCCCAGCGACGGGCCCTCCGTAGAAAGTACATGTAGCGAAGCAAATCGGGACTTAAGTGCAAGAAGAAGAGCGGTAGGAGGGTCGGAAATATGGAATAGCGCGTAGTCTTGGAGTTGGTCGTCTGTGACTGGGGTGTCTACTACTAGCTTTCTGTTGGGAATGACAGCTGCAGGGTCTCGTATAGCTTCGGTCGCGATAAAGTTTGTGTATCCTGCTTCTTTGAGCAACTTGGAAATATCCTCCACGTGATTCTGATATGTAAGATCGGCAGCTAGGACAACCTTGGCGCTCTTGTCGGGGAATTGTTGTCCGAACTGTTCCACTACAGCGGCGTGGTCGAGGGCATGGTTTGTGTAGATATAAATGGCGGGCAGTCTACTCGTCGGACTCAGACAGGTTCTGCCATAGTGAATCACCATGTCAGCATCAGCATGTTCCGCTGCGACTTCATCAACGCAGCATGCGCTGTAGCTTGTGTCGGCGAGAATGCATATGCGTGCGTCGGGTGTCGCAGTAACGATCTCAGCCTCCAGGAGCTGGGATACTTTGGGAGCATCGACCAGCATATGGTCTGGAAACTGTAGTGCAATTCTCTTGCATCCTCTCTCGCGAATCTCTTTCGCCGCTCGTTCGAGTTCGTATGTCGTCTTCACTTGGTCGTCTGTGAGGGTCGACTGGATGACTTCGGTTGTGGCTGTTTCGAGAATGACGTCGTCTGGTGAAGACAGCACCGGTGCTACAGTCAGGCCCTGTTCCATGGTTGTTGTGATCTTCTATCTGTATCGCATGCAATATTTGCGACTTGTGGTGTACAGTGGCAGGACTTTTTATTTTTCTAGCGTCAGGCGAAATCTTCCACGGCGCCCGCAGTGGGGCTCCATCTTCCCCGCTGCCACATTTATTTTAGGCGTTGTGATGCTAACCTCACACATACTCCACACCCTCTACCGCTTACTCCTCAATCAACTTACACTTGCTGCGCTTGCTCTTATCCACCATGAACGGCCAAGTAAACCAATCTTCGCAGACAAATTCACGTCAAGGTGGTTTAGATCCTACACCAGGGCTGGTCCCAATACGACTAGTAAAAAACATGTTCTACCGAATGAAGAGATCAAAGCAACCAGGAGATCTTCACAAAGACCTAATTGTTGCCAAGAACGCTATATTAAACACAAAACCAAATGATACGGCTGACTTATTGTACTTGAGCGACTGGGAGGATATCTACAAATGTCTACCATTCCAGAAGAGATCTGCATTGTCTTCAGCTGGCAAAGCAGGCTACCTCAAGAGCAGTTCGTGAGCTCACCCCGAGCCCAGACAGATGGGTGGCACTCAATCGCTTAGCTTCAATCATGTATGACTTATATCGAAAACAAAGGGATAGATCTATTGCCGAGAAATCGCTCCATCTCTATATGCACGCGTTGCAAACAAGAGACGCAACAACTCGAGAAACACACGAGATTCACCGCGCTATGTCCCGTTTGCACTACTCGCTATAAAAAAGATCCACGGATCTTAGTGATCTTGGCTTGGCCATCAGATCGCTTCGAAAAGCATCAAACGCTGCGGTATTATATAGCCCAGCCAAGGCATGTCGCGATCATCAGAAGCTTGCGGAATGGCTATACCTTCGACATTGCATTACATATATCCCGGAATACCTCAACCACTCTATCCAATCGACCCAATATATAGTTAAGCACCATGAGTCGTTCCCAAAGTTTTGCGAAGTATGATGCTCAAGAGGCTAGGCGATAGCCTCTTCATGTTTTACGAAAGGACAAATTGCAACGAAACTCTAGGCCATCTATGCGTCTGACTGGAGAGCTTTTATTAAGACCCGACATTCAGAGGGCTGCCGTCGTATCCAAGTTAGCCAAGAGGTTGGATATGCGAGTTAGGCTCGGCTCGAATATCAACAAGGCGACCCTGGCAGCACAAGAAGCATTAGTATTCCTGACACCAGACGATGATAACTTTAGTACCGTCGCTCATTTTGTTAATGAAAATTTGGAAGATGGGATAAAGGTGACGAAATGAGATAGCAAATAAGAGGATGAATATATTCAATTATCTTTATCTATTTTCTTGCGAAACCCAGTTTTAAAGCATTACTTCTTGTTTGCCTGAAAAGGTTCGGATGCTTCCTCCATGACCTTGCCGAGCTCCGCTGTCATCCTATACACGGGATGAGCAAGCAGCAGATCGTGAGGAGACTGCTGCCGTGTACCTGAACCTGGCACATTGGCATAAACACTATTAATTAGTCCTTGAATCAGTCTCATACCCCTTAAATAGAACGCATTGCGCGGATACATACCTATGCCATGATTATGAACACTAACAGGTATCATGGCAATGGTCTCATTTACATGTGTCCCCGACCATGGTTGACATGCACGTAGGGTATTCGCTTGAGGGTTTGGCCAACTGTGCTAGAAGGCTCAACAGGCGCTGTTGCGCCATATGCTGGAGGGGAAGAAGCCATTGTATTGGTATTGTTGTATCTACTCGATTGTTGTCTTAGAAGGTGCAAATGTCGTGCTCTTATACGTATTATTCCTTACGATTAACAAGGTTTTCACAACATAAAAAACTATCTTTTTTTGGAGCTGTCACCGTGACTGCCCTCCGTGACCAAGGCTCAAATTTAATCTATATTGATTTTGAAGGCTTGAAATTTTAAATCTATATACTCTTTCAGGTTAAATGTAGAGGCTTGTAGGGCGGGTGGAACTATGCTATGATAGCAAAGCGAGGGTAATATATGGCTAGCCGATTGCCTCGTTCTGCCTAACAAAGTCGATACGCAGAGCTCGACAAAGATTGCGTCTACCTCATAAAACCAACAAAAATATAGCGCCATCTTGTTAGGATTTATCAAGTAGATCCCGCACCGTGCTTATTATCGTTCCGTTTTCCACCCCCTCTGCATTCAGCAAATCCCATGGCAACAGACTCATCTGCAGACTATGATGCCGTTTACTCATACAGTGCTGCATCACCTTGAGCATGCCATCCATTCGCTGCACCCGCTCTGGCAAGTCTTCGTACTCTTCCATTTCCTCGTCGGAAAGGTTGGCTACGCCTAGGCGCACACAGAGTAGCAAACTGGCGGCAAACGCAGCAGCCACTGGTGCCGCATACGAAGTGCCCGATACAACCTTGGTAGCTGGCCCCTTCTTATCTCGATTTGGAACGCAATATGTCTTTATGCCTTCACCCAAAGCATAGAGGATCGCCGGCGCGTTGTTCTCCTCCGGGTTGAATGCAGACGCGGCGCCATTACCGTCCGTGGCGCTAATACCAAAGACAAACATCTCGCGTGCTGGCCATGCCATGGCACTATGCGCACCGTCATTCTGTGTGGCTGCGAAAAAGAGAGGACGGTTTGCTGTCTGCTGTGCTGTATATATGGCCTCATGAATGCACCGGATGCGCTGCTCAAAGCCGAAACTCATGACAATGATATCGACGCCCCAAACTGTTGCTGCATATCTAATTGCCTGTTGTATAATTAGCCCAAACGGTGTTCTTGGAACGGGGATTCCATGGCACACGATTTCCTTACCTCGGCAATATTACGTTGTGTGTTAGCTGCATTGCTGCCGCTTACAAAGTCACTCTGCCGCTGGCATACTTTGGCGATGTAAAGCTCGACCTTTGGCGCAACGTCTAAAAGGATTCCAGCAACACGTGTGCCATGTCCATCGCTATCCACGTTCCAATCCATTTCAGCACCACAGAACGACTTACAGTGCGTCGATGCGATGGCCCCGTCATCGATGTAAGCTGCTTGCAGATGCTCCGGCAACTGCAGCCCTGTATCAAGCACAGCAACTTTGACACGGTTCGACTTTTGCACCTCATCTGGAAGCTTTTGGAATCTAGAATGATAGACTGCATCGAATACGCTTGACTTCAAATGCTTGCGCCATGCTGCACTGGCCTGTAGAGTTTCATTGCTCAGCTCTTCGTTTGAAACGTCAGGCGCCGCATCAGCGACCCTCATGGTATGTTCTGGCAATTTATGCAAAGGTACTTTGCAAATTGTTGATAAGACGTCTCCGAGGGGGTATAATATTCGCTCAAATATGTACTTGCGCGTTTCATTGTCTTTAATGTTTGCTTTGCCTAGTCCCCCTTCACGGAGTTGCTTTGGTTGAATACATGCGATAACGGCTTGGAAGCATCCGTCAGGGACTTTTCCATTTTGGCGAGCTTTCCATTTATCATATGCTCCCAGTGCAACTGTGCATTTATCTTGTCCAACGGGAAATGATAATGCACTGCCACGGAATAATTCGAGCAGCAGTATCCCCAGAGACAATATATCCGGGAACCAATGTGCAGCATTGAGATTTCTGACAGGTGGTCGCGATTGTTGAAAGTTTAGGTTCAGGTATGGCTTCATGATGTTGAGAGACTGCTGGTTGATATAGAAGCAAACATTCTGTGCAGTAAGGTTTGCATATAGCCCATGGTGATGGACATTAAAGAGGTGAATAAATGATGTCACCAAGATAAATGCGAGCGCAATACGATCTTCGATGGCTATATGGCGAATAGATGAGGTTCGCGGACTGGATGTTTCATCTAGAAGTTGCGCGAGAGTCTTGAAATCGCGATCGGGAACTTTCATTAGCCAGGATTCGTCAAATTCGGACTGAAGCTGCCACAGTTTCTCTTCATATACTGCCATGTTAGGCACGATATTAGCGCTACCCTGCTCGATGATATGGCAAAACTTATTTCCAACCAGCTGGGGAGCTTCGATAATGTAGCTATAAAACAGTACATAATTAGCAAACTGTATGAATGTTCGACCATCGGGTATGAAACGTACTCAATATCTCTGACAGCAACATCCGTAGCTTGCCAATGAGGAATCGCTAAGCTTGTGGGAAACATGATCCGAAAGAGCACCGTTTTTGGAGAAATGGTATGCCCATAGCGAGGCGCTGTTTCAAAGTGCTGATAGTGCGTCAAATTCAACTTCATGGCTCGGCTTAGATGGAGTGGCGTATTGCAGGGGCATCTCCAGCATTTTTCGATAGCACCAAATAGCGTTGCAGAAAGTTGGCGCACGTGTTTGAATGGGTAGTCAGTAAACCGTAGAGGACAATGATGTACAGCATTGTCGTCAAAGGAACTTGTCTTTTGCAGTGCATTGAAAGCTACATCGATCGACGATAGGATTTTGCTTCTCTTCTCTGCATTGCTGCTGCAGATATGAATCAGGCGTGCGACATACCTGGCTATCTTGTCGCTGACTTCCCCCTCATCAGGCTGCAGGCGCCCAAGCGCATACACTTTGGGATATAGGTCGGTAGCGCGACGTTTGACTCCTACTGCGTCGCATGCCTTGACTCCATCAGCATTTGTCCAAGAGGCACATGTGTTCTCTAATGAATCGTGGACCTTAAGCAAGGCGTTGTCTAGCTGAGGGTTCGGGCCACTAACGGACTCGAGATCGAACGTTTTGAGGGCTCCAAGCAAAGTGACAGCTTGCACTATGAAGTTTTGGTAAAACTGGCGTTTGATAGTTGTCTTATTACTTTCTGCCTCATCGTAATCTGGAAGATCAGCCCACGTCAGTTGGGCTACCGTGACGACAACAGACAAAGCAGCAGTAAGGGAGTAGACAAGCTTGTCGGTTTTCGGGACAGCCGCAGGTTGAGTATAAATATATGCTTTTAGACTGGCTACAAGAGACATTGCTAACTCCGTAAATAGCGAGTGTATCTCATCTGCGCCGAAACTGGTTTGCCGCTGGCTGCGGGGTCATTTGATGGTGTGTAGTTTCTTGGATGCTGTCTCTTCTAGAACAACTTCAGCGCGTGGTTTCAGCTGAGCCGTTGGCACTACACCGGCCACTAGGCTCGGCCCTTCCACAATGGGGCTGAACGAGCCCCGCTTCGTGCTCGTGGCGCTTGTCAATGTTGCAAACATCATCGAACAATTCATTTCACCCACCAGAAATGCACTATAAAAAATGGACCATGGAAAATGGATGATAATATTGGATAATCTAGATGAGGATATATCCGGCGACGTACAACAGCCACCCGACAGCGAACTCCCAGTGGCCCCAGATGAAGTCCTCGGCGATATTGCAAACTTGGCTGTTGCATGCCGCGATCTGCTCCAGCTACTAAGTAGCCAATATGAAGCGCAATCTGTGCCAAGTTCGGAGGCAAAGAGCCAGCGGATCGCATTTGAGATCTGGGCTGCTGCAGTTGGAGCCTATAGAAATGGCGAGCAATCCCTAGCTTATCGCCTCAAGAGCTTACCAGACACCAGTGCCCAGATTCTGAAGCTACTGTCCAGTCTGTATATTCTTTTACGTTAGTAGTAATGATAGTAGTATTTTATAATGTGTGCTAATGAATTTACAGAAAGGCAGCTGGCAGTCTTGAAACTTGGCAAGGAAGCATCCTTCTCTGGAAGCGACTCCGAGACATCGTCAGTTTATTCTGCAACCTCTGTTCGGCTTGCTCAATATAGTGATGATGATTCAGATGTAATCCCGTCATCACACAGCTTTTGGATATCCATTCATGATACCATTGTTAGTCTTCGTCAACTTGGGCTCCAGCTCCGAAGAGCAGGAGCTAGCCACCGCCGAGAGCGCGTTCGCCGTTTTATGCAACTCCCACGAAATAAGCACCTATACGACCTTGTTCGGTCTATAGCTCTTCAAACCATACAATATCGATTTCCACAAATGATATGGTGGCTTCAGGAGCGAATTGCAGAGTCCATCGTCATCCGCAGAGGTCGAGTTCTCTACTTGGAGCAACACCAAGTCAAGATTCGGGTTGCCGAACAGCCTGTCCTTTCGGTGCCTAGAACGGAACCCCCAATCATAGTCCCAGTGCCAAGTGACGCCGTAGGGGCTCAGGATCCTGAACCAGTGGTTAGACCACCTACTATCTCAGAGTCAATTTCCCCATCCTTAAACCAACGAACAGAAGTGTCACAGACCATTGCAACCAAGTACACAAAGGTCACAAAGGCACCTTCAGTTTCTTCGATGACAATCACCACTGGCTCATTCCCTTCGTTTCCAGCGGTGGAACCTACAAGTCATTCATTCATTTGCCCATATTGCTCCTTGGAATATCCTACATCAGATTTTACGTCACAAAGTGCGTGGCATACACACCTTATTCATGATTTGGAACCATTTTTCTGTGTTGAGCAAGAATGCGTAAATCCATTTGATTGTGGGTCATCTTACAGCTCTTGGATAGCTCATATGAAGAAGGAACATGGAAATCCAAAATGGCAGTGTTGGTATTGCCCCCAGTCACCCGCTGGGCCGCTCGAATTTACATCGTCACCAGCATTTAAAGATCACTTGACGAAAAAGCATGGTGACAAAGTTACAGACTCTCTACGAGATACCGTAATCAAACACAGTGTCATTCATGGAGGCTTAAAAGTGCTGTCTTGCTTGTTCTGTGGTGGCTATCCGGCTGAGATTGAAGCAACTCACGAGAACCCACACACCCCTGAAGCAATAGAAGCTCTTTTGAAGCATATTCGGAACCACCTCATATCTTGCGCTCTCATACTCCTCCCGAGAAGCTTGGAGTCTATCCAGGCTGATGTCGAGCGAGGCTCAGACGCTGGTGATGATGGGGGCAATGCAAGCGACAAAGATGTTGAGAATATCAGTGTATTAGAGGGGTTGACAACTGATGAGCAGTTGCGCTGTTCCGCTGGGTACTGTGAATGTCACATCGCATCGTCTATTGAAACTGGAGACTGGTCCAAATTAAACAATGAGAACCCACCAGGACACTCACCCGCGGATGCCATTCTGCGAGCACTTAATGAAACACGACAAACTCACGATACGGGCGAATGGGAATTTTGTTCTCCTTTCTCTGTGGGACAAAAGCTAGGGCGTATGTCTACGGAATACCCTGATCTTGAGCATGATGAAGTGTTGCATGAATACTTTCAGCTCAAGTCATTTGCAGCACCTGACGCAAAGGCGTCGGACCCAAATATCCCATCTTCAGATGCACTGGATGCAGAATACTCTGGCCCGAGTTTTGATATGCTTGTTCCCCCAAATCTGATCCCGATATTCAGAGCCATATATACTGACCTATGCGGCAAAGAGCCAAGTATTACCAAAGGCCGTCTTTATTCCTTTCTCCGATTTACGCAAAACATATATCCTGTTCCCGAGATGGAACACAGATACTATGGATTCATGCAATTTGTGCTCTTCACTGTGGAGCATAATATATGGAGCAGGCTACCAGCTCCTACTCCAACACCTCTCGATTACCCCATGACAAACTACTTTATCAACAGCTGTGGTGATATGTTTAACATTGGAAATCGACTCGTACGCCGTCATGAGCTGGACATTTATACCAGTGTAAGTTGCTTATAACCTTCTAGTCTATGGATCTGCATCGAACTATATACTAAAAATGGTTATCCTTCAGGGCCTGCTTCGTGAATATCGTTGCATACAGTTTACCGTATGGAACAGCGACGCTACCTACCCCTTTGAATCTTCCGTCCTTTCCGCACGTCCTAAATGGCAAGTCCAAAAACTATCGCCATCCGAACAGTCTGGTGTTGATGGAAGCGGATCACTCCTTCCTGTTAGCAAGCGGCTGAAGGACATATCACCTCCAGAAGAGCCTGTTGGAGAGATCACCGAACCAGTCGTCAAGTATACTCGAGATGCGCTTGCCTGGTTTGGATTTCGGAGCGTTTGCGAGTCTATCCGCAATACAGCTTTCGCCGTGAATGACCTGCCCCTCATCGTCATCATCACCGTTTACGCCGACCTTGAACAACAAAAGGTGATGGTCAGCACCTTGAAAGAGGTATGGCAGGGCCTCCTCTTAGACGCCCCAATAGAGGGCTGTGACCCAGACCTTCAGGTTCCGAGACTCGGAGACGTCAAGAAGAGGATTCTTTTGCAAATCAGAAATGTTCCAAGTGAAGAAGTGCAACCTAGACTTCCCAGAGTAGAGGCTGGGCAACCACAACGAGCAATTTACCCTCCACTGAGAGCCCTCTGCGTCTACACTCGAAGTGAACGGTTTGAGGATTACCAATCACTCCGCCAGACCACAGCGACGCACCCAGCACACGTATTTTCCATCTCAGAAGCTGGAATAAATGAGGTCAATCTCCATGATAACCGCGCCGTTTTTCTTCACAACAAATCATTTTTTATGCACGCCTACCCGTCCTTTAGGTCATCGTCTTCGGTCAATATGGCTACGCTTTGGAAAAGGGGTGTGCAAATGGTAGCTGTGAACTTGCGCAACATGGACAAAGGCATGATGCTAAATCGTGCCATGTTCCAAGATACTAACGGTTGGATCCTGAAACCAGCCGGCTATAAGTCTAGCGATAAAAGCAGTGAAGTTGCAGAGCAAGCCATATCACCAATAACCATAGATCTTGACGTGACTATATACCTCGGCTTGAACGTTGCACCACCAAACCCTCGCTTGGGTGGAAGCACCCGTTGTATGGTTCACGTCGAACTACACACTGATTACAGCGATGCTGCTTCGACCACGCGACAGCGTCTCATTCCATTCCAACATAAAGAGCAGACGTCGATCCGGGAATCTTGCGACCCATTTTGGGGAGAGAACGGGGAGACGCTGCGGCTTCACCAGATCTCAGGAGTAATGCCATTATTTAATTTCTTGCGGTATGTTCGTAATCCCAGCCCATTGTAATTTAATACTCATTTGTTACCAGGTTTTCGGTCAAAGATGCAGACGCAACGGTCTCAACCGACTTTTCATGGGCATGTATTAGGCTGGACCGGGTCCAACAAGGTTACCAGTTTATACAGCTATACAATCCTCAGGGGAATCCTGTTTTAGATGGAAAGCTTTTTGTTAAAATAGAAATTGCCAAGAGAGGGTGAAACTGCTCCCCCTCTCCGATTTAGCTGTCAAGCAGCAACGTGCGACTACCCAGGAGTAATATTTATTGTGGATAGGTGTTTTTGTCTCTACTTGAATGTCGTTGAACATTGTGCATAGGAATATAGAAGTAATTACATGTTTTTTTTTAAGTTCGCTTCTCGTATATTTTTATTGCTAGACTGTGTGCAATCCAGTATCATCCCTTTCAATGAGCCCAGTTACGCCCGCATTTTAAGAGCTGCGTAAAAGAAAATGTTACGCTCAATTTCCGAGTGGCAAGCTATTTGTCCCTTTACACAGAAACTTGCAATTTCTTTTGATTCTACCGCAAATTAAGCTGTGTACCGTCAGTCGTAGCTCATGAGATTTGTGCGTTTGCTGGTGTTCGGCGAGGCTCTATACGGATGCTCGTAACCTACATACGTGAGCGCAACCGACAGCCTTACTGGTTGCAAATAGCAATGATTCCAAAGAAAACGCCACTTGTACTGTATGAGTGTTCTACAATAATAGTAATCACTGAAAATTCTACACCTTACGAGGCGCCAAGTGGTAGATGCTCCTCATGTTGCATACAGTCACCTGCATTAGTCCCCGATTGGGTTGGCCGATAGATTTTAAAAGAAGGACAGGAGCAGTCTAAACTATTGCGATTAAAAGCCACTGTCAGGTATAGCATCTCGTGAGTAGCTTTTGACTCCATTTTGCTGCATAAGGCTGTGTAAGTCTGGTTATGCGAGAATGCAGTTGCGAGCCACGCCAACGCCGAGAGTCATCTGTTAGGGATTTCAAGCTCGAGAATGAGAAGTGAGAGAGTATATAAAGCGAATGCTGTTCTACTATATCTCTCTTTCTCCCTTGCATCTCATCAACACGCTCGCTTTTGTTGTCCCTTCTGACATCCACTTTCAAACCGAAGACTCTTCATTCTTTTTCACGCCTTCTACCACAGTAATTTACAATGCACGCTATCTCTGTCATTGCTCTTTTGACAGCTGTCCTACCCAGGCTCTTGCCTGGGGCCCTGACACCATGGCCTTTTGCAAGCCTGGCTTCGTCAAGAACTGTCTGAGCCCTGCCACTATCCCTGATAAATGCTCTACTTGCTTGACTAAGGTTGAGAAGGGGTGCTCTGGCGCCTGGGGCTCTGACGAGTTCATGGATTGCTTCTGCCGAGTTGATTCTACCGAGTATAGCAACCTTGAGTTCTGCGTCTACTATGACCCGAATGAATGCCGCAACTATGCGTACCAGATCATGGGCGCATATGCCAAGAGTTGCGCGTCTTGGAAAGAGAGGCAGCAGCCCAAGATTTGCCCCCAAGAACTACCACGGTGATCTTTCTAGATACCAGCTCTCTCGCTGGATCTGTGACTGGTAAGTAACCAACTCTCCTGACCACTGACTCTTCCACTAGCTAACATGTCGTGTCAACGCTGGGATGAGAACTCTACCACCACTGGCAAGCCCCATGCCGCTGAACCTACCACTGCTGCTCCCAAGCCTACCAATGCTGATCCCAAGCCCTCGCAGCCCGTTGGTCCCATTACCAACGGAACTGCTCCTGGTGTGAACAACACCTTCCCTTCTTGCCCCAAACCTCCGACGAAGACCACCACCATCTGCCCTGAAGATCAGAAGCCTACCACGGTTCCTGGTGTTGTCCCTGGAAACCCCAGCAAGCCTGACACCAGCGCTCCTGCTATCGTTCCTATCGGTGGTGCTGCTTCTACCTGCATGTCCGGTGTTGCCCTCCTAGTTGCTGGTGTTGCTGCTCTTCTGCAAGTGGCAAGTTTGCAAGCATGGGCTGTGCAGTTGGAGGGTTGGTCCAAGGAAGAATGGATTTCATGTACTGAAAAGTAATCGTCTAAATGAATAGTGTTGCACTAAACATATCCTCCATCTCATCCGTCTTGAAAGGAGTGATATGTCCATTCGAAGATTTTTCGATTTACAGCGAATATGCCACTAAATTTACCGCATCTGCAAGTAATCTCATAGTGGCCCTTGTCTTGGATTCCCTGATTTGGACTAAGTTAGTTGCAGTTTGTTTGGTGTAGCATTGAGAGACAAGGGTGCGGTATGGGCACAGCCGTGGTGGAAGTGGAGCCCCCCTGCAGGCCGGCAGCTGGTGGCCGCCGAAGCTGGTCGCGCGATCTGCTTAACGCGTGAAGAGGGCGGGCGACGCGACTTTTGGCTTCCCCTTCTCTTCCACACGCATCATCACCATCCAGGTTTTATTCTTTTTTCGTTTCGTTTCTTCTCTGGTGTGTTTCTTTTAATCGACTTAAATGGTTTATTAAACTGCCTGCATTATTCAACGATCACTATTTAATTACATCTACATCAACAGAATAACTCGTTCGCATTCATCTATACCATAGCCATTCGTCTGCCGCCTCCAACATGGCTGCCGAAAAGATGGCCACGCAAACACCCGCGAAGCCATCGCCAAAGACGGCTCCCGCGTCTTCGACTACAAAACAAAGGTCCATCATGTCCTTCTTCCAGAAATCATCGCCTGGTGGCCCTGCTGCCTCGTCCCCGGCGGCGCCAAAGGTGGCTACCACTCCCACATCCCACCTCAAAGAGACTACAAAGGCCAACTTCCTCCCCAAGGCTCGATCATCCGCAAAACTCGCCACACCAGTCGCTTCGAGCGATGCTCCCGAACCGCCCAGCTCTCCTGGCGACATGGAGACAACACCAAAGGCAGATCAAATGGCGATTGACTCGCCGACCATCGCTTCTGGCAAGAATAAGGAAAACACAGGCAGCACTCCCCCGCGAAAGGTAAAGTCATGTATTGTCAAGTTGCAACTCGGTACTTGTCTAACATGTCATTAGGGCCGTAAGTCCGTGAATTACGCAGAATCGTCGGACGAGGACGACGAGTTCATATTTGGAAACGGTGCACAACGACGCCGCAGCCGCGCAAGAGCAGCCATTGCGGACGACGATGACGAAGAAAACTTTGGTGGTGATTCAGCAGCCGACGACGATGATGGTAAGAACTACAGCCATGCTACAATTGACACATCTAACATAGACTAGATGATATGGCCGACTTTGTCGTGGACGATGAATCCGACGCTGACGCAGCACCAACAAAGAAGCGAAAGCGTCCTTCTAAGCCTGCAGCATCCCGCAAGCGATCCAACGTTTCTCCTCCTGCCATGACCGAAGAATATAGCGACATTCCCGATGATATTATGGAAGAAGACATTCCTGAGTCCACTTCTACGGCCGCGCAGTGGAACTATGATCCCGAGTCGACAGACAAGCGACCCGTCACCAAGCCAGCTGAACGGACCAAAGACTCCAAAGCTAAAGTCAAGGCTCACACCGTGGATCCAGACCAGCGTTATCCTTGGTTAGCCAATATCCGTGATAAGGAGAAGCGCGAACCTGGCCACCCGGACTACGACCCAAGAACCATCTATATCCCCCCAGCAGCTTGGAATAAATTCTCACCATTTGAGAAGCAATATTGGGAAATTAAGCAAAACTTCTGGGATACTATTGTCTTTTTCAAAAAGGGAAAGTTTTATGAGTTATATGAAAACGATGCCACCATTGGTCACCAAGAGTTTGATTTCAAGCTGACCGATAGAGTCAACATGCGCATGGCTGGTGTGCCAGAGAGCGTTCTGGATCAATGGGTGAACCAGTTCATTGCCAAGCAGTACAAGGTTGCTCGCGTCGATCAGATGGAGACTAACCTTGGAAAAGAAATGCGTGAGCGTGAGGAAAAGAGCGGCAAGAAGGCGGACAAGGTCATCGTTCGCAAGCTTGCCTGTGTTTTAACAGCTGGAACTCTGGTTGACGGCAGCATGTTGCAAGACGACATGTCTGCCTTCTGTGTTGCCATCAAAGAGTCACAAGTCGACGGCCACCCTGCCTTTGGCCTCGCTTTTACGGATACCGCCACCGGCCGCTTCTTCCTGTCTGGCTTCGTCGACGATGTTGACCTGACCAAGTTTGAGACCTTCGTGGCCCAGGTTGGTCCTCGTGAAATGCTCTTGGAAAAGTCGCGCCTCTCCACCAAGGCTCTGCGCATTCTCAAGACCAACACACGCCCAACAACCATCTGGACATATCTCAAGTCCGGGGAAGAGTTTTGGGACTCAGATGTCACTATTCGCGAACTTACGGCAGCTAAGTACTTCCAGCAAGAAGGCGAAGACACCGAAACATGGCCAAAGGTCCTCGAAGAGCACAGAGATGACGAACTGGTCATGTCTGCTTTTGGTGCACTAGTATCCTACCTCCGCGTATTGAAGCTCGAAGGCCCCCTTCTTTCACAAGGCAACTTTGAGCAATACAACCCTATTCAGAAGAATGGTACTCTTATCCTGGATGGCCAAACCCTGGTGAATCTGGAAATTTTCTCCAACACTGTTACTGGATCTGGAGAAGGGACACTATTCAACTTGCTCAACAAGTGTGTCACGCCCTTTGGCAAACGTCTCTTCCGTCAATGGGTCGCCCACCCTCTTGGCGATATCGACAGAATTAACGAAAGGCTAGACGCTGTTGATCTCCTCAACGCAGACCAGTCAGTACGCGAGCAATTTGCCTCTCAGCTCGTCAGCATGCCCGACTTGGAGCGACTCATTTCTCGTATCCACGCCTGCGCCTGCAAACCTGATGACTTTGTTCGCGTATTGGAAGGTTTTGAGCAGATTCAATACACCATGACTTTGGTTGGTGCATACAAGGGTGGCAACGGTCTCTTGGACCGCCTTATTTCTACTATGCCTGACCTTGAGGAGCCATTGAGCTACTGGCGCACTGCATTTGATCGCAAGAAGGCCAAGGAGGAGAAGATATTCCTCCCAGAGAGAGGCATCGACGAGGACTTTGACCGCAGTCTTGATTACATCCAAGAAATTAAAGATAGCCTGCAGGAGATTCTCGTCGCCAAGCGCGTCGAGTTGAAATCCAAGGCTCTCAAGTTTACTGATGTCGGTAAAGAAGTCTACCAGCTGGAGGTTCCCAAGGCTGTCAAGGTTCCCAACTCATGGCGCCAGATGTCTGCCACCAAGGATGTTAAGCGCTGGTATTTCCCCGAGATTACCAAGCTTGTCCGTGACCTCCAAGAAGCTGAAGAGACGCATTCTCAGCTGCTTCGCGAAGTATCGAACCGCTTCTGCAGAAAGTTTGATGTGGATTATGAAGCTTGGGTTCGCGCCATCAGCATTGTTGCGCAACTGGATTGCTTGGTCAGCTTAGCAAAGGCCTCCATGTCGCTAGGTGAACCAAGTTGCCGACCTCAGTTTGTCGATGAAAAGCGCAGTGTTGTCGAGTTTGAAGAGCTGCGCCACCCCTGCATGACTACTACGGTGGATGACTTTATCCCTAATGATATCAAGCTCGGTGGCAACCAAGCCAACATTAGCTTGCTGACTGGTGCCAACGCTGCTGGTAAATCTACTGTGCTTCGCATGTCTTGCATTGCCGTCATCATGGCCCAGATTGGCTGCTATGTTCCGGCCGTCTCTGCGCGCCTAACACCTGTGGACAGAATTATGTCGAGACTGGGAGCCAATGACAACATTTTTGCTGCACAGTCGACCTTTTTCGTTGAGCTGTCCGAGACCAAGAAGATTCTTGCTGAAGCTACACCTCGCTCCTTGGTCATTCTTGACGAGCTCGGCAGAGGTACTAGCTCCTATGATGGTGTTGCTGTTGCTCAAGCTGTGCTGCACCATGTCGCTTCCCATATCGGCTGCATTGGTTACTTTGCGACCCATTACCACTCGCTAGCGACTGAGTTTGAAAACCACCCCGAGATCCGTGCTCGCCGCATGCAAATCCACGTCGATGACGAGAACCGCAAGGTCACTTTCCTGTACAAGCTGGAAGACGGTGTTGCTGAGGGTAGTTTCGGTATGCACTGTGCTGCGATGTGCGGCATCTCGAACCGTGTTATTGAGCGCGCCGAGGTAGCCGCCAAGGAATGGGAACATACGAGTCGTCTCAAGGATAGTCTTGATCAGGCCAAGACGGGTTGCTATATTCCTCTTGGCATTCTAAGCGACGTGGGCTCCTTACTCGGAGACAAGGAGACAGTAGACGAACGTGGTCTCGAGGTTCTGCTCAAGGCAGTGGAAAGTTTGTAAGAGATATTCAGGGAGTCTTTTTTGGAAGGCGTAATACTTTGGCGCATGAATTGGGTTCTCATTCGTATATGTCTGCTCCATCCACGAATGGGCCCCATTCGCGAATGGAGCAGCCCAGCCACAAATAAGCCCATTCCCAGTTGGAGCAGCTAATTCACGAATATCCACATTGCGCCATTCGCGAACGTATATGTAAATAAATCAATCAACTAGCTATGAAACTATATTTCCAACTGTATCTGCCCGCGCTCTTTTTCTTTGTGATTGCCGTGTTCTTTGTGCTATAGTTAAGGAATCAACTATAGCCAATTCTGTTCGAATAGCTGAATTAGATAGATTCCCACAATCATGATCATCTCTATGGCAGTGTATACTGCATTTTTTACCTTCTTTCGAGCATTTGCATCTCTTTGTATTGCAAAGCCCCTTGCACTGGCATGAAATCCCAATTCGAGTACTTGTAGAAGCCTCTCTGGCCGCGCAAGCAAGTGTAACCTCTTTGGTAGAGTCTGGGATCATGATATCTGACCATAGAGACTTATCAACAACCGAGAGCCCTTTGGTTGGGACTAATCGTTGTAGAATTCCAGAAAATGTAATTACCTTATACTTATTTGGATAAGGTTCAGCTAATATACGCCCAAAGAGCTGCCGATTATCAGTTGATACTCGATCTTCTCTGGAGACCTTCAGTGAAACAATATCACCTGTTTTGAAGGTCTGGATATCATGGTTCTTTGAGTATTTGCGAATCATCTGAACTCGGACCTTCTGTGTAGTCTTTCGAGCTTTTGTAATTACCTCATCAATATTTGGTGTATGAGGTGTTAATTGAGACTCTGATATAAAGGAATTAGCCTCAAAACACTCTTCAATTGTAGAGCTTTGAGTATTTGAGTCGATTTGGATGTTGATTTCCGATCCAGAGCTGCTGGCTTCGAGGCTAATTCGCATTGTAATCTGTGAATTTGAATGTGTAGAGTTGATTCCAATATTGATTTGCGAATGACTTGGGCTTGAGCTGAGTGAATATATAGGCGCTGTTTCTGGGTTCTCATGCCTTATACCAATTGATAGATCCTTTCGAGATGTACTATTCAACCAATCAGAATACGGTATATGATCTCGAAAGAGTAATTCCGCAGGTGCACATCCAATTGCTGAATGTATTTGTGTATTCATCGCCAAAGTCACCTCAACCAATCCATCGACCCATTCAGTAGAGCCGTTATCCATCTTCCAGGCTCTCAACTTAGTTTCCACAACACCATTCGCCTGCTCAACAAGACCTTGTGTTTGTGGCGATCGCGGATTTCCACTGATTAATTGAATTCCATACTTGCGTAGTATAATCAATAGAGCACCTCTGAATTCTCTTCCATTATCTGTTTGTATGATCTTTGGTGGTAGAAAGGCTGCAATAAATTGCCCCAAAGCAGCTGCAATTGGCTCTGCATGCTTGCTCATCAATGGATAGAGCTGTGTATACTTCGTAAAGTGATCTTTGATATGTAGAATCCATTTGAATTGACCAGATGGCTCATGTCGCATATCAATTAGATCAAGTTGAACTCGTTCCCAGGCTCTATCTGTAAAAATAGGAACTAACGGAGCCTGGGTTGCCGCTGGTCTATTCAGGGCGCAATTCTTACATCGATCAACAACAAATTTGACTTCCTTGCGCTTGATTCCATAGTATCGTTGTTGAACTGCAGCCCAGGTCTTTGTTTGGCCAAGATGAAGTAGTTGTAGATGCTCATTGGCGATACGGTCGAATACCTCTGATTCTGGCACAACATACCGAGGGTGTTTAAACTTTTGACTTGGTTTTCGATGAAGTTGTTTATTAACAAGCTCAAATTCTGTACGTGCACGGAACTTAAGCCGGGATTCGGCTGCGTTGGTTGGCTGTAAGTCTGGTTGATCAAGCCAAAGATGTAATTGACGCCTGACTGAATATTCGATCCGCTCCCGATTGATGTAACCTGGTTCCAAAATAAATTCTTGGAATGCAATACGTACATCATTAGGGAATGGATTAATCGAAGCAATTACAGCACTGGAAGGGGTAGCCATTGTGAGATTGGATGATGTTGTTTAAATCAACTTTATTTACACATCTACATACATCGTTGAGGCTATCTACACCGCCATTTACACGGATTCGCGAATGGCGCAGTGTGGATCGGCCCATTCGCGGATGGATGAGAGAGTTGTTTAGTGTTTTGCAGCCACAGCAAGCATGACCTGTGATGTTCTGTGACTGCTAAAGAGCTTATTTTTCGTACCATTCCATCTATTACATCCAATTGGCCTCATTAGAATAATTTTAAATTATTTTCCACATCAACACTCGCTTTTGTTGCGCAACGCCTTCCATCAACCATGACGGTCACATGACACCGTGGGACCCCTTCATCCCGCAACACCAAAAAGTCTCGCCAGCCAAAAAAGTCCCAAACCTCGCAAGCAGCGACATTCGCCTCGCCCAATTCTCCCCGCGCGCTGCGGAATCTCGGAGACTCAATCCGCCGCGCAGGCACCCAACATTAAAAACCACATCAAAATGCGGCCAATTCGCATCCTCACCGAGCTGCCCGCCGCACAGCGCCTGTGCCCTTCAGCAGCACGCCAGACACGATGTTTTTCGTCTGCCCGAAACCGCCTGCAGATTCGGCGAGCCTCGTCAGCATCTGCTGCTGCTCCTGCTACTTTCTTCATCTCCAACAGAGCCTTTGAACGAACCCAGTGCCTCGATTTCCTGCTCCCACGACGAACCGTCCAGACGCAATCGACAACTCCTAATACCACACAACTCGACGCCGAGGCCATTGAGAAGCTTGCACCGCATAGAAGGCGGCAGGCTCTCAAGAAACTAGCTGCTGAGGCTGGAGAGCCAGCCACGCTCTCTGCTCCAGATGCCTCGTCAGCACTGACTACCGCTGCGGCTGCTGCTCCGGCGTCGTCGCTGCGCCGCACAATCTCTACGTTCCTCTCGCTATCGAAACCGCGGTTGACGGTGCTCGTTGTGCTGACGGCCATGGTACCTTATGCGCTGTATCCTGTACCGGAGATGCTGTCGCCGCTAACGACCGAGACGCCGAGTCTGAGCCCCCTGACGCTGCTGTTCTTGACGACGGGCACGGCGCTGTGCTCGGCTAGCGCGAATACATTTAATATGCTGTACGAGCCCAAGACGGATGCATTGATGACGAGAACACGCAACAGACCGCTTGTTCGGAAGCTGATTTCGACAAAGGGTGCTGTGGCATTTGGCGTGCTCGCCGGTGTTATTGGCACGGGCAGCTTGTTCTTTGGTGTGAATCCCACTGTCGCCGGCCTGGGCTTGGCCAACATTGTGTTGTATGCAGGTGTATATACGCCGCTGAAGCGAGTGACTGCATTCAACACGTGGGTTGGCGCCGTGGTGGGCGGTATTCCCCCGCTCATGGGCTGGGCCGCGGCTGCTGGCGAAGCCGCGACCAAGGACGGCTCGTGGCGCGAACTGCTGCTGGCCAGCGACGGCTCGTCACTTGGAGGATGGCTGATGGCGTCGATCTTGGTGGCCTGGCAGTTTCCGCACTTCATGGGCCTGAGCTGGGGTATTCGCGAAGAGTACAAGGCCGCTGGTCTGCGGATGCTGGCGTGGACGAACCCTGCGCGCAACGCGCGTGTAGCGCTGCGATATAGTCTCTTGTTTGTGCCGATTTGCGTGGGCCTCTGCGCGGCCGGAGTGACGGAGTGGTCGTTTGCGGTGACGAGTTTGCCGGTGAACCTGTGGCTCGTCAAGGAGGCCGTGCAGTTTTGGAAGCACCAGGGCCACAAGGGCAGTGCGCGCGGTCTCTTCTGGGCCAGCGTGTGGCATCTGCCGGGCCTGTTGATCCTCGCTATGCTCCAGAAGAAGGGCATGTGGACAAGGGCGTGGAACAGCGTGTTTGGCGCCGAGGACGAGGGGCTGTGGGAGGAGGACGAACTCGAGGAAATGAATGCTGCTGCGTCGGAGGGGAAGACGCAGTAGATACCCTGCATTAACGGACGCAAGAGCTGCATCATCATGTACCAATAGTCTTTTTTTTATCCGTGTCCATGTAATTATAGCCAAAAGAAGTATCATTACCATATGCAACGTTTTTTAGTAGCAGTGGTGTCATTAGTGCTAGTAGTACAAGAGTGTAACCAGTAAAGTATATAAGGGTTCAAAACAGGTAAATATGCAATCTTTTCAAAATATATAGAACACAAGCAAACAAAAAAACAAGCTGTCGTCATAACATTCGTGCAAGTAGACACACCCAAAAACGCCGCCGCCCGCCCTGTATACGCCACGCCCACATTAAGTAGTTGCAAAAAAAGAGTATTGGCCCCAGCAAGTAGAAGGGAAAAGTATGTACCGAAGAAGAAGAAAAAGCAAGGAGGATACTCTATCTTTCAAGAGTACGGGCTGCTGCCTTGACTGCTTCCTCTCCCTCCCCTCGACACATACGGATGTGCCATGCTCGCATTCGAGCTCGTGCTCGACGAGTACGCCTGCTGCTGCTGCTGCTCCGCATACGCAGCATACATGACAGACAAGTCGTACGACGAGTTGCGCGAGTGTCCGGCCTGGGCCATCTGGAGCGCATGGGCCGACTGCATGGCAGCAAGGTGCTGCTGCTGGAGGACGTGGTGGTTGGGGATCAGGGTGCCGCCGCCGGTGACGGTGTTGAAGGACTGGTTAGCTGACGGGCTGATCTCGGGGCTGCTGTAGCCGGCGATGGTTGCGCCGTCGATTTCGTCTACTGGGGTCAGACCGATGCCAGACACGCCGCTATCGTCGTCATACCCGTTGCTGGCGTGGTCGCCGGCGATGCTGCTGTTGCGGTAGCGTTCCAGGCGGGACGCGGCGCGGGCAGCGCTCTGTAGGTTCTTGAGGCCGTTGGACATGCACTGTGTATCCAAGATATCATTAGCAATTGTAACATACAAAAGAGTGTAAAAGGAAAGAAGAGGGCAGGAGATGTTCACACTTACACGCTGCTCCACCACGTTCCAGCGCTCACCGGTACGGGCTGCAAGAGGAGCCCAGATATCCTTGCGCAGCTCCATGTAGTTGCGTGCCAAGTTCTGGAGTCTGTCCTGGCTCCATTCGTCGGGCTCGCGGCGCTCAAGGAGTCGCTCGTGGCGCTTGCGGCAGGCATTGGGCGACTTGTTGGGGAAGTAGGTGTTGCGGATCTGCTTCCAGTTGAGGCCGTGCTTGCGGGCCTTGATCAGCTGGATGTCGTCGGCGGCGGTCCATGCTCCCGAGGACGGGCGGTGGTGCGAGAGGCCGCTCTCGTCGCCGTCGTCGTTGTTGTCGTTGTATGGCTCGTAGGAGACTGCCTCCTGCTGGAGAGGCATGGCAGCAGCAGCAGCAGCCTCGGGGGGGATGGTGTAGTAGCTGGGGGCAATGCTGATGCGCTGCTGCTGGTGATGGGCATCGAAGGCCTGGGCTTGCATGTATGTGGAGCGCATGTCTGTAGAGTGTCTCTGAGATTCGCTTCCTGTCCGGCTATGGCGAGGCATAGTTGTGTACGTGTAGGTGGATTAGTGGAATTAGGCCGCTTGAATAGGCCAAAGGAGGCTGACTGATGGTAGTAGATGCTGGGGAAAGTCGTGTATGAAAGAACCAGTGTATCGTGTAGAGAGGGTATCCAAGGAAAAGAGAAGTGACAAGTCTATAAGATCCGGATCCAAGAAAAAGACAAGACAGATGACAATGACTCTAGGAAATAGACAAAGGAAAAAAAGGAAAAGACAAAAAGGAAATAGAGTGTTGGATAGTTTACCGGTTCAGGCAAGTGGTTTGATCTGAAGAGGAAAAGGAAAAAAAGATGGCCGGGCCATGGCCTACCTTTAATGTCCCAGGACGCTGACCTTGTTCGCCATCGAGAGCTCAAGAGCCAATATCCTCGCCGGCGGCTACGAAGATGAAACACGACGGCGAGCCAGCTAGACGCTGAGCTTAGTGTCTGGTCGGTACCTTGCAGTACGCGATCTCCCGCAAGGGAACGACTATACACAAAAAGAGGGACGGCGGTTAGCTACCAAGGGCGGCGGCTAGGCATAGGCTACGGAGGACTCTGGGTCAGCGGGGACAAGAAACATGCGCTGCACGCCAGCGGGTATGAAACACGAACTCGTTTCCTTCTAGCATGGTACTAGTTAGTAGTAGTAGGGCGGCAAAAGCATGTACCGTAGCAAGCAAGCAAGCAGGCTGTACTGCTAAACAGTGTGTACCTGACCTAACCTGTCTACGGTAGATCTATCTCGGTCGATCCCACATTTCAGGAACAGGCATAGCTTGCAGACGGGCGGCTCGGGAAATGAAAGGGGGCCAGCAGTGGCAGGGCGCCAAGGTCACGTGTCTCCCTTACAGCTACAGCTACAGCATTATTCCTTTAGTTTTCTGTGTAGCAAGTTTTGTTGGAGGTGGGAAAGTTGGGCGGTTAAAAAAACGATTGGATGGCCGGTGCTGGTGACAGAGCGCGCGTTTAAAGAGTGGGGGCTGCTTCGTGGGGGGGGCAGAGGAACTTTCTATTTTGGGACGTGGGCGTGGCGTGTGATTGGTCGGCTGGCAACATACAAAGAAACACAGTACAGAGATGTAAAAAAAAAATATGGGATTATGTGCATATGGTGGCTTGTTACAGAGGATCCGTTTTGGGAAGTACACTGAGGACTTACATCATTATTATGGCAAGAGGGAAAGCCAAAGTGGAAAAAAGGGAGTTGCTATTCTGGGATACATGGGCCAGTATAACTCCCAACAGAGTGAACCTCGTGGCGCTCGTTTCAGAATATGAGAAGAGCAAGTTTGTTTGGCGGGTTTCTGTGAAGTGTTTCGAGTTTCAGGGCTTTCCTTCGGTTATGCTACGCGCCGGGGGACGGTATGCGGTACGAGTAGAGCGACGTGGCCGGCTGCTAGTGTGCCTACCCTATGGCTGGCTTGTGCACAATAATGAGGTCATTCACGATCAAGAATTGAGAAGTATCAGGTATTACGAATGAAATGAATTATGCAACGCTATTTATGTACACTGTAAAAAGTATGGAATGAATTTTCCTCCGTCATGCACAAATACAACTTTCCTAATGTCGTGGTTTACAGGTGAGACTGGCTCTTGGACCCGCAGCAAGCGCCGGCACCGGACGAAGCATTCTTCTTCGCAGCAGCGGCAAACGCAGCGCGAGACGTCACGTCCTTGGCCACGGTGCTAGGAGGCACCCAGAGCGCAGGGTTCTTCTGGAAGAAATTCGAGGCGCGGATCATGATGCCCACGGGCTCGGCCGGCATGACGGGGAAGTCCTCGGTGCGGGGGAAATGCGTCAGGCCAAACTGGTTGTAGAGCACGATATCCGTGTTCTCAATGTTCTCGTCGCGCTCGACCCAGTCCGCCATGGTCTGGTTGAAGGGGTGGCCCATCTGGCCCGTCGACTGGCAGACGTAGTCGCCCGCCGGGTACTTCTCGTGGTCTCTGTACGGCGTGACAAAGAGCGTCTTGGTAGCAAAGTGGGCGCGCTTGGCGACAACGGCGTCAGGCTGGGCCAGCAGGGCCGGGCACGAGTTGTTGATGATCTTGTAGCCGATGGGCTTCTTGGCGACGCCGTTGATCACGTTGGGGTTGATAATGTCCCAGTTGCGGCCTGTCTCGTGGCAGTACGATGTGGCGCCCTCCTTGGCCGTGCGGAGCGTCGTCTTCTTGCAGTAGAAGGCATTACCAAAGGGGTTGGCGGCGGAGCCTGTAGGCGAGGATGAGATGACGGCGTCGTTTTGCACGACGGAATTGTTGGGGCCGTCGATTTCGGGGTCGACGCGCAGGCAAAAGATGTGCTGGTGGTTGTGGGCGGTGATGCTCTCGGCGACCTGGGTGCCGTAGGGGGCGGCGACGTCGTCGGGGCCCATGCAGTAGGTGTTGAGCTGGCCGGTGAGCTTGATCTCGAGGTTATATGTGCCGTCGAGGGAGAAGGTGTGGTAGAAGGCGTACTCGTAGTTGGCAGCGGTGATGATTTGCGAGATGATGAGCTTGCGGTCGCGGGCGGCGACGACGGTGCCGTCGCGGTAGTCGGTGTGCTTGTAGAGGATGCCGTTGTCCTCCTCGTGGATGCAGATGGCGTTCTTGAGAACGGCGGCCTGGCCCGAGTTGGTCGACATGATGGCGTCGAGGTAGTGGATGGCGCCCTTGCAGTCGCATCCGAGCTTGAGCGAGTTGGTCATGAGGCCAGTGCCGTACTCGCCCACGTCAAAGGCGTGCTTCTTGTGGTGAGGGGCATCCGGGTTACCGTAGGGGACCACCATCTCGACAACGGAGATGCGGTTGAAGAGCGTGCGCTCGCGGTTCTCGTAGGGATCGTTGATGGTCACGTCGGAAATGACAATGCCCTCGCGGTAGTTGAAGCCAATGTGCATCTTGTAGCCGGCCCATGCGAGCTCGTTGCCGCGGACCTGGAACGACACGCCCTGGGGCTGCGTAATGTCAATGGGCTTGAGCACATCCGTCTTGTAGCCGTTGGCAATGAAGTCAGGAAGGAAATTGTGCGAGACGAGGGGGGCGGCGGTGCGCTCGCCGTTGACGTAGGCAATGTCGACGGCGAGGATCTCGCCCGTGTCGGTGTCAGCGACAATGGAAATATCCAGAGGGTGGGCATACTGGTTGTCCAGCTCCGAGTTGCGGTAGTACACAAGACCCTGCTGCAGTCTGCGCTCAAAAGCCCAACGCTTATCGACACCGATGGCCCAACCGTCAATGTACACTTTGGACATGTCGGTAATGCCGATCTCTGCGCAGGCCGCAATCACGCGGGGGTCCTTGCGTGAGGCAACCTCGACAACGTCGAGATCCTCAAGAGTAAGAGTGGCAGCGACATCAGTGACATCTTTCCAGTCCTCAATCTCGCCCGTCTTGAGATTTACAATGACCTCGCTGGTGTTGTTGGTGCCCTCTTCCAGGACAATCGCAAAGGCCTTGCGGACGGGTCGGGGAGCCGCGCCGCGCTTAAACGCAGCGTACTCGGCCTTGGGGGGATCATGAAGCGTAATGCAGTTGAATTTTGTCTTCTTTGCATGCGCCTCCTTGATGATCTTGCAGGCGGTGGAAATCTCAATAATATCGAGCTGGTCCAGCGGGTGAGGAACCGGGCGGGGGGCCTGGGCACTCTCCTGTGGGAAAGCTTCAATGTGAGGATAGATTTCGTAACCAGCAATGGTAGTGGTATCCGTTTGTATCGATGGGGAAGCCATGATGTATGTGTGTATGTGTGCTGCCGCAAAATTAAAAAGCTTTCAAGTAAAAAAAGCCTGTAGCTTAGCTCAAGCAGCGTTTAGGAAAAGGATGGTAAAGATGAAGGTTTCTCTCCAAAAGTTCTAGCTGGGGTAACGCGGGGTTACATATAGTCGAGGCTGCCCAAGGCGGTATCTTCGGACAAAGACCCCAAACTTTTTTTTCCCCAGAGGCAAGGCCACGACAAGGTGTAAGCTGTGCAGCAAGGCGCTTCGGGCTTAGTGTCTTGTGAGCATACTTGGCATCCTCACGGCGGGGACCCCTACACTTTGCGTGCGCTCGGCGTCCGAGGGACCGTCGCAGCGGTGGGCTATCTGGGTCCGAAATGGGGGCGGCGTGCGCCGGAAAGATGGGACTACGGACAGCGGCCCCGGGGGCGGCGAGCGACGCTGCTACAGTGGGCTTCGGAGCGCCGTATGGGCTTCTGTTTCAGCGGACTTGGTGGTTTGCCTCTTGGTGGTGCGGCGCTACTGTGCGTCTGCGGCCGCTAAGTCGTGTTTCGTGGGGCAGGGGTGCGGGCCCTCCGGGGTGCGCGGGTTGCGAGCGAGAGAAGTCGTAAAGTGACTGCACGTGGGGGAAATGGAAGGCGTCGAGAACATGTCGTCGTTGATTGTTTTGTTGAGGGTAAATTGGGAAGAGGCGAAAGAGCGAAATTGAAAGTGGACGTTGGAATATTTCGTAGCAAAGGGCGCGCCAGCTGTGACAGGTGCGAGGACCGCGCTGGGTGGTGTGGCGGCCCGCGGCTGGCGGCTGGCACGCACCTGGCAGACAGACAGTTGTCATTTAGCTTCTGGACCAAGCCTGGAACGAACAACGACCGGCGGCCGAGTGCCCGAAGCATGTCAAGGGGGATTTGGATATAAAGAAGACGAGAGGAGCGAGTGATCCCAGTGAAGGGTTATACGAGATGAATAATTTCTTACTTTTACTGCGGGTTTCAAGGCATCATCTTGCTAGTCATCTTCTTTGTCCTCTACTCAACATAGATGTCAAACATCGGATGCTGTCCGATGGTCTCTATTTGGCTGTAGTAGCAGGCTAGTGTATCAGGATCGTGCTGTGCAGCAGACTTCCAGAAGATACACAGAAGGCGCTGGCTGGCTGGCCCCTAACATGGCTTGTTTAGCCGCCTATAGCAGCGCTGAAGATGCGGCGCAAGTACGCCGACGCAACGAAGCCCTTGTGCGGATGTGCCCTCTTTTGCATTTGCGGCATACTTTGTACGGTCTGTCTTGAAAGGGTCGGTTGATTCCCGACAAGGAAACTGTCTGCTACCAATCAGGTGCATTTCCGATTGTTTCCGTGTCTTCTTTTTCCCCTTCTAGAGGCCGTTACCGTTAACCGAACCCAATCCATCCACTTTATCCAACACTTTTCTTCTGTTTCTATATTCCATTGTTCGACTAAATCCAAGGTAGAAACATACACCCCCTCCCTCGCCACAAATATGCGTAGCCTCAGCCTGGCTGAGTGGGCAAATGTGGAGGCGCGGCCGCCGCGGAGAGCCGCAAGCCATGCAGCTGTCTATCTGTGGGGGAACCACGATTGCATCTCACGGCAGACCCCGGAAAATAACGAGAAAAAAGCTGATAAAAGCGATGCCGTGGTCGGCTGATGGCTTGTGTAATTAAAAATCCGGGGATGATAGGAATAAGAAGAAGAAACCCAAAGGGGGTGTATACGCATCATGCTTCGCGTCTGCTTCTATACATGCGTCGTGATGCTTCATTTTTGCAGCAAGTATCTAATACCCTTCTGGCAGTCCACTAAATCTGACCTAATACTGTTCCATCCGTTGTTGCATCGCCAGGATTTATGCTTGTTGTGTAGTTTACGAGCTACCAAGAGCGTTGGCGCATGTAACGCCAACTGAGATGGGCTCCATCGGGTGGTGGGGGTGGTGCCCCGAGTTTGGGGGGCGTTATAGCAGGCTAAGGGCGCTGTAAGTGCGCTGTACGCTGTCCAATGGACAATCTGATGTTTTCTGTTGATGAGACGAGACGTCGAACCACTGGCACCTACAAAATAGTTTGTGTAGTAAAACTAGCATCTAAAATAGCAATAAATCAGCTAGAAGAAGTCTACATTATTCCTACATTTTATTATTTTATTCTGCTACGGCTTTCTGACACTAATTGTGCTGGTCTTGTCAGCAACGTCTCCCCCCGCAAACATGACAATCCCTCCCAGGGGCGTACCCACCCGCTATCTGTGCCGCCTGTCTGCAGCGGTCTTACGCGCCCCGGGTGCCCCCCAAACACCGCTGTATCTCGCTTCTTCCCCAGTTCTTTGCCCGCTGCTGCCCCAGAAAAAACGAGACGAGGCAAAAAAAATATGTCGTCGCCACTGCAGTAAACGGCTGTGCCCGACCACCACCAAAACCCATCAACGCCCAATCGCCCATCAGCAACTCCGCCCCTTCTTCCTGTTCCGTTCCGTTACCGGGGGCTAGAACTAACTACCTGTATTTTGGGGGCTGTAGGGGCACTGTGCTAGCGACTGTTCCAGCGCTGTAGTGGTCGGGGTGCAGCAAGCAACTAGGCTACCATCCCAGCGCAAAGAGCCATTTACCGAGCCAACACACGCCGTCAGCCCGTCCGTCCCTTTTTTGCTGGTGACAATGAAGACAGCCGCCTCTCCTTCTTCTTACATTCTCCCCTGCCGTGCTTAGCTTCTGCCACGAAAAAAGAGGGCGTCGGCAATCTCCTGTTGCTGCTGCTGCTGTCGACTATCATCCATCATTAGCCTTCACTCTCTCTCTCTCCCACACCCCCCTCCGCGCCATTAACATCCCCCTCTGCGTCTCTTTCTTGCAAGGGGCGCCTGTCTACTCTCTCTCTAAGAAACCGCCAGCGCAAGCCACTACGCCTCCGTGCATTAGAACCGGCGCCTTGGTCACCCACACCTTGGAACGTCGTGCCTTTTAACAGCGGCATCTGCTCGTCCCTCGAGCCAACGAGCTTGCAAGCCCAACCTCCTATCGCATCGCAAGACGCTACTACTACTACTACTACTCTTCTACCCAATTCCCTTTTCTCGCAACTGCGCGACTCTCTCTTGGCTTTCCCCGGCCAGATATCACCCCCCTCAACCAACCCCTAGAGAATGACAACGACTAGACGCATCATTGGGACAGACACGTGCATAATATGAACACTTCCCACGACGAACCGTCGTCTTCACACGGCAAAGGCCATGATCTCACCCGCCTCAACACCGAGGAGCAGACCGCGCGCGATATCGCGGATCTAGCTGCCCTCGGCCACTCCGAAACCCTCTCCCGCAAGTTCAACAAATGGAGCATGCTCTCGCTTGCCTTTTGCGTCCTCGGCACCTGGACAACAAACAGTCAATCCTTTGCCACCGGCCTCAACAATGGCGGCCCTCTCACTATCCTCTGGGGCCTTGCTCTCGTCTTGGTATGCAACCTCTGCGTGGCTTTCTCTCTTGGCGAGCTCACTAGCTCCATGCCCACAGCTCTCGGCCAGGCCTACTGGATCATCCGCATCTGGGACTCTAAGTGGTCGCGCTTCGTGTCGTACATGTGCGCCTGGATCAACACGTTTGGCTGGTGGACCCTGACGGCCTCCCAAAACGCCTTCATGACCGATTTTCTTCTTGAGATGAAGGTCATGTTTGATCCCGACTGGGACGGCGTCAACAAGGGCTGGGTCAAATTCCTCATCTACATTGGCATCACGGTGGCCTTTACAGCCTTCAACCACGTGGCGTGCCGCGATGACCGCATTCTCCCCTGGTTCAACAACTTTGTTGCCGTCGGATTTGTGGCTCTCTTTGTCGCCATGTCCCTGGCACTACCTATTGCTGTTGGCACCCGCGACGGTAAGCACTTCCAGACCCCCCAGTTTGTCTTTGGTGGCTGGATCAACAACACGGGTTGGCCTAACGGCGTTGCCTTTTTGCTTGGTCTCGCCCAATCTGCATACGGTCTGACCGCCTTCGACTCCGTCATCCACATGGTGGAGGAGATTCCTGCCCCGAGAAAGAATGTCCCCCTTGTCATGAACCTGTCCATCATCTGCGGTGCCGTCTCGGGCTGGCTCTTCATGGTCGTCTGCCTCTTCTGCATCCAAGACGTTGACGAGCTGACCAACTCCGACTCCAATGTCCCCTGGGTCCAGCTTGTTCAGGACGCCGTTGGCCTGGAAGGTGCCGCGGTCTTCATCTCGCTCTTCATCTTCAACGGCTTCGGCCAGGGCATCAGTATCCTAACGTCTTCGTCTCGCTTGACCTGGAGTTTTGCCCGTGACGGCGGCATGCCCTTCTTCAACTACTTCTCCTTCGTTGACAAGGGTTGGAATGTCCCCGTCCGCGCCTTGTGGCTTCAGGCAGGCATCGTTTCCATTGTTGGCGTCTTGTACCTCTTCTCGTCTACTGTCCTGTCTGCTATCTTCAGTGTTAGCACCATTGCCTTGACCATTTCATATGCCATGCCCATCACTGTCGTTTTTCTTCAGGGTACAAGCTGCCTCCCGCCTGGCGGCGAATTCAGCATGGGCCGCTGGGCCCCCGTTGTCAACATTGTTGCTCTTGCATACTGCGCTGTTACCACTGTCTTCTTCTTCTTCCCTGGCTCTCCCGATCCCAGCACAGAAGACATGAACTATGCTATTGCTGTCTTTGGTGTCATGATTGTCATTTCCCTCATCTTCTGGTTTACCAAGGGTAACAAGTCCTACATGCAAGACGAGCACATGGCACAGATTCTCTATGCGGATGCTACCCACTCTGACACTCAGGAGCCGCTTGACCCCGTTACTCCAGAAAATGGCAAAGTCGGCGTAGTCTAAGGAATACAAGTCTACATTTTTGTTTAACCTTGCATATGTTGATGTACCAATGCTACGATATCAAGGACCTTAGCCTAGTATATACGTTACATATGATTGAATACTACATGTAAAACTGATCTCGAGTATTTGAATAATCTACATCTATTTGCCTTCGCGATATGTAACCCACGCTTTCTTCATCCCCTCGATCTGACAAGGCGTAAACTCTCTGATGCACTCGCTACAAGTGTGTTAGTGGTGCTTGTGAAGCCATGACTAGTGCATTAACTTACTCGCTAGCTGCCGACATAAGGTTATGGATAGGGTCGTCGCCAGGATCTTTCGGGCACATGTCTGATTTTGTAGGACACTTACTTGGACTATAATAGTTGTCCTGGGGTGTATCCGCAACGCCATCATTTGGTTCGGTGCATTTGCCCTGAAATGTATGGTACAGAAGCAACCAGTGGCCGACTTCATGGGGTCCGACTTTGCCTTTTGTCCGGTACGGGAGCTCCTTTCCGTTATACAAAAGTCCTGCATGACAATGGCACCCGTCCTTGATGAAGTCTTCGGTTCCCGGTTTAGCGTGAACTGGGAACCAACAATATCCGTAGGTCCCTGGATGTGTGTACATATTCAAGTCGGCCATGGAGCCCTTTCGTAAGACCTTTCGCGTGGACTTTGTCTATTGTAGATACCATCTATTCTTTTCTATAGAAGGCAAGTTGCACATAGCATTTGCCTACGAAAAACGTGGAATGACTAGCACCTCGACAAACACACTAGACCCTCGAAATGCTTCTTCTATCGTTGGTACAAGGGCCTGCATTTTAGGTTGAGCTTCAATGTTCCTGTAAAAGTCCTGTCTGTGGGAGTGGTGTATCTCGTTTCTCTCGTAACTTTCCAGACTTTGCCGCAGCTTGGCTTTGGGGATGCGCAAGCAAGTTTCGAGCGTAAGGTGTTTGAGGTTAGGGAATCTTCCTTCTCTGACCGCCTTCTCCAGCTGAAGAATATCTGGAATGATTCGAGGATTTGGTGCGAGTTGAATGTTGAGAGACGCAACTGGCGGGAGCATGTCCACAAGGCAGTGGTTGTTTCTGCACACAGGCGGGTACTCTTCTCCTTCATCACAGGGATTGAGGGGATCATATTGGTCATTATAGATTCCGTAAGTCCAGTGCTGGCAAATGCACTCTTCATCAAAAGATAACCGCTGCAGTTTGGGAAAGCAGGAGAAGTCCGCGGCTAGCGTAGCAGTCGAGCCAGCTCGGTACCTTATATGCTCTGTGTTAATCTCAAAAGTCTCCAGACGTGAGGCGGCCACAAGCAGGCTCTGCAGCAGCCTGTGCAGAGAAAACGTATTGTAGAATCGGGGGTAGTCAATGCATATGGTAGACATCTTGAACGAGGTTAGTTTGCTGCACTCGGTTACCATCTGCTCTATTCTGGCATAAGCCACATCCTGCTGTTCTTGCGTCACTGGCCTCTCCGGAGCATCAGCATAGCATTCGGATGCACCCCATGCCATCTTGCTAAATTCCACCGCTCTTAGATCTGGCAGGTCAGACCAGATCGTCCTCGGGTTGGCCCCCCCAGAATCTGCTGGCCATAGATATGGTGCATCGCAGCGATAAAATATAATCTGCTTTAGGGAAGTGGCGCAGCCAAACAAAAGCTCGCGGGGATCGAGATGTATATTATTTTCCTCGACATAGCTGTGACCGTCTTCGTGTTCCCAGTGCCAACAACTTTCTCGCCAGTCGTCAATTATGACTGTGTGCAGGGACGACATAGAACTCCGGGCACATCTGTCGCTTACCATCCTCCCGACTCGTTGCAAACGTCGCCTTGCAAATTTATTCAATACTGGCTCAAACTTTTCACTGTCTTGCCAGGACGGGATGCGCAGAACCTCCACGCGCGAGAACGAGGCTACCAGAATCGCGTGTAGCAGTGTCTTGAATTGCTCTAATTGAAATAAGCAGCCATGGGGAGATTGATCATAGTCGCTACCATTAGCCAAGTAGACGAACATGTCCGCAAATTGCTCCTCGAACGGCTTATCCTGCGGCGTTAGCATCTGCAGCTCCGCAGCCATATCCTTGATCAGGGCAAAACCATCGTCTTTGAAGCACTGTACAACAAGTTCTGTATATATATTGTTATAGGGAAACCATTTGACGCACTCGGACAGGTCTCGGCGTGCACGGATAGTCCTTAAGAAGCTGTTCAGGTTGAGGATGTTGGGTAGGTGGTACAGAAGCGGCTGCGCAATATTTCTGAGGGTGGTGCATGTTTGTGAGACTGCATGAGGAGCCTGGATTTCCGCCCAAGTGGCTGAAAATTGTTCCTCCGGGTCGACTCCGCGACAGTGAGGGCACAGCTGCGCGCAGATGAGGCATAGTACCTCGTGCGGCAAAGCGAGCAATGACAGCGCCTTACGTGGCAGCTGTTGTGAGCGGCAGCGTTCAATTGGACTGTCTGGAGGCATAGCGCGACACTGTGACGGTAATGGTAACCAAGAATCACCGCATCGAAGGAATTTCAAGGCAAGGCAATAGATTCCCTGATGCAGCGTGCAACAAGTTCCAACTTGAAGCCAGGCAACCCTAGAACCCAGACTGATTGGGTGGCTTTTGGGCCGTGTTTCGAAATGAGCCACGGATGGTGCTAAGCTATAACCAGAATAGCCTGTTATACATGCAGTGTTCCGTCTTGTAAAGCGCCGTATGTTGTATGCGACCTGTTAAGCGCTGAGTGTGCCTTGGGAGGGGTTAGGCATCCAACGGGCCGACCCGAGTTGGCCAGCCTCGCGCTAATATAATGGTTGATCAGCCGCTCGACTCTTAAAAAGGAAACATCTATTTCTGTAATTTCACTTTGAGACTTATAAAATCATGACGAGCACGAAAGAAGAAACCGCGCCTCCAAAAGACGTATATCCCAGCCCTCCACCATCTCCAGGACCAGAAGACTCCCAGACAGAAGAACGGTCGCCCATACTCGATCAAGACCCGACTCCGACAGCGGCTAACAACGAAGAAATCGAGGCTTTGAAGACGCTCCTAAAAATAGACACAGACAGATGTCAGTGTCCAAAAGCAACCGGAGACGGGTTTTGTAATAAACGCAAGGCGGCAAATGGATCTGCTGAAGAAGCGAATGCCAACATTAACAGGCTGCTTGCTCAACTTGTTAATAAATCTTGCTCGGCAGCCGAGCTGGAACAAATACTAGAGGATCTGGCCAAACAGATACACTGCAGCTCCCATTCTACCTACAAATTTATAGAATCCCGCATCGACGCTTGGGTACAAGATATATTTAATGGCAAGGATGGCATGTCACATCAGCTCACCAAGAAGCGCGAGCTTCGAAGAATTATAGGCCAAATTCCCGACCATTGCACTGGTTATACGAAAACCACAGCACAAAATGGAGATCCAAAGACATGCCGTCAGACTTTGAGTGGAGAGAAAAAGTTGGATTGTCTTGATGCGATTGATTGTATTATTCTTTGTACCGAATGGCCAAGCCCGACTATCTTGTTAAATGGATATCTGGTGAAGCTTGCGCAGAATCTCTTGTGTCACTATCATGACAAACACATCTCCCGTCAACAAACAGAGTGGCAGAAACTTTTACAAACATTTGGTAGCAGATGCGAACTTGCTATGAGACAAGTATTGGTCCAGAATGGAATACAAGCAGGCGATAAAGCGAACCCTGATACGCTACTTACCAGGCCCCCGCCCGCCAGACGGGATGTATTCAAAACTAGTAAATTCGAAATCCGAGGAAAAGGCGAGGGCTTAGCGCCTGGCAAGACCTGGCAAGAGGGAGTCAAAGATCGAGTAGGCAAGGCCCTCAAGAAGTCGTCATGCGGCGATGAGACTAAAAGCGGCTATCTATACGCATACAAAGTCCAAGGGAACGATGAGTTTGTAAAGATTGGTTATACTACACGGTCAACAACAGTACGACACGGGGAATGGGAGGAAGCATGCTACAGGAGACCAGAAAGCGTTTATGAAGGCGCTCTCGTGCCGAATGCACTTCGCCTTGAAAGGCTGATACATGCAGAGCTTGTAAACGAAAAGGTCCGCATATATTGCGAGGCGTGTCAAAAGCAGCATTTGGAATGGTTTGAAATTTCCAACGAGAAGGCTATTGGCGTGATTCGCAAATGGGAGCTGTGGATGAGAGGGAATCCGTATGAAAACATTGGCACCGAGACAAGGCCGAACTGGACTTTGAAATCAGAAGAGATGCGGCGTCTGGCAGATGTTGAAGATTTTTTGGATGATCTAGACATTGCATCCATGTAATTGATATCTGTATTTAATTATGATATATTGATTACTGTTAGCCCAAGTTAAGCCTATATATACAGTTAAACACATAGCAACACCTTCCTTTGGGTATAGTTAAATTCAACAAGGACTGAAACAGACATTTTAGTATCCCTCTGAAAAGCATCTACGTATGCGACTTTGACAGCTGACTGCGGCCATATCCATCGGTGTTCGAAACTCATCATCTTCATCTTGCGGATTAAGCCCCCGCTGCAGCAAATACTTCACCATCCAGCTATTGGACTCTTCTATACAGTGATGTAGCAGAGTCTGGCCCTTGGCATCACGCACATTCCAGTCGAATCCGATGACATCAAGAAATTTGAACAACTTCTCAATCAGCTCATCCGTCGCCTCGCGATCCGCCTCCCGCTGATGACAGAATGAATGAAGAGGCATTCTTGGGACTTCATCCTCACTCCACTAGCACAAAGCATGCTGGAACCCATCCATACCAGCCAGATGTTCCAAAAGATCCAGGTGATGCCAAACGATGCTATCCGCAAAGAACTGGTGAAGAATGTTCCTACCACATAAATTTGTTACCCAGACATCTGCTCCAGCCTCTATGAGCTCTCTCGCGAGCGGACAGTAGTCATTGATCATAGCGTAATGTAGAGCCGTGTTACCACGTTTGCAAGTTATATTAACCAGACCAGGTGTTGCCATGAGCTGCTTCCAAACCGGTAGAGGCGATGGCACCACTTGTGAATCGACGAGATGGTGTAGAGCCGTCATGCCATCCTCATCCTGAATCAGGACATCCGCACCATGATCTATCAGGTATTTTGCTGTGACCCTGTGGTTTTGTCGACACGCAATCATCAGGGGTGTGGCACCTCTTCCATCTAATACATTGAGATTCAGTCCTTTCCAATGTGTAAAGTCTACGGCGTCGCATGAGAATAATAGACTGGCGGCATACCCTCTTCGCTCAAAGCATTCACAGCCTTATCCAGGCCGTCGGTGTCCTGGTCACCGTCTAGAAAACTACACAGCACACCCAGCACATTAGCCTTTCCAGACTGCGCAGCAATATGGAATGCAGACACGCCTCGTGGTGTTGTGAGCGTCAGATTAGCGCCGGCCTTGGCCAAACGCTCAACTGTCTGGGGGTTTCGTCTTGCAGCATAGTGGAGAGCTGTAAAGCCAGCATTGTCCGTCAAATTGATACTCTCGGCGCTAACATGTTTTGAGATGTCAAAAGGATCGCCAATGCAATGCCTGAATATATCATTCGGTAAAGGTCCATGTACCGAGCTATCATTGCCCAATGCATAGCTGTGCAAAGGTGTTCTCCCGTGTACGTTGAGACACATGATTTCTGGTTCGCCGACTTTGTCTGCCGATGAGGATGTGTGATGTGATTTAGAAGAACCTCTTAATTTTTCAAATCGTCCCATATGGATATGATACGGTGAACTGCCCTCATCATCACCGCCCTTGGCGTCCAGGCCCAGCTTAACAAGATGTTTATAGGTGCGCCTATTTCCACCATAACTAGCAGCGAAAAGCAGATTTTGCCCGGCATTATTTTTCGTCTCTAGTGATGCGCCACATACTATCACAGCGTCAATCATATGCGTCTCGCCATGTTCTGTTTGGAGAGACACGACAAGAGTATAAAGCGGTGTTTGTCGTACATCTGCCGTAAGTACGTGAAGCGGAGTCCAGCCGTCTTTGTTTCTGCTGTTGATATCCAACCCCGCTTCACACAACAGTTGTAAGAGCTTAATTACCCATTCGCTTCTCTTTACAAGCCTTAACCCTCTAGCCTTTGCACGGCGTGGTCGGAATCCTTCTAATCGGCAATGAGTCTTGACAGCATAATGCAGTGCATTGTTTCCAAATCCATCCGTGTTATGTATCTCAACATTCGCTGCCAATAGCGCAATGGCATTTTGGGGTTCAAACGCAGCCAACCTGTCAATCAAGGAGGAATGTTGATTCTGTAGGCCCTCTGATATCCCAGAGCCTTGCGGGCAAGTTGGTGGTGAGTCACCCAGATACGCACTACCGATTCGGAAAATACGCGAATGGCGCCTGGGATGACACTAACTGCAAAAGATATGGTCTAGAAAAGATGTGCTCATAAACTATAGTTTTTATGCAGTTGTATAGTTGTATAGTTTTGTATTACTTCCCCTCGAACCATACCGTTGTCAATAGACGAAGAGGATGATACTGGCTAGGAGCCTACTCGATGAGCTGACTCTACCAATCAAATAACAGCCTCTGCATCAATATGTAGATTCTCCATTCAAACTTTCGTCTTCCTAAATAAATACTACGAATATGACTTATTTACATTTCTAATTTTATAATGTTAGGTCTATAATGACCACTTCAACTACATCGAAGTTCCTATAGGGTATTGATGGTCGTTCCAACCACAATACAGCATATTTGTGTAGTTGGCAGTTAAAGCCTTATTTCAAACCTAATATTTTACCTTCAAATCTCTTTAGCCTAATACGGCAACAGAAGGCTCGTATAACTTACGCGGTCTTGACGCAGCTTGATGCTGCAGACCTAGCCTCCTGCCAAGCAAGCCAGCACCAATCCGATGTAACTCGTTCCGGATCACCTCTCTGTTTGGTCAAACACCGACATCATGCTACCCTTCTAAGTAAGAAGCGCAGCATATAGCCCTCAACATATAGAACCCCATACTCTATACAGAAAAACACCGGCGATGTCGACGCATTAGAAGCGGTTCATAATGTCGGAACTTCCAGTTCAAGACAACATCCGTGCCGTGTCTGATTTTGGCAGAGGCATCATGCGAGTGGCGAACACGACGTTATAACACCCCTTGAACTACCTCATTGCTTCCATATGTGTATAAATACGTAGTCCTTCGCGCTCCAAGCTCATCTAAATCATCGCCATCATCACTTCTACAAGCCTACCAATCAATAAAACAACAACTCGCTGCTTATACTTCCATCAAAATGAAATTCACCACCGTCTTCCTTACCATTCTTGCTACTGCATCTGCCTTCGTCATTCCCGAGGGTAGTCGACGCGACGGCATCTACCTCTTCTCCAAGGACGCCAATGGCAACGACGTGATGGAGTTTAAGCCGTACGCCAAAGCAGACGGTATCACCGGTGTAACTCCCAACGTCAAGCGCGATGACCGTATCGATGTTGGCTGTGAAGGCCCTGCTCTCGACCGCAATGATGAACACCAAGCCTGGCTTAATGCTCGCCAGTGGTGCACGGATGGCAACAGCCAGGGCTACGGCGCCATTGCCATGCCCTCTGCCGGAGTAAGTTGTTCAATCTACCTATCCTCCTCTATAACTGTTGGTGACTAACTCTGGCTCAGAGCGCTCTCTACTACATGTGTGTCTTTACCTCGCACGCTCAAACCTGCAATAACAACGAAATCGACCTCGCTGGTGCCAGACTCAACAACCAGTGCGGTCTCGGGGGTGGCTACGTCTTCTTCCACCGCTGGAACAAGTCTATTGGACGCACTGTTCAGGGACAGCGATTCTGCACCAACCTGTAAATGGATGCTCGTGGTACTGCTTTTTCTTGGCCGCTATTGTCAGCCAAGTTTTTTCATATAGTACCATCATAGAGAGCTACCAGTATAGATTTGCATACCAGAGCTAGACAGTATAGATGGTGAATATGGACCGGATAAACGAATATGCGCATTGGTAACATCCATGCATGTCTCGCGCTGTTTGCCTAATCCATGTTTAGCTATGATCAAGTGACACTGACCGATAATTCCTGCAGTGCAGTGGTGTACGCAACCAGAGTACGTTGAACGCAGAGGTGCGATACGCAAGCCAATCTCATGCAGATTGCGGGCCGCCCATGCATAACGCGATGCATATCGTTTCTCCTCAAGGGCAATTGCCGTGCCGCGAAACAGAGCGAGCCGAACGGAATGGGGCGGAGTACAAAGTGAATAGAAATGCAAAGGAAACAGTAGTTAGTTCAAGAAATAGATTCATTTTGCGCTATTTTAAATACATGAGAGATTTTACTACTATTTGTTAATTTACAGCTTTGAGCCAATGTTGATGTGCACAGCCTTGGTCTCGAGGTATCCGGCAAGACCAGCCTCACCCAGCTCGCGGCCAATACCACTCTGCTTGACACCACCAAAGGGAACACAAGGATCCGAGTCGTTGGAAGAGTTGACCCAGACCATGCCAGCCTCCAGGCGCTCTGCTACCTTGTGCGAGCGGGCAATGTCGGCAGTGAAGAGAGCGGCAGCGAGACCATAGATGGAGTCGTTGGCGAGCGCAATAGCCTCCTCCTCGGTCTTGAAGGGTGTAACAGTGACCACGGGACCAAAGACTTCCTCCTGGAAGATATCCATCTTCGAGGTGACGCCCGAGAAGACGGTAGGCTGGACGAAGAAACCCTTGCCGCGACCGGCGGTAGGGGTAGCAGACTCACCACCGAGCTCGAGCTTGGCTCCCTGCTTGCGAGCACCAGCAATGAAACCCAAGATCTTGTCGTACTGAGCAGATGAAACCTGGGGGCCGTGGGTAGTTGACTCGGCAAAGGGGTCACCAGTGATGGCCTGGGCCTTGATGACGGATGTGAAGCGCTGGACAAATTTGTCGACGACGGACTCGTGGACAAGCAGGCGAGAGGTAGCACAGCAGACCTGACCCTGGTTGTAGAGGATACCGTTGTACGCCCACTTAGCAGCCTGATCAATATCGGCATCCTCAAAGATGATGAGAGGAGACTTGCCGCCGGTCTCGAGGGTGATGTTCTTCATGGTGCCAGAGGCCATCTTCATGATTTCGCGGCCGGTGGCGGTGGAACCAGTAAAGGCAACCTTTCTAACTTCAGGGTGCTTGACGAGAGCAGATCCAGCATCCCTGCCGAAACCGTTGACAATGTTGATGACACCAGGAGGGAATCCAGCCTCCTTGATAAGGTTGGCAAAGTAGAGAATTGAAAGAGGGGTTTGCTCAGCAGGCTTCATGACAATGGTGTTGCCAGTAGCAAGAGCAGGGCCAAGCTTCCAGGCAGCCATGGCGAGAGGGTAGTTCCAAGGGATGATCTGACCGCAAACACCAAGAGGCTGCTTGAGAGTGTATGCAAACTTGTTCTTGTTGGTGGGGATGGTCTGGCCGTGAAGCTTATCGGCAAAGCCAGCGTAGTAGCGGAGGCAGAAAAGAACCTCGCCAATATCGTCGTTGAGCGCAACGAGGTAAGGCTTGCCGTTGTCCCAGGTCTCAATGGTGGCAAGGGTCTTGGCGTTCTTCTCAACGAGATCAGCGAGCTTGTGCATCAGAGCACCGCGCTCGTGGCCGGTGATGTCGCGCCATGCGCTAGAGTTGAAGGCGGCGCTGGCGGCAGCAACAGCCTTGTCGACATCTGCGGGGGAAGCGGCATCGACGTCGCAAATCTTCTCGCCGTTACTTTTTTACAAAAAGTATTAGCTGGTGCGGTGGTAATTGGGAATAAAAGTGAATTTACTTACATGGGAGAAATGCTGGTAATCTTCTGGCCAGATGTGGCGGGCACGAATTCGTTGTTAATGAAGAGGCCGGTGGGGAGTGTGATGTTGAAGCCGTTGGGGGCACGGAGATTTGTTGTAAGAGGAGCCATGATGTGTGTGTGTGTGTGTGTGTATGTGGTGTGTCCGAGTTGATGAAGCACTAGAAATGAATAAAAATTGCTAAAGAGGATGATGAATGAAGAAGTGAGTAGAGTGGCACACGTCAAAGGAAAAAAAACAAGTAGATGATGATGCAGCTGCCAAGTTACATCTGCCAGCTGCCCGCCAGCCGCTCTCACTCTTTTTTTTTTGCGGGCAGCTAGCTGTCCCGCCTCGCACAGTGCTCTCCAATCGGCTGGCGGCGCTCTTAGCGACTTGCCCGCAGCGGTTGATTTCGATGGACCTTCTCCGCATCGTCCCCCGCCGCTCCGAGCTTATTACTGTCGCCAACTGCAAGTCTCACTGCACTGTAACATGGTGTAAGTTGGCGGCTGCATCCACTGTGGAGACGGGCGGCGCGGTCTCGTTGTCCGCGGGCAGCGATGAGGCGCTGGGCCCGCGTGCACCGGGCGTGGGGGGCGTGTGTGCTGGTTAATACCCCGTTGGCTTACCCCAATCCTCGGAAGTAGTAAGGAGATCTTTGTATTCGATGACATTCGCTGGCTCGGGCTGATCGGACAGCCGGTCTTGCGACACAATGGCGAAAAAGCACCGTAACCGGAACTCGGATTGGCGGAGACGAGGCAACATATGCGACTTGTTTGACAAATCCAGAATAGAATGTACGAGGTTACACAAAAAGAACGTTCTAGCTATGTATGCACTGTGGCCGGGATGGTACCGACCACCTTTTCAAATATCCTCACTACCGGATGATCTCGTGGAATCTCATCAATAATCGCCTTCGTTATCGCCAATCCCGTCTCGGTTGTCCGTATAGCCACCTCCAGCACCATCTGCTTCTCGTCATCCATGGCATGGGCGTCATAAAATCGCATCACCTTCTTCAAAGGCACCGCATAAAACATTGTGGACATGGCGCCGTGTTGTGGTGCCGTGAGATATCCCTCTGATGCACAAATGTCCTCGGCAACCTTAGCACCGGTCTCAACATCCACACAGCTGGCAAAGTAAGTAGAATATGGTGCAGCTCGGGCCTCAGCAAGATGTAATGTCAACAACGCCGTCCAATATTGAATCCAGACGTTGGCATGGCCAGCAGTCGTGAATGTAATGGCTGAACCAGGCCAATAGGCGCTCTTGGTCCGTGTAAAAGTCTGCTTCCAAGTCGAATCTAGGCGAGCATGCCAAGATACCAGTCCTTCATAGACTGCGGCATGCCATTTAATGAGCTTCACTTCCGCAGTCACGAACTGTGCACTGCTCCTGTCGATGTCTCCGAACTGAGAAGCAAGCGCCAATAGACCAGGAAGTTGTGCCATGACATCGAAGAGCTGAGTATGAACATCTTTTGAGACCTTTTCAAACGGAACTGATGCCCAAGGTTCGTGCATAAAGAATGTTGGGACTCCTACGCACAAGGCTACAGTGGTCTTTTGGCCATTGTTAGTAGATTTGTAGCTACAGGACACCGCTGTACCATCAACTTACAATCAATGTTCGGCAAAGCAAGAAGATAGAGTGAAGCTCATCTTGGAAGAGGCGGGGGTCGGTGCGTGACATCAAACTGCAGATGCCGATAGTATGGGCGAGCCAAGTGTTTGTGCAAATAGGCTCTGTGTGCATCAGCTCAATGTTTTGCATCGCAACACATGCTAGAATGCTTTGAATCATTTGCTTTGGCGTTTGGTGAGCCTGGATATCTCTCGCTAGGAGATTCATTGCTCGGCTATACGACCTTAAGCCATCCTGAAGCATGGCACGATTGCTTTGCTGCTGGCCGACAAGAATTAGTGGAAGTGCTGCTGCCGCCAGCTTGATCGTGGCAGTATTTTCACGCGTCTTATCCATGGCTGATACCCATGAAAATACATCACCTACGAACCCTGGTGTTGATGGAAGATATCTAGCCTGGAACTTCGACCAAAGTGCGGCGCGATATTCGGGAACCAGTTTGGTATATGCTGAAGGCACCACAAGGGGAGCAGGTGGTTCAGCATCAACATGGATGATCTGAAATCGTGCCTGATAGCCTTTGCATATGTGCTTTGCTTTGATACATCGGCCACAGGATGGGCGCTGGTAGTCGCACTAGATACCGATTAGTAGTTGATCTATTACTGTCTCGCGACAGTCGCTGAACATGCACCCTTCTTCTTCTCTCGACAATTTTGACATCGTGGTGATCGATACGGCTGTGCTGGCATCTTGTTGGTGAATTATTGTCTGCGAAGGGAGATTCAGTGCGCCTGAGATTGGAGAGGGTAGGCTCGCTTTCATAAGTACACGAAGATCAGCGCACCTTACGCAAATAGGAAACCGGCTGCGCATGAGGCTGCGCAGAATGGTGTCTTCTTTCAGCCTCTTGGTGGCGCCGACACTGGTGATGTCTGCATCCGTGCATTAGGTTATCCCATACCCATTGGTCAGATTAAATACTTAGCGTTTTAAGCACGGTATTAATATTCGAAAACATTAGCTAAAGGGTATCCATTGTCCAGTGTAAGTTTTCTGTAAGTCTTGCTCGTATATATGGCGAGAGTGGCGATGGTGTGTGGCAACCCAAACAAGGCTGAAGAACCAACGCAGCTGGCTGGCTTGGGCTGGGAATCAACAATAGTACGACTGCATAATTAATGGCTTCTAGAAATCAGTTATCCAAGATTTCAAACTTGAGTTAACTAGTATGAATGTGTAATTTTGAGCTGCCTACCTAAATATGACAAACGGCCGACGGAAATGCCACGTTCTGAAGGCTTAGCACACAAGATGAGGCTGTGCTGCCGTTGAGTCACCCTAACCACACAAGCGTACTTATATTGCGACAATACTATTTTTGACATTGAAACAGCAATTGCAATACATTAGGAAAGCGAAAACGAAGAAGCTGACGAGAAAAAACAGAGAGCCCATTTGGCCGTCTATAGTGTCGCCCCTGATCCCCGAGATCTGCCTGGCCGAACCGCTGTCCTGTCTAATGTTGAGCTACTCTGCCTCATCTTTCGGTATCTGCCCCAGCAAACACTTCTTACCAAAATCCAGAAAACGTGTCGCCAATGGCAGCTGATTATTGAGGACCTACCTCAGACGTTTCTGAATAAGGTACCTCCCAAGCCAGTGTCTCAGCGGCGACTTATTAGCCAGCTCTTGCGTCAGAACTTTAGCTTTATATTGCGTAGTGAAGAGGCGGAATGTGTGCATCGCCGATCCCAGCCCTATGAGGGAGGAGGGGCCGTATACAGTTATATCTCAGATATCTTTCGATTCACACCCGCGAGGCCTACAGAAAACGCCAAATACGATGCAATAGCCCAGCCCAATACGAACTGGCGCCGCATGCAACTTGCCTCTCCTCCCATCCAGACGCTCATTTACACAGGCCCATCCGACAACACATCGCAGACAGTCATAATCGAAACAGGAATCAGGATGGGCCAATTTTATAATCTCATTATGGACTCTTTAAATTACATTAAAGAAGATGGGTATTATATTCCCGAAATCAGCTGGCCATGGGAGGATGAGACGCAGCCGAGCGATGTCGTCAAAGTCAAATTTTCGCGTATAAATTTAGTTGCATTGGACAGAAGTCCCAATAGGCGTCTGCCAGAAGACGTACTCAGTAGTATGAGATATTGCAAGCGGAAACTACAAGGCCTCGTTGGGCCGGAAGCTCCGATTGTCGTCAATACGTCGGTATCAATAAAAATATATTACTATTCATAGATGCTAAAATATACATGGCCCAGAGAAGGGCATTCATAAGGTCATAACTTCTACATGTCCAAAAGCTCTGCCGAAAACTCCTTGATGGCCTCTGTGGCCTTGACCAAAACACCCTGCTCTACCCAAAAGTGACCACCCGTGGCCACCTCTAAGCCTCGAAACTTGGACCCGTCTTGCCCTCGTAGCCGCTGCTCCCACGACCGCAGCTTTGTGATGCCAACAAACACATCCGTGTCGCCAAAGATGGCAAGAGTGTGATTCTCTACTAGCTTATCCTCTGCAGCTTGTGCTTCGGGGTGCCGTGACCGCGTAAATGCCGACGTTGCGAGATTAAGTGCCAGTAAGTGCGGGACTATGCCTTGTAGCGGCGATACCAGGAGATATGCCGTCTTGGGAACAGTAAGGCCAACAATAGCATGCAGTTTCCCGTCTGCGTTATCCTGCTCCGGGGTATGGCTACGCTTCCCATGCTTATCTTTATGTAAATGTAATCCGTGACGTAGGACTTTGCGTTTATGTAGTAGCTCGTGCACGCTATGTCGGAACCCTTCCTCATGGTCCCCGGAGAAACTTCTCCGATCGAAACTGTCTCCGCTGTGTCTTGGTGACTGTGAACCCTCTTCGCCACCGATTCGAATGGACCGTTTTGTCGGACTACTCGGGCTGCGATGCTGCAAGAGAGCAGCTCGCGCATCACCGAGGACGTCGTTCTGTTGCTCCGCTAGGCTCTCTGCGCGAAGACGAATCTGCGCAGCGTGTGCGTGGCTTTCTGGCGTCGCAAAAAGCTCAAGAATATTTGTGAGGGGTGGTATCGACATTGTAACCATCGCGCCGTACGAGTAACCGGCCATTAACAGCGTTGGGGAGGCAGTTGGTGCGGGGTCCTCGTTGTCGAGACGGCACTGTTTGCGCGCCTTGAAGGGGTCGAGTGTGTGTATGTAGTAGACGATGAATCCGACGACACTCATGTAATCTTCTCGTTCGGGCTTCGCTGACCACGAGGTCTTTCCGGCAGAGTGGCCAGCACCGCTGTTTCTGTTAGCAGCTTGTCTTGGTGCTTGGTCGTGGAGGGGTAGCAACCTACCGAAAGTTGAAAGTAGCTACTAGATATCCGCACCGCAGCAGGGTAGCCGCAATAACCTCTAATACTGGATCGTCATAGCTGCCCCCTAGCGGCGCATATGGGTGCGCAAGGATTGCAGCATGCTTCGTCCATGCTGGAGATCGCGGGTTTGCAGAGAGTGAGGCTGGATGGTATATGCGACAGTCGAGCACCGTGCCGTCTTGGATACTGGGAATGGTAAAGGTCAACGCTGGGTCAGGGAGTCCTTTGTCCATTATTTCTGCGTTTGGTCATGGTTCGCGGTGAAATTTGGTGGTTACAGCAGCCTCCCGAAAAAAAAAAGTAGAAATTTGACTCGCGTTGTATCGGCGTAGGTGGCGGAGCTTCAGCTGCGGCGGACCGTTGCAGTGACGTTTCCGTGCGTGGGCCGCGTAAGTCCATCTGCATGCACAACAAGGAAGCGGATACGGCGCAACTTACACGGCAACCGTTCACAGTATAAAAAACGATAGTCATAATATTACAGCTTGCTCATCTAATGTGGCTCTAATGTTTTAAATAATCATTGCGACTTCTTCTCCTTGCCGTCCTCCTTTTTCTGCTTCCGGCGCGCAATCCATCGCTTAATCTCGGCGATGAGCCCCATGATGAGCGGCAGCGATGCAGGCCCAAGAAGCGGCAGATAGACGGCGATCTTGTGCTCGTCGGGGAAATACAACTGGCCAACCATACTCTTTTCGAAAAAGGCTCGCTCCACTTCTTCCGCGGCAATACGCGCGTGCATGAGGCCGCTCTTACCACCGAGGTTGGAGCATGCCTGCTCGAGATGATGCATGGTAGTAGACACTCCCTCGGCGACTCGGTTAGGAATGGCGATAGAAGGCAGCGCTAGTGTCAATCTGGCAAGGGAGCCCAGGGACTCGGAAGCGCGAAGCAGCAGGTTTGCAGAGCGGATGCGTGCAAGAGCCGACAGACGCAACGGGAGAGAGCCCGTCTTGGGGGTACCCAGCAGCTGCAAGAGATGGCCGCCAAAGGTGAGCATCGGCTGCTTCAACGTTGCTGAAGATACGTGGCTGTCAGATTTGGGCAGCGGTAGCAGATACACAGTGCCCCATTGAGGGATCATCCAAGACTGTGACGTCTCGGATTCGGCGTCCAAGCTAATCTTTTGGTTGCCGACGTAGATGACAAAGTTGATGGTGGGGGCGCCCTCAATCGACGGCGATAAAGGCCACTCCGCCGCATTGATAAAGGAAGCTAAGTCGTCCTTGCTAAGGGTCTCGGCCTGAACGCCTGGTGTAGCGTATAGCTGGAGCTGTGTGTCGATTGTAAAGTTATGCAAGGGGCGCAGCACATCAAGCATAGGTCGAAGGTATTCGTCAAGTGCCGATTCAATATCCCAGGTGTTGGGTGTCGAACCGTCCGTAAATAAGGAAAATGTGAGATGGAAAGTTGGCGCATAGCGTAGAGTGCGCGAGGTGCGCTTGTCAAGAGCCTGCGAGGCTTCGGGGCTGAGGTTCTTGTTCTGGATACCACCCGACATGGACGATGTGGAGAGAAGGTATGATATGATGGACTGTTCCTCGGCAAAGATCGATCGGAGCTCGTCGGTAATAAAAGACGCCAGCGGCGATGCTGCTGAGTTTCGCGCAGCGATCGAGTTTGGCGGATATGTAATATCGAGGACGGGCGAGTGTTGGTCGAGCGAGGCTGTCGTGTCCTTGCCTGGAGTAAGGTTGATGGTCAGGGCCGGCTCATCCGCTTGCTGGTCCTGCTTGGCGAGTTGTAGGCGGAGGTGGTGGCCTGAGAATTCGTTCAAATCATCAAGAGCATGCTGTGTCAAGCGCACAAGGTTTTGCGCATCCTGTTCGGGGAGCGAGTCGGCGCGGACGGAGACTTGTAGGGGGAACACTGGTCGACAAGCCTACAGACAGTTAGTCCAAAAGTCATGGTATCGTCGCCAACAAATTAGCGTTTACCTTTCCTTCCGACCACTGCAGCATATCGTCTAGCGGCAAATTGGCACGCGAAATGGCCGTCGTCTTCCACCAAATAGGGACGCCAAGCAGCAGAATGATTGCCCAGTAGGACAGAACAATGTACATTCTGCGCATAACGTGCGACGGCTTCTCAGCCGGCGGATCACGAGGTTTTGAGGCATCCTCAGACGCCTTTGGGGCATCAATTGCAACCTCTTTCGCCATGGCTGGAGAATTGGTCGAGACAAGCAGTCGTGATGTTGCGACAGCGCCAGGGGAGATCCGATCTCGAGGTGCTAGCGTGGCATCAAGCCGGGGGGGTCCAGGTACGCACAATCACGTGAGGGCAGGTGGTGTAAATGACCACGATGCCTGCTAACACGAGTGAAGACGCAATAATTTGAGCTAAATAATATTAAATTCACGAAAAGATATCACATTCTTAATGTTCAGTGATGCACCAATTGTATTAGTAGACTATCATATATCAACGGCAATACTACTTTTTGCAAACGCTACAGTATCCTAATATCAGAAGATCACCAGCTCCCCATAAAACAAAAATCAAAAACACCAAAAAAAACATACAACAGCCGGTGTTCGCTGGTCGTCACCGACCCAACTACTAATCTGCCGATTACAGGCTTGTCTATGGGAGAGCGGACGGGATCCCGAATTCTCCTGTATCTATGGTCGTATGTAGTTGTGCTGAGCGTATTAGTAAATATATACCATGGTTGGGGTCATCGAAATCTACCTACTTTGCCAAGTAATCGCACCGACCAGATGGTGGTGTTTGCACCATACAATTTTATGAACACCGAGAGGGGCCGTTGTATTGATGTGAAACTCTACATATAAGTTGCAGTTTTTTGAATTGGGAATGATTAATTGACACTATTGAACGTAAAACTAGAATACGGGTAGTTTTCACCTAAAACAGAACTATTCTCATCAACGAATTAAAGTAGTGCGATTAGAGGCAAGCATACATTTTAACATGCGGCTGTTTTACAATGTATTTGGAGAAAATAACCAAACGCTGTTATCGTAGAAACATCTTTGTTTTGCAGTTATCATCGAGCTGTACCCCGAATATATCCTCCTCATCTTCTTCATCGTCCTCATCTTCGTGGAAGGCCCGAGTGCGACCCTCTAAACAAGACCAGGTATGCGTCTTGGACAAGTATAAGTTCTCCAAAGTTCGGCGACTAAACCATTGATACGTTATCGTTCGATACTGTATTGAGGAAACGCGCTCTCCAGAGGCGCTCAGCCGCGCCGCGGACCAATGTTCACCATTGCGTTCCCCATGGATGGTTACCAAAGTAGAAGCTGATGCAGAAGCGAGCGGCCCAGCGACAGCAGTTGACAAGGCTTTGACAGGATCGATCTCAGATCCATAATTGCCTTGGCCACCAGATTCTTGTATCAAACACGGATCCAAGAAGGTTTGATAACCAACAATCAGGTACATGCGCTTTCCATCAAGGCCACATCTTTCTAACCATTGCTTTGCTTTTGGGTTTAAGATTGCTTGATGAAACCATTCCTCTGAATTATCAATGCAATATGTCGTACCTTGAACTGGCTTTATTTGCAATTTTTTGTGGACTTGCTTTGATAGGCTGGTGGATATAGTGTTTAATACGGACACTCGGAAGTCGGCATTGGTTGTCTGTTTGGTTTCGGATGTATAAGAAAACCCAGCCTGTATGACTTTTGGCTGTAAGGGCTTAGCATCATAGTAATTTTCGTGTGGGTGTTCCATATTGGTAACAAATCTACCCAGTTTAATGCATTCTATGGAAGGATACATTGGGAGAGGTATGATGCTAGGGTCCATTTTTCCGGTTTGGTGTTTTTTTTGTAGAAAGAGTATGTGCGTGCTCTCTAGTTAATGCGCTATCTCATCGAAAGGAAAACTCCGAGCAGGCTGGTTATTGTATAGCCCCTGATTCCTATGTTCGGGATTATGCTGGGTAGATCTATACCTAAACAAAACAAACTGCGCCACCTAGACAAACTGCGCCACTAAGTTATCTCGTCTTCGGAGATGTTTTCTCCCTTTTATGTCTTATTTTGATAAGACTATCCAAACAGGTTTTCGCCGAGACCTTTGTAAACATTAAATCGAATGTCCGTCTAGGGGTATTCATACTATTGAAAGACTTGACTACTATGAATGCCTACGGGATCACTATTGCAACCTAGCTACATAGAGAGAGTTCGGCTACAGCTGCATAACAAAAGTGGCGTGACCTTTGAGACAGTTGCGTTCTGAAATGTACGCAGCCCAGGGGAAAGCAAACAAATTTAGACTTCTTGCCTTCTTTTTCATGGCCCAGTGCAGTATTAATCAAGACGCGCCCACACGATAGTGGCAAAATATTACGACGAATTGTACGATATGAATTTCAATGATAGGATCGAATTTGCCAAGAGGATCAGGAATACTTTTAGTAGATTCCATATTAGGCATCCGTCTAGTCGTCTCTCTCAGGGCACAAAAGGAACCTCGAGCAAACCCGATTCGAGCTCTGACGATTCGAGCTCTGACGATGCGCGTCAACTACACCAAAAAATACAGCTTCTTAGCATAACGCTTCAAGCTAAGTTTCAAAAAACAAAGGAAGTTTCTTTGTTACGGAGCGCAATCGACTTACAGCGAAGACTTCCTAGTCTTCTCCCGAAAGACGACAAGACTCATGTATTCGATCTATGTAACCTTGCAAGTCAGCTTGGTCAACTATTCGAAGCAACCAACGATGAAAACACCCTAAACGAAGCAATCAGGGTTGCCAGACAATGTCTGTCTCTCGCTTCATGTGAACACCCAGTCTACGTGCAAATGCAACACTGGCTTAGCCAGCTGCTTGGGGCTTTGTATGAGAAAGTTGGAGATACCTGTGCGCTTGACGAAGCACTGACACGCATAACTCAACTTTCTTCTCTGGAAGTCAAAAGATTCACTATACAGGAACTTCAACAATTTTATTGTACTTTAGCAAGACTTGTTTCCATGCACTACAAATGCACAGGAGATTTAAAAACACTATCCTCAGCCACTCAACCGCTGAGAAGAGCTATGGAAATTTCGCTATTTGAAGACCCAAAGCTGAGATTGACTTTACAAGGGCAATTGATAGAGCATTCAGCCACGATATATGTCAGAACCGGCAAGCTGGAGCATCTGGACGTCTGCATTAAAGACACACAACTCGGTTTAAAGATAGCATCAGTGCATGCTCCGGAGATGAAAGGATATATGATGTATAGCCAAGGAAAGAATTTCAGTAAGAAATACTTAAGGACCATGGCGATCATCGATCTGAACCAGGCTATCAAATTCACTCAAGAAGGATTACGAGAAATGAAAGAAGTTTCTGAGAAGGTGTTATGCGTAACCAGTCTAAGTGATCTCCTCGTTTTCCGTTATCAAAGGACGAAACAGAGCTGTGATCTTCGTGAAGCACTCGAATCCTCACAGACTGTGTTCCAAAATCTATCTAGGCACGAGCCAAACTACCCTCTACATGCTGCCTCGGTAGCAAACACGTTGCTAAACCGATATAAGGTGACAAAAGATGAGGCTGATCTTGAAACGGTCGACCAGCTATTGAGACATACATTTGGCCGAATTCGAAACCCTAGCTTTAGAGCTTCTGCAATATTAATTTTTATTTCGTGTCAGGAAGAGAAACAACGCCTACGGCCTAGCATGAAAGACTTAGAAGAAGCCATTCATATTGCGAAGCACGCGGTAGAGATAACGACGGACGCGCATCTCAATAAAGGCGCACATTTGACTGCATATGGCCGCTTACTTTGTCGGAGGTATTTGATGAGAAAGGAGAAAGAGGACTTATTGGCGGCGACGACCTCATATGTTCAAGCTTGGAATCTAAAACTGATGCCACCTATCAACCGTCTCAAGGCAGGAGTACAAGCCTTCCAACTTCTCATAGCGGCTTCACGCCTTTACCATGCAATTGTGTTGGGCATTGATATAATATCCCTTATTCCCATCATTTCGCTTCAATCATATACCTGGAATGATCAGGAACAAGTATTTTCTCTATTAGCAGATACATCATCTACTCTTTGCTCACTTCTAATATATGCTGGCCGACCAGAAGAAGCTATCGAGTCTTTGGAGCATAGTCGTGCTGTTATTATTGGGCAACATTTGGACAACAACAGTGACATATCTCGACTACGGCGAACGAATCCTGCAATTTTGAAGCAATATCAAGATCTTGTTAATGAGATAAACTATTCGAATGCTCACTATTGTGATCTAGTTGCCGACCATGGCTTTATGGAGCGCTTCGAAGCCGCAACCTCGGAGCTGGAGAAATGCCTACAGCAAATTCGAAATATCCCTGGGTTGGAAAGATTTCTCCTAGGACAAAGTATCGCACACATACAGGAGAGTGCTGGAGAAGGTACAATCGTTATTGTCAACATTTCCAGTTACAGAAGTGATGCACTACTAATCTCGAGAGCTGGTGTCCAGTCGCTTCACCTCAATAAACTACTTTGGGCCGATGCAAAGACTTGGGTCAATAAGAGCTGGTATTCCAAGAAACCGAGTCAACAAAAGGACAAAAATGACGAACTTTGTTTATATCTTGCTTGGTTGTGGAGTGTCTGTGTCAAAGATGTGATAGAAGCGATTGTGGTAAAGCAAGGCAGCAATGCAGTTACACTTGAGAAAGTATGGTGGATTGGCTCTGGTTTGGGAACCTCGATGCCTTTCCATGCCGCGGGAGTCTGCAAAGAAGGCTCAACTGATAATGCCTACGCTCATCTTATTTCATCTTATACTCCTTCCATCAAAGCACTTGTACATGCGCGACGCAAGAAGGGCGAAAACGATATTAAAAAATCGGATTTCAAAGAGATGTTGATTGTCACAATGCCGACAACGCCTAAAGGACTCAACGGAAGAAGACTCCCCGATCTTTCTGGGGTTTTAGGAGAGAGGGATGCCATTACCAAGGAAGTTAAGAAGCTCAGCACTGTTCGCATAACGGATCTGCCATATCCTAGTGTGAACAGCGTGCTACATTCGTTGAAGAAATGCAGCATCGCCCACTTTGCATGTCACGGAATATCAAACCCCTCAGATCCATCCAGCAGCGCGCTGATTCTTCAGTGCGCCGCTGCGGGTATGGCAAACACGGATAATGTGATTCAAGATAAGCTCACAGTGAAACATATTGCGCAGTTACAATTTGAACATGCTCAACTTGCATATCTATCAGCATGCTCAACAGCGCATATCACGGACATTCAGCTCTCTAACGAGGTGATTCATCTGGTTAGTGGATTTCAAGCTGCTGGATTTTGTCACGTTATCGGAACACTCTGGCCTATAGGAGACATGGACTCTATTGATATTGCAACCGGATTCTACAGTCATCTTCTAGATTCGAATCAAGGGCCCGTGAGCTCTAATACAATGGATGCAGCAAGTGCATTACATCATGCCGTGGCGGCAGTGCGTGCAGTCGACCCAGAGGCCCCCCTACGCTGGGCCCCATTTGTTCATTTCGGAGCATAATACGTAACTAAATCAAGTTCTAATTTTACTAACAAGTATTGTGCTGTTTTATTATTAGATAAGATAGAATCTCATAGCAATCTATATGCACTTGATATATATACGATCAGCGCCTGTGTTATAGGAAATTGTGTTGATTTATTGTGTCCCTTTGAAAACAATGAAACTCGCCCTACTAGCTCCTACTATTGGAGCTGCGACAGCTTCCCTATCAGCATGGACTGTTGGTAATGAGCCATGCTACACTCCCCCTATCACCCCAGAAATTCAGGCTCTGTCGAAGGAGTTGACTTACATGGAAATGACGCCCGCTCTCACAAGCCAGAAGATTGTCGTAGATATATACATTCATATTATGGCTGTGTCTAAGGAGGTCGAGGACAACTACCAAACGGTAAATCCTAGATAATGAGACTCAATAACGTTGCCCACCATTAATATTTGCATAGAAACAAAAAAATGGAAGAGCAATTACAGGCTTTGCAGAATGATTTCAAATCGACCGGCATCGAGTTTACATTGAAAAATATTGCTTGGACAGTCAATCAGACGTAGGCTACTCATGCGATGGATAAAGGAGACATGAAAAAGAGGTCTTCGGAAAGACAAGTACGCGGCTTTGAATCTGTACTGGGTGAACCAGATGGATCCGGAGTATTTGGCTGGCTATTGTACTTTCCCTCATCGAAATTCCAACTATGGCAAGAACGGATGTGTCATGGCGAAAAAGTGGTTGTCAGGAAGTAACAACTATTTCGTCGATGGTAAGATTGTTCGTCACGAGGTTGGACACTGGTTCTTTCTGTTCCATACATTCCAGTGCGGATGTAACGGAAAGAACGATGAGGTTGATGACACGCCAGCTTCGAAAGACCCCAATCGGCATTGTCCGATCGGAGCAGACGCTTGCCAGTCAGCAGGCAAAGACCCTATTCATAACCATATGAACTAAACCAATGAGTAAGTGTAGATATGAACAGTGCCAGCTTGATGCGTCAGCTAACAGCGAATGAAGCACTTGTAGGACTGAATTTACACCTGGCCAGACAGATCGGATGAAGAAGGCATGGAAGACCTATCGAGAGGGCAAATAGCTAATAAATGAGGCTCATATACGTCTATAGTAACCTAAAGTGAAATATAGAGTAGCGGGCTTATAATATGCTTATCTAGAGGGGGCTCTTCCTCAAGTATTTGGGGTGAGCTCTCTTCAAAGTGTCGCTGACTCCCGTGTAAAGCGGCCATGGGTGTTTCTACTCTCTATAGCACGAATAAATATAATACTATCTAATCAGTAACTGCACCAAGCATTTGTTTTCAAATTAACGGTACAGCTAAATATTTTCTCCGTTACTTGCGAACACGGCAGTAGCAACTGCGCTGATGATCTACGAAATATTGCCTACTGAAAGTACGTCTTATACCCGGGCGTCTTTCTGGACCGCGGCCGAATCAGCATGTATACTTCCAACCTGTCTCTGACGACAACTGCCTCTACGGCGACGAATAATCTTGTTCAGCACAAAGTCCCTTTAGCCTTCAAGGCTCTTTTTGTTCAGATGACCTCCCCCGCTCTTGGTTTACAATAACACGTCGGAGTATGTCGAGTTTTGGCTGAAGTATGTTTTCACATTGCCGGTGTGTTGGAAGCCAACACTTGCTCCCTCTCATGGCACTACCTGACCCCTCCAATAGTAGCTTTTGTATAGGCAAAATATTGCCGAAAGATAAGCCACACATCGACAACAGCTGCTGAAACGCCAATCGGGTGATGGCGAAACTGGCGGGGTTGTGGCGTCAGTTGCCGAATCAGGCAGGTGTTGGAACCCAGGGGAGACTAGTGCTGCAGCATACCTCGTGGCTACTTCAACAAAGACCATTTATCCGTGAGCATTAATAAAGAAGTACAATAAGAGCAACTGCCAAAAGCCTGAATGGTCTCATATAGTGGAGTTATTGGCTGAAGCTAAATGCTACCCCTTCGCGTGCTAATGCAGGCATTTAGCCAACTCCGAGCATTCTGATTCGCGACGCGAAGCTACAATCAGTCGACAGCAAGTGTAGTTGACGAACTTTTGTGAACTTTTGTAAGTTGCTCAATTGGGTATCAAGTCCGCTGTCCATCCGGATATATCGGAACGAATCTTGGAACGTAATTCTGTCTGATGATGGCGACGCGGCTTCGTAGCAAGCATTGTGGTGTATAAAAGCACAAGACTCCTCTCGCAAAACTCCAATAAAAGACATCATCAGCCTTTACTCATTTATCAAAACATCAAAACCACTCTTAAACCCACGAAATCTAGTCTGTGACATCATGCACTTCACTGCAGCGACTGTTGTGGCGGTTGCCACTGCCGTCTTGGCATCGGAGAACATTGCCATTCCCCTGCGCAAGGTTCACAACGTCGGTTCTGTCAAGAACCTTGTTGACCGAGGCAGCGCCAAGCTTCGCCATATCAACAGCAAGACTGTCTCTGCTAGAGCCTCTGCCCCTGTCACCAACGATGTTGTCAGCTACGTCGCCTCTGTGACTGTTGGTGCCAGCTCCTACAGCCTCATTGTCGACACTGGATGTAAGTCATCAATGCCAAACCATGTCTTTTCATAAGCACGCCATTGCTAACACAAATCAGCGTCCAACACTTGGGTTGGTGCCCAGTCTGCCTACGCCCCTGGCCCCAACAGCCAGGACACCGGCAACTCCGTCTCTGTCAGCTACGGTTCCGGTTCCTTCTCCGGTGAAGAGTACACCGACGCTGTCACCTTTGCCGGCCTCACTGTCAATGCGCAGTCTATTGGTGCTGCCTCGAACTCTCAGGGCTTCAGCGGCGTTGACGGCATCTTCGGTGTTGGTCCCGTGGACCTGACCCAGAACACCGTTACCAACACGGCCAGCGTACCTACCTTTTTGGACAACCTTTACAGCCAGGGCACCATCAGTAGCGAGGTTCTCGGCGTTTCGTTCCGCCCTGAGTCTGGTAGCGATACCAGCGACACTAATGGTGAACTTACCCTTGGTGGTACTGACAGCAGCAAGTACAAGGGCTCCATCAGCTACTTCCCCTCCCCCGGCCCTTACTGGGGAGTCTCTGTTTCTTCCTTCACCTACGGCACCAAGAGCCTCGGCTCTGGCTCCGGTATTGTTGACACTGGCACCACCCTGATTTACATCCCCACCTCTGCCTACAATGCTTTCTTGTCCGCTGCTGGTGGCAAGACTGACAGCTCCAGCGGTCTGGCTGTATTTTCCAAGGCTCCCACCTCTAACTTTTCCCTCAAGATCAACGGTGTCACTTACACCCTCACTCCTGCCCAGTACCTTGTCCCACAGGCTGAGTACAGCCTCTTTGGCCTCACCTCTGGCAAGTACTACGCCTGGATCAACAACGGTGGTAGCTCTGGCGTCAACACCATCATTGGTCAGAAGTTCCTTGAGAACTACTACTCCGTTTACGACACCAACAACGCCCGTGTTGGTTTCGCTGCCAACGCTTAAGCGATGACCACCATTGCCTTGCCACCTCTCTAGCTAGCATGTTCTTCTGCAAGTGTCACTAAAATTCTAAAGAGGAAAAATGTATATATGGGCTTATTTTGGAATATTTATATAGTTGGAATGATGTGGCCAGGAATGTGTAATTAGCTACTGTAGCTAGAGCAGAAGTCTTCAATATAGCCACCATCACCCGAACCGCTCTGGTGCGCAATTAGTATCTAAATATTTTACTGTAGAGACCACATAACTTAGATTCAATACAAATCGAAAATTATTTCCGAAAGTCCTGTGATTTTAGCGCCGTCTGCCATTGATTCAATTCTATATTTTGGTCCATCTACTACCATAATTTGGAACACATTTTCTCTAAGACTAATTGATGTGAAACCAGGCTACGGCATTAGCGTGCACGTTCCCTAAGCTCAATACCTGCATCTCAACCGCTCCTCATCGCCGGGCTCCCAGCACTGAAACTCAACTTTGGTGGCTAAGAATCTCCTAGCTTATTATCAACACTTCAAGTGGAAAACTAATAATGGACAACACCAATCCGCCCCTCGCTCGTGAAGCTACAGCAGAGCACATCTTTGAGAAGAATAAATGTCTATTTCTTCGCATACCCCTTGAGATTCAACATCGCGTATGCGCGTTATTCTGCCGTCACTGCCTTGGCGCAACGTCTCCAGCGACGATGATAGCAGAAACCGCTGGGGTACCATTCAAGACGCTCAAAGCTCTCTCTGAGACATGTTGTGCATTGAACAGCATAGCGCAGCCTCTTCTTTACCACTACCCGGCTGTCAAAATCTGTACGCCCTTCTTCAAGATGATATCATCTCGTCGTGATTTGGCTTCTAGCGTTAAAATCTTGGCTAACCTTTATGAATCAGATCAGAAGACTGTCATGTTTACACCACAGCACATCGAGGAAGATTTTACATACCTACGAGATTTGGCTCGCAGGCTATGCTTAGACAATGGTGAAGATCCCGAATTTAACCAGTGCTTTGAGTGTATAAATACATCAGGGGATGGCGACGATCAAGGCTTCACCAAGTCTATGGCAAGAGCTGCGTTTCCGAGCCTACTAATAGCACTACACTTTATGCTTCTACCAAGTTAGAATTTGCAATGATTGATTTAGACGATGGTAGATTTCTCATACGCGATCGATTGCTGGAAGATGGTGGGCTCCTTTTACCATATCCCTACTTGCCAAAGTTTCCACCAAGCCGCAACATTTTAACCACCTTCGCACCATTGTCTTCCGAAATACTTTTCATTACAACCCAGAAGATCTCGACCTGCAAAGAGTAGCCTTTTTATTTACAGCTATAACTAATATTCGTCGACTCTTTTTTCAATTCGTTAGAGGCGAAAAGCCGGAAGGATATCGTGACCCTCACCCAACTCGACCCCGTGCTGAGCTACAATGGTTAGCACTTCCGCATATTCAAGAAATCTACTTTGACCCTTATCTTCGTCCAAACGACCCTGCACCTCTCGACGGGATTTTTAAGATGCTTCAATTATGCACGGACCTGAGAAAATTCACATTTCGCCTGAAGTTTCCCGACAACTACGGGTCGATGTGTTTCTCCCCCCAGAAGCTTTTAGAAGCTGTATCACCTACTAAGAAAACAATACAACACATGGAATTATACTGAAATATTGCAAAATACCTTCATTTCGTGAAGGTACTCTTCTTGAACACCACCTCAAGGAATTTTCCGCTTTGAAGACATTGATTCTTGATGAAGAGTTATTTTGTCACCACTGGATGTTGGATTCATATCCTAATTCATGTATAGTGGACATCCTACCGGGGTCTGTGTCTTTTCTGACTATACGTATGCATGATAAATACAAAACAGTACTGGACTTGACGCGGTTGGGGCGGTGCGTTGCCGAAGGGGGCTTTCCGCGACTCTCTTGTATTCGAGTCGAAGTTTTGCACGACGCTTTTGCAGGGCCAGTTTGCGATGAATTCAATCGCAATGCGCACACCTTTGATGCAAAGTATCTTCTTTATGAAGTGCCCGAAGAGCAGTGGGAGAGCACAAGTCGCGAGCTAGCCGATTGCATAGCCGCACAGGTCTCCGAGGCATTTCAGGACACAAAGGTCACTGTAGATGTAGAATACGTCTACGAGGAATTATCTATTGAACATTACAGTTAAATAGATTAAATTGATTGCGTATAGTCTAATTGACTAGTTCAAGCTAGGTGCAAGGTCCAAGGACATAGTAGGAACAACATAAGAAGAGAGATACCGTAAGTTTGGCACCATTTAGAGGAGTGTAGCACATATCCATTTCTTTAGAATAAAATTATGTTGAGCTATTTACATCCCCGAAGGTCATTGTGTACAACAACAATATTTTGATCTCGCCCTATGGTCTTGAGTGCACGAGTTTTGTTGTGGAAAACCAATCCCAGTACTCCGACCATGATGTTGTCAACCGCTCTTTCAATTTTTCTTCCGCTTAGAGTTCCAAAATTTTGCTCAACCAGCGATGGAGATGTAGGTGGAAGACGAGATACCTCGAGCAGAAGGGGAATGTCGGTAAACGCGTTGTGCTGTGTATCTTTTAACGACAGCTCCATCTTTGAAGCGTCAATTTTGGGGTAAAAGTCCGCCCAATTGAGGACACCTGAGCTTGCTATACCCTCACTAGACACAAGCAAAAACGGCTTATCTTTGAAGCCCTTGTTAAGTGCGTCTCCGTAAACGTTGCCATCGAGGTCAGCGCCACCGATAGCCCTAGCATCTCGCTGGAGCACAGCTGCAGCCGCCGCACCGCCAAATGAATGGCCATACAAAGCAATGCGCTGAGGATCAAATGTACCAGGGAAGTTACCAAAGACAGAGGATGTGAAGGTAGCATTGGTGAGTTGAGTCATTAGGAATGTTATGTCGTCGGCACGGGTCTAGGAAAGGTTAGCACGAATCTTATATGAGCCTTTCTCAGGTCTTCAGCAGAAAGGCCGGATGGAATTTGAAATACCGCTAGGCCCTCATCACGGAGCGGCTCCTTGCCAAGCTCAGGATTGGACATTGTGATATTGCTTCCGTCGGGGAACTCGACAAAAACGGCGTCGTATGGGCAATCAACAGTGAGAATGATGTAGCCCAGGCTTGCGAGCGACCGCGCCATTGCACCGTACGCCAGTCTCGACAACGAAAGGCCCGGCCCAAAAATAGCGATAGGGAATTCTTTCATTTCAGTATGCTCTTGTGGCAAGATAGTCGACGCGTTGCAATATTCCATTTCAAACTGCTCAAGAAAGCCTGCCGGAAGACCAAACCCCGGAAGTAGTGTATCGTACACTTTCGTAGTGAGTACCGGCGCGTATGGAGCAGTATACGTCTGGCATTGATGGTCGCGGGAAATGGGAAGATACGCCGATGCCATGAAGCGGCGCGGCGTATTAGGGGTTGATGCAAATCGATCAATACGACTCTTGTCAATAAGCTCAAAGTGCTCAACCGCGACGGAATAGGGCCCAGGTGCACGGGGAACAAGAAGGGCCTGGGCGGCCGCAAGAAAGAGTGTAGCAGCAATTAGATGCATTGTGTATAACAGCCCGTTAGGTAAGACTGAATGTATCACCTGTAAAATTGAACCGGATCGTCCAGGTCTTTATATGTGGCAGATTCTTGGAGAGTGGAAATAATACTATATACGCGTAGTAGTTTAGGCTGTGCTTACTAGTAGCCCACCGCAGCCTCGCCGGGATCAGCGACCGCTAATACGAGAATAAAGGGGAGACAACTACCGGCATTGTGTACCTTACTTCCGACCGTTCCGGGAAGTAAGGCTTCGTTTAACTTATTGGGCCGCGATGTAATGTAGTAAATTGTCTCCGGGCGGGGGCTGGAGCACATCATTATGGGCGCTTCAAGCAAGGCAAAGACAAAATACAGCGACTAGAGCAATGACTCTATTTATTCAGATATACGTTGATCGTAAAATCTAAGCTACTAGAAAATATATATTCCAAACTAAAAATTTAGTGGATCTAGTTATCTCTTGGTTGTACCAGTCGGTATCTTGAATAAAACGATTTTACTGTCGCTTTGACCAGTAGCAGGCTTGTCAACACGATAGTATCCTTTCCTCTCTAGCTGAATAACATCGCCCGCAGCAAGTGAGGCAGCACCAGCATCCAAGAACGCATTGACTGAGCTCTCTGTATCATGGTTGAGAAAGTCGTCGAGATTGTCTGTCTTCTCCAAGTTGTCCTTGGTCAAAAGATGATCAAACTCCCACAGTTCTCCTTGGATTAACTTATCATCCTGTGCAGCAAGCCAATGCACCTTCTTCTCTGTCTTGCCAACATCGCCTTGAAGATGGAGATCAAGATCTAGTGCAGTTACGGTTCCTTGGTCAGATTTCGTAATGGTCTTGACAATCGCATTCCCCCAGGTCATCAGAGTAATCTCCTCGCCCTCTTTAAAGGACGCAGCATCAGCTTGGTCGAGATAGACCCTGTTTGCAAAAACAACATCCTTCATACCAATTGAAGGATTCTTCGGGTGCTTTGGTCGAGCCTCGTGATATGGTGTATCGGGGCCTCCGTAAATAGTCGCAACAACAATATTTTTGGCTTCCACAGCAGTGTGTCTTGGGGCAATTGGGTCGATCGCCTTTTTGTTCAGTGCCCACAGCACAGTCCAGTCCATATTGACAACGTTGCGGCTCGGTCCTTGCTTCAACATGAAATCGCGAAGGACATCTATTCTCAGGCCACGACGGATAATGCCTCTGATGGTGGGCATTCTAGGGTCATCCCAACCATCTACCCGGCCACTGTCAACTACCTTGGATAGTTTACGCTTCGACAAGAAGGTGCGGATAAAGTTGAGTCGCGCAAAATCCCACAAATGAACTTGACGCATATCCAAAGCCTTTAGAAACCAGTAGTATTGGTCATTCCGGTCGGAGTACTCTGTCGTGCGCAGTGCATGTGTCACTCCCTCAATAGAGTCGACTAATGGGCAGGCAAAATCGTACGTGGGGTAAATATTCCACGTCCACCCTGTTCGATGATGTGGCTGTGGCTCCTCGTCTTTTCCCCATTGTGGAAATCGAAAGATGATAGGATCTCTCAAGGCTCCATTGCTACTGTCAAAAGCAATACGCGCACGGATGCAATGCTTTCGTCCAAAATCGGTGCCATCTCGCATCTCTTTGAAGATTGCCAAGCTCTCACTTGCCGGGCGATCACGTCGAGCACTAGCTTTTCGAGCCTTGCGATCTGCTTTCTGAACCAGAGGATCGGTGTCTTCAGCATAGGCGTCGCCTTGGGAGATTAGCTTCTGACATAGCTGGTAGAGCTGCTCAAAGTAGTCGCTCGTATATGTAACTTTCTGGCAACGGATGCCCATGGATACAAGATCCTCAATACTAGAGTCCTCGTATTCCTGCTTCTCTTTCGTCGGGTTTGTGTCATCAAATCGAAGGATAAGAGAGCCATTATAAGCGTCGTGAGCAAAGTAGTCATTCAAAAAGGCTGCCTTTGCATGGCCAATATGCAAGTAGCCGCTATTGTAAATACATTAGTGAATGCGAATCTCAGTGGATTAGGGGTTCCTACGACGGCTCGGGAGGGAAGCGAGTAACAACTCCCTTATCGGTATCTTGCAATTGTATGCCATAACGACTCTGGCGTTGATCAGCAGCTGAGATGGCGGCTTGAGGACCGCTCTTTTGAAGCTTGGCCTCGTCCTGAAGCTCAGGATAGGTTTTCTCAAGGTATGTATACCATCGCGTAATGTTAACGAAAACTGATCGACGGATCAAGCCCAATGCGACCTTGTTTAAGCATAGCACCGTCCATAGCTTACTATCCTTCTCGGTTAGGCTGAAGCCGCCAACAAAGGTGCGCAAAGTAAGAAATCGATCAAAGTCAAACAAAATTTGCTCAAGTGACTTAAAGTCTAAAAGACCAAGTCCATTTTGGATTCTAAGAAACTCGTGGTTGTTCATTGTAAATGTTAACAAAGTTGTTGCTCTCGTCCGTGCGTCTGTTGTATAGAGGTGATGAGAGAAGCAATTGAGGGCGGGCGCTTAGAGAATAAAAGAGTCACAATTGCGCGACAGCGCCGAATGAGTCACGTCTACGAGGGATTCCGGACTCATACTTTCAATGCATTCATTTTTCTAGTTTGATTTCTGTACACTATATTATACTGCGATCACATTTACAAATGTTCTAGTTTATAACGCGCGAACCCTTTGGTTATACACGCTGAGCGTTCCCCTCATTTGTCTTCTTGCTTGGCCTTGCTAGCTATCTTTCGCGGCCAGCACTCTTGCTTCTCTGGAGCCTTTGCCAAGCGCTTCATCATAAGAACATCTTCATCGTGAAACCCGTTGTCTAAGCTACCAATCTCCACAGCCAGACGTGCATGGCTGATTGCTCTCCAGCGGTTGCCTTCAGCACAGAAAGCACGGGCAGCATGCATATGCGCCTCGCCCATGGGAGCATACAGCCTCTCCTGTTCATATAATTGAAGAAGTGCCAGCGCCATATCTGACGAACCAATCTCATCTTCTTCAAAATAGCCGGTGATTTCTTCAATCTGCGCAAGACGAGAGTCGGACAGGCGCGCCAAACGGCGATCTGCAGTGCAAAGGCTGCACGAGCAAGTAAAACCCCAGGTTGAAGAAAGGGCTTCCTGGCGCTGTTTGCGCGGCAGATGAGGATCAATGTATGTAATTGTAAGCTCAGTGCCGATAGCAATGTCTGTTATGGCGTGGACGTAGTGGGTAAGTGTATCTTCGTCGAAGAAGTATGCCGCGTTGGGGCGGCAGTCGTGATTGAGTCGCTATAAAATCAGTACGGAAACTATAAATGGTTACTAGCCATTTGACTTACTGCAATCTCGGGGAACACTGCATAGTGCTCGGTATCCTCGATATCAATAGCAAACGCGTTGGTGTTGATCCGACCACCAGCTGGGCCATGGCTTGGCTGACCGAATAGTTGCCAGAACAATTTATTTGAAGTAGGAGGCAATGTTCCTACAGCACAACTTTCCACATCTGCCCAGTAATCTTCATCTAGCGTAGCCGAAGCATCCTCATGAAAGATCAAGATTGGTGTGTGGGCGAAGATGCGGTCTCCACGATGGAGAGTTTTGTTCGCAATCAGCCCCTTTCCTCGACCTGGAAGCTCCCTCTCTTCAAACGGTTGAGCAACCTGCTTATTTATGTTGTACTTGGTATAGATGTCGCGCTTTGAAAACGCTGGCAGCTCTTGTATTTGCGCCATGTCTTCAGCCGTTGTGACAATAGAGATGCCACGCCCATGCGCAAACTCTGGCGAAGAATAAACTCGGACAAAATCCGAACCATTGTGTAGCGCGCGACATTTTGAATCGGAGACAGATTCGATTGGGGATTCCCATCCGATTAGTGAATCGAATGATGGAGGGCCATATGACATTGCGCCAAACACATCCCACCCAAGAACATGCTGGTTACCCGCTGAAGCAAGGGAAAAGAGACAGAAGCTCGAAATAGTTGGTTTAATCATGCTGATTTTTTAAAGAAGAATAAAGTTCATGACTATTCCATTTGCTGACCGGCGCGTCACTGGTTTATACAGCTTTCTGTTTACGCGGTATCGATCAAACGCCGATCAAACATAGGGCACGTCCGCATGTTTCAGCCCGGTTTCGACCGTACGGCGAATATTCAGCCCCCGGAAAAGCCAGTAGCCGACATGCAGTGAGATTTATATAAAACCAAACTAAATGTTCTGTATATACTGTAAGCAATCCTCATTTGAATCCTGTAATTTATCTCTGTCCAACTTTGTCTGCTTCGTCCAAATGGCGTCCTCTATCACCACACAAACCGCCCAGGCCGCTGGGCTCGGCGCGCTGTCGAATATCATTGCACAATATCTTGCCTCTTCAAATAATCAAGTAAGTGTTGTTTTGAGGTGTTAATTTCTAGTTTCTTACAATTTGTCTATTAGTTTTCTGTCGCGTTTGATCCACTTGCAAAATACGTCCTTTATGGTATTCTAAATACGCCACTTAATTGTCTCTGGCAAGAGTATCTGGAGCAGACATTTCCAGGAAAGCCGAAATCTGCGGCCGGAAAGGAGAAGTGTGTAAATTCAGATGCAAGCATGCACAATTTTATTTGCAAATTTGCGTTGGATCAGACCGTTGGTGCCGCAGGCAATATCCTCTTCTTCCTTACTGTCCAAGGGCTGTTGCGCGGCGCATCGCTCTCTGCAATTTATCAGTCGATTATGGATGACTCGCTCAGTATATATTTCAGTGGCCTTGTAATTTGGCCTTTGGTTTCCCTCATTAGTTTCGCATGGGTTCCCGTCCACAGACGTGTGGTGTTTGGCTGTATTGTTGGAGTTCTTTGGGGGGTTTACCTCAGTATGGTTGCCCTGGGCGGATAAACTGATTAACCACAGAATATTATCATATGAATATATTCAATCTAGACTTTTTGAGTTTCTCATTAAGCGGTGAGATACACACTGGCTATTGGCCGTAATGTAACAAGACTGACCTCGATCAGCGTGGAATGGCCATAGAGGCTTGAGACTGGGTTCCTATACTGTCTACCCAAGTCCAATGTCCCAAACATTGGCTGCGTGTAGTTCATCCATCATTCTAGAGCACAGAGGTCGATCGCAACTTTGATCAAGACTCGTCAGCTGAAGCTGCATCCAAACACAAGTAGCTTGCCACTCCAAACGCGCTCGCCCTTCCGTCCACCAACAGTCAAGCCGACAGAGTAGACCCATCCAATACCCGAGTAGCCATACGGCACGCGAATCCCTTCTAAGAAGTAGATTGCGAAATTGAAAATTTGTGTCAATAGAGCCCATGAAGTTGAGATATAGGGGATGAGATTCAGGTGTAGGCTCGATGGTTCGTATAGCAGCCAAAAACCTCGCGGGTTCGCTGAGAATGGCCGATCTACTAGAGTATTCCAAGCCCAAGAACTCTTTCCAGTGGTCAGGTATTATATCTAAATGCTCATTTGTACCATAAAAAGTACAGCTTTCGTCGTCCGATGATGTGTACATCCATTCTAATATTGAGTGTTGTTGGTATTCTGTCGTGCGCTGTATCAGGGCCTTGAGCCCAAGGTTGACAGAGAACCAAGACAGTTGCGCATTGCCTGCGAATAGCCAACTTGAACGAATATTATTGTAGTCTTCTACACAAGAAAATGTGAGAACATTGATCAACACGCTTGTTAGAACAAGTGCATCCGCGAGGCTTTGATTGAGCTTTGCCGTTGTTAAGGCTGTATTGAAACCGGTGATGGCTTGCATCTGCTGCCAGTTTTCAGACGCTCGATATTTATTCTTGCTCATAGAATGGTAACGAAGATGAGATGCAGAAACAGCCAGCGCAGCCCTAAGCAAGAAGGTGTGGTGATCCTGCAAGGCGAATGCGAGTACCGAGCTCGTGTTGGCGGTTCCTCGTGTCAATTGAGGGAAAACAATATGAAACTGACGAATCAGAACATGTGTCTCGATACCCGGGGAATGATTCTGAAGGAGTATTAAAGGTATGCTTTGGTCAATGCTAGGCTTCTCAACTGCTGGGCTATACTCGCAATGAGTCTTCGTCTTGAGGCATCGAGCGCAGCGTGGCTTAGCTTCATCACACTGAAAATAATGATTAGCATTAGCTAGTGAAAAGGGGATCACATTTTAACTATGCAGGGACACGAACCTTTACGCGCCTCGCTTTACATCGAAGACACCCATTTCGAGATTTCTGGTGAGCGGTCTGTCGTCGGTAACGCCGTTCTTGGAGTGTGCCTTTCTGAGGCCGAAAGCTGAGAATATGCATAGCCGGCGCGCCGGCAGTTGATGCATCCTCTTTTGTCTTCATGATTGCGGTAATACAAGAATAAAGGGAACCCGAAATTTGACGACGCAAAAGTAGCTGTAGCCCGTCGTCGGTTAACAAAATTAGTGCGACAGCCGTGACGTCAGCCGCACTCCGTAATGCTCGCTTTCCTATTTTGGACACATTTAGCTGACCCGCAAGTGGCTCCTTTAACTTGCGAGAGTAAGATGAAGCTTAAATAGCATCGGTTTCCTGTTTGGGACGCTTGGCTTTAACATTGGCTATCAAACTTATAAATGGAGCTCATCGCCGCATGACAATTCCTTTCTATACTGCAGTTATCCAATCTTTTTCCTCTAAGCGAAACATCAAGCTCTCTTCTTCTCCCAAAATGCAACACTCGTTCATTCTCATGTCTCTGCTCTGTTTAGGCACCGGGCATCCCACTGGCGCCGACAAAGAGCCCAATGCACCGCGAGCCACCACACAGCAAGGACCTATACGAGGCATTTCCACGGACCAATATGTCAATGCCTTCCTTGGTATTCCATATGCTCAGCCTCCTGTCGATTCACTCCGATTCATGGCCCCTCAACCTCTGGCAACAATGTCGCCTGCTATTGACCATCCAGTGCGCAACGCCACTGCATTTGGCCCTGTCTGCTACCAGTTCCATTACAATAGCGTAATGGGTAACGCTCTCACTGAGACGAGTGGCCAGTCTGAAGACTGTCTTACTTTGAACGTCTTTGTCCCCAAGCGCAGGCCCTGTAAACAAAACAAGCCCATGCCTGTCTTTGTGTGGTCCTTTGGTGGCGCGTTTGGAGAGGGCGGTGGCAGTATGCCCATGTTTAACCCAACAAACTTCGTGGCGAGGAACAAGGATATTATAGTTGTCACCTGGAAGTATGTCTCGAGTCGTCACCGTCTCGTCTTAATCTTGCCCTAATATTTCTGACAGTTACCGGACAACACTCTTTGGCTTCCCCAATTCTCCTGCCCTCGACCAACAGAACTTGGGAATCCGTGATCAGCGTGTCGCCCTAGAATGGGTGCGAGACAACATTGCTGGATTTGGTGGTGACCCTAACCACATCGTACTAGGTGGACAGTCTTCCGGGGCAGACTCTGGTAATGCCATGCTGTATACCCACAAAGACGACCCCATTGCTATCGGAGCTGTCTTCCAGAGTGGTACTGTGCAGATTATCGGTGCATCTACATCCAACCAAGACTCAGAGTTTGTCCGAGCTGCAAACTCGGTCGGATGCGCAGACCCTGCGAACAGAAATCGAGAATTAGAATGCATGCGAAGAACTAATGCCGACATTCTCCATCATGCCATCTCCAATAATACTCTAAACGCGTTTGGGGCGCCTCCGGGTGGCAGCCCTATGGTTGATAACGAGACCCTGTTCACATTGCAAGAATACGATGCCCGTGGTAGGGCTGGTAGATTTGCCAAGATTGTATGGAAGAAATCCCTTGTCTTATTACGGTTCATACAGAAGCTAACAGATCATAGCCTACATTAATCGGAAGCTTAGATGACGAAGGCGAGGCCATTGTAAATTGGTCCAAAGAGTGTGGCATCAACAAGACCACTGCCGCAAACATCACGCCTATGCTTCAGTGCAATGTGGCCCTTGAATCACGGTACGATCCGAGTCCTTTTGATGTAACTATCTTACTGACGCCACATTCTAGTTATCGTCATCTTAACCAAGTTCCCACTTGGCGTTACCGATACAGGGGCATATTTCCTGGAGTGACGCCGTATAAGTGGCTCGGTTCCTACCACGAGAGTAAGTCTGCTCACCCAGATTAACAATTCCATGCTTATAGAACTATAGGTGACGTCGCAATACTGCTGGGTTCTTTTGACTCTATCGCACACACAGATAAATCGTCGCCAATCACTGCAGCAGCATCACAATACCTTCAACAAGTTGTCGCAACGTTCATTCGCAACCCGACCAGCGGGTTAAGCCATGTGTATAAGTGGCCTGTCTACAACCCGGGCGAGAATACATTGGTTCAACTCTTTACCAACAATACCATTGGGGCAACTTTGACCAGTCCCATGAAATTCGATACCATCTGCAACAACCTGCCTCCCATGTCGTGGGAAGCTGTTGGTGCGCCCGCGCCTGTATGTTGAGCACACGGCATACATCTCACAATAGTCATAGAAACATAAGATGCTACTGGTGTCACACATATTGATCAATCAGATTATCTCATTTAGTCCTTAGACTTCGTTTTGTTAATCTTCTTTATCCTAATACAGAAAGCTCAGATAACCACGCCCGCATATTCGCGACCAGTTGCTCTGCAGTTGAACTCTCCATAACACACTTCTGCCAACTTACACCAAGTGGCAATGAACCTTCCTTAACACTGATAACAATCACACAAATCGCGGCAGAGCACATTTCAGCAGGATTTATAAAGGAAGAGTGTGTGATATTCCATGCACCACAACCACACATGTCGAGGACGCCGAGATTAGTGACAAGCCACGATCCAATTCGGGGCTTGCGAGCAACACTGCGTTGATGCGATCTCCAGTCCTTGATAAATCTGGCCAGTCCTACTACATCATCTCTACCACCCTTATCAACACGCAGCTGCACATCGCGGCTTACTACAGCTGCTACTTGCCAAAGCTCGTGGTCAACAGCTTGGATGATTTCTGAGGGTGATGAAAAAGCAATTGATAGACCCTTTTTGCGAATTCCTTCGATAAGGTCGGAGCCCATGTCATGCCAAACCGTGGAAAAGATGTTCATAAGCGAATTCTTCGCATCAAACTCTGGCAGCTCTGCTAAAGGTGACGTTATGAATCGTCGGTGATCAATTGGGGTGCAAGTTCTAAACGACTTGGGCTGGGGCTTATGACCGTTCTTTTCAGTCAGTTGTAGTGATAGAGAAAAAGCAACCGGGGCGTGTATCAACCCCGTCAGAGATCTCCCGTGCTGCCTGCACAGCCTTAGCAGATTCTGAACCGCAAACTTGTCCATCTCAATCGTCGAATAGGCGGTTTCCATCGGCCTCTCACGGATAGGGCACCAATACGCCAAATTATCATTGGTTCCGGCAAGGAATTGAGGTTTGAGCTCTTGCCAGAGCGTAGAAACTGTGTATTTTGCCGAAAGGGGATACTTGATGAGTTTCTCCTGAGGTGGTGGGAAGTTTTTAGTTACGTCGGGTAACGTCAAAATGTTGGACGATGAAATGCGCACTTAACGTTCAGAATCGGGTTCATTGAGATGGCGCAAGACTTGTTCGTGAAACAGTTTGCCAGAAACACCGTCGATATGGACATGATTCCACGAAAACATAACGTCGAGCGCTCCAAAGTCTTCGTTGCGATGGAACACTGTTACGTCCCAACCAGGCCTGTTCTCTGCATCTTGGTACCAAGTATCCATAGTTTTAATTTCCACTTGCTTTACTTGGTTCTCATAATCATTTTGGGTTGGGATTGGGTGCCAATGAATGTGCAGGTTCAGATCTATTCCGTCCACTCGTTGCCAAGCAGGTGACACTTAATCTTCTTGGTATTGAACAACTTGTAGCAATGGTTGTTCAAGGACGGTTCTAGCCACTGCGTTTTGAATTGTTGCAGGAATTGTTGTCGCCGGAGATTCCAGCAACAAATCCGCCGGGGCTTCATAGCGACAGATTACCACTACAGCGCAATATTGGCGAGTAAGGTGAAGTGCCGAGAGTATATTCTCACTGCCATATAGTTAGCAAAGATTTTTCTACAGCAGTTGAAATAATTGAGTGAGGACATACACGTTGCCCAATGCTCGAATAATCTTAGGGTGCTCACCTTTCCTAGACTGGTCAGTCATTGTCGGCTCCAATCAGTTATGAGCGATGGAAACGAAGTCGTAAACAATCCTCGGTCAGAGAGGTTTACGGAAAGCTTCACCAAGGGTGCGCCTCGGGCTCTCCGCTGACGGGAGTAAAACTTACCTGTCATGACAAGAAGTGTGACACATACGACCTTCCTATGCTTGGCCAAGTAAGCGGAACGTACGATCCGGACCCATGGATCATTGTTTGCCCACAGTTCTAGGCATTTTCGGACTATCACTCTGAAAAGAAAGAAAGATTTCAAGAAATGGAAAGCCGAGATGCGGTTCTCATTGCTAGTCTGATGATGTTCTTCGCTGGTGAAACCCCAGCAGTGCGAGCCTTTGACAAGTTTGAGGGTGATTGGCTTAACATTAAGTACAATTAATGGAGCCAGTTTGCGTGTGAAGTGGGCTATGCTTGTGAAGATCTGTGACTGGCTAAATACATGGCTGAAATACTTCGACGACTTAGCTGGAGCATCTTTATAAAGTGTTTCTTGGAGTACATTATGTACATACCATTATTACTAGACTGCATGCAGCAACATTTAGAACCTACGAGAGCCATCAATAAACTCAATGTAACTTTTTAGAATCTTTCGTCTTTGTATGCTTAATAATATTATTTAAAGGAGCACTCTGAGTGTGCTCTTCAAATGCCTCGGCGAGTTGACTCACTCCCGGGTAGTGCTTGCCTTTGCACTGGATTTTTGGCCTCGAGCAAGATTTCTATCAATATTTTCGGCTTAACTTTTATTTAATTTGATTTTGAAAAAATTGTCTTATAATTTTGAGGAGTAGATGGGCGTCCCGTGTTCCTTCGTATTCATGGTCCCAAACGGACGCGATGGAGTTAACGCCGGGCGACAGGGCGCGATACAGGCTCAAAATCCCACTCTCTCCGCTTCCAAAATACATCTTGCAGGACAGCAACATGGAAGCAATGCACCTTAGCAACGCCCCTAGACTCCCATTGGAAATTATTTTAGAGATTATAAACTCTTTCTTTTGGGCAGACGATAAAGCAATCCTCGCTCCGTGCCATGAGACAACAAAAACGCTGCTGGCTTTGGCGCGAGTTTGTCGATTGATACACCCGATAGCCTCCGAATTACTCTATAGGCACTGTGTATATATTGACTCGGAAGAGAAGCTCATGAAACTTTGTCAGACTGTGCTCCTACAAGCACAAGATCCCGCAGCGCCAAGCAAAAACATCTGCAAACTCTTCCTCAGCCCCTTTTCTGGAACCGCCAAGTCAATACCTGTTGATAATGTAAGCGAAGAAACTACCGCCACGCAGCGCGATGATGCCAGTGATGCCTCAACACCTGATATTTCTGTGGATTCGCCTCTGGATGACCACACTACTGCTACTGCGGTGCGCGATCTTCTCACCGCTGTTGCACCGACACTACGGTCTCTCGTCATAGACATGCCGCTCCGAAGTCTATATCCTGAGGATGATCACAACGGTGTGCGTCCGATTCTTCGCGCTGGATTCTCTGCTCTTACCAGTCTTGAAAACTTTGTTAGCGTCCGCGATGAGCTGTTCCTCAGCACAACCGAAGCTCGAGACGAGCCGGAAGTTTGGGCTACGCTCTGGCCAAAGCTGCAGCGTCTCGCGCTGTACAATCTTGACCTTGGCGCGGAGGGCATTTGGAATCAACTATCAAACTTGCCCTATTTGCAGGCAGCAGTTTTCGGACGGGCGGATGGATATGGTGAGGATATTGACCACGAGGTAGACCATGCATGGCATGCCTTGTTGGGCCTCGACGTTAAGAAAGAGTGGTTGCAAGCGATAGAGTTGTCAAATAAAGATGGAAATGTGGAGCGTGTAGGAACCATTACACTAATATTTGCTGATGTTGCGGACCTTCAACCACGGTTTGGCAAATATGCGGAGAGTTGGCAAACTTTGGACCCCGACGGCAACATACAGGTTCTACTGGCAGATGTGCCTGAGCCAGGTAGAGTGCATGCTGCTGATGCCGTAGGGGGGCAGGAAGCTTGCCCTATAGAGTTAACACAGCAATTTTTACTTAGACATGGCTTGGACGGTACGCTATGGGATAAGACAGCCTGTTGGATACGGAAAGAAGAGTAACATATAGGTTAATGCTTGCCACGCGACCAGAAATTGATCCCTTTACTATGCCAATACGTACAACCGGATATAACTTATATACATGTTCATCGAGACTACCCATATGTTTCATTATACTTTCTTTCCCCCAATAAGCGGCGATATTTCTTCATTCTTTGCAAGTCATTACCGGACAACAGAAGAATTCCACCCAAGACAACCATCCACAGGGCAATTACAAGACCATTGAACGTACCCCAATCATTAAGTTGTTGCCATGTTTCAAACAAAGGTGAGCCTTCGGCCGAGACACCCAAATCAGCAAACCACAAGACAATGATGAGGATCCAGGAAAACACAACTAGTGCAGAAACACTGAACGGCCCCCAAAGGTGTTTTGTAAAGTCGACACGTTTGTGAATGCAGAAGCACGTTGCTGCAATTTGTATTGGCCAGAGTAGCGGATAAATAATATGCAAAGCATAGCCACTATTAGTAAAAGAAGTTAGCATTTTGCGCCATTGACAAGGGAAGTATACAATGTACTTACTTCTCGCATGGCGTATCTTCGCTACCCTTACAGCGCGATACACGAACTGCTTGTATAACAAGGTGGATGAATGAATACAATAGGAAGAATGGCCACATGTATAAGATCAAAAACTTGTATGCATGACCAGCCCAGTAGTTATGGCTGGGATGATAGTGCGCACCAGTGGCAGATGTTGTTGATGACGGAGTGGTTGGCGTGTTGTCATTGGCCTGCGTTGATGCCACAGCTGGTGTGTTGACACCAGTAGAGTTTGGTACAGCCTTTCGTTTGATGCTATAGCTGTATGCCGGCGCTTGTGACTGCTGCGCGAACAACCGCGCGCATGGTCCATCAGTATCGACTGCAGTGGTGGATGTAGCAGTCGATGTTTTGCTACATCGCGGCCCGTAGTGTGTAAAGGAGAGGGACGCGGGTTTTCTGTAAATATAGTACCACAAGGTACCGTTACAGGCAACGGTCGCGATGAGCGAACAAACAAAGTTGAGCGCAGCGACTGCAACGGTGCCCTTTCCAGAGCTGGGAAGGAAATCATATTCAAAGACTGGCGCCGAAGCCGCCTTTCCGAGGAGCGCAATGCTTAAGACCAGTCCCAGGCCGGTGAAGAAGGGAACAGACCACTGGCGCATCAAGTTTGGTTCTCTGTACCAGACATACTTGCGGTAGGGTATCCAGTCAAGAGCGCCAAAGAAGACAAGTATCGCAGCCAGCCCAATAACAGCAGATAAGTCAGGTCCTGGCATAATGTCTCCCGACGCCAGTGCTGCAGCTATAACGCAAAAGATTGTGCGGAGAAGCGCAAAGACTTTAAGCAGAGGTAGCATGACCTTGCCATACCATCTGGCCTGCGTATATGGCCCTGGGGAAACACTCCATGTTGTCCCCCGGATGGACTTAAAAATGCCCCAAAAGTCGACCAGCATGGTGGCTTACCGGTATATTGAGCGCTTGTTGAGATTTGACGCCGTTCATGCACGGTGGGATTTATGATACTTAAGCGAAGATGGTATCGGTGACTTTATATCCAAGGGGCAATCTCGGCCAAATCTAATCAGGCTGCGGCTTAAACAAAGTAAGCATACAGGGGTCTTACAGCGCAGAATCGGGCCAATTCAGCGCCATGGTGGGCACGGCCCGCCACCGATCAAGATAATCATTGCCCGTTCTGGGAATAGTTTCGAGGGAAATGGATTCACTGACCCCTCGGCATTTTCGGCGAGACACTTTAAGACTAGCTTAAAATTCAGCTAAAAAGGAATAGTAGAAGGCATGATGCGCCAGCTCTGTGCTCGACATCGCAAACATGGCGACAGTTACTGCTTTACGAAATATGTTTAGTTCTGCGCCTGGGATCCCTGTGGACAGTATCCCTCTCGGTCAACATGGCGCTCTATGCGAAGACTGTCAGCAATTTGACCTTCACAGCTTCAAGCGTGACATCTACGGCAACCGAGGCTATGCATTCGCCAAAGTCAAGCAATCGGCTCTCCAAGGATGCTCATTTTGCTCCATGATTGTGGATGCCTTTCGAGATCGAAGAATGCCTCTTGCCAAGTCGATCTTCAGACGCGATGCCTCGGAAGACGGCTGGTTCGTGCACTTTAGCCTAGATGCAATGGAGGGCAAAGATGCTGAATCTGGTAGTCTGTTGCAGTCGGTCAAGGTGCTGCGAGCAAGGTTGGCGCCAAGGAATAATCTCTTGCCGTACTCGGTAATGGGGTCCTCGAGAGTCGAAGACTGGATCGAGCATTCCTTTCATGTGGTTGCAGATCCGGGCAGCGCTGCGCATGATAGCGGTGTTGTAGCTGGCAGGTATGTGGGACAGCTTTCCGGCTCTTCGGATCATGTCGGCGTGATAAAGAATTGGCTGGGCGATTGTATCCATCACAAGAATTGCGGAAAGACCTTGTCGCAGACAATGCCAATCAACTCTCACGCTGCACCACTCCCGACGCGCTGTATTGATGTTACGGGCCCGGTGCTGAAGCTAGTGTCGCAGCAAACAGGACAATATATTTCCCTTTCGCATAGATGGACAGATCAGGTCTTTACGTCAAGAACAACAATGACCAACCTGGCTGCACGAGAGCGTGGCGACGCGGATAGCTTCGATCAGCTCCCCAAACCAATGCTGGATGTGTTTGATCTTGCCCGCAAGCTCGGCATACCCTATGTCTGGATCGACTCCATTTGTATTATTCAGGAAGGTGATCAAGGAGCAGATTGGACAAATGAGGCTGTCAAGATGGGCTCCTACTACCAAAATGCCCATCTGACAATATCGGCATCGTCAGCGGATGCCTCACAGGGGCTTATACCCAGCAGAGAGGACAAGTCGCCTCGAATAGCCAGGATGGTCTATCTGGACCAAAACCAAAACGCCAATGGCTACTTCTACCTTATGCCCTTCCTCGAGAGAGTTGATGACGAGTATAGAGAGCATGTTCAAGAGAGCGAGCTGTTTACCAGAGGATGGGTCTTCCAAGAATGGCTGTTGAGCAAGCGTATTATTTACTTCACGCCTGTCGGTATCATTTTTGAATGCTGCACCAACGGTCTACGCAACGAGCGCGGTGAAGACGTATCTACCAACTACTACGATATTTGGACATCCGAGCGCCCCCTTACTAAACCCGTCTACACATTTGACAATACACAGCTGGAAAATGTGTGGTACTGGATAGTTCAATGGTACTCGTCACTTTCACTCACAATGCCTGACCAAGATCGGGTTGTGGCGCTAGCAGGTATAGCTGACGAATATCGGCTAAGCTTGCAGCGGTGCTTCCGAGCAAATGAAAAGCTACCTGCACCAACAGTGCCTTGCGGTGGAGAGTACGCTGCGGGACTCTGGATTCGGGACTTGCATCGTGGCCTGACGTGGCAAGCTCGGCCCGAAGCAGACATTGCTCGCTTACCTGGCTTCCCTACTTGGTCATGGGCGTCCATCAACACACCGGTTGTTTGGACCACGCTGACGGAGTACAAGACAAGTGCTTGGGCTCTTCTCTGGAAGAAAGCAGAAAAGGCAAAGAAGCAGGGCCGAATGCGTGACACTGCTCAAGTACTTGGTGTTGTTGGCAGCGATGGCACGTCTATGACACTGCATGGCGATGAATCCAATGGCGGGCTGGATATGGATGTAGCTGCCCCATTTGCATCTGACAGCAAGTTTGCGCGCTTGAATATCCGCGCCAAGTTTCTTCGTGTCTTGGTCCGCGAGAAAATGACCACTACGGAAGACTTGGAGCTGACCAAGTTTATGCTCGGGCCGCGGGATATTAGTAACACGACGCTTTGGCGAAAGGTTGTGGCGCCAGATAATGCGAGCGAGATTTGTGGCTGGGCATCGCTCGAGGGGCCGAGTTTAGCGGAAGAGAAAGCATTTGAAACTGGTAGTGGTATGGAGATGTCTGCCTTTGTGTTGGGCCTTCGTCGTGGTGACGGTGGCTTTGGCTCTGGCTCCGTTCTACGAACGACATTCACTATTTACGTGGTACTGTTTGTACAGAGCACACAGTTAGGATATGAGAGACTGGGAATAGGGCATATATTTGGCACGGAGATGGATGCCATGTATGAAACGGCACAAGAGCAAGACTTCTTTCTTGTGTAAGCGAGCGATCCCCACGTGCAACTCAGCACTGAAAAGAGGGGAAGAAGTCAGAGGCGCAGTACAAAGGAAATATAGTACAGTTATGGTAAAACTATAAACTCCACAATTGGAATTTACCTGTGTATATGTATTGCTCGGCACTGCCGGTGTGCAAAGAGACGGCGGCGGACGCTAAACCGAAACCGGCTGGCGGCGCTCAAGGCCGCCCCGTCTCCGTTGCGGCCACTGTCCGGCAGCCGGCATCCAAGAGTTGGCCCGGCCTCCGGGTCTATGTAGGGACCATCACATGGGAAATTTATGACGTTGGAAACAGTCGTCATCATGTTGTTTGGCGTGTTCCAGTTTCTGACTAGTCTTTAATATATGCATACTTATAACTAACCCATCGAGTCTACCCAACTCTACCCATCCATCGAACCACCACCACTAACACGCTCGACTTGCACCAAAACCCTAATTCGACAAACACTATGGGTCGGGCTACCGAGACAAACCAACACTCCATGGCGTCGACCTGGACGACGGCCGACAAGAGCACGTGGAACCGCGCTCAAAAAACCATGCATTTCCTCAACGCGTATCCCGTTCTCCCAGGCCAGCCGCTCCCAGTCCGCAAGAAGACAGAAAAGATTCCATACATGGTCGCTTGGTCGCAGCATCTTTACATTATTGTATATGCTGCCGTTCCATTCATAATTCATCAGGCATATACCTCTCTTACCGGCCACAGCTTGGGAAAGATTGCCACATTCGTCCTCTACACATTCTCATACATGTTTAATGCGGCGCGCGAATCCCGCATGCTACGCCAACTCGCATATAAATATGGCTGCCTTGATGGAGATGAATACGACCGCGATGGCATTCCTGACGGCTATGGTGCCGGCAAAATCCTCGGCGAACTCTCCAAAACATCAGCCATTCGCCTGGCGCTGGCTGTCTGGGCTACATACGACCCTACCTCGTCTCCCATGACGGCTTTTAGCGACCCCAAATGGTGGATGTTGCTTGCTGCCAAGCTTTGTCTCTACGGTGTTGTTCTCGATTTCTTTTTCTATACCTACCACCGTGCATGCCATGAGGTTCCCAACTTGTGGAAGTACCACCGCACGCACCATCTCGCCAAGCATCCTACAGTCCTGCATTCCGGCTGGGCAGACGACGAGCAGGAAATCATTGAGATTCTGATTGTACCCCTCCTCACATTCGGCAGCCTTTGGGCCATGGGCTTGCCTCTCGGGTTCTACGATTGGTGGATCTGCTTTGAATATGTCACCTATGCAGAAGTTTGGGGTCACAGTGGTATTCGCGTACATGGCATTGTGCCCTCTCCCATCTCATGGCTGCTTCAACTGCTTGACATGGAGCTCGCTCTTGAGGACCATGATCTGCACCATCGCAAGGGCTGGAAGAAGAGCTTCAACTATGGCAAGCAGACCAGAGTTTGGGATAGACTCTTTGGAACGACAACTAGCAGATTGGAGGCTGTCGCCTCCAATATTGACTACTCTCAGCTGGTTCAAATGCCGCTTCGGTAACTCAGCTGCTCTGCCGAGCATATGTGTTGCAGTCACCTTTTAATGTTTTTTAATGTTTTCATGAAATCTATTGCATCTTTTCACCTTGTATATACTATAAAATATACTACTGTGTTTCCAATGGAAATCGCTGCGCTACGTTGATTCAATAAGTTGATTTGTCTTGGCCTGATAACAAACCTCGAATCGTATTTTGGGCGTTTTTATTATAAGACTCATATGGGTTGCGTCGGTGCCGAGTGAGAAAACACTAGAACATGGCATGAAAATTCGCCGATTGGTTGGAACCAGGTTCTCAATTTTCATAGCATGGGTACAATATATGTAGTTTGCGGTAAGCTGCCTAACCTCTGAGAAATCAGGCTGCAGGCTGATAAATCCTAAGCTCTCCAAAGTAGCCAACTCCCGATAGTTTCTAACTCGAAGTAGTAAAAAAGAGTACAGGATGCGAACAGCTACGTCACCAAAGGAGTCATCCAACGCCGTAATTCGCTTAACTCCAAGATCAGCGGGCTGGAGCGACCCTCTCGTGTCTTAATTCCGGGTTACGGCAGTAACGTAGTATTACATGTATTATATGCGGGGAACCCGGTAATGTGCCGAATGATCAGCGTATAAGTCCGGCAATGAGCGGACTGACCAGCATATAAATATCGTTCCTCGCCATTTATATGCCAAAGCGAACCAAATCGTCATAGTACTTCCTCACTTGGATCCAATATGGTGTCTGCTTCGAGCCTCTTCGTTCTAGGCGCTGCCCTCATATCATTCACAGCGGGAGAGCCCGACTCCCTAGACGGTATTCGGAACTTTGCTAAACGTCGCTTTGGCAACTATGCCGATGTTTTATCCTTTCAATTGACAGAAAAACATGAAAATCCATCGCGCTGGAACCAAGTGACGAATGATAATTACACCGTTAGCAGCACAAGCGACGGGAAGATCTTGGTCCAAGGAACGACTCTTAACGCTCTCGCACGAGGGTGAGTTTTACTTATTCGCAAGCAACAATCAAGTCACTAATGAAGGGAATTTTTCTCCGAACAGACTGCGACATTATGCTACAGATACGATGTATTTGGATGACTTTTGGTTCGTGAAACAGCGTACTATCTCTAAGCCGCTGCCTGCTTTGACCAAGACATTGGTCGGAGCTAGTGTTGTCCCCTGGCGATACAACTTCAATACTGGTAAGAAAGTCGATGTACGACCCCATCCAAAGAACCAATGCTTACAATGACTTATAGTGACTTTCTCATATACATTTGCCTGGTACTCCTGGGAAGACTGGGAGCAGCTCCTGGATTGGGCAGCCTGGCGAGGCATCAACCTTCAACTCGCCTGGGTGGGCTACGAAAAGATCTTCCTTGACAGCTTCAGAGAAATTGGCATGGCTGATGACGAGATCCTGGCATTCTTCTCTGGCCCTGCTTTTCAAGCGTGGAACCGATTCGGCAACATCAAAGGCTCCTGGGGCGGCGTAGGGAACCTGACGCTGTCGTGGATTGAGTCACAGTTCGAGATGCAAAAGAAGATTGTGGCGCGCATGGTGGAATTGGGAATGACGCCAGTCTTGCCGGCATTTCCAGGCTTTGTACCCGACGCCATCACCCGCGTACGGCCCGTAGCCAACGTCACCAAGGCTCCAGACTGGCTTTTTGTCCCAGGATACAGCCAGGATCTGTTTCTGAGTCCTCTCGACCCTACCTCTGCGGAACTACAGAAGTTGTTTATTTCCAAGCAGATTGAAGCTTTTGGAAATGTAACCAACGTCTACACTCTGGACCAATTCAATGAGATGCAGCCGAGCTCCGGTGATACTGCCTACCTGGGCGCCGTTTCAAAAGCAACATACTCAGCCCTTACCGCAGCGAACCCTGCTGCGATTTGGTTGATGCAAGGTTGGCTGTTTTACAGTAGTGAGGCATACTGGACCCAAGAGCGCATAGATGCATATTTGGGTGGCATGGGTGAAAAGAACAACGCGTTGATCCTGGACTTGTACTCTGAAGGCAGCCCCCAATGGCAGCGCACAAAACATTTCTCGGGTCGACCGTGGATATGGTGTGAGCTGCATGACTTTGGCGGCAACATGAATCTGTTTGGTCAGGTGTCAAGGCTTACCCAGGGTCCTATTGCTGCACTTGCGAATTCGTCGTCTTTGGTTGGCTTTGGTCTTACCCCAGAGGCCTATGAGGGGAATGAAATTGTCTATGACCTTCTTCTCGATCAGGCGTGGTCATCTAGCGCTATCGATACAGTCGCCTACTTTAAAGAGTGGACAACATTAAGATACGGACAAATCGTGCCCTCTACTCTTTACAAGGCCTGGGATATGCTCCGACAGCACGTCTATGACATGGATGATCCTCTCTTGCCTGCTGTAGGAGTCGGCGTCTACCAGCTTCAGCCCGCCTTGAGTGGCCTTGCTAACCGAACCGGCCACTTCCCCGCGCCAACATATCTTGGCTATGATCCCAATGTTCTCAAACAGATCTTAGGTTTCATGTACGATGCAGCAACCGAGAACGAGTCTCTGTGGAATGTGCCGACCTTCCAGCTAGATGTTGTAGACGTGACAAGACAAGTCATGGGCAACTACTTCATCGACCTCTACCAAGATCTAGTCAAGACTTTCAATGCGTCTATTGCGCATCCGCCTGGCAAAACCTGTGGCACAGTCGAACAAAAGGGCCAAAAGCTTCTCAAATTTTTGACCGCTCTTGATTCAGTCCTGTGTACCATCGATCACTTCACTTTCGCCAAGTGGCTTAGTGATGCAAAGCGATGGGTAGCGGGAGGTGATGATGATCTCATTTCCTTTAGTGCTCGCAGTCAGGTCACTGTTTGGCAGCCAGACTCGCCATATCTCAACGATTATTCGGCTCGCGCCTGGGGTGGCCTCACTGGCGTGTACTACCACAAACGGTGGGAGATTTTCGTTGATGGTCTGACGGAAGCTGTCAAAGCTGGCTCCATTGATGAGCAGGCACTGAAACAAAAGATTCACACTTTTGAAAAGTCATGGCAATTTGGTGGGTTCAATGGGCCCGAGAGCAAACCGGCTTCGGGCGACGTTAAGAATGTGGTGACGGAGGTAATGAAGCAATGGCCAAAGGCATTTAAATCGTAGTCGGTAATGCATGAGTTAGGGCGCTACTTTTAATTTCACGTAAAATATTTATGGTACTGAATAAATTGCCCTATATTACACAGCATCATATGGTAGTACCGTGTAAGTAGACGGTAGTACTGGGTCGCCCTCTTACTTCTACAACACGGTTACAGCCAGAATTTCTGCCTTGAAGGAGAAATATTTGAGCTTCTTTGTACAATTTATGCGTTAAAAAATCTTTTTGGGGCTGTAAAACAAATATTTTTCGTTAAAATCGACGGTTCAGTAACTCTTCTGTGTCTGACATGTTGTAGCAAAAGAATAATATGACTTACATGTCTAATAATAGACACAAGAATCCCCATAAGTATCGTATGCTATAATACCTATACAACACGCCGAAATTTGTTTTTGATTTCTATCTAATAGTATCTATGATGAAGAGTATACTATTTGCATTTTTGTATGCGCAGTCGCTGCGCCCGCAGCGCAGTCGGACCTCCCAACGCTATTATATGCAACGATTGACGAGCTTCGTGATGGTCTCGACAAGGGCAAATTCACCTCGGTCCACCTCACCAAAGCGTACATCAAGCGCATCGAAGAAGTCAGCCAGCAGCTCAAGGCGGTAATCGGTGTAAATACAGATGCCCTCACCATCGCCGCAGAGAAAGACAAAGAGCGCGAAAAGGCGTTCGCTAACAACATCATGTTGCCCTTACTCCACGGGATTCCTGTGAACCTCAAGGATAATATCGGCACCAACGACAAGATGGACAATACGGCGGGTTCCTTTGCCCTAGTCGGGGCCAAGCTGCGACGCGACAGCACTATGGCAGCCAATCTCCGCAAGGCCGGTGCCATCATCCTCGCCAAGGACAATCTCAGCCAGTGGGCACACTGGCGTGGCCAATACCTCCCTTCTGGCTGGAGCTCCATCGCTGGTCAGTGCGTTGGGGCCTTTGGCGGTAACCCAATGGGTTCGTCGTCTGGCGGCGGCGTAGTAAGCGCTGTTGGCCTCACTTGGGCGTCATTGGGCACTGAGACTGCGGGTTCCATTATCTACCCGGCGTGGTATAATAATGTTGTTGGCATCAAGCCCACCATCGGACTCACATCACGCTATCTGGTGGTACCTATATCAGGGCATCATGATACAGTTGGCCCCATGGCGCGCACTGTCAAGGATGCTGCGGCGCTGCTGAATGTTATGGCGGGAAAAGACAGCAATGACAAGTATACAAGCTTGATCCCCAACAATGGCAAGATCCCAGACTATGTGGCGGCCTACTAGAGTACCAACCTCACAGGGATCCGTATAGGCATATTTCGTTCCAACTTGCCTAGCGACTTCAATGCTACTGTCAAGGTACTACAGGATCTGAACGCCACCATTGTTGATAACATCGAAATGCCGGGTGTAAAAAAGGTGAGCGGCCTATGGGACAGGCTAGGTGCCGCTTTTGTACCCAATATTGCCGCCTACTTGAAGGAGCTCGAAGTCAACCCTAACAAAGTAACAAACCTGAGAGAGCTCATCGAGTTTAACAAAAAGGACAAGCGTGAGAACGTTAAAGACAATAGACGATGGGAAGATGCGCTGGCGCTCGGCTACGATAACACGAGCCCTCGCTTTCACGACGCCGGCCCCGAAGGTTTTACGGGTGCTATTGAAAAACACAAACTGGACTTTATCCTAGCCGAGATGCAAATTCTAGCGTATGCTACACCTTACATTGGAGGGCCAGCGATGGCTGTGCCGATGAAGACGCAAGGCAAACATCCAGTAGCGCTCGGCATAACAGGTCCTCTATTTGGCGAGGAAAAGATGATTCAAGTTGCTTACGCTTATGAACAAAAGACTATGGCACAGCGCGATAAAAAGCCTACAAATATGCCCAAGACTGAACTTAAAGATGTAATGTAGCAAAATAGACGAGCATTCAAGCATTCAATGTTGGTATGATCAAGAATAGTAGTACTGTTTGTGGCTGCACCAGAGATATTGCTATTGCGTTATGAAGTAGCACTCGTATAGATTGCCGTGTCAGATTGCATCTACTAACCGACAAAATTGCCCCGGCTCACTTGTTGTGGAGATGGATGTAAGAATGTAAGATGCTAGACGCAGAAAGGGAAGCTCGTATATGCAGCAGCGGGCCGCGATGGGCAACAGGGGAGCCTATAAAATAGACACATTATGCTGTCAGTTCCGCATATGAAGCATCTGAGGGTCATCTTTTCCATCTCCATTTCAACCCCGTATACCAACTGCAAAAATATGAAGTCGAACAGAATTCTCGCCGTTGCTGGCGTGGCTGTTGCTGCGAGCCATGCAACCGCATCTACCACGGCTCTGGGAGAAAAGAATATACCCGTCCTCGAGGTTTCAAAGGCCTTCAAAATTGTCGTACATGTAACCGACAAGTCAATGGATCAGAAACCATCGATTGAAAACCACATGGTCATTCCCAATCCAGCGGGCAAATACCACCCATTTAGGCCCGCACGCGTTAGCTTCGACGCAAGCGACATTGACTTTTACACCAACGAGATCCCTTTCCATCTACGCGGAACCCAAGAAGACGCGATGGCTGGTCGAGGCAACATTGCTGGATCGGTATCTTATGTTCCAAAGAGGCCGTTCGATATTCCCATGCAAATCGAAAAAGCTCAGGATGAGACACGACCATGGCTTCGTAACGTCACAATTGGGTACGATGGAGGTCAAAATGTCGAATTTGTCAACTTGACTGCTTCCACGAATCTCATATCAGAGGCTATTTCCGATGCCAAATTCATCGCATGCCCTGGTGAAGAGGTTGAAATCCGCGCCATCGATGCAAAGGCGCACAGTGATATCCCCGTGGGTTGCACACCAATTCGACTTTTCCCCGAGTGTGTGCAGCCAGAGAGTCCCATGTACCCCCAGGTTTATGAGAAGGCACCATTTGCTAGATGCTACAAGGCAGGCAGCGATTATTCCGCTTTTGACTAAGTTTTCGGTTGTTGCGTACAATCGTTGCAATGTTATACAGAAAGATGGTTGGAATAACAAAGAAAACTTATAAATGAAACAAGTTAAAACCGTACTTATTTGCGTTATATATTCACTACTCCTACGAAATGAACGAGAGTTTTATTTGGGAGGGAATGATTTGGTACACTATGACAGCTTAGCAAAGGATCACGGGAGAAGAGTCACACACGCAAATGACAAACCTTGGACTTGCAGCCACTTTCAACGTTCTTGCAAGAAGATAGACAGCCCTGACTTTGTAAGCTTTGTACTCAATGTTAAAACACACGCAGGTATGCAATCTTACCTCCCACACAAAGTCTTCGATCTTTGTAGGATCCTCTTTGCAGTTTTCAAAGCAGTGATCTCTATCGAGTCGACATTTGTTGATGCAGGCAGAATCAGGAGTAGCTAGATATTTTTCAATTGCGTCGATTCTGCTGGCGAGATCTGCCTGCCTAACTTCAACGGAAGCAGCGAGCGCCACGCTGAAGTAAAGAGCAAATATATGAATAGAAAGCATTTTAGCTGTATTTTAAGGTTGCTTTTGGTTTGGGGTGCTGTGTTCCGTTCTGGGCGAGTCGTGGTTGGTATTGGTTTGACTTTATATTTGGTCCAGCGGGCGGGACACACTTGATCTCAACTTCTATCCAAGACACGGGCTGGACCTCATTTGATAGCCTTGGCTTGCCGGCTTGAACCTTGTATCACATGGTGTACTATTGACTTGTATAGCATCTTGATCCCAGTTTAAAAGATCCGCTACTCTAACAGTCCGGAGATCTGTCTCATGCACCCCCTCAGACATGGATCGCGGATAAAACGGTCTGTCTGACGCACAGGAACCTAACCTCTCATTTCACCAGCAAAGAAACTGTCCATAGACGGTACATGGATGATTTTGCGTTAATTTTTGACCGTCTAACAACCGAGTGTAGCGTATAATTTGCCAACGCATTTGAGACCGCCGCGGAAATACTTCTGCGCACCCTGCTGTGGCTTCTTAAAATATTCTTCTGTAGTTGCTTAGTGCGAACTACGCACTAAGAAAAGGTAATGCTGGAATTTATAACGTCTCTAATATCGAGCTGTTCTCTTTCTATTTATTAAAGGCGATCAAAATTATCTTTCTGTCGTGGAGTCACATCGAGTTTGTATAACATCTGACATCTCGGCTATCCATCCAAACGTCAGTCTCCCAAACTTTGAAATTTTGAAATTTTGCTCTTCGAAAGGGGAGTACCTGTCTCATTGATGCATTAGAGTTGGATTAATTTAACAAATAGAGCGGAAAGATGCAATCGACGAAAGGGCGGCGTCAACGGCTAAACAAAGTTAACATGTGGTGGTGCCGATGATAATGTTATATGAGACACGGGATGTCGAGCTAACTAAAGGATACGCACGACGCCAATGACAAAAGTGCCGAGATGAACACAGCAAAAAATACTAGGGGATGTTTTAGAATCTAGGGATACGGTACTGCATATCCAATCGGACGAAGAATGAATAAACACGGATGCGGATGAATGCGAACCCTTAAAAGCTGTGTTGCTACGCTCTCTGGGCCACTGCACCATATACCTCATACTGGAAATTCATTAACTCTCATTATCCCATCATTACGAACCAAACAATTTTTGCTTACAAGAATATAAAAGATGAGATTTGCCATTTTTTCTGCAATTGTCGCGATTGTATCAGCCGCTCCGACTAATGTTAGTTGTCCAACTCACTCTCTGCGCAACTAAAGATAGTCGCTAACATGGCGGTTTAGGTGCCTGTCAATGGAGATGTCCGGACCACAGATATAGCTGACGATATCACCACCGATGCTAAAGGAGACGTTGAACCTACGGTGAATCCAGACGTCACAAGAGACGCAGACAACACATTCGACGTTAGCGATCTGATCCACAACGACTCTGTCATGCGCAAGATCAGACGAACGCTCCGCCGGTTTGGCAGGCGATCTGCTTTGGCGGAACTTGACAAGAGGGCTGAAGAGGCGACTCGGCCCAGTACAGATGCCTACGGAAACCCTCTAGACAAGCGCTTTGAGCGGGCAGACGAATCCGACGCCATAAATGAAATGGTCCTTCAGAAGTCGCATTCTATACTGGATCAGGTATATATGGTTGGCGCCTACAAGGGTATTGATACTTGAGTATACGATGCCATGACTTACAAGCGAAGAGGATTGTCTGTTACAGAGAGAGGTGTGACCAAGAGCGCATGTTGTTTATTTATAAATAGCCACATATGGTTCATTTATTTGCCGTTTATTTTCTTGTTCTTCGTAGAGGGTCCTTTCCTTTTTTTACTGTGCGTAATACCCTAGCCAGATACCACTTGTCAAACAGCCTGCGACGTAGGATCCCGATGGAATAGCCCGTGGCGCATATCACCAGTCACGCTCGACAAGACAGTCAAGCACGCGACCACTTTCCACACTGAGCCATTTTATCGTCACATTCATCCTCGTTGCAGCGCTCCCACTCAGCAGCTGGGCTGTGTCGAGCCAGCCGGTCAGCCGCTTCAAGATGCAGCGGTGTAACTGTGACGGCAGGCGAAAATCGCCTATCATTTCTCTACAATCAGACAAACAACGGTTGCCGTGATCTTTCCGGTATCCCCCACCCGTCTCCGTACCAATCACCTGTCACGGCGAAAGACATGATGGCACGTCAGCCGGGCTGTGCTCCTGTGTGCGATAAATCATGCTGTACAAGAATGCAGTCTGATAGCAAGGGTTTCTGAAATAACGATTTGTTTGGTCAGTGTTGGTATTGGTGCCGATGACTGGGCTCCTTTAACATGCCGCGATTCCCCTGCTGAACCACCGCGAGATCTCGAGAGAAAAAGCAGGCTTTCTTTATTACACTGTATTTCATCCCAAAAAAAATGTTGCCAAAAGCTGTCCTGTATCTTTCTCTTTTATTTCCTGTCGCTCTTGCAGGTGACGATTTCAGCTTACAATGGGCAATCTGCGATCACAGCCCCCAACACACGCTGCAAAAGCTGGGCATCGACCCTTCAACACCGCCATACAAGGAAAACCCCATTACATATTACGATGAGTTACCGCCCGTATATATTCACTCAGGGGTCATGTTTCGGACGAAAACGCATGGCGGCGAACCGTTGTCCACCATCAAAGTTCGCTTCGGCCAGGATACAGCCTCAGCACCGAGCAACGGAAACTGCACATGGGCGCAATATGGACAGAATGAACCGGCATATACCTGTGAGACGCGCGCCTGGCTAGACAGATCCGAACCAAACCATTTATGGCACGACGAGCAGGTTGAATTTGTGCAGCGGTATAAACAAGTTGACTGGGATGCGTTGGTACCCTATGGTCCGTATGCGAATGCCAAGTGGAAATTGAAGATAGCGGGACACAAGGTCACCTTTGACGATGTAGCCGCTGGCAATCTTCACTTGATGGAAATTGAGGTAAATGTTGACAAGTCTCACGCCCACAAAGTGCAAAAGGCCATTACGAAGCGCTTGAAGAAGGCCGGTGTTGTGTTGTGCAAGCCGCAGCAGGGCAAAACAATGCGTCTCTTCGAAGATTTGGGTTATTTAGATGACATGGCTATGGAGCTATAAGTTGTTTTTCTATACTGAATGAAGAATTTGTTGTACTGGTTAGTTTCTGGGAATATCCATTTAGGCCACTAACAACTACTATGAAATCATCCATACCCTATGCCCTCGTCCGCCTTTAAGGATAGTCAAGCGGTCACAGCAAAATTATTTCCAGAATATTTATTAGTTACAGTTTGCTTAAAACAATATGCAACATCTGGTAGACACAGCTTCCAGTTCAACACAGCGAGCTTGGCCACACACCATTTATAAGCGGACGCCTTCTCCTGTATGTGGCAAACCAACAGTCAACTGCTTTTTCTGGCTTCGTCAAAGTCACTGCAAATAATCCAAGTATTTTTTTTTCCTTATACTTTGACTACCCCAAACTCAGTTCACCTCAAACACCACCTATTTCCGTTCCCGCCCATACTAATCGTATCCCGGCGCTACATCCCGCCCCCTTGTCTGCCAAAGTAAAGTTCTCACTGCATACACCGCGTCAGACGTCCGCCCACAGTCCCAATTAAATCCTACAAAAATCATCTTCGTAATCCTCTTCTCCATCGCTCCATTTCACCCTATTTCAATTTTATTCTCACCGCGTTGCCTCTCCTTCATTCCTCAGCCACGGTAGGCGGCCAAACAGCCTCGGCATCTCCAAGCCACGGCGTCGCATTCCCCCTCCCGACGCAAGCCATCCCAAGCGGCCGTTGCGAAACCAAGCTTGTTTAGCTCCAAGTCCGAATCCCGTTCCACGTCATTCGCTGGCTCGCTACGCCCAAGCCCCAAAGTGGTAAAGCGGCTGGCCGGCGCAATTTCTACGACCGCCCAACATTAAACCCGTAGACTGCCCTGTCCTCGCTTCTTTCTTTCTTTTTATTTTGCATTGTGTCTTTAGCATTTACGTTGCGTTGCTGCTACTGCTGCTGTTATTTTTGTTTTCCTTTTTATTTTTGTTGAGCGGATCCCCCTCGTCATCCTACGCTGTAAGACTTGCTGTCATCATCCTGTCTCGCATCAGCAAGCACCGAGGTCCGCGCTTGGAAAAGAAAGCGACAACCGGAGAGGAGAATTTGAATACGCTACCCATCTCCCGCAGACGGCTGTAGATCATCCTTTCATCTTTGCTTTCATCCTAACTCTGCATACTCGATATCCGCCACAATGACAGGTAAATCAGCATACAACATCTCCCTCAACTCACTCCTCTAACATTAAGCTTTCTGTTCTCTCAGTCCCTCTCACCGTCGCAGCGCCCGCTACAGCAGCTGCTCTCGCCTATCTCAGCGCAAAATCCGGCCTCGGCTTCGACTGGACCATGATCTCAACAGCCGCCCTCGGCGCCTTCAGAATGGTGCGCAGCCAGCGCCGCGACACCCTCAACCTCTTCTACGTGTTTGAGGACAATGCCAAAGCCGCCAAGACGGCCAACAAGAACTTCCTCTGGTTCGAGGGCCAGACATGGACATATGCCCAATCGTACGACTGCATGCTGCGCTACGCAAGCTGGCTGCGCACCGTCCATGGCGTCAAGTCGGGCGACATTGTGGCCATCAACTTCCAAAACTCACAGCACTTCATCTTCCTCTGGTGGGCGCTCTGGAGTCTCGGTGCCAAGCCCGCCTTTATCAACTACAACCTTGTGGGCAAGTCGCTCTCCCACTGCGCAAAGGCCGCCAGCACATCGCTCTGCATCGTCGACCCCGAGCTCGCAGCCAATATTACGACTGAAGTCCAGGCCGATGTACCCTCTACCAAATTCGTCATCTTCACCCCCGAGGCCGTCGCCCAGGCTCTCGCATCGCCGCCCTTCCGCGCACCCAACGCCGACAGATCGCAGGACGAGATTAGCAACATGGGCCTTCTCATCTACACATCCGGTACCACGGGCCTGCCTAAGCCTGCCATTGTCACTTGGGGCAAGCTGATTGTCGGCGCCACCTTTGGCCACCGCCTGCTCAACCGCGGCGACGACATCATGTATACTGTATGTGTCCCTCTAACTGTCCCATTCCGCTTCCAACACGCACTAAACCATCTTGCCTACATAGTCCATGCCTCTCTACCACTCCGCAGGCTCCATGCTCTCCGTCATCCCCACCGTCCTCTCCGGCAGCACCCAAGCCCTCGGCAAACGCTTCTCAACCAAGTCCTTCTGGAGCGAAGTCCGCGCCTCCAAAGCCACCGCGATCCAATATGTCGGCGAGACCCTGCGCTACCTGCTCGTCGCGCCGCCCCAAATCGACCCCGTCACCGGCGAGAACCTCGACCGCAAGCACCACGTCAAAATTGCCTTTGGCAACGGCCTGCGCCCCGACATCTGGAACAAGTTCAAGGACCGCTTTGGCGTCGAGACAATCGTCGAGTTCTACGCCGCCACCGAAGCCACCCTCGCGCTCTGGAACGTCTCCTCCAACGACTACACCATGGGCGCCATCGGCCGCTCCGGATGGCTCTGCAGCCTCGTCTTCCGCGACACCATGCACATTGTCAAGCTCGACTGGGAGACGGAGATGCCCCATCGTGACCCTAAAACGGGCTTCTGCACAAAGGTCGACCCTGGCGAGCCTGGCGAGTTACTCTTCCAGTTACCTGCCGACGACATCAAGAAGCGCTTCCAGGGGTACTACAACAACGCCAAGGCGACGAACAGCAAGATCCTGCGCGACGTGTTTACCAAGGGCGATGCGTGGTTCCGCACAGGTGACGTTATCCGCAGCGAGGACCGCAAGCTCTACTTCTCGGACCGCATTGGCGACACGTTCCGCTGGAAGTCAGAGAATGTGGCTACGTCAGAAGTATCAGAGGCCGTTGGACGCCACCCAGCGGTCCGCGAGGCAAATGTCTACGGTGTTGAGTTGCCTCATCATGATGGTCGCGCTGGCTGTGTAGCTATTAACATTGATGGCGGAGCTAAGCCGGATACACTGCGTTCGCTGGCGGCGCATACAAAGGCGTCGTTGCCAAAGTACGCGGTGCCGCTGTTCCTGAGAATTGTGGATGAGGTTGGCGCTGGAGCACAGACTACCGGTACGAATAAGCAGCAGAAGCATGTCCTTCGACAGGCGGGTGTGAAGCCTGGCGCGTTGGAAGATGGATCATCGCTGTTTTGGCTCAAGGGCGAGACATACGTTCCGTTTGGCCAGAAGGAATGGCGTGAGCTCGAGAGTGGCCGCATCAAGCTGTAAAACGGACCGACAATATGTCTTTCTCGGCTGACTACTTTGTATTTGTTCATATAGTTGGAGGATCCCGTGTATTTAGGAACCGGTACAGCTGGTACATGTCTATAAACTTTTCACGTTATCGATTTACTTCGTATACTTTCCATTGTGGCACATGTAATAAAATCACGACATCATATGTAAACATGAAACCTCTCAAGTGAATGAATGCTTCTATATGAAGAAAAAGAGTAACCTCCCAAGATCAATCAATATATACATCGTAGCGCCAACCCCAATACCAAAAAAAGTCATAAGTGATACTCGTAGCGTCTAGTTCAAAGAGCTTGCAATGCCCAGCCCGACGCGAGGGCCACCTTGCATGTTGTACTGCTGTCCACCAGGGCCTGCCAGCGTCGTCGCGTTGCCGGTGCCGGTACGCTCGCGCATACGGCGGCCTTCCATGAGACCGCGAAGACCGCGCTTCTGCAAGCCAATAACGCTGCTAAGCTCGCCGGTCCATACGGTGCCATCGTGCTCGCTACCTGCATCCGAGCCCCAGTCGGAGCCACTCAGGCTAGTGGAAGCAGATGTGTCACCCAAGGGACCGCTGGACTGCTGCTGACCAGACCCAAGACTGAGACTACCAGTACGAGACTCAATGTCAGCAGTAAAGGACTCGTTCGCCGTTGTGCCACCGAGAGAAAAGTCCGAGGTACTGACGGGAGATCGGATCGGGTCCATGTAGTCGACGTGGAAGTTAGGGTTGAGCGAGCCGTCGATTCCACGGCCGCCACCAGCAGCCATAGCAGTAGCGTTGAAGACAGCAGCGGCGTTACGGCTGTCAAGGAGCGAGTGAAGTCTCTCTACAACAGCCTCCAAAAGTCCATCTACACGATACGGTCTGGCGATCTGCAAGAGCGAGCACAGGATTTGCGGTGAGCATAACGGCGAGGTTGTGGGCGGAAGTGAGCTCGTGTACAAGAAGTGTAGCAGCGCTTGCACAGTCAGATAGGTGTGTGGCAGGTAGAGGCATCGTGGGCGGGAGTTTGGTGGTAGGGACTTGGGCGAGGGTGTCGCATTCATCAAAGCTGGGTTACCGTCATCGGCCTCGCCGTTGACATCGTCACTCTTGCCGTCAAGGTTTGCTCCAGCGTTGGCAGCAGTCAGGCCACCCGCCGGTCCAGTCAAAGTCGCGACACTCGATAAATCACGCGAGTTACCAGTTATCGTAAGAGCAGAAGCACGCATAGGATTGCTTCTCAGAGTGGCAGTGTCTCCGTCCTGGGAAGCAGTTCCGTCGCGCAATAGCTGAACAAAGTACGGTCCCCATCGGCGTCCAACAATGCGAGAGTTGGCTGCGATTCGCTCGCCGCTGATGCAAATAATATCCATGTCAGCGAGCTCTCGCATAGCCAGCGCCTTCTCGCCCAGGTCCTCGCTAGCCCGTGTATGGAAGCGTCCGCCTGCTGTGTAGCCAGCTTTGCGAGCCAAGCTTAGGCCGGGCTGCGCGTGTGGACTACTGGCTGAAACGAAACCAGATAGTGGGCTGATCTTGCGAGGGTTGTCGTAGAAGCCAAAGGCCTCGAGCTCGACCATGCAGACGTTCGAAAAGTTAATTCGTCGGTGGTTATAGTCATCAACAAGGCTTCTCTTACGGTTACCAAGAATAACAAAGGTGTTGCGTCTGTTCCACAACACACCACGGTTCCAGCTGCCCTGGCTAAAGACGCTTCCTCCAGCGTCAATTCGGCTCCATGTGAGATTGCGCAGATCCAAAGCCCAGAGCGCATACTCTTGTTTCGACGAGGTCAGGTACGTGCCACTAACTACGAAATACGTGTCAATGACGCCGCCGTTCGGGAAGCGCAGGCCAGGAGGCGAATAGGTGCCAGCCATAGGCCACTCTGTCAGGGTTCCATCAGGGGAGCGAATCTGCAGCTCCAACTTGACATCTAGAAAGTTGTAATTTGAGTAGATGAGCATGGATGAGCCTGGTTCTCTAGCCTCTTGGCTGATGCTGCCATCATTGCGCTGGGGTCCATTTTGAAGCGTTTTGCCAGTTCTAGCAGTTACAGCAGCGGATAACGGTGCAGCAACACTTCTGTACGCTCCGCAGCTCTTTCCGAAAGGCTGTGTGGAAGTCCACTTGAGGCTGCGGAGATTGAAAACGCTAATCTGTTCAATGTAGTGGTTGGCGCCGTCCTGGCCACCGACAATGACCATCTGCGCTCCTCCAGATCCATCAATATTAATTCCGATTCGACCTTCGTTCGGGTTATTCGAGGAGGGGTTGTGTTGAAGGGCGGAGAGGGGTGCCTTGGTAGAAGAGAAGTTGGCAGAAGAAGGCAGAATACAAGCACAGTGGGCGTAGCGGCCTTGGGGCACATCTTGCGCCGGAATAAAGGTCCAGCTCTTTGTGGACACATCGTAAATATAAATATCGGACATTACTGTCACTTCGCCTTGCTGCTGCTCGGCGTTCACAGGCTGGCTTGGGGCGGGTGACATGCCACCATAGCAGACCATCTTGGTGTCGCCCAATGCGCACATGGAGTGAAAGTATCGTGGAGGGGGAACATCACCGCCAGTCTCCAGCTTTGTCCAGTGGCGTCGGATAAGATCGAGTTCGTAGAGATCCGAGGTCAAGGGAGCCGGTCGGTTTTTAGCCAAGACACGGCCACCAAACACATACAGCTTATCTCCAAGAATCGTCGTTGTTGCTCCCACCAGAGGTGGTGGTTCATTGCCCGTCGTTCTATGGACATTGCACATCAATCCGGAAAGGTGGGCAGAAGACCCTTGAGGTGTCCCAACTGGCACAGAGCCGGGCGTGCCGCGAGTTTGGCTCGGTGCTGGTGACGCATTGGCATTGGAGTTGCTGAGGCGGGGACCAGACGGTTCGCCCATGTCGGGGTTTTCATATTGCCTGTTTGAGTTTAAGTTATTCATACTGCTACTCGTCTGCATGTTGGCATTTTGGTCCTGGCCGCTGCCGTAGTAGTGGCCTCCTGCGAGGGAATCCATAGTCCCAGAGCGGTGAAGCATGATGGGCTTTCCAAAGTCGATGCCGCACCGTCCAATGTCACTGGGAGAATGGTATGAGTGCCGAAATTCTGGGGAGAGTAATTCCTGTGGTGGAGAGCGAGGTAATGGCTTTGCAAGACTGTCCTCGAGGCTCAATCTGTTGACATGCCTCGGCTTGAAGGATACCGGGGGTCGACGGGTCTCTCGCGGCTGTACTGTAGTATTCGACCGCTTGATGTTGAGAGGTTTCGGAACCAGCGGATTCGAGTATCGGAAGCTCGTGTGTCGCTGAACGAAATCGTTAACGGCCTTGCGATCGTATCTGATTTCGGGGTGATAGTATCGGTTGTGCAAGCTGTCGGGTGGCGGTTGCTCGGCCTGCGAAAATCTCACTTTCTGCGAGTCCTGCCTGCGCGTTAGTCGTTCTGACGGATTGGCCATGATGGTAGACGACATGTTGGAAGTCGACATTGCGACAAATTGCTAAGCGATGCCTTTGATGATGATAGAGGAAAGAGAGAGAGGAAGACATCGACTGACGACCGATCAAGGCATCGCAGGCAGCCGAGCCCTCTCCTCGAGTAATTCCGGAGTATGCAACATGTCTGAGCGGTAGACTGATCGGGAGGCTCATTGCGATGAAGCAGGGCAATAGCAGAAACAAGGCCAGCAAGAGAATAGAGAGGCACATACCGGAGCGAAACACTCAAGAGACTGGGCTCGTTACAGAGCGACAGCAACTTGCCTGCGCCAAAGGTCTGTTCCCAGAGCGGTGTCGTGCGACTGGGGTTCGAAGACAAGGGCCGATGAAAGGAGTCGAGCGCGGCGACGTCGTAAGGGTTTGCAAAACCTGGAAGCTGATGCGGGCGTTGTTTGTGTGCGCAGTGTGGTTATGTTCCAGGAGGCGCCGCACAGACTTTGCTTTGCGTGATGGGAGCAGAGCGGGCGGCTGGGCCAGTGAAGAGAGGGGCCGTTGGGCGGGTGGTGTGGCGGTCGAAGCTTCCTTTTGGAAACGCTTGCCGCTTCGGTGGACAAGCACGAAACAAAGCAAACGACACGCAACTATTTTTATAGGCCCGGCTGCTGTTCTTTTTGTTCATCACATTTCTGTGACAGTATATACAGAAGCGAAGAAAAAAGGAGGGTGGCAATTGAGCACCGCTGTGTTTTGACAGCTGGTACAGGTGCCTGACGGCTGGCGGCCGATGTTCGTATTCCCCAGAAGTAGAGCCCGTCATCTAATTTTTCTTCTAAATTTTTTGGTTATTACACCCACATGGCATTTTACCCTAAAATAAATTAATTTGCTGCCCTCTTCAGTCCGTAACGCAAGGATTATTTTGCATGGCGTCCAATAAAGGCGTCGCGTGCAGCACTGCGTGCGCGGCAAATGGTCGCAGATGGGCAGATGCATGAAAGGTGGCGCCTAGCAAAACGTGCTGTGGTTGCGCTGGGGGCAGAATTACAGCGATTGGCTATACTGTGCTGGGCTCGGCTTTGTGTTATGTTGAAGCAACGTCTGTCGTAACGGGGCCAGTTTGAACATGCTGTAGACAAGATGAATGAAACTGGGGTAGACGCTATAATTGTGTAATTATTCTGGTTTTTATCTTTATCGTCACCTTCCAGTGATTCTTTCTTCCACTTTAGCCCTTCAACCGCTGTGGTCCAAGGCGCGGATTCCGGATCCCGCTACCCTAAACCAGCACTTGAACGACAGGTCTCTCTGCCACTATCCCCAATACTGCCTCAAATAGCAAAAGCTGTCAATACATACAAATATTATAGAGAAAATGGGTATCTCGTCTTAAAAATGCTTTCTTTCCTGTTGTGGTGACAGCAGGTAATGGAAGTGAAGAGCAAGAACCCTCATCCAAAACGATACTTTTTCTCTTGTCCTCTTCAAACTTCTTCCGCACACTTGTCCAAGTCACACAACCACTGGAACCAAAGGCCATTCTGTTTGTTTGTTCATTTTTTCATTACCATTTTTCATTTAATCTCTCCTGCTACACACCCTTCTTCCCTCGTCGTCAAATTCAGCAAACCGACACTCAACCGGAAGCAAAGGAGCTTTGCTACCCCGCCCCCACCACTTTTTTTCTCAAGCAAGCTAGGGTGGGGTCCATCTTGCTCCAGCCAAAGTGCCTGCTCACCATCGCCCAATCTTTTTGGTTCAGCTTAGAAAATAAAAACAAAAGCAGACAATAAAACACCTCATTATAGCAGACCAAGACCCGGGGACACGTGAAAAGTAAGGGCTCTCACAGAAGAGCCGCCCTCAAACACAAGGGGGACACTTAAGCCTTGGGGAGGGAGGTGAAGCGGAGGTAAGGCTTGACAATGCGGAAGCCAGGGAAGAGCTTCTCAGCCTCCTCGTTCTTGACGGGGGGAGCGACAATGACGTCGTCACCAGGGACCCAGTTGACGGGGGTGGTGATGCGGTACTTGTCGCCGGTCTGGAGGGAGTCGACGATGCGGAGGACCTCGGCGGCGTTGCGGCCAGTGGAGGCAGGGTAGGAGAGGATGGTGCGGATGGTCTTCTTGGGGTCGATGAAGAAGACAGAGCGGATGGTGAAAGCAATGCCCTTCTCGTCGACGTTGGTGGCATCCTGGTGGTCGATCCTGTGATGACGAGTCAGTCAGCGCTCTTTTTCTTCGCCGCGTGCTTTTGCAACTGGGACAAGAACTTACATGTCGTAGGCAAGGGCAACCTGGCGCTGCTTGTCGCCAATGATGGGGAAGTTGACGTTGCCGCCAGTAACCTCAGCAATGTCCTTGATCCAGCCATCGTGAGACTCAATGGTGTTGGCAGAGAGACCAATCAGCTTGACGCCGCGCTTGGTGAACTCGGGCTCGAGCTTGGCAAAGGCGCCGAGCTCGGTGGTGCAGACGGGAGTGTAGTCCTCGGGGTGAGAGAAGAGGATGACCCAGGAGTCGCCAATGAACTCGTGGAAGTCAATGTTTCCCTTGGTGGTCTCGGCCTGGAAGTTGGGGGCGACGGTGCCGAGACGGAGAGGAGCAGAGGCAGCAGACATTATGAAAAAGATGAGGGTGAAGCAAGTTAAAAAAACTTAAAGTAGAAAAGTTGAAGATGATGCGAAGAAGAAAAGAGGTCGAAAGGGCCGGGACGCTCGAAGGTGGGCTGGGCTCCAGAAGCTTTATACGCTCACCATCTCTCTCAATAGCTCGTGCTTGGTAATGCAATGCGCAACTCCAACCTCTTTGACGCCATCATCCGCACACCCCTTCGGAAGCTCGCCACGTCTGCTGCTTGCTCCAACCAAGCACAGCTCCTCTTCCCCCAAAGTATTACAGAGCCTATAGCTCCCCGCCAAACCCCGCTGTACAAGCCAGAAAAAAAAGTAAACTTACACGCCCTCCAATGGGCGGCGAGTGCCTGAAGCACGCCTAAAGCGGACAAGCGCACCGATTGCGTGCCCGGGCGGCCGCCTCATTGGCTCCCGCAAGGTGATTTTGCCATCCTCCCCTCTCTGACGCAATTGCACGACGGAGTCCATTCACCCCATACATGTATTGCCCTGCGGCTGTGTTAATCATTGCATTTTTATCGACGTAAAATAGCTTTCCCCGGGGGGCGTGAATAGTGCTGTGCTGTCTTGTTGTAGAGGGGCAACGGACCCTGTTCGGACGGTCGGGAGGGGTAAATTGGCCCCCTCCTCCCCCCCTAGAGTGCGCGCTGGAGGATCTGGTAGCGGCTCTGCTGTGGCCGACGGGCCGGCGACAAAACAAAAACACCAGAGACAGCTCTAACAACCATCGTCTAAATGGAAACCAACTGTTGATCACTATATGGACATAATCAATTGTCAATCTAGTTTAGCCGTGCAAGCCATCTGACTGTCTGCTGTGCAAGGGGGCGTGGTGTGGTGACATTGATACATTTGACACTGACAGGGCGACGACCCGCTGTACTTGGGAGGATGTACACTGATTGCTCTGCGCATACACCAGATGGCGTGATGATCCAGAATTCACGCAGCTGCAGGCAGGCAAACAGGCCAGCATCGAGACATTACTTATCGGTAGTTGCGATACATACCAAGCGAACGGCATATACATGTTATGTGTTTCCTTGGCTATGAGCAAGCAATTGACGATACTGCATTGCAAGCAGCAGCTGTCACGCTGTAAGAGGTGCTTATGATCATCTCCCGCTGTAGTTAAAAGTGCAATGGAAGCTTTCCCTATGAACCAGGCAAGAAAAAAGAGAGAATAAAAAACAGAGAGCGCAGTAATTGTTCCAAACAACGGGATACTATTCCAAAAAATCGAAACGAAAGCCAAAAAAATCGACCACGCCAGGAGTCGAACCTGGAATCTCTAGAGGGCTCGGTGGATGAGAACCGAAATCTAGCGCCTTAACCATTAGGCCACGCGGCCCCTGTTTGATGGAGGAAGCTAACCAATTCTACCTTATACAGTTTACTTTCAGTCGCCCCGCTTTGCCAACGGCTTTCGATCTTGGCAGATCTCAATGTTCTGGTTTTGTAAATAGCTAATTTGTCATTGCTATTGTCCCATTCAAATGATAATTGTCCGAAGTAAATACATCTTCATTTATAATATAGGTATTGTCGGCTGTTATGCTCTATTTGCTATACACAATCTATCCAAACTCCAGGCAATGCGACAAAAGGAAATACTCTCCACCAATCTAATCCCACGACGCGTCTCCTACTCTAGCATCTGGGCCAAACATGCTATCATCTTCTTGTTTAGCTGCCTCCCATTTTACATCAAATGGCTCTAATTCGCTCTCTTCAGTGCCTTGGTCCACATCGGCATCGCTGGAATGTCCCAATTCGCTGGTTTCTTGGTCGTCAATGGGGGAAATCACATGCACCCCGCCGCCAGAACGGCCAACCCACGCGCTTCGTAACCCAGCATCGCCCTCATCATCCGAGCTATGCATGCTGGTAAAAACATCGATGTCCGGGATATTTAGTCCACGAGGTGGCGTAATTGGCTTTGCAAAATTGAACGACGGCTGTGCCATCGTTGGAAAGGGCGTCATCGCTGCGCTGCTGTGCCTAGGTACATGTACGTGGCTCTTGCTCGCTCTGACGAGCTTTGGTTTGCGCAATGATTGTGGCGACTGTGTTCGGTGTCGGCGGGCTTGCATTTCCAGGCGCTCGTCCTCGGCAGTCTCGTCATCAGTAACATCCGCGCCGTCGAACAGTGACTGATGTCCAGCCATCGTGCTCAGGCTGCCACCAGATCTCCGTCGATGTTGGTTCTGCATAGACCCAGACAATTCGGCCAGCTCTGTCTGGTGGGTGGATAGCGAAATTGGCTGATTTAGTCGAAGTGACCCCATATTTGAACTGAGCTTACGGAGATCACGCTGGCTCTGCGAAAATACAACCCGTGCGCGTAGATGGTGTACAGCTCTATCAAGGGCAAGCTCGGTAGAGCATCGATCTCTGATGCGGCTCAATCTTGGCCAAGTTGCGCGTTGTCCTATCGACAGCGACTTGAGCATAAACTCAGGCGTAGGGTTGCTCAAAAGCCGTGGCAAATCGTACATGTCGATATCCGGTAAGATGGTAATATCGCCGGAATACTTTTGACTCAATATACTCTGCAATTTGGTCATGAGGTTCGGCATAATGCCAATCTCAGCCATGAATTGCAGTCTGTGGAGGGCTTCATCCTTGGCCAGCGATGTAAATGTGTTGATCCAGTCGATTTCCTCTCCATTATTGTGACTAATCTTGCCGTTACGAACAGCCGGAGGTACATATTCGTCCTTGGCTAAGAATGGAACAACATGGGGATTGACCTGAGAGACGATAAAGTGATTGACGTTGAACATTTCCGATAGACGCGTCATGGGAAGATCGTTGTCAACTGATCCGTCGATGAAGTGCTGTGGCGACGGGTTCCATGGGTGATGCTCGCCGGTAGCGGGATCTTTGACAAGGAGAGGACTCGAGTGGAAGACTAGTGGTACAGAGCATGACGCTGCCACAGCAGACCAAATCATTACGTTTGGCGCTGTAACATAGTTGAGTAAGCGAGGCAACTCGTAGACGGACTCGGTTGAGACGCAAATGTTGAGGATTCGTCGTGTTCGGTTGTATGCTTCCTGAAAGGTCATATCACCCGTCAGATCACGCATAACTTGCTTTAGATGTCGGATGTCGGACCAACTGCCTTCCGTAAGTAGTCTTCGCATATGGTCTAGTGTCGTGGAATCTTTGGTAGCCGCGCCGAATACTCCCAAGTCGCCATATGGAAACTCAGAGATGAGATCAGGAATTTCTTCATCGGTACGGGTACACATGACGGCGCAAACAATGCTTCCAGCACTAGCACCCGATATAATTCGAGGCAGGAGTTGTGCCTCAAAGAGCGCCTTCAAGACACCAATATGGGACATGCCAAAGGTGCCACCGCCAGAGAGGAGCAGGGCACTACGGCCAAAGCTCTGTCGGGCTAGCAACATACCCTCTAGTAGGTCTCGACTCTCGAGTTCCTTGTTGACTGCGCTTTGCATGACAATGGAGTCGATCGTTTGTACGGCCGATTCGACGTATTTTTCAATCAATGATTTGGTGCCCACATGCGAATGACGGTAGAGGTTGACGTTATTAACGCCACCAAGGTCTCTTGAGAGGTCGGTTCGGATGAGATGCATCATGGTTCGGATATCACAGTTGGTTCGCGCGTCGTCTAGCGCCTTGAGCCGTTCACGAAGCAGTGGTGCGTTGTAGTTGCCGTCATCATCGTCTCGCTTCCAATCGTCGTTGCCTTCGAGGGTGTCGAGCTCTTCGGCAGCCGTCTGCCAGTCTTTCAAACATTCGGCCTGTTCCAGTTAGTGAATTTATCGCAAGTAGTCAATATGAATAATCGCCTTACATCTTTCATGCGTAGGGCTAACACTTGCTTGCGTTGCTCTACGGCCCTTGCCTTGTCTCTTTGTTCGACAGTGAGGCCATCCTTCCATGATTGAAGGTAGTCATTGGCGCCCTTTAATCTTTTAGAGACGCCTCCGGTGAGTAGGCCATCAAGGCTCGGCTTCGACAACAGGCGTGATGTTTTCGCGGCATCTTTCTTGTCGCTCTTTGTCGGCGTCTTCTTCGCGGTTCGCGATGCGGCGTGCCGCGGGAGAAGTAGGTCAACCATGCTGTCGAGAGAGGAGCTATGGCAATGAATATAGTCGGATTACTGTAGAGTAGACATTTACTCCATAGTCGAAGTGCGATGTAGCGCCGCTGACTGCGATGGCGTTTTGTTGCTCTTGGGCTCGGGTTTGGCGGGAATGCTGGGTTCGGGGTCGTACGATGTGGCAATAGGATGAGCGGTTGTGAAATTTAATAGGAAAGCCGTAAACACTGCGCTGTGGGTTTGCAGAAGAAGAGAAGAGAAATACGAAGGACAGCGAGATAATCGCAGGGCAAAAAGAGACGGCCAGGTTTCGGATCGGCGACCTTTGTGGTGGTGGAAGAAGGGTGTGGCGACGTGCAGAAATGCAGGGCCGAAGAAAGCGGGAGTCGAGATGGGCATCTGACCGCTCTGCAGCAGCAATGTGGAGGTGGAGCGAGCCGAAGACGCCCACTGCCCAAAGCCTACGCCGTCATTGGCAGCGGAGACTCCCCCGCTAACGCGCCCTAAAGAAAATTAAAGAGGTTGCCTAAAGCGGTTCATAGTGGGGGTCAAGCGCTGTAAGCTGTCCGGCGACCAGGGGCCAGGGCATCGCTGACAGCAAACAAACAGTGGTCATCTGGTTGCTTTGCTGGCTGCTACCGTGGGGAGACGAGACAGTGTGTATTGTGTATTAGCGAACGTAATGGTAAAAGCCCGCCCACACACTCAGGCAAACACTGAAAAAAAACCAATTTCCATTACAGGCTGACAGAGCCTGAATATGATATTTCGTACTGCAACTGCGCTCTAAACCGCCTGTCATAGGCCAGCGTATGGCATGTGCGCTGCCTCAGCTGTGTTTCTTGTCGCACGGGGCCGCTGCCAAAAACATGTGACGCCTACAAAACAAAAGAAACACCACCACCACCACAACCATCAGCTAAGCCTGCTATGCCACCGGGGAGGTTGCGCGCAAGCAAACCCGAACGGGCCTGGCTCCCCGTATTACTCTCGGCGCAGACGACAGCCTTAACAGCGCTGTTATAGGTCCATGACTTCAGCCCACGCCGGCCTGTTCGTTCCGGTTCGCGCCCAATCCGAGTGTGTGTGCCGCTGTCACACAAAGTGTTCCGTCGTTGTGGTGTCTTTGTTTCTTTTTCTGGATGCGAGATAAAGAGATGGCGTCGTGGGTGAATCGATCTGTCACTTGATCGCTGCTATTGTGTATCTCGACCCGTAGCGGCAAGGAGAACGAGCTTGTGATGGCTCGATGCTGTTCTGCCGCTGCGACGATTTGGGATGGCGTGCTTTGGGTTTACGGCACAGCGGAGTACATGAACCAAGTATAGAAGTAGTCTTTGGACATATCCGAGAGGATTTCCGTCCTGATGGCAGCAGTGCCTGATGCACTTACACACTGTTAGCATTGAGCCGATGTATATATTTGGATATTCTTCGTCAAGATGATTGCATTCAGCAAAGTAAAGCCAATAAAATGGCATAAATAAATAAATATATATTTTAAACAGTAATATTGTATGTATCCTACATACTTTTGTCGCATTTACACTTCCAACGCAGCGATGCCCAATTTTAAACTCTTTCCCTTTTCGGCACCACGTTGAAACAGCATCTCTCTTAGCGCTGATTCCCCCGCAAACCAAGAGATTTACCGCTACCACCACAATGTCTACTACTCAGTCATACTATATATCACAGACTTACCAATATATCCGTAAATAAATTAAAATAAATTTAAAGCGATACAAAAGGTTCTAGCTTTAATATGAGCACTCCCGGCTACTTTCCCACCGCCCTGTTTCGCTTCAACTGCCGACAATCTCCCAGCCAATCACCTCTCCGCTCCCTCATCCCGACACGCGTCATCCCAGCGCCTCTCAACCAAAAACGTAACCTCAACACTCCTTCTAAAAACACGACATCTCCATCTCCCAATACGCAAGTTACCGAAATCTTCATCAATACACATTATACGCAATGGACAACATTATCGAAATCCCCATTTTTGAGCCAGGTAGGCCGCCCCCACACACCCCTTCATATCTCACGCTAACACAATACACGCAGACGGCGTCACATATGATGAGCTTCACGCCGCTGGCTATAACGCCCTGTGGGCAGGTTTCGGCATTGCAGCAATCACCACGTTCATCCTCGTTGTCTCATCATGGGGAATCCCTACACGCAAGCGAGCAGTGCATGTCCTCGGCATCCTCACCTCCGTCGCCACAGCACTCTCCTACCTCGCCATGACCACAGGCTACGGCAACATTACTTCTTGCCGAGAGACAGTTGGTCATGAAGACGGCTTCAAGATCCCCGAGCTGTCTTGCCGCATTGACAGCGAAATGAGATACAACGAGTGGCTGCTCACCACCACCCTTCTGATTATCAACCTCGCTCTCGTGGCAGGACTTGGTGGTGCCCAGACCCTCGTCTCCCTTGCTTCAGGATACATTGTGCTGTGGTCCACGCGCGTCATCGTCTCTCAGGAGAACGACCACCATATCCGCCAGCGCTGGATCTGGGTGGTCGTTGTCATTCTTGCCTACATCAGCTTGCTCTGGAACATCCTCGGCCAGGCATTTGACTCGTCCAAGGCAAGAGGCGCTACTGTCCAGAAGTTCTATATCCCCTTTGGCATCACCATTCTTGCCCTCTGGACCATCAACCTCGGTGTCTGGGTTGGCTCGCTTGGCTCTGGTGCCTTGAGCGCCGACTGCACTGCCATTACATTTACTGTCGTTGATAGTCTTCTCAAGTGCACCAGTGGTGTGGTTCTGGCCTTTGCCTGCCGCCGCTTCCCGGATGTCAGTGTTGAGCTAGGCGGATACTGGGCTACTGGCACATCTACCGAGGGACGTATTCGCCTCGGTGATGAGACGGAAAACTAAGTCAAACACAATGATGAAAAAAAAAAGTTGACCGGCGTGCTAGCTTCAAGTTATATACCATGATGATTAATATGAACAAGGAATACCCAAAGAATGGTCTGCGCTACTTCTCCCTCCCTAAATCATGGACAAGACACCCAACAGGTTTTGCTTTCCGTCACATCCGCACGGTACATAGGCACCGTCTTCAAAGTTGGCAATGCACATGCAATGTAAATCTTGGGGCCCACGGCGTTGTAACCTGCTCGAATCGAAGCTCCTAGTTTCAGTTTGCGACATGCGCATCGAGGCCATCCGCGTCTCAAACGAAGTCTCCTTGCATGGGCATGGGATCCTGTGCCCATCAACACTACCTTCAATAAGACAGTCGCAGTTGTGTCCATCGCCACGCGAAATCTGTGTAACTTTTCGCTGAGGTGCGCCAGCACACGGTGTAGGTTCGGCAACCGGGCCGAGGCGACCATCTGTAATCTTCATGCACTGCTCGTTAGCGGCACCCCAAACGAGGTGCTTCTTCATAGGGTGCTTTCGAGCCTTTTCGTCTTCACAACCGTCGCATACAAGCCGGTCATAGGCGTCGTGGTAGCAGCTGCAGTAGGACCCTTCTTTGACGTTGATAGGTGAGTAGTCTGCTGAGCAGAAGCATGGTCCTGTTTGTCCAAGACAGGCGCAGTCAGCCATGGGGAGAAACGTGGTGCCAGAGACGGCAGCAGCCAGAGTGGCAAAGGCAAACAGAAACTTCATAATGATTAGTGTATATAGATCTGAGGTTGTACGGTAGCGGTGCTGAGAAATTGGTGTTCAATAACGCTGAGTCAAGGCTCTTATGCGGAAGCAGGGATCAGTCGTCATTTTATAGTTTCTCAATGGCTCTATAAAAACTATGATATTCTATAGCAGCCAGTGTCATTGCTTTCATTGTTCTGCAGAACATCTTTGTCTACATACAATGCCTGGCATGCGTCGTCAAGGGGACTACTGTGAGACATTGGCCACCATCCTATTGGACCTCGCTGCCGTCCATGTATGTCTCACCCTACGAACTGCCCTTGGTCCAAATACAACTAACGTAGAGCCCACCAAAGAACTCACCCGCAGCCCCAGTCGGTCGAGACAATCTGGGCATTGTTGTCGCTAGCAACAGACCTTTGCATTCCAAGCACCAACAACGGGCGGCAATTGCACAACACCACAGTAAAGTATAATATATTGTTACTACGAAACGACGCTAATTAAATAAAACAGCATATTACATTCTTTGTAATTATAAAAATGCACTCGCTAGTCTCTTATTGTTTGTCGGCTAGACTATTGCAGGATCTGCTCAAGCTTGCGATGAAGCTCAACGGCCTCTGCAAAGGTCGGGACGGGCTCATTGTTCAAGTAGCGCTCATACACATCCGCGATCGCTTTGGCAGCCGCATAGTCGTATTCATTTTGCCAATCCCTCCACTCAGCAGTGATGTCCTCAAGTTCATCAGTTACGTGGTCATGGACCTGGAAATGCACCTCTCCAGGGTCCTGCTGGCCGCCCAAGAAGGTGGTATTGCGCGCAGTGAGACGGATCTCACCTTTTTCACCATTTACACTCCAGGTAAATGCATCCTGTCCCTTAAACGGCTGGCCACGACGGAAGTAGACAGACACGGTAGCATCAGGCACTGCTGTGGCGTTATCGGCCAGCCGGCCTGACAGATGCAGCAGATCAGGCACGTTGGTCGGCTCGGAGCGAACAACAGCGCCTTTATCGTCGATAAACTTTACAACAGGGCGCTGAATCTGCGCGATTGAGCGAATATCGCTGACGTCGCCGAGGACAGACTGTACCTGATCAAACACTGTGTTTTGTTAGTGACGTTGGCAGCTGGAGCAATGACCGATTCACTTACAGTGTGCAAAGCCGATGGTAATAGGGTTACCACCGATAGATCTATCAGTGAAGTAGTCCAATTTGTTTGTGAGTGTCTCGCGATCCACTGTTCCTCCAAAGGCTCGCAGTTCAGAGCTTAGGACTTTGCCAATCTTACCCTCATCAATAAGCGCCTTGACCTTTTCGAACAGCGGTACATATCTGCCCTGTAAACCGACAATTGATTTCCCGTTGGCTCCAACAGCGTCTTGAAGCTCCTCGGCATGTTTGACATCTTGGGCAAGTGGCCATTCAATGTATGGCACTTTTCCTGCTTTAATGGATGGAAGGGTGGCAGAGTAATGTGTGTCTACTCGTGTAGAAGTCACAACGAGATCAACTTCTGGATCGGCAGCTAGGTCCTCTGGATTTCCATAGGCTTTGATACCTGTGTCGTCGGGAAAATACTTTTCAATAGCCTTTTGAGCGGCTTCTGTGCTTGAATTAAGTAGTGCAGTGATTTTGAAATTCTTTCTACCGCGTGCAGATAATAGATAGGGTAGATGGCCAACAGCAGCCCATGCTGTCTTAGCATTGGCAGAGAGGCCAACAATAGCGACTCGAATAATAGCCATGGTGTTTTTGTGCAGACGCGGATGTAATGTAATGTGCTGTATAGAAATTTCTTTAATAATTATAACAACTCGTTGGTGTCGAGTGTGCTGGCTTTATACCCGACACACTCTGTGATATCCTGCGGACTGTGGTGATCAGTTACGGCGGATTGCTAAGCCAATTTCTCCAGCCTCGTCCACACCACTCCGCATTTCTCTGCCAAACTGTATTTATAATCTATCTACGGTTTAAGCGCTCATCCAATAGACGTCGCCAAACAGTGGAGGGCATTATTTGATTGGGCTGTCGCCGGATGCCGTCATCTGCACCCGTCTTGACGTCGCGCATACTTGGAATATACTGATTGGGGTTGCGCCGAGATTGTATCAAGAAAAAGAACATAATTTGTAATCCTGAGGTAAGCTCTAGGATAAGGTCATTATAAAGCCCAAAAAAAAGTCTTGCAAAATATTTGGCATCGTCGACATTGTCGTCTCTGCCGTATGTTTCATCTGTGCCATGCCACCTGCATTACAGCCTGTGCGGCCGATGGCTGTGCACCGCACAACTAGTGAAACCACGCCTGCTACCACTGCTACTTCACAGACCACCGGGTATCCATATCCTTCATCACAACCACTATCCACTACCCCCCTTTGTTTTTGCTTATGCCAAGTACGTATTCTTATTTGGCCGGGGCTGCAGCATGGGGAATCTCAGTATTGCCAAGCTCAGCCGTAAAGCTCATCTGTGGCTGCAACTGTTGTGGCTGCTGATACTGAGCAGGGTGGCCTTGCTGTTGACCCTGAGCATAGCCCTGCCAGTTTTGGGTTGAGCTGACAGAGACATGACGTGAGTGGGGGTCTTGCTGGTAGTTGGGGGGAGGAGGGCTGGTTTGGAGATAGTTCATGTCTCCGGGGAGCTCCATAGCGAAACCCTGAGAATCCTTGGATGGCAGAGGACCTGCTTGCGGAACAAAGCCCTGCTGCTGTTGCTGCGGTGTAAACTGCTGGCTAAAGTGGCTGACCTGGCTAGAGTGTCTGTTGAGGCTGTGGTACGGCGCGGGTGACACTGAATTGGGGCGAGAGTGGGAGAGGTCGGGCGAAACGGGCGGCATGTATGGAGTGCCGTGCTGTGATGCGGGCGTCGGTGGTGCAGCGATGCTGGTGCGGAAAGTCTGCGAGCGATCGTTGGGGTTGACCGTCTTGAGCTTGCCGTCTTCCATCATGGCCTGCAGGATACCGGCGTCGAGAAGCTCGGCCTTTTTGATGATGCGGTCGACCATGAGTTTGTTGGCCTGCTTGAGCTGGCCCTTGACGAAGCTCATCATGGCAATGTTGCACTTGATTTCAGACTCGGTGCGTAGGTAAAGGCCCTCCTTTGGGACGCCGAGCTTCTCGTTGCCCAGCTCATGGGGCTCTGGCGGCTCGATGCCAGGCTGGTTGCCCGCAATGCGGTAGCGGTGTCGCAGGTCGATACCCATGGGAGCGTAGATGTGAGTCTGTAGGCCCCAGGGCATGTTGTGGAAGCAGCCGTTAAACTGAATTTGGCCGGAGCCTATCTTGCCCATGCCGGGAACATATTGGATTCGCTCTGTGATTTCGTACCAAGTGCTGTAGAACTCGTCGGGCGAAGCGTTGCGAGGAGCGGTGATGGGGCGATGCGACAGAACCAACGGGTTAAGCGTGATGATTTCTCCATGCGAGTGAAGGATATCCAAGGCAAGCTGGCGAGGGATAAAGCCAGGGATAGGCGTCACAACGATGTGTGTATCTTTCTTCGACAACATTTTGTTGCTTTTGTCAGCTGTTGAAGAGCTCACAGCGGCGAAGATGCAGTTGTTGGTTGGGGGCCTGCGGGGTATAACTGTAGTGAGAGGTAGGATAGGAATTATCGACAATGCAGATGCTTCCTTTTTGAAATTGAAGAGCTACCACTTCAAATGCAATGCTCAAAACAATGGATAGTGATAAGAAGAAAAGCTCCGAACACGCCTGAGTAAGACAGAAGATTAAGGAAAAGAAGGATTAGCCAGCGGGGCGGCTGTGGTGGCTGGCTGCATTTCAGGCTCGGACGCTGAGGGTTCCTTGCTTCGCCGTCACAAGCAGTAGCCCTGTGTGGCCCCATCCACAAGCCTAGTAGGGGCCCAAGAATAGAAACAAGCGTGCTGGCCAGCGCCTCCATGAAGGGGTCAAAGCTCCTGCCAGACTCTGAATGCTCCCCTCATCACTCCGCCCGCCCTCCACTTAGTGCGCTAAACGGCGCTACTCAGCCTACTTTCGTCTTAGCGATGAACCACCAGCGCGTGGGCGAGTGGGTAGGCGAGGCCATGCTTAGGCTTAGTTCGTCACAGGTGGAGGGGAAGAGGTGGGCGCAGCACACTTTCCATCACAACGGTTGGTTGGCTGCGCGTGATTGTGATGGGCTAGTATCGGGGGACTGACACAGGCCGTAGTATTCGTTGAGGTTATGTTATTGGCTGCGCTACTCATGCAGTGTGATGAGCCCGACTGGGATTCATGACTTGCGGCCTTTGGCTAAGGACGGCCGACTAGCATCGCGGCAGAGCGGATAGATGGCAATTGCCGAAGAAGGATCATCATGCTTATTCGTTCTGATGGAAGTGTCCGATTACCTGGATATTCAGCCTGTATCGTTCGATAGTCTTGCATGTTGAGAGTCAGACTGGCGTTGGATGAAGTGCAGTGGGCGTTGGACAGACCAGCCACCACCAACTGTTGGCAGTGCCGTGACAGCTGGTTCGCAAGCCTGCCAGCTGGCATTGTGTGATGGATGCCATTTTTTATTCATAGAATTACTTTCTTCATTAGAATTTACTCATATTTCTAAACTTTTCTTTTCTAGATGATGGGAATCGAGACGCCAGTGAGGCCGTCTGAGCGCGTTTCAAAGTGGACTAATCTGATCAGACAATACACTGTAACGGCACTGTAGCTGACGCAATCCAGCCTCTCTCAGTAGTTGTCCCGCTTCTTCCGCGTCCGTCTTTCGTCAAAGCATCTCCTCTCCTTCGCATCCCAACTTTATTGTATAATTGCAATTTATCAAAACTCAATCATTTGACTATTATAATATCTGGCGCGCGTCATTTCCATCACGATGCGGTCTGCTCTCGCTGTAGCCTGGCTGCTTCCCACGGGCGGCCTGGCGTCTGTTTTGGGCGCTAACCAGCAAGTGGTTCTCGCGCCTCCAATTGATAGCGAGCCTTCTACCCATGACTGGTGGACTGAGAATATCGCAGCCTTTACGTCTTCGGCTCAAGATGTCATCGATTCTGTCACTCAAGCTGCTGCTGGCACAGATACCCGCCTCCGCAACAAGGTCTTGTCCGATCTCAAGTATGTGAGCGACAAAGTCAACAGCCATCTCTTCTCTACAGACAAACCCGAGACGGAGGAGTCGACTATCTATGAACTCATTAGCAACCATCCAGAGACATCCAAGTTCGCCGAATATGTCTCCAAGTTCTCTGATGTCGTGGACATACTGAACAGCACCGACGCCAGCAACACTCTCTTTATCCCAACCAATGAAGCCTTTGAGCATATTCTTCCCCACCGCCACTGGCCCGAAGAATATATCAAAGAGATAATTAAATACCATATTGTACCAGGAGAGTACAGGGCGCGAAAGGTTTTGTCTGCGTACACATTGCCAACTCTCCACAACGAGCAAGCTCTCGGCAATGAACCTCAGCGTCTAAGACCCAGTGTTGGATTTCGAGGAGCCAAGATTAACTTTTACAGCTCGCTTGTCAAAGCCGATGTGGTATGTACTACAATCATTGATATTTCTAGCTTTGCTAAGTTTCGACTAACATGACTATAGAAAGCAAACAACGGTGTAGTCCATGCGGTAAACCGTATCCTTGTCCCTCCCCCTGTGGTCGGCCTTATCTTGACTGCCTTGCCATCTCACTTCTCGAGCTTGCTTCTTGCCTATGAGCGTACTGATTTTGTCAAGTTTGTTCATGGCCAGAAGATCGCTGGGTCGACCATGTTCGCACCCTCTAACCGTGCGTTCGAGAGACTTGGCCCCAAAGCAAATGACTTCCTCTTCAACAACCCAGAGGGCCGCAAGTACCTGAGCGCGCTGCTTAAGTACCAAATTGTACCCAACATCACGCTATACAGCGACCACACTTATGACAAGCGCCAGACCAAGGGTCAGCTGCGCATGGCTGAGCACAATGAGCTCACCACTCTGTTGGATGGTGCCTCCCTTGGGGTCGATACCGCCAGATTCTTGGGTTTAATTGTGATCCGCGTGAATGGATTTATTGACGTCGCTGTTCATGATGTCGTTTCCAAGAATGGAGTCATTCATCAAGTAGACAGAATGCCCCTGCCGCCGCGCAGAAAGTCAAAGGGCTTTTTTGCGACCGAGGATGAAGTTTCCATTGATGACCTCAAGGAACGTCTAGATGATTATCTATGATCCAGTGCTTTTTCCTTCCATTTTTGGATGATCTGACTATATCGTCTTATTTATTGTACTGATATACGCATTTATTGATACATATTTCACTCAATGCCGACTTTACTCTGACACTTCGTTTATTATCTGACAAAATTATATGTAACAACTAATCAGAATCAAAAAAATATATCAACCATTGTCCTGCTAAATTCGGTACTACTTTAGTAGTTGTAAATAGAGTTCTGTTGCTAATACAGATTAAAGCACCACAATTTTGGGTGAAATTCGGACAGGTCTCGAATGGAGGTATGCTCCCACGCATGCCACTCATCATCAAGCCTCTCTTCGCGCGTCGGTGGTATATCTCCAAAAGCCTTCAACGGTAATTCCCAGAAGCTAACAGTTTCTGGTAAAGTAGCGCGTTCGGCTTCATAGTCTTCCTTTATTCTTACATTTCCCCACGGTTGGCCCAGCAGTGGAGCAACCCCTTCCCACCAATTATCAAAACCGCCCAAGCAATCTATCAGTTCCTGTCTCGTACCCATTTCGGTAGGAGAATTGTATTCTGATATACTAATCCCAACAAGGTACCTCTTATTGATACACCGCGTACTGCCAAATGTGGCTTGGAACTGGTTCCAGCAATAGACTTCGAACCGTGGATCCAACCTAGACCCAAAATTGGGCAGATCAGCTTCGATAGGCCTCCTGTCATAGCCGATATTTGTATAATATTGACTCTCAGGCAGTAATGGGACAGAACGATTGAGATGTACTATATGTTTGCGTGGGTAGTGCATTCCGCCGCACATACCCCGTGATGAGTCCTCTAGCTCACAGACCACATAGACTTCCTGTATGTTGATGCGAAGAAGCTTCCTGATCGTCGTTCGTGCTGGTACTGGTACGTTTCCCGGCTTCAACTTTAGCAAAAAACGTCCAGGTCTAACAGCGAGGTGGGCGATACCAACACCCTTCGGGTCGTACGATACAATGTCATGTAACAAGGCAATCATTGCATTCTCGCCGTGCACCCGTATAATGTCACTTTCTGGACAAAAATGTATATATTTGCCGACCCTATCTGTTGTTTGTATATGAAGTCGGACTCGGCAGATACGGACGCTAGCGAGGGCACTCGGTTGCCATTCTGTAATATGCGATACCTGTAAGCGATATCTGTAATCGCTAAGAATGTTACCGAGCTCATTTCTTCTAGTATACAGCTTGGAAGCATCGACTTCCTCATTTTCTTCCTCTGGGTCCAGTACGCGAAGTTGAATAAAGCGTGGAGTGGAAGCGCATATCTGCCATATGCGGATCCTTAACTCAGGAGGCAGGCGTGTGAATTTATGAAAGACTGCATCCTTATACTCTTTTTGTTCTTTGGAAAATCTGTCGTTATAGATGGCGTAGGGTATCCGTATAGCGGCATCAGCTGAGGTGGTTGGTGTGTTTCCAGCAATGAGCTGCAGTTTACGTGCTGTGCGTTTGCTGTCGTTCATTTCCACATATGGGTGCGATGATGGGACTCTATGATAGTGAATTTGGCACTTTATGCGAGATGTAGTGAACTAAGAAGAAATTATGAGCTGATGGAGGCGGCGTTTAAGGAGGCTATGCGTTTTGTAGGCTGGAGGGCGGACAAGGCTCCGGTGGCACTAGCCAATATTAGCCGCCACACAACACCTAAATTGATGGCACATACGGCAGCTTCTCTTGATGTCATCAGTCTATCCATACTTTTATCTATCTATATCCTTTATCCATGACGAAGTATATACCATTTGACCACCAGTTTTGAAATACATGGCGGGCTTTACTGACTCTTGCTCATGCTGTGCGTCTAAGTGCGCATCCATTTATTTTGTAGATCGAATACGGCGAACGAGCATATCATCGAGAGGTTTGAGCGCATCTTCAATATCACCAAGCCCCTCAATCATCTTACCATTTGTCATATGACGCCGCTCTGGAGCATGAGCCTTCAAATACGGCATGACACGTTTTCTGTGTCCACATCGAAAGCTCTAAAAAGTACAATGTATCAGATTATCTGGAGTTTAAAGCGAGTAAGATACAACGGAGTATATGCATACCTTCATCTGTTGTGCCAAGTGCTCCATTCGGTCGTACAAGAGCGGATGGCTGATGCTGGTGAGCTTATGACGAAAGCAAGCCCGTCTAACTGCCAGACTAAACATATGTTGCCGTGCAGGCACGTATAGTTCAATTTCGTCGTTGGACATATAAGGTTCCAAGCCAAGAAATGAATCGATAATATGGAAAGCGAGCACTTGGCTTCCAGAGACGCCTGTATGAGTGATGGGGATTCCATCTACGACCTTTTCCAGACCCCAACCGTGGAAGCCCTGAGTGTATTGCATCCAGTTGCTTTTGGATACTTTTTGTTCCGTCAGACCGCTGTGAAACACTCTTGAAAGTTTGCGAACAAGAATGCAGATATTGTTGAGATGCTGCATACATTCTGATTGACGGGCTTCGTCAAAAGCGGCAAGGCAGCGAATAATTTCGAAGTATAGTGGCACACTCTACAAATTGTCAGCTTAGACTCATATCGTTAGAAAAGTATGTATGATGGGAGTGAGCTACGTTTAGTTCATAATTGTAGAAAAGGGAGAAGAAATTGTCCTCCGTCGTCATGATGGGCTTGTCGACACCGGAAGTAGTACGCAACCTCCGACGCCCAGAAGAATCAAAACTTAGCAGAACATTCGTAGTATGGTTACCACTTTCGGCGTAGAAGCCAGCTAGATTTTGCAAACCCTTCCATGGAATGTCCAGTTCTGGTGGCATGTCGATAGTAGTTTCCAGCTGAGCCACTCTCACAATTGGGTTACTAGCCCATCTATTATTCAGCTTAGTTTCAAGAATTAATCGGCTCTTGGAAAGGTTATATACCTATATACATGTCTAAGGTAGGCAAGGGTACCATGGAATGCGTTAATTTGATCGCGGGATACTGATGGCTTTGACGAATCCAGTTCTAGAGCTTGGCGAACTGAGTCCAAGTTGATATGTTCTTGAAGAAGTTTCTGCATATCTGTTCGAAATTTATGCCGATTTCCTTCATTTACGTCATCGTATAGAGACGCTTCGGAAACTGTAAGCGAGCTTGTGTACTGTGTGTATATGTCTTGGTAAGGTTGTATTGCGGGAGGCCAGAAGTCAAAATTAGCTGCAGGTGGCCAGGATCCAGCACCGTCTTCGTTGACGAGACGGATGTATGCTTTAGCAAATTCATGATGGATAGTCAGAGGTAATAGGCTACCGATATCTGTGTTGATATCGACTGAATTAGCTGTATCTTGATCGGGTATAGAGGCAGCGGATTGTATCGATGTATGTTTAAAATCAACACCCTTTGATTTCAATTTTGAAAAGAACCATCGAAGAATAATGGCAGGTGCTACCAGTCCAATCGAAATATTTAAAAAGTAGTAAGAAATTGAACTGGCGTCCATTTTGAAGTTTTGGATACGCCGTGGTGAATGGTAGTTTGTGAGGGCGATGGGAATACAAGAGAAGCGCTGCACCTTTCAACGACTATGCTGATATTCAAACCTCCTGCCGAGAACCGAGTAGCTGGGATAGGGCGGCGTGAAGACTGGGAAGACCAATATTTCGTGCGTGAGATACTTACACCCATGTCGCTCTGCATGCTTTCGGCAGCCACAAAGCTTCATCTAAGACATCAAGTTACGAAATAGCTACCAGCTTTCTCCCTCCCCGACCCGTATCTCTACGATAAATAAAAAGTATTCAATTTGTACAAATAGCAAAACGTGTCTCACTGCGTATGGATAGAGCTTTTTCGGCTCTTTCACTATCATCCAACAATGCGGCTGACTATCATCGCCCGGTTTAGTTCAACACCCGGAGCGGCTCGATCCTACCCTGGCCTTGCTCGACTCGCGAACCCTGTAAAAAAATCTTGCAGTCCGCTGTTTTATGTGCTGTCTCACGGAAGAATATGCACGCTATCTGCACTAAGTGTTGGCTGCAGGACCATGCAGCCCTCACACCTAAAGAGTGCCTGCACATACGCATGCGTTCATAAACGGATCAAGATTCCATTGGGCTGAGAAGAAAATCAACCATATCCACAAATTAAAATGGTCTTTTTTGAATTTCATAGCATTACACCTTTACACTACTGCAAGCTACTCACGCCAAACACGCATTCTCAGCGACCATGACTGAACGAGCCATCCCTACCATTTCTCTCAAAGGTGATCACCGCAACTGACACTCATTTACAAATTTGAATGAACAATCGACAACTAAGATGTTAACTTTCACATAGATTACGATGTACGCAAAGAGGAAATCCAAGCTCAGCTCGTCGAAGCGGCCGAGTTTGCAGGCTTCTTTACCCTAGTGGACCACGGCATCACCGTCGACGAGATCGAGGCCCAGTTTGATATTGCGAAGCGGTTCTTTGCTCTTCCATCAGAGGTCAAAGCCAAGACAGCACATGATGTGAAAACAAACAACGGCTGGGAGTACAAGGTAGATTCAGCTCCGATGGGACAAGACACTCACTCACACCTCTCCCTTGCAGGCTCAGCTGCGACCGAGCACCGGCAGTTACGACCAAAAAGAGTCACTATGGCTGATGCGAACTTCCGAATGGCCATCGGACCAGGACGTGCCGCACTTTCATGCAACAACGCAGGCGTTCATGGCCAAGTGTACCGCTATCTCGGATCAAGTGTGTGAGTCTGCCCACCGCCTGTTCCCCTGCTTGTCTGCAGGCCGGTCCACAAACTTGATACCGAAACCCAGGCTAATGATCCATTAGTGACATGTTTTTCATCGGCTCTCGGGTTTGATCCAGCCTATCTACCAACGGCCAACGACCCGACCCATCCTGACTGCATTAGCCAGCTACGTCTGCTCCACTACCCGCAGTCATATGATGCTGCTGGCAGCTGGAGGGCGGGGGTTCATACGGATCTTGGCTGCCTAACCCTGCTTTTCCAGCGCGATGGCGAGGACGGGCTGGAGATCTGCCCGGGCCGCGAATCGCACACCAGCTTTGCCGTGGGAGACACGTTTACGCCCGTGCCAGCGCACACGGGGCCGATCGTGGTGAACATTGGTGATATGCTGAGTGAGTGAAGCCGCTCTGTAAGACTAGTTGTGCTAACATTCCTGACCAGTGTCTTGGTCCGACGACCGCTTCAAGTCAAACTTTCATCGGGTGCGGGCCAACGATGTGGGTTTTTCAGCTGCGCGATATTCTATGGCCTACTTTAATCAATGCTGCCGAGACATTGTAGTACAGGGTCCTGGCAAAAAGTAGTAAGTACTGGATCCATGCACGGCTGGGCCCTAATATGAAGTGCAGCTACTAACGTGTTCTAGCCCACCCGTCACTGTTGCTGAATATTTCAGGCAGGCAATACAACGGAATTTTGGCGGAAAACCGGCCGAGGCGACGAAGTGAGTATTGGTATACGGGTAATCAATTTTGTGGTGCTTTCAGAAATGGTCTGTGATCGTTCCTAGGTCTACCCTATCACTAGCTGCTTATTTTCTATTTTCTAAGCAGCGTGCTATAAACTTGAGCACTACGTCCCGCTGTTCGGTGTCTGGTGTTCCAATTGATAAAACATCGCTTTGGATAGTAGTTAATATTGGGACGTCGTAAATAGTTAGAGATTGCGTCATACCTGACGTGATTGTGCTTGGGGAGTACATGGAAGAATGGCAGCGTACCGGCTGGCTTGCTTCTGGCACGGTAGGCGTTCAAGAATCTCACAACTGCTTCACTGGTCTCAGGCCTTGTAGTAAGAGTAACATTAGCAAAGTTCCTTCAAAAGCATCCCCAAAGCGGTGTCTGTCACTTACACTTCGTATTCAGATGCTCCGAGATAGATCGGCAGTATGGTCGAGTCCCTACATAAAACAACCAAGATTAGAATAACGTTTGATATGAATAATGTTCACCTTACAGCAGAGGAGAGTCGTCGGGTAGTCCGTTGAATAGGCCAACAACGGATTTAGGTCCCCAAACCTCTTCAGCGTCAGAGCCGTAGTAATGGCGGATGACCTCCTGTCTCTTGGGCTTTCGGCGGTCGTACCAGCAGGGAGGATCAATATAAATGGCGCCCGCGACTGGTGGGTTCAATGGATCTCTAGAGACTCTTTCAGGGTCACCTGGTCACAAGTTAATAGATGTACGCAGTGTGCTGTGTTGATGTGCAATTGTAACGCACCAGCAGCATAGAGATTCATCGCAATATGCGCAGCGCCTGAAGAGTGGCCAAATAAGATGACCTTGTTGATATCTCCATTGCCGAATTTGTGTGATCCGATGTTTGAGTGAATCCATTCTCTAGCAAGTTGGATATCCTCTGCACCCTCAGGGTAGACAATGTTGGGCACTAAGCGGTGGTTAATCACGACTGTCACAATACCTTGAGCAGCAAACGTGTAACCAATATTGGCATAACACTAGTAGGGACAAATTAGAAAGCTTTTGCAGCTGAGACACGTATTCTTACCTTTTCACTCCATCTCTTATCGCCAGAATGGAAGCCGCCACCATGGACATACATCATGACAGTCCGGTTTGTTGCCTCCCCGGCTGGGATGTATACATCGAGTGCATTTCTGTCATTTGGGCCATATACTTGATCCTTGACGACTTCAATATCTTTAGAGAACTCAAGATAATGAGGCTCAAAAAGCTCACGCCATTTCTACTCAAGGAAAAAGTCAGCTATTATTCGTAGATATTGCAAGTTGGTCTACTTGCGTTCTCGTCTCCAGGCAAAAACTTGCACCCGTCTTCAAGGATCGTGGCGTATACTGCGTCCATGTTGAATTTATTTTACTGTAAGTTCTTACAGTGCTGTATTCTTGTCGGAGACAAAATAGAAGGAAATAATTCCGAGGGTGCTGGAAACTGAAGTTCGCGAGCGGGGAAGGATAAGTAAGACCCATGTAGCCACTGGTAGGGGTGTACTTTGTAGCCGCGCCCGTTCAACGTATTGTGAAGAAGTGTTACGTCATTACTAGTATAGACGAATGTATTATACTCTTGTTGGGTTCACTTGTATTATATGCTGTTGGTGCTATATAAATATGGTGTTATAAGTTGCCAAAACTGCAGCCATATTTTATCAAACTGTTTAGACAACTGAAGGGCAGGCCATGTCGATAGTGGCGTCCTTCTTATGTAACTACCAACGAGCCACAATAATTCGTTGCGATACCTGTATGGTGCCCAGCTCTTGGCGGGTATACTGTAAAATGATACACAAAAAGAACTCAGTCCCATAAAAAGCTACTATAACGGAAATATTCCTTTTGTGCTCGCCTATGACAGACTACCTCTTTGTTCTTCTTCGCCTAAATGCAAATGCAGCGCTCCACTAAATCTACCATCTGTGTAGCACGAAACAATTCGTACCCCAGCGCGTTAAACGCTCTGAAAGATTGTATACTCTCTATATCTCCGTGAAAGCTATAATAATCAATGATAAACCACGTGGGTTTATCTAGAATCATTCTTTGATCTCGTTCTCCTCGTATGAGGCTACCGTCTCACGTGATGTTGTTCTTAAGACCGACTGCGGCGGCTTATCCGCAACTTCTCCTCTAAGCATACACAATTCCAAAATGAAGATCATAATTGTTGGCGCTGGAATAGCCGGTCTATCGCTGGCTATAGCTCTCGGACAATCTAAGCACGATGTCACTATTCTGGACGCCGCAGCAGCGCTTGAAGAACTGGGAGCTGGTGTCCAGATGACCCCGCAGGCTGTGAGATACTTCTTCCAATGGGGACTGAAGGACGATGTGATCTCCCAATCATACACACCGAAAGAAATGATTATCAAGGATTGGAAGGATGGTAGTATCCTAACTGCAGTTCCTACGGGGAAGATGGCTACGGAATACGGCGCTCCCTACATTCTGATTCACAGAGGCAACCTGCTTACAATTCTCCACCAACACGCCTTGAAAGCTGGCGCCAAGTTGCGACTCAGCAGTCGTGTGGTGAACTATGTATTCGAAGAAGGTATCGTGGAATTGGAAAACGGTGAGAAGCTGCACGCGGATCTAGTCATCGCAGCCGATGGTGAGTCGAGTCGTCTTGTACAACACCACTTCATCTTTGTTGACAGCTTTCTTTAGGTATAAACTCAATGGCTCGGAAAAGGCTTCTTGGACCATCCGATGAAGGCAGCAGACCAACGGGCTGGGCAGCTGTTCGCATGATGACGGAGCTCTCCAAACTTAAACAGGATCCCGAGACGGCACCACTCATAGACACTACTACACCAAGCTCGTATCTATGGATCGCCCCAAATGTATCATGCATGATGTACCAGATTCGAAATCACGACAAGCTTAATATTGTGCTTTCACATCGCGATGACGTAAACATGTCTGGCTTTACCCTCGAACAGTATCAATCGGCTGTGAATGCCTGGTTCAAAGACTTTGACGCACCGTGGGTTCCCCATCATAGCATCACTTTTCAACCCAGACTAACTTAAAGCAGTGTTCAAAAAATGATTGGCCTCGCGCTCCCCAAGATGCAAAACTTTCCGGTTTATGAAGTATCGCCACCTTCCAGCTGGGCACACAGCTCCGGCAAGTTTGTGCTTATGGGTGATGCGACTCATGCCATGGCCTTCTACCTCTCCATGGGTGTTAGTCTTGCTGTGGAGGATGCTGCATCTCTAGCTGAAGCCTTGGATCTCGCTTGTCCAGCATCGAAAGACACTAGCGATGGACAGGTTGATGAGGTCAAGCTGAAGCGTGCGATTCGCACCTTTGAAACCGTCCGCAAGGCAAGGGCTAGAGTGGTTCAAGAAGCAAGCTTACATGCAGGAGATATGGCGCACATTGAAGATCCGCAGAAGCGTAGTCGACTTTATGAACTGTTACGGACAGATGGTGCTGATGAAACTGTTCCATTTGAGCCAGCAACAATAACCCAGAGGGAAGGATATGGACTTGCGGATAGAAAGGTGCGAGACTGGTGTTATAACTATGACGTTCAAGGAGAGACAAGGAAGGCGTATGAATCATATTAGAATTATGATCCGGGATGTGGTAGAGAGACTACAGGAATGAGCCTTCATTGTTCTCGCTTCAGGTTTACACCACAATTATAACTTGGTATACGGCCTTGAAAAGTGAAAGCAAATACCTAATCCTTTAAACTCCACGCTAATATAAAAGAAAATCTCGCCAAGAACATAGCCGGCATGCTCATGGGTTGGTAGGGCGAGCGTAGCCGGCGTCGGTGTGAAAGTTGTCATTGGTAGGTTTCAGGCCGTTCCATACGCGTTTGTACCATGACTTCTTGGGCTTGTTTTGTCCTGCTAATAGCCGCGCCATGATATAATCGTCTGCCGTTTGTGTTGGTCTTGTTTGTGTAGTTGCCGCGGGTTGAGGCTGTGTTTGTGTCGCTGATTCAAAAGGCACATATTGTTTGCCACCATTCATGGCTTTCCAGATGCCGCCGAGTTCGGCGCCGACATTGGGGCGTTGTTGCGTAGGTGGCTGATTCGACATAGTAAGGTGTGATATTGTAGAATGAATATGTTTGCTAATATTAAGACTATTCTTGTATTATGTATTATGCTAGTGTGTGTTCTTGATCACTCCTTTTCAATTTCGTTTGCTTATGGCGGCCTCCCCGCCTGCGCCCCTAACCTTAAATAGCGATAAACAGAGCTGTATCCCCTGCAAGCCCTACAGCCTCTTAGCGCTAGCGATGCTGCGCCCTCTCGAATAACGGTTTGTTGTTCGCGGGGCAGACGACTTTTACGAGCTGCCAATTGCAGACAATAGTCCATTGTACTCTTCATCATAACTCTTTAGTCGTACACAGAACCCTTGGACCACTTGGATCTGGCACGGATCTTCTTGCCATATATGTAAAAGACAAATGGCACTGGAAGCAGCAATGCAGAAAATCCGCCCATAATACTCAAGCCTGGGCCGGTGCCAATGTTATGGAACATGGGCCCAACAACCAAAGGGAAGACGGCCGCAAAGACAGATCGAAGAAATGTGTTTACAGCCACTGCAGACGCAGCATATGCGGTGAATGTGTCGACCAAATAATTAAGACCGGCCTGGAAAATCGTAAAGAAGCCAGCACCTGTCAGAATGGTACCGATAATAGGTGCTACAGCGTTATACTTGGGGTCTGCCGTCCATCCGACGAGAAACTGGCCGACGGGGAAGATGATGGCACCAAACATCATAGGAGGTAAGCGCTTCTCCGGTACGGCTCGGTTCCCAGCCGCATGGTAGGCCTTGTTGTACATTTTCTGGTTGTAAACGTTGACCACGCAGCCTATTCCAGCACCAACAAACGTGCACAGAAACGGCAGCGTCGACACAACGGGCGACCAGCCGCGAATCTCGCGGAAAATAATAGGAATGGCGCCCAGCTGCATATACAAGATACCAAAGCAGAAACTGCAGTAGAGCGCGACCAGGAAGCAAATTGGCGTGGCAAAGAGCTGCAGCGGGCGGACTAGAAACTTGCGCGCAAGCTCCATGACGCTCACATCCCATTCTTCAAATTTCGCATGTAGTGCCCAGTTGCCGCTCTCATGGCGAAGGCGACGGGCCTTGTAGATGAGGAGCTTGGCCGGGTATGTCTCGTCAATGAGGATGAAAGCCGCGAGAAACGCGACGCCCTGGAGAATGCCGTCCAAGTATTGCGTCCAGCGCCAGCCAAGGCCGCTTTCCATAGCTTGCGACACGGTTGGACCTTGAATTCGAACGTTAGTATACTTTATGCAAAGTTTTGGGACTTCGACTTACCGAGCGCTGGGCCAATCACCACGGCCATTGCATACCCTGCTATCGCAAACCCTCTTTGCGCCGGTGAGAACAAATCGCCCAAGACGCCGCCGGTATTTGTGATTGGCGCCGAGGAAAAGAAGCCGCCAAAGAAACGGGTGATTAAAATAGACTGTATATCCTTGCTTGCACCTGTCGCAAAGCTAAAACACATGCCGATAAACACAGGAGGCAGCACTGTGATCTTGCGGCCGTACACCTCGCTCAGCGGCGCCCAGAGTAAAGGGCCAATCGCCAAGCCCGCAAGAAACAGGGAAGTTCCCAGAATCGAGACAGGCCCCGATACGCCAAACTCGGCAGCAACAGGGGCAGAGGCTGCCGAGAATGACGAGCTAGCCCATGACGAGCTGCCGGTGACCAGGCCGTACAGCATGGTAGTTATAACCTTCTTCCTCATGGGCCAGTTTATGGCTTCGTATGGATCGTCCTTGCCGTCAAACGTAACGAGGGAGTCTACCGTAGTAGGGATATGTGAGAGAGCATGCGTAAACACGGGAACTGGGCGCGACCGAATGCGCGAGAGCATTGTCTCGCTGCGCGTCAGACGCCGTGTGAGCGGCTCGCCAGGCGTGCTCGGCACAGCTGTCGTTCGGCCATCGCGCGAACCGCTACGGCTGTTGCGCGAGATGGTGCGCTCGATTTCGCCGCGCGACGGGCGGTGGCCATCGAGAGTTTCGCCAGTGGACGAGGTGTCGCTATTGCTTTCGAGGTCGATGCTCGATGCGCGACGGGGCTTTTCAACCTCGTCGTCGCCGCGGACGTACGAGCTCTCTGCCGTGCTGGTAATATTATCTGAGGAAGGCATCTATGCTGTAATAATGGGTTGATGCCGAGTGTGTTATGACCAACACGAAGAAAAGAGCGAGGGGACATGCGAAGTACTATATACCCGGAGAGCTAGCGTATAACCGGAGCAAACATCGGAGGTACAGTTTTCAATGCTCCGTAATCCATGGAAAAGTGCACTAAGCAAGACCTGTTTTGCGCGGCGCAAGTCGGATCGGACGGCACCGAAACGGCAAGGCTCTGCGGCCGACTTGGTGGACAACGCTGCCGTCGCGTGGGTACTGTTACCGGTGCGGGTATTGTGGCCGGGGATTAGATGAAGTTTGCTTCGGTATAAGTCGGAAAGCCGAGGACTATCTATGATGCAAGAAACGAGAGAGGTGAGCGGGCGGAAATTTTTGAAGGAATTATATATCACTGCCTTGAGATTTGCTCTATATCTGTGTAATAGTATTGGAAAATAAATATATATATATATTTTTTTTCAGGGAACGAAACACGACTCCGTTGCTATTGCTAGTCGATGTCTCTTAGTCTAGGGAATAAGGTGGACGATGCGTGGCTCGCCCCAGCGCCTTGTGGGCCTAGATCCGGCTTCCTTTCATGCAGGTAGATTTATTCTTCTTGGTTGGATATAGGAACCGCAATCATGATTTTGCTTTTCCTTTGAGCTTCTCGGTCTCGATCCGAGGTTTGGCGACGTTTTAAGATCCAGCCACTTTCTGACTCCTTGCCGGATTGTAGCCATTGCGTATTTAGCGCCTATATTGTCCCAAATTCAGTTGAATACGGAAGAGAAAGTCTTCTGTTGAGCTAGTGAAGTATAAATCGACATGTTGGTATTCCTGATGGTCTTCCCTGTCCGCAGTATACACTGTAACGTAGAGGCTGAACTTGATTTTCCCAGCCATGAGTATCGAGCAGAAGTTATTGCGTAAGTGAAGTAATGAAGTTGTGTCGAAATTCAAAGTTGAAGAAAACAAATTTCCTAATTTCCAGCTAGATTTTAGTGAGCTTTTATAGTAAATACTAACAGTCTTGTTCAGCTTAACCCCCAAGCTTAAGCACCCGAATTCCAAAGTACCAAAGCTACTAAACCCCAAAGCACCAAAGCCACTAAACCCCTAAACCTCTAAGTCCCTAAGTCCCAAGTCCCCACGTTCAGTCACAATCCCCAAGCTTAAGCCCCAAAACCACAAAGCAACAAAGCCACCGAGTTAACCCCCAAGATTACCCCCCCGGCTTAAACCCCCAGCACGCAGTTTATCAGCTAATTTATTCTAATTGACATTATTCTTATATTAACTTTATTCCAAATTTACGCAATAATGTTTCTAGAGCGCCCTACCGGCTTCTCGACGGATAGGCAATGACGTAGCGCATAGGACAAGGTACCCAACACCACGGGCCGACACGCTGCCGAGTTCGCCGCCTCGCAGCCTCGCGACTCGGACATATTTGCGGACCTAAACAATTACACACCTTGATGAATATGCTTTAATATGCCACGTTTGCTTTTTGGTTGTTGCCACTTCGGTAGCCTGTAGCCGCCAACCTTGACCGTTGTTGTCCACAGTGTCCCAGGCAGATCTGTAACAAGAACTGCTTCAAACCGCACATCTTTAACCACCAACTCCTTAACCTCGTCTTTTGAGGCATACCATCCATGACGCTCTTCTTTTGGGAGCCTTAGCGAATCCTGTGTAGATAGCCACACCTTCCCTCCGCCATCGCGAACGTTGATATCCATGGTTAAAAAGACGGGCGTGTCCTCGTTACCAATCCCACTGATCGTTGCGCCGGCGCGAAGAATGGCCGGGCAATTCATCGGCGTGGGGACATAATACTGTCTCATGTCATTGTCAAATACCCAAATGCAGTCCTCACCACGGATTGAATCCAATGTGATGACCGTGTTATCATACCGTAACCACGTCCGCCGAACAGGTGGTATGCTCTGGAGCCTATTACTTCGCTTAGGGATACAGAGTACGGTGTTGTCCTTATTATTCATCCCAAACTTCAAACGGACAAGTGGTTCGCGGCGCCGCCATTGCCTTGTCGCGTCCACTTTGTCCCGTTCAATAGGGATGCCTATCGATGTGGCGCTCGAATCCGCAAAATTGTGTAATATGACAGCCATCCAGCCACCCTTCTCGTCTTGTATCATGGGTGCGCTAAGCTTCACACCTCGATTGGTAACAGACATTTCACCGCTATGCAGCACCCTCTCTGGATCCTGCCAGTCCCTGAAACACGCTGGGCTAGGCGCAAGCGCGCCAATCTGAGTAACAGCCGGGTCCATGTCGCTAGCGTCCCAAAGCATAATAGAGCAGTCATCATATTCTTTGATAATTTCTTCTTGTAGTCTGATAAATGCTTTGTCGCCTTCGCCATATAGAAGAGGCATATTCACATCAAAGATGCCCATGAGCGAGTAAGCTCGGTCTTCGATGCGTGTCGTTTGTCGGTTGGCTGCCCATGACATCTTCTGGGCTACACTGACATGTGCCCAGGTCTGGGGGCCACCAATCAAAAGAGATGGAATCTTGGTGATATTCGATATTTGCGTCAGCAGCGTTAGCTTTGTGCCGATGGGTCGCCACATAAAGTCGAAAAAGCAGACGTGAGAGGGCGCCAGTAGTTCTTGTAGGGTCCAGCCACGGGTGAACCAGCGGCAATGAGCAAAGTTACTCGTTTCAAGGTAATCCTCCAAATAGACTACACAAAACTCGGCGTCTGCATACCATCGGAACATGGCGTTGATGGCTTCAGACAGGTCGGCACTGCTGGTCTTGTCGATGCAGCACGTATCTACCCATGCGTAGTCGACGCTCTTTCTTCCGGGGTTGATGACAGTATGAGATTGCCCATCTTGATTCATCTTTCTCGGGAACTCTTCTGTGTCAAGCAAAGCGCAAAAGTCGACAATCTTGCGCCATCCTGCTTTGGTCGTCGCCGTGCCATCTTGGTATTGTTGAAGCGTGACTTCCTCAGCGCCCCAAGTATGAGAAAGAATGGCGTAGGGGGGTACATCGCCTATAAATTCTTCAATTTTGCGTGTATGAATATTTATAAGACGCATTGCATTTATATGGTGAGATGGAGTTGTTGGGCGTAGCGGTCTGTACAGGTAGAGCGAGTGATTCAGCTCAGTGGGGTACCGTATAACAGGGTGAGAGAATACGGCTATAAGCATTGCCACCGAGGAATCAAACACAGAATGTGTAACAGGATTTATTATGTACTCTATTCTCTGACTATTGTATCAACTCCTCTAGAGCAGCAATATTTTCCCTCACAGTAGCCTCGGCCTGACGTAATGCTTCGTCTAAAGCGTCGCCCGTCTTATCCCCGGGTAGCCACCACGGCGCAATGTTGTCGAGCATACGGTCCATGCAGTGCGCTTTTTTCCAAGTGACGGTGTCTATACTTTTATGCGGAGTGCTAATACCCTTTGCTTCCAGTCTCTCCAGGTAAGCTGTATAGTGTTCCTGCTTCCAGTCATCGACATTGTTGCCGTAGTCGTTGATAAACTCTTCCAGAACGGAATAGAACCCGGAAAATTCAAAGTCGACTATTCCGCTGATGTGCGGAGGAGAACCGGCAACAAGAACATTTCGGGGGGAAATATCGTAGTGCGTATAAACATAACGACCTGTGCTGGAGTCTTTGTCTTCTCTAGTGTTGCCAACGATGTGTAGATGCGGCAGTGTCTCCGCCATGAACTGTTCAAGAATTGGTACCAGAGATCTGTTATTTGTGTATGTGTCTGATGTTTGGAGCTCCTTCATCTTTTCTCGAATCTTTATTTGATGATATTCTTCTGGTTCACGAATAGGATGGGAGATTTTGATACCATCAATGAGGATACCGCGAACAGCAAGGGCAAGATGCGATGGTGTTCCAGGCTCGCCAATAATGATGTCAGGTTTTGCGTCAATCTCCCCTTGCTTCTGAAATTGGAGACTTCCAACGTATTTTTGAGATGGAATTGATGTTCGCCACATCGCCACAGTGTCTGCCAACTCCATCATAATCCGTTTCGTATCCTCATCGCTCATGTTGGCATGTGCTATCGGCGTGCCAGCGACTCTTGACATTAGTATCCAGCCTCCATGCTGGTGATCAGCGTCCGACTTGTCAAGGCTGAGTGTCGTTTCGCGCACTTCACTACCGACAGGTACGGATATCACCATATCACCGCCATTCTCAGACCAGGCCAAAGCGCGTGGCGTTGGGATAGTTGGGCAAAAGTGTTGTAGTACTCGCAAAAAGCCCACTTCATTCTGAATCTTGTCTGCGCCAAAGAAGCGCCCATTGACTTTGAGAACTAGGTCACAGGTTTCGGCTCCGTCTGTAAAAAGGGAGCATGGGGCTGTCTTGGAGACTGTAAGAAAGTAGATTCGGTTGTTGTAAGATTTGCCTCTCTCTAGAGGAACAATATCATCCAGTTTTGCACCAGGAAACGCAGAAACCACCTGTCTGATGGTCGCGTCGGCCATGTGCACGCCATGAATGGGATGATGGGAAGGAGTAACTTCAGATACCATGTTGTTCAATGATGATGGAAGAAGGAGAAGTTAACGAAAGAAAAAAAATGCTATGCCCATTTAGTTTCTTATAAGTCACTTAGAGTGAGTGCAGATTTATGACTTAGTGGTGAATGGGTGGTGAGGGGCAGCTTGCACGCACGCCGCCCAGTCATCGGCGAGGCTCAGTTGGGTATAGCGCCATGATGGTAGGCCAGCTGAATATTGTTACAATTTGTAGGCAGCACCAATAGAACACCAGAGAGTTTAAAAATAGGAAGAGTGTATTAAACTAAATAAATAGTATAGTTGAGCCCAGCTAAGAAGTATACCAATATCTGCCAGCAGATGTTGCATCTATGAGTTTATTAGTTGAGACTTCATATTAGCAATCAGCCATGTTGACATCGACTTACTGTAATGCTAGCTATATTTCAAGTGAATTAGTGGCCATCAAAGATGCTAGCGATTCCCTCACTAATGTCCTTGAATGGCTCGATAATTGCCGAACCGATCTGCTCGACGGGCTTGAGTACGTCGGCTGGGCCACCCGAGACGGGCACAGGAGCAGCTGGCTCTTGAGCATCGTTGACTGGAGGTGCAGGCGCAGGAGGAGCAGCTGGTGCAGGAGCAGGAGTACCAGGAGCTTGAGAAGCCGGAGCTTGAGGAGCTGGCGCAACAGGAACAGGAACTTGAACCTGCACGCCACCAACGGGGCCAAGTGCACCTGTGATGCCATTAATAAACTTGCCGATAACGTCGCCGCCATTGCCACCATTGCCGCCCTGACTACCCTGGCCACCCTGGCCACCGCCCACAACGTTGCTGATGATATTACCGGCAGCATCATAAGCCAAGTTTTTGCCAGCATCTTTGGCAGCATCTTTTCCAGCCTGGCCAATGACACGGCTAGCGCCACTAGCTAAACCTCCAAAGCTGCTCTTGCCCTTGGGAGCTGCAATGGTGACGTCTCCCATGGCGAGGAGACCAACAAGGACGGTAGAAGTAGCAATAACCTTCATGATTACTGAGGGTTTGTGTAATGCAGATGTTCAAGATGAAAGGGGATCTGGGAGGTAACGTGTTGTAGTTGGAAGCCGCGTGTAAGTGGCAAAGGAGTGAGAATGGAGAAGAAAGGAGTGTAAGAATACGAGGAAGCTGTGCTTTTCTGGCTGTCTGATGAATATTGCAAATTTGACTGGATTTGACCCGTCTTTTATATTTAAAAAGGACATCTTTCCACCAATCTTCATCTCAATTCTCGACCCATGTCTATAGTTGCAGACTCGGCCTTGGCTCCATCCACGACCAGGCATGAAGAACGCTAGTCGCCCTGCATATGACCTATTCCAGTTAGCTCCTCATGCAAATAATAAATTGGCCAATTAGATGGGATAATCGGAACCAGCAGAGCCGCATAAATTCCATGCAAGATTTTAGTGGCCCGATGGTGGATATACCATCTGATACAGCGCTAGTTTCACCATGGAGGGGCGACCTGTTAGCGCGCCGCCGTTGTTGTAGCCTTGCCTTGCCGCTTGGGACTAGGGATTCTATTGTTACATGAGACGTTGCAGAGTCTGCTTTGCACGAAGCGCGCTAGACAAATGTAGAAAAGCCGAAAAAAGGCTGCATTTGTGTTGGTTGAACCTGATGGCCTATGAGGAGATAGACAGTTAACACGCACGTTGATGGGAGGAGGCACCACTGCGGTACGGGCATAACGTAGATGTTCTAGCTATAGTGGACAGAGCCCATGAGCCAAGGTGAAGCTTGTGAGCTCTTTGCAAGGTCTGGGTTTATAATTGTGACCGTTATTTTGAAATTTTACGTCTCATGTTTTCAACTACCTGGCTAAACATATCTTATCCTTGGAATTGTTGACATGTAAACTGAGCAGTTATGCTCCCCACCAACTGCCTCTAAAACTTCCTCCTTGGGATCATCAACTTCGCCATGATTTATTTCAAAATCCTCAAACCTGACCGCTTGTGTACTACGAGTCAGCTTGGAAATCAAACTTCGGAATTCGAGCACCGAGCAGGTAACATATTCTATGCTGACGCTGAAGAGAGTATTTGTATGTACATGGCTAAGGATCTTGCCGAGCGGAAAGTACAGCGGCTCTGAAGTGTCTACAGGGGGTGAGAAGTTTCCCAGGTGAAGGTTTAAGTTACGCAGATTATGGCTGGAAACACATGCACCCAGGTACTCGGCGACCTGATTCTTTTGACGTTCGGGCATGCTTGGCGGCATAAAGAACTCATGTTCACCTCCATGGAAATAGCCAAAGTCGAATGACTCCAATGACGACATAAAGTCCCGAAACTCAGCGCCTGTCCCGCCCACAAAACCATCTTCTGGCGTGCCCAACTGGAAATTCTCTCCACACGGGAAACTGGACACGGATAAGCTGCGGATGGAGACGCCTTGTCTATGTAGCGCAATGGGTATGTCCCATAGCAGTTTTGCGACAGTGTTTTGAGGATAGTATCCCGATTCAACATCACCACCTTGCCACCTACTTGCGTAGAAGGCCCAGGGGAGAGGTTCTGCCACTATTTTGAGGACCTCATCGTCGTCCAGCATCGTACGAATAGTCTCTTGAGTGGGTAGGTCGCGCCTCGCAGCATCTCCATCTCGTAAAACAATGGAGTTTAGGCGTGGAAATTTCGATAAAATGCGGCCTATGGAGTTGGCAAAGCGCCCGCTTGTGACCAGGCTGCGTTGTTCTTGGCTAAGAGTTTGAAATTGCTCGAGTCCCTTTCGTAGCATATCGGCTGCAGACTTGTCATATATACGCGTTTGGTTTTCGACGAGCGGACTGGGGTCCCAAACCGCGTTGAGTAATTCCCAGCGGTCTTTGGCTTGCCTCACGTCTTCTGGATTTACACCCTCCAGGTCAGGGTCCTCCTCATCCTCTTCCTCATCGTCTTCGCGATCCTCCGGCTTGCCAATTCCACCTGGGTACAGTATAGAATTGGGGAACTTTTCGAAAAAGCGATCCATATACTTGGGACAACAAGGACAAGTGCTGCAGACGCTGTCGAATCGATCAAGCTTGAGTCTCGCGAACGCATTAGAGTCATTCGCGAGTTCCTCTGAACAGTACCCCAATACAAGGTCGACCCCTAAAACACCAGCAGCGATGCTTGGTGTAGATGCAATCTCCTCCGCCCGCGCCAAAGACGCTTCATTGAGATCAATTCGCACAATGGGCACAAGGGCATGACTTGCAGCCTCGTTCCACGCTTTGTTCGTCAAGCGCAGGCTACAAATGGTTTGCCGGTACTTCTGGTCGACACAGGACGGGCCAAAAGACGGTGGAAGATTTACATAGCCATTCGCGCAAAGACTATCACGGACGAGACAGTCGACAACGAGTTGCAGTATTTCTGACGGGAGAGACTCAAAGCGACAGGCAGTGTTCGACATGACGCGGCAGATAGGCTCAAGACATCGTTCTCGAGTCGTATTCTTTGTATATGTATGATATTCTTTGGTGTAAATCAATCTGTAGCTATTGCGGAGGTTCGTATAGTGATATGGCCAAGGAAAATATTTTTGTTGCCTCACACAACAAGGCTGTGTGCGAGGGACAGTAAAAGTGGCTTTGTGGATCTCGCGCTAGGCATCTCAAGTGTAACTCGAGCAAGTATGGATATGTTACACAAATATTGATTTTGCACAAAACATACCGCCTATACATGCCTTATTAATTATGCACAAGTTTGCATAGAGCTTGAATTTATACAGAAGACCGTTGACGGGTGATTAGCGCGGCGTGGCTGTTGTAGCGTCGCCTTGTCGCCTCGGACCAGGGATTCTGTTGTTACATAAGACGCTGCAGAGCCTTAGCCGCCTTAGCCGCCTTCAGGGATGAGCACAGTGGCATAGCTTCTCCTCCAGCAACGAAAACCTGATAACATCATGTCTAATGAAGAGAACGATAACTACTTGCCTTTTCCTCGACCGATTCAAGTTAGTCTCTACTCTATAGTTTATTTTATTCCATGAGCCTAATACCTAGGCTGATAGGTTGTTTTTGGTGGCGGCATCACAAGAGCAATAGCGCACCTATCAGATGCTCGGCATTCCAATGTTTTACGCCTTGACTTGATGAGAACAATTTTTCAAAAACGCATTAAGAGAGTTATTGAGTACCTGCCAGTATTTCTGCAAAATATCGTCCGCTACTTAGCACCGCAGTACTTCCTGCCCGGCACGGTTATTCTCAAGAAACGGAAGCCTGGGTGGGACGACGAATTCGCCAATGAAAAGAATATATACCCCAATTTATCCGTTCTGAAACGCCAACCGTATTCCATTGTACCCATGTGATTCTGTTAGCAGTAGCTGCTGCCTAGTACTGCAACTCGCCCCTAATACCGCCCTGATTGTCTCCCTAACCTCTTCCTCCTCATAGCCATAATCTTACCAACAGCCTTTTGAATGGTTTTAAAGGACCATATACGCTCAACGTCTACCTTAAGACCACTGGCATTGCCCGGCTGTAGATTCTCTCTGTCCTGCATTTCTTTCAAGACAACGTCTCCATTGCCTTCTGATATCCAATCCGCCAGTGCTTCACCAATAGCGGGTAGACCCTGATTCAACATCATATTTCTGCACTCTGTATTGGTGTCACAGGCCGACGGGAAAAAGAGAAACGAGTCACAGAGTGCTTTTAGAGTCGATATGGTGTTCAGATCATCTCCTTCGAGAAGAGAGGGATGCACTCGTTCGGATATTCTTTCCGTCACCTGGGATATCTGATGCTGGAGACGATACAGGTTGAAATAGAGCTCAGTCTCATCCCTTTCGAACTCGGCGGCTATTTTCTGTGCAATGCCCCGAGCTTGTAGCTTTTCAATGGCAGCCTAGATATAGATGAAACGTATTAGTTTTTTTTTAGCACTTCTTCGCTGTGTACGACCAGGCTAGCCACTTACGCAACACTCCAGCACCTCTTGCGCAAATACCTTATCGAGTTTACCTTTGCTATCTGTATAGCGTCGTTGGACAGAGGTTTGAAGAGTTGTTGAAACGCTCATCAGCGACAGCGTCACGCGCGGACCACCTCCGCAAGTGCTTGTGTGGACATAACGAGACATAAAGGCCAATGTCTTTAGCTTTCGAATATTTGCCGAATTCAGCTGAAAGCGCAATGTTCTCTTTATTCTCCCAGGTGCCCAGTTTAAAACAGACGACCCGATACTTATGCTGTAATTTTTGGCGCAGGCGAAGTAACTCTCGGGCGGATCACCAACGAAAAAGGAGGCGTTGCCCTGAAGCCTCCAAAATTCTTCAAGATCTTCCCAGACACAATTCGCAGGCAGTAGCTTGTTTTGTCGTAGAACATTGTATAGCTGAACTATTTGAACATAGTCGCCCTTCTTGGCGAGGTTGTCCGCACCAGCAATGTGAAAGGCGGTGCGCATCTGATGAATAATAAGACCGCAGTAAACTGGGTGACGTCGTAGAAATCGAAATGGCTCCCTCTTGGGTATATACATCCCATAAGCCCCTTCTTGTCTCATGATATTTCTAAAAGCCCATATCGGATCACACTCCCATATGCTGGCAGTTTGCAGCGCATGTTCGCGGCCAACCGTTCCCGGTGGCACCTTGAGTAGCAAGCCTTTTATGCGGAGCGACTCTCTTTGCATCTCCTCAAATCCTTTTTCATGTTTCTTCTCTCCGTCAAACTGTAAGATGTCAAGATACACTTGAAGTGCCCAGCCAAACTAGAGCGGCGCCTCCTTGGTCTCCGACTGTGCGATATCCCACAGGCCAGCGACCAGCTCATCAGTAACCAGGCCCATTTTGCCTCTAAATATGGTTGCTAAAGTTGACAAATCAGGCAGCATGTCGCATATAGCAGCTGCGTCTCGAGTCAATTGGATCAAATTTGGCGAGGCCGTGTCGTCAATCTCAAAAGTCTGTGGAGGAAATTCCACGGTACATGCCGGAAAAGCATCTGCACCTCCAGTACATGCACGCCACACTTGAAAGATTTCTAGCGTGTTAAAGAAACATGATTTCGCCAGCTCATACGCCTCCATGTTATATGGCCCAGCACTCTTTGTCTTTTGCTCCATGTCGATACCCGCCCAGAAGGCAACCTTTGAAACCCAAGAAAACGCGAGTTTGTGAGCGCCACCGCCTTTCGCTATCAGCATCGTCACGTCATTCTCTATGGCTCGTGCCATCTCGCTTGAAACATGGATTGCGGCTGCAACAGTAGCCAACTCACGGCGACCACATTGGTAGTCTGCCCATAGTGACAGAACTTCTGCCCTGAGATCAGCAAGATCCTTCAGCAGGGCTGCAAATGCAAACTCTATAGCTCCAATATCATCTGCCTCTTCAACAACATATTCAATATTGTCCTCCACCTTAGGTTGATAAGTGGGAGTAAGCGTAGGTGCGCTTTCTGCCTCAGCAGAGGGAGCGTACACCTCAAGCACGCTAAACATATTGTGTAAGATATTGTCATTTTCTCGAAGCTTCTTCTCGGATTGGCCGTTGATTCTTGGGTTTGGTACCTTGGGCTTCTCCACGAAATGTTTCGACAGATGAGCTCGCACTTTTTCGAGAACTTGAACGAAATATGAGTGGCTCTCCGCAGCATCATCATCGACTTCTCTAGTCGCATAGAGTTGATTGGCGAATTCATTTCGCACTGTTCAGAGTATCCATTAGTTTGAGAACTTTGCAACCGTCAGCGATTCTAATACGCAACTTACCACGAATGACTCTGTCAAGAGTAGTTCCGAAAGCTGGTGGGAGTTCCAAGTCATCCACTTTCGATAGAAACTCTGCCATGGGCTCAAAGTCCTTGATTTTGATGTGATGTGTTTGTCTCTCTCCCGCAATTGTTCCGCTAGATGTCACCTTCGCCTTGTTCATCTTCTCACGAAGGATTGCTTCCTTTGCAGCCTTTCTTGCCTTGCCCTTCAGTCTTCCACCAGGGGAGGATACAATCTTGAGGCTAGCATTATCTCCAAGGCCATAGCCATATGCGTTTGCAGTCGACGCCAGCCACTTGGCAATAGTAGCCGTGTCAGCCTTGTAGCACTGGTACTTGCTCTTCAGCGAGTACGCCATTACTTCTTTCACAAGCTGACTTACGCAACGATGTGAGGGATTAACATGGTGAGATCAAAGGACAAACGGTGAAGTTGTATTGAAATATTTGTCACGTGGCGGTTTCGTATTGTCCTGTAAGAAGGTGGTAGGTGAAGTGCAAGTGAATGTCTACTGAAACATGCCACGGCACAAACGCAGCTCACCGACGGTTCTTTGAATGATTACATGTATCGCAGAATAACAATAATAATTGATGAATATTAATTTGTAGAATTAGAAGTAGCATCATTTAGAACCATCCTGGCATGAGACCACATCGGTTGTCCTTCATCGCCCATTTCCCAACATCTTACCAACTACGAACACGCTCTCCGTTCACCATCGTCCCAACAGGTTGCATACCATGCGCCTTCGCCGCTGCAATATCATTTCCATCCAACAAAGCAGTCTCGTTCAGGGGCTTATCTTTGCCCTCGTCAGGACGAACCGCGACCACCCCAATAGCGGCCAAGGCAGTGGCTACTTCTTGCTCATTCTTTTCTCTTGCAGTTGCCTCTTTGTCTTCATGCGGGTTCAGCGGGAAACGGGTATCGTCTACAATAGACCTTGTCTTGTTGGTTGGGCCAGTCTCGGCTGTTTTGGGGGGTTGCACGATGACACCATGTAAAGGATTCAAAGTCTTGAGAAACTCCTTCATCTCTTCCAAAGTTAACTTATACTCTGGAGTTGACTCAAGCTCCGCTCCCGCAGACCCAACAGGCGCCGTGACGGCATTCTGAAGCAGCCCGCTGAAAACAACAGCAAAAAGACCGCTGGAAATGGTGAAGGATTTCATTTTGGGTTTATTGGGGAGATAAGGTGTGATAATAAACAAATGAAGGTAGAGTAATTGTACTGAATGTATAAGTGAATGTTGAGTGACTGCCTGTGTTGGAGTAAGTTATCCAATAATTCGTCGCAAAAAGAAGGATGAGTCGGTTCCTTTTAAGCGCCTGTCAGCCTCTACTGATGCGATTTTCCACGATTCAGTATCAATGCTAGGATTCTGCGACGTTACTAGGTTCCGGATGCTCCTAGCGCTTGCATGAGACGCTGGCGCGAATATGAGACGCCGCGATCTCGAGTCGTCCACCTATCAGCGTGCGCAAGCGCAAAATGAGGTATCCAGTATCCCAGTTAGTAAAGTCTTGCATGAGACTTGTAAATTATTCTCACAATCTTGATAGAGCATATTTTATGGAAGTGGGCTGCTATATTAAGCAGCGCCGCGCTAAACAAGCGCCGACATCATGCACCACTACTTGGTGCATAACGATCCAAGCGGTGGATTTTATGTGCGGCAGTCCACCACGGCGGGGGCAGCTAGGTATGGGCTAGTAATTCCTGTATTAGAGACAAATCATTATTTGCCTTCTATCAAGTCAAATAAAGGAAAGGTGTAACGTCGTACGCTTTGGGTCGAGTCAATGCATTTCTGTATGGTGGATATTGTTCAGGAATGTGACGCCATGTAGCACATTTGCCCTTTTTATTTCCCGGAGAGATTCTTATCTGGTGAGTTGAACCACTTGCGCTCTGCAATACCTTCTCCTACAATTTCTGTTCCAGTGGATGGCTCCAACTCAAGAAGGACGACTTCGTTTGCTGTACCAGGAGCGTTCAGATACACGCCGGGGATGTACAAGCTTTGCTGAGGGCCAATAGCCCAGTAGCGGCCAATGAGTCTGTTGTTCACCCACACTACGCCCTTGTAGTTATTGGGCAGCGATAAGAAGGTGTCGCCAGACATGTCGTTTTGCACTCCTTGGGGAAGCTCAAAAGAGCCCCGGAAAAAAGCAGGCTGCTGGTTGTCTTTGACTTCGTAATCGTCTGTCCCCTCAGCAGCACCTTCAGGCAGCTCTGTCAGGGGCATCGAATAAGTTTCCCAGCCAATGAGCGATTCGCCGCCTCCAACAGTGACGTTACCTACAATGCCTTTAATCTGCTCAACCATGCGTTGGCCGGCATCAATGCGAGCCATGTTCTCAATAAGAAGAGAAAGCTTGTCGCCCTCCTTGAGAGTAACCTTGACAGTGGCAGGGTACTTGTAAATTCGATCAATGACACCAACGCGGACTTCGTTCACATAGACCAGAACCCGATCACGAGGCTGGTCACCAACTGCGAGCACTCCTTCCACATCTTCTGTAACAGTGTGTTCATATAAGATGAAGCCCCGGATTTGGTCGAGAGAGTCCATGGTGACAGGGTACACTGTTGATGCCGTCGGGCTATCTCCTTTAAAGTCGAAGAGCCCAGATGCCGACTTAAAGCTAAATTTAGGAACTGTCGTCAATGGTGGAAACGCAGGAACCTTGGGAATAGATCCAGCCGGTACGTGTTTAGCAATCGTCGTACGGAAAGCCTCGTATGCGGCGCTAGGACGTCCACTCTCATCAAGAGGAGCACCGTAGTCGTAACTAGTAGTGGCAACAGCTGCTGCTTCCTTATCCCAGATGGCGCCAGCATCGAAGGCCCAGTTGGTGCCGCCGTGGAACATGTACAAGCTGAAGGAGTTCTTGCCTGAGAGAACCCAATCGAGATCGCTTGATGCCTTCTTGAGAGCAGCTGCATCCATTTGCCGATGGGTATAGTTGCTTCCCCAGACGTCGAGCCAAGTTGTATAGTATTCACCATCGAGCTGGGGTCCGAGCATGGTCGGATCCGTGACGTACTTATCGCGAGCGGCGAAGCCTCTCTGAGCATCTCCGTCCGTTTCGGCCAAGACATCGTGCAAGCTTCCGCCATCGAGGTAGCTCTTACCACCACCGTCATTAGTGTATAAAATTACATCAAAATTGTCGCGAAGTAGGTTGGCGGTCCTGTTGAGGTAGTCCTTGTCACTGCCAAAACTGCCATATTCGTTTTCAAGCTGGGTCATGATAATAGGACCACCGCGAGTGATTTGATATTTGCCGAGTACATCACCCAATTGGTCAATATACTGCTTGGAAGCGGCCAAGAAAGGTTCGTTGTTCTGGCGAATTGCCATGCCAGGAATCTTGTTCAGCCAGCCTGGAAGGCCGCCCCATTCGTGTTCAGCGCAGACATAGGGTCCAGGACGAAGAACAATCTTGAGGCCTGCGTCGTGAGCAAGTTGGAAAAAGTGGCCAACATTGTTGCGGTCTGTAAAATCCCAATCGCCAGGTGTTGGCTCCAGATCGTTCCAGAACAGGTAGCTAAAGATGGTGTTGAGGCCCATCGACTTTGCCATTTGCAAACGCTGAGCCCAGTATTCATGAGGGATGCGCTGGGGGTCCATCTGACCTCCAATAATCTGGTATGCTTCATTGTTGAGGAGAAAGGTGGTGCGGTTGTACGAGAATGTGCCGGGCTCATGATTGCCGACCCTGATAGTTGAGGCGCCTTCAATTAGAGTTGACGCCGTGGCGATAGCCGCCAAAACGGCTCTCCAATTCAACACCATGTTATGCGAATGGGTTGTAGACAGATGTACTAAGCAAGTTGAAGTTGGACTTTGGTAGTATCCGCCCAAGGGACGGCGACGGACCGACCAGCCTTAAAATAAAACGGTGATATGCATTGAGCCGTCGGCACGTTCTGATGCGCTAAACCGCTGCAACCCTGCTTTAGCAGTGCTCCCGGTTTTATTGTCCAGGTTTGAAGCCGTTGGCCCATTGTTCGACGGCAAGGGATGGGTGATCGCCCCTTCTGCAAGTCTGTAGACAGCTGCAGAACAGAGCCATTTACCACCAAGGAGAATACAACGTGACAGAAAGTCGCTCTTCTACCCGACGCGTGGCGCTGGGGATCTGAGAAGTGGCGGCGCAAGGTGGATAATGAGAAAATAGAGCTTCCCGATTGAGATGTGGATGAGCCACTTTGCTACTAAAAAAATGGTTCTGGGAGGGGCTTCCTACAATAAATGCAGCTAAGCGAGGTTTCTAATTGTTCGTTCGGTACGGAATTGGGACAATCAGTGGCAGCACGGGTGAGATGCATATCGGATGAGGTATATTTGGGCGGCATTTTTGGTGATGTTTTGCATGCAGGTGGAAGATGCAGCCTGCTTAAAAGAGCCGACACCGACAGCCGACGGGTGGCAGGCCGGCGCTCGCAGTTGGCGGGCACCTGGCAGCCCTGGCAATTTGGGTTGAGAGTGTAGAAATCGAAACTGTGACCCAGTAACTATACAAACTTAATTCTATCATATACTTACATTTCCATCGCAACAAGTTTTCTTATACATTAGAGTGAGCCCGCCCTGATCTTATGAGGCTCTATCATACAAGCTTTGGCGAAGTTTAAACCCACAAACTACTAATTTTCGCTATGAAGCTCCCATGAAACAGTGCACTGTCATTGAATTGTGGAATTGTAAGACTCTATTCTCTTACACTGGATGTGAAACACTGAGGTACGGTCAGGGCCAACCATTACGCCGTCTTATCCATCCGATGTCAATAGTTTAATCAACCCTGCTCAGCACATCTGTGGCGTCTGCCACAAGCTGAAAATCATGCAGCCCACAGCCTTGCCATCGTTTACGACAACACCTTCAGCGGCGCCGTCATCACCATATCAACAAATTTACCTTCAATTAAAGGACACAACATCAATAAGAAAACAAAAACACGCGAATTACAAATTCGCATGTTCTGGTTGGCACTTGATACACTCTCGATCCGATCCAATCGAAATGCAGGGTAGGCAGATCATGGGGGCTGGCGATCCCCCGTCTTGGAAATCGTCTCCACGGAGGTCTTACCCCTTCAGGCTTGTACTATTCCCCAACTAACCTTAGTACAACGTATAACTCGTACAAGCAAGCCATCATGAAGAAAATGTGCAAGCTCGACCCACCCCACAATCTCAGCTCGCCGCCAGACATTCCCGGAGCAAAGCTTTGACTCGTGCACCGGAAATCCTTTAATCTTGATGAATGGCGCTCGTCACTCTTCGCGACCTGCCATCGCCATTGTCACCGTTAACGATTCGCGATGCATTCCAAGCGCCTCACAATAGCTGCACTTTCGTTAGGCAGCGTCGCTGCTGCCTACGACTGGTCTACCTTTGCCATCAACAACAACGAGTGGCACGAGACGATCGAGCGCGATGTCTGCATCGTAGGCGGCGGCTCGTCGGGCGTGCATGCCGCCGTCCAGCTTAAAGATCTTAACCGCACCGTCGCAATTGTCGAGCGCAAATCAGTTCTGGGTGGCCACACGAACACATTCACAGAACCTGAGACTTTGGCGCATGTCGACTATGGAGTATTGGTGTTCCATCCCCTCAGCGTCACCTACGATTACTTTGGGCGCTTCGACATCCCGCTGTTTAACCTGACCTATGCCAAACCCAATGAGCCGGGACAGCCCTGCAACAAGTCGCTACCATATTTGCTTTGCAAGACGACGCGATCTGTAATCGATTTCCGCGACGGATCGCCCGTCAACACGACAAAGTATACCGACTTCAGCGAGGCGCGTGAGCGATACATCAAAGCAACCAGCCAATATCCATATCTCCTTGATGGATACGACATTCCCGATCCTGTGCCTGAAGATTTATATATGCCGTTTGGCGATTTCGTCGAAAAGTATAGCTTGCAGGCCATCTTTTCGACGGCATATCTCACAGCGCAAGGCCTTGGCGACATGCTGCATGTGCCAGCTATCTATGCCATCAAGTATTTCAACACCATTGACGCCCAAACGCTGGTTGGTAGCAGTTATGTTACGACAGTTAGGAGGAGTACATACGAGCTGTACGAAAAGGCTGGCAAATTCATTGGCAAGGACAACTTGTTTATGGACTCCTCCATTATAAGCACACGTCGCCAAAACACCACGTCGGGACGCTTAGAGCTGCTCATCACGTCAAAAGACCAAAGTCTTAGCCTACTGTCCTGCCGGCAGGTTATCTCGACTATCCCCCCGCAAGTGTCGAATTTGGATGGCTGGGACTTGTCAGACGATGAGACGAGCGTCTTCTCCAAGTTTACCAAGAGCAATGGCTACTGGGCTGGCCTTGTCACCAACGTGGGCCTCAACCAGACGCGGTCATGGCTCAATGCGGCAGCCAATACGCCGTTCAATATTCCTGTATTACCGGCCATGTACGAATTCCGGCCCATTGGCGTAGTCGAGGGCCTGTGGGCTGTCAAGTTTGCTGCAAACACTGCCGCCATGACTGACGAACAGGTCAAGGACTATGTGATTCGTCAGATTCAGACAATTCAGAAGAGTGTGGGCGCTCCAGTCACAGAGCCTAGATGGGTAGCATTTGATTCTCATTCGCCGTTTAGCTTGTACACGTCCCCGGAGGACATTAAGCACGGCTTCTACAAGAGCCTCAATGGCCTGCAGGGCGGGTTTGGTGGCAAGATGTTTTACAGTGGGGCGGCGTTTCATGTGCACAACAGCGCGATGCTGTGGAGGTATAACCAGGAAGTGCTGATTCCTCAAATGCGACGGAGCTGGTAGGGGCACGTGTCTGTAGAAAAGAAGTAACTCGTATTTTTAACCTCTTTGATTCTATTTTTGGCAGCCGAAAACGAACCATATATTCTAGTTGGACCTTTTGTAGGGTTACGCAGCGCGCACATCTTTGTGACTAGCGCTGTAATAGCCCCTGACACTAGTGTAAACCAATTGCTTCTTCTGGCGCAAATATTTGCCCCGGCTTCCTTTATCGGCAATAACGCGACGGGGCGAGCATAGAATCTCCATGTATTCTCCACGGCCATAGCCAATCAAGCTACTCCCCATGTTGCTGGTCTGGCTGCGTTCTATGCCTCCAAGGATGGCAAGGGCATGAAGGACATGTGCACTACGCTGGTTAGCAATGCTAGCAAGGACTACCTCACCAACCAGCGAAAGGACACTGTGAACTTGATTGCCTTTAATGGCTACGTTCCCCCCAAGCCCAAAAGTCCCAAGCTGTAAGCGAAATACTCAGAAAAGGTGTGCTGTATGTATATAGATGTGAATAAGCTAGTGTATAAATACATGCTCAGATGAGACGCGCAGCCGGCTCTAGCTCTTCTCAAAAGCTGCAATAATATCTTCTACATTCTTTGTGAGTTGTTCTGGTTGTGACAGGAACGGGCTGTGGGATGCATCCATTGTCTTGATGTCCCATACGCCTGATCTTCTGAGAAGAAGATCCTGCCCAACCAGCGGGATGGCTTGATCCTGTAAGCAGCGAATGTATCCGCGGCGGCCTTCATACTCCTTCCAGCCCAGCACGTCTACTGTCGTATTCAATGCTTTGAGCGAGTGTGGCTGCAGCGTGGAGATCATTTCTTCCGCAATAGCAGGGTCACAATCTGCATAGAAGGTCTCGACATGGTCACAGGTATAGAGGAGCCCTTCATCGTCCTAGAAACTAGTTAGCCAGAGCATCGTATCATCGAAATTGTAATGACATGCCTTTGGAATATGCCAGGATTGCCAGCCATGGATAGCCTGGTAGAGTGTTTCATCGACAGTAGGAATGAATGCAGCCATGTAAATCACTCCCAGGACGCCGCCCTTTTTACCATTCGCCTCGCGGCTGCGCTTGTCGAGACCTGAGATGGCCACAGTGGTAGGGAAGCCGGCAAAGGAGTGAGGAATGAAGACTACATCCTTGCCAGCGTCAAAGTGAGGCTTCAGAACCGACTTCATATACGCTACATCGTCGTCTATCCCAGCGCTAGCATTGCCCACCGTCTTGAGCGCATGCGCTTCAGCAGGGAATCCCGCAGCGCGGAGATGCTTGATGAATATGTCCATGCATGACGCTTGGTGAAAAGCGCCCGAAAAGATGACAATGGTAGGTTTTTCAGACATGATTCAATTTTGTTATGTTGGTAGAGTTATGCTAATCGAAGAGTCTGACTTCACCCACGCGGGGTAGTGTGTGTCATCAGGCTGCGGCCATCTCGATCAACTGCCGACACAAACAGCCGCGAGATTGTCCTCGATTCTAGGTGCTATTGCAGTTGGCGATATTGCCATGCACTGCATTCAATACTTTGCAGCTGTTGAGGAAGAAGATCAGCCAATAAGTCATCCAAGACAGTGTGTTGCAGCACCGCGCACCTATTCGTCCGTCTGGGTGCTGCCTCCCTCCTGCATCATCTACTGCAGCTGTACATTAGCTGCCTCCGTGCTTTGCCGACGGAATCCCAGATGCGGTGGCTTCCAGAAGCCGACAGTGGCCGATCATCACCAACATTAACGTTGCATGCAACATCACCGTCCATTCAGCGCGGCTCTTGCGTCACAAGGCCGATCGTATTCATTTTCTGTCAACCCGCGGCTGCCCATCAAATGTTTATTCTACCGCGGGCTGGGCTAATGCATTGATTGTAGACTTGCAGCTCGCTAGCGCCTTTCATCGGCGAGCGGGGAGGGTGTCCCGGTAATTACGGTGCCCGCAGCATCAAGCCCCGAGCTGGACGCCAGCCATCTTTCCTTGGCCTGGAGCGGGCGAAGCGGGTTTAGTGGACAGTCGGCTGCTTAATTTAATGAGTTACTATGCTCTCTCGCTGTAAGGGTTTTAGCGTTGCCCCAGGTTTTTGGGTGTCTTGGCTGTGGCCCCCGACTGACTCTCAGCCGTCGATCTCATCTGTGTTTTTGACATATTGACAGGCCTCTCTGTGTTAATATTGTCCGTAGGGACTGCCCTAATACTGCATTAGCATTGCTCTTAATTAAGCTTTGCAGCTTGCGGGCGAGTCTTTCGAGCCAAGTCACCTCCACCGCCACCGTCACGGTCGCCCATGATACTTTGTACGAATGTTGCTGACTTTCCCAAGATGGCAAAAATTGCCGTGAGCGCGCAACGACTCCATCCTCTCCATGTCATGATCCATTCGCCACGATTAAGCCAAACGTCACCTTCTGCTTCGAGATATCTGGCATGCGACTCCCTTCTCTGACTTCTACCGCCGCCGTGTCATCGCCACAGCTCGCTTACAGCCATCTGCTCCCACTAGGGAACATCTTTTGCCTGTTCGCCGTGCGCTATTATTAAAACATGCCCACTTCGCTCCGCCGACAATCGCTCGCGGGTCTCTCTTGACAGGCTGCAACGTTACGGGCCCTAACCATCCCCCGTACAAATTTCCTCGAGGCCCTTTTGTATCCCCGCTCCTCCTGCCCTGTCCTCCGCAGGCAAGGCTGCTTGGGCGGATTCCACCCGCATCAGCTCTTGAAACAACGCCGGTCTGTGTCAATCCCTTACTGCTTTAGGAAGCTGGCTCATTCATTGACCAACCCACCCCCACTGCAAATCTGCAGCCGCGATCGTGGTTGGCTTGTGCTCTCGTCGTGCCCCCTCTTGGGCCCTGCTTGTGCTTTGTTACTGTCGTGTTGCGTTGCCCGCACCGCGCTGCACCGTGGTAGGTTTCTCCGCACGCTATTTGCTCGCGACGCCCCGAAAACTCTTTTCTGGTTGACGTCAAGCGGGCTACAGCGACTGCAGCGGATCCAATTGGCCTCGTACAGCCGAGAGCAGGGGACCAAGGCAGAAAAAAAGTATGTCTGCACAAATCGGCTCAAGCTACCCCGGCCCGGCCTCGCGTAGATAAAAAGGACCCGGCTGGCCGCACCACTTCGCAGTAGCTTTTCTTTGTTGCTTCATACCTTTTTGGTTACCATCCCTAGTCCTTATTCTTCCATCCTTACACAATGAAGGCGCAACACATCCTCGCCTCTGCCTCTGGCCTTCTCAGCGCTGCCAATGGCGCTTCGCCCGACCCCAAGAGACAGCCCTTGCCTCCCATGGGCTTCAACAACTGGGCTCGTTACATGTGTGACATCAACGAGAAGATCTTTGTCGATGCTGCCGACACCATGTCCAAGAACGGTCTCCTGGCTGCTGGCTACAATCGCCTCAACCTCGATGACTGCTGGTCCACCAAGAAGCGTGATGCCACCAACAACAAGATGGTCTGGGACACTACCAAGTTCCCCCAGGGCCTTCCTTGGCTCACCAAGTACGTCAAGTCCAAGGGCTTCATTCCCGGAATCTACAGTGATTCTGGTACTCTGTCCTGCGGTGGCTACCCCGGCACTCTGGGTTACGAGGAGCTTGACCTCCAGACCTTCTCCGACTGGGGTTTCGAGTACCTCAAGCTTGATGGGTAAGTTTCTTTTCTTCCAAAATCTTACACAATTTAGTCGCCACTAACATTGTACCAGCTGCTATGTTCCCACGGACAAGGAGGCTGCTTACCACGAGATCTACACCAAGTGGTTCAAGTTGCTCGCCAACTTCCCCAAGCCCGTCGTCTTCTCTGACTCTGCGCCTGCCTACTTCTCTGGCGCTGCTAACCTGACCGACTGGTACACTGTTATGAACTGGGCCGCCGACTACGGTCAATTGGCCCGCCACTCTGACGACATTCTCGTCTACCGCGACGGCAACGGCACCGACGCTTGGAAGAGTATGATGGTCAACTACGGCCAGCACGTCCGCCTTGCTCGCTACCAGCAGCCTGGCTACTTCAACGACCCCGATTTCCTCAACACCGACCACCGCGGCTACACCATGGACGAGAAGAAGACGCACTTTGCTCTCTGGGCATCTTTCTCCGCCCCTCTCATCATTAGTGCTGACATCCCCAACCTCAGCGCCGAGGAGATTGCCTTCCTCTCCAACAAGGACCTCATCGCTGTTGACCAGGACCCTCTTGTCCAGCAGGCCACTCTTGTCAGCCAGGACGCCACCTGGGATGTTCTGAGCAAGAGCCTTGCCAACGGTGACCGTCTTCTCACCGTTCTTAACAAAGGCGAGACCCCTGCCGACATCACTGTCTCTTGGGCTCGTCTGGGTATCCGCACTGCCCGCATCGACCCCAACACCGAGCTCAACGTCAAGGATCTCTGGACCGGTGCCTCCTCCAAGGTCAAGATCAGCGCCGCCGGTGTTTCGGCCAAGGCTGTGCCCCGTCACGGCACTGCCGTCTTCCGAATCTCGGGCCGTATGGGCGGCTCCGACCACCCCATCGTTACCCCCACTGGCCAGATCTTCAACACCTTCTCCCTCAAGTGCCTGACTGATGACAAGTCCGGTACCGTTAGCTGGAAGGCCTGCGACGCCTCTGATGCTCAGGTCTGGGTCCACCGTGACGATGGCCACATTAACAGCTTGCTCCGCCCTGATGAGTGCATCGTCGATGCCAACGGCCACATCTTGTCCCGCCACTCCGGCTGCCACACCGATGCCTGGACCTACTACAAGGGTGGTAACTTGGTCAACAACAACAACGGCCACTGCTTGACTGAGAACGCCGATGGCTCTGCCAGCTCCAACTTCTGCGAGTACGAGACCAACGACCAGGTTGTCGGCCTGCCTATTGGCGTCCCCGTTGTTGATGTCACCAACTTCAAGAAGACCCAGCAGTAGAGTATGATATGACGTAGTAATGGAAAGCAATGTATATCTGGCCGCGGTATGAAGAAAAGCGCAGCCTCGTTTAATAGCCTAGAAATGAATAATACACATACATTTACATGTACATTTGCAGGCATGGATGCATGCATGAGCTCCAATAAACATCGTATAAGTGATGGTCCGACTATCCGATGTTCCGAAGTAACCAGCCGGACACAAGACTTCCAATTGTGCGTCGCCTGATTGGCTCTCCAATTCCAGAGGCGTATATCACAGTGCCCAGAGCCGTGGGGGCCGCCGTCTCGTTCGATGCGATTGCGGAGCTGCCGCAATCAACAGCGGGGCGATTGGAAACAAGTTATTTCCATATTAACTGAAATGCATCAATATTGGCTCAAATCATTATTCTGAATTTATTTGGACTTTTGCCGAGGGATGTGCGGATATTCGGCTGCCGACGTGCCGTGCTGGATGATAAACGCACACTGGGTGGCAGCGCCCCCGTGATGCGCCGTTGGGGCGCACTGTTGACCGGCATTCAATGACATAACTATAGGGCTCGCTAAAACGGCGTGCCTTGGAGGAGCTGCCGAGAGCCCAGCTTCCGGATTGTATAAAGCCATTCGTAGCCGGCCCTCCAAACTTCATCATGTAGTCTCCATGGCCAGGAATAACGATTCCTATCGAATACTTACACACTCCTCACATCTCTCAATCACACACACAATGGATCCCTTGGAAACACACGCTTGGAGGAAGTTGAGTATCGGCGTTGTTGGTGGTGGCATTGGCGGCATGTCTGTGGCTGTTTCCCTCCGTCGCGCTGGACATCAAGTTACTGTGTATGAAAAGCGAGACTTTGCTGGTGAAGTCGGTGCCTCGGTGTCATGCGCTGCCAATGGTGCTCGTTGGCTCCGCGAATGGGGCATCGATGAAGCAAAGGGCGACCCAGTCGTCTTGAAAAAGCTGATTTGCCGCGATTGGAAGACAGGCGAGCCAGTAAGCGTGTATGACATGAAGGGCTACAAAGAACGCTGGGGCGATGAGTATTTCATGTTCCATCGCCAGGACATGCACGCTATGATCAAGGAGTACGCATTTGGTGAGGCCGGCGAGGGTCCGCCCGCCGTACTCATGGTCAACCATCCTGTAAGTCGATCACATGTAGCATTTTGATAATGGCTAACAATTCAAGTGCGATGGTGCCGATGCCGAAAGCGGGACGATCACATTTCGCGACGGAACGACTGTTACGCACGATATAATTATAGGTGCGGATGGTATCGGCTCCGTTATCCGTGGTGAAATTGGTATTCATCCAGAAAAGCGTCCAGCAGCATCCTCGTGCTTACACGCCAATGTCCTTACCGAAGATGCCGTCCGTCTTGGTCTGGTTGACTATTCCCAAGATTCTGCGTTGCAGTATTGGGGCGGCCAAGAAGACAAATGGGACAAGATTGTCCTATCACCTTGTAATGGTGGCAAGCTGCTCTCATACTATTGCTTCTTTCCACGGGACATTGGTGATTATACAACGCAAACATGGGGTAGTGAAGGACGTCCTGTTGAAGAGCTTCTCGCACCATTCCCAGAGCTCGATCCGCAAGTCAAGGCACATTTAGCCATTGGTAAAGAGATTCAGCCATGGAGACTATGGGTTCAGTAAGTTGACTCCGATTTCATTATAGCAAATATGCTAACGAAAACAGTGATCCGTACCCGTACCTCTCTAAAGGATCAGTCTGTTTGCTTGGCGATGCAGGACATCCTGTAAGTTGCTACTCGTTCTGATCGTAATAGTGTATAGCTAACTTTTTAGATGATGCCTCATCAAAGTCAAGGTGCTTGTATGGCTATTGAAGATGCTGCAGCGCTGGGAATCATATTTAGCGAAAAGCACTTCAACGGCGATATCGACGAGGCGCTGGCAGTATACCAAGAAGTGCGACTGCCTCGTGTTACACGTGTGCAAAGTGCTGCTGCGAAAGCTGCGTACAATATCAATGAGCGCATTGGTGAGTCTCTTATAATAACAGCTTCCAACTCATCTACTAATTAGTACAGGATTCTCGGCGAATACAGGCACTGCCACCTACCGCGTGGAAGACGAGAGAAAGAAGCTGACCATTGAGGAGATGAATGCGTAAGCCAGCCGCGATCCACATATTTTTGATATACTAATGATCCATAGATACAATATGCACGAAGATATTGCCGAAAGCTTTGCCAAGAAGCGCGGTGAATCATTCCGAGGAGATCATATCAATGGGTTACCGATTGGTCTGAGACTTCCCAACGGAGTAACCATTGGAGAGAGCCCAGACGATAGCTCTAGACCTCGTATATAAAGTCGAAGTTTTGTGTAAGAATTGAATACAAAATTAGTGCATACAATTTCATGTATATATTTAAGCAAGAGTAGCCAGCTTAACATTATACTCAAGCTCCCATTCTGCCTGTGGGTCATCCTTTCTTGGGACGAAATGGACTGCCAAGCCGTCTTTCACGGCAAATACTGCGTCATCCTTTAAGTAATCAGAATTTGCGTCAAATATTTGCGTCGTTAGCGGGTTGTGTCCGTCGGCTTTAACAATCAAATGAATGTGTGCCGGTCGGAAATTGTGTCGGTCAAACAGCTTCAGAAGTTTGCCAGCCGGGCCGTCGCAGGGAACCTGTGATGTTAGCCAGGACAAACAACAAAGGACAGGAATCACATACAGGATATGGGGTAGGCAATAAGCAGTAAAATCCATATTTGCCTTCAGCGTCAGTAGTGAAGAGGCCGCGTAAGTTGTGATCGACCTGGTCAGGATCTTGTTGCTCGTATAGACCTAATCATACTGGACTAAGCAAATATTCAATGCTCTTATAAGTTATACATACCGTTGGTAGAAGCTTGCCAAACGTCGACGGTGGCGTTTTGTAGAGGCTTTCCTGTCTCAGAATCTACCACTCTTCCGTGCATATAGGCAATTTGTCCATCTGCAGGAGTGTTGAATGAAATGGTTGTCCCATTCTCTCTCTTCAGTGGCTCACGCCAAAACGGGCCCAAAATAGCGGACGATGTTGCTGGGACTCCGGCTTTAGCTGCAGCTCGGTATGTGATGTCATCGCAAAGGCTACGCACTGTTAGCACATGATCAAAAGTTACACAGCCTGTTCTACTGACGATTCAATGCCCAAGATGTCACACAGAAGAACGCCCTCATTTCTGCGGTCCGTTGTCATCTTTCCGGCAGCATTAATCACATTAACACCCATCATCCACTCGTCCACTGTCAAATCGACCTCGCGCGCAAAATCGTGCAAGTGCTGGATGAGCGACGTCATTACGGTTCGCAAGCGCGGGTCCGTGTTGGGACCCATAGAGTCAATGACCGTGTTAGTGAAGTCTTGCCCGAGGGGCGCGCTCTCTTGCTGGTTCGACATGTTGATATTTGGCAGCTTGTGCTTTGCTGATGATAGAGGCAAAAGCATCAAGCCCCGGAGCTTCGCTATTATATAAAAGTAGTGACGCGCCTCCGCAAAGCTTCGGATGGTAGGTCACTGGCCAATCATAGTGACGTCGTTTCCTAATGCCTTGTAGGCTGTCTGTTTTCGCTGGGGGCGTCCCCCGTAACGCCGCTAACCCCGCATTCATCGTATGTTCGGAAGCTTCTCAATGGAGCGCTCGGGAAGCGGCATCGGATCCATCGGAAGTTCTGCTCTTTAAAATGCAACGGCCATATATTGTTTTCATTGACGGCTCGTCCAGAGATTTCCATTTTCGGCCTGGGTTTATGCATAGCTGTTGAACGATTGAACTGCCGATTTTGCGACGGATGCATCGAGCTCTGTTACCCTTCAGGCCGATCGAATCTTAAATTCTTTATCAGCTAATACATTTTGTTGGTGCCAATGCCGCCATGGTATTAACTTGGACGCTACACATTTTCTTCTTGTCAAAATCATATACTACGATGAGTTTTCCCCCAATATTTCAAAACTTACTAGTTTCGGGCCGCTGGCATGGAGTCATCGCTCACAATGACTCTTGCTTGACAAGGCAGCAAATCTAGTGCCAAGTGGTCCCGCGTACAGCCTCACCGACTTGGCGCGTGATTCTAGAATAGTGCTTAATTATTGGCAGTATTCAGGCGGTCCTGTACGACAACTCAGATCACCCAAGCAGCCGCAGTGCAGCTGTGTACCATTGGATCGTGGTCAAGACTAGAAATTCGTGAACCATTGCCACAACGTGCGAACGCGTAACACAGACTCGAGGCAATGAGATCTTGAAAATGACGAACTGTCGCACGAGACCTGCTGTTAAGCGAGGCTAATATTCTCACGCATATGTGTGAAGCTTATGAGGCCCTAGAGCTAAGCTCATGAGCATGCGACGCATTGCGTCCCAACGCTATCGGGCGCACAGCCTGCATGATGTAACTTTGCAGGAGAAAAAAATAACCTCCTTGCTGCTTCTGCTGTCGCTGTTCTTCCATTTGCGGCAGATGTGACACGCTGTGCTGCAGCTGTAACCGCATTAGGAGAAACACGACTTTGACATTGCCAGCGGTGTTGTGAACAGTCACCTTCAGCTTGGTCGATAAGATTGACCCTCTATTCTGCCTTGCCAAGTTGAGTCCTTTGGCGAACCACTCGTAAACGCCGCCGCTGGGTCTCGTAAGCTGGAGGCCCCCAGAATCAACAAAGGGCGGTAAAGATGCTCCAAGCCAGGAGAACGTGGGGCGAGAGAAAACAATGTGGCTAAGAATGGGGCTTTCCGTTCCCGCGGCGCGCGTTAGTGGATGCGGGCCAGTGTTGGCCAGCTGCCAGGCCTGACGACCGGGTGCGAGCCAGCTGTCGCAACCTCACTGCCAGCTGCCGGCCACCTGCAATGCTGGCCAGTGCACCGCTACGAGCCACCGTCTTTTTACAAGTGCGTGGTGGGCCGGCACCCGCTTACCCACTCCGTGTCTCGTCTGTCAAAGAAACTACCTTGACTGCCTAAACAAGCGCCCCGACCACCAGAAGAAGACAAGGACCAGCAAAAAGTGAGGTGGTTGAGCAAGACGGCCACAGCCGCTTCGCTCGTCAGCCAACCGATTAAATTTTTTTTCCTCCTTTCCTCGTCATCATCACAAAACAAAGTCGTCGCGCCAGATACCAAAAACATTCACGCGCGCTCTCCTGACTCACTCATACACCTTTTCGCCATCGAAGCGCAGACGCAACGCACGCTCGCCACTCTGAACGTCGCCAAAAGCAAGCCCCTGGCCAGATTCCCTGCTGGGTCGGCGTTTCGTCGTTAGGCTCATTAGGCGCCCACCGCTCATCCTTGCTGCGTTGTGCGTCTCGTCGATATCGTCAGGCCACAGTTTCTCCCACAAACAACGCAAGAAAAGAACGCAAGCTCAAAGAAGCCATTTCGTTTGGCTCCAGGTTTAGGCAGAGCGGCTTATTTTTGCAGCGGCACCACAAACTTGCCACTAGCCAAGGCTGGCCACCGATCCCGTATATTGGCGGATTGCAAGCGTTTCACTTCACATGCGACCACAGCCTCCCCGGCCACAATCGGACTGTCTGCCTATGGATCAATGACTCTAGTTTGCTCACTCAGATCACGCGCACAATAATCCCTACGCGCCACAAACTTGAGCCTTATTTGACATCCTATTCCCTCCAAAAGTGAGCTGTTGTGCCGACATATAATGGCTCAGCAATATCGCCCCGGCCCCGTGCCTCAGACAACGTGTGACGAGCACGGCTTGTTGAATAAGATATTGGGTTTGGATGGTTCCGGCTCGTCCATCCCTACATCAGCAACTTCGCCACGCCACGACACCCTCGAACTGGATGGCGATATTGACCCAAATCGTGATATAATACGCAGAGTCCCTCGAGAAGTCATCCCCGGCCTGCCTAGATCCCAAACCTTTAAACGCCAGCAAGAAGAACGCCGAGAACACCTAGCGCCGGTTGAGCCATCTCTTAACGAGAGACGAGGAACTTCCACAGATCGCCGATCGAACCGCCCCGGAACTGCATCGCAATATTCTGACTATTCTGCGCCTCGACACCAAACACCACTAAGTGTCTACAGCGCATCGGAAGCTGAATATGGCCATATGCCTTATTCTGCTGCACCATCCTCTGACACTGCCAACAACGAATCTACCAGGATGACCCATGCGGCGTCAACAGATATTGGTCAATCCAGCCGCAGCTTTCCAACACCAGTCGATGTGCATTCAATGACGCCAATGCAGTTCGATGCTTTGATTCACGATGAATTGGAGAGAATCTGGATCCTTAACTTGAGTATGCACTTTCGAGACCACTCTAAGCGAGAAAAGTTCTTTGTGACATACCGAGAGACGGAACAATCATGGCGACGAGTGACCATCTCCCTAGACTACCGCCGCGCTGAGCCAGGCTCCCTGGAAATGGATCTCATGAACACCAAGTATCAACGAGATAAGAGTGCCAAGATTTACGAGGCTATTCGGGAAAGTCTCGCTGATATTGAATTTTACGACACTGTTACCAACCTCAAGCTTGAAACGACTGACGGACGCCTACACGTACATGTCGTAGAAGACGGAAATGTAAGTTCTTACTTTACGCAACCAAATCATTAGATGATAAAGACTAATTCATCGCCGTAGGAAATTATTGACTTCCCTCCGGTAAATGTTGTGCGTCATTTGCAATGCCGCCGAGTTAGGGAACGAGATGTCGGCTTCATCTCGCACATGTCCGCTTTTGTATATAAAGTGCGAGCTGATGACCGTGTCTTGATCAAGAAGGAAATTCCCAGCCCGGAAACGATTGAAGAATTTCTTTATGAAATCAACGCTCTGCATGCACTTCAATTCTCATCCAGCGTCATCCAATTCTACGGTGTTATTGTTGATGACGACGACGAGCATGTCAAAGGACTCTTGATTGACCATGCCGAACAGGGTGCTCTAATGGATATTATTTTCGACAACTGCAAAGACTCCCACATCGGCATCCCATGGAGCACTCGGGAGAAGTGGGCGCGCCAGATTATCAAAGGTCTTGCCGATATCCACGAGACAGGCTTTGTGCAAGGCGACTTTACCTTGTCTAACATTGTCATTGATGGAGCGGGAAACGCCAAAATCATCGACATCAACAGACGAGGCTGTCCACTTGGATGGGAGCCGCCAGAGGCGTCAGCCTTGCTAGAGTGTAATCAACGCCTTTCACTCTTTATTGGTGTCAAGTCGGACCTTTATCAGCTTGGCATGGTGCTTTGGGCTCTGGCCATGACGGAAGACGAGCCCGAAACTCAAGGTCGTCCTCTTATGCTAGGACCTGAAGTCAACATTCCTGATTGGTACAGACGAGTGACGGAGATTTGCCTTAGTTACGATCCGCGATCTCGTCTCCATGCCTCACAGCTTCTCCAAATCATCCCTCCGGCAGCCGAAACCAAGTCTGAAGAGTCCGATATGTTGGTTGGAGCGATCCGCCCTGTTCAACATACCAACGCCGCATACAGTTTGCTGAAGCCGCATCCTGTTGTCCAGCCACTTTGGTCTGACAAGAGATCAGAACACAACGCAAGCGCACGACCTCTTACCTATGACCCATTTTACACCTCCCGTGGCAGATCGCCCCCTAGTCCCAATCCAAGCGATGCGTCTCGTGCTCTACCAAGTAGGACTGGTTGGGCAGCGCATCGAACCATGGCGCCATCGTTCAACTCGATTGACTCCAAGATTACGCCTCCCTTTGTTGGACCAGATGACAGATCGCTTCCCTCTCGTCAGAGCCACATCTCGCACCGTCCAAAACTTCGAGACAGCTACAGCATGCCTAGATCAACGCTTCGAACTGAGATGACGAGCCCAGGGGTCAGCGCTGGCGATGGAGCCGTTACCCCCAAAGGCGAAATCTGGAATTTTGATGTCAATGGCGCTCGGCCACCCCTGGATCGATTTAAATCGTACGGTCACTTCCGCTCTGATGCCATGGTTGGACCCCATGAGACTCGCATTGTCAGCGGCGAATCGGACAGCAGATTCGGAGACTGGATGGACATGGGCAAGATCCGCGGCCATAGCAACCCAGAACTGGCGGATGCAGAGCTTCAAGCCCATGTCCTGCAACTGGCAAGCCAAACCGCCGAGCTTGACGCCCTTGAAGCACAGCGACCTGTAGCAGAGCGGCCACGACACCTGGAGAGGCAGGATACCATCCGAACGTCTTTCTATAACCCTGACGACAACGATGTTGCATCTAATGATGTGACATCCAATGATATCGCGTCCAACGACGTCGCGTCATGGATCTCGCGTGTCTCTACGCCGGACTGCGAAATTGAAGGCGGTGCACAACTGGCCAGGAGCGAGACTGATGATCCAGCACCCCTAGAGAGCATTGTTGATAAGCGACTGGAGAGAAAGTTGGAGATTCCAGCACCAACCCCAGAACTACCATCTGGGCCATTTGAGAATGCCACGCGAGAGCCATTCAACGCGCAAACTTCCTTTGCACCATCCCTGGCTGGCATTGGATCTGCCCACGGGCCTCACTATGAACGAGACTGTATGGCCGAAATCCGCATCGGCGACGATGACTTTACCACGCTGAAGCGCAACGAAACGATACCTACCATGTAATGAACGACTTAACGACGATTACGACCCAAGCAACGTTTTGAACTCTTTGAAAGCATTATTATTAGCATGGCAACAACTCACTTTGTGTACAATGTATTCATATTAGCTACATTTTCATATTTCTGTATAGCGTTTCTTCTTGGATAATTTGATCACTATTTGAAATACCTCTTCTGATAAACAAACAAACAAGTACGCATGCCGTGTGATGTGACGTGTTGAAGCAGGCCATTCATTCACATGGTTCATCCCGTAAATAGATGTCTCGCCTCTTGGCAACCTGAGACGATGATGATGACGCTGTAATCTCCGAGGTGGCGTTTTGTTGGCCGTGATATAGAACCCTCGATCTAGTATAGCAACACGTACGTGCGGGTAGACTGCAACGTACTCCAGGTTTGCTTTCCTTACCCAACATAACAGCTAGTGATATAGTTGATATTACGCGTACCTATATCTGTTCTACTTCTAATTCATGACCGCGCGTCTAGTCTACAAAGGCAAACTAGTTGCAACTTACACGTGTCGCGGCGGCGGCGGCGACATTGCTGCATGTCTTTCGGGACGTACCGTTAGCTGGGTGGCGCAGGGGCGGCGCTAGCGGGTGGGTTTGTTGGGGGAGACTCTTTGACAGCACGGGGAAAAAGACTTGTGTAGTTAGCTGTCAAGCTTGCTAGCTAGCCGAGGCAGCTTGTCAGAGCTTCCCTATCATAGCGATTGACAGATAGTGGCGTGAAGATTAGATATACTTGGTGATTTGGAAGTGTTGTGCGTGACTCCTTATTATGATAAACGCCGGATAGAATTGTTAGTGCACATGGACAATGACACCGCGAAGATGTCAACCAACTACACCACCGCAACAATTCAAATGCAATTATTATTTCGTAGCTGAATTAATCGCCCAACCAACAGCCATCTTGCACATGATTATCTGCAATACCATCTTATGTTGGCCTCGATATCACCAGATGATGGCAATCCGTCACCTCAACCGGACCTTTGAAATACTAACCCGCTCCGGTTCTCCGCCGTAGCACTAAGCCGCCCCAGCACGCTGACCCCGTGGGTAAGGCACTGCTGCAGAAGCAAAGGCGCTAACAAAAAGGGCTGTAGCGAAACATTCCGGCAGGTACCCTACTAAAGGTGACAAGTGCTACCTAGATAGGCTTAGCGTGCTCTAGACTGCGTTTGTTGGGGAACTCTAGTCAAAGCGTTGGGTGGCCCATGTATGTAGCCGAATTAGGCAATCTGGAGTGGGTTTGCACTGCAGAGCAGACACTGTGGCGAGCCAAAAATAAAAATAAAAAATAAAAAATAAGCCCAAGGACACCACTATCAGCGTTCTCCTCGGCTGAAAGGGGACGCCGCAGACCACCAAGGACAAGCGCCGGCCATAGAAAAGCCTAATTGCTTGAAATACACCCGTCGCTAGTGGACAGCAGAAGCTACGAACAATCCTCAGATGCATGTGACGCCGTGGTTGTTTTTTTTCTGTTACAGGCTCTTTTGATCGGCTGGCTTCACCGCGTGGAGGGAGGGATGAGATGTATAAAGGAAACCCTGCCTCTCAACATTCCCAGCTTGTACTTGGGCAATCCGGCACCAGCTTCCATTTTCACAGCTCTGCTTCTTATTTATAAAACACTTCGAAAATACAAGCTTCTCCTTCACCGTTGCGTCTCCGGCCTTGATTTTTCTCGGCTCTTCAGCACATTCTTACATCGCTTTTGGTGCGCCTCCTCGGTTCAAGCTGCAAGTAGCCCCAGACTGTTTGCCCGCTAGGCCGCCCCAACCAAAAAAAAATTGTTACCCAGTACAGGTACCCACAGCGCCAGCCAACCGCCTACAGCACGCTGTAGTGGCCTGATTCTGTTTGGCTACAGCGCCCCTCGCCTCTGCCGGCGCTAACAGACTCTCCCCTAAAAAAAGAGTTTTTATTATTTTATTTTTTTTAAGGGACGCTCGGAAAACCGGGGCTCACCTTTTCGCCTACAAACCACGCCATCTCTTATAAACACCTTTTGGCAAACCTCATTCCCTTTCCATTCTTCTTTTTTCTCTCCATCTAGATACACTCTCTTTCTCTCCATCCCCCCCGCTTCGGCGTTCTCTCTACTCTCTCTCCTGGCGAGAAATCACAGTCTTCCCCTCAACTGGAAGATCACTTACACCTGAAGAAGCGGCACCACATCTTCAACCTCGTTTCTCAACAATGTCCGCCTCTACTTCCTCGGCCGACATCCCCAAGGCCACGGCCACGGCCGCTGGCAATGCCGCCGGTTTCTCGGACGGCACTACCGACTACAAGCCCATGCGTTCTGGAGCAAAGTACGACCCTACCAAGGTGCACATCTCTGAGCTGCCCATGACCTGGTCAAACTGGTACAAGCAGGTCAACTGGCTCAACACCACTTTTGTTGTGTTCCTGCCCATCTCTGGCTTCATCGCTGCCTACTTTGTTCCTCTTCAGCTCTACACGGCCATCTTCGCCGTCGTCTACTACTTCAACACTGGTCTCGGCATCACGGCCGGCTACCACCGTCTCTGGGCTCACTCTGCTTACAAGGCTGCCTGGCCTCTGAAGCTCTACCTCGCTCTTGTTGGTGCCGGCTCCGTCGAGGGCTCTATCCGCTGGTGGTCCAAGGAGCACCGTATTCACCACCGCTACACCGATACCGTCAAGGACCCGTACTCTGTCCGCAAGGGCTTCTGGTACTCGCACCTCGGCTGGATGGTCTTCAAGCAGAACCCCAAGAACAAGGGCCGCACCGACATCACCGATCTTAACGAGGATGCCATCGTCGTCTTCCAGCACCGCCACTACATCAAGGTCGTTCTCACCATGGCCCTCATCTTCCCCACCCTCGTCTGCGGTCTTGGTTGGAACGACTGGGTTGGTGGTCTCGTCTACGCCGGTATCCTCCGCATCTGCTTCGTCCAGCAGGCTACTTTCTGCGTCAACTCGCTTGCCCATTGGCTCGGTGACCAGCCCTTCGATGACCGCCACTCGCCTCGCGACCACTTCATTACTGCTCTCGTCACCCTCGGTGAGGGATACCACAACTTCCACCACCAGTTCCCCTCGGACTTCCGCAACGCCATCGACTGGTACCAGTACGACCCTACCAAGTGGGCCATTATCGCCTGGAGCTGGGTTGGCCTCGCCTACGACCTCAAGCAGTTCCGCTCCAACGAGATTGAAAAGGGCCGCATCCAGCAGCTCCAGAAGAAGATTGACAAGAAGCGCTCTACCCTCGACTGGGGAACCCCCATTGAGCAGCTCCCCGTCATCAGCTGGGACGACTTTGTCGAGACCGCCAAGACTGACGGCAAGGCCCTTGTTGCCATTGCTGGTGTTATCCACAACGTAGCCGACTTCATCAAGGAGCACCCCGGTGGCAAGGCCCTCATCAGCTCTGCCATTGGCAAGGACGCCACCGCCGTCTTCAACGGTGGTGTCTACGACCACTCCAACGCCGCCCACAACCTCCTGTCTACCATGCGCTACGGTGTCCTCCACGGTGGCTGCGAGGTCGAGATCTGGAAGCGCTCTCAGTCCGAGAAGGGCGATGTCCACTCCGTCAACGACACCTCTGGCCAGCGCATTGTCCGCGCCGATGCCCAGGTTACTCGTGTCAACCAGCCCGCTGCCAGCGCCGATGCTGCTTAAGTGCACCATCTCACTCCTCTCTTTATGAATTCTCACGTCTAAAAAGATATTTCCTTGCTCTGTCGATTTCTCCTTTTCACTCTACATACATTATTCTCATGGATCGGGCGTTTTCTTTCTACAAACCGCGGTGGTGTTTCTTTTTCAAATAATGACCGGTGACCAAACTTGGCACGATCCGCAGAGCGGTGCTCTGAACCAGCAACTAGCTTGTTTGTTTCTTTATGTTTTGAGGACTCTTCTTGTCTTGGTCTAGATTAGTTTACTTGGCTGAAATAATATACTAAGTTGACAATCATGCACTCTCTCTCTCTCTTTCTCTCTCTCTTCTTCCATCTTAACCGTATTCTACATATCGCAAAACACTACCATAAAACTTATATTCCATGATGAATTATAGAAAAGGGATAATATTTCTCAGTAAAACCATGACACCTATATAAAAGTACACTATAACGCCGTATGAAAATCATCTGGTATCAATCAATCAGTAAAAGCCAACCCCACTACGGCGCCGCCATCCTCGTCTTCATCATAGTCATTTCAGAGCTCTTTGCCCACCCGCCATCAGGCCGCTGTCTATAACACAGCAAGCGCCCATCATCGCCCGTACTGCCTAGCACCATGCCATCATCATCAAAACCCACCCGCCACACCGGTGTGCGGTGGTTATCCAGCCTCGAAATCTCCTTGACCGTGTGTCGGATCTGTCCAGGCAGTCCTGTCCACTGCCTCTCGCCGGGGATAATCGTGCCCGTTGTCGACCCAGCGCCGCTCGTAATACCTGACGAGGATCCTGCGGCACTGGCTGCGGCCGACTTTGCCAGACTAGCGCTAAGCGACGACGTATGCGAGCTAGAATGCAGCTTCTCCGAGTCCGTCTTTTCCTCATCAATAGTCGTAGGCGTCCCATCTTCTCTTACCGACACGTGCTTCTCGCGCGTCAACACGTCCGCAGCGGCCCATGATTTACCATCATCTTGCGAGAACGGCGCATCGAGCTGAAACACGCGCGCATAGCCATCCTGGCACGCCGTCGCAATCACATCGTAGCCACGCACATTCCCCGGAGCCCATGCTACATCCCGCACAAGGCCCCTATGCCCAGGGACCTCGGCAGCCAGATAGAACTCCTTGGAGCCCTGGTCTACACCATACGAAGCAACCACAATCTCGCGCGACCTGTACACTCTCACAGAGTCCATTCCTGCGACCACTAATCCCAGAGCATCTGTCGGCACACCAGCCCTTAGCGCCGTATAGCACGGCTCTGGATTCGGATCAAAGCGCACTTTAAAAGCGACTTCTTCGCCGCGCGCAGGCTTAGGACATATCGAAAATTCATCAATTGATGTAAACTCCGTCATACTCTCAGGCTGCTCGTTCTCATAGACAGTTAAGCGGCCATCGGTCGCCAGAAGGGCCAGGTATGTGTGCTTAGTCTCCTCGTTGTGCTTCATCGAAAAGGAGCGGTACGGCGCGCGGGACGAGCGCGTGTCGAATGCTGGACGGCCGTTAATCGAGCGGCCAGCGCAGAAACGCCGGCCCGGAGCTGCTGAAGGGTCCTCGGCCCAGAGGCGGAACCAGCCCTCCATGCCGAGCGATGCAATGAGGTTGGGGTATACGGTCGCAGGGAGCCATTGGAGCTGTGTGGGAGTTAGTGGGTGATGTGAGATGATGGTAGGGAGAGTTGTACCTCGAGGACTTCGCCGCCGTGGGCGGTCCATGTATCGCAGAGGCGCCAGGTGCCGTCTTTGTGGCGGTTGAAGACGCGGATTTTGCCGTCGACGGAGCCGGTTGCGCAACGGTCGCCGTAGGTGTTGAAGGCGATGGCCTGGACTAGGTCCTTGTGGCTGTGCTGGAGGTTGAAGCTGAAGGGCTGCTTGTCGTCCACTGGCGATTGGGGGAGAGAGGTTGTCATGGCGGGTGGTAGGGTGGGAGGTGGTGGGTTGTGGAATGATGAGGTGAGGTTGAAGGTTGGCGAGAGCTTGGAGCTTGTGGTGATGATGGATGCGGGTGGCTGCCGGTGGGGTTACCCGGGAGGCGACGCTAGTTGACAGATTGCTCAATGATGGAATAAATAAATATATAGAAAATATGCAATCGCTGAAATTATAGTGTTTATTTGATTTGATTATTTACTAAATGCATTGATGATGTGGTGATTGGTGTGGTGCGATGTTGGTTGTTGTGGCTGCATTTGTTAAAGTAACGTTTAGCTGCCCGTGTTGTAGCGGTACACCGATTTTTTGGAAAACGTTCAGCTGAAAACATTCAATACAATCAATTCGTAGCCTTGATAGGCCGGGTATTCTAGTCATAATACATAATATATACTCTTACATCGCCAGCGTCCGCAGCGCCGGCCCATCCCACAAACTCTCCTTCTGTGGCCACTCATGCATAAGCTCGCCTAGCATCACCTTTGTCTTTTCTTCGCGGCAATGCCTCCTCGCAATATGCAGCATTGGAACGACGCCAACGTCCACCCCAAAGCTGCCTCCCATGCCCTCCTTCTCATCCTGGTGAGCATCACGAATCGACTCTGCAATCTCCACCAGCTCTGCTATACGCTCCGGCTCATTCATCATAATCTCAGGCGTAAAGACTGACGACTCCAGCGTCCACGCTGCCACCCGCTGGTTCAACAGGCAAGACCTATAGGCAACATGCTCTCTGGTCCCCGTATGGCACCCGTGGTGCAAGTCTCTGTGTAGATTGAGCATCTCAGCAATATTCTCCGAGCGCCGCTGCAGCGCCCAGTACTGCAGCTTATGATTTGGATCCATTGACGGATCCGCGCCATGTGTGTACGCCTTTGTCTGCCATGCAAATGCATTTGCATCTTGGCAGAAACTGTCCACTATATCCTGTAGCTCCTCGACCGACTTGGCCACGCCATGGATCGCCTGGTCCAGCTCCCGCTGGCGATATGCCTGCATAGTGAGTTGCGGCTGAAAGTCTGGTGAAAGATAACCAGCCGTCAGCTCCCATCTTGTGAGCAGCTGAATCATGTATGCTACGCGGGCATACGACGTATCCATACCCTGGCTCCATTTGGCAGGGTTGTGTAAGATATCCGCCACTTCTTCTGGCAAGTCAGACATGAGGCGCAGGCCATTCGTCAGATGGGCAAACGCACTCTCCAATTCGCCGCGGAGAATCTCGATGCAGAAAAACGCCGCGCAGCACATCATGGTGATTCCGTACTGGCGCTTGACGGGTAATCCGGCGTAGTTGCGCGGGATGTTCTTCATGGCGAGGCTGTATTGTTTAATGACAAACTGCTCCACTTCCGACGGTGCCGACGTCTTGTCTGGTTTGTTTCCGCCAATATGAAAATGTAGATATGCTGCTCCGACGGCAATGTAGGCATGCCGTACCGCTGCGACCTCGTGGCAATACTGCGGGACAATCTGCGTCCAGAAGAGCCCTGTGTGGACATGGCGAATGCCAATTGCTGCTTCGGCAACTTGGCGGAAGCGGTGAAAGTAGAGCCGTTCTGTTCTGTCGCCGGGGATGTCTGCAGCTAGTGGGCGGTATAGTGGCAATGTGTTGGTTGTGATGATGGGACGGGTGACGACAGCTTTCGAGAAAGGGCGGAAGGGGATGCTGTGTATTGATTCAGCACGGGCTGGTTTCGGTCTTGGTCCATAGCCATCGCATTTGCGGCCAGTCGAGGTGCATCGCTTGCACGCGGGTGTTGCTTCGTCGCATTTGACTCGTCTGATTTTGCAGGTGATGCATCCGGTGCGGACTTTGGGCTTGCCGACTCTAGAGCGTTTCTTGGCTGGTTCGTCGGAGGATGACGGCGGCGATGCTCCATGCGAGGGCATCTCGACAGTTGCAACGATGTCAAGGCCTTGCAAAAATGGTTGAGTGAGGGGGAACAGGCAAGTTTTTAAATCTCGACGTGGACAGAGCTGTCAAGGTGAGTGGGCGCCAGGACACATTAAGGAAAAGGTGATCCGGGGGCGGCTCTCCTAGGGACCTTCTAGCGTGCTATTGGGGGGTTGTCGGCGGCCGATCTTCCGGGGAGCCCTCAAAAGGCAATGTACGAACAGACCTGAATATATTGAAAAAAAGAAAAAGAAAAAGTACAAAACGTGCAGTAAATTGTATTCTTAATCTATTGTGATAAATTACAAATATTACTGTAACAGCAACCTATTATCACAGCATCAGAATACTTTTTGATAGTGACATTCATAGGGCTGCCTGTCACATCACATCACCGCAACGCGTGTCCATACAGGCACCGCCACAGACCCCAAAAATGCGGCCTCGCTTGTCCATCGCAGATCTGCTTGCTTGCATCATCCAGCAAGCACTTTAAATCCATATATCCTGCAGGGCCACGCTGCATTGCGGCGCAGTCTGTTTGGTCGTCGGCGTCGGTGGTCGGTGGTTGCTGGTCCCGTGGTGGATCTGGAATAAACGCACCAATCACAGCTCTCCATATTAGACGAATTTGTTGGTGCAGCACTCGTATACACGGCGATAACGGGGTTAATCGTTATTAATTTGTTGTTTTTAGCTTAATTAGAGGTTAGTAATGGTCTGATGATATTATCCGAAGAGTAAATTACTGGATAGAACAAGTAGTTGCTGCTAGTGGACGACGCGTAGACACAACGCAGCAACTGGGGCTTGAATACACTTGATTTGAAAGCATTATATATCAGAGGCTCATATGGAATCTAAATTTAGAAACCAGACTGCTAGTAGTTGGTGGTATTAGTATCATTTCCCCGCGGGCTGCTTCCCCTTGTCCTCCTCCATTAGCCCTCGCTTTCGTAGCTCGGCGTAGACATCCTCCAACGTTAGCATGCCGTTTTCGCCCATGAGTGCTGGTAACTCGTCCTTCCGTTGGCTCATCCAACCATTCAAGCTCTTCATGGCAACCACCAAGAAGCCCAATTCTTCACGGTCCACATCAAATACTTCCCACCAAGCGTTCGTTGGCAGCTTTGCGCCGCCTTCTCTGGCTGTCAAGTATATAGCGGCTGCGGCTAGCGCATGCGGCTGATGTGTAACATATAGCATTTGCGGACTCAAGAGTGCCGTGTTGAGATATTGGGTTGTCCGCCTTGAGATTTCCTCTTTTTCCACACCCGCGAAATCCAATGTCTGTAGGTATGTGATTGCCAGTGGATGCGGGAGAGCTACGCGAAAGTCGTATGCTAGCGAGTAGGATATACGGGCTTCAATTTCCAGCATTCGTTGCTGAAAAGCATATTGCTCGGTATCGGTCTGGTAGAATGTCCGCGGGTCGGGTTTCGTAGTTGGTCGGAAGAAGGATGACGAGGAGGAGAGGAGGTAAGCGTATACGGTCAACACATCGCGCGGTGAGCGAGGCATTGGGCCCATTTTAGAAACTATGTATATCGCTGCGGCCGAAACGTCCTGTATGTTGTTAGCATTGCTGGGTACGCTAGTTGACAATGTGCTCTAGGCATCAGTCAAACGCACGCTGTATTCGTGTAGCATTGGCGAGTCAATTAACCAGTAGCGAGCTATTAATACGTTTGCTTGAGCAGTGACGGCTTGGGGGAGCTCCAGGAGCAGGCCAGCTGCTTGTGTGAGGCATTGTGTCGCGAAAAAGATGACTTCTTGCAGGTCGGTGGGGAGGGAGGAAAACGTTGAGCGGCGGTAGAGTTGCTCCGGCGTAGCGAGGGGATTTGTGAATTGCGACATTTCAGCCGCGGGTCGTCGCTTATAGATGCCCAATTGGTGCGAGCTCTGGTATTCTCCGCGGTGGCTGTGGCGGGTGTTGATGCAAAAGTCACAATCGCTTGGTGACCAAGTTGACGTCGCTTGCTTGTCTTGCCGCCACGGTGGGGCTGGCCGATCTTACGAGTGAGGCAACAGCCAGCTGTTGACGGTCATCAGCTGGCCGCCATTTGTCAGCTTCACCAGCGAGAAAACGCCAAATCTGATGAAAAGAACGACTTTTTAAAAGTTGAGAATATGGAATTATGCTCCAAGGCTCACCAGACGTGACCCCCTTTCAAGATCAGCTTCCATATACCATGGCCGCCCCATCCGGGGCTGTGACAGCAAACACACCTCGTTTACAGCTCCTCGACCTGCCAAATGAAATCATTGTGCATATTGCCGAATCAATAACTTCCTCTATACATCTAAGCTACTTGGTCCGCTCCTGCAGAACCCTCTACGAGCTCCTCAACATTGTCCTCTATCGCCAGGACCAGCTTGTTGGCGACGGCAACGGTCTGCTTTGGTCTGTGGCAGCGGACAAATGCGAGACAATCGAAAGAGCTATTGCACTCGGAATAGACGTAGCCAACACAAAATGGAATTTGATACACGCCGCAACCGAATTCCAAGTCCATAATGTTCTCGTCTTGTTGGCCAAGCAGCCTGGGATTCGTATCGACGCTCTCGACTCCCGAAATACAACAGCGCTCTGGTGGACATGCGAGTTCGACCAAATCCGCTCTGCAAAGCTACTGCTACGTCTTGGCGCAAGCTTCGTTGAGGCTCTGCGCGCCAGAAACAGAATTCGAGACCTGACGCCGTCTCAGCGCCAGACATGGGATGACATGGCGCGGTTCCTGATTGAGACAGATGAGCACAATATCCGCGAAGAAGACACGACGATATTTCAGCTCCTCAGTGCAGCCGCCACGCGGGGCTGCAAGGCATTTGCTATGCTTGTCAGGTTTGTGCACTGCGCAAGAGGGCCATTTCCGAGCTGGGCTGCGGTACAGGATGCACCACGGGGGACGACAGTGCTAGGCCTCATCCGCCGCATGTCCAAGCATAACCAAGGCACACCCGAAAGCAGGTTAACCCCGGGCGAGTATCTATTTCTAATGCAAGAGCTTGGCCAGCAAGTTGACTAGCTAGCCAGCCACGTGTATACACGGGACAGCGAGGTGCATACATGCACACATACACGATGTATGCGTTTGCTACAGGCGATCGTGGCAGCCAAGCAACGTATCCGATTTATTATCCAGGGCCTGCCAGTGCATTTCAGCAGGCCGAGCTAGGCGCCGATCTTATTACCAAGCCAAAATGGCACCAAGAGGTACTCCACGGCGCGAATGGCCCATCTCCGAGTTGCGCCGGCGCCGTGGTGCCGAACATGGAGGGCCACGAGGGCCGCTGTGTGGCTACGGGACCGTTGCACCACTTGGCCAGGTGAACGCTTCGCTGGGCGACCAGGCCGGGTAGAACGGATGGGTACAAGACTGCTCACGCAGCAGCGCTGGACTAACTAACCCAGGACAGCGATGGATGGATTTGGGGACCACGGGCAATGATGCAATCGCGTCGGCAATTGCATCCCTACGTGCGTTCAGTCTGTACGCTAGTATACTGCAAGTTCACGCACCTACGCAGCTATTGTCCCCTGCTATCTGGCACGGGAATAACACAGTGCATAGCACATACAGGGCCGGGCCAGGGTACTAGATGCGCTGTTTGTAGCGAGCTGGGTCAAGCGAAGAGAGACAATGGGCCAGCGTTGCAACTGAGCATGCAACATGCAGCATTAGAGCATCAGAACCTGTATGTTTTACAATTTGCTGCAAGCATTATGCAAAACTTTAATCTAATGTAAATCAAGATTTTTTTGGTATTGTCTGTCACCGACTAATGCCGTCAGTGACATACCCATCTATCTCGGCTCGCTCTCTCGCGTTTAGGGCTCTTTGCGTGCGTCCGATACAGGGAAGAAGGAAAACTTTGCGGGCTTATCAGACCACTGAGCAAGCGTTCCTGACAGCGGGGGTAGGGCGCTGCCGACTGTGCCGGAGCCGAAGCGCCGACGCGCTGTACAAGTGCTGTGGCGGCGAGGACCCCACTGAAGACGTGCTGTGGGCAGCGGCGGCTGCGACGGAGATTGTTTGGTGGGCACGCGCCGTTTGGTAGAAGGCCCTTAGAAGAAACAAGGCTTGCAGATGAGACGGGGTTATTTTCTGCGGCGCTCAATTTTTTTTTTCGTGGGGACGCCCACACACCCCTTCGGTGCCATTTAGCCGTGTGCAAGTGGAACAGACGAGAGTAATGCTGTATAATGCGAATTGCGGGCTTTGTGTATAAATCCCGATCAATGCCCACCCTGTTTCTTCTTGGATGACCCTTTTGGCTTTTTGATTAAACTTCTACAGATACTATATAATCCCTGGAGGAGCCTGCCACCTACACCACCAACTCACCAATCTATCCCCAACCACATATCTACACCACCACAACCACCATCACAAAAATCCCTCTCTCTTTACAATCACCATGAGCTCTTCCGCTGCTTCTACTCCCACCTCTTCAGGTGCCTCAACGCCTACCCAGGCCGCCGCTGCCCCCTCGGTCCCTTCTGCCCTGGGTAACCGCAAGGTCTGCTTCCATATCAAGACTGGCGGCAAGACCTGGAACTGCACCCTGCAGGACCGCAGCCACTAGTACGTTTTATATTTACTTTGGAAAGAACCTGTTGATGAGAGAGAATTGCCCTTGCTAACCTGTTTATAGTGAGCGCGTCAAGGCCTCCCGCTCTTCTTCGGTCGACTCTACCACTTCCGAATAAAGAACTCGCCGTCTAAGCTTGTTAGGCTAGGAGAGGTTATTTCTGCTGCTGCATCCTTTTGCAACGCACACACGCACTCGCATCGGATCGACATGCACATATTACGAGAGATGGCCATGCGCGCTTACATGCTGCGCGATCCAACGCCGCAAACCTCAGCCTAGCCTAGCTAGCTCGGACCGCAACTGTACGAAAAACCTGCTTTACATTGGGAGTCGGCGCATTGTTGTTTCACATCGGATAGACACTTGAGCGTATTTTCTTCTTTTTTTTCCTTTGCTGCCTGTTAGGGGCGGCGTGTTGTCAGACTTGGCTCGCGGGGGCAGAGAGTCAGCCCAGCCTGCTGCTTAACACATCCCGTGGGTCCTTCTTAGTACAATACACCCCATGAATGATGACATTTTCCCGTTATCCATTGGCCCTTGGCTTGTGCGAGTAGTGCTGTGTAATTTAAAAACACATTCAGATAAATACCTCAGATCGGAGACACTGTGGAGATGGGGTCGACTGGGGGAGGCTTGGCCATGATTTGCGCCTCCGGCGTAAGCGCATTTTGCCGGGTTTTTGGTTGGTGCATGGGGCAGGTGTGACTTTCTGTTGAGGTTGTTTTACATCGATGCGCCTTTATAGCTGCGTAGATGAAGTGTTTGGCATATCATGATCATGGCGTGGAAACAGCTATGTTAATGTTGGTGTTTTCGTGTTGTAGCCCAACATGGTAACCTGCATATAAAAGAAGGCTACAGCGTACATAGGCAGCCGCGGGGTCGGGCGAGTGACTGGCAGCGATTCTGTCAGCTGCACATCACCAACTCTTTTGAAATGGACAAACCAAACAGCTTGGAGACACTTGACAGGAGGATGGTTGGCCATACACTCCATCAACACGAGAATAATAATAGTGTGCCACCCAATGCTGCGACGCTAGTAGCCCTACCACCGGAGATTCTCGCTGCAATCACCAACCATCTCTTTTGGGCATCGGATATCTCCCATCTCATGCTTGCCTGCAAAAGATTCGCAGAACTGCTTACTCCTGCACTGTACCGTGCCGATGCGATAGCGTGTGTCTCTATCGACTATGCACTCGAAACCAACAACACTGAGCTCTTGCGCACGGCGCTCAACACTAAACGCCTTCTGCCGCGGAAGAAACACTTATTAGCTGCGATTAAGAGTGGAAAATTGGACGCAGTTGCGTTGTTGATGGCTGAACAAACTATCAACGAAGAATTAGACTTGGAATTCATTCGCTGGCCTAGTAAATGTATTGTGGATGCTCTGACTAGTAACAACTTGGCCGCGATGAAGCTCCTCTATCGACATGCCAAGAAACGGCCATACCCAATAACGCCCTCGAAAACTAGCATCATATTTATAGCCATAGAGGCCGGTAATATGGATGCGGTTCAGCTTTTTGTCGACGAGGGAGAGGACGCTATGAGCCTTGACGCTGCTGGACAGACTACACTTGACGCCGCCCTGTATAATTTTCAACTGGATATTGCGCAATATCTAATCACCCTCGGCGTGCCCCATACCTTAGATACCGCTGATGAATCACATGGAATTTACAAATTTGTGCGGCACTCGGCTAATCACCGACGCTTCGATGCGATTGCATTTGTCAATGACCATTGGCCCATCGACTATGTATCAATCAATGCCGCGCTTGAAGACACGTTGCTGCACAGCGCAAGCGTTTGCGGGAATGCAACCTTTATAAACCATCTTATTGACTTGGGTATCGATATTGCAGCGGAGCTTAATCGCCAAGAGATGATCCCGTTGCGCACAGCATTAGACAGTGGTCACATCGAAACAGCAAAGCTTCTACTCAACGCAGTGATAGATGAATGGCCTCCTGATATTGACAAAGCCATATATCTTTACTATGCTATTGAAACAGGGAGCTCTGATTTAGTACGAGTGTTGCTTGACCACGGCGTTGACCCCAATACCAAGGACCACCGCGGAAACACCGCCATCATGTATGCTGCAAAACGTGGACATGTAGACTGCTTTCATCTATTGGTCAAGCGTGGCGCAGACCTGAAACAACGAGGTTACAATGAGCAGACATTGTTAATGACAACCACATCTCCAACGATTGCGAGGTGGCTCATTGATAACTGCGCTGATCCACTCGCCAGAGACTCAGAAGGCGTTACAGCTTTACAACTAGCATGTGAGCATGGCAATTATGAGATGGTTACTTTGCTGCTTCCTCTTATACAATCCGCAGGGCAAAGCGACCTTTATCTTCCTGCGGCGCTTCTTGTCTCCGCTGCCAAGAGCTCCAACTTTGCCATCACGCAGGCTATAGCAGCACTTCCCACCACTGACTCTGAGAGTAGCCGGACAGACGCATTTATGGAATCTTTACTTCGCGAGAGCTTTGATTCCGCCGAGTTCCTATACAATCTTGGAATATCCGTCGACTTTCTTAACTCTGCTGGCCAATCGCCTCTCTACTTTGCAGCGTCGTGCAAAGCACCAGAGCACCTTATTATTGGAATGCTTGAGAGGGGTGCTGACCCTAATTATAATCAACCGTCATGTACAGTGGCTTCTCACATAATCTCGCCATGGCTTGAAACATGTAACTCTCCACAACCCAGTACAAAGATTATCAAAGCATATCTGGATCATGGCGCAGATATACACGCAAAGAAAGATGGTTGTTCTGTTCTCCATATGCTAGCATCCACACTGTCAATTGAGGCACTCAAAGTCATATTAGAGCAAGGAATCTTGGATATCAATGTCTTATTTATTGACCCCCGTCGTAATGCATGGACACCTCTTGACTATGCGCTCAACAACGACTTGACGGATGGATCTACGGCGCGCATGAATCTGCAAACCATTCGATTGCTCATATAATACGGTGGTTCAACTTTCTTTCTGCGACCAGAAACTCGTGCGACATCTGCAGTGTCTCCTCTGGATGCCTATCGGTGCTTTTCTGATGACATTATCAAAACGTTGCTTGTTGATACACACATGGACATAAATGCAACCAATGAATCCATGGGAACTATTCTACACAATGCCGCGCACTACAATTTGGATAGCCCGTTCTTGTCGCTGCTTTTCTGGGGTGCCAATGTAGATGCAGTGGATGTCAATGGTCAAAGTGCGTTTGATATCGCCGAAAGCCGCTACAATCTCAGGGTAATGTGGGCTATCATTGTCTATAATCGTTATATATATGGTGAATCCCGTGTTAAAAAACTATGGCAACGCCTGAGAGTCGCACAGGCCGCGTTGATTTAAGACGAAATAGAAAACAAAGAGTTCGGGCTGTTTTCGTAATTGAGGCTACTGCAAATGATGGTCGAGCAAAGAACCCGCATAGGACCAATAAAAACAAGTGCTTATGAATCCACCAGTCGGATATAACCACTTTCGGAGACATATGAAGAGCATTTGTGGGTTCCAGGGCTCATTGATGCATTGCTGGTATGTGAGGCAGTCAGCCTTATGCACCTGCAGAACAAGGCTGTCGGCCCTTCTCCGTAACCAGAAACGGTCGCACTGTTCTTTTTTATAAAAGCCACGAGGGAGCCTCATTTTATTCTTCGGAGCTCTCCATTTGCTTGCACGTGTTTCTTCTCGCAGAAATAATGGGTTCTCACATCCTCGACTACGTGCTTCGTGCGGCAGAGGCACTTACACTCACTCGTGCCGCCACGATTCTCTTAGTATTGGTATGACACATAATGTATAATGTCACATCCAACATTTAGTTAACCGTAAATGTAATACAGACATCAGGCTACATCACCTACCAGGTCTTCTTCCACCCTCTAGCCAAGTATCCTGGCCCATTCATCGCCAAGCTCACGGACTTTTACAGCGTCTACTACGCCATCACCGGCACTGGTTCCCACACGCTCTATGATCTGCACGCCAAACATGGCCAATTTGTCCGCATTGGTCCAAACCAAATGTCTGTCTGCTCAGCTGTCGGGCTTGACGCAATCTACGGCGCGCAGGCAAACGTGAAGAAAGGTACTTGGTACAGGTCCTCCTTTGGAACCTCCATGTTCAACGCCATCGACAAGAACATCCACGCCCGCAAGCGCAGGGTCATGTCTCATGCTTTTTCTGACAAGTCTATCCGCGACATGGAGCCATATGTGGTTGGTGCCATTCGCATATGGTCAAGATCCCTCGTCAACAACACCGCTGAAGATGATCCTGCCCCCGAGACGCCGGAGGGTTGGTCACCTCCACGTAACATGTCTAGGTATTCGTCATTCATGATCTTTGATGTGATTGGCGAGATCTGTTTTGGTGAATCCTTCCGAGCAAGTACTGTACCGGACAATCGCTACTTTGTGGAGCTGCTGCCCAAGGTTGTAAAAGCGTTTAATATCCCCGGCCAGATGCCTTTTCTTCAGCAAATCAATGTGGCGGACGTCGCTCTGTGTGGGCTGGCGAACCTTCGTGCAAAACAAGTCGCATTTTGCAAAGGGGCGTTGGGCAGGCGATTAGCCCTTGGAACGACCTCGGGAAGAAAGGACGTGTTCCACTTCCTCCTCGAGGCAAGAGATCCCCAGACTGGCGAAGGGTTTACAAATGCCGAGCTCATGTCCGAGTCAACGTCACTACTTGGCGCAGGGTCCGATACAGCCAGCACGGCACTTGCGTCTTTCTTCTACTTTTTGGTTCATAATCCAGACATTCTGGAGCGGGTGACCAAGGAGATACGAGACAAGTTTACAGATGTGGAGGAGATTGTCAACGGGCCTGATCTCAAGTCGCTGACCTATCTTCGCGCATGTATCGACGAAGCCATGCGTCTGTGTCCCCCTGTTCCTACTGGCTTGAAACGCGAAGTGCTACCTGGAGGTCTTGTGGTTGATGGGGAGTATTTCCCCGCTGGGTGTATCATGTCTGTACCGCTGTACGTGCTGCATCATAGCCCAGAGCACTTTAAGAACGCGTTCAAGTTTGAACCTAGCCGATGGCTGATTCGAGGATCGGAAGTGTCACTGGACGGGGAGGGCGTTACTAAGGAAGAACTGAAAATCCAAAAGGCAGCCTATGCGCCCTTCAGCACTGGACCAAGAGCTTGTATCGCACGCAATTTGGCCATGATGGAGCTTCTCATTGGCGCAGCAAGAGCGCTCTGGCTTTATGATGTCCGGCTTGCACCAGGCTCTGAAGATGTGGCGGTTGGTAGAGAGGGCGAGTTTGACTTTAAGGAGCAGTTTATCATGCGCAAGAATGGGCCGATTGTCCAGTTTAAGTCGGCTCACTAGTTGGTATATGCTAGGTATGATTAGTCAATGCGAGAAAATATAGCTTTTAAAACAGCCTGTGTGATGTCATATCGTAGTTGTAGTAGTAAGTTGTTGGAAGAAGCGTCACGTGGCGTGGATGTCGCGTGAGCCAACAGAGACACTCACAATGAATGGTCTTTATTTTTTTGCCCAGTGCTTATTTCCTGTATTTAAGCAATCTGCACCTGAAAATAAGGCAAATAAAGACAAGATCGCCTGGCGCTGGGCGCTTTGATTTGGCGCTTTACGTGTTAGGCTTAGCGGGAGGAGTGGCAGTGAAGCGCAGCGAGTGACAGTGGCAGTGGCAAAAAGAGGGCGACGAAGCCTACGCAATCCCCTCCACACAAACCTTTTGGCTGCCTCTGTCGCTGCAAAAAGGGGCATTTTTTGTGTTTTTATTCTCCTAGATTTCTTCTCAAACCTTATTTCTTTACAGCTAGAAAATTTTAGCTTCCTTTTTGCTGGTCGCAGCGACATCTCTAACTAGCTTCTTCTCTACGGCTGCCTCTCACCCCGCCTGTTTGTCACCAGCCAACTACACCGACACCTAGAGCACCAAAGATGCCCAACCACATTATCCTCGCCTCGGGGGCCGTCGTGGCCGTCTCGGTCGTCGTGGCCACCGCCATTGCCATTTACGAGAACCCCGATCTACGACGGTACAGCGAGGACATGCGCCGCCGCATCAATCTGGCGCTGCAGCAGCTCGGTGACGGCATCGCCCCAGCGTCGGGTGCTCCTCTGTATAATCGCCCTGAAGATGCGGACGGCTTCCTCGAAACGAGACGGGGTGCGGGCGCTGAGCCGGGCGTAGATGCCGACGAAGACTCTCGCCGCAGACAGCGTGAGGAGCTCATGTACTGGAACTCCATGCTGCTTAAGAAGCAGCAGGACGAGAAGGAGGCCGAAAGGCAGGGCGAGAAAATGGTGCAACGGCCAAGAGGCACGTCTTTTGACGACTTTATGAAGCCTGCCCCCAATTCTGAAGAGGGTGGTGCCTATGTCATTCACTCGGGAGCCCAAGTTCATGATACCACTGGCGGATTGAGGAACCGAACCGAGGGAATGCGTGGATTCGCGGCCGCGTCTGCATTTGCGAACCCGTTTGCTGATGAGTTTACTATTGGAAGCGACTATGAAACGGAAGCAAAGCCATCGATGCACCCTAGCACAAAGGCTCCGTCGGATATCTACAGCGCTACCACCAAGGATGATGTTGCGGAGGTGGCAAGCGTCGCGCCGTCCTCGAATTTGATTGAGTTTGACGAGCCTCGATCACTGGATGAAATTATGATTGCCGGTCAGGAAGGACAGGAGGATGCGTACTCTTCCATTCAGGCCTGGGCACGCGAGTCGAGCCGCAACTTTTACTCGCCGCTACCTGAGACGCCGCAGGTAGCCCGCTCTGAGGCTACAGAGGAGGAAGAGGACAGCTCTGACGAGGAAGACGGACAGTTGACGCCTACTGATTCTGTTTCAGTCATTGGGTCCCAGATTTCACGGCCATCAGAGACACTCGATGTTCTCAGTGAGAGCTCCGGCATGATGACACCCGCCAGCTGGTCCGAGGTTGGCAGTGTCATCAGCGAAAGCGAGGCCAACGGGCCTATCCATTCCTAAATGTACATTTTTGGACTGTTGACTACGCATTTTCTCCTTTGGCGTTGTTTTGTACTATGGCGTTTTGATACCGTTTCTCAACTACCACGCTGATACTATACATCCTTTTGGTGGTGGTATTGTTGTTGTTGTTGTTGTTGTTGTTGCAATACATGGTGTACTGAAGCATTCGTTTGATTCTATATTTCTCTTTTTTATAAAACATGGCGTCTATATTCTACTCATCAAAACGCCTCTCCTATGCAACCCACCCATGTTTATATCGTTACAATCGTAGCTCATTGCTCCAACGTGCTGCTATATGCTTCCCATAGCTCCTCTACACTGACTCCAAACAAGCCTGTCCAGAAGCTGTCGTTCTCGTACTTCTCCAAGCGCAGCTTCTCGTTAATCCGCTGCACCGAGCCGTCGCCAAACAAGCCCTCAATGTACTGCAGAAAGTACGCCGTGTGCTGGTACCCGCCGTCCCATTTCTCCGAGGTCTCTTTCTTCCAGTGAGGCGGAGCCAAGTCGCAGTTGAGGCGTACCCAGTCGGCGATGCCTTCGATGAGGCCGCCGGGACAAGTGCCGTGGCCGTTGTACTGGAAGCAGTGGACGAGTTCGTGGGTGACGACGCCTGTGATCTCGTGGGCGACGCGGTCGTTGGAGATGTCGCGAATGTAATCGAGACTAAAGTGGACTTCTTTGTGATCAGAGTCGAGGTCACTGCCGATGGTGTGCGCGACACCGCCCATGCTGCGGAAGATGAAGGTGACTGAGCGTGTGCCTGGGGCGGTGGTGGATGGGTGCGACGGCGAGGTGTAGAGGAGGCGTAGGACGTTGTGGACGCCGGTGGCGATGCAGTCGGAGATGTCGAGGGCCGTCAGGACGCGGGATGTGCCGTCATGGGTGAGATCGCGGATCTCTAGGCGGAGCTTGGGGAGGGGGAAGTCGGATGGCTTGTTGGTTGCGGGGGTGGTTGGCGGCGCATTTGTGAGGGTGGAGGGGGGCAGTGGTGTTGTTTGAGGATCTTCTGGCATTTTAGGTTGTGGGAGGGAGTGGGATTGGTGAAGTTGAGATAATGTGTGTCTTGTGAGGATGTATGTTTGCTGGCGTGGAGGACGGTTGGAAGAGATGTTGGCGGCCGGGTGGTCTAGTGGACTTTAAAAGCGGAGATACTGAATGCTTGGGATTTTCGTTATTGGATATTTGACAATTGACGTAGTGATTTGTAAATATCCTTTGAATTTTTATCTAAATATTCTAGCCGTGGGTAGTGTGTCCTGGTCTATATCAGGTTATTGATATGTACGTATGTATGCTCTGTGGGCGTTCACATGGTGGGGTAGAGTCAACGAACAACACCACCAGCAAAGGCAGACACCTACAAATCGCATCGTGCAGGATGTCTCAGCGCCCAGCCCGGCGGGAAGGAGGGGTAATTAAACCCACTATAAAAAAAGAAACACCCTGCTGTAAAAAAAAGGGTTCAGTCGCTGTAAACAGACCACACTCCACTATAACCGCCTCACCCCCCACATTTCCCACGCGAAGCCACATTGGTCAAACGGGCTGGCAATAGAAGCAGGCGCCAACGTTAACCCCCGCCCACTGTATTTGCCGTAGCGATCTGTTAAGGCCGCAGCACAGCACTAGCGGGCACCGCTGCGCCTGGGCACCACTGCGCCTTTTGTGTTAGGCTGCTTCCCAACGCGCCCCATAGCAACCACAGCGTGTTGTTGGTGCTTCCCTTCCCCCCTCTTCGTCCCGTCGCCCCCCCGCCGCGTCTGCTGGAAACGGTTTCGTCAACATCGCCAGAACCTTCTTTTGGTCATCTGCCCAACTTTGCACTGCCCACCGTTTTTTTATTGCTGCCGTCTGGCATGGTTTATCACAGCTAGCACGTCTTCGCACGCATCATCTTCTTTTTTCTTTCCCAAGAAAGCCACACAACAAAACAACTAAAAAGCTCCCCCATCTTCCAGAGAGAGATAAACACCATAGCTCCAAACGCCACGATACCGCCCCGTTCCCAATGCCATCGCTGTCTCGTGCTGAATCCGAATCTCCCTGCCTGAATCCCTGACACTTGCCTAGTCTGCCGCGGCAGATTTCTTCGCTTTCGCCTTCGTCCCCTTTATTTTGCTCGCAGCACAGCTACCAAAGCTGCAATTGAACGGGTATGTTAACCCCATCATGTGCCCTTGATCGCCCCCAGCATGCTGTGACGTCTTCACCGCTCGCTATGCTAACGCGCAATATACAGTACAAAACCCTCTTCCAGCATTCGCACACGACCTCTTGCAGGTCCCCTTTACGTCATTTTGCTCGCCGCTGCGCCATTTCCCTACGTAGACGGGAGCTGCCTTCACCATGGCCGACAAGCTCACCGACCAGCAGGTTGCTGACCTCACGACACTCCTGCGCAGCGATGCCGCGCTCGACACCAAGGTCCAGTTTCTGAACAATATCAAGTCTTCCATCAAGCAGCACAATGTCCCCGACACGTGCATCGCCCAGCTCTTCGAAGCTCTGCGCAACGCTTCCACCTCCCAGCACGCCAACATTGTCAGCGCTGGCTTCACCGCACTCAACCACCTCCTTACCCGCCTCTCGAGACAAGACCCCAAGTGGCTAGCCCGCGAGACAACCCGCACACTTCCTATCATCATCGAAAAGCTCGGCGACCAAAAAGACAAGTACCGCTCGCTGGCCTCCCAGGCCCTCATCACTTTCTATGGCGTCAACCCTAGCGAGGTTGAGCGCATGGTCCGCACGGCTGCCATGTCCGGCAAGAACCCGCGCGCCAAGGAGGCTGGCCTACACTGGCTTCTTCACGTACGTTATAAAGAGTGCTGCGTGACCTAGAACATTTACTGACAAATAACAGATGCACCAAGAGCATGGCCTCCAGTTCCGAAGCTACGTGCCCCTCCTGATGGAGCTTTTGGAAGATGCCGACGGCATGGTACGCGATGCTGCGAAATCGACCGTTATCGAACTGTTCCGGTATATCTCCTTTTGCTATACTTTGCAGAAACCCCTGCTAACATGATTAGAAACGCACCCAATGTCGCCAAATCCGACCTCAAGAGACAGCTCAAGACATTCAACGTGCGTCCTGCCATCGAACAGGCCATTGTCAAGGAGCTTATGCCCCTCTCTGCGTCCACCGCCTCTCGACCAAAGACACCCGCTGCTATATCTGCCCACTCTGCTTCTGTTCCTGCACCACGGAGCGCCGATCTCGCTGCTAGCACCTTGACAATCGGCGCCGATCGACCCGTTACACCTGGTTTACCTGCTGATAACCAGGCTGATCCAGTTGAGCCTCAGTATGTCAACACCAGCCGTGAGCTGGACGAAGTGTTCAAAGGCATGGCCTGGGATTTTGAGGGAAGAGAGTCGGAGCAAAACTGGGAAAAGCGTGAGCTGCACATGAAGACTCTTCGCAGACTCAATGCCGGTAATGCACCATCCGACTTTACCGATGCCTTTCTCAGCAACCTGCGCCATATGCTTGATGGCATCATCAAATGTATTACATCTCTGCGTACCAGTTTGTCAAAGGAAGGCTGCTCATTGGTGGAGGATATTGCGCAGACATACGGTGCTGCAATTGAGCCCATGGTAGAGCTTCTTATGCAAACTCTCCTCAAGATGTCGGCTGGTGCCAAGAAGATTACTTCTCAGCTGGCCTACTCGACCGTCGACACCATGATTAACCGGGTGACGTACACTCCTCGTCTCATGCAGCACTTGTGGAATGCCTCACAGGACAAGAACGTCCAGCCGCGACAGTTTGCTACGGGCTGGCTGAAGACGCTGCTAAAGAAGGTTGCCAACAATAAGCACCATATTGAGCACACTGGCGGTGTTGAGTTGATTGAAAAGTGTATCAAGAAAGGTCTTGCCGATGCCAATCCTACCGTCAGAGAAAAGATGCGTTCCACCTTTTGGGCGTTTTGGGCTATTTGGCCCTCACGAGCCGATGCGTAAGTTACCATTTATTTTCTCGTCCAAAGCCATTACTAACAGCGTTTAGAATCATGGGCGATTTGGATGCCACAGCGCAAAAGCTTCTCCAGAAGGACCCAAGCAACCCCAACTCTCCTAAGAAGGTTGAATCTGGCCGCGGCTTGTCCAGAAGCACAGCTACAGCAAGCAAGCCTAGTCTTCGCGAAGCCATGCTTGGTCAGAAGAGAGCAATGGCTACTGCAGCCAAGAATCTCCCTGCTCGACCAGGATCCGCCATGTCGCACTTTTCACCTACAAGAAATGTGTCCAACTCGTCGGCTACCTCAACTACCAGCGTTGCTACGAAGCCAGCTGTAAGGTCCCGTGCAGAGCCGTCCATTTCGATGAATGCCGGCGGCATGTCCGTGGCCCCCATGCGGCCGTCCAGGAGACGCCCTGAGGTGGCTCGACCTGCGACTGCTGGACCGTACTCTATGCGAGACCAGCCATCTTCGATGGAGGTTGATAGCCCCGATTCTCTTCGATCATCAAAGCCGTTGTCACCACGTCGTAAGGCGGCTGTGCCGGCTTCTGTATCGCCTGTAGCCTCTCGCTCAAGACCAGGCCACATGCACCGTGGCAGCGAGTCTAGCATCCCGTCGCCCACTGCTCGAACCACAGGTCGTCCGCGTGTGTCGCCTCGCCCTAGCCCAGCCAAGCCGATTATGCCCCTTGAAAGTCCAACTCGCGACAGTCCGACCAGATTCCGTGGTGAGCATGCGATCCCGAAGATGGTCAATATGGAGTCTTCTGCAACAATCGTAGCTGAGCCACAAACCGAGTATGCTCGCAGCCCAGTCTCGCCCAACATTCCCAAAATTACTCTGGATCGTCAACCTCTAGAGGAGTCGCCACCACTCAAGATTTATGAAGACCCTGGAGTGGCTCAGCACCAGAGCCCCAAGGCTGCCACACCACCCGTTTTGGAGGAGAAGCCCGTCAATGAAGATGTTGCTAAATTGCAGCGGGCCAACGGGCAAGTCACATTGGAGCAGCCCCTTTCTCCGGAGAAGACACGCCAAAACTCACGCCTCCTTGATAGCGGCATCAGCAAGATCAAGGCCAAGTCGCTGGAAACGCACGGGTTCCGCAAGTTGCAGTCACTCATTCGCGACCCGCAGACTGAGTTTACCGATGACAAGTTTGAGGCGGTTGTTGTTGGGCTCTTTGACTACCTGGCAGATCCTCTTGACAACCTGCCTGAGGACAAGGTACCAGACGTCAAGGCGCAGGTTCTCACCACGATCAAGATGCTGCTCAAGAAGGAGCGCGACAACTTCCAGCCGCATGTCTCCAAGGGCCTAGAGGCTCTGCTGCTGACACGTGCTGCGTACGACTCACGTGCACACGTCGTCAGCGGTCTTGAGCTGCTTGCTGACGAACTCGTTGCCATTGGCAATGCTCCTGAGATTGTGGTGGTGCTTGCTGCGCAAATGTCCAAGGTGAATGACTCGGAGAAGGAAGGATGCCGCACACTGAGCATGGGCCTGCACGTACTCAAGACGATGCTTGATGCCAAGAGCGGCACGTACTCGCCGACCGACAAGGAGCTAGCGGATCTGTTTGAGTTGGCTGGCCGCTGCCTTGAGAGCGCCGACTCTGGTGTACGCATGGACGCTGTCAAGTTTTGCGTAGCCCTTCACGGGCTCGTGGGCAAGGAGCGGTTCTGGGCTGGTGTCGGGGGCGTCAAGGACGATCCCAAGAGTCTTATCACGTATTACATTGCCAAGGGTCAGCGCGAGATTGTCTAAGCGACTCTCTTATGTGTTTGATGTCTTTTTTATATTTCTAACGTATGATTTTGGTCTGGTCTGGTGTGGTTTTAAGCATGGGTGGCGTTTGAGCTTTTTGCATTATCGGATCGGATCTGTATTACTACTAGTTTATTACTTGTTATAAAAACGATGTCACTTAGTTCTTTTTAATCCGTCTGTTTCTTCTTCTCTGATTGCTGCGTATAATTTCCATTGTATGTTTGAAACTACTCGTTCATTGTAAAAAGTACAAGTTTACAAAAATCAAGGATACGGTATCAAGGTGTTATATGTATAAGGTCATCATGTCAATTCAAGTGGCTGGGGAATCAAACTTTATCAACAACAGAAACACGATCAATCAATCAATCAGTCAAGGCAGTCAACCACGCTCAACCCCTACTCCTCGACCCTTGTAAAGTAAAAAAAACAAAGACAAAACAGACTTCTCTTCCCCGCAATCTGTCTGTCTGTATGGATGAAAATGTATGCATAACGTTCTAAAACACTGCTTTGTTCTTGCAATAGCCTACAGTCTCAATATCATTACGTGGTTCCGTCTCCATTTTTTCTACACCTCTTCGAAGATGGTGTGGCTGTTCTCAATGACAAACTGGATGGCAATGTTCTTGGCGTGCATGTCTGTCATTTCACGCTCGATGCTTGTGTCGCGCATAATCGTCGGGGCAAACACCACGGCCAGGTTCTTGGGCGACATGAGGTTCTCGGGCTCGCGCTCTGCTACGCGGCGCAGATGGAACATGAGGAACTCGAGACAGTCGCGGTGAGACTGGGGTAGTGCGGCAAAAGTCTTGCGTAGGTGGTCGCAGCGTTCAGTCTCGTCGGCGATGGCTAGAAAAAGAGTTAGTTGGTAAGTGAATAGATGGAAAGGGAAAGTAGTTGGAACGTACCATTGGACTCGAGCACGTTGTCGTAGACGTCAAAGGTGAGCAGCGGCGTGGGCAGCTTGCGGAAGTACTGCTTCAGAACACTGGTCACGGCCGTGATATCGAGGTCGGTGTCGGAAATGTCAAAGTTCTCGTCGCGGTCGAAGCCGTCCTTGATGGCGTTTACTTGCGAGTTGCCGCCCGTCTTGCGGTAGATGCCCTCCTGATCCATGCCGCGCAGCTCCACTTCCTCGATGCAGCGTGTCACGACGCTTGGGATCTGGCGGTGCTCAAAGTCAGCGCGGTCCGTTAGCTCCGATCCAAACAGCACTGATGCAGGCTCTGCAGCGGCCGAGTTGGGCATGGTGTTGGCCGACACCGACTTGGGCATCTGGTTCTTCTTGCCAAAGAAGCCAAAGCCCTGGCGGCCAGGCTCTAAATTACCCGGTCGACCGCTGCCGTTGGCGCTTATCGGCGTCGAGACGAGCTCGGCTTGCGCAACGGTAGCGTTGTACGGCATGCCAATGTCACCGCCTGCAATAACACCCTGCTGTTGAATACGCTCGCGGTCGTTTTGGAAAGCAACCACGGCTCTGTTCATGCCCTTGGCCATGTTCTGTGCCATGGCCTTGGAACCCTTCTTCCAGTTGAACTTCTTCACCTGGCCCTTGCGGACTTGTACGACCGTAGGTCCCGACTCGACAATGGTGTCGTCGTCAGCAATGAGCGTCGGGCCTGTCGACATGCTGGCCGAGTCAATGTTGGCACCAGAGTTGGCACCACGGCTGTTGGCGTAGATGCCAAGACCATTAGAGTTCTTCATGTCACTGACTTGTGACTTGAAGCGGCCCTGGATCTGGTGTGTCAAGTCATTGTTCATGTCGGCCAGCTGGGCATTCTTGGAAGACAGCTGCTCAAACTCCATGAGAGCTCGGTCGCGGTCAGCCATGGCCAGCTCACGCTCTTCTAGCAGTTGAGCTCGCTTCTGGTGCAGCTCCTCAATCTCGCCCGCCATGTCCTGCTTGACAGCTTCAAGACGCTGCACAAAGTCGCGGATGGCAGAGTCTTCGAGATCTCGCGGGTTGATGGGTGTCTTTGTGGCCTTGGCACGCTCAACATAGCCGCCAAGCACCTCGAGCTGCTTAATCATAAGCTCTGCCTGCGTATCCAGCGCAGAGACCGTCTTTCGCTTCTCAGTCAACGTCCTGTTCAAGTTTTGCAAGTCCTTTTCGGTGTCGAATCGTCGCTCAAGCTCGGCCACACGGTTCTCTGAATTGCGCAGCTGTCTCTTAAGAATCGTTGCTTCTTCCATAGACTTCATGGACATGGGGTCCATGCCACCAGTATTTCCATCTTCACGGATCGGGCTCTTGGGCCAGCGAGGCGACATGGTCGTTCGCGTCGTCTCGCTGATGCTGCGTGAGTGGCTGATGCGGTGGTTGAGCTGGTGTGATTCCGCACTGCCGCTGCGGCCATGGCGAACGACATTGGACACGCGGCGCAGGAGAGATGAGGAGCCCTCATCGGTGCCCAGGATTCTAGCCATGTCCTCATCCAAGCTAAAGTCGGCGCCGCTGCTCCACCTAGGCAGCTTCGGCGAGTGCTTCGGCTCAGGATCGTCGTCAGTGCCACCCATTGATCCCCGGCTACCTGGCGGTGCGGGAGCGTTTCGAGGTCGTGTGTAGGCATCAGGGGGACCCGTCTTGCTGCGTGCAACAGCAGATGGCGGGAGCTCTTTGCGGGCAAACGCCTTGGTCTCCGACTTGAGGCTACCCTTGGACAGGTCGGGGGATGTGATGGCTGATGTTCCTTCGTCCGAGGTTCCGTCCTGTGATGCTCTCTGGTAGTTGCTGGGTCGTCTGGGTGAAGGACCGTTGTTGCTGTTGAACTTGGAAGAGGCCGAGACTTCGGGGGTGCCAGAAGCAGAAAGGCTGTTGCTTCGCGAACTGGCCAGGGCTCTGGTTTTCGAAATGTCGGTCATTTTGAAGTCGTCCACGTCAGGAGACATCTTATCGGACTTGGAGTGGCGGCGAAGGCCAGGACGGCTAACACTGTCAGACGACGGCTCACGAGACTTTTCTTGAAAGGCAATATGCGGCGTCGACGCTTGCGAGCCCTCACGATTGTCAGAGGCTGAAGAGCGGCTTGTGGGGAAGTAGTCTGATTCCTTTCTGCGGTCGGTGCCTGAAGCAGGCGTGCCACCGGCCGAAGGACTCGAGTCTCGGACAAGGGAGCCGTACAGCTCGACAGGGTCTACCGGCTTGCCATCTGGCGAGCCAATGAGTGCTGAGTTTCGGTTCTTGCGGTAGGCGCTCGCCGGGAGCATAAGGCTGTCGGATTTAGTAGGCTGTTGTTCGGTAGGCGCCGGTCGTTCAGGTGAGCGGGCAGGAATAGCGCGAGGCGGGGTGTCGTTGCTTCTCGAGCCGGATCGCATCCGTGGGGAGAGCTCGTTGGGGCTGTCCTGAGGCGGCTCGTCTGTGTAGCCCTCGGTCATGTTGGGGGGCAAGGCGGGCAGGACCTTGTCCTTGATCATCGGTGAACTGCCGTCTTTCTGCGTTTTTGCAGCAGCGGCAGCCCTGGACTTCTTTCTACGTCGAGCCATTAGGGTCTCATGGCAGCCCATGCAAAAGATGCCTTGCGATGTTCTAGCGTAGCGTAGGTTTTCAATCTTACGCTTACAGTTGCGGCATCGGAAGCAGGTTGAGCAAAAGGCCTGGTCTCCGGTGAGAATGGCAAGGTCTTCAATTTTGTTACCGCATGCACTACATGAGTATGTGCAGTTGTTGCAGATGAGAGAGCCGTCACCGAGGAGGAGGAGGTTGGCGTCGGAGTCCAGGAGGGTGTTGCAGGTGTTGCAACGGAAGCAGTCGAGATGCCATCTGTTGCCAGCTGGTGGAGGAAACACGAGGTTAGCAGGCGCACGGCAAAAACGGGCAGCAGTTGACAGAAAAGTGAGTTTGGCGCCTCAACAGCCAACATGCACTCGGCACACCTTTCCCCGAGGTGAGATGGCCGACTGTCTGGCTATCTGGTACGTACCTAGCTCAAAAGCTTTGCCTTCCTCGAGGATCTATCACAACACATCAATTAGCTTCATCTTCTTCCTGCATCATCGTCATCGCCAGCTGTTTCTCCCTAGCTTTGGGAAACGGTGTGCATACCTCGCCACAGCCTTTGCAAGGAAAGACGTCATCGCTATCCATCTGGCCGTCGAGATACTCGTCCACAATGGCGGTCATTGTGTCGGAATGGGCCATTGCGGCGACTGTGTGTGATTTCGTCGGCGGCGGCGTCGCTGCGCAAACTGATTCCTGTTCGCGGGGTGGGTTGGGTTTCTAAGGAGCGCCCGCAGGCTCACTGAGCTGTCTTGTGTGTTGCCAGCAACGCTCCTTTTTCCTCACGGCTCGCTTAGTCGGGAGGGAGGCGAATCGGGACGGTTTGGCGAGAAAAGGAGTGGCGGTTGTGCGTCGTTTACGGTGGAGAGAGAGTAGAGCTGGCTGGCTGCATGCGCTGCGTGTGCAAAGGGGAAGAGGCGATTTGGGAGCAATGCAGCGCGATAGAGGAGAAGAAGGGGAAAAAACCAAGTCGAGTCGACCTGCAACAGCCGATGCGTTGGTCTATCAGCGTCGCCTGCAGTGAGAAAGGCGAAAGAGAGAAAGGCGGCCAGGGGGGGTAGCAGGCGTAGCGGAGATGAACGGCTGAGGCCAGGAAAGCAGGAGGCTTTGGAGGTACAAGGTACTTAGTTGTCTGTTCGTGGGAGCAGCTCCAGCACCCAGTAGCACACCAGAGAGGGGCCAAAGGGGCGCTGGAGAGAGAGAGGGGGCGAAAGAGGAGGAGGCGCTGGGCGTCAAAGAGTGGGCTCCCTAATAAAACGAAACACACGCTAAAACCAACAAGTACCAGGCGCAGCAAAGGTTACGAGAGAAAGTGGGAAAATGGATGGAATGAAAAAAACAAGATGAGATGGGGTATTGCTTCGTCTAGTTGTTGTTTTCTCATCTGTATTTTTATTTCAATTTTTATCTAGATAATTGGACAACGTTTACTACAATCACCAATTAACCAATTAGCAGCCACCAGGCCGCTGTCAAAAAATAAAAATTAAAAAAAGGGACGGCTCTGCTTAGTGCCAAGTTTGCTGCACGCCAGCTAACCAGCCGCCCACAACAAGTACACGGTACTCGCCGTCCCGCCTGCAGCAGCTCAGCACCAAGCGATAAAATATACTTTGCATCCTACAACAGCTGCTGAGAAACCAACCCAGAGCCTTGCTTCTTGTTCAGAGACACCAGCCCAGCCAGTTGGTCTCCCAAGAACGGCACGCGCGCATTTTTTGTTTAATTGGAAGGCCCCAAGATAAGAATACCATCTTTTTACTTGCTCACGCACAGCATCACCTAAACACACACCTACGCTGTACTGTAGTAAGTCAACCCTCCTCTGTCTCCCCCGCAGTCTGTCCTCTCCAGCCAGAGACAACCGTGATATCGCGTACCTAATCCCAACAAGCCACCCATTCTCTTCCCCTGACACACAGCAACAGTACCTGTCTCTAGGTGTTCCCCAGTGACCACATGTCATCTGCCATGCCGCTCCAATTGGCTGATCTGCAACAGCAGCACCACGCAACAGTGCTTTGCCGCCCACGCTAGAGCCTTGTTGCCGTCACTCCGTCGTGTCCATGCCACTGGAATCACTGCGAAACCCTGCAACGCCACCCGCCAAAAAACGGCCGCTTAGTGAAATACTTCTCTTTCTCTTTTTATCTGTCTTTCCGTACTGTACTCTATGTTGCCGTGCACAGGGCTCCTCGTTCCGTCGGACACCGTCCGTGCCCAACTGTTGTCATCACCAACCAACCTCCACGGCAGCAGCTAACCCGAGCATTTCGTTCTCTTGGTGATAAAATGGCCGCGGCAACAAATACCATCGACGCCATCTGCAGCGATTGATTTCATCGCATAATGCATATAGCACTAGCGGGGGACAGAGACCAAAACAGGGGCGACGGACTATGCTACTACAGTGCACCACTTACTTTTTTAACTGGCTGTGACAAGTGGCGTCATGCTGGCGCGACGCTGCCAAAACGGCCGTGGAGCAGATGTGGTGCACTTGTCGTCTCAAGCCTTGGGCTGACGCTCAGAGTTAGGCCACTTTGTCTGCCCAAAACCGAAAATGATGTGCATCGCGTGAGCGGCCGGTGTTCCACTCTGGCTCGGCTAGGTTATTTTAAGCGTGAAATGGTGGTTGGGGCGGTGCCCGGTGCGTGTTTCTCATCTATGATGCACAGTAGAGAGAGAGAGGCACGCACGCATAGCTGGAGATCGTTCCGCCGCCCATCCTCAAACAACGCCTATTTTCATGCCTCGGGAGAAATATGCTGCGTTTGTTTCCATAACTGCCGGAGCATCTGAATTCAAACACCTCATGCGCCAAGGTAAACAACACGAGAGCTTCGACCAGAGGAGCAGTAGTCGCAGCTTACTTTTTCCTCTAAGCGAGCGTCTGTGCTGATGGACGACGAACTATACCATGATGACCGCAGTACAACACATACGTCTACTAACCAATAGTAGTTTTTATTATTTCCGTCTGAAACAGCCGTCATGCTGAATCACAACTTTCTTTCCACGAATAGCATAACGTCTTGTTCGTCCTTCACACCGCCGGGTGAACAGGCGCTGTTATATCCATCCATGAAACGCTGTATTAAAACATGAAAAAAGTACATTTTACACCCAGGCTAAAACATATGATTGTTTGTGTTGTCATTTTCCCCCGCTTCGTCTCAGTTCCTCCAACCTCATCTATGCATCGGGTATCAATCCATCGTTATGTTGTCTGGTCGGCGCTCCTCATTTGCCCTGTGCCATCATCTTCTTGACCTTGTCCAATAACAGCCCACTCTCGCGGCCAAGCTTCTTCTTGCCGTCTCTTCCTACCGTCTTGGCCATGGCACGCTTGTACTTTTCTCTCTCGGCAATCTTTTCCGCCCGCTCGGCTTGCCTTCGCTCCCACTCTTGGCGGCGTTCATCAGCCTCCTTGCTGCGCTCCTCTGCCTTGGCCAGCTGCTTGTCGTAGTAGCCTGGCCGCCTTGTGCGTCTGCGCTGGCCATCACCAGAGACTTCCTTGCCCGTTGGTGTAACTCCCTCTTGGGCCTTATCCTCATCCTTAATCATGAGCTGCCTCGTAGGGTGCATCTGCTCGGCGGCGGCATCCTTGTCGTCGTCACCAGCGTCTTTGGTATCCTCTGACGTCGACTTAAACTCTCTTTCCTTAATCTTCTTGTAGGCCTTCTTCACTTTAGCCTTGTGAATGAGATCCTTCTTAATCTTGTCGACTGTGCAGGGTGTCAGTAGGAAGCATTATATGAGACGCTGTTTGTCATGCACACTGACCTTTGCGACGCCAGGGTCCGTCGGGCAAGTTTTCAGGTCCTACGCGGAAGCCATGGCGAGGCTTTTTGGCACCGGCAGCATCTCCAGTCTTGGTCGTCGGCGGTTTTTTCGGAGCCATTGTGAAGGATATGTGTGTGATTCGATGGTTGGATACTGCTCCAGAAGCTGCTTTGCTGAGAATTTTTAGCTGCAGATGCGGTTGCGCCGGGGGATCGGGCACTGTGGAGCCAGCCCGCCTGTGCGTGCAGTGCAGTACTGTACGGTGGCTTGCCACTTGTGCTGATACAGTGACAGGCTGAGAGAGACAAGAGCTGGGATGTGACTGGGTACAGAAGCAACAAAATAAAATTGATGCCAGGGTAGGCGGTGTAATTTGGTGGTTTGGGCCTTTTGGATAGTAATTTTTGGTATTTTTTATGGAATTTGCAAACTTGTCGTTGGCTAGGTCTTGCGCTTATGCGACAACACTGCCGTTGTCTCGGCTAGAGAGAATTGCATCATATGGAAAAAGACGGTTATGCCAAGATATGTGCAAAATCTACAGCATTTTGGCCGTTTAAAGCTAGCCTATTAAATAATACCGACCTGCAATATATATATTGCCAATTTATATCCCTTTCCCATTTTTAACCCGCTCATCTTACCACCACCCTACCCATACAGGTAGACCATCATGGTTCGCTACCCTTGACTTATCGGCACACGACATCGTCTCTGTACAGCGGATTCCCCACTATAACTGCCCTCATGACAGGCTCTCCCAGCGGCCACTGTGCCCATGAGCCCACTAAAACAAGCCTGTCTGCACGCTCTTTAGTGCGGGTCTCGGCCTGATACTACCGCTGGGCCTGCCCCGAACGCAGCCCAGCGAGTCACTGGACCCTCTCTGCTCTCCGCTTTCTTCTCGCCCGCCTTCTTGTCGTCCTTCGTTTTTAAACTTTCCCTCTTCCCCGAAGCCGGCACGATTCCGTCATTTTGCGTCAAAACCTTCTCGAAAATAAAATATCCCGCACCTTTCTTTTTGCTTTCGCTGCCTTTGCTGTGTATTTGCTCGACTTGCTTCTTTTGTCTGCTTCTTCGTCGACGTTTCTGCACCAAAACGCCACTCACACTCACGCACGCTGCATTCGCTGCTTTTCAACGATAGCCGTTGCACCCCTCTTTGCCAGTTAATCGTCAAATGGCCTTATAGCACAGCGTGTATATGAAGAGTTCTGCCGCCCATCAATAGCTTCGAGCCACAGCGTAGCTGTGGTTCTAGCACGCACAAGAATGCCCATCTTTAATGATGACATCGACCGCCCACGGGCTCCGACTACACTACAACAACCTCCGTCTGAACCACTACGACAGCGTATTTCACAGCAACCCTCGCCACCACACTCGCAGCCTCTCCCGTCTCCTCATAATCGCCGGCTCTCAGAAGAAAGCCTGCCGCTGGAATTATGTGAGGGCCCAATACCCGACAGTCCGATCAACCCGTCTACGCCCGAGGATGCATCCCTGCTTACCTCAGATCGATCGGTCTTGATTGAGCGTCTTAAACGAGGAGAAAGTCCAACTTGGATACCCACCAGACATGTTTGTCTCCCCCGCAGCAATGCTACGCTCTGCTCACGAAAGCTGACCTGGATATAGTACAACTCGATTCTCCAATATGACGACATCCCACCACAGCGAACGTCCCGATCTTCCTCTCAGTCGTCCAGTCTGCTTCCTGCGGCCCAGCTAACACCAGAAAAGACGGCTGGTCAAGATATTATTGACGAACGCTTCCAAGAGGGCATTGAAATCGAGAGACCCCGTTCCGCTCTTCACAGCGGTGACTTCACCCATGATGGATTACAACAGCAGCCACACAGCAGCAGCTCGTCCCAGCGACCAGATGAACGCATTACCAGCCAAGAGTCATGGTTTGCTACCTCACCTCCTCGCAACTTTCGACCGTCGTTCCATTTTGATCGCCGCCTGCCGCACTCAGAGTCGTTTCAGTCAATAACTTCTCCCCTCTCTGCTTCTCAGTCATCCACATTTGCTTATCAGCCCCCTACAAGTCCTCTCGCACAAAGCATCACCAATGACGATCTGGATCCAGCACCGTTGTCAACTGAGCGATTTGCAAACTATAGACGCCAAGTGTTCAATTTTGACTCCTCGCCATTCTCATCTCCTTCACGACCACCCGTTTCTTTCCGCCGAGAAGCGACCTTCCCATATCAGGCACACCAACCCCGCCGCTCTCTCACCAACTCAAACAGCTTTCAGCATAGTCTTTCTCCAGGAACGCCCTCTGCACTTCGAACCCGACGCCTCTCGTTTGGTTCGGAGTCATCGCCCATTCAACACGCATCCATGGTTGGATCCTATGAAGAGAGCATCCTCCGTGGACGCATGTCCAGCACGCCCTCCAAGCCGCTCGACTTTATGGCTCAGATTGGTGTTCTTGGCAAAGGCAACTGCAAGCCTAATCTGAAATGCCCACCACACGTCACCCTATCGTTCCCAGCCGTGTACTACAACTATGGCAACACATCATCAGGGCGGTCGCAAACGTCGGATAGCCCTAGTCCATATGTCGGACAAATCGATCTGGAGAATGGTCTTCCCAACGTGGAAGAAGAGCAGCGGCTGAAGCGAAAGACGCAGAGCAGGTATGCCGATAGGATTCACGCTGATGGTGACATTGATATGCTCCTTGATGGACATGACGTAGCTGTGGAGAAGCGGCCCAGCCAGCGCCGCTCGAAGAAGCCATCAGCCGGGCCCAGGGCACCACCAGGTGGAAGCTACCGTATCCCTGAGCAGGGACAGCTTCAGATTATCATCAAGAATCAGAACAAGACGGCAGTTAAGTTGTTCCTTATCCCATACGACTTGACTGGGATGGAGCCAGGCACTAAGACATTTATCCGCCAACGAAGCTACTCCAACGGCCCAATTATTGATGACGACCGCGTGTCCAAGGTTGATCCGCTCAACCGCCCAATGCTGCGGTACCTTATCCACCTGCACATATGCTGCCCATCCAAAGGCCGCTTCTACCTGTACAAGAGCGTGCGGATTGTGTTTGCCAACCGCGTACCCGAAGGCAAGGAAAAGCTGCGCAACGAAACGACCTGGCCTGAACCACGGTTCACGCCGTACAAGCCCATCCGGGTCATGAACACGGCCGCGCTGCCCAGCAGCCCAAGCATGATTCTACCTGCCGAGACAGCTTATCGCCGCCGCAGCTTGGGGTACTCGTCGAGCGAAGCAAGCCGCGCTGCGTATGCTCCTCTGGACATGCGCCAGAGCAGCAACATGCCAAACTTTGGTTCCTCATCGCGGGGTAACACGCGCATGATTGATGCCGTTCCGTTTGTATTCCCGCGGCGCAGCGGCAGCGGCAGTAGCAGCGCCAACGACGGCGAGATTCCTAGCGTTGTCGTGCGATCCCCCAGCTCTGGCCAACCCAGCCGTCCTTCGACGGAAGATTCGTCTGATCATGTCTGGGGCGCAAGCATCTACGAGAAGCTGACGAAAGGCGACTCGCGATACGGCGGGAATGCGTTTACTGAGAGCGCAGTGGCTGCGTCTCCGTCTGAGGGTCTGCTGTCGCGGCGTCTGAAGAATCTCGAGATGCAGACGGCTGACCAGCAGAAACCGTCACCGAGTGGCGACCCGTTTATTTAGAATATTCTTATGTTTATTATTTATTATTTATTGTTTATAGAACTTGGTTGGGGGCGTTTTGTGATACCAGGCCACGGGTCCGATGACCCGGCATTATTAATAGTACTCACCATTTCCACTCGTTTCTCGTCTCTACTGTGCTCATAACATCTCCACATATGTACATGTATTTCACATCATCCATCTACACCATCCGTATCATCCTTCTACAACATCATCTACACTAGTACTGTGTTTTCTATGGGACTGCCATTCATTCTTTATATTTTGTTCTATTCAATATCGTACAGTTAGGTATTATACAACAACTACAAATCTACATACTCTTACACTACACTTATGTCACTGTTCGCTCGGTAGCCTTTCTAGCCTTCTTCTTCCTATCCAGCAGCCGCAACTCCTTCTCCAACACCCTCCGCATCTCCACCAACTCCGCCAGCTCAAGACCCTGCAGCGCCTCCTTCGCCACCTTATTCATACTCATCGCGCGCGCCAGTGTATCTGCCGCACCACCACCACCGCTCCACTGCACCGGCAGATTCTCATAGTCTGTGTCCATAAACGCCTGGTGAAGCAGCGGGTACTTGCGCTCCGTGTCGTTGAAGTCGGCACTCACACTCGCCGACCACGCTGCCAGTCTTCGTAGACGCAACCAGTTGCGCTGTAGCGCAAGTACCGTCTCGCGCCACGGCACGAGGTATCGCACATTCGTGAGCAGTTTGCCTGAAGATGACGACGGGCCGGGCGACCAGCCGCGCCAGCCGGGCATGAGGGTTGCTTCGCACATGGCCATGGCGGCGTGCCACTGGTTTAGGTCCGCGAGGGCCTGCACGAGAGTGTTGGCTGCGGGCCGTGTGAAGCGGAATCCGGCGTCTGTGGCGCGCGAGACAATAGAGAGTAAAGTGGTGCCGTCGCGCTGGGCGCGGAGGGAGCGTGCGAGGATCGTGATGGGCCGGGATAGGGAGTACCGCGGGCCGGGGAAGATGGTGGGCGAGTCGGGGCGTTTGTTGGTGGCGTAGAGGGTGTCGTAGTGGCGTGTCCAGAGGGCGAGGAGGTCTGCGTGGCGGTTATCTCGGAGGTAGGCCTGCATGAGGGCGGCGACGAGGTTGGGCGGGAGCGTGGGGGACGGGAAGAGCGAGGTGTATACGGTGACGAGGGACTCGGCGTGCTCGAACTCGCGCAGTTGGATGAGAATGTGGGCGGCGCGGCCGATGAAGCGTGTGAGTTGCTTGAGTTCGGCGGGGTTTGAGGTTGCAGGTTGCTCGCGGAGCGCGGTGACCATGTCGGCGGCGAGGACACGGGTGCGTTGTGCCGTTGGGTTCTTGGTGTATGCGGCTTCGGCGAGGGAGACTTGGGCGTTGAAGGATGTGCGGAAGCCGGCAGCACGCATGGCGGCCTCGAGGGGCTCGAGGAGGGCTGTTTCACCGGCCCGTGTGGCACCGGCAATCACAATGGCAAAGTGGTCGGCACGGACGGGGAAGAGGCCGTCGCGGTAGGCAGACCGGAGGAGTTGGAAGGCCGCTTGGATCTGATTGACCTTGACGAGGGCCTGCAGGAGGAACTCGTGTGTCTGGTGGTCCCAGGCCACGCCAGCCTTCTTCATCGCCTGTAGCAGCTCCTGGCACTTGGCAATGTTGCCCTGGAGGCCGTTGTGGTAGATGAGCTCGTTCCAGACGAGGCTGCTTGTTGCGCCGCGCGAGGCGAGCGCCATGCAGATTTGCTCGGCGTCTTTGATTCGCCCGCTGCGCAGGTATGTCATGATGAGGCCCATGGACATTTCCTTGGAGATCTTCACTCGCATCGCCTGCGACTTGTTGAACAGCTCTAGCGTCTTGTCGACGTCGCCCTTCTTGGCGCTCATGGCCATGGCGTGCGCAAAGGTGAATGTGTCGGGTGTGAAGCGCGTGCAGATATCGTCAAAGCAGGCCATGGTCTTGTTGTAGTCCTCGGCCCGCATGTAGCATTTAAGCAGGGCGTTCCATGTAGATAGGTCCGGCTTGACTTTGTACTCGGTCTCCATCTTCTTGAGTTGGATTTCCGCAGCTTCCACGTCGCCGACTTGCGCGTAGACATTCATGATGCTGCGAAAGCCCATGGGCACTTTGAGCATGAGTGGAAAGTTGACGACATAGCGCTTCCAGAGGTCCTGGACAGTTTGCACATCACCCTTTGCAGCGTAAAACTTCATGTACTTTTCAAAGCCCCAGCGGTCGAGTTCGCCGTGCGAACCGTGCCAATCCTTGTAGAGTTCTTCAAGGCCGGCAACGTTGTCCGGGTAGTAGAGTTTGAACATGCCCTTGAGCACGCCTCGGGGAATTTGATGATAGGGGAGCTGTCGGTACGCACGGTAAATGGTGTCCATTTGAGCCAGGGATACCTTTGTTGTTTCGCTGTCCTTGAGTCGTCGGAGCATGAGTTCCATGTAGCGCTTGTACATGTTGGCTTCTTGGAAAATGGCCAGGATTTCCATGGCTTCTTTCGGAGGGCATGCCTGGAGGAGAGCTGCCTCTGCAAACTTGTGTCGGAAATCGTCTAGCGCGTCCTTGGACCGTCTTGCTAGGCTCATGGTCGATCGAAGGTGCTGCTCAAAGTGCAGGAATCGTCTTCCTAGGTCTGGGATTTCCTCAATTGGTCGTAAAAATTGGATGGTGCGGTCAATGGTGGCTGAATTGAACTTGCTTGATGCCGTGTCGTTGGTGGCGTGTGACTTCGCGTGCAGTGCTTCGTAATATTTTCTCCAAGTATTCAAGGCCACCGTCCAATCCTGCCTTTGAATAGCGTTGCTGATGATGTGCTCAACACCTCCTGCAAAGCCTCTCGCCTTCAAGGCCTTTTCAAACGTGTCGACTGCCATTTGCAAGTTTCCCGACACCAACATGGCGCGGATGCCAGCAGCAACTAGTTCGTTTGTCCACAGAGTCTCATCTTGGTGCTGGAATAGATACAGGGCTCTGCCACCTTCAACGATACTATTCGATTTCGAGAGGTATATAGTGACCTGCTCGCGGTACTTATTTTGGTCGGCCTCAGGGATCGACTGGTAGAGGTCCCAGATTTCGTGGTATTTCACTTCGATTGGGAACGACAGCAGATCTTGTAATGCACGAACTGTTTCCTTTGTCTTTTGAATTTCGCTTTGATCTTTGGAGTTGCTCTTCTTATGCAATGCGGGCTCGTCATGAGATGCTATTTTCGATTCGGAGCCGGACAGTACAATGGTCTCGCCGTCGCTAAAGCGCAGCGTGGCATCGCTCGACGAAGCATCTTGTACATGCCGTGCTGAGCTAAACAGTCGTTTTGTCTGACCATAATGTGACTTTGTCGTCTTCTGTATCTGATTTAGATTCAAAGTTGCTATGCGAGTGGAACATTGACCGATGCTGGGATACAAAAAGTCCATCAGCATTGGCGAAGCTGCCACAGCAGACTTGGCGTCTGCAGCTGCCACTAACTGCCCATTATTATCGTCCTTTACTAGAAGACATGATCTCCTAGTAGAAGAGTGTAATCTGCGTCGACAATGATGCAGTCGCCGTGATGTCGTGGCCGATTTGCAGATGACGCGCTGGAGCTGGCCGCCCTCGAGGCCGGCCGCTGTTCGCTCCAGCATCTGTAGTGCTATTCTGCCGCTGCGCCTTGCGACAGAATCACTACTCGCTCAGATTCCAATGGCTTAGTAGTGCCACGACATGCTCGATCGGGGGTTCGGCTGAAGGTTGAAAAAAGTCGACTGGGTAGGGGTCGTGTGGGTGCGGATTGTTGCGCCTGAGGCACCAGGGTGTGTGAACAAGCACAGACAAAGAGTCTCCGGACGACGGGTAATATCAATTAATGCCGAGAACCTTCCACGCTCGAAAAATAAGGCACAGTTGCTGCGAATGTCCAACGACGCTGTTCTTGCGATTGTCCCTTTTTCTCACAGTGTTGCCAGCGCAGGCCAAAAAAGTTGTTGGCGAGCAAGCTTGTCTCCACTTGCCAAATTAGGCCGACGCTTATATGCCCAATCAGACCATTGTGGTTACCTTACTGAGCAACGTCTACATAGAGTCACCAGGAAGCGTTCACTAGATTTTAAAATAGAAATATTTAATAATTCATATTTACAGCCTAATCATGCTATCTGATCGTCCATGCAATCTGATAATGCTCCCCCGGTAGCGTGGGCCAGTCTCATTGGACGGCCGGTAAAAGTGTAAAGTCCATTAACATACGGGCCTGCGTGTCGATAAAAGTTCAGGCAAAATAAAACAGGATAAGAAAGGAAGAAAATGATTAGAAAAGAAATGGTAGGGAAGGCAAACACTCTCTCCAGAGAGTAAAACTGTGGCGCTGACTTGGGATGCATCGGCACTAGGCCGTCACCAGGCGGAAAATAGAAAAAAAACATGACGTCTGTCCTCGTATCGAGGAGCGAATCGGGTATTGTGATCGGAGCAGATGTATGAATCTGCCGCTATTCTTCAGCTGGAAGATAGCATCGGGTATTTTGGTAATCGACTTTTTTGTGTGGTGTGGTGTACACGTATTGTACAACAAAGTTATTGTTTGTTCGGCAGTAGACAGCGTCTGATGACCCAACAATCGGTGCAAGGCCGGACATTGCCGGCTTAAACCTCAATGACTTGAATGGAGGGCACTCTCATGTCCGATTCAGCAAAGGAAGCTCGCGTTCTGCTGCGTGTTCTCTGGCGGCGTCGGAGGGCACGATGACGAGAAGGAGAGCGGGTACGGGATGGGCAGTGCTCGCGGCGGGCATCCCGAGGGCGATTGTGCTCAATTCTCTTTCGCGAGGGTGATCGAACAGACGAAGAAGCGTCTCTAAAGGCAGGGCGTGACCTGGAGCGGCCTCTGGATCTGCCACGGAGCGTGCTAGACTCGACGTCACCTCGGAGAGAGCGGATCTCAGGTCTAGTGGGAGATCTGTCACGCTTGCGGCCTCTGGTGACGGTTTCCGAGTCAGTAGAGCGGTGCAGGCTGCGAGGTTGTCTCTCGAGATCCATGTTGGCGGCCATGGCGGTGGTGTGCGTTGGTGAAGAAGATGTGGTGGTAGCGGGTGTCGCTTGCGTAGGCGGCATAGAGCTACAAGTAGTTGACGGAGGGTGGTGTGGTGTAGCACAGCTAGACAAAGGCAGTCGTGGTAGAAGACAGAAGAGTAGTTTGTAAAGGTAGACGAAGAAGAAGAGGATTGGGATCTTTTTATTTTTTTCAAAGGAGAAGGAAGTGGGAAAAATAAGTACTTTGGCAGTGCCGGCCAGAGGAGGTGGTGTCAACCTGGGGCCATCTTTTAATACACTTCTGGGGGGGGCCTTGCAACGACAGGGCGCGACATGGCCATCGCACTGCAGTGGTGCTGGTGTTGGTGCTGGCGTTGGTGCCCCCCAAAACCCATTCCAACGCCCACACCACCCCTACAAGCACAGCGCTGCACCGCACACAGCAGGGCGCGCCAGGCGCAAACAAGCACTGTGCCATCGTCATACCCACTGTAATTTTTACAGTGCTCAGCGGCACCGTACAGCGCGTCTCACACCCCTGCCAGCGCCAGTGCCAGTGCCATGTACTGTGCCGTCGCCATCGACCAGCACCACCCCTCCCCCAAAACGCGCCGTGTCCTGCACTGTGGTTGTCTCTCCTCTTCTTCTCTCACACAACCACCACGCTAGTCGACGCCCTCCTCGCTCCTCGCGCTGCTGCTTGCTGCTGCTGCTTCGTGCTATGACATGCAAGCCTCGCGATCTGGGCGGCGCGCCATTCGTTTGCCTCACTCTCGCCAGACCCAAACGCGTTAGCACGCCTTGCCGGCAAAGCGTCACATGAGCACTTCCTCTTTCCTCCCCTCCACTACACTACGCTAGAAACTCTCCTTTGACTACCGGTACCGTATGTACGTAGCTTGTACGCTAAAACGAGCTGGGATGGCACCTTACGTTAAACTGCAGACTTGGCCTAACGGGGTCTAGTATGAGCCCGGGAGTCAGAGCCGCTACATGGGGCCATCAACCTAGCATTAGGCCCCGTATGTCTTAGTGGGCGGTGGTAATGGCCAAGGTCTGGGGAACCGAAACATTGGTATGGCCTAAAGGGGGACATCGACATGCAAGGGCCGCTCCTGGTGCGAGACCGCGCATTGCAACATGACGCCTATGGTGTACCTGTGTTTGTCATGGCCGAATGCTGATCTGCCTCCATGACGACTTTGTTGCACCGGTGTGTCAATCTCGCACATCTCGCCAGTGCTGCCGTGCCGAGACAAACTCTCTCCTCCCCTCTGGCAACGCCTACTGTACTTTCTTGCTTCCCGGCGATGACTCCCATGGTTTGGCGCTCTTTGGTGGAGCAGGCAAGCAGCCACCAAAAAGGCATTATTGGCTGACACTGGCCCTCTGCCGTTTTAGCTTGCATGCCGACACCCACACCAAGAAAACAAGGTCGCCCCCAAATGTGAGGTTCCAGTAGGCAAAAGCCCAACCCAGTACCATGGAACCTGCGTTGGCGCTAGACCAGGCTCATCCCTGCAAGCGTCGCGGGCAATAGCAAATGACTGGCATTGGGCGAGACATGCGGCACCACTGTTTGCTTGTTCCCAGGGGAGAGTGGAAAAAGTCTTCACGACATGCGTCGAAAGACAAGACAAAAAAGTAAAGCGGGAAATCAGGCCACCATCAACAGAGATAGGAGAGCGGCACAACGCAATGCGAGGCCGTCGCCTAGCGGCGGAAGCCTGCGTGCACCTACTTGCTTGCCTAGCTGCTGCCACGCGTAAACGGGCTGCGTCATGGACAGACGCTTCACTGTCATGACTGCCGTTAGCCTCCACTGCCTGCGTAGTTTACTTCACTGTGAGGCGGGCTACGTGCTGCTGGCTGCTGCAAGCCATGGCTTAGGCGGCCGTATCCGACGCCAGATGCACTGTACGAAGCAAGATCCGAGGAAATGCGCACGCAAGCAGCCCGACGCTATTCCCCCGGCGGCCCTGTCGCTCCCTAAATGATTCTCGTACTGCATGGGTGTTGCGGCATCACGGGGACCAGCAAAGTGCTTCGAATAATCTTCTGCCGCCACCGCCGGTCTTCCACACAATGGATCCAGCTCGCCCCAGCATGGGTCGGATAGCAGGGCTGCAGTCTCCGCGTCGCCACCGGCTAGGGGCCTACGGAGAGTTAATTAGACGTGAGAAGCCGCTCTTGTCGCCAGGCCGTTGGCCGGTGCAGCGAAAGAAAAGCTTTTTTCAGGGGATTAGGAGGCCAGCCTCAGGGGTGTGCCTGGGCACGAGATGACTGGCACGTTGGGCCGGGGCATTTCTATCGAAACAGAGCTTGAGTGCAACGCTGCATCGGGTTCCCGGCAGTGGACTGGCTGGTAGGGCATCAATGGAAACTGAATGCCTGTCTGTGGTTGTATACAGCATACGAGTATGTGCTGTTGATATTAGACAAGGCGAACGAGTTTGGCATGCATGCATGTATATGCAGACCATGTGAGTGCTAGGCTTGGTAGCCAAGACCACAGCCTGCGACCGCCCGTTTGTGCCGTTTGCTTGGCTGGCTCTATACGCGCAACGTCCAATTCTGGGCAATCACCATGTTTTGGGCAGATTTCGGGTATAGATTGACAGAGTGGTGGTCCTGGCAGTCACACGGCATGTTCGGTGTCGGCGTGCATCGTTGCCTTGCGCCTCATAGAGCCTTTCACTTTTATGGCATTTATAAGCGCTGTTTGAAGGAAATGGGGGTTTGAAATGAGAAATCTCCTGGCGCATGGGTAAGTCTGTTTGTATAGTACGTATCTGCTGGGTTTAACGTCAGGGTGTGCCTAATTCAGCATCCACGCCGAGTTGAGTCCAGGACTTGATCAACCGTACACTGGTGCCGAGGTTTCAATTTGACTTTGAGCAGTTATCCAGTACATGTAGAATATATACTGGATACGACGAAATATGCCGAGGGCGCACAGCATTCTCGGTTTCGTGGACTAGGGAATCTGCGATGCCCATCTTGGGAGTCACCGGCTTATTGGAGAGGCAATCTGGGTCAGTCGCACAGTTGATTGGTCTGTTTAGTCGAGTGTGCCATGAGTTTATATTATGTAAGCAATTTGCATCTGAATTTTCTACGATAAAATACACTCTATTGCGTTTGGCACCATCTACTAAACCCTAATGACGAAGGCACATCGTAACTAGAGGCTTATTGTAGCTGGTGCGTGCCGCAACATAAGCATTCCCTGAGTGCGTATCAAGACAGATATGACTCGACGAGTTGGTCGATAACAAGAGATTTGGATCTACTTTGCCCATAATCATCACAGATAACATCTGCCTAGCCTAGATGTACACGTATTGGTTGAGGCAGTGCTTCGCGACGTCAAGGACCAACACGTGATAGCATCTTTGCCTTGGAATATCCGTATAAGTCACAGACGCGAAATTATAAAATAAAAAAAACAAAGGAAAAGAAATCTGCCTAGTGTAAAATTTTGATTTCACTGCCCTTGTCATTGTCACAGCCTGCCTAGGCCTCCATTTTAGAACAGTCATTGGTACGCGGCCTGTTAGCTTCTGACTCACTGAAGTTCGAACATCAGAGTACTTATGAGGCGTCGTCAGCCGCGTTAGTGACTACACACTAGACTGACGGAAACCCCGCCTCTTTAGCGCTCGTCTCCACTACAGCTTCACCAGCAACTTACACGCCAGCTTCACCTGCACCGTGGAAGGAAAGCAACTTGAAGTCTCTTGAAAAGAAAAGAAAAAAATGACAACGGTGGCAGCCGAATCAGGTGCCATAAGCGACGACTGGCAGGATGTTGGCGATGTCGAGTCCGTCAAGTCGCTGCCCATCAACGATGACGAGGCCGTGAAGACGCCGCCTAAAGATGTTGTCGCTGCGACTGCTACTGCTACTACATCTGTCGTTGTAGCAGACGAAGCGCCTATCACCAAGCATGAGAATACGAATATCTCTGCAGAGGTACAGCAGCCAAAGGAAGCACCAAAGGCGTGGACATCGGCAAGCTCGACACAAGCCGTACTCCATGCGAATACACAACCAGCCAAGACTCAATCAACACCCACACCTGCGCCGATACGACGCGTGATACGGACGCTCGCTGCTTACAAAGAAGCACTCCTCGAACTCAAGGGCCAACTCGGTGAAACAGTCCTCATCCTAGACGCTCTGGCAGATGCTGGTGGCGCCTTCAATACAGACCTCCGCGACACTCTAGAGACACTGAAGCAGCAGACAGCCGCACTCAGCCAAACAATATACCTGAGCACCCGCCTCTACGACGCACAAAACGGCAGCTCTCGCGAGTCTACTGTACCTGTCAACGCCAGCCTGGGCGACTGGCTATCCAATGCGCTGCGGCAAACCGAGGCCGCCAAGAATGAGCTCCAAGCAACGGAGAACAACGACATTGGCACTCCAGCCAGCGAACTGCTCGTGCTGTCCATGACCATGGAAGAGTTTCTACCGGTATTCCAAGCGTACGTCCCTATTTTGGCTATACAACTGCCCATACGACTAACAGTCGCAGCGAGTTCGAGCTCTACCGCCAGGAGATGCAGGAGAACGTCCCTGTTGCACGACCAGCCCGCCAGAACCCGATTCCCGATATCACCAAGCTGCGCGCCGCGCTAACCGGCGCCAAAGACAACTTGTACTCTGTATCAGAGGTTCTCCGGACGGTGCTTCCGTCGGCGCTCGACGAATCTGAGCACCGCGGGGCCATGGTCGAAATGGCGTGTTCCAATGCAGACGCGCTCATGTCACTTATCACGGTAGTGTTGGCAACTTATGCCGGCGAGTGGGTGACGTGCCATCACATTGCGTCTGCGCCGGACGCGATCTCGTTCAACGAGTTTGCACAGCTAGATAGCAGCGTGGTGCAGGATGTCAATGACCACTTGGAGGACTTTTTGAAGAAGTTGACGCCAAAGGTGGACAATCCCGCGGCAGATGTGCTCCTTGGGCATCGCTATGTTATGCTATTTGAGTCTAAGCAGCTCGACAAGGTATTAGCTACCCTTGGTCTTCTCCAGGCGATTCTAATCCCTGGCGGAAGAGACCAGCAGCAGCAGTAGTAAAACAGTAACCGTAGTAAATACATGCACATCTACTGCATTCATGCCCCCCTTGTTAAATCTTAAAAGACCCAATATCAAATATCGCTATGCTTATCATCCGTTTGCTTCTGCCTATGCTTCTCCCAATCATCCTCCGTCATACAAAAGATGAACTCATCATGATACTTCCTATCCATCCAAAACGCCTCCTTCAATTTACCCGTCTGCTCAAAGCCCAGACTCTTGCACATCTCAATGGCCGTCGTGTTGAACTCAAACACCGAGTGATGCAGCATGTGCAAATTGGCATGACGAAACGCCCAGTCAACGCCCCAAGTCAGAGCCTCACGGCCGTATCCCATGCCACGATGCCTCTTGGCAAGTATGAGGCCAATGTCCGCGTTGCGGTTCTGCTGGTAACACCCAGCGAGGCCGCCCCAGCCAATCCATAGCGTGCCGATGACGGTGCGCCGCGGCCTATCGCCCGTCGGCTTGAGGCAGATGGCGACGCCGAGGAGCGCCTTGTCGAACTGTTCGACTAGGAAGTCGATGTCGCGAGGCGATTGGGGCCGTAGGAGCATGTTGTATGTGAGGGCCTGCAGCGCAGGCTCGGCAAACATGTCGTCGAGGGTCACCATGTAGACTTCACTCTTGGGGTCGATGGGCGCGAAGATGAGGCGCTCCGTCTCAAAGGCATTGCCGAGGGTTTCGATAACCGACATGACTACTGACTTTGTGAAGAAACACAAACAGTACTATTCCTGAAGACGAAAAGGGCCTTTTGTGGAATAGGCTGCTTTTTTATCTTTTCAGCTCACAACTCCGCAGCGGCAGCCTATTCCCTGCACCCATGGATTGGTAGCCTGGTGCGCATGTTCGCCTCGTGTACACCGTATCCTGCACTGAGCGTCGATCGCAGCCTTGTGCTCCGTTTCCAGCACCACTGAGTCCCGGCTGAAGGTGCATGATGCAGCTGTAGACGAGGTGGTGGGGGAGGTATCTGCAGGGCGCTGGCTGCATTAGCTTGCTGACTTTGGTTGTTGGCGATGGGTAAACGGTTAAGCCGGCAGGCAGCCTTGCATACAGAAAGTGACCGAACATTGTATTATATTACCATTCTGACTAGCATATTCTCACATATAGTAAAAGCGAACAAATTTCAAGTAACGATACTACAAATAGCGATAGATTCTGCCCTCATGTCCATCTACTTGGACACCCTGCACAAGCCGGCATCGTCCCAGTGCTCACTGCCCACGCCGCTGCGAACAATAAACAAATTCTTCGGGTCAACCTTTTGCTTGATGGCGTACAGTCTGGGGTAATTGTCGCCCCAGAACGACTGCTGAAAGTTGACCTCGTACGGATCCGCCTCGTTCTGGTACGCGCCCATATCGGGCTCCAGCTTCTGCAGAATAGGCAGCTCGATCGTATTCATACTGTTTCTGATGGCAATCACCTCTTCAGCCGTCGCAGTGCTGTTCCAATCCCTCCCAAATACAATGTGCGTCAAGGCCCGGCGCCACGCAGGGTTCAGCGCAGACGAAACGTGCTTGTTACGAGCAACCTGGCCGCCAGCGACAAGATGGCCCGTGTAGCCCGTGGTATCCTTGATTTCCTGGATATCCCGAAGCGCCTTGGTAAGCTTGGCAGGACCATCTTTCGTCTCCAGGAGCTTGCGCGAAATCAGACGAGATCCCGTCATGACAATGCCGCCGAGGCCGTCGCTGTGGCCGCCCATATCAGTCAACCCCTGGGTGAGAGCCTGCGAGATGTGTGGGACAGGACCAAACACGTAGTCGAGGCCAGGCATGACTTTTTGACCTTCAGCTTTAATGGCGTCAAGGACCTTGCGGGTAGCAGCTTGGTCGGTCACATTGACAAAGAAGAGCTGCGAGTTGACGGAACCGACGGGGTTGGCGGAGCTCTTGGGGATGACGGAGTAGTAGCCGCTGCCACCAGCGTCAGAGACTGCAGGAAGCAGTGCGTGGAATTTCTCGACCAAGTTCCAGTAGGCCGTCGGATTGTTGGTTGTATCGTTGATGTTGAAGACGGCAAAGATGGTGGGAACATCGGGGTATGTGCGAATCGTGACGCTGGTAACGACGCCAAAGGTGCCACCACCTCCGCCACGCAGAGCCCAAAAGAGGTCTGTGTTTTGGATCGAGTTTGCTGTGACATGTTTGCCCTGTTATCTTGTTAGCTTCTCCGTCTTCCAATGGGGTGGGTTATCGAGCTTACATCGGCCGTGACGACGGTGAACTCGAGGGCATTATCAACCGCCATGCCCTTCCACGGTCCGAGAGGCGAGTGTCCGCCGCCTTGCATGTATCCGCCAGCCGCACCGACAGTATGAGACAGGCCGATGATGACACTCTTATTGTGCGCCGCAGCTTCAGCATAGATGCCCTGCAGGCGGGCACCAGCGCCAAGAGTAACAGCCGACCCCATGGACTTTTTGCTCTTACACCCCGACGAGCCCGTCAAATAGAAATCGTCGACAAATTTCGTAGTGTTCATCTTAAAAGTCGAGATTTGGAGAGAATCAGGAGCAGACGAGCGGCCCAGGAAGCAGTGGCCTGTGTTCTTAATGGCAAGACGCAGGTTATGCTCAGCAGCAAACTTGACAGCGGCTTGGATGTGCTCGACTTTCTCAACAACAGCCGAGTACAGCGACACGCGGCCCTGTTTGCAGGTTGCTTGACGGGGAAGATCGAGATAACAAGTCTCATTTTGCTCCGTCCATGCTTCCCAGTTCGTCCACTGGACTGCACCGGGCTGCTGGACACGCCAGAGCGAGTCGCTCGACATATTCTGGACAACAGCGCACGCGGCATCGCTGAAGTTGGGATCGTGGCAGACAGTGCCCACAGGCTTGACAGCGTGTAAAACACCGTCCATGGAGGCATTGAGGGCTGTCCATGTATCTTGCGATGGCCAGCACGGCTCGTGTGGGCGACAGCGACAGGCATCGGTGCGCTCCACGACAGCAGATGCCGCCAATGGGGCAAGTAGTGGGAGAAGAAGAGGAGCTTGTTTCATAGTGAATACTCTAAAGAAAAGGGGAGTGTGTTGTGTTTGTTGATACCACTCTAGATTGTCTTCACTTTTGGGGGCCGTCTCCTTGGACTTATATACACAATCCAATACATTGTACAGCCTCTTCTTCTATACATTAGATTTTCTAACCCAGTGTAAAAAACAGGCTCTTGAACTTGGATGCTCGCCCGGCCTCATCTCCGTCTTCCACACGTTTTTCCTAATTCGGTATTATGAAGAGAGGATTTCGCCGCTCAGCCCGGCCAATACGATCTATGCGGCCGTCGCGCATTTCCCGTTGCAGCGAATCCCGGTGGGGCGGGCGTCTTTTAGAAGGTACAACAGGTAATGTAATTTAGTAGGCTGTGCTAGGGGCCAGCTGTGCCGTGCTGTTGGATGTTTTAGTGGGCTAACGTCGCAATGACGCCTTGCAGAATCGGGAAAAATCATGGACAGTTTGTAGAGGTATTGATGTGCAAGTACCGATTGTACCTATTTCTTGTGTATTTCTATAACAATTTTAAAAATTCATAGACAAACATTGCCCTACCTAGAAGCTCCCCTAAATGCGCTTTCTACAGCGCCCACGTCCACTGTAAACCCTCTTGTAATACACTGTGACACCTGGCAGCGCCAGAATTTCACATGGGCCCTTGTACGTCTGCCTGCGCTGCCACGCGGCCAAAACATTTTGTCCATCACTCACCACCACTCTCCTATCCCAAGCAACAACTACATCCCATCCCGCCACGATTAGCGTGCAAAGCCACACTCCGACAACATCGCATTCCTCGCATCGCTCCCTCCGCCCACCGAACCCGATCGATCCTGACGTCAACGGCCGCCCCCCTATCGCCTCGTCCATCATCTATGGCCCATTGCTAGAATGCCTCGCCAAACAGGCTACGAGCGCCTCACGCAGGCCGACGACTCCGACGACGAGCCCTCCTACGCACCCATCACACGGCCCTCCGGCCACCGCACCCGCACGCGCCGCTCCAACTCGGGTGTCGACATCAAAGCCATCAATGCCCGCCTCGAGCGCTGGGCCGACGAGATTGCTTCCAAGTTCAAGCGCCGCCGGCCCTCCAATGCCGCCGAGGAAGACCGCCTCGAGATCCAGCACTCGGTGTTTCGCGCCCCGGATGGCGTGCGGCCCTTGACGCAGCGGGAGCTTGCGGAGCTGCCTCCCGCGGGCGCCATGACGGATACCGAGTTCGAGGTGGTTGTTGAGAGCGTCCGCGCGGCGATTCGCCAGCAGGTCCATCCGAGTATGATTTCGCAGGGCAGCTCGGGCAGTTATTTTGCGAGAAACCCGGATGGCAAGATTGTCGGCGTCTTTAAGCCCAAGGACGAGGAGCCGTATGCGGCTGGTAATCCGAAATGGAACAAGTGGATTCATAGAAACTTGTTCCCGTGCTTCTTTGGCCGCGCATGGTATGTTCTTTTAACCTTCGCTTGCAAAAGAGAGAGAGAGTTGATTGTAGCTAACAGATGTATAGTCTGATTCCAAACCTGTCGTATGTATCCGAAGCAGCCGCGTACGTCCTCGACCTGCATCTCCGCACCAATCTCGTCCCGTATACGGCCGTTGTCAATCTATCATCAAAGTCGTTCCACTACCCATATCTAGCCCGCCGGGCATTCTACCGCAAAAAGAAGCCGTTTCCGGCAAAGCCTGGCTCGTTCCAGGTCTTCCTCAAGGGCTTCAAGGACGCCAATGTGTTTCTTCGAGAAAACCCTTGGCCGGATCAGTACTGGGCTGGCTTCCGCGGCGACTCGAATGGCCGGCGACGCAAGAAGAAGACGTGGACCGAGAGCTGTCGGCCCTCTACATCAGGTACAGCCGATCTGGAGGCTGGGCAAAATGACGACTACGAGAGCGACGACGAGACGGAGGATGGAGAGGAGCGGTTTAGATGGACCGACGGACTCAAGCAGTCGTTCCGAGAAGAGCTGGAGAAGCTCGTTATTCTCGACTACATTATGCGCAATACGGACCGTGGACTGGACAATTGGATGGTCAAGGTAGACTGGGAGACGGGTCAGGTGTCTATCGCATCCGATCCCGTCCGCCTAAACATGAACACAGAAGAGGCAGAGGCCGATGACGAAGCTCGACCAAGACCCGTGGATGCAGAGAATATGCCTACTATGCCTGCTACGGCATCTTACCCGTACACAAAGCAGCGCCCAATGCAGGCAGCATCAGGAAGTCGGTCGAGAGAGCCAGCCATGGCTCTTGGTGCTATTGACAACTCCTTGTCGTGGCCATGGAAGCACCCCGACGCATGGAGAAGGTATGTCGTTCCTCGTAGCCGTTTTCACGTCACATTTACTAACTCAGTGACAGTTATCCGTTCGGGTGGCTTTTCTTGCCCGTCGATCTCATCGGCCGACCGTTTTCGCAAAAGACACGCGACCATTTCCTCCCGCTCCTCACTTCCACGGCCTGGTGGAGCGAGACCCAAACGGCGCTCAAGCGCGTCTTCCAAATCGATGAAGACTTCCAAGAACGCATGTTTGCCAAGCAGATTGCCGTCATGAAGGGCCAGGCTTGGAACGTGGTCGAGGCGCTCAAGTCGCCCGACCACGGCCCGCTCGAACTCACCCGTCGCGCAAAGGTTTGTGTCTGGGATGACTTGGTCGATGTGCCCGTGGCCGTGCCCATGCGCGCCACGTCGTCCGAGGTTCGTCGCCAGTCCGCGTCATATCATACCCGTCGCCCGTCTCGCCCGTCCATTGACGAGCTCGACATTGCCAGCTCCCTGCCGCCAGCCAAGACGGCTGACCTGCTCTCCATGGAAGCCGAAGAGGGTGCGGCGCCCGGCCCGGCCGACATGCCTCATCCCGGCCGCTTTGAAATCGGTAGCCCCAATGATGAATCTTCCCTATCCCCTACGCTTGTTGCTGCAGATGCGCATCTCGAACGGCCCAAGCTCAACGCCTACGAGCCGCAACGGGGCACTCCCCGGCAGCAGCGCAGGTACTCGTTCGCGCCGGGTCCCGCTCGCCGCAACAGCAACTCCGTTGCTGCCCAGCTCTACGACGACGGCGATGTCGATGGCGACCTGGGCTACGCAGCCGCAGAGGGTCAGATTGGCCAGCAGCGCAAGGTCATCATCGAGCGGCTCGAGCCTGTCAAAGCACGCAATCCCGTATTCACATGGTGCTAAGCGACCAGCCTGTCCTGTCCGTAAGCATTCCATGAAATGGATCAAACTTGTGTCCGTTGGGGTTTCCAGTTGTCTCCTCTTCGCGTCACCGCCAAGAAGCAGGACTCTTTGGTCGCCTAGAACCGGCTTTGGCCCCGCCTCAGGTCGGCCCCGCCACCTGGTTCCAAAGCCTTGGGGCGGACAAAGGAGACGTTCTATTTTCATAATCCCGCTATTTGCGCTCCGCAAATACAGTCAGCGACCACGGCCTCACTCCAAGAAAAAAGTTCCATTCTGGGCTGTGAGCCTGTAAGGCGTGCGGATCACGGTTTTAGCTTTTCCGCTAGCTCCCGATTTGCTGAGGATAGAAACGTTGGGTGCATCTCCGTCTCCTTTAGGAAACCGCCGATCCTCTAGTGGCCCTCGTCATTACAAGTCTTGTTCTGAACGCCGAATCGCGAATGGCAGTCCAATTGGACGATGCCGGTCTCGGTAATAACCTACACAGCCGGAAATAACCTCTGGATAAACACAGTTGCTCTCCCGTCTTGCCTCATGAAGCTGGCCAGCTACTTCATGACCTTGCATATACTGTAGTTGGCTAGTTGATGTTGCGTTTTGGGGGTGGTGGCTTTGTCTACTGCTGCAGCCGCATTTTTGCAACCAACCAAAGCATTGCTGTAAGCAGGCCATTTGTCGTCTCTGAACCATAGCACGTGTGTTAGTTGTCATCTCACCTGTGCCTTGGTTTCCTCCATGACTCGGCGAAACCACTACGTTGCATTTCTGTTAGCGGCAGCCGCAACACTGGGGTGCTGCACCCACGGCAGATTGGGCTGGCCCTATTTGCCGTGAAGGACGTGCCTGAATATCCTTGTTACGTCTGAACTTTTTTTGAGTTTGGTGGTGGCTTGTAGACGCTAGGTCCATCATCACCCATCTTGTAAATCATAGCAAACCTTGTATTATTACATCATTATAAACACAGTTGACATACTTAATCTTGCAACTCATATACTTACCTCTGCAAATCCGACTGATTTACGCAATTCGTTTTAACCTTCCTCGCTGCCTTGTCTGCACGTCTTTTTGATTTCGTCCCAAGGAGGCAACAATGCTGCGATCGCCTTGGTTTGCATAGTAATCCAGCCAGGTACACACAGCACATCTCCGAACCTCCGCGTCCGTGTCCTTGTCCATGATCGCCGTGGGCTAGGACAGCCTAGTGCGCGCACCGGCGCCCTCGTGCTAATAGGAGCCACTAAAGTAGCCTAAAAGGCCGCTATGCGTGGGCGGTGGGTCCCATATACTGTAGCTTCGGCGTAGAGTACTGTAGGTCGGCCAATTAGAGGCCTAATTGGGTGAAACTACTCTCTGTTCCCCGTCGCTCAATAGATCTTACTGGGGAAGCTGCCCTCCCGGCTGGGTTTCCAACTCGCCCGACAGTGCTTCTAAAACCTCCAATTAATTCTAACACGAGACATAGCGCCTCATGGAGACAATAATTCATCCAACTGGGTCTAGAAATGGAAATGACATTCTCGGCAGTGGTCGGCTTCGTGCCAGTTCCCTTTGGCGGCCGAGCTGGTCTTAGTTTCCGCGTTGGCCGCTGGTTGTGCTAGTAAGTCCTGCATTAGCGGTGCCTGTAAACTGGCGCTCAACCTAGCCTCAACCAGTGTTCCCCATTTCACCCGTCGGGTAACAGTGCCAGTAGGGCAAATCGTCCGTGCAAGGTGGCATCCAAGTCAACAGCAGCATAGGTGCGAGACCGCTCATAATACATCACCCGCTCCACTGGTGGCTCCTCCACGCCGCCGCCCAGAACGATAGTCAAGATGAAGAAACACGACTCAGGGACACAGCCCTTGCCTGCGGGTGACTACGCGAATCTGGGAGTAATGGTTGTTAATCTCTGTTGCAAAGGACCTGCATTCCACCCCAAACGATCCATATAGGTTGCTATTGGCACACCACGTAACGTCTTCTAGTCATCCTTCTCGGGTCGTGAACGAAATCGGGGCTCTAGCTTCCGTCATCTCTTACCCAGGGTAGCCTAGTCACTAGCCTTGAAAGACTAAATCTCAAGCGGTCACATCAGCGGTACCCGGGCTACAACGCTATGATATTGCCTTTGACCGACGGTTATCAGTGCGGAGTCTTACCAAGTATCTCGATCAAAGGTCCGCCGACCTCGCCGAACTGGCGAACTCCAGCAGGGGCTCCCCTAGTCAGCCTTTTTTTCGAAGTTTCCATAAAACAAACAACGTTGTACCAAATTGGTCTGCCCAGGCTCGTAGAGGTTGCGCAAAGTGTCCGTTGTTTGCCTTTTCACCGCATTATATCTGGAAGCATCCCCGATCCAGACTTCCCGACGCGGTGGTCAGCCCCAAAAACATCTCTAGCCCCAATTTGCCACGCCGACAACGTCGCTCGCCATCCATTCGGGACTTGGAGCGCAGCTCAGATCTAGCCCTCCTCCCGCGTAGCCAAGGCCCTCCAGCCGGCAGACCCCTCGCTTACTGCACGAGGCACGAGATAAGCGAACCCAAGACACGCAAAGCCTGAGCGTCTACCTCACTCGCAAATTCGAACAGCTCGGTAAGTGTGGTGTGCCATAGTTCATTTCCCCATGCGGTTCGCTCGCCAGGGACCGTTTCATTTCCACAAGCTATGCCTGTTTGGTCGGCAGGTATGCGCGCCTAACGTCACTAAAAAAAAAAAGTGCCGTGCACTGTCGGGCTCGGCCTTGCTAGCACCCACGCAGCTTTGGCTAGCTCTTCCACACCAGTGTTGTGAGATGTGATGGAAGCTGTCGAGCTGTGCTTGGCTGGGCCGGCTGTCTCTGCGCGATTTGCTCTTCCAGCGTCGACCCATCCCGTTGTTCATTCTTCTGACGAGCACCTAGAAGGAGCGCTTCCGTGCAGTCTAGCGCGTGATACTTCAGCAACAGAGCTTCAGTGCGTCGTCGTTGCCCCGCTTGTCACCATCTAGAGCCAGCGGACTCGACGGATTGTGCTGCGTCACCGATAGTATTTATGCATAGCTTGCGCTCAATAGTTTACAATGGGTCAAACGTATGTCCCTTGCATGGTATTAAGCAACGGAGCGGTGGCTAACTTTTGAACATAGAGACTCCGGTGTTCCAGAAGAAAGGGTGTTACGAGAAACAGTACACTATTGCAATAGAGTGTATCAGCGGTACTCCATAGACAATGAGCTGTATTGGGCTCCTGTTGACGAGGTCAGTACTTTCAAACCGGTTGACGAGTCAAGGAGCAGGGCTGACTGTTGGGGCAGGAGGAGATACACCGCATGCAAGCATTACACCTCGCCATCAACGTAGCTCTGGATGGCAATCTCACTATTCCGGTTCTTGGTGAACCACAAAGAATACTCGACTGTGGCTGCGGATCAGCCGATTGGGCTATTGCGGCAGCAAACAAGTATCCGAAGTGCGATGTACGTGGCCATCGTCGGACTTTGCCCGGTACTTTTCTTTGCACGGACTAACCAACAGCAGGTAAAAGCAGTAGATATTTGTCCGCAGCTACTTCCAAACAGCGTACCGAGTAATTTGCAGCTCATTATTGATGATTTGAACGGACGGTAGGCGAAGCGTTCCTTCCAGTTTTGCGATGCAAACGACTAATTTCATGTTCGGCACCAGATTCACATTTCGTTCCAGCTACTTTAGCTTCGTCCACAGCCAAATGGTGGCGGAGGGGATCAGTGCCAACCGATGGGAGAATTATGTGCGCGATATTTATCGTGTGCTGAAACCTGGCGGCTGGTGCCAGCTGTCAGAGCTGTACCTGAACGCGCAGTCGGACAACGGGACGCTGGCAGCCGGTACGTACTTTCTTGCCGTCTTTTGGTCGGCCATTGCATATCCATATGCTTCTGAATGCTAACTCTTGGAGTAGATAGCGCCCTATCAAGATGGTCCGCCGGCTACCTGCGCGGATCGCAGCTTCAAAAAGACCCGCGCATAGCGACCAAGCTGGGAAACTTGCTTAAGGTAGCGGGATTTGCTGAAATCAAGTGCCAAATGTTCAAAATGCCCATGTCGGCCTGGTCAAACGGTATGTGTTGTGTTCGTATCGAGTGTTGATGATTGCTAATTGGGCTCGTGACAGATGCTCGCGAACAAACAATAGCTCAGACGAGCGTGAATGCAATCCAGAGCATGCTGTATTCCGTGGGACTCTATCCCTTTACCAGAAAGCAAGGGTTAGTGGAGAATGGGGGAAGGCTGTGAGACGGCAATCGTACTAACCATGTCACAAACAGGTTGTCGACTGTTGACTTTGAGCAACTGGTTCATGACGCGAGAGACGAGGCAAAAGATCCTGCTCGCAAGGTAAGCCTAGCCTAGCCACTGAACGCCCCAGCCGTTCCAAGCCCCTCTGCTAACACAAAGCTTCTCCCACAATAGGCGTATTTTTCCTTGTATGTGAAAGAACAATGCATGATTCCATTCTAAGCTGGATGCCAACTAACCTGGTACAGATATATGTGGACAGCTAGAAAACCGGCGACTGCCCCTTGACCGACACGACCAACGACGGCAAAATGGCGTTGAACGGACGCGGGAACGGACGTTCCACGCTGTATTATTTATTAAACCCCCTTTGGTAGGCGGGGATAGACCAGAATAGAAGGCTGTCGGTAACATCCCAAGGAAAGCCTCGCCAAAAAGAGGAAGCCAGAGACATGGGCTCTGCGGGGTGATATACATACGTCTTCCAAACGCCGATCAGCTCGCTGTCTCGGGCGGCAATAACATACTTGACATGCGGATGTGCCGAAGCGAGAGCAGCTGCCGCTGACCTACCATGGCATCCACAGTGCACCCGTTTGGACGAATTGGGCATGGTCTGGTGTCCGCCCCAGGGCTCGGTTGCATCTCGAGGAGTGGCTCATCGGCGAGGTGAAGGCGTCGAGCAGGCCCTTTGTCCCAACGGCAGTGGTGCGTAGCCGTGCTGCGGATAGATGACACGCATTTAATATATTCTTGAACCTTGAGATTTTTTTGTTTGTTTTTGTTTTCTCAATCTTGGTGGCGCTGCCATCTAGTAAACTTTAACCACACGGCACGCTGCCACGCATCCTCCACCGGATCGTTACGGCAAGTGGCGGGGGGACGGCTCAGGCACGCAGCCAGCCAGTCAGTGCCCGGGCTGTTGCTGCTACTGAACGGCCAGCTCGCTTACAGCTCCAACAGGCAAAAATGCTCCCCTCCGTTTTTTGCTCCCCTTTTTTTGCAGCAGCTCGCTTTCGGCAGATCACGTCACTGCTCTACGCCATCGATTCTACGCACGACACACATTCGACAAGATGGCTGCTGCTCGATTCATCCCCCAGACGCTACGCCTAGCAACATGTACACCACGATTTGCTACGCGCCAATTGCTCGCCGTCCGCAAATACAGCGATGATGCCGCCGCCATCCCGCCGCTGTTGGCTAAGCTCAAGGGCGACTTGAAGACAGCTATGCGCGCAAAGGATGCGCCGAGATTGGCTGTTCTACGTGCCGTTATGGCCGCCAACCTCAATGCCTCCAAGACTGCGTCGCCCATCCGCACCGATGTCCAGCTTGTTGCCCTTATGCGCAGTATCCAAAAGGGCCACGAAGAATCTGCTGCCGAAGCCAAGACTGCTGGTCGCGAGGACCTTGTCGAGAAGGAGACGCTTCAGATTGGAGTGCTGGAATCATATCTTGCCGATAGTGGTGTGCAGACACTAGGCGAGGCCGAGATTAAGGCTGCGGTCGAAGAGGCCATCAAGGGAGCTTCCGACGCAGGCGTCGCTGGCAAAGCGCTTGTTGGCGATGTCATGAAGCGATTGAAGAGCGTCTTTGATGGCAAGGATGTCGACCGCAAAGCCGTCGCCAACTTGGTCAAGGAATTGACGAGTTGAATGCCACAGAAGATTCGTCCTGGAATTTTGTAACCATAATGTATGAATATGGGCCTATAGGGTGGCATGGGCGTCTGTGCTCATGTTGTGTATGAATAGAACAAACAAGACTAAAAAGCGCTTCAATAGCATTGAAATTATTCTTTTTCAAATAATTCGAGTATACGCAACGATAAATTAAACAATTTGAGACGATTTGTGTCGCTGGTAACAGCTTTTGCTGCTCAGAGGGCGTAGTTGACATGGTCCCGCCCTGCTGAATGACTGAGTCACTTTCGACATTTCAACACGATTGACCAGCATAACACTTTTTCTGCGCTCGTTTTATTGACAGTTACAGTGATTATTAAAAATGTCAAGAATCAATATTAGTTCCGGATCTGCATTTGAAGCCCAGATTGGCTATAGCCGAGCTGTCGTGCTCGATGATGGCTGGATCATGGTGTCGGGAACGACAGGGTAAGAAGGGCATCCGAGCGCTCCCAACAGACAGTATACTAACAGGTTGACTAGCTACAACTACGAAACTGGTGAAATCTCACCCGATATTGCCGAGCAGACAGAGCAAATCTTTCTCAACATTGACAAGGCGCTCAAAGAAGCTGGCTCATCCATCAGCGACGTCGTGCGCGTAAACTACGTTCTGTCAGATCGTGCTGAATTCTCAAAGACGTGGCCGGTGCTCCAGAAATGGTTTGGAGACGTTCGGCCTGCTGCGATGATGTACCAAGCGCCCCTGATGAATGAGGAAATGAAGATTGAACTTGAAGTTACTGCTAAGAAGGGCTGCTCGACAAAGAAATAAGAGATGTAATTATCGCGTGCATTACTATTAAAGCTAAGTTACGTATAATAATAAAAGAATATAAAAGCCATCAGGAAACAAACTTGGGGTATCAGTAAACAAGCTTTGCAACAACAGACCCAGCAGCAAACGTGCTAGCAATGGTGATAATACTAGAGACGGACAGCAGCGAGATGCCACTGATGCCATGGCCCGAGGTACAGCCTCCCGCTAGTCTCGCACCCACGACCATCAGAGCTCCTCCAATAGTTGCCAGGACTGGCGGCACTTCAAAAGGTGTGCCGGTTGCAAAAGAAGGGAACGCCTTAACGGCAGCAAGGGCTCCGAGTCCAGCAGAAACGGCGAAAATAACATTTTGCAAAGACTGAGGCGAAGCCTTACCCTCGCCGCTCTTAATCTTGGACCAGAACAAGTTGCCCAGTTCTTCAAAGGAGCCAGATATGCCCACCATGGAGCGGCGTGTAATGAGAGAGAGAAGCTGGATGAGACCAATTAGCAGACCACCGACTGCGCCGGACGTCTTGATGCCGGGGAAAGGAGGCGTGTAGATTGTCGTTGCGGCAATGACTCCGAGAAACGCGGCTTCGAGCAGGACAAGAGTCGCGCCACGCGAAAGACCAAGTACCTGGCTGACAGTCACGGCCTGTGGCTTAATACCGGCTGCTTCTCGCCTATTTGCGACTGCGCGACTAACAAATCCGGTCCAAAGGATACCGCCAATGACGGCGCCGTTCAGGGCGTAAAAACCCGTCTGCACGCCACCAGCCATCTGCGCAAACAGTGTGCCGGGGCAAGATCCGGACAGGGCCATGCCGGTGCCGAGGAGCGCACCGCCGATTACATTGCCGTCGTACGCTGACAAGAGGCCGAGCCCGGACGACGAGCGCGGCTGAAGCTTTACGTGCCCGGTTCGTTCTGCGATGTTGTAGTATATTCTGAAGAAGTCGCGTTAGTTTATAACACAGTACCAAGGGATCAGAGAACAACGTACGCGCTGGAGGCAGTCGCAGCCAGAAAGGCTTGGAACATATGCCAGTTTTCAAATTTGAGCTGTGAGAGAACCACGGCAGGATCATAGAAGCCGGCGGCCATCATGGCGGCGCCAAAGGCTGCGCCAGTGATGGGTGTAGCCATTTTGTTATGATTGTTTGTAGATGGGTGTGACAAACCACCAAACTTGTGGTGCCGGTACTGCTGGAACGTCGCGCAGTTTTGTTTTAAAGGAGGATTCGGTAATCTTGCGTGAGTTTCTGGTCGGCGATTAAATCGGGTGCTGGTTTTTTTTCGTCGAGCTGAATCGGGGTTGTGCATGGCGTGATCGGCGAAGCGGACGGCGAGATGACAGGTGCCGTTCGGCGAGGTGGAGGGTCGGCGACGTCCAAAATCCGGGGTGCATGAACCATCCGGGGACCCTTAAAGCCCAGATCGCCGATGTCGAAACGTGGGAATAACGTGATAAATCTCGTTAAATTTTTTTTTGGTGCATTTTAGTGAGATGTATATCATCAATGATGCAATCAGATAAAGTACTCAATTAACCCCGCAATGGTGAGGAGTTGTGTTTGCCAGGTGCCAACTGGCCGGCAGCTGGCAGACAAACAGCTCAGGTATAAAGGTATCTGAAATCTAAAAACCTCTCATTTTGAACGAAAACACGCCCAGTAACTCCAATAGTTGCATTATTGAATATGCTATTGCATATAGGCTCCCATAAATTACAAATCAACGCATTGACAACATGGATTTGTAATATGGAAATCAGGTTGCGCACGCGTCCACATACGGCAATGATACGTTCCCGTCACTTTCCTGGCGTATTTTATTCAAGATTTATTGTCGATCTTGAGCTTTGAACGGTAGTAGATCTACAGGTCTGTCTGGCTCGTGTATCTGACTGAACCTTACCAGTTTGTAATAGATTTGGATGGATGTTGAGTCTGTCGAGCCTTACGTACTGAAGCAGCCCTCCGAGACAATCGCCGCAGTATAATATGAGAAGCGACTCGAATCTGCAGCCCTTACGAGCTAATGAAATATTTGTGATCGAAAAAAGAGCTAGATACAACTATGTACCATTCATTATTCATCAAGGCGAACCGAGTAGAACGCTAGAGTGGGATTCTCGCCTCCCGCCTCTCTCATATCAATCTCGTGAGCAAACTGCATCTCGACTTTGACCTTTTTCTGCGTGCGGGCCGCGATATCCTCCCAGAGCTGGATGAAACTGGCTTCTGTATGGAGATATGCAGCGCCACTACGACGCTTCACCATGCTCGGCGCTACCTTGGACGTGAGCAGCCTTCCAAAGACAAGATTGTTTGGCTTGCCGGTCATCAACCGCATCAGCACATCTCCAAACTTTTGCTGTTCCTCCAAAGTAAAGACATGCCAGATAAGGTTTGCGGTAATCATGGAAAACTGGCCGTTCCAGTCCTCTAGGGCACCGTCTCGCATGCCGTCCGCCTGGCGGAAAGTGATGCCACAGTCTTTATCGTTGAATAAGAGGTAGCCTGCCTTGATCGAGTTTGGCTCCAGGTCAACACCAAACAGACTACTAGCCGGCGCACCCTCGAACAGCTATATCCATTAGGTCAGTCTACTCCAGAATCGTGGAACAGTGTAAAGACTCACCAAGCTTCGCAGGTCCTGGCCTAGAGCACAGGCAAAGTCAAGTAGCTTCTCACCCTTCTGGGTACGCTCGACAGCTTCGGGGAATTCCTTGTTCTTCTTGAGATCAAGCTTGAGAAACATGCACCAGCCGATGCACGGGTACGGGTTGGTTTGGAAGGCATTCCACCGCTGCGCCGGCCAGGTCAGTTTTACTTGATGTCAGAGTAGAAGAATGGAATTCTTACCACCTCGTTGAGATGCTTCTCAAGCCCCTCTTCGGGCATCTTGGCATACTCTACAAAGAGCTTCTTGGCATCGGGGTCTATTTCAGGTAGCTCATCCTTCCAGAAGGGGCTGGCTTTGGTGTTGTCGAATCCACGCTCCATGATAGGTATGTATATTGCGAAATTTATAATTTTTCTTGACTATTCGAGATATATTCTTGGCAAATTGTCCTAAAGATCATGGCAGGAGATGAGATAAGATATATTCATAATGTACGGTGTGTTTTAGTCGCCGAGCCTGCCGATGCCGATCCCGCCCCGTCGTCCCCGCGTTGATCCCGTGCCTAAGCGATCGAGAGCTGAAAAGCAAGATAGCAGCTGTTCTCCGGCAACAACGGATGTCGAGTAGAAACCAATATATAGGATGAGTCCTTTTCAAATTACCGCATTTGGTAAGTGATATCGGCTCGCTTTCGAATTGTTGCAGTTGTCGATGTTTCTTGTCGCAAAGGATCCTCATTGGACTAGCAACGTCGCACTACGTCATGGCCAACGTTCTCGTATTTGTTCGATGTTGCAATAGGCTCGGCTCGGCCTCTACTTCCAGCTCCGAGGCCGATATTGAAACTATTATGTTCATGGTTTGCTCTCGCACGTGTTTGACCGACAGTCCAACGACTCTAATCCTAGAGGATACAACGGCGACGCTCGGTCGTCCCAACCAACGCTCCAACGCAACTCAATTTTGGAAATGATGTGGATCAAACTTGTCACATTTAGACCGATAATCGAGGAGTAATCAGTGACATACACCAATAGAATCGTTCCTGGGGTGGCTTGTCCCCTCACAGGGTGCAAAGCCCGGCCGGGCGTCTCCCATCGGCTAGCCACTCATTTACACCGGTGATGAGAGGAAATTTTGGCGCGTCTAAAAATAGGCCGCTAGATCTGCACAGACAGAGCCTTGTTCGGCCGCAAGTTTCAAGATCATGGGTGCGCTAAAAGTGCTGGGGTGGTTAGCTCTAATTTCGAGGTCAAAGCGCAGACAAGCCTTGCCATGATGGCGATGTCGGACACTCGAGGCCACAGGACAAACCGTGAAAGAGCACTATCTCTAATTCGAGAAATGAACAGGTTTGATACTATTGACGAAGTAAAGCAATTGACTACACCACTTGGTAGTATAAAAGAATGGTTTAGATTCCAAAGACAAGCTTGGGCAACTGACTCGACATTGGGCCAACATCACAGCCTTGTCACGGCCAACATCAAACATCCACAACACGGTCCACCAACCAAATCTTGGCAGCCCGAAACAGCAATCACAGCAAGGGCCGCCGCACATCATGGCCCCAACATCAAAGCGCACAAGGCATCCTTCCCGTCTAGCAGGTATATAACACGCTCGCTTCTCACCCTCATCCACATGAATCCTCCTCTCCCCATTAAGAAACACTCCTCACATACAAGCCGAGCCTCACTTACATTTACCCCATTCTTCATAATAATCCACCATGCTTTTGCTCGCCGCCTCTCTCCTCTCCGTGGCTCTCGCTGCTCCCGCCAACACCACCGCCGGCGGACCTGATACCGTTTTCGGTACCGTCACTGGCTTCAAGATTCCTCAGCGTGGTCAGAACGTTAGCTACTGGGACGATCTTGCCAAGAACCCCGAGGCCTCTTCCCACATCACCTTCAAGAGCTACAAGGTCTCGGAGCCCTTCCCCGCCGTCCAGATTGATGGCTTCTCTCTCGATCTTTACATTGCCGACCGCCCTGCCATTAAGGGTCCTGACGGCCCCAACGTCTCTCCTGATGACAAGAGCACCGTTACTGTCGCCTCGCTGGCACTGAGCGGTCCTCCCGGCATCGGCCCTAAGCAGATGAACAAGTCTTGGTCCATGTGCAACACCTTCTACCAGCTTCGCACTGCTGCTGCAAAGCCCAAGAACGGTAGCTGCCAGGGCGTCCTCTCTGACAAGTGCCTTGCTTCCCTCACCAAGAAGCTCGCCGACAACAGAAAGAACAACGACTGCGGTCTACGCGACTCCTTCGACGTGGCCGCCCCCGATTGCGACGGCATGGTCTCCTGGAACTCCTACTCTGAGAGTACGTACTTGATATCACCCACCCATTATGACAAGATGCTAACATGTAGTAACTAGCCGCTTTCGATACAGATCTCGCCAAGTCTACCCGTGGCGACACCATGTTCTGGCGCAACGATCTTTCCTTTATTCCCGGCTTTGACTGGCCCTACACTCACGACGCCAGCAACCGCACTGTCTACGACCAGGTCGTCAAGAGCGTCTGGGTCGTCCCCGTTGTCTTCAACAAGGTTGACGGCCTCGAGAACCCCGGCACCACCGATGGCGGCCAGCTCATCTGCATGCAGGCCGACAAGTTCGCCGCTGGAGCTCCCAAGGGCGGCTCCTCTGACAAGTCCTTTGGCATCAAGAGTGCCTCTGCCAGCGGTGCCATGGCTCTCTTTGCCGCTGCTGCTGCCCTTGTCCTTTAAATGCCCCATGTACGAGTGATGGATGCTTATGTTTTGTGCAGCGCAGATGTAATAGATTTTGAATTATACAGCGATACTATGTAGAACATTAGAATTTATTCTTTTATGATTATTTCCTACACATTTTTGGTCTCTTTTTGCTTGGTTGTTTCATGTGACTTTGACTGACTTGCCAGGTGGCGGGCCCGCGCTGCACAGGCCACCACGCACAAACTCCATCCTCTCTATCCAACACCATGATAAAACTGGTTCAGCCCAATGCACTGACCACTTCCTATCAGTCACTGTGTTTTTTTACTGTATACATTAAAAACAACTTTTTACATTCGTTGACTGCGAACAGCATCGCCAAATGCTCTTGTTTCACGTGATGCCGGTTCGCAAACGCCTCAACCTCGAACCTGCAGATCAATATCACCAGCCTGCATGCAATAGTACAGCAGTTCGCACACATATGCACTCCGAGCCTTATCCACCGAACCATAATGCTGCTACTCCCGCTGCTGCAGCTCGGTATAACAAACCGCCACTCACCTTGACATCCGCGTATACCCAGCGCCAGCAGCAGCCAGCCCGTGGATATCGCAATCTATTTTGCCATGCTTCGTTTCTCATTTCCCCTTTCCCTCTCCATATTCAATTATTCTCCGGCTGAGCCTGGACCCTCATTCTAACCGTATCCAATCTACTGGAGCAAGCAACCACACTGAAAAGAAACGCCCCGTCTCTGCAGCCCTGACTCTTGTTTTTCTCTCTATCCACAGGCGCACGCTGCCGTCCGCGGCCAATGCTTGTCTCAAGTGGCGTATTGCCAACTCCACTGCCATGCGAAAACTATTGACAGCCCTCCATCTTCAGCTGCCCCCTGGACGCTGGCTGGATTTAGCCGCGATAAAGAACACCAGTGTTCGGGGCCGAAGGGGCACGCCACTGTGTGTGCTCCAGAAGCGTTCCAGAAGGACGTTTGGCGTGGCGCGCCCTATTTTCCGGCTGTCTTGCTGTTTTGGGGAAGTGAGCCCCGGGTCCCGCGTCGTTTCCTTTCAATGCTATAGGCGAGGCGTTTCAGCAACGCCACGTCTACGCCCACTGTGATTTTTTTTCAGGCTGGTGGCGGGACGAACTGCAGGACCACCCGAGGATATGTGTATTCGTATTTATGCTGAGGGTATCCCCCCCGGCGTGTGCCGTGAGGTTGGAGAGATGCTTGTTCTTGTGATGCTTGATTTGGTGTTGCGCGCTTGTATTCCCTAAGAAACGACTTCTCGCCCATTGACTATATCTGCTCCACCCGACAACACAGAAAATGGCACATGATAGAGGGCCACAGGTGCTCGGTGTGCTCATCTCGCTGCTTGTGACATCCGTGGTAACCGGCGCGCTCCGATTCTACACACACGGCGTCATTGTGCGGCGGTTTTTCGCCGAAGACTACTTGACGCTAGTATCTCTGGTATGAATAATCCTTTGCGGTTTATGAATGATGGAATGGATTGCTAATTGGAAGGCAGATTCTTTATGTTGTATACACAGTCTGGGGCTGCTTGGCGGTCCAGTATGGCCTTGGCCAGCACAATGAGGATGTAGCCCCGGAGAGTAGGCCGACGGCCATCATGTATCGCTGGCTAGCGTCACTACTATATATCGTCATATCACTGCTTACAAAATGGAGCGTCGGCTTGTTTTTGCTGCGCATCTGCCCGCGTAAGCGCTGGCGCCATATCACCATCTGGACGATCCTCGGCTTCGTCACAGTTTTCAGTATATTATACTTTGTCTTTGACCTTATCAGCTGCCAACCGATAGAGTACGAGTGGACACGATACAATCCTGTCCCAGCTGAGGGCACCTGCAACGCGACAGGCTTTGCCACTGTCACGATATACATTTCATCGGTGCTCAACATTATTGCCGACTGGGTGCTTCCGGCACTGCCGGCATCATTAGTATGGAAGTCGCAGATGGAGCCGCGTGTTAAGGTGTCCGTCATTGCGCTTTTAGCGCTGGGATCCATGTAAGTGGCCCGTTGTCTGTAAGCGAATGTTTACTAATCCTGGGTAGTGCGTCTATAGCGACGATTGTCCGTATTCCGTATGCCGACGGCATTCTGGACAATCCTAATTATCTGTACACTTCTACAGACATTTGCATCTGGAGTACAGTTGAGATTGGTGTGGCACTGACTGCGACGTCGCTGGCCACACTGAAGCCGCTGCTGCGCAAGCTCCGACTGTTCAACCTCTCCGAGGTAATGAGCTATGGATCAGCAAGCAATAGACAGACGAGAGACCAAAATGGAAACTCGACAAAGCGGGCATCCCATCACGTCAAGTCGTTTAGTCACGGCAACAACCTCGTGACGATATCGGCAAACCCACAGATCAAAGAGAACTGGGGCAAGAAGATTATGAAGCGCGAATCTATGGAGCTGTCTCTAGTGCCTGCTAGCGACGTAGAAAGTAACAAAAGCCTTACAGATAAGCGGTCCTGGCTGGATATGTAAGCAGCTGGTAGAGATCACGGCCTCCTTCGACTAAAGCAACACGTTTACACTATTCACATTACATACACAATATGATTATAATTCCTGAACATTCCAGCATCCCGCTATCGTTGAACTTGAAACATCAAATTGAGTACGGCGGTATATTCTACAAGATATCCCCCATTTGTTCTCGTGCTAATTTGCCTGCTTACTTGGCACCAGGGTTTCCGTTGAAGAGCAGCTTAGACGTAGTTCCGGAGGGGAAACCCTTGGCAGCATCAAGTGCCATTTCCTTCATCTTCTCGCAAGCGTCAGTACTCTTAGCCAGACCCTGCGAAATCAGAACAGCTGCCTGGCCAACAACGTGCGGGCATGCCATGGAGGTTCCAGACGCGGGATACTATAACATGAGATCATTTGTTAGCATTACTAAGCATGGCCAGCGAGCAAGAACGTACTGTTTCACCTCCAGGAATGGTCGACACAGCGTCAACGCAAGGGGCTTGGATATCAACGACGGAGCCAAAGTTGGAGAACCTGGCCTTCTGGTCACTGCTGTCTGTGGCGCCAACAGTGCAAATAGAAGGCTCAGATGTAGGGGAGAAGTCTGCAGCATCCTTATTAGAGTTTCTGGCGGCTGCGGCCATGAAGTGTCCCTTTTTGACGATGCCGGCGGCGGCGTCATTCATCGCCTTGTGCTTGCCACCGCCAAGAGAGAAGTTGGTCAGAACCGCCTTGCACTTTCTATCAGGCTCCTCCTTAAGTACGAAGTCGCAACCAGACATGATACCATCCATGGTACCCTGGCCCTTTTTATCGAGTACCTTGTTGCCGAAGAGTGTGGCCTTCTTTGCAAGGCCATACGTCTTGCTGCCAATTGTGCCAGCACAGTGTGTTCTATGGCCATTATCGTCGGTTGTTCCGGATACAAAACTCTTGATCTGCTTGGCGCGCCCCTCGAATTCCTAGTCCATGCTTGTTAGTCTGCTCGTAACTTTTCCATCAGATACATGTGCTACTTACCGGGTGCTTGTCATCAATACCCGTATCGACAATGTACGCGCACATACCCTCGCCTGCCGCCTTGTGGTAGCTGTATGTCGACACGCCGGGCGACTTGTTGGCGACTCGGGCAATGTCCCAGGTGGCATCGGCCTGGTCAATCCAGTCATTCGTGCTGTTCGTGGCCTCGACGCCAGCAATCCAGTTCCCGGTACCATCTTCCTCAATATATTCGACCTAATTATACGTTAGTCTTTCATATTAAGCACATTGCAGTATTCGTACGTCGGTGCGCTCGCGATTGAGCTGAAGAGCCTCAGAGGTCAAGGCAGCAGAAAAGCCTTGGGAGACCTCAGAGTAGATACTTCTAGTCGCTACACCGGCGATTCTTAGGATATCATTATCGGAGGCGGCAGTGGCATCGTCCTTGAACTTGACGATGTATCGGCCAGTGGTTTCCTTGTGCAGATATAGCAGTGCAAGGTCAGCTGCGGCAGCCAGGGCATGGAGTAGGACGAGCGCAGCGCGAAGTATTGTGATTACAAAAGAGAAAAGGTGGATTGTAGTGAATAAGGGACTACTCTAGAAAGTGGCTTACATTGTTGTTTAAATGTGCTTTTCGTAGGCCAATGATCGCCTCGAAATATATGAATCGCCTTGAGCCTGAGACACTTGGAGATGGTGTGTGTGGACGTTATGAAAACATCGCTGTGCGGAGGGTCTGTGAACACGGATTTGCGCATGCGCGCTAATTAATTAGGCCTAGACTCGATAATCTGAGCACATATATCTGTTTGTAGTCTATGCTATTTAGTGATGTTGCATTGGGTTGGGGAGACGTGACATGTCTTATATACTGACGGGGTGGCGGCTTAAAAACACGACAGTACTAACGACAAGGGTTTATCTTGGTAGAAATAGATTGTATAGACTTGTTTCATAGTCGCCATCTGAGTCTGCTTCTAAATTTGTCGCTGTTTATCGCGGGCAAGATTCTAAGAGATGGGATGAAGCACTATGCCCCCCGAGGGGAGTGCGGTGACTGTATTGGCAACTCAATCATACTTTACTCGGTAATCCAACTCAGCTATATAAAGAATGTAATAAATTAGGTTGAAATCCGATTGGCTACGATAAATTTCGAAAAGTTTTGGCATCACCAATCACAAGGGTCGAATGTCGAGATGGTAATTTGGGCGAGTTCTACTATCGTGCAATGCCTTACAAGCCTATATTTAGATCCTAGAATTTCTCGGCTACTACAAGTTTAAATAGTTTGCATCCCGTGAGCCCTATCCAGGAGTGCTACACAGCTGGTGCGGGGGCATGTAGTCTGCCCTATGGTGTCCCAAGAAGGCAACCAATATTCTGCATCTTTCCAGCTCTAGAAGCTCTTGCCACAACCACAATAAGTATAACAGGCATTCCCACTACGCTTAATGCCTATTTGCCTACTATAGGGTTTATATAGATATTTTCTTAGATTAATCTCGGCCTGGAACTAGCATCTATCCAGGACGAATTGCTTTTCAAAAGTCTGCCAATCACAGCCCATTTGAAGTCTCTTTAAAATCTAAAGAATAGATAATAAAATAGCCACATCTTTTATTATGCGCACCACGTATTTATCTGAATCAATTCCGGTGTATATCAACCCTATGTAGTGATCAAATGCTGGCTCCCGTGTAAGCTGGCTCCGCCTACCCGGCGCCACAACCTCGGTCGTCTGCCCCGCCAAACCGGACCTCGATGCAGCCGATCGGCAACTTCACCAACATCATCTGTCCGCCTCCGCACTTTTCTCTTTCTTCCTTCCAATTCACATTTCCTCTCATCAGTATACCTTTTTTTTCAATTCATTCCCAAATCGCACCACCACCATGCCTCGCGTACTCAACATTAGGAAAATCGACGGCAAGCCCGGCGAAGTATACTACCCGTATGTCTTTCCCCCGCCACAACCTCTCGTCCCTTTCAATCTATGCTAACACAATCGTCAGACTCGTTATTCGCGAGGTCCCCAAGCCAACGCCCGGCCGGAAACAGCTCCTCGTCCGTCTAACAGCGGCAGCCCTCAACCATCGCGACCTCTTCATCCGCCACCACCAGTACCCCGCCATCTCCTTCACGGCGCCCATGCTCGCCGATGGCTGCGGCACCGTGATCCAAGCCGGCCCCGACAGCACACGCGGAGCATCTCTCCTCAACAAGTCCGTCATCTTGACCCCCATGCGCGGCTGGGAAGCCGATCCCGCGGGCCCCGAGGACGGCCGCCGCTTCTCCGTCACAGGCTCCAGCAAGCTCTGCGAAGAGGTTGGCACAGCACAGGACTACATTGTAGTAGACGAGGACGAGGTTGAGCTTGCCCCCGAGCACTTGTCCAATGCGGAGGCTGCTGCTCTTCCTCTCGTCGGTCTTACGGGCTGGCGTGCGCTCGTGACAAAGGGCGGTATCACAGGCGCTGGTCAGAACGTGCTGATTACGGGCATTGGCGGCGGCGTTGCGCTCCAGATGCTGCAGTTTGCTGTGGCTCTCGGCGCAAATGCGTACGTCTCGTCTGGCGACCAGGCCAAGATTGACAAGGCGGTTGCGATGGGCGCCAAGGGCGGCGTCATCTACAAGAATGACGACTGGGCCAACGATCTTGCGCACCAGTTGCCTGAGGACAGACCGTTTTTGGATGCCGTGATTGACGGCGCGGGTGGTAAGCTTGTAGGCAAGGTGGTGCGCCTGATGAAGCCGGGTGGCGTGATTGCGCAGTATGGCATGACGGTGTCGCCGAAGATGGACTGGCTGATGACGGCGGTGCTCGCCAACATTGACCTGCGCGGGTGCACGATGGGCTCGAAGAAGGAGTTTAGAGACATGATTGCATTTGTGCGCCAGCATAAGATTAAGCCTGTCATCAGCAAGACGGTGAAGGGATTGAGCAACCTCGATGGTATTGATGGGTTGTTTGCAGACATGGAGAAGGGCGCGCAGTTTGGTAAGCTGGTTATTGAGATTGGCGAGGAGCCCTCATCCAAACTGTAATGTTTAGATCTAGTGACATATTTTCACGAAACGAATGATATACGATAATTTTCTTTTCTTGACATGATGAATTGCTACTATATGCGCCGTATGAATGACCCGAAAAACTCCGAAAAATAGAAAACTGTATACAAAGTGATACAACTCGTGTAGCGTCTGTTTGGTTTTATTCGTCGTCCTTGGCTACCTTCTTGCGCTTCTTCTTGGGACGGTCGCCCTCTTCCGGGGGCACAAACTCGGCCTCGCGCTCCTTTGCCTTCTCCTCCTTGCGGACCTTTTGCTTCTCCATGCGCTCGGCCTGGACAGCGCGCTCTTTGGCCTGCTTGCGCATAAAGTACTCGCCAGTCTCGATCTGCTTGTCGACCTTGCTCTTCTCGGGGGCGGGCGGGAACGGCGTGTAGACCTTCTTCGTCTTGTCGGTGACGTTGTGCGGGGTGCGGCGCTGGCTGAGCGTCTTCTTCTTGAAGTTGGGCAGGAAGCGGTCCCAGCTCTCGTTGGCGAGTGCAGGGTCCTTGGCCAGCTCGCGCTTAATCATGAGCTCCTTGACGTGGTAGATGGGGTGGATGTTGGCCATGCAGTCCTCGATGATGCGGCGGACCTCCTTGAGGCCCTTGTACGGGCCCATGACAGACACGGTATTACCGTGGACGAGGATGTATGTTTCGGTGAGGAGTTCCAGTGCCTTGAGAGTTGAGCCGTTGGGGCCGAGGATACGCTGGCGGCGCTTCACGAAGCGCTCCTTGCTGCCGACAAGGTTGCGGATCTTGACGACGTCGCACGCCACGCCATCCTGCAAGATCTTGACGGCCTGTGGTGCGGGCACGCTTCTGGCGAGCAGCTTGATGAGATCGCGGGCGTTGAGAATGGCCGCGGGGTCAAATGTCTTTCGGGTCGTCTTGACTGTCATGGAACCCTCGACGAGATCGAGCGTGCATGCAATGCCGTGCTTCTCGAGAGCCTTGGTCACGAGGGGCCAGGCTTCCTTGAGGTACACTTCACGGTACTTGGGGAAGAGGGTAGCAAACGAGGACTCTTCTGTAAAGGTGCCACCGGCATTGTGCTCAGGCTTGAACTCTTCGACCTTCCACTTGTCAATGTCGTCCGTATCCCACGGCTTCTCTTTCTTGTGTGTAGAAGGCATGGCTTCTGGGTGTTTGTGATGTGATGGCGATTCAAACACGCTTTTTTTAGTCGGTCGCAACAAAATATCTATACGACTTATGGTCTATTCCGCCTATATGGTATCGATAGCTGCGAATGCGGCGGCAAGCTATGTCGTTGAACAGCGTTTTGCAGGCGGCGGCAGAAAAAAAACTAGCCTTCCAAAGTTTTGGCGGTCTCTATTTTTTGGCTGGGCAGAAAAAAGCGGGGCGGTTTTTGCAGGTGCACCAGTTGGCAGCAGCTGGCCAGCCAAATAGGGATCACGGAAAAACTGCCCCGTTTTGCAGCAACCACCGACTTCAACCTCTACGCAATTGTACGCACGCGACATCGCCAATTCCACACCCACACAGCCTGCCGCATCTCGAAAATCATGTCGAAAGCAAAGGGAGGCGCTGGTGGTCTTGACCAGATTGTCAAGCTTATCGTTGGCGCCGGCCAGGCCAGTCCCAGTCCTCCTGTCGGTCCTGCGCTTGGTTCCAAGGGTGTCAAGTCTATGGACTTTTGCAAGGTACGCCGCATCCATTGGCGATGCGCAAGCAGCTGTATGCGCTTTGGAAGGATGCTTTTTAACATGTATGACAGGAGTTCAATGCCAGAACCGCCAACTACGTCGTCGGCACGCCGATGCCCTGCCGCGTTACCGTCCGCGCCGACCGATCATTCCACTTCGACATTCGCACGCCGCAGACATCGTGGCTTCTTCTCAATGCCGTCGAGGCGCCGATGGGCAAGAAGGGAAACAGAAAGGGTGCTAGCAAGCCGGGCCACGAGACGGTGGGCACTATCAGCCTGAAGCACGTCTACGAGATTGCCAAGATTAAGCATACCGAGCTGCGCCTTTCAGGACTCTCGTTAGAGGGCTTGTGCCGATCGATTATTCATCAGGCCAAGTCTATCGGCATCAATGTCGTTGCATAAGGAGAGTGTGTATGAGACGGTGAAGCCTTTGTTCCTCTGCTAGGCCGCAGGTCTAGCTGTGTATATTATGTCATGAAGAAAGGGTTAGAATACCATGTGGAGGACTGTACAATGAATACAAAAAGCGACCATTTCTTTACTGTTTAACAAACAGGAGCTTCAATTTGGTGTGATACGTGACGAATCAACCAAGTTTGTGGCACAATGTACATCATATCAAAGGGGACTTGCAATGTGGAGAGGCTCCGCGGCTAGTCGAGATATTGCCAGTACAAAAAGGTTTGTCTCCAGCCCAGTATCCGATGCTAGCAATAGCGGCCACTCGTTATTACACGGGTGGCGCAGCAGCAACAGCTTAATCAACATTGCAGGCCATCTTGTCACTGTAGATATGGATGCAGGGGTAGAGAGCATCGGGTTCCTGACTAGCGCCGCCAAGCTTAACAGAGCGCTGCACGGCTACAAGCCCGCGTGACTTCAACAAACCTAGCAAGAAAAAGGAACAACTAATAAAACGAATACGTAGCACACATGCAAATGGAACAATGCCGAGTGGCAACCATTCGGCCGATGACTGCCGCTGCCCAATTTTCCAGCACGAAAATTTTGGATCGAGGCTCAGCCAGACCCGGGCCGGGACGGGTTGGTGCGGATAACGACCGCCGCTGCAAGGCACGGAGCCAAGAGCGCGGCTGCAGGAAATAAAGACGAGAAAAAGATTTTTTTTATGACAAGCAGGGTCCACAGAGCATATATATTTAGAACACGTGCAAAAAAAAAAAAGAGCATCAGGCTATTTGCTTTTCGCGTACGGAGCAAGTATTAGTCGCCGATGTCAGGAAAGCCTGATATGACACACCACTGGCCCAACAATGGAGCTTGTCTGTTGGGAAGCAGGTCAGCGCTCACCTGTTTTGAATATGTCAAACCGTTTACCAGTATAAACACCACCAGCCACTCATGCAGTATGCCACACACAATGGTGGTAAATTAGCGCCAGTGTAGATTTCCGTAGTGACACACCATCGGTGGCCAACACCAGCTGTTTGCGAAAAGCGCGTTGGGGCCAAAGAAGAAAAAAGCTTATTGCCAGAAGCGGACGCCGGGTGTCAGGGCCAGGTACCTGGAACACAGGCGGGCAGCCCGTACAAAGTGGAGGTATCGAAAAAATATCGAAGGCGAAAAAAAACCACCACCGCCCCACTGCGGCCGCCATAGCGCCTCCTACGCTGCGACAGCGACCACTCAGTGGACAGTAACATGCATGCATTGGACGGATGGACACGCCCTGTAACCGCTGGAACTGGTTCGCTGAAGGCCCTGTAATTTACGGCGCACGTCCTGCGCAAGCGGCAGCGCCACAGCCATCTCCGGCCGGCTCTGTGCTCCCCGGCCCATTTTCTTTTTTTCTTTTCTGATTTTTTTTTAGCGGGCGGCCTACCGCGACCGCCGGGCTCGTCCAGGTGAGGAGTGACAAGGTACAGGAAGGCAACAAGACAAAGGATTAGAGAAAAAAAAACTTTCTTCTTTCTTCTTTCTTGGATTCTTCTTCTTTCCTTCATACAAGCATCTTTTTATCATTTTCGTTATTCAACCTCGCCTCTCCTAATTCATTGGGCCCTTTTCGCCAGGCCACCGCTTCTCCCAATGGCTTCGTCACAGGCCACGCAAAAGAGTACGTTGCTTGCTGTTGTCGATTTTGGCTTCTGATCACCGCGCACGCATCCTGCGACGCCGCTGCAGCCAGCTGCTGCTGCAGAACAGAGCCCCGCACCCACCACCACCACCGCCCGTTGTCACTCTCTTCCATTTCACAACATTCACACGTATTCTCCTTCTCTCCGTCTAATTCTTCCTACTGCAATCTCCTCCCCCATGCACCGCATTCACAATGGCTGACCTGTCTACCGCCACTACAGCTTCTGAGGAGCAGCAGCAGCAGCAGCAACAAGACACCGCCGCGCCAGCCGCCCGCGATCCTACAACCCCCGCCGTCCGCTTTGCTTCTGCTACTCAAGAGATTCTGCCCACCGCCACAACGATAGCACCGCCGCAGGTCACTACGACAGACCATGTTTCCGATACCTTCAACGAGGTCACCGCGGACCAGATCAAGGCCTTTTCCAAGTCTCTTCACGGATTGCCCCTCCAGGAGCGCCGCTTAAACACCTTCCAGTTCGAGGCCTTCTCACTGCCACCTTCTAGAGTCCCGTCTCATGATGAGTCGGGCGAATCATCCCGCCTGCACACTCCAATCTCATCCGCGCTGCACTCACCTCATGGCAGCCCGCTCATTCCTCCCCTCGCCTCGCCGCCACTTACACCCTCGGCCTCTATCGGAGACAGACGAGTTGGCCGTCCTACCACCAGCGGCCATGATTCTCTCATCACCCCGCAGCCCAGCTCATCCACAGATGCTACTACTGTGACCGCTGGTGAACGCAGACCTCTAGCTCACCGTCCCGTGTCTGCCGAGCATGTTCTCCGTAGAGCCTCGTCCGTCGAGGAGCACCTCGGCGGCGGGGCCCAACAGCACAGACGCGGCATGTACGGCGCTGGTGCTACCTCGGTCCCCGTGTCCCGCGAGAGCAGTCCTTCCAGAAGCTCGGCCTCGCACTTTTACTCCAAGCCCATGACACCTGTGGGCGACATCAACGATCCGTATGCCAAGGGCCGCCGCCCCGCCCAGCAGACCACCAACCGCCACTCCATCGATCCCCGATTCGTCTTTTCTCGCAAGAAGAAGCACGGCTCTCCCCACGGCTCTCGCTCTAGCTTGTCCGGCTCCGGCGCCTTCTCGGGCCACGGAGCCAACAAGAGCGGCGATGAGAGCGACTCGCACCACAGCCACGGTTCCATGGCCGACCTCAAGCGCTTCTTCCGCAAGACCGGACACCACGGCCACAAGAAGCATGAATCAACGTCCATGGCGCCGCCTCCCGCCCGACCCCAGCCTGCCCCTCAGCAACATACCGGCACAAAGACTCCTCCCGCCTCCCGATCCAGCCACCAGGTTCCCTTTGCCGACGACCACGGCCTCACATCCAAGTACGGCAAGCTCGGCAAGGTCCTCGGTGCTGGCGCCGGTGGCTCTGTGCGCCTGATGAAGCGCAAAGAGGACAACACCGTCTTTGCTGTCAAGGAGTTCCGAGCTCGCCACACATACGAGACCGAGCGAGAGTACAACAAAAAGGTGACGGCCGAGTTTTGTGTCGGTTCGACCCTGCACCACGGTAACATTATCGAGACGCTTGATATCTTGCAAGAAAAGGGCCGCTGGTTCGAGGTCATGGAGTACGCACCCTATGACCTCTTTGCCATTGTCATGACGGGCAAGATGTCGCGTGAGGAAGTCAGCTGCTGCTTCCTGCAGATTCTCAACGGTGTTACATATCTGCATAGCTTGGGTCTTGCCCACAGAGACTTGAAGCTCGACAACGTCGTTGTCAGCGACAGAGGCATCATGAAGATTATCGACTTTGGCAGCGCCCATGTCTTCAAGTATCCCTTTGAGACACTGCCTGTGCCCGCCAAGGGCATTGTCGGCTCTGACCCATACCTTGCGCCCGAAGTGTACGAGTCCAAGGAATACGACGCCGCATCCGTGGACATTTGGTCGCTCGCCATCATCTTCTGCTGCATGACCTTGCGCCGCTTCCCATGGAAGATCCCCCGCATGACGGATAACTCGTACAAGCTGTTTGCCTCAGACCCTACCCCCGGCCACGACCCCAAGAAGATGCTCGTCATGTCCAAGTCGACAGGCGACCTTGCCAACACCCGATCTCGCGACTTTATGCCCCAGGAACCCAAGCCGGTCGAGAAGCCCAAGGAGGAGGAACACAAGCACCACCACGACGACAAGCACAAGCATGACGACAAACACCACCACAAGAACGGCGACGCCACGACCAAAGACGCAGCGGCTACTTCCCAGCAGCCCGCTGAGAAGAAGGAAATCATCCGCGGACCCTGGCGAATCCTGCGTCTGCTCCCCCGCGAAAGCCGCCACATTATCCACCGCATGCTCGATCTCAACCCCAAGACGCGCGCCAAGATGGACGAGATTCTTCAGGAGCCGTGGGTTGCCGACAGCATCATCTGCCAGCAGCTCGAGAACGGCGAGGTGCTCTCTGCCGAGAACCACACGCACATCCTCGAGCCTCCCAACAACCCGTCATCGTAGAGTCGCTGCGAAATCTCCACACCATATACATTTTTTTTTCATCTTTTTAAGCACTTTTTTCTTGTTTATAACCAAGACATTGTTTTTTATTATTTCTTGGATGGAGCATGTTTTTTATTCGGCACAGAGACGAGGGACGGTTTTCCTTATACGACGCTGGTAATGAATGGCTGGTCTGCTAGTGGAGCAGGTGCTGAGCCATGTAGGACAAGTAGTAGTAGAAATCTATACAGGCAGCGTTTTCTATAGAGTCTTTTTATAATTATTATTATTTATAAATATATATTTTTCCCAAAGAATACTCTTGGTTGTCGTCGTCTGGCCGTAGAACCGAGGATATGCCGTTTGGAAGCTATTGGAAGAAACCCCGGGCCCCACATCCGCTCCCGCAGCAGTAGCAGCGAAGCCGTAGGCCATTGTCGCCATTTTTTTCCACTTAACCCTTTTTCTTACCTCCTTGTTCCCATCCGTCATCGCCAATTCGCCTCCAATTCTAATTTCTTTGCATCCGCGCATCATTTTCTAATACCGCAACAATGGTACGTCCCTCGACTCTGCACAATTTCTCCAGAAACGAGCTGGCGCTTCTTGCGCCGGCGCACGCCTCTCCTTTCGCCAAGCCAACATCTCGACTTCGGCTCGACTTCACTCTGACGCATTGCGACTAACCAACTGCTTGCAGTCTACTTCTATCCGCTCCATCCGCTCTCTCGTCCCCCTTCTTGACCGCGTCCTCGTCCAGCGCGTCAAGGCCGAGACCAAGACCGCCTCCGGCATCTTCCTGCCCGAGTCCTCTGTCGAGAAGCTCAACGAGGCCAAGGTCCTTGCTGTCGGCCCCGGTGCCTTCGACAAGGCTGGCGCCCGTCTCCCCATGGGCGTTGCCGTCGGCGACCGCGTCCTGATCCCCAGCGTAAGTTGACCTCATCATCAGACACCCATGATAACCCTGCTAACGTGCATCTTCTTCCAGTTCGGCGGTTCCCCCGTCAAGGCCGGCGAGGAGGAGTTCCAGCTCTTCCGTGACAGCGAGTACGTATTATATCCGCAATATTCTGGCCGGCGTGGTCGTTCGCGGGCAAAACTAACAGGCGGCAGGATCCTCGCCAAGATCAACGAGTAAAAAATTCCATACGAAATCATAATAACCAGCAACCAAAAAATGAAAAAGGAGAGCGTTTTCCTTTGTCGGGGAGGCTGAACGAAACGTGTATCACCAACTGTACTGTACCATACGACAATAAGAGAAACAAAAAAGGAGCGGGAGATTATTAGACTGTAAGGAGAGACAAATGACGGGCTTTTGTGGTAGCACGTCGGCGCTCGGGTGCGGCAGTGGCCGCTATATCTGAGACGTACGAGCTTGTTATACTACCACTAACTAGCACGACTACTACTATTTAGACGAAAGACATACTTGAAATCTCCCCTCATCTGCATCTATCCCCTTCCGTGAAACCATGGCCCAGCAGACAAAGTAGACTGCGCGTGTCGCCGCCTTTGCCGCCCATCTTCCCCTTCGGACGAGCAGTAGCCAATTAACATTTTTTATTAATAGCCCACAGGCCAATTGCATCGTCGCTGTTACCGCCGCCACGCGGGTTCCTGCCGATCTCTCCTCGCCAGAACGCGACGTCGCACGCTGGCGTCGTAGCGTTTAGTCGTCGCCGCAGCGCGGTGCTACAGACAACACCCAGGTAATATAGCGTGCAGCGTGGCCAGTACTAATAAGAAAAACAGGGGCCCGAGGGAGCGTCGCATCGCCGTTGGACCGGCGTTGTTTCCGTGTGTATAGATGTCCATGCCCGGCTATATGTGTATAACTTAACTATGTTGCAAGCGGCACGGCTTGGCTACTGCGCCGTGACGTGGACGCAAGTCAGGGAACAAGTAAAATATCTGCCTCAAAAAAGGAACGGCCGCCCAGACAATCTGTTTTTCGTCCTTTTCTTTGCTTATCAATTCTGTCGACAACAAGTCCACACGTACTAGTGCCGCTGCCTGGTGCCGCAACTGTCAACACAAAACGAGCTCAATTTTTTCCTTTGTCCAGCTCTCTTTTCTTTTCAAGTATATAACAAAAGTTAAGACATTCTGCTATCAAAACTTATCATAGACGCATCGTCATGAAGAAAACGATTCTTCCTATGCTGGGCCTCGCGGCTGCGGCTAATGCCCATACGCTCTTTACGACATTCTTCGTCAACGGCCAGAACCAAGGCGACGGTACTTGCGTGCGCGAGCCAAAGGAGGATAAATCGTCGACGGCTCCCATTTACCCAATTACAGGAGATGACATGGCTTGTGGTATGTATTTACAGTGGTTGATGGTTGGTCGTAGTTGTGCTAACCTGTACAGGCCGCAATGGCAACAAGCCTGTTGCGTTTACTTGCCCAGCACCGTCTGGGGCTACGCTTACTTTTGAATTCCGCGAATTCCCTGCCGAAAGCGCCCGTCATCCGGGATCAATTGACCATGGCCACAAGGGCCCATGTACCGTATACGTCAAGAAGGTGGAGGACATGGCAACCACCCCTGCTGCGGGCGATGGATGGTTCAAGATCTGGGAGGACGGCTACGATGAGGAAAAGAAGACTTGGTGTGTGGACCGTTTAATCGCCAACAAGGGACTATTGTCAGTCGACTTACCGACAGGTTTACCTGCTGGCTACTACCTCGTCCGTCCCGAGGTTCTGGCTCTACACAACGCCGACAAGGGCGATCCCCAATTCTACGCCGGCTGCGCGCAGGTGCACATTGAAGACGGGCCGTCTGGTCCTCTACACATCCCTGCCGAGTACGAGGTCAGCATTCCCGGTTACGTGGATGCCAAGTCGCCTGGAGTCAACTTCAACATTTATAAGAAGCCCATGGACAAGTACCAGGTCCCTGGACCCAAGGTTTATATTCCATCTGTTGGTAAGGCCGGCAAGGCTGCTCTCACCAAGGAAAAGCAGCAGATTGGCAACATCCCCGACGACTGTTTGCTCAAGAATGCAAACTGGTGTGGAAAAGCCATTGGTGCGTATTCTGGCGAGACGGGCTGCTGGATTGGCGTTAAGGACTGCTGGACCCAGAGCAAGGATTGCTGGAAGAGCGCACCTCCTAGCGGCGGAGCAAACTGCGCTGTCTGGGATAGCTACTGCACATCGATGGAAGATGAGTGCAACAGTGGAAGCTTTAGAGGCCCTCCCAAGTTCAGTGCCAAGGAGAAGTTAGCTCCTGTCCCTGGTGCGATTCCCAAGCCGTGGGGCGAGGACTTTCCAGAGTCTGAGATTGAGCAGTCTTCGTCGGTGGTCCTGCGTTCGGTGTTTGCTGCTGCCACGCCTATCCCCGTCGGTGGCGGCGAGAGACAGGCCCCTAACGTTGACCTACCGGAGTTCAATGCCGGCGTGGACAAGCCTCCAGCTCCTGGACGCCCCAACGTCGTGGATATCCCGGCGTTTTCCAGTGTCGATCGACCTATGCGATCACAAGCCTCGTCCATGCCCACGCCTGCGTCGTCCATAAAGTCGCCCGCATCGTCAGTCAAGGGTTCCCCAGCCTCGTCTACTCCATTGTCATCCACGGGTATGCGCGGTTCTTCTGTCAAGGGAAGCCCAGCATTCTCTACGCCAGCATCTTCTGCACCGGCATCCTCTATGGACTGCAACGGAGGTATGGAGCCGTCGCAGTTCCCTTCCAAGCCCAAGACATCTGAGATGCCCAAGGCGTCCCAGACACCAAAGGCAGGCACTTGGCCAGACAAGAACAAGGACGCTTCGATACCAAAGGACTGTGAAGATGGCAAGGATAAGAACACCAAGACGCCCGGTGGCGACGGCTGGGCTGACAAGTCCATCGATGGTAGCCCTAGCACCAGCTGGCCGGATAAGACTACGAAACCCAAGGAGAGCGGCTGGTCTGACAAGACTAAGGACGACCTGCCCTCGACCAGCAAGACAGCTTGGCCGGACAAGAGCAAGACGGATCCCACTCTGGACATGGACTGCAACGGAGCTCCTGTCGACGACCAATTCCCCAGCAAGACAACTGAAACGGGCCCGAAGAAGGACAACTGGGCTGTTAAAGGCAAAGATGGTGACTCCAAGACTGGCGGCAATTGGTCTGACCAGACGAAGAGTGAAAAAGACAAGGTGGGGAGCTGGCCTAATGGCAAGGACAAGCCTGCGGACCGAAACTGGGCAGACAAGTCGAAGGATGACATGTCCTCTGGGCCCAAGAAGCATGGAAACGGCATGGATATGATGGACTGCGATATGAATCCCAACATGGTTGGCGATAAGGAGATGACAGATCCTGTTGCTTCACCAAAGAAGGAGGACACCTCCACTACACCCATCGGCAGCAAGGACGATGCAGAGGAAATAGATCTTCCTGGAGACAAGATTGAGGAGCTTGACTGCAGCGGCGGCCAGTTTGGTCCTCCGCCTGTTGATGAGCCCAAGAGCGACGAGTCTGGAAGCGCGGACCCTACTGGCGGGATGGGAGCTGACGGTGCTGTCCCTGATGCAGATGTCCCTGACGCCGAGGATGCCCCAGACAGCAGCGACGATAGCCCTGAGAATGCCCCTGAGGCAGAAGATCCTGAAGATGCCGAGGAAGCGGAGGATACATTCTAGGCGTAATGGTTGAGCGTGCTTTGTTTACCTCAATGCGGCTTCGTTTGTGTAATGAATGGCGATAGGGAACGGTTCGTTTGACTATTTTCTTTTGAGTATGTATATTTCGGATTACTGCAAATACTGATTTCTTTTGTTGTTTGGGACATCTTGCTTCTGCGATTTCCAGTATGTCGTAGTGTAGATGTGCAAGTGTGCTGGAAGTGATGTTGAATTAGTGTTTCTTGGGTGCTGTAGATGCGGCTCCGCAGAGGGATACGATGTTCCGTTGTGGGCCTGCTGGGCGATGAGGTCACCGCCCCAGACGGAGCGGACGTTAGTAGCGGTCAGCCACAGCGCAGCCCAGGAGAGCAGGCAGGAGACAGCATCAGCTGATTGTGGTGGCCAGGCAGCGAACCTCGTGGCGATTACAAAGAAGAAAATAAGATGGCCTGATTGTGAGAGAGATTTGATTGCAAAGAGGCTATTTTTATTTTCTCTTTATTTTTCCCGTATTTAATGTAGCTGATCTTTGTCGATACTACATACAGCCTGCGTCGTTTGAATATTCAGCGGTTCGCCTCGTGTGGCGCTGCAGGTAACTGCTGCTGTTGTAGGCGCTGTAAACCCGAACTCTGAAACCTATCTGCAGCAGCATTATGCGCTGGACAAATGGCATTTTTCTACGCCGGCCAAGCGCATACAAAATGCCATGTAAAATATAAACAAATAAAAAGCGTTCTCATTAATACACTTGATTTTTCCTGACTCTCCAACTCATCATATACTCCCTCTCGTCCTCGCTTATAGAAAAAAACGTCCGACGCCACGCAACCACAAGTCCCACCACACACGCACCGAAGCCCCCCCAGCCTCAACCCAGCCCAGGGCCCTCGTCTTCTCTCTCTCTCGCCAAACCAACCCATCTTCCTCCCTCCCACCGAACCTCACATCTTCCCTTCCTCCAACACCCGCCGGCCCCTTGCGACCGCCGAACCCGCCACCATGCCGAACAATCGCAACTATGACTTTCTGGTACGTCGACCATCCGCGCCCTGTCTGCTGCTGCCGCCGCCGCCGCCGGGGGGCTACACCGTCATCCATCCTTTGTCCGCTACGCCCCTCTATTTGGGGGGAGGCGGGCCAAGCAGTGACGAACTCGACACGATATCGCCCTCGGTCCCGTCCCGAAAAGCTAACGTGTTTCCGGCTTAGATCAAGCTCCTCCTCATCGGCGACTCGGGCGTCGGCAAGTCGTGCTGCTTGCTGCGCTTCAGCGAGGACTCCTTCACGCCGTCCTTCATCACCACCATCGGCATTGACTTCAAGATCCGCACCATTGAGCTCGACGGAAAGCGCGTCAAGCTGCAGATCTGGGATACCGCCGGCCAGGAGCGCTTCCGCACAATCACTACCGCCTACTACCGCGGCGCCATGGGCATCCTCCTCGTCTACGATGTCACCGACGAACGCTCCTTTAACAGTGCGTTGACTTGGATCGCCTTATCTTCCTATATGCTAACCATCACAGATATTCGCACGTGGTTCCAAAACGTCGAGCAGCACGCCACCGAGGGCGTCAACAAGATCCTCATCGGCAACAAGTGCGACTGGGAGGACAAGCGCGTCATTTCCCAGGAGCAGGGCCAGGCCCTCGCCGACGAGCTCGGCATCCCTTTCCTCGAAGTCTCCGCCAAGAGCAACATCAACATCGACAAGGCCTTTTACTCCCTCGCCGCCGACATCAAGAAGAGACTGGTCGACAACTCCAAGAACGAGGTCGGCGCGACTGGTGGCGTCAACGTCGGCGATAAGGCCGACGGCGGCATGGGCAGCAAGTGCTGCTAAACGAAAAAAGACCAACAGTAAACACGAAACACGGGCGTTGGGAGCGACCGATGCTGCCTGCTACTCAAAGACGACCTTTTTTTTTGCTGAAATGACGGTTCTTGGACTCGAGCTAGCTACTGCATCCAACACACAGTTTACGATTTGTTCCTGTTTGCTTTGAATCCGCGGTTTTTGCAACACTTTATATTCTTTTTTCGTTGGTGGAACGAACGACAGACGACACACGCATGTAATGGGACAGAACAAATGCAACGAAAGGCAGGACGAGAGGGACGGGGAGGATAGACGGACATGGGAGCGTGGAATGACAAGTGCGTGCGTGCCTGCGCGCGAAATTAAGTACATATTACCATTTTTGTTTTCTGGTTTTTTTTGTTTGTTCGCTGGATTCGCAAGATGACAAGAAGACGCTATTCCTTAACTTTTTTTTTCTAAACGAACATGGGTATCCCGCTTAAAGTGACTGTGACTGCTATGATATGATACAGGTTTATAGTACATGTGAAAAATACACAGATGAAGTGTTTACCACTGAATCAGTGATGCTGAGATAGTTACTCGGTCTCCTGGTAAATCCAACTCTTCTCCATCGATGGACACGGCATTCCATCGCCGCTGGAAGCGCCGTGCCTCGTCCTCATCCTCGCAAGAAAAGACGAACCGCGAACGTAGCTTGACCCAGCTCGGGTAGACCTTGCCCTCTGGATCAACGTCTGCATCGTCGGCCTTTCTACCATCCCGGTAGTCCCAGAGATGATGGGGCTTTGACACCCGCCAAGCGCAGTCGCGGGCCGCCGAGTCGTCGTCGACAAGGGTCCGTACTAGAGCAGGCGATACACGTGGCGACGACAGATGGAACAGGACGGCGGATGGTGTCTCACCGTATCCATCTTCTTTAAGAATCTTTCTTAGGTGGTGTGTCCATGCCAACCGTGGAGGTTTTGAGTCGTGGACGGTGTAGAGGTTTGAATGGGGAGGCGCAATCGTCGCCGACGACGAGGAGAGCTGCGCCTTGTAGCTGTCACGGTGGGCGGCGTCTTCAAAGGCCAGCATGAAGCAGCCTGTCGGTTCGAATGTGCGGTGATTGCGATCCTGCAGGACTGCTCACGTTAGCATAAGAAGCAAAAAGAGGCAAGGTAAAAAGCGTACCATGGGTAGGCGCAATCTTCCAGCCAGCGAGGCCAGAGCCGGGGCTGCGGTAAAAGTCGGCCGGGCGAACGTGGGGGCTCAGCCCAGATATCACGAGGTGGCATGTAGAGGGTTTCGTGCGGGTTGTGTTGCGGAATGCATGCTGGAGCTTATGTTCGTTGCTGTCCTCCTTGGAGCTTGACTTGGTGCTCTTTCGGGGGGTGTCGCGCCGTGTGAGGAGCGGCCAGGCATCATTGGTGGTGGCTATTGTTGAGTAGAGGCGCGCATTTCGAAGCCGGCACGTGCATTGCCTGGCAAACATTCGTGTGGCGTGGAGGCTGCTCGGTGGTGCGCAGGGGACGGCGGACGACGTGAAGTTGGAGAGGTGAGGTTGTAGAAGTGCGGATTCTGGATGCGGACTAGCGCCGGTGGCCGGTGACGTCGATTCAACGTGCGGATGGGAGAGATGGTCTAGTGTCTTTTAATGATATTTAATAAATGAGATAAAATAACAATTGTATATTTTATAATATAAAATATATTTTAAGTATTATTTTACAATATTTTAGGTCATACTTCTGGCTGAGGGATACCCCGCGGCTACTGGACTGCCCCTCCATAAAAATTTCTACAACTCCAAAGTTCAAGCTTCACCTTTACCACCACCACCACTACCAACAACCACGGAGACCTGCTAGCTTTTCTGCTAGTTAGTTGTACGCCAACCATGGTCAAGCAGAGCATCGACGCCAAGGTGCGGCCGCTGGCGAATGCTGGCCTCGAAAAGGCATCCCTCTTTGGCGCCGCCCGCCTCTACATCAGCAAAGACTCCATGATTGCCCTGACCAACGGCCTTGAGAGCAACAAAGCTTGCATCGTGGAGAAGCTGCCCGACGACTCAGCGCCTGACTGGGAGCCCGTCAAGCGCGAAGCCTCGCTATGCGTGCTGCCCGAGAAGAATCTGAGCCCCAACGTCGTCATGATGACCAGGGCCTTCCAAGACGCCTCGGGCTTTCGAGTAGGCGACCAGGTCCGCATATCACTGCTCGAAGCAACGCCCGACGCAGACGAAGTTGTTGTGCGCAACATGACAGAAGGCGGCGAGGCAGAGGCCAGTAAACCCACAAAGTACCAGCCCTGCTGGGAGTACTCGCTCGGTCTATCACTAGGTATAACGGACAGAAAGACTCCAAAGAAGAACACTAGGCTGACACTTTGTCTACAGAACGCGCAGAGCAAGTCTTCCCCGGCATGGTCCTCGAAGGCGTCAACATCAACAAGACGCGCCGCACATACAAGGTCCTATCCGTCAACGGACAGGCCGCCAACCTCGCACGCTTCCATCTCTCCACCACAACCCTCCGCATCCTCTCCTCCTCCGACACGGACGACTCGATATCCACAGCAGCTCCCGTGGCCCTTCCTGCAGGCGATCTCGAAATCAAAGACGTCCCCGGCCTCGCCAACCAAGTGGCCGTGGTGAACCGCTTCCTCAAAGGCTTCTCCCGCCAATTCTGGGTCGCCGACGAGCGGGAATCATGCGCCTTTGTCATCCACGGCGGCCACGGCACCGGCAAGACATTCATTCTCAACAAGCTCGCTGCCACAGAATGGGGCAAGGTCTTCTGGGTCAAGCCCGCCGACAAACTGGCCTCGATCCGCGAGACATTCAAGATTGCGCAGACGCAGCAGCCGTGCATGATCCTCATTGACGGCCTCGAGGACCTCATCCACAAGGACCGCTCGAACCGCGACGCCGTGATTGACGCACTAGCCGACGAACTCGACGCCCTCTCTGCCACAGCCTCCAAGCACAACCAGCTGCCGTCCGTTGTCGTCCTCGCCACATGCCTCGACTACATGACCGATGTCCCCGCCAAACTCCAGAAGCGCTCACGCCTCCGCGACAACATTGCGCTGCCCATCCCTCGAGCCCCCGAGCGCCTCGAGATCCTCAACTTCCTCAATCCGCCCCTCCCAGCCGCCGACAAAGCCGCATGCCTAAAGAGCATCGCGGAGCGCACGCACGCCTACAACGGCGACGACCTGGCCAACCTAGTCCTCAACGCCAAGCGCATGCTCGGCAACCGCCTCGACTCCTCCCCTCCCTCCGACTCTTCTACCCCCCAGCTCCTTGCTCCATCGGACATGGAGCAAGCACTCCGCATCACACGCCCAACCGCCATGCACGACATCAACCTCAACCCGCCGACCATCCACTGGACCGACGTCGGCGGCCAAGAAGCACTCAAGAAGATCCTCAGCCGCATGATCAAGAACACCAAAGCCACCAACCCAGCGTCCGCCGCCGTCCTGCGCACCCCGCCCAAAGGTCTCCTCCTCTACGGCCCTCCCGGCTGCTCCAAGACGCTCTCCGCCCAAGCCATGGCCACCGAGTCCTCCTTCAACTTCTTCGCCGTCAAGGGCGCCGAGCTACTCAACATGTATGTCGGCGAGTCCGAACGCGCCGTCCGCACGTTATTCGAGCGCGCGCGCGCCGCATCCCCCTCCATCATCTTCTTTGACGAGATCGACTCGATTGGCGGCCAGCGCAGCCCCGGCTCCGGCTCGGCATCGCGGTCCTCCGGGTCCGTCAACATGCTGACCACGCTGCTCACGGAGATGGACGGCTTCGAGTCGCTGACAGGTGTGCTGGTGCTTGCGGCCACGAACCGGCCTGAAGCCATGGACCCGGCGCTGATGCGGCCCGGCCGTTTTGACCAGGTGGTGTATGTTGGCCCGCCGGACCTGGCGGCGCGCGAGCAGGTGTTTACTGTACATTTGCGCGGGTTGACGCTTGCTGAAGATGTCTCTGTTGCTGAGCTGGCCAAGGCGGCGGAGGGGTACTCGGGGGCGGAGATTAAGGCGATTTGCAATGAGGCTGGTCTGGCGGTTCTGGATCGCCATGATGAGAGTGATGGCGTGGAGAAGCTGGAGATTCGGATGCAGGATTTACTGGATGCGATGGAGCGGACGGCGAGGAATATTACGCCGTTTATGATTTCGGGATATGAGAATTGGAGTAAGCAGTTTAAGAAGAAGTAGTCGTCTTCTATCTTTGTCTTGTGTGGAAGACAGACAGCTGGACAAAGAAGGTAGCTTATGATGATGGCCAGTAGGACACATAAAAGTGGTAGTAGACTTATTACGAACATTAGACTAGACAGACACGCATCACGAATACATATGATTTCCTTTCTTCAACTTGGGTTCCTCTTACAGCCTTCCTCCCTTCAACTTGGGTTTCTTGTATGGTGTATACAGTTAATTGGATGGGTTCATATAAAATGTCATTTCCGGCCATATAAACAGGCCTCTTCATCTCATTATATAGCCTCCAGCATTCCTTCCCTCCATTCATGCTTTTTACAGCCTTTTTTCTTGCAAAAACAACCCCACCAATCCGAGGTCTTTGTGGATTTATGATACACGCCATCGTTGAAAAGACAAAAAAATAAAGAAGTCCCAAAAATGCCCCATCCTCGCTCTTCCCAAGCCTTTCCTCAAGTCCGCTCACACAGGCGCAGCAAACCTCAAAAAAAGCCTGGGTGAGTTGTAGTGTTTCCTCCTATACGCCGTTTCGCTAATATAACAAGGGTTGTGAATAGTAATAAAAATGTAAAAAAAAAGGTAAAAAAAAAAAAAACAAGAGGCTCATTCGTCATAGATGCATGGCGCTCTGAAATGCAAAACAACTACGATTCGTCGTCGGAACGCGAATTGCCGCCAGACTTGACGGCCGGGGAGAGGTTGATGGAGATGCGCTTGGGGCCGTTGCTGCTGCCGCTGTTGTTGGAGCCGGTGAAGCTGCGCCGGCGCTGAGTGCCGAGCTTGGATGCCGCTATCGAGTTGGCATCCGAGGAACTGCTGTTGCGGCGCTTGTTGGCCATGAGCTTGCCCAGCTCGTCCCCATCTTCGTCTTCTTCCCGGCGGCGCTTCTCAGAAAGGCGCTCGGGCGGTGATGCGTTGCTGGCGTCGTCTTGGGCTGCGGCAGGCGTTGTTGGTGCAGCAGCAGCAGCAGCTTCGTCAGCGGGTGCATCGTCCATCTTGGCTTCCTCGTTGGCTTCGGTATCAATGACAGCTTCTTCGGCATCCTCGTCAGACGCGTAGTCGACAAGCGCCTTGCCAGCAGGGGGACCATTGCTGGGAACAACACGCGTCTCCTCTGCATTCTCGTCGTGCTCCTCCTCGGGGTCGGATGCCTCCCAGTACTCCTCTTCTTGCGGGTCGACGCCGAGCTGGTCCATCAGGCGCATGCTTGTGGGTGGGCGGCGCACCACGTCCTCCTCGCCGTCCAAAAAGTAGTCCATGTTGGACGTGTATCCTTGGGTCTGGTCGAAGCGGAGCACGAGATCGCGGAATGTCGGTAGGTAGCTCAGGCTGACGAGCTTCTCGCGGTAGTTGTTGACAAGGAACTTGACGAGATCCTTCATGTTCTCCTTCTTAATGTGCTCAAAGAGCTCCAGCGATGCCGAGCTGAGTAAGTTGTCGCGAGGCAAGGTGATAATCAGGACGTCGAGGATGGGGCCGAGAACTTTCTTCTCAACAATGTGGCGGATATAAAACTCCTCCTGCATGCCAACCAAGGCACGGAAGAAGCGAATCGCCACAAGCTTGAGGTACTTTTCCGAGCTCGAAACAAGCTGTGCGACACGCTCCACCAGATTGTTGTTCATAACAAAGTAGCGGCTGAAGCGATGGTGCTGTCGAATAAAGAAACACAAAATCTCAATCAGGTAGCTAAACATGGACGCCTTTTGTGCGGGAAAGTCCATGTCGGTCCGGCCCTCCAAGTCTACCAGCGGCTTGAACAGCTTGACGGCCGACTGTTCGTAGAACTTCGTCAAGAAGAGCTCCTGTTGGGGATCTGCACTCTGAGCAGGTCGCCCGCGTAGAGCCACCTCGCCGTTGGCTCCCTTGGTCATGCTTTCGGCCAGCTGCGCCGGCGTCGGGCCTTGGTCAAGGAGAACCTTGAGGGCATCGGAGATCTGAGACTTAACTCCCAGATCGACTTCCACCAGCAGCAGGTCGATGAGCGAGTCTGTGAGCGAGGGCGAGTTTTCGTGGATCTGTCGGTAGATGGTCTGTCGAATCATTTGCGGGTCATGGTCGATGATGGAGATGAGAATGTCAGTGGCGCCGACGCGGACACTGACGTCGTTATGGCATAGTCCAAAGTGAATGACCTGTAGCAGGCCGTGGGCGATGAAGTTGTTGTAAAGACTCTGGCGCGCAGGAGGTTGGATATTCTTGGCAATGGCACAGCATTGCTGGATGAAGAGGACGGCCTCCTTCTTCTTCTTGGCGTCGGAATGCGGCCAGCTGAAAATGCCAAACAGCTCGGCCAAGAAGGCAGCGTTGCCCTGCAAGTGTTGGACGATTTCGACTTGGTTGAAGAAGATGAGTGAGTTGAGCACGGAAAAGGTAGGGTCGTCGAGAATTCGGGCCAGCACCACATCCTTGAGGTACTGCAGGCGATACGTCTGGTGAATCTTGCGGCGCGTGAGCTCGTCTTCAATGGGAACAACTTCCTTGTAGCGGCCCTCGCTGTTGAGCCAGTGGCGATGGTTGGCCTTGTGGCTGGGGAAGTCGGGGTCATATTCGAGGGCGCCGACAACACCAAGGACATTTTCGTCGGAAACGGCGTGCTCGATAATGGCTGTGTCATTTAGCAGGATAATCGTCTTCATAATATTGCACAGGCTGTGAAGGTCCGAGAGGCACTCAAAGTCCTCGGCCTGTTGAACAAGCGGGATCAGCTTGCCAATGTAGTCTTCGGCCATGACAAACTTGGCCAGGGAGTCGCGTCCGTGAGCCGTTGTGCTGATCATACGCATGCTGGTTTCGATCTCGGGCAGCTTTCCAAGGGCGGGATTGGGTAAGCCGATGCTGTGTGAGCCATCCATGGCAAGGTCGTCGGACAATCCATCGTCTATCAGGGCACACGCGACCAGGTTAGCCCACTACTCACTCACGATACGAAAGAAAAAAGGGCATCAAACTCACCGCCGCCAGCAAGGTTGTTGTGGAACGTTTGCTGAATATTGCTCACGAATCTCCTTTGGACAAGTCAGTGACAGCGCAGACAGGCGAAAGCGGGGAAGTCGTACCAAATCATAGCACAGCCCTCAGGCTCCTGGAAACTCAGAGCCATGTCAACGCCACTAGCAGGATCCTGCCATACTATGAGAGTTTCTACAACATGTTAGTTGTGTGTTGTTGGGCAACAAAGGGTTATGTGTCTTGCCTTGTTGCTTCTGGAAGCCATCCTCCTTTTGGATCTTGGTCTCTAGCAAGAGACGCTCTGGCTGATCTTCTGATTCGACAATGACGCGCGGGTCTTTGCGTCCATCTTCGGTCTATCAAAAAAAAAATGCCACAAGTCAGTAAACTAAATATTTTCCAGCCTAGCAGGCTATTATCATCCCAAGACGCGGCGACGCGATACATCGTGTGATGCCGGAGTCACAGCGCGCACGGGGACACGAAAACGTACCGTCGCAAACGTAGCGATACAGAAGCCAGTGCCGCGGTCGAACCAGTCGTTATTGCGTAGCTCATAGACCTTGACGCGCTTCTTATCCGTCGCCGGATGAGGCACCGACTGTGCCATCATCAACGGCTCGGAGTCCTCCTCGGTAGCAATGATGTCGTGGCTAGCGTATGCGCCGAGATCGGGAGTCAGGTCGAGATGCTGCTGTAGAGAAAGACCGGCGGGCTCAGACTGACTGAGGACGGTGAGCGCAGCCACGGTTTCCGATGGGGGGTCGTTGAGCGCACGACCAGACAAGGACGCGTGAGCGAAAGGTGAAAAAGGGTAATCGGAGCCTCGGCGGGTGGAGGTTGATGGAGGCGGGATAAACGCAAACGACAAAAAAGAGCGAAATCTGTCCACGCAGCGGGGAGATTAAAGCGTGTCGAGATGAAGGCGCGATACTAGACGCAACTACTCAAGGCGCCATACACAAGCACAGGTCGTCGTCGTTGTCGAAACACGCTGACGGGGATGCCGAGGGCGAGCGAAGCGTGCGTGATGACGAGCGCGGGTCGGGGGATGGGCGATCGACAGGCAGGGCGCGTGCACGAGCAGATAAAAAAAACCGAAATCGCAGGCCGACCAAGCGAATCAACGGGTCGAGGCGAATAGAATAAAAGAAGAAAGAATACGGCGATGTCGGCGCAAGACAAGGGGGGAATTGTCGCGATGTCGAGCGATCGATGGAGGCGGGAGGGGGGAAAGGGAAAGAAGAGAGGGAAAGGGACGAGGAAAAAAGAGAAGGGCGAGCGCGGGTTGCGCTGTGGCCGCCTGCAGTTTGGGTGTCCGTAGCCGCTGGGGGGCGCTGCTGGCTGCGCTTCTCCCTTCCTGGTGCGGGGACGCGTGACTCTGGGGGGGAGGCGGCAAAGGGAGAAGAAGGAAACAATAAGCTTATAGCGCCTGGTCACTGTAAAACTGCGCTGTATTGGACGATTGGGTGCCCTGTAAGATAAAAAAAAACAAAGGGCGGCGCAGCACAACCCAGCCACAGATAGATAGATAGGCAAACAAGAGATGGCCTGTTGCAGGCAGCCCGCCCGCCTCGACTAGTGCTGATACTGATACTGCCCACTAGAATAACGTGCCAGACCTGCCTACAATGGACAGCGCCACCCCTATTTTCCTTCCCTGTAGCGGCCGGCACTGCGCTGTAGGCACCCGCGAGCTAGGCCACTTCGAGTCCGTGTGCGCGTGTGGCTGGTGCCTCTCCGGGCTTTTCCGCAGGGCTTTTTTAGTAGCACGTCATTCCATTATTGTCACGTGATGCCGTCTGGGGCTAGCACGCTCGCTCCACGATCAGTGGGCCAGGGGCCAAGTGGCTCTCGTAGGGCGGCTGCAGGGCGACACTAAACGGTGGCATTTTCAACGACATGCCATTGCGGTTTGGTAAAAGCGTGGCATTGTGCCTGGCAAGATAGCCAAGAGTGTCGCGTGCCGCTGATATCTTAGCATTTTGCGGGGATTTTTGTATCGGGTTTTTTCTTTTATTTTGCCGCATGTGATGCTATCTGTGAGCGATGTCGGCCCCGGACGCGCCAATCCGGCGCCGGAGCATCGGCCTACGGGGCTTGGTCACCATAGCTCTTTGTACAGGAAAGCAAGCCGTCTTCTGCCAAAACGGGACATATCCCAAAGATTGATGACCGAGTACTCTGCTAAGCCCTTCCATTTTCCATGGGTGCAATATACTTAGTTCTATAAAATGACATGTTTTTCGATACTAGTACCTTTGTTCTTCTCATATGTGTACTACAAACTCATTCATAATCCCTTCTATTGCAATGTAAGTCCTTGTTTTTGAGGCTAGAAGCCGAGTTCCTAGAGCAAATCTCGCCAGAATAGGGGTCCGAATAGTTACGAGCAGCGGACGCCGATTCGTATGTTTCTTACCAGGTCTGCAGCAAAGGGCAGGAGGAACAGCTTCGCTGGTGAATGCGGAACCATGCGCGGCGACTTGTGACAGCTGCTTTACAACAAAAGTGCAGGTTCGCCGCAAAGCGACCTCTATATCTGGATGTGCTGGGAGCAGTTTTCAGAATCCGGGGTGCTGCTTTTAGAGGTCAATTTGCACAACAGGGAGGTGTGGGTCCACTTTGCCATTAAGCACAAAGCCTGGGCGGCGTTTGAAATTCTCTTTTTTTTCGCCCATTCCGATCTTACTTTGAATGAGTGACTGAACCTTGATAAGTACTGGATAAATACAGCATAGGGTCTGTCCCATTTATAATTCTCTAGAATCGAGAATATGGAAGCCTGGAAAATGATATTAGTACTCTTGAGAAATATGGATAGACGCAGCTTCCCAAGGCAGAGAGAAGACATACCATTTCCCGCGCAATACTATAACAGCGTACATGTCGCCTCTCTCATCGACCTCCTTCTCGACCTTGGCGGTGAAGTTGATTGCGCTCATAATACCATCGCCGAACTTTTCGTTAAGCACCGCCTTAAAAGAATAGCCATAATTCTGTACAATCTCGTACAGCCTATAGATAAGCGGTTCAACAGGGGGCATAGGTCCTGAGCGGCCTCGGTCAGGGAAACCCATCATCTGAGACGCGAGGACGTCGCGCGGGACATTCAGCAGGCTTGACAGCTTGGAAACGTCCTCTGCTGTCGCCTGCGCCTGCCCGTAGAAGAGTGCCGCGCAGGCAACTTCGTTGCGTCCGATATGCGAGGCGATATCCGTGAAACTGAGTCCCTTGGCTGTCTTAGCATCGAAAAGTATCGGGCTGTATGCCGGCAGGCGATCCATGGTAGATGTCTAGCGTCATTTAAAATGTTAGCAATCATTGTTCTATACTGCTTAGGCGATGAACAAAGCACTTACATCGAGAGTGGAGAGTCTCTTTGCTTCCGACATCTTGATTGTTTTATATGTATAAGTAGGTAACTATGCCTGAGATATTGCTCCTTGGAACACCCCTTTTGAGGGTAATATTTATAACTACTGTTACTTAAACACAGGAATTGTTTCCATCGCCTGCTTTGGCTGCGGGGAAGCCAGGGAGGGGAAGCTTGATCCACGGAGGTCGAGGCGCTGTGCCATGTTCCACTCACACATCGTTAAATGATGAGTGGGGTGCTGCATGGGTAGTACGACAAAAACGTAAGCAAGTGACACTTCTTGGCGCAGAATATAGACGGGCAGTTTTGGATCCTGACGTGGCGATGCATTGCTGCTGCATACTGTGCCGTTATTCTGGGGCACGCATCCAGTTTCAATGCAATAGCGGCTTGCTATGCAAGTGCCTCTGGGCTGGGCAAGCACTGCCCAGGCCCATTGATATATCTACAGAGTGTAAATAATTGGGTGCCTGAAGACGAGTCCTCGTCTTATCAGAAAGTTTCCACACTTTAAAAGCCCAATTGCACCTTTTCTGCCCAGTATTGTATAGCGCTGAACTCACAGCAGTTCCCAAGGTCAACACTCCCCCGCTTCACTGCAGACAGGTGCAATATATATAGGCGGCGGCTCAGTGACATGACACGAGAATTCTAATACAGTGCTTTTATCTTGTCGGAATGTGCGCTTTCGCGGCTCTATAATTAGCTAAAGTGAAATACTACCTTTATACCAAAACCTGACTAACCTGATATTAAAATTGAATTATTAAATCGCAATAAACGCAGCTATTTAAACGGGTGTACGTAGTACACTGTCTCCAACCGCGACCAATAGGCCATATCAGAGGTTAGGAAATGTCATTCTCATTTGGGTAACCACCGTTACAGCAGGGCAGTGGCCTGTTTGGTGAAGACAGCAACGATAACATTGTGATCGTTTATGCTTCCAAGTTTATCGTAGTGTTACAAACCAATCAGGGACGAGGGGTCGCGCCAACGGGCCGCCCCTCCATCATGACATAACTAGGCAACACAGCCGGGTCACGTGACGCCCGTGATCGAAGCGCTCGAGCTTCGATCAGGAGCGATCACTGATCGAGTTGATCGTTAGTCGATCAACATGATCACGAAGAGATGGACTGGTATATAAATAGATAGTTAAACAACCTCTAGGATAGTTCAGATCTTCAGTGATCAATCTAAGCAATTACTTGTTAATTGAAGATAACTCCTTAACGACCGCTTAACCAACTCTTTGTTACTACTGCTCTTGGACTCAGTCCACTTACACCGCAACTGTTCTACTACATAGGACAGACCCCTACGTAGTGCAAGCCACTTCGTTACAATTATCCCCTAAATTAATTACAATGTTAAACGTATCCTTAATATTTGAAAAAACTATACTACAACTAGTGTTCCCTACGCGTTTTCATGCTTCTATCGCTGAGACCGCCACTTGTTTCACAATTACATAATTAGTCAGTCCAACTGCCAGTTCAACTGAGTCAGTTGTATTACTAACCAGTCCAGTTGAAGCTTATTCTGTTGAGCGACCCAGTCTAAAAAAAGGCCAACTGGACTGAATCAACTGGAAGCTCACTCAGTTGGACTGGATGAGTGGTCAACTACTAGCCTCACTGATAAAAGCCGAGTTCCTAGAGCAAATCTCGCCAGAATAGGGTGTCCGAATAGTTACGAGCAGCGGGTGCCGATTCGTATGTTTAATGCAGCTATCGACAAAGTCGAGATCGTCTGGGATACAACTAACAAAGAGTCCCCCACGGGCATCGATGCTACAACCTCCACAACCTCCATTGGCGCACAAAGACACGTGACTACTCTTCACTGCAGAGGGGCAGCTATTGAAAACGATTATATAGAAATTTCAGTAATAATCAGCTTATAATATCTAATTAATCGCTTAAAGCCCAGTATAGAAAGTCGTCAATGTCCTGTTCAATGTCATCTTCATCCTTCTTCAACGAACCAACTGGCACGGCGCCTACTAGACGCTTCCTGGCATAACTTGCGTCTTTCTTGATAGCACAACACGCTGGTTTGCAAAGCAAAAGTATCGGTTTCATTATCTGTGCAAAATCACGAGGCCTATTGAGCTGGCCTTTTCCATTGGGCTTTGGAATCATGGAATCGATCTGACCAAATAAGAGATTTTGCGCATCCATAAACTAGAAAAGTCAGCATTACTTTAGACCCTTTGACAGCATTCCTGAATACGTACCTTTGTAAATGCTGTGGCTATTATCTCTTGGTCTTGTTTTGCGACGGGTTTGTCATTCGGATGATTCGTGACGCTTTCTTTTACTACCGCGTCCACAGATTGCAACACTCGCTCCATTAGTCCCTAGACAATGTTAAAAAGGTTTAATAAAAAGAGAAAGACCATGCTGAAAACTAACTGGAAGGATTTTGTTCACATCTTCTTTACCGCTGGAAATGCGCTCTCTAGCCGCATTGGTAATATTAGTTGCGACACCTATGCTTCTTATCGTCTGCTGAGCGTTCAACGCATGAGTTGCTACGCCCAAAGCGAGCACAACGGTGGCAATGTTCAAATGCATGATTGAGTGGTACAGGAGATATTTTGACAGCACCCCGTCCAATATGGTGAAGAAATGATTAGCAATTTATAACTTTTTGAATGATGCGGGCTGAAAAATTGATGTCTTACTGTAAAATTGATGTCTTATGGTTAAATTGATACCCGAGGATCCCGTCTCGGCAATGTCAATCTAAGACAAGTCTTTTTTATTGGCGTGGCGTTCCGCAATTTCAACCGAGGAATCTTCACTGGCCGATCATGTTGAAGTATAACCCAGGTAGACAACTTCTTTTGAGTGTTTATTTCTATCAGTATACCGGGTTGGTAACTTGTCGTCAATTCGGGAATAAGGTGAGCTACTTGGTCGGAAACCCGGCCACTGGAAGCACATTCTCGCATGACCAACTGTTTAATGTAAAAGAAATGCCGTGGGAACAGTTAACAGATAATTGTCGGCATGGCGTAAGATGCTCTTGTGCACCTTAAAACACGCGGATTAGGCCGAGTATCGCAAATTGCACATCCCCCTTAACTCGAGATGTACACCACTGAGATCACAATCTGAGGGTTTGACCGACTTTGGAATTTCAAATATTTACGCGCATTGTTGTATTTTTCATATCTCCTATTTGTTACTGTATATATCAATCTCTACTTTTCAAAATGGCCGTTGCCAAGAACTTTGTTGTTAAGATTTGTCGTGCTTAAGCTCCTGCAGGGTTGCCGAAAAGGGACTTGCCAACATCTATTGCCTAAAAAGGACGAACAAGTAACCGCCCGTCGGACGTCTGGAATTCAAAATTCAAAAACGCCTCTTTTAGATGCCATCCAAGGCTTGGAATCCATTGATTGTACAATTTCGCTTTAAAATTCAACCCGAGGGCCGCGCTGTGGTGCGCCGAGCACCGGCGTAAAATCGGAATTATCTCTCGCTCCCCCTCACTTAACGCCGCGAGCGCCAAACTTTGGCCTCCTCCCAAACACGCTCCAGACCCGTTCTCTGGAAAATGTAACATTAAACGGATTCTTACGACGGATTTAAATAAAAAGACAAAATAAAACCGACCCCAACGCCTATAAAAAGCGCGTGCCATCGCCGCCAATTCAGCCTCTGATACCCCGCACTCCAAGCACATTCCCCTCCATCCCACAATGCCCAAGATTCTTGTTATCGGCGCTACAGGCTACCTAGGCTCTCGCCTCTGCGGTTTTCTCGTACAGACAGGCCTACACCGCGTCTACGGCATCGCCCGGGCCCCAGAAAAGGCCAAGGGCCTCGCTCTGAGCGAAGTCACGCCCATTCTATGCCCCGACCCTGTCAACGAGCCCAGCCCATACCTTACAGCCATCCAGGAACACAATATTGATATTGTGGTCGATGTTGCTGGCGCAGACGCCCAATCGGCCAAGTTCCTAGCTGACGTCGCCGACATCGGCAGACAGCGCCTCGAGCGCTTCGCAGCCGCGGGCATCCCCAACGGCCCCAAGCTCGGCTTCATCTACTGCTCAGGCAGCTGGGTACACGGGTCGTCCAACAAACTCGTCAACGACCTGGACATTGTCGGCGCTGAGGGTTCACTTGCACCACCCCCCTTGATTGCATGGCGCGTGGCCTTTGAAAAGACGGTGCACGCCGCATCTTCTACACTAGCCGTGGCGGTTGTGCGCCCGGCGCTCATCTACGGCCGCGAAAATACCATCTGGACAAGCTATCTACTACCACTCCTTCAAGCATCTCGAGAGAATACGGCCCCTCGAGTCGAAATTCCTCTGGACCCGCGCTCACGAGCAGGCCTTATCCATGTCGACGACGCCGCGACAGGCATCCAGGCGGTAATTGAGCAGCTGGACCAGATAGCAGCCACCACATATCCCGTCTTCGATCTAGTGACGAGCCAGGAAAGCATGCGGGATGTCTTTGAGGCGGCGGCCGCAGCGTGGGGGTACACCGGCGCCGTTGAGTTGGTAGGACATGGCGGCGATGCGTTCCACGAGGCCATGAGCACGACGTTCAACGGGTCGTCTGCGCGCGCGAGGCAGCTGCTGGGGTGGCAGCCGCGGCGGGTGAATGGCATGGTGGCGGACATGGAGGTGTATGCGGCGGCATTTGCATCGCAGCACTAATTAGAGGAACTGCCGATAGACGAACTGCTAGTGTAGAGAATTGACTGAAAGATGTGTCCCTTTTCGACTCTACACACATATACACATCCACGTGTGTGTGTCTCGCTCGCAAATCAGAGCAGAGAGTGCGACACTGGTGATGGGATGGTGGTGGCCTACACTATCACGCCATGCGCCGCTATCGTCAGCCTCAGTCGCCTGTTGGGCTGCCAGGGGCCTCACCGGGCGTCTTTATTGGTTCACCGCCCGCAGTCATCTGCCGCCTCCACCACAGCCGCGGCGCTGGCCCTCCAGCCTATGAGCAGCAGCAAGCAGACCTCGCCTTACCAGAGGACGGTGGTAATGGTGGTGCATGTGTCTGACGGAGAATATTGGTATCACTGCATTCAGCAGCACGCACGACAATCCATCCGCTACTTTTCTCAGCCTCAGCCTAGCTTGCCCACTTTACAAAGTGGAATTGCCCCCCCAGTGGCGTCCGTTATCACGGCCCGTTTGCCCCGTTTCGCATCTGGGTCGGATGGAAAAGACTAAAAAAAAACGCAATTGTCCGACCCAGTACTTGGAAACGCCTTGTCGTTGAAGGCCAAGGTCCCTCTTTTCCTATCGCCGCTGTGTGTGTGTGATTGATAGCCAGCCACCTGGTGAGGTCGGAGTATCCGAGTTCCCATCCACAAACGCCAGTGCGCCAAGCTAACGCTGGCTAGTACCTGAATCCGAGATACTTGCCCCTGCGCAAAGCTGTGGAAGGATTCTGTGATGCAAGGATTTCGCCCACGTTGGGCAGCCAGCGCATTGCTCGCCGCAGCCTCGTCTTGAACAAAGGAGCGGATCTCCGGGCGGGAGCTAAGCTAGCAAAAGTCTAAAAAGCAAAAAAACGTGCCAAAGTCACTCGTCCCGGCGCGTAGCCGCTACGTCAGATAAATCTTGACGCCACCAATTGGCTCATCCATCCACCGCACCCACCAGGCGACCGTCAGGCTAGGCTGTCGCTGCCCTGCCACGATAGCCAACCGAGTCAACAAAAAAAGAAGGTCCAGTGGCGCCGACGCCCAGTCGAGTACTGTACAGTGCTTCCGGACGGGGGAAACCCAAATACGAATGGTAGGGAGGGGCAGCATCCACCGTCTTGCAGGGAGCTAAGCGCAAAGAGGCATAACGACGGAATGGAAGCTTGGAGCATGGAACGTACGAGGCTCTAGTCGACGGTGGGTAAGCGAACGGGGGAATGGCATTTGGCCACGCATGCGAAAATGCGACCAATATCTAAAAGCACGCACACGCTGGCGATGATGCTGTTGGGAGGTAGCGCACACACACACACACACTGCGCAGCAGCAACAGCGAGCAATGCATGTGCCTGGCCTGACCAGACCTGGAGCAGCTGAGCTCTGCAGCGATGTGCACCAATTGACGCCTGAACAAAACGGCCGGACACTTTGCCTGCGCTGCGATTTGTCCAGCGGCAGAATTATGGTCTCAGTCAGCCCACAACATGGCGTTTCAGCAGCCAGCAGCCAGAACAAACGCCAGAGCCCTGCAGCACCAACAGCGGCGGCAACGTTCAGTTCCAGCGCCAGCCAAGGGGATGGGGATAGTGTGGACGTGTCAGACAAACGTGGAGCGGTTCTAGACGATGTGCGCCGGCGCATGCATGTAACCACCAGTCGGGCCATCAACCACATCCCTGGTGCGCTGCTGCTTGCTGCATGTCTCTTCCCGGGAACCCGGCGAGCACTACGGCTTGGTATTAGCGCTCTCACGATGCACAGTGCGAGCTTGCTTGCTAGCTTGCTGCAGCATGTCCCTGGCTGGCTGGTGGATTACAGTAAATAGTTTGCTGTACGTCTTTGCTGGCAGGATTTTCCGCTCTGGCGTCCGCCATGCCGTATTTTATCTTTTACAGCGCAAATGCCCGCTAGTTTCAGACCCTGTCCGCTACGGCCATCGGCTCCGAGCGATCCGGTCTAGCCCAGAACAAAATTGGTGTCACGCAGTGAACGTTGCGTTAAAGCAGAACAAAAAAAAAGGTAAACAATAGCTATGCTACTACTGTTCGATAGTGGCCGCCAGGGCCACAAGCTCTAGAACATGGTGAGAAAAGGCAATCTACAAAACAGCGCATCGGTCTGCAAAAAATCAGGCTGCGCAAGCGAGGCAATGGCATGGCACGACGCCGCTTTCTTGCAGGGAGGCAAGCATTATAAAACTGCTAGGGCAGTTAGTTCAAGCATCAAAAGAACCGTGATAGGGCACGGGGATGGTGCGATTGGCCCAGGGCAGCGCCAGATGCGATTGGTAGAGCCCTGGCTGGGCTGTCCTGTTTGCCATCACGGTTGCTGTTAGTGAGAGAATAAGGCACGGAACGTTGGCAGGCCGGTTATCTCGCTCGCCTAGCGGGCCAGCCTGCCTCGCATCTGTGCTCGTTTGGGTGCGGCCAAGCTGTTCAGATAGATAGCCTTGTCCAGGCAGGGGGGGGCAGAAGACGAGACGGGGCTTTTGATTGTTCGTTTGAAATTGAAGGCGGCTGAAGAAAATGAGGCAGAAACAAGGCGTGCTGCTCTGCGCATTGTAACTCTTGTTTTGGGAAGCAAAGTGGCGGAGGGAGGGAGGCCGTACAGAAAGGCAGCTAGGTAGCTAATTAACAAACATCGGCCGGAGTGTTGGTTAGCGTAGGCGGTTAGTACAGTACAGTACACAGCACAGCCCAGTTTCCGGTGGGCAAGTTAACTAGGTCCCTTTCAGCTCGCATCTCGCTCCTTTCTGGCAGCGAGCGGCGGCCTCGCTAACTAAAAACAAAACTGGTGTGAGTGGGAAAAGGCTAGCTAGCTAGTGTAAGCTAAGTTAGCTAGCCTAGACCCAGCCCAGGCCGGTGTTGCGAGCACAGCGTGTCCACTCTTTGCAGCACGCTGTCAGTAGTTGGGTGCTGCGCCTGGCACTGCTACACATACTCAACAGGCTTGCTTGACAAAGGGACCTTTTGTTCTGCTCACTTCTTCCACACTTGAATTTTTCCTTTTTTTATCCTCCTCGGAATTAGGGCATTCCTTTGCACTGCTGCTGGATAATCTGGCCATGTTGCATCCCGTCGGATCTTCTCTTGCCCTTTTATCCAGCTTACCAGCGACAGCTAGGCAAAGCTCACTACTGTAACTTGCAGCAAGTGAGCAGCCAACCGACCAGTCGGGACCCTGACGGTACCTTGTCCAGTGCGCCGCGCCCAGAAGGTCTAGCTGACGATCGACGTGAGTGACACCCTAAAAACGGAAACACAGTGCACTGGCTAGACCATCCCCCCTGGTCGACAGGGGTTTCGGTCGCTTTTAGGCTGCTGCTTTGCTTCTTTGTTCGTCTTTTTCAGCGCTCTTGGTTTAGCGCCTGGGCCCGCCAAGCGCAGGTCTGGTCCACTAAGTGCCCGAAAAACAAAGGGCACATGCACTGTGTGTCGTCACTCCAATGGACAAACGGAAAGTTCCTTTTTGGCGTGCTGAATCGCGCCATGACCATTGGCTCTGTGATATTGGTTGCGTGTTTGCCTTGTGTCGACAATGATCAGTAGATAACCGGAGACAAAAATAAAGACAAAAGGCAGGGCTGCCTGACTGCTGCATGCTTTCCGCTGGCCGCCGTAGCGCTACGTTTGGCGCACCACCCACCCACTCACACCACACTCAACAACAATGGCTGATGTGCGCCACCACCGTCCGCTGTAGCCAGCCCCTGCTGTCCTGTCCAACGCAGTGCAGTGTACCCGCCTGCCACAGAGCGGGGGGTGGGTGCGCTAGCCCGTGGCTCCGCTTGCCGTGCATTGGGGGCACCACCGCACCTCGTAAAAAAAATAAGAGACAAGCACGCTGCTGTGCCTGTTTGGCCAAGCATTTTTCTTCCTGGCGTCTTTTTCTTTTTCTTCTTCCCTCTTCACCCAAAGAAAATACAAAAAAGGTCTTCTTTGTTCTTTTTGTTGCTGCTCAGACAGACCGATCGACAGACACCGTCGCCCTTTTGTGTCGCCACTGTACCGTACCCTGCCTCGCTACGCTACGCTGCCAGCGTGGTGTATCCGTCCTATCACCAGTGCCATCCTCTCGTGGCTTTGGGCGCCGCCTCTCCTCCCACCACCCAGCAAACAGCGGAAAACGATCTACTGTTGCCAGCGAAGCCCCGTCTCTCTCTTGTTTTTAAAAATAACGAGAAACCCCTGCTACCCCCAGAAACGAGAAACAGCGCATTCCACAACGCCTGCAAGGCTCCCAATTCCATCGCCTTAGTCACTTTGTCTCAACCACTGGTTCGCCAGCCATCAGCACAACTAGTCCAACCAAAAATCTCTGGACGACGAGCATACGAACCGCCAATTAACCTGTGCACGCTACACAAAAAACATATTTATTCTTCATCTCGTCCTCCTTTTGCGGAAATACACAAATAAAAGAATCCGGATTTGCTTTTCCTGCCCGCTCTTTGTGGCTGCGCCTCCCGAGCTCCAGGTTTCACTTCATCTCCACACCACCGAGAAACCTAGCCATTGGCTTTATGTCCAAGACGCTGCCCTTGGATCCTGTGGTTCTCGAACGCCCCCGGCCTCATTTAAGCAATACGAGGTTTCTGGTTTCCTCGAAACCCTATTAGTCAACCGCCGCCAGCATCTCTTTTTCTCTGTTTATTCATCAGACTCGCTTCCCTTTCGCTTACGCCTGCCTGCATCATCATCACCATTGTCAGCGTCATCGGTGTTGAATAGGCAAAGTCAATAACAACAGACGATACTACGACAACACCAAACACCGACAGCACATCATGTCCATCTTCTCCAGCCTCCGCAAGAGCCGCCGTCAGGCCAAGGAGCACGCCGCCAAGGTGGCCGAGCAGAAGCGCCAGGAAGAAGCTGGCCGCGAGCCGTACCGTCACGTCCCTACCCACGCTGCCGCCGACGCCATAGCATGCGCGCCGCCCAGCTGGAGGGAGCAGTCGGACCGCCCCAAGATTCTTGAGCAGAACCGCCGCCGCAGTGCCATGGCTGCTGCTGGACACAACATGAGCATCCCCGGCATCCCTCGTGTTGGTAGCTCTCTATCTCACGTCTCCTACCCAGGCGAGCAGGTCCCCGTGGCTATGCGCCTCCCTCGCGCCCAGAGCTACACCAACATGTACCCGTACCAGAACCGCGGCGATGTCATCTACTCCATGCCCGATGCCTCGCTGTCCCAAGCCTCGTGGAAAGGCAAGGAAGTAAACAGACAATATGCCTACGGCTACGATACGCCGCGCATCAGCCCTACCCCCAGCAAAGGTTTGTCTATATTTCACCACTTATCCTTCAACCTCATACTAACAACCTCACTCTTAGACCCTCACACACGCGAGCACTCATCCACCGGCTCAACATCGTCTCAGGACGAGCTCGAGATGAAGCCCACCACCCGCACCGCCGACGCCGCCCCCGTCCACCGTCTTCACCCCAGCCACAGCCGCCGCACATCAGACGCCTCGGATAAGCAGTACACCACAGCGCCCATCAAGCCCGTGTCGACATCGCACCAGGCACGCCCTCCTCCCACCACCCGTGGCCGCCCTACCTTCATCACGGGCTCCGCCTCTGTCCCGGCCCTCTCATCCTCGCCAAACGGCATGTCCTCGCGCCCGCCAGTGACCAACCGCCACAGCTTCAACAACCGCGACTCCCTCAAGACCGTCAGCTTCTCGGGCGGCGACTTGGCCGTGGAGATTCCCAGCCCGCCCTCTAGCCGCCGCACATCGCGAGACCGCCGCACACGCTCCCGCATGATGGAGATGGAGCGAGTCGACTCTGTTTCTGATGAGGTTGCCGCCGCCACTGACGCCGCTCTATCGACAGACCCAGACGTCCAGGTCCGCGTGTATCGCGAGCAGCAGCTCGTCACTCCCCCCGAAGAGATGGCCAATGTCTTCCCGGAAGCCACGTATGTCGAGCCCAAGCCCGCGCCCACCAAGAACAAGCGCCTCAGCAAGGTCCAGGGCGGCAGCAAGCCTGCCAAGAAGAACCGGTGGTCGTTCTCGCGACGCGCCGAAGTTGCCGTATAAGCGGCAGTCGAGCTGGGTCTTGACCGTAAAAAGAACGAGTTTCTCGTTACTCACACTAAAAATAGAGGATTCGCATACTGTACATTATACGTGGGGGGAATAGGGGATACATTTGCATATATGCCGGACTGGCATTTACTTGAGTGGTTTTTGTTTTGGTTCTTAAAGCATGATTATGACGCTGAGCTTGGATCTCTGGCATGATGACTTTCGTTTTTGATTGGTAATAGTCACTTTGTTTGTTGACTTGATGATTACATATAATGCATACCATTTATGATATTCTTGAACTTTGACTGTGTGTGTCTTGTGTCGTGTTCAAGGGTGGTTGGCTGTGTTGAGGCGGACGTGTGTGTGTCTGAGGCTGGGCCGTCGTCGACAGTTCGTCTGTTGTCTGTGACACGCAGAAGGGAAGGGATATGACATGGTTCGTGGGGATTGTGCGACGGTGCAATTTGGAATACGTGCGCGGCTGAAAGACTGCAGGATTTACGAGACATGATCAAGACATGCAGACGGCCGCTGTGGCAGTCCGTCGTGCCTCGAATGATTTCTGCCAGTTGCCAGCTGGCATGACTGGCAGACTCACTCATGGCCAAACTATCTTCCAGTCATATCGCGCTTTGAATGATGCACGTCTCTGCAATAAAACGTGAGCTAGCAGATGATATGTCAGTGGTATGCGGTTCATAGCCTGTGATAACCTGGGAGCCGGCAAAAATATATCGGTATGAAACTGCACCAAACATCCAATGTCACTAGACGACTATATATCACTATTGTACCCCTCACAGCGATTCCAGCACGCTTTATTCTTGTATCCTCTATTTAATTAGACTGAATACTGTGTCTCTTGGGTGTCCTTCTACACCAATGGCGCTCTCTACAGAAGCAAATCCAATAATGAGCGGCCAACGCATTAACAAGTTGTTAACTCATAAGGGTTATAAGCTATTAACAAATTTCAGTCTCAAAATTCTCATGTTCGTTTTGTCTTTCTAAGATTCGCACGCGGGTGATTTTGTCGAATGGATTGTCATTTCGACTTTGCACCAGTACGGTGCTCTCATTCATTTCACAACATTTTGTAGTAGAATATAAATCTTAAACCTTGTTTTCACCAAATAAGAAATATTTAGCTAGAAGCAATATTTGATTCTCAAGAAAATCTACTCTATATATGCTAAATATGAAAAGATTGTTGTTGGTAGAGGCCTGCCGGGTAGTCACAACACACATGTCACGTAGCTGTCTAGGTAGTACGAGAAAAGTTCGCCAAACGTAATGCTATTGTTGACTGTTCTATATGTGAGATAGAAAAAAGACAACAAACTTGAAGGAGGACAAATCCCTTTCCTCCTTCCACAGTTCATTTCTCTATTTATATACAAGGTTGTTGTGGTTCTGCCAGCTGGCCGCTTTCCTTTGCCAGCTGGCAAACACTTGTTGTTGAAACTTCTCTATTGGCCGGCTAGCCAGCGAACACGTTGCGTAGCAACTATTTCGACATTACAACTGTCGTAAGTATTGTGACCGATAGACCATAGAGCGATCCAGCAGGTCGTGACAACACACGCCAATTCACACGAGTTATTAGTATTAAATTAAATACCATAATAAAAAAAAACAAATATCCTTAATATTCATATGCTAGCCTTGATGTTTTTCTGAATATTAAACAGGGAATTGTTTTTTATCAAGGTTCACTCATTATATGAAGGCTCATCACAGATACGCTATGGCTGTGTCGCTTTCCACTGTTTTTGTGAAGGATACGGCGCTGGTACCCCTCAGCCGACCGTGTTTGATCTTCCGATTCCCGCGTCGTAGATGGGGGCTGGCCACGATGCAAACGCCCAACAATAATACGAGTCGCTTCTATAGTATAGGTACATGTGTCTACAGGATAAACGATTATCCACTTAGTCCATTCTTTTCTTTGGCGTGCGGCCTCATTAAGCCAGCCAGCACCAGACTCATACTGGTGTAATCGTTGGGGCGGACAGGTTCCGAGCGAAGGGCCAAGTCTCGCATCGTCCTCCTCTAAGAAGAGCTCGTAGCCTTGCAATGCAAGGTTAATTCCGCAATGCTACTGTAATCATTTCAAATAGGGAGAGAAAACAGCAGGCTTGTGGCGCAATACAACAGCTCAATTGGAAGACTACGAGTACAGCGGAGTCAGCCAACGTTGCATCTGCCAGCCTGACAGGTTTGTGGAGAAGGTTCTTGTGACTAACAAGCAACCGAGCCAACTAAGCCAGGAGCTCTTAGCCCTTGTGGTCTTAACCTGGCTAGTTGAGAACGTAGCAGATAGTGATAATACTGTAGATGTACTCTTAATAGAAAAGTTATGTTGCGGGAGAGAGAATTGCGCGTCCGACGCTTAACATCGCCATTCACATTGTTGGCTTCGCAACAAGTCGCTTGGAGTTGGCGTGCGCCACGCCTGACATGCCGCTGCAAGTTCATCACATCTCCCCACTATAGGTGTGCCGCCCCCAGCGCCCACTGGCTGAAATCCATCTGTGCGGCGCTTCCGCAGTGGTCCTCGCTTAGGCGCTCTGTTGCCAAAACAGTATCGAGCCAGTACCAGTTTGCTGCTCCGGTAGTTGAATACTATCGTTCGACAAATATGCGACTGTTTGGGTAGTGCTCGGTTCCAAGGCGCTAAACGTGATGTGATTCGGCTTTGCAAGCGCACCGGAAACTAACCATGCCCCTGCCTGTCCAACGGCTGTGATTCCCCAGAGGTACCATCTGCGGGATAGTGGACCTGAAGCCCTTCTGGCGGCTACCGATTTGTAGTCTACAGGAGGCCCTTGCATAGAATATGAGAGTTTAAAGTATATATTGCACTACGTATTAAATCAATCAACACAGTATATATCACCCCACGGGTGCACGCACCTTAACATCTCTGGCTGTACGCCGCCTGCGTGATATTTTGGGTGGTGGGGGCCTAGTGGCTGAAGCCAACCACTGAGCCTGTTCACAAAGCGCTAAATGACAGGCGGGGCGTAAAATTTACTGACAGGAGGAGGAGGAGGGGGCGCTATCGCCCACTCTTTGTAGATTCCCCGTACCTTATAAATGTCACGCCTCCCCCGTGGTTGCGCCATGCGTTATGCATCCCGACCCTATGAACGAATCTTTACATCTTTTCCCAAAAGTTTACTCATAAATATGATGTCCAACATATATTATCTGGGTAGCAGCGAGACTGCTCTACTTCTGCTTCACTCAGTATCTCTCGTTGGCTCGTTGCTCCTCTATGGTGCCGCAGTCCCTCGGCTGGAAGGCAAGCTTCTACGAGTAGCGAAACCTGTAAGTTGCCATATATAAATCCTACTAAATTACTCTCTAATATCGTATACGCATTGCTTTTAGATCCGATTGCTTGCATTCTTATCCAAAGTCATTGCTCTAGCGACCTTTGCTACCGCACATGACTGGCCCAATGCTATTACTTTTCTTATGCTTGGCATAACAATAGCTTCTGTGCTTGTGATAAGCGACGCAAGATATCTAAATGTCTTCCAAGACAAAGTTGCCGCGTACATCTTTCTTACCCTCGATCTCTTCTTCGACACGCTTATTACACCCCAGTATTCTATCTTCTTCGCATCAACAATACTCCAATCGATAATTATCATCTCAATCCTCACCAATCTCACGATATTGGTTCTTCCACCAGATGATTTAGAGGAAGTGGCGTCCAAAAGTGGTTGGTCTCTAACAACTCCTGTGGGACGATATATCGAAGCGACTACTGCTTTAGTGCGAGGCGCTTCTCGTGACACTGGAATTAATCTCCAGCCCAAAGATGTTCAACAATCGGACCAAGATTACATTAAAAGCGTTGAGAGTGATCTTGCCGAGCTACTCAACAAGCACGAAACCGGTTTGTTTTCACATCCAATTGAATACGGCATCTTGGTACTCTACTGACCGACGTTTCTAGCTAACAAATCTGAACGGGTATTCCTACCACCATTATACGCTATTATTTTAAGCAAAAGGCTTCCTATCATCTTCTCATCAGTTATGTCTGCTATATTGGCAGTGTCTCAAATTCTTCTTTTATTGAATAGCATGGCTCTGTTTACCCTTTCACTCAAAGTCTCGACTGCTACCTACATCCACTTCATTTTGGCTACTATAACGCTATACATGGGGCTTGCGTTAACGCGAGCCAAGACCAATTTCTCTGTCAAGGAAGCAATCCAACACACCCAACAAATCCTTTCATCGGCTATTATACAGAAGACGATGCGTCTTCGGCAATCTCAAGCAAACGACTCCAATGCATTGCATTTGCTAAAGTATGATGTTGAAGCTATAGACTCATGTTTGCATGCTATCAATATTGCCTGTCAAAGTATCCTTATTTTCTGCTTTGCCAACATCGCAGTATTGCTTACTACAAACATGACTATATCACTGACTTTAATAGCAGTGAGTGGTATGTATTTCTTGACCCTTCTCTAACTGATTTTACGCCATTCTAACCTACTAAAGCCAAATTCGCGCATTTAAATTTTATAAATGCAAGCACGCCAGATCTTGCCGATATATCAAAGCGGAGTGAGACTCTCTTGACAAGTACTAAGGAGATGCTGAAAAATATTATCAACATCAAAATCATGGGTCTTGAGGATCATTACGCCACAACGCTTCAGGCTATGAAGCAGTCTGAATTGCAAGCATGGATACCTATGCGTCATTGGCAGTTGAATTTCAGCGTGGGATGTATGAGTCTACCTCCAATCGTCGAGCAAGCATTCGCTAACTAGCTCTTTAGCGGTTGCCTTAATTTTGACACCAACTTGCATTGCTTTAGGCAATCTAGTTTGGAGGCTTAAAGTGGACGGTGTTTCGATTGACTGTATTGCGCCAGTATCTTCTCTCCTCTCCTTGCTGGTGGCTTTTTCGTTCGATGAGCTTTTTTTAATTAGAAGCTTGCCGCGTCTAAACCATGCCCTGCAGCGTATCGATGAATTTCTCGATATTGCAGCGCATAACGAGTCAGCCCACTCTCATGAGCCGGATACGCCTGAGCCCCCAAAGGAAGCCTCCGCTATGACTGTGGACGATAAAACAGACAATCAGCTAATACATCGCACCGTCACCCTAGACCTAAAGCCAGGAACACTAAATGTTTTCTGCCGGCCAATCACCTCCGAGAAGACAACATTTCTACATAGTCTCTCGCGAGAAATAAATATCACCACAGGATCGATCGATGTTCTAGAAGATACTGTTGGCTATTGTGGCGAAGATATTATGCTACAAGACAAGACCATCAGAAAGAACATCACCGGCTCTTCAGCGTGGAATAAATTTTGGTATCTATCTGTGGTTCGGGTATGCTATTTATGGCCCGAGTTTAATAGATTCCCTCACAAGGACAAGACGGTAGTTGGGGCAAACGGACCTACAATTAGCGTCGACCTGCGAATTAGAATTGTAAGTCTTTTATATTGATGGCCACAAAGCATACTATATATTCTAACATGCGTCAACTTCAGATCCTAGCACGCGCAATATATTCAAAAGCGCCCATTCTTCTTTTGGAGAATGTCTTTCCAGCTTTTGATGAGACAGCAGCTCGGGATCTTGTGCGCTCTCTTTCTTCTCGCCACAACGGCTTCTTACGACACCTTGGGACTATCACTGTTCTAGCAGCACATAGCTGTAAGTCATCCAAATAACCTAGATTCCTTCTATTACTAATACTTCACAGTTCCTATTCCCGACTTTATTGATTGTGTGTATGACGTCACACAATTTGGAGTTATAAAAAGAGCAACCATTGATTTACGACCAAGTTCATCGCTCGGATCCAATGTTCCGAACTCAACAGAGCCAAAGACCCAAAGACCAAAGCTACACAATAATGAATCAGTAGTCGAAGTCAAAAAATCGATCCCACAATTACTAAAATTCGTTTCGGACAAGTTTGTTGACAAACAAGCATTGCTTACCTCTGCCGGTTTCCAATTAGCATATGTCTCTCTCGAACATTCCCTCGGTAAGTATCAACGACTCTCCACAGTAAATCTGAACTGTGTATTTAACTAGAGGATAAGAGTCAACGATATGGAGTGATAATGAACTCCAAAATCACTCTCTGTATTACTTCGTTGCACACGTTCTCCGCTGTAGCCTTGCACTCGGGTTTTACTACATGGAACTACGGTAAGACAAATAACAATGCTTATTATAAGAGTTAGCTAAAACTTAAGTCTAGGACATTTAAGTTGGATCTAGTCCCTGGCTTTGTGGCTTCTATCCATCAAAAAATGATTAATGCAGTGTTATGGTGTGTTCTGCTGCTATAACGATGGATATTACTTGACTAAAGCCAAATTTAGGTTCCTCAGCAACATTGCAAGACAAGAACTCCAGTGTTCTTGAGACTCTGTACGCTTTATTTTGATGACAAGCTAATTTTGGTGCCTGTAACTAAGCTAACTGTCTATAGACTGACAGATGATATGTTCGCAATTACTAAGAAGCTACCAACCACAATGGCCGTTTTACATTTGGGTATATTCAACAGCCGCGATGTTGCGATATATATACTAATGTTGTTTAGATTGCTACCAAATAATCGCTGATTTCTCCATGTTGCTCATGGCAACCAAATACACGATGTGGACAGTTACAGCATCTATCGTGATGCTGCATCTGGTCCAGAGGGTCTTTGTTCAAGTATCAAAGACCAATAACAGCGATCTTACAGCTTCATATATGAAGTTTATTACGGGTGTGTCCAATGCGATCGACGGACTGACCTATACCCATAGCTTCCGCTGGCAGCCCCGCGTCTGGGCTCGACTACTGAGCGACCTACGAAAGTGCCAAGCAGAATCTACGTTGAAAGCTGGTCTATTTATATGGTTGACTACGTCAGTTGACTTCATCATTGCATGGATTATGTGTTGTCTAGCGATATTGTTCGTTTCCAACCCAGGAGATGCAACGCCTCCAGCACTTGGCTTTTGTATTCTTATTGCTTGCAGGCTATGTGCTCTCCTGCCACGAACAATCATGTCTTTGTGTGAGCTGGACGAGTTACAGGAACCGCTACAGCGCATGCACAAGTTCTACACAGAATTTGAGTCTGAAAAGGTTGAGAACCCCGTTCCCTTCCAAACAAGACCAGTATGTGAAGACTCTATTGAATTCAATCAAGCTGTTGTCCGGGGATGCCAGTAAGTAACCCAAAATAACATCAACACCCTGCATTATCCAGGCATCGCTAACTAAATTCTAGTCCAATCACTGGCGTTGCAGAACCAGGAATGCCAGTGACTATCAGTGGACGTAGCGGAAGGTAAGCAGCGTAATTAGATATTATTAACTATAAGCTAACTTTATTGTAGCGGCAAGTCATCCGTACTATCTGCTCTTCTTGGCTTACTTCCATACGATGGGTCAATCAAGATCAATGGCTGCGAGGTTCGCACAATGGACCCGCGCAGTATTCGCAAGCATATTGCAATTATTACCCAGGAGCCGTTTGACATCCCTGGAACAGTGGACGACAATTTATTTCTCTACAAGCTACGCAACCCAGAAATCACAGGCCCCGTTTATTACGAAATCACAGAAAACATTCTCCAACGGCTTGAGGTTCTCAACTCGAACAGAATAAGGTACAATACGCCGTTTACGCAGCTGCGTCTGCCATACGGTAAAAAGCAAGGAATGAGTATTGCACGGACGGCTTTGCATAAGTTTCAGACTTCCAATGGTATTCTTCTTATGGACGATGTTTGTGGTAGGATTGACGAGCTCACGGCAGAAACGTACAGAGAAGTGGTACGTGAGTGCTTTTTCGGTACCGTTAGTATAATGGTTGAGACCACCGACGATGACCTAACGGTTACTGGGTTACAACCATTACTAGCCATAGAAGATGAAGAGGAAGAGGAAGAGGAGGAAGAATTGGTCGAAGATGGTCCACAGTAGGCTGTTCGAGCATAGTATGACATTTGTGCTTATTTCCAGTCTTTTACTATATCTATCTTATATTGCATTTTGCATTTTGCATTTTGCATTTTGCATTTTGCATTTTGCATTTTGCATTTTGCATTTTGCATTTTGCATTTTGCATTTTTTAATTTTTAGGATTTTCAATATGATCTTTTATTAATTACCACGTGCTTCACTCGTGACGTGGGCTCCTCACCGTGCGCCTCACCGTGGGCTGGGCGCTGTGCTGGCACGGGTCAGCTGACACAGCGGCCGCCGACAGGGTCCAGCCGGACCGCTGTGGCCGCGGCCTGCCATCTCCATCAACGCAAGGCTACTTGATTTAACCCCACTGCGTTTACGCTTGGTCAAGGTGCTGGCGCCGCCCAGGACAAAAGCCCAGTGTTTGATCTCGCGATTTCCGTGGCGCCGCAGCAAGATCGGCAAAAAACGCCGAACGACATCACCCTCTTGCTTTTGCTTCCTTCTGCCACCAACAATAACGTAAAACATAAAATATCATTTTTTTAATACTCCGGAGATGCTCCGGGCAAAAGTGGAAAAAGGCTTTTCATTCTCCCGCCTGCTGATTGGACAGGTCTTGTCACAGCAGAGCCCCCATGCAGGAGACGAGACAAGCGCAGCGTACACTACAGGGGGGCACCGGACAGCTTCCCCGTTGCGCAACAATGGACGATTGTCGACTGGCTACAGTAGCTGCCCCGCTGTAACGACGCCCACCGCGCAGAAAATTAGCGTGCTTCAGACAGACGTTGCGCGGGATGTGCGCCGGCAAGTTCCACGCCTCTCGTCTAAAACAGAGGATCTTTTGTCTTTCGGGCCGCCCAATCCTTCCACCGTAAGATGTATTGGACGCCAAAAAAGTGTAATGCCTTGATTTACGCCGAAATTGAGCGCTGCAGGTGACGAAGGACAATAAAATCTGTTGGTTCGGACGAGTCAGCCAGCGTCACATCGGCCAGCCTGAACGATGAACGGCGCTGCAAGACTGGCTTTGCTTCGTCCAACGCTCGACGGGCAAACAACCTTGGAACAGTTAGCGGCCTTTTGCGCACCCCTCTCCTCATTGAAAATTACATGATTTTTATTGCCTCTACGCGCCGAACATCCGGGAAAGGGTGGATGGAGGACTCCACCATGCATTAATAGGACCAACACGACCAACAGAACCAAACGATGTCGGCAACCCTCATAGCTCAATAATGGGTATTAAAATCTTGGGCAATATTAGTATCATTATATGTGCAATGACGGGGCAAATCTGGCAATGTAAGAACTTTGAGATTCCGAGGCACTGGAGAGATTCGCTGGCTGGATATAATTTTCACAGAGGGTGCTGTTGGCTCTAAAATGCAGAATGCGCCACGGCTGAGGGAGCATCTGCACGCCCATCACATTCCCCACTGTAGTACTGTAGTGGGGTGACCACGCTGAGTTGCCGGCCCCCAAAAATCTTCGCAGGCTTCCCCGCTCGGACGCCAGGACTCGGCCGCGCCATTAAACTCTAAAGCAAACCAACACAAGCAAACCACCACAAGCAAACCAACACAAGCTCTGCCGCCCGCCATGCAGCCGTTTGCTCTTCTTGTCGCTGCCCTTGTAGCTTCTGTAGCTCAGGCTGGTATGTTACCCTTGCTCTTGCATGTAACCTGCGTTCCGTGACTGACGAGTGCATAGCCCCTAGCGGAGGAAGCGGTATCCAAGAGGGTAACCATATCGATGCCTCAGGTCCCGGCCACAACGACTGGTAATATGGAATTGTAGAGCTTGATATCATATCTGGACGCCGTTTATGTTGCACTTAGATATCCCATTTGAATTTACTCAACGACGATTCAAAGAAATTCGCCAGCATTCTACTTGGCCAACGTCCTACCACGAGCTGCGTCATCATGCCCAAACACTCCTTTTATCCCGGTTATAAAACCAGCTGTTATATCTCCACATAACATACCTTTAAACCCATTTATTAATCATGTTGTGGTGTTAGCTTGCGAATAATAGACTGAGTCTCACTGACATCGAGGGCTCCCCTACCTAGTCCGCGAAGTAGCTCTAAAGTGTTCCAGCTACAACTGGCCGCTTGGGCGGGCCGAATCACATAGATGTGGGCTCTCCTAGCCCAAACTCTCTCTCCATCTACGCATCGGGAAATACAATAGGTTGAAGTTCATTTGCACCCCGTTCTCCTAGCGGCTGTTTTTGACCGAGCGCGAAAGTTTGTTAGCGCATGGTGGCTGAAACGGGGGGGGCGTGTTTAACTCTGCCAGCGCACTGCTAAAAATGGTTCGCTACTTTCGTCCCACCGCGCACCTTATACTTTTGTCTTGCTTCCCAACTGTCTTTTTCTTTCTCTTCTACGCACTGCAACATTACACAATATCTTCCGTACTTCTCAGCATCTCAAAATGACTGCCACAATAGATGCAGGCCTTCTCAATCAATGGGAGAGTGTGATCTATGTTGCTTATCTAGCATCAGTTACAGCGTCTTTCGTTCTTTACGCCCCATCCTTTGTTGGTGGCCGAGCTCTTCAGCAGAAACCACAAACCAGAGTCGTGCGTTACCATACAACTGTATTCCCATGACGGATACGGCTAACGTATTGTATTTCGGCAGGTCCGATTAGCTATCATTGCTAGCAAAGCTCTCATTTTTTGTGCCGAGAGCGGGCCTGCTCGCCTGGTCGATCCTACTGGTCCCTTTGCAGCTGTTCTCTGCTGGAGCGCAGCACTCTTCCTCACGTTCCCACAGTATGCCGTAGTTTTCCAGAGCCAAGTGGCTCTTTACATCGGCATCATTCTTGAAATTCTTTTTGACGCTCTTGTCGCTCCCCAGCTTACCATGTTTTTCCACACACCATCCATTTCATCAATGGTGACTATGTCTATGGTGGTTAATCTCGTCTTACTTGCACACCCTCCACCTGATCTGGAGGCTGTTGCCCAATCCCAACTTTGGTCATTCACTATGCCTATTCAGATGTTCAGGAACACCACAATTTGCATCACACGAGAAACTCTGGACCCGGGCCACGAAAACGCCAATCCTGCCCAGCAGCTGCCTGACGAACAATATGTCGCTGCTATTGAGGAAGATCTTCTGGCTTTACAAACTAGATATCGCACAGGTATGTCCTTTCTTTCTTTTAAAATGCGAACTACCCATCCACTCTCATTTACAGGTATTAAGGATTGAATTAGGTCACGATTCTGTCACTGATCTGTCTACTTCGTTGCTGTCTTTACTGCTACAAGATTGGGCCGCAGTTCTCTTTACATTACTTCTCTTTATTGCTCTAAGCCTCTCCCAAGCCCTGTTTCTGTTGAACACCCTCAATCTATTCAGTTTGAGCGTCTCAAAACTCAATATCCAACACGTCCACTTTGTCTTTGCAACGATAGTGGTCTACACTGGCATGGCGGTTACAATAGCAAAATTTAGTATATTTGCCGCTGGCGCTGCACAAAGATCTAAGCGGGTATTATCGACCGCTGTTTTTGATAAAGCTATGCGGTTGAACCAACAAGTGGCATCAAACTCAGTTGCTTGCAGACTTTTGAGCGACGAAGTTGAGGCTATTATATCCAATATATCACCCGTTTGCTAGGGTATTCTTGCTTTGGGAGAGAATATCCTCGGTCTTTTGGCATTGTTATATACTATAGGCACTATCCCCTGTTTTATTCTGGCGATTGGTATTGGTGAGTATAAAACAATACGACCAACGGGGTAGTATACTAACGACAACTAGGGCGAAACATGTACAATATGGCCGAGCCCTTCCGCGTTCGGAAGAATCAGCAAGCACCATCAGATCTTGCGAAAGAAATATTCGTAGCGACTAAAGAAATGATTGGGAGCTTGGTGCCTTTGAAAATGATGGGACTCGAAGATGTCTATTTCACAAAAATCCAGCGATTAAAGGCCGCTGAACTCCTGGCGTGGACTGACATCCGTATCGGCCAGAAGTATCATGCTGTTGAGTGTCAGTTGATAGTCCCCTATCTTCTGTATTTATGCTAACTTGTATAGTAGACTTTTTCATTCTAGGCTATACAACTTTGGTCCTTCTATTAACCATGATTTGGAAATCCAAAGTTGAAGGTATATCAATCATGACTACAGCGCCGGTTGCAGCAGTTCTATTTTATAGAGCTGGTAATACAATGAATCTTATGATGGATATTCGCGCCCTACCCCGCATCCAAAGCAGTCTTCAGCAGATTGATGAGTTTCTTTCTGTTACTGAGAGAACGGAGTCAAGACAGTTTACGAAGGCTGATATCACATCAAACGCTCCGATCATCAAAATCGAGGGGCTTACCTGCCGTCTGAATGGTGGCACAGATGTCCCATTCAACAAGCTTGACCTCTCTTTGAAAGCTGCGACAGTGTCTGTGCTACGTGGACCAAGCGCCTCTGGCAAGACCGCCCTGATGGAATCGATACTTGGAGAAATTGACTTTGCAGAGGGGAACATCGAGATGCTCGATAGCGCTACGGCATACTGTGGTCAAGATGTCTGGCTCCAAACCACTTCTATGAAATGCAACATCATTGGCGCGTCAGACGTTGACAATGCATGGTATGCTCTTGTCGTAGAGGCTTGCGATCTACAGGTCGAGTTCGACAAGTTTCCGCAAAACGATTCAACAATTATCTGCACCAACGCTATCAACCTTGGTCTTGGTCAAAAGATGAAGATTGTAAGTAAAGTCAATGCTGCTATTAACGTGAGACGTCCGTGAAATAACAATCTCTAGGCACTTGCTCGAGCCATTTACTCCAAGGCGCCAATTCTTCTTTTGGATGATGTATTTTCCGTTTTCGACAACGCAATGGCTTTGAACCTTGCCGACCGACTTTTCTCTCGCGACAACGGCTTCTTAAGACAGCATGGTACCACGGTGGTTTTAGCTGCACAAGCTTGTAAGCTGATCCATTCTAGTTCACTCTGTCCAATGTTAACTGTATTTAGTCCCCACCCCGGCTCTAGTCGATGCTGTATACGATATCAAACATGATGGCGCTTCCGAAATTTCTCAGCAAAGTCTTATGCTAGCATCAACCTCAAGCACCTTATCCCTCCAGGGCAGGCGGCCTCAAGAACAAGTGCAGCCACCAATGATCGACTACATGGCTGCAATTCCGGCTAGATACAACCAGTTATCAACGATGCAGCTTTTACGTTTTGTGCTCAAAGCATTTCTAACAAAAAAGGCTTTTTTCATATGGGCATCTCTGCTTTGTTTTAGCACTACACTAGAATGGTGTATTGGTAAGTTTGTTATTTGTATACGTATTTAACCAAGATACTAAGTATTTCCTCAGAAGCGACTATCTGGACGGACGCTCAATTACTAAGCCATAGCTTGTATTATTCGCTAACATGGTTGGCAATGGGCATCTTGCTTGTTATTGCTAATTTCTATGAGATGGAGTAGGTTATACTTGCACCATGTTCTATTCACCGTATGAAGTGAACCAAACAGACTAACGTCGGATTGTAGTATGTTCAAGCTGAAACTAGTTCCTCAATATGTGCAGTCGGCACATGATAAGATGCTTGAGGCAATGCTCTGGTAAATAAATACCGGCCTGACTCTACACTACCAGGGTTAACTTGGATCATTTAGGTCATCTGCAGCCTGTAACCCTACCAACTCCTCTGAAGTTGATACAACGTAAGTTAAACACCAATCGACTTGAAACGGTCGAAGCTAAATATCATTTACGTTTAGCATGACAGAAGACATGTTCGCTGCTACACGACAATTACCTACACATATTGCTAAGTTCTTATGTAGTATGCATAGACTTGAGAATGTCATACCGCTTACTGTACCACCAAAACTAACATTTATCATAGCTGCAACTGCTCTAACCATCTACTTCGGCATCATAGCGTCTGTTATAGAATACTCTGTGTATTCTGTCATCGCTGCAGCCATCATTCTCTACATTGTTCAGAAAGTATTTATCACGGCATCGCAAGCGGCCGACAAGCTCTCAGCAGCAGCCTCCATCAAGCTGAAATCCAATTTCTCAAACGTTATAGATGGTTTAACTTATATCAACAACTTGAAGTGGAACAAGCAGATCTGGAGGCAACTTCTTACAGATTTGAAAGCAAGTCAAAAGGCGGACAATGAGAAACTCAGACTGGACCCGTGGCTTTCCATGGCTGTCGACTTGATTGTCGCTGGCATAATGCTAAGTCTTTCTCTTTCTTTGACGATGTTTTATGATCGTGTCAACACATACACTATCAGCTTGGGTATATTGACGATCTGTAAGTTTCAGGCGACTACTGTAGATCTCATGCAACATCTTCTTGGGTTGGCGACGAAAAAAGAGTCACTCTCTCGAATGGAATACTTCTATTCCAACTTCAAGTCAGAAGAGCTGAGAGAAGCAGTGGTCCTGCCTGAGAGGTGGGGTGAAGACGCATCCATCGAGTTTAACCGCGCCGTCATTGGCAATCATGCGTAAGTTATCTATCGCTTTTATTTCCGAGACTAGTTTACAACTAACTTGGACAAAGTCCCATCACAGGTATCGCCATACCAGGCCGGTCTGTCACCATCAGGGGACGTAGTGGAAGGTGAGTTCCCACGTTTTACCGCACACCAACAATGATACTAACTATATAACAGTGGCAAGTCACGTGTCTTGCTTGCCCTCTTATCACTGGTTCCGTATGAAGGATCTATCAAGATTGCGGGTCAGGAGGTTCGCGAGATCCCTCCGCGAGAGCTTCGCAAGCACATCTCCACTATCACACAAGAGCCGTTTGACCTGCCGGGCACTGTTGAGGACAACCTCTTCCTGTATAAGCTGCGCAATCCAGAGATTACCGGACGGGTATGGGATCAAGTCACAGCGTTTCTCTTGGCACAGATTGGTATACTCGATGCCCTGGGCGATTATTACGACGCCCCCTTTAGCCAGCTTCACCTCTCGTATGGTCAACGCCAAGGCGTGAACATTGCCAGAACTGCGCTGCATAAGTTTCAGACGTCAAATTTCATTCTTTTCATGGATGACGCTTGTGGTAGACTTAATCACGAGACTGCAGCTGTTTATCAACAGGTAGTGAGGGAATGCTTCTTTGGCAATGCCAGTATCATGGTTAAGACGGCCGACTGCGATCTTGTGGTGGATGGATTACTGCCACTGCCTGAGCCCGTGGATCCATATACGGATCCCTTCGCTTAGGTTTCCGTTCTCGACTTTGCTTTTTCTTCTTTTGGTTGTCTTTGCACTGCTTACGCTTTATTCTTCGTTGCTCCTTGTTTCATTGCATGAATGGTTTGTTGTTTCGCGCAGGCGCTGCACTTCGTCCATATTTAATTTCTTGAACATTTTTGCTAAATAATATTCTTTGTTCCTCTAAATATTCTAAATAAATAACCATCGCCTCTATAAGAAAAAGAATAAATGTCTACAATTTATTTCTACTTGCATCAAATTGCTGCACCACTTACATCGCCAGCCGTGCGTCAACCCCCTGGCCGTCATTGGCTGGCGCCCCAGAGCCGCAATCTCGCTGAGCCGGTCCCGCCAGCCGGCGCCAGCTGCGCCAGCTGTCCATAGCGAGCTTCACCACCTTCATCTTCCACGCTTCGCCTTCCGCCGCCGTTTTCTTCTTCCTTTCCTTTTATTCTTATCCCCACGCTCCTTTTATAACCCATGCAGTAGTCCGATTCTTTTAACCACCAAATCCTCGCGCGCCTACCGCCCAATTGGCAGCGTCCCCCTTCGCCATGGACACATTGCTCGATCTCCCAGCGCGAGCTCTGCGCCCGCTTCTTGCCTGGATCGAAGCCACGCCCGTATACCTGCTGCTTGCACTCTTTGTGCTCCTAGTCCTGTTTGGTCTGCTTGCCGTACGTCCAATTGCTGCCCTCCCTTAGTTTGCACTTTAACTCACGCAGCCACAGCTCTTTGTGCTCCTGCACCTTGTCGCCCCGAAGCCACGCCCCGTACTCCCCTCCGAAAAGATATACATCACGACATCTGCCAACGGCAAGGTCTCTGGCCCGCACCAGCTCCCGTGCTGGTACGACCGCTGGTTAGCCGAGCGCCGCATCGCCGAGAAGAACGCTGGTCCCAACGAGACCTTTGACGCTGGCTCCATTGAACCCGCGGAGCTTAAGCTCAGCGTCGTGTTCCCCGCGTACAACGAAGAAGACCGCATCAAGCCGACCCTCGAGGAGGCCGTAGAGTACCTCGACAAACATATCGGACGTAGCAAGGCTAAGAGCCCCTCCAGCCCGAGCAAGAAGCGCCATGCACGATCGGCGTCCACAGTCGGCGGCTACGAGATCATTGTCGTCAACGACGGCAGCAGGGACAAGACGGTCGATGTGGTCCTCGAGTTCTCCAAGAAACATGAGCTGCATGATATCGTGCGCGTGGTATCCCTCGCCAAGAACAGAGGCAAAGGTGGCGGCGTGACACACGGTCTGCGCCATGTCCGTGGCGAACACGTCCTGTTTGCTGATGCCGACGGCGCTTCGCGCTTCAGCGACGTCAGTAAGCTCCTCGAGGGCTGCGATGAGGTCGTTGATGGCTCGGGACGCGGCGCCGCCATTGGTAGCAGAGCCCATCTCGTCGGCAGTGAGGCCGTCGTCAAGGTTTGTCTCCCCCAGCAATCTCAAACAACACTAGCTAACAGTTTGCGCAGCGCTCTGCCTTGAGAAACTTCCTCATGCGCAGCTTCCATCTAGTCCTCACAATCCTGACCCCTCCCGCGACATCCCGCATCCGCGACACCCAGTGCGGCTTCAAGCTGTTTTCGCGCGAGGCCCTGCCGCACATTGTGCCCTACATGCACACCGAAGGCTGGATCTTCGACATTGAGATGCTCATGCTGGCCGAGTCTGCACCAGCCACTCCGGTTCTTGGGTCCGACGGCAGCGTTATTGGCTCTAGTCCGGGCATTAAGGTCGCCGAGGTGCCTATTGAGTGGCACGAGGTCGGGGGCAGTAAGCTGAATGTTATCCAGGACAGTATCAAGATGGCACTGGGCCTGGCGATTCTCCGCGCGAGCTGGATGCTAGGCGTGTACCGCCGGCGGATGACTTGAACATTGCGTCATGAGGTGTCTAATGAGGAGTAAAGAGGGAGATTATTTCATATTAGGTCAAGGTAAAAAGTGCTATGTATATATCATGAGGGCAAAACGTGCCCCTTTTATCTATCATAACAGAGAGAAAGCTCCGCCGAGTCCCAAAAATGCATCCTGAACGCCGTGATATTTTTGTATAGTCAAATGCAGATGACGCATCATCCTCGCCGTAGATTACAAGGAGCTTTGTGAGAGAAAAGGTATGTCCAAATGTACAAGAAAGTATGCATCGCTCGTTATAAAATCCAAACAGGAATCTGCGACAATTTCAACGGAACCCTTCGCGCCAGATGAGCGGCAAAAAGACGACGCAGGCCTTGGCGAGAATCAGGATGGCGTCGACAAAGACCAGCGGCGTCTTGAGGATGCCGAGCGGGCCGGCGGAGACAAGCTCGATGGAGTGAAGGCCGATGGCGAGAAAGGCGACGGAGAAGAAGTGATAGGCGAGGATGATGGGGCGGTGGATGATGCCACCAAGCAAACCGCAGGGTCCGTCCGTCATGCCGCGCTTAAAGTACTCGAAGCAGCCCATCTGGAGGGCACGTAGTTCGCGGTCGTTGGCGGCAAACAGGCTGTAGAGGGCCTGGGCGAGGACGTTGAGGATGGACGTGTAGTTCTTGCGGCGCCAGTACATGGTCTTCATGGCGGCGGCGAGGGTGTCAGAGTCGTCGAGGTTGGGAACACGCGAGGGGTGCAGCAGTTCCGAGAGGAGCAAGACGTCGTTGAAGGCAACGGTCATACCAGCGCCGGTTAGCGGGTGTCGCATGTTGTGGGCATCGCCGAGGACAATCATGCCGCGCGGGGTCTGCTTCGTGGCTGGCAGCCAACTATTGGGCATACTGCGAGGGATCTTGCCGTCTTCGAGGGCCTTGAGAGCAGCAGGGCGCACCGACTCTGGCAGTGCGGGGATTGCATGGTTCTTGATGTAGCCGCGGACACCGCCATTGTCTGGCGACGCCTCAGGGATGCCCATGGGCACGTCGAAGAGGGCACGGGTTTCGTGGGTGCCAATCTGGTACAGCAGGACGGGGAAGCACGAGTGGCCGATAATAACGTGGCCGTAGCCCGGCTGGGGCAGCTCCGTGTCGATGAGTTCGAGAGCGTAGAACTTGCTGCGGAAGGCGGGCTTGGATGTGGTGACTTGCTTGCGGAACTTGGAGTCGTAGCCGTCAGCAATAATTGTCAGCTGGCCAAAGAAGCAGTCGGGTGTCTTGTCGCCCGTCATCTTGTCTGTTGTGCGGGTCTCGACGCCGAGGATCTGGTCCGAGTCCTCGCCGCGGATGGTGTTGACGACCTCGGTCTCGACGACTGTGATGTTCTCGTGGCCCAGGCACGCCTTGCGCAACTGCATAATGAAGCGGCCGTGGTGGAACGACCGGCCGACATCTCGCTGGCCCTTTTCGCCGTGTCCGTACCACTGGTTTGTGAGGCGGCCGTTCTGGTCGCGCGGCGGGTACGGCACATGGACGGGGGTCTCGTTGTAGATGACATTGTATCCGTGGCACGGGATGGCGTCGATACCGTCGACACAGTGGCCTAGGCCGAGCTTCGTCAGCGCATCCAGGCCGCCGGGCTGCAAGAGTTCGCCGACAATGCGGTCAGGCTCGTGCATCCAGCGCTCAAGCAAGATCACGGAGCGGCCCTGCTGGGCGAATGTGTAGGCGGCGGCGCAGCCGAAAATGCCAGCACCGACAACCACCACATCGGCTTCGTGGTAGATCTCGCGGCGGGTGCGAGCGTCGTTTGGCTGGGAGCCCATTGTGATGTTCGGTGTTGTCTATCAGGAGGTAGGATGTTGTCGATTGCGCGGTGGGGGGTTACCAGTCGAAGAGAGGCGGATTGTTGGGGCCGACGTCGGTGTACGTTTGTTGGGAAGTGGTGGACGATGAACAGAGGGATTGTGATGCTGCTGGTTTAAACACTTGTGAGCATCGTCGCGGATTCCGTTCAGCAGGAGTAGAAGGAAAGGAAACAAAAAGGGTGGTCTGGAGAAGAAGGCGGTCCAAAGGGGAGACTTTTGGCGGGTCAAGAAAATTGGCGAGAGTTGCTGACCGGCCAGGGTCTGCTGCCGCCACCGCCCCTCTGTAGCGATAGCGTGTGGAGGCGCTGTAAGAAGATAAAAAGGAAAGAGGCTGAGACGCCGCTTTAAGAGGATCGGGGAGCTTAGGGGTGAAACTTTTATGATAACAGAGCCGTAGATGAGAGATTAAAAATATCTAGGCAGTTTTTATTTTCATTCAAAGATGGAAGATATTTTTGGTTTGTATTTATATATTTATTTCCAGGCTATAAAAATCCCTTTGTACTCATATCTTAAAGCGGCGCCCCCAACAACGTATTCGTACCTGAACGCCCACCCCCGAACTCGAACGCATTCCCACCAAAACGGACCCCCAGCCAGCCCCTATAAACCCCTCTGACCAAATAGGTAGATCCGCTCTGCAGTCATCACATGCTTTTTCTCCCGTTGTTCTCTGATTTTATATTAAAATCGCCAGATTCCCTCATTGTAATGGCGTGGTTCTGCCTTGCTGCTGCTTTCCTGCCCGCCGCTTATATGCAGCACCTGCAGCCCTGTGGCTTTGTCTTTTCTTCGTTTACCGTATTCGGAACTGCATCGGTGCATGGCGCAAGGTGATGGTGTGCTGCAACCTATAGGAGGCGCTAAGGCTAGTTAGTTAGTGGGCGGCGATCGTGGGCATCTACGCTAGAGCGCCAGCATCGGGGATACTATCGCAACATGTAAACTTAAAAACTTGGTGAAAGATATAAGAGTCAATAGGATATCCTTTCTAGTTCTACTGATAGCAATATAATAATATAAAAAAGGTATACAGAAAATATGATAGTCGCCTCGCTGGGCATGATGATAAAAACGCCGATATACACATGTTTCCCCATTATGTTATGCATGTACAGGTACCCTGGTTTTGATTCCATTTCCTTTCTCTATAGGCCGTTGGCTAGTAAGACTTGGTCCGTCTCGTACGAGCCTATCTTGCTCTGTGCTGCGAGGCTGCAGGGCTTTGACTCGCCCGCAGGCAAGGCTACTCGGACAAGATTGTCGGAGCTCTTGTTGGCTCGCGCGGCCGCATTGGCCCGACGGCACTGCTGCACATGGCACAGTGTGGCATCAAGATCCAGCAGCGCCTGGTAATGCTCGCTGTCCTCGCCGCCTTGCACAGTGGCTCGTTGCGCTACTGTCTTCATGGCAAGCTTGACACTCTCTTTGCAGATCTTGCTGCCCTGCCAGCGCATCTGGTCGCTGCTGCGGAACTCGTTGAGCACCGAGTGCAGCGCCTCGTAGCGTGCTGATCCCGTGTAAATGTACACGAGGTTGGAGAAGTTGTACTCGCTGTACACTAGCTGGCCGTGGCCGTTTTCCTTGGCTGCCAGCTTGCACACTCGAGCCGCACCGCGAAAGTCACCTCGAGTTGCAAGCTGCTGTGCAGCGCTGTTGTAGACGCTGTCGTGTACGCGGACTCCTCGGCAGGATGCTTGCTGCAAAATGTCCTTGGCATCGTGGCCCTCCTTCAACTGGGCCATCAGTAGTGAACTCAATGCCTCGGATACATCCTCTCCGCGGGCGTGAGCCGCATCAATCAATGCAGCCGCGGAAGTGGTGTGGCTATCATTGGAAGAGAGTTGGTTGAGAACATCCTGTCGAAGACGAGGTAATTGTGATGTCGGTACACCATTCTCGTTGCAGAAGCTGAACCAGTTCTCCATTGCCAGGGCCGGGTTTGACATGTAGGCATTAGAAACAGTCTTGGCCCATCTTGGTTCAAGAGTCAGGCCAAAATCCCGAGTGATGCTTCGAAGCCACTGGTCAAGCTGTGCTGCAGACTGGTTTTTGATGAGTAAATCCGTTGCCTCGCTTACAAGCTGCTTCAATTCGGTAGGAGGGGCAGTTCCGCTCTTCAATAACTTATATGATGTGCTTCGTACAGACTCGATATTTCCTGCGGATGCCTGAGCGGCGGTAATGGCTGTTTGGAGGGAAATGTCCATCTCGGTGTTCTTGGGTTTTGTGTTGATAACGGCGGGTTTTTGGGCCAGAATCCAAGCAAAGTCTCGCTCCTTTTTAGCATGTAGGATTAATTGCCTTCGAACTTGATATTCCGAGTCTTTTTGGAAGACGCCTGGTTGCTGGAGGGTCTCAAAGAGCCTATATGCGTCTGCTCTGCTCACCTGAGTCATGGCGAGATGGCGGAAGACTTTGGGCAGATGTACCGATGCCGACACATTCTTTGCAAAGAAGCTGGCAATCTGTTTGGTTTGCTTTCCATCGGTCTGACGCAGTGATTCCGACAGGTACGGTCCCAGGACATGCTCTGGTGTCCTGGACAGCCGCAATGCCGCTTCTAGCACACGGTTGGAGAGGGGGGCATTGTCCTTGGACTGCGCCAAAATCTTCAACAGAATATCGTTAATTTCCTTTGCCCTCGGTCCGTGGAATTTACCAGCATCTGACAGTTTCTGAAGAATGTTAGAGCAGCGCTTGGCATCAGCACTGCTCATCCCATCCCTTCGCGATCGTGCCAGAATAGACTCGAGAGCCTCGCTTGATTCTTTAAAGAGAACCAATTTTGACTTCGCTGTTTCCTTAACGGGCTCTGCTGTCCCTGAAATCTCAGCTTTAGCTTCAGTTGCATTGGTAGAAATTGTCGGAGATGTCGCGGTCGTCGCTTTCACTTGATCCGTCTTCGGTGTTTCTACGGCTACTGTTTCTACAGCAGCCTGTGATATCTTAAGTCGTTCGTTCTGGAATGTCTGAGGAGGTGCGGAGAAAAGGATAGGTTGTCGGATTGCCTCACGGGCAGCTGCGGCCTTTGCTGTTCGCTGGGCGAGTTGGGATTCTGAAGGTGTCGGTTGCTCTGCTGCCTTGGCAGAGGATAGTGATTTCACAGAGCCTGTATCTGCTAATGATTGTCCATTTGAAGTGCGGTGCCGCCTCGATGTCCGAATGGGCATGGTAGCAAGAATCTCGTCGCTCGGGTCAATCAGACGCCCGTCCCAGCCAACGTATCCGTCGCCCAGAGCAATCGCTCCGCGGTTGACCTTTGCTGTGTGCAGCTTTCTTGCATTCTCCACGGCGGCTCGGGCAATCTTGATTCGGCGCCTTCGCTCCTCGGCCAACAGGATAACGGAGCAGGAGGTGGTGAAGACCACACCCCGTAGGGTGTTGATCACCAATTTAGACGGGATGGGCTTTGGCGGGGCCATTTTGATGGCTCATCCACGGGTTTCAATCACAGTTGTAGTGTTTGCATTGCGTAGCGGTCGGGCGCAGTCGTGAATTGGTCGCTGGTGTCGGTTGTCGTTGAAGTGCTTCTTTTGTTGAATGGTCGGCTTTGGCGCAGGTACATTTTCCAGTACGGAGCCGTCACGTGATCCGTCAGCACTCCCCTGCTCTCCACAAGGCATACACTACAATTCTGCAATGCACTTATTCGGTATAATTTATTTTTAATATTTCCAAATTTAGATCTTAATAGATGGCTTTGATTAGTCTCTCGCATTAATGCTAAGCAGCGTAAATGGGTTTGTGTAGTCAGTGCAAAATGACATCATTCCAGAATGTTAGTTGATGCCTGGTCAGAGAAATCATCCCAGATACGTATCAATGTTCGAAAAATTTCAGCGTCATATAACAATGAAAAATTATAGTAAAAGGCTAGATAACATAGCTTCCATCGTTAGCACCATCCATACATTTCATTTCCCACCCAGTCGAAATCCTTGCTATCCTTCCCAAAGACAAGCAAGCTCGGAACACTGTAGCTTTCCCTCTCTGCAATCTTGAAAGAGATCCCACTCTTCTCTAGAGCATCCTTAACTGCTGATGTAGGATTGTTCATGACCACAGTTCCGAGTTTCCACTTGGCTGCTGCCTGCACTGCTTCCCGCAGAATCACCGTCAATGACGCGGCCAACTCTTCTGTGGATGCCGACTCATCCTCAATAACCAGCCGCAGGATATTCAATGTATTCTTCTCAACTTGTAATGGATCGTCGCTGTAGGCCCTCGACCATATAGCCCAGACACGATTTCCCTCTACCCCAGCCCAGACACCGTGCACTTTCTCCTCGCTCTTGCCTGGCATGATTTGCTCCGCAATCCATGCATCTCGGTACAGGCGCCAGCGCACTGTATCGGAATCTGGTAGTAGGGCAAACTGATGTTGTTCAAGCTCGGTCTTTGCAGCTATCGATTGCCGCATCAAGTCGCAGTCCAGGTTCACAAAGGTCTCCAAGTTCTCATATGTGATTGTACCCCAGGCCAAATCTGTAGCGCCCTCTACCTTTTGGCTTGCGGGGAAAGCTGCATGAGCACTGGCGTGCGGCTCCCATCCGAGTTTGGCATAAAACGATTTGCCAATATCACTCCAGAGCACACTACCCATCGGCTTGATCAGCTCGCCCTGCTTGTCTTTGTCCACGCCGTTCTGCAGCATCTTCCTCAACAGATGGAACATGCGGCTTGCGTAGCCCCGACCTCTGTATCTGGGATCTGTGTAAACGCTGCCAATACCGTATACCCAGCCTTCTACAACAGCAGATGAGCCTTCTTGTGTGTATAATGTCTTCTTCTTCCAGGTTTCACAGCTCGAAAGAATAGGTCGCGCATCTGGCACAACACCCTCTTCGGTCAGGATCCAAGATCTCTTGCCGCCATTTACAGCAAGCGGAACAGATTCCATGTAAATTTCACGGGCCAGGTACTGATTGCAGGTCAAGGCACCCCTCCATTCGGTCTCATTGAGTAGCCGGGCTGCATGTTCCTCACCGGCGGTGGGTGTGGCAACGATGAGCGTGGGCGACTTCGCATCAGGATATGAGGTCATTGTGGTTGCAGTGACGTGCGTCGATGGTGATGTGGTTTGCGTGTTCTATAGGGCAGGCTGCTGCAAGTTGATACAAGCTTAAGCTGACCCACTATTGATTTTTATCGCAAATAAGAAAGTATCTGAGGCGTTGCGATTTGACAGTTGCTTGTGACAAAGTGTGGAGAGTGAGGATGCCAAATGGGATGAAGTGGCTGTAGGAATTGATCAGCCGAAATAGTATTCTTGCAAGGCTATCGGCTCTGCAAGTAAAATAAATATTATTTAAAAATTGCCCTAAATTAATTTCGTTCATTAAAGTCTCGGTTACTCTCTTGTGATATTAATGCCACCTTATTAACTTATCCGCCGATCAGTATACCGGATGCTCGCTACGCTTGATTAAGGCATGGTTTTATACAACTTCGCTTAGTACATATCCCGAGTTAGAGAGTGCTATCACGAAAGGAAAGTGCTGGTGCCTGCCCCCAATATCACCTAGCCGAATGCCGTTGAGCCAGAACGGTTCATAACCTTTCAGTATAATTAAACAGATTATGTACCCAAAAGACTTCTGTTACATTGGCCTTTTGACCTTCTTACACTGTAAACATGGCGTCTAGCTTTCCTGTCGCACCTCCGCCCAAGTCCCTCCTTGGGCGTTACCGACTGCTTGCTCCAACTGCTGGTATTCGGGTTAGTCCACTCTGTCTTGGAGCCATGAACTTTGGTGACAACTGGTAAGAATATAAAATCGGATGCTTTGAAATAGTGAGGATTGAGGTTTGTCCGTAGGTCGTCCTTTATGGGCCCATGCGATGAAGCTACCACAGACCAGATTCTCGATGTCTTCTACAATCAGGTATGCACCTCGTTTTAGAGTCGGAAAACATGCTAAACATTTTAGGGAGGTATGTATTTAGTCTCTTGAATATTCAACACATTCAGTTAATATGCCCCGATAGGCAATTTCATCGATACAGCGAACGGGTATCAGTTTGGAGATTCGGAACGACGTATCGGCACTTGGATGACAAAACGAGGAGTCCGAGACCAGATGGGTTAGTTTGCTTCCACCTATATGTGCTCTTTAAATATTAATGTCCTCTAGTCATTGCGACAAAGTATTCAACTAACCTAGTTCTTGGTACGAATGGTCCCCCAATCCAAGCCAACTATGGGGGCAATGCTACCAAGAGCATGGTCCTGTCAGTTAACGAAAGCCTGAAAAGGCTTCAAACAGATTACATTGACTTGGTGAGTTCTTGAACCTGGTACTCGAGATCATCGCTTATGTTTGAAAGCTGTATGTGCATTGGTGGGACTATTCCACGTCCATTCAAGAAATCATGCAATCGTTAAACACGCTCGTTCAGCAAGGGAAAGTCTTGTATCTGGGTATCAGTGATGCACCTGCCTGGGTGGTCAGCAAAGCCAATGAATATGCTCGAAACCATGGACTGCGACCTTTCAGCGTCTACCAAGGTAGATGGTCCGCTGCCACCCGCGACTTCGAAAGAGACATCATCCCCATGTGCCGTGATGAAGGCATGGGACTTTGTCCATGGGGTGCTCTCGGTGGTGGAAAATTTAAAACTGAAGAGCAGCAAAGGGCTCAAGAAGCCCGAACTGGAGAACTTACCGAAGCAGATGTCGCCGTCAGCGCGGTATTGGAGAGGATTGCCCGACGGGAAAATGCTGTTCTCTCAAGCATTGCGCTTGCGTATGTCTTACACAAAGCGCCATACGTTTTCCCGATTGTTGGTGTCCGTGATATGGTGCATATTCAGGGATGTATTGACGCTCTAAGTATTGAATTAACGGAGGAAGATGTCCAAGAAATCGAAGCTGCCATACCCTTTGATCTAGGCTTTCCTCATTCCATGCTCTGGGGTCAATCCGTTCCAAAGGCACCTCAGCAAATGTGGTTCACCAGTCTTAGTGGTGAATTCGACAACGTTGAACCACCAAAGGTACGTGCCGTGCGTGGTTGAGACTACATATGTGCTAACTGTTTCGTGACAGGCCATCAAACCAGCGTCCAAGAAGGACTAGAGTTTCCGGGCTACGCCATATGGTTGGAAATGGGGCATACACTGATGATCAAACATCACAAGGTTTTACGATGTAGTTGTTCTGGCGAAATTTACAATGGCCGACAGAATGTGCCTCCTGCATGACAGCTGGCAGCTGGCAGATGGCAGATGGCAGCAGAAACTGGCAACACCGTGTTCGTCTCGTAGAAACCGCAGCTGTCAATTTTATTCTACTCAGTTACATCTTCTATTCTCTGGTTCGTGAAACAGAAAGTGCCATAATAGAGACTATGTTCGCTTCCCGGCTCCCACTGCCACTACGGCGAAGTCTGAGTGACCCATGTCCAACCATCCAGCCCCTACCAGACCCTCCTAATCCTATAATACACTCAAAAACAGATGAAAACGTGCTATATACGTCTACCGATACCTCTATAGCGAAACAGACGGCGTCGGCTATATCGACTTTGCCCACTCCGACATGCGAAGTGATCGAAGTTCCCAACACGCCGTCACGAATGGAAACTCAAGTTTCGCCTGTCGTTGAGATGAATAGTCAGATATCTATAACTAGTTCAAGAGTTCGCTTTTCCAGCCCCGTTGTCGACAAGATATATACTTACGGTGACGATGATCCTAGTAATTGACCAGCATCGCCTAACCGTCTCTCACGCCCTAACTTAATATAGATTCATTTGAAATTGAAGAAGTCCTAGATGGGGACGTTGTATTACCACCAATAGCACCGGATAGCGAACAAAATAAGACAACAGCCTGCATCGTGAAGCAACTTCAGCCACTTCCGCCTCACGCCGAGCGAGACATCCAAGTACACGGCAAGTTTTCGTTTCGAAAAGGTGTCAGAATCCGAGATTATATCCCAATACAAGCCGTACCCTGGAACGAAATGCTACGAAAGGCGCCCCAGTTCCAATGCCGTGATGGATTCGAGGAGCACGAAGTATGGATGGGTAGACCAAGGCTGTTCAATCGGCCTTCAACAACACAGATCAAAGACAAATCGGAGGTAGCGGCACCAAAGACGGCAAATTACAAACGTCGAGTCATTTACGACCCCGTGAGAGATAGCAAACGAATCAGCCTGCCCTCATTCGGGGAGCTGGAGCTTCTTCCTCCTTCAATAGAGCCAGTAGACGTCAGCTATACTCCGCTGATGGGCTCAATAGCGCCGGGAAATTAGGTCCACAAGACGATGTCGTCTAGTAGAATGCAGTTATGATTCATTGATAGTGTATTCAAATATTTGCAAAAGGTTTCCCATCAGAACTTCCCGAACGCCGATTCGGATTCGTACATCACATCTGTAATTAAAAATAATTGTCATACTCGCTTGCCCCCAGTCCTTTTATTTTGCCTTCGGCTTGGTCTCGGCCTCAGCCAACTCACGCACAGTCACAGACGTCTTCCCCGCGCCAGAGTAATCCTCGGCACCAGTCTCGAAGCCGGGACAGATGCCCACAGCCATGTATTTTCCGTCCGATGCGAAAGCAACGGCAGCAACGCTCTGCGAGAGCTTCGGGTATAGTCTCAATCGTCGCTTGGCGTCGGCATCCCACAGTGCAACGGCGCCATCACCGCCACCAGTCGCAAAGGTGCCGTGGATCGGGTGGAAGGCAAGACTGTTGACAGGGTATATCATGTCGCCTTCAAAATCGGTCGCGGGCTGTCGATGGCATTTGAAGGCGTATTTGCGGGCTTGCACCTCTGGTGTGTCTTCGAACCATTCGACCGCGGCGCGGCCTTCAATGCTGCTGGTAACGTAGCCGGCGTCGTCGGGCATGCAGGACACAGCGCGGGTGAGGTATCGGAGGGAGGATTCGCGCTGCTGCCAGGGCTTGAGCTCGGTGCCGCCTGTGGCGAAGAGTTTTGTTATCGAGTCGAGGTCGTAGATGTTGATGATGCGGCCCGTCATGGCGACGACCACCTTGGACGGGCTCATGGAGACGGCCTGGGGCTTGGCTGGAAGAGGGATTCGGATCGGGGTGCTAGAAGGGTCGCGGAGGTTGTGGAGGTTGAGACTACAGTCCCATGACGCGGATACAAGGATTCCTAGAAACTGTTAGATATGTCGCCAGGGTGTGTGAATGACGGGGAGCTGCGTACCGTGTCTGGCGCTGTAGCAGACGGATCGGACGGGGGCTGTGTGCTTGCTGAGGACGGTCATATCACCAGTGTTTAGATCGAGTCTGAAGAGGAGGTTAGCCATAGGGCAATATGGTGTAGTGACGAATAGCAGGTATACCTGTGTACTGCCCAGTCCAGACCACCGGAGAAAGCCACTGTGTGGTCGTCACCGAAGCAGGCATCAAGAACGGGAGCTTTGTGCCCAATACGCTGCAAAAGTGTAGATCGGCCCGTGTTTGACGTGTCGACTTCGTAATAGTACACATTCTTGTCCCAGCACGACACTAACAGCTTGTTGTTGACGTCTGGCGCAAACTTGATTGCGGAAACCGCATCGCCGGGAGGCGGTGTAAGTTCGAATTGTGTTCCTGGGCATAAGTTAGCATTGATATTTCTGTAGGTTCTATTCTGTACAGTAGTGCTAAAACCAGAAGAAAAATAGGATACATACCAGGCGCCATGGTTGTGTTTGGTTCCGTCTTTCACCACCCAGGCTTGTTGTAGAGCAGAAGCAGCTGCTTGCTTGTTTACTTGGGCGGTCACGTGGAGATAGCTGCGGCGACCCGCGCCAGGCTCTGTTGCCCGCTGTGGCTTGCGTGCAGGGTGTCGCTGAATTTCTGCCATAGCTGACCGCCGCGCAGCAAAATCAGCCACACACCCCGCCACCCCCCACTATCTCGAACGCTGTGTGCGGTGCAAAATGTCAAAATTATGACTCTGAGCCTGCAAAGCCAACCTAACCATCCTCTACTCCTCCAAACCTCAGCACCTCGTTGCCACACGCCGAATCTCCCACGAACCGCACGGCTCATCCACTACTCTTGCATTTTTCAACCGACTTTTTTGTCATTTTCCCGGACCCGTCGGCGCATCGATTAGACTCGCGTGCGAATCACAACCCACCGAAAGCGATCCCGCGAAAGCGACAGCATATAAAACGGCCTATTTCTAGCATCGTCGCGAAAAGACACCAACCGCCAAGATGTCGTTAACAAACTGCCGTTACTATGAGGAGAAGTACCCGGAGATTGACAGCTTTGTCATGGTCAATGTCAAGCAGGTTCGTGGCACTCGGATATCCGCAACCCCGCAACGGCGCGGGGAGGGAAGACAAGACAACAATGCCTCTCCACCGTAGCGGGCGAAGAAGACTTTTGGTGTAGAAAACAGACTGGCTAACATGTTTGGATGGTGCAGATCGCCGAAATGGGTGCTTACGTCAAGCTCCTCGAATACGATGAAATCGACGGCATGATTCTTCTTTCCGAACTCTCGCGTAGACGTATCCGAAGTATCCAGAAGCTCATTAGAGTCGGGCGTAACGAAGTTGTCGTCGTTCTCAGAGTCGACAAGGAGAAGGGTTACATTGATTTGTCGAAACGCCGTGTGTCCCCCGAGGATGTCATCAAGTGCGAGGAGCGCTACAACAAGAGCAAGATGGTTCACTCCATCATGCGCCACGTTGCCGAGAAGACCAACGTCCCCATCGAGTCCCTGTACGAGAGCATAGCATGGCCCTTGAACCGCAAGTACGGCCACGCCATTGATGCTTTCAAGCTGTCCATCACGTAAGTGTCTTCCTCATCTTGCTAGTCTTCGTCTCTTGTCTAACCCTATTACAGTAAGCCCGAGGTCTGGAACGACGTCACCTTCTCCAGCGAACCTGTCGCCGAGGAGCTCAAGACGTACATTAGCAAGCGTCTTACTCCCCAGCCCACCAAGGTCCGTGCCGATATTGAGGTCACCTGCTTCGGCTACGAGGGCATCGACGCCGTCAAGACTGCCCTGCGCACCGCCGAGGCCAAGAACACAGAGGACACCCAGGTCAAGGTCAAGCTGGTGTCTCCTCCTCTGTACGTCCTTACCAGCACCTGCCTGGACAAGGCTGAGGGTATCACCCGCCTCGAGGAGGCCATTGTCGACATCCGCACAGCCATCGAGGCCTCCAACGGCCACCTGACAGTCAAGATGGAGCCCAAGGCCGTCACCGAGAGTGATGATGCCGAGCTCCAGGCCCTCATGGAAAAGAGAGAGCGTGAGAACCAGGAAGTCAGCGGTGATGAGAGTCAGAGTGAGAGTGACGACAATATCGATGTCTAAACGGCGATGCATTCATGAAAGCAACAAAAGTATAATGAAGCCATGGGTGGGTTGGAATTAGAGAAAAGAACAACGATTTGGGTCATGATTCGGAGTTTGCCTGAACCTTGCGAAGCCGGCGACTGCGGTCGGCCGACTGTGGGCTTCTTCCTGTGATTTTTTTCTTCTTCGGTACAAAATAAAAAAAGTTGATAATAAGTAACTGGCCTCGTTAGGCACCTTATACTACAATATGTGATTGTTTGATCGACTGAGTACCGTATAGGGCGTTGCCGTTGTTGTTATAGTGGCCCCCACCACTAACTAAACCTTTACACCCGCCAACCTCGCCGCATCCTCTTCACCTCTCCAAGACAAGCGAAACACCCTCTTCCCACAACCACTCTCCATTATATACCCGCCCTGGGCCACTGATAATCGCATGGCATCGACAGGGCTATGGTCTCGTATACGAGCCTTTAGCTCGCAGCCCAGCACGGCGCGGACCGTGACGGCTAACCTGCTGGGCTTCGCGACTTGGATCCCCGTCATCGCGTGGTTCAACATGCATGTCGCGGAGCTGACGGTTATCGATGGCGCTTCCATGTATCCGTTTATGAATGAGGATCGCGACTCGACGCTGCGCAGAGACGTCGTCTTCAACTACAAGTGGTCGCCGCAGGATGACCTGCAAAGGGGCATGATTGTGACATTGAGGTACGCATAAGCCATCCAACGCCATTGACATGCACAGCCATGCTAACGAAGTCACTCTAGGAGCCCGTATCACCCAGAAGTCGTCGCCGTGAAGAGAGTAGTCGCCGTCGAGGGCGACGTGGTCAAGACGAAAGCGCCGTATCCCATCTCTACGGTCAAGATCCCACCAGGACATATCTGGATCGAAGGCGACGGACCTCCCGGGTCAACCCTGGACAGCAACACATACGGACCAGTCTCAAAGCGTCTGTTGACGGGCAGAGTGACGCACATTGTCTATCCGTTCCGCAAGTTTGGGCCTGTCAAGTGGTGGGAGCATGAGCGGCCGCTTGTAGAGTAACTGCTGCTCTTCTTTTCGGTTCTTTTGATTCTGGATATTGACTTGTATCTTATGGCCGTTTTATAACTGACCTGGATATTTTCTTGTATTTTTACGGCATGGGAAAACGCATTGTACGGTCATTTATGTATTATAGTGGCAAAAACAGGAGTTTGGCGGAGAACTACGGCATCAGGGGTAACCCTGCCTTCTCAAAGAATATTTTAAAAAATACTTATAATTTACAACTCATCCACTAATCTCATTTCGCACATAAACAAACAATTTTGCTTATCCATTGAGGCCAATCCATCGCTGCGGCATCAACGTCATGGCTGCCGCCCAAAAGTGGTCCGGCCAGGTACCGGCCCAATCAGAGGCGTCGGTGATACGGTCGGAGCTGCGAAAAAAAAAGTTGACGTCTGTAAACCACCACGCGACCCCAACAACCCCTTCACCATCAACGCATCGCCCGCGGCCAATTCGCTCTCTCCTTCCTCCCATCGGCCGCCGTGCATCATCATTTTCTTTTCTCTTTTCTGCCGTCATTCTCTCTCTTGTGTGAAATTCGTCTGCGTCCTTTTGCCCCTGACCCGCGCATCGCTCTCCTATTTCCAGGCTGTCCCTCCCCCTCCGGCCATGCCGCTTGGCTTCCAAACTTCCATCTTCGGCAAAAACAACTCCTCCGACACCCATGCATCGCTTTTAAATATTGACGACCGCCATGCAGAGCGGACCCCGCATAACCCTATAACCGCACACGACCACCATAACGACATGACGTCCGACGACGATCTCGAAGTAGAAGGCCGGCCGCCCTACCTCCATGTACGCATTGCTCTCTCTCAAGTTATGATCGCGTCCAATGTAAACTAACCCAACCCCGCTTCACAGGCCATGATTGCAGGAGGCATCGGCGGCTCGACAGGAGACCTCCTCATGCACTCGCTCGACACCGTCAAGACACGGCAGCAAGGCGACCCCAACATCCCCCCTCGATATACATCTCTCGCAAACTCATACTACACCATCTGGCGCCAGGAAGGCGTGCGCCGCGGGCTCTACAGCGGCTGGGTACCCGCGCTTGGCGGCTCGCTGCCCGGCACCATGCTATTCTTCGGCACATACGAATGGAGCAAGCGCTTCCTCATCGACCACGGCATGCAGCACCACCTGGCGTACCTGAGCGCCGGCTTCCTCGGCGACCTGGCGGCGTCGATTGTCTATGTGCCGTCCGAGGTCCTCAAGACCCGTCTGCAGCTTCAGGGCCGCTTCAACAACCCGCACTTCTACTCGGGGTACAACTACCACGGCACGGCCGACGCCGCGCGCACCATTGTACTTAAAGAAGGCGTGTCGGCGCTATTCCACGGCTACAAGGCCACGCTGGGCCGCGATCTGCCCTTCTCAGCGCTGCAGTTTATGTTCTGGGAGCAGCTGCACGCTTGGGCGCGCATGTACAAGCAAAGCCGCGATATCGGCGTTCCGCTCGAACTCCTGACTGGCGGTGTTGCTGGCGGTCTGGCCGGCGTCATAACGTGTCCGCTGGACGTTGTTAAGACACGGTTGCAGACGCAGGTCCATCCGTCATTACGTGCTGAACGTCATCCTTCAACAGCGGGCGCTCAGAAGCGCGGCATCTCCACGTCCTCGCCTAATACGCATCGCCCACAACCTGGCGCTATTGCGCTAGAAACGCAGTCTGTCATCCAGGGCCTCAAGGTCATTTACCGCACCGAGGGTCTGAGCGGGTGGTTCCGTGGCGTCGGACCTCGCGGTGTGTGGACGTTCATCCAGAGCGGTTGCATGCTGTTCTTGTACCAGCGGCTTTTGCATCAGCTCGAGACCTGGGTTCCTGTGGAGCGCGAGGAGCCTTGAGATGCAAGACATTTTGTCTTTGTCTCTGTTTTTATATACAACAACCTGTACCAATATTTTCCTCTTATTTTTCGTTGTTCATGGGGGTCACATCATCACCAGCACCACTCAAGACCATCTTTTTGTTATAACTTTGCATCAGGCACCCTGCTGCGCGACGACTCGTACATATACGGACCCGCGGTAGGGATTGTGGAGGAAAAGAGGGAGAAGGAATCTCTTTTTAGAAGCCGGAATAGAAAACCATGGTCGTTTCCTCATTCTGCATTGGCGTTTTAGACATATCTTATTTCACGAGAAGGGGAAGGGGGTAGAGAAAGAAGAACAGAGGCCACGGCGATTAGGGCCTAGTTAACGCGCAATGTATAGACGTCTGGCACATGGAAGCAGCATGTTCCTTGTCATATTTCGCTATCAATTGCATACATAATTCCAACTCATAAGCAATGTAACTTTCTGGGTATCTATTGTGTGAAAAAAAGGACAGGGAGGGAGTGGTGTTAAGAAAAGCAAACGTAGTGTGAATGCGCATACATGGTAAAAATCAAGCATCGTGATCCGTGTCGTCCTCAAAAGTGGCATCCTCAAAGTCATGCATACGTTCGCGAAGATCGTCGCGTGCCATACAGACAACCATGGCAATGGTTAAAGCGTTCCAAATGGTCTGGCCCTTGTTCATAAAATCGGTTTCACAGAGGAAGCTAATGTAACCGGACTCGCCGCGGGCTGAGTCTACCGTCAAGACAAAGGCGGTTTCGCCAAGGATGAAGAGCCCGTACACGACGGGAGGTTGTCGGCGGTACTCTAACATCTCGCCCTTGGTGATATCTTTGCCCTTGGGTGTCTCGGGGCGGCTGCTGTCGGTTGGCATCGTTTGAGTTGCTGTCGGTTGGAAGCTCAATATGCTAGACTGATCCGTCGCCAACTCGTCATACTCTGTTGAAAAGTGATGGAGCTTTCTCCGAACCCTGCGATTATTAGAGCCGCTCTTAGTCGGGGTTGAATCTTCAGATTGCGGAGCGAAGTCATCAGAGTCGTCGTCGTTGCTTGCTCTCTTTCTCTTGGCTAGACGCTTGCCGTGCGGTGAGAGATACTTTTGCAAGAGCAGCTTCTTTTTAGAGAGCGGCGTTTTGTTGGGAGTGTCGTTTGGATCGGTTGACGGCTCCAGCTTCCAAAAGTCTGACCGGCGGTCTTTGTGCAAGAATTCTCGCTGGAGACGAGCGAGGGCTCGCATACGGGACTGCATGTAATCGGTGACGGCATCTTCCTCCAGCTCAGGGCTTACAATTTCGGCAATAATATTAGGAACAACTTTCAGCTTGTTGTATCCTGCGTCCTCGGCTGCCCATGCGAGATATCGTTCAAGACCTTTCTTCAACACCTCACTTGAGCGGTTGACGAGGCCCGTTTGTGAGGCTGTGCGCACCGCGGATGTGAGGTCAATGAGCTTTGTCAGTGCGGTGGTGGCTATCAATTGTTAGCATTTTGTCTATTTGTAGTTTTTCAATCATATCGTGCCTGAAAATTCTTTGCCGTATGCGTAGATGATGGGCTCGCTTTCGCCCTTCACGGCAAAAGCGGCGTCTCCAATAGGAACATCGCGAAAGTCAACATCCCAGTGGGCAGGCAACATGGCCAGCTCCTGTCGCATGAACAGCCTTTCAAAGAGAAGCTCCTCTCGAGGCGCCCATGTCTTGGCTCCGGGGTAGACCTTCTTCTCAATCTCCAGCTGCTGTTGCAGGGTAAGCGGTGAAACATCCCCGAGCCCGACAATCTCGCAGTCTTCGTCAAAGCCGTCCCATGCTGACTTATTTCTCAGACTCCCTTCACTTTCTTCGTATTCGTAAGTCTCTTGTTCTTTTGGACGCTCCTTGTTAGTATGGGAAGACAATGATGTAGTCGTAAACGACTGACTGATCTTTGGAGCCGCCATGGCTGGTGGTGACTTTCGCATCTTGCTTGAAGGTAGATTGTGCTAAACGGGTAGGAAATTTAAAAGTAATCTTGCTTTTAGACCTAGTAATCATCTGATTCACTGGCACGGCTTTATATAAACCATATACCGGCCTTTGCCAGCCAGTGGCACGAGAGCACAGTGAATGACGCCCGCAGTTTCTCTTTCATGTAAGCGCAAGCATGGGGCGCAGCGAACAGGACGACCTACCAGAGAGCGGTTGCTCTTTTAATAGAAAATATATCTCTTTGTTGTATCAAAACTTGGGATTTCGCCCGCCAGGGACAAAAAGATGTTTTTTTTGCCTCGCATGAATACAGCTGGCAAGTGTCAAGTCGCGGCCGTGACCTGCCAGGTGGTTGCGGTGGCTTACATAACACAACCGCCCAATGAGGAAGTGGTAGCAAGCACAGCGGAATTTCTCGATCGCATCCAAGCCAAGCGCCTTTGGACGACAAAATTTCCAGCAAACACACATCCACAGCACAACCATGGCCGAATCAGCAGCGGCCGCCGTAGCGCGCCAATTGCCCAAGGGCTTCAAGCTCGGCCAGAAGCAAGTCTTCTTGTAAGTTGTTTTTTTGCTACAACGGCAGACCCCTTTCCACGCTATGCGCAAAACCACGATCTAACCTTGTCCCATCAGACCAAACCACGTTATCACGTTCCTCCGAAAAGACCACCTCCCTCCTAATGAAGCCTGCTTCCAGGTCCCTCTGACCTTTACCAAGTTCGACTTGCGCGACTACCTTTTCAACCTGTATAACGTCGAGGTCACCAAAGTACGATCATACGTCAAGCAACAGCCCCTGACACAGCGCTACTCCAACTCGCGCTCGTGGTATCGCCCGCTGGCTACCAAAATCATGACGGTCGAGCTGGAACAGCCCTTCCAGTGGCCTGAGGTGCCCAAGAACCTGGAGGCCTGGAACAAGGACCTGTGGGATCAGCGCGAGGCCCTCCACCAGGAGCGAACGGACCAGCAGCTCAAGGCACAGAAGCACCATCTGCCAATGAAGGGCCTGACAAAACGAAGCGAGGAGAGAAAAGAGCTGAACAAACTCGCCAACCAGGTCTTGTCGGGCGAGGTCAAGTGGGAGAACAATGCGCCGCTGGACCCCAAGTGGGACAGCATCGTCAACGAGGTGAAGCGCACAGAGGAGCAGAGCAAGACGACAAGTACGCAATAAAAGTTTATGACCGGAGGGAAATCTGGTGGCCGTGGATGGCCAGTGTATCATTAGAGGCATAGCATTTTTTTGTAATCTACTGTAAAAAGAAACAATTGGTGGATCAAACTACAGCGTCGATGCTCACGTGCGTGTATGTGAACAGGTATTAAACGTCATGATGAAGAAACCCGGCTCCAGCACTCTGGCTGCTGAAACCGGAGAACTTCGTTTCCCCAGCTCCACCAGCCAGAAGTGAGATTTCGGGCGAATATCTCGAGCCCTTCGTAGTAATTACTTCCCAAAGCGTCGGTGAAAAGCCCGCGCAGGTTGGGCTTGCGGGAATGTAAATCAGGCACCGCGAAGATGATAAGGGGTCGTAGAACTGGAGGAGGTGGTGTGCCTCTCCGTTTGGCAATTAGAAGCGTTTCCCAAGGCTTTCTCCAAGTAGACTGTGTATCAAAGAGAGGCTCTCCCGTGGTGGTGCACTTTACCCATGTCCACTGAGCAGCCAATTCGAGCCCCCAGTAAGCAAATAGGCCATTTGGCGATGTCAAAAGGTCAAGAATACTGGGCTTATTCGTAATCCATACTGCCAATAGGCCATTCGGAGCTAGATGTGGTGAAATTGGTATGGATTCAAGAAGCTGGCGCATCTCAGTGATGGTTGCCACCGTGTCGTAGCTGTTTTGCTTCCGTTTGACTGACCGATTCGGCCACGGCGGATCCATGACGATGAGATTGAACTGCGGCGCAGAGTCCGCAAAGGCGTCTAGCTTATCCTGGATCGTGCCAGCAAGATATGTCACATATGGGGGTATGCGTATCTCAGCCACCGCATCAGCACTGCTCTCAACGTCTACCAACAGCCGCTCTAAGTGAAACGGCCCATTGTACGATGTCTGCAGCGTTTCCACTGCTGCATCCACGGCGGCTGCAGTCATCAAGTCAGCCACCTGTGCTGCAGCCGCCCCTGCACCAGTGTACATGGAGTACGACGCCGCATCGCGAGGTTCCGGGACGTCAAACGGTGCGGCCGGCGGCTCAGAAGATAGAATCCGGAACCAGCTTTCCTCTCCGGGTCGGACCTGTGCCTCTTCTAGAGATCGCGGGATATCAAGAATCACAATGCCATCTTCATTGTCGCGGTACAGCACGCTTCCCTGCAGCTCCGCCGTCGAAGCCATAGAACTGCAGGCTCGGCTCAAGTTGATAAGATGGTTTCTTTGTCTGGGTCGTCCGCTAAATCCGAAAGAATATAGTAGCGATTTTCGGCTATGCGTTGCCACCCACTGCACCAGTTCGGCACAAGAAGTATCGGTAATCCTCGGCTTGGTCCCACCAATAGGCAGCGTGGGAAATCCGGGTTACAGGGCACCGCGCCCACTAAGCCGGAGCCCTGGCATCGTTGTTTTTTTTGCGCTGTAGCGTGACCACCTGCTCGCTAAAACGCCCGCTGCAAATGACGTTGCGTACCGCTGGAAACTTCCCCAGAAATTAATCAGCCGTCTTCGTCGTCGGCATACCGTACCCATCACGCACCGCACGCACGCATTTCTTTTTCGCCCTCCACCACCAAAACAAATCCCCGTGTCCAACTGTCGCCGCTGCTCTTCTTCTGTCTGTGGCTTTGCCATTTTCAAATCTACGACCTTCTATACTCACGACACTTCGTCTGCGGCATGACGTCGTCATAGCGCCGCTCCCCGATCCTTCCTGACCTCATCCTGCATATTCGGCTATCTGCCGTCGTCAAGACATGCCGACAGCCTACGCCAATCCCCCTCCCATGACAGACATCGCTGGCGATTCTTCGCAGCAGCAGCGCGCTGCTGGCGCCAGCACATTAAGAACAGCGACAGAAAACTCAACTGCCTCACCGAAAGACGACTCCAAGCGGTCCCGTAAATCCACGCGATCATGGGATTACGTATGGCGATCTGGAGTGGCGGGTGGTGTAGCAGGCTGTGCAGTAAGTAGAGCCTCATTAACCTAATGAGATTACATTGGAGACTTGTTGAGAATGCATGCTAACCGTCTCATGTGAATGTAGGCCAAGACGTTTGTCGCGCCGCTTGACAGAGTCAAGATCCTCTTCCAGACCCGAAACCCCCAATTCGCCAAATACACAGGCTCGACGTTTGGCGTGCTCACCGCAATGAAGGACATATATCACTACGAAGGCGGCCGTGGCCTATTCCGCGGCCACTCGGCCACTCTACTCCGTGTCTTCCCGTACGCCGGCATCAAGTTCCTGGCGTACGAGCAGATCCGCGCCTACATTATTCCCAACAAAGACTACGAAACACCCTTCCGACGACTCATCAGCGGCAGTTTGGCCGGTGTTACATCTGTCTTCTTCACATATCCGCTAGAAGTTGTCCGTGTGCGCCTGGCGTTTGAGACGAAGCGTGACGGCCGCTCATCGCTCGTGGAAACCTGCCGCAAGATTTACCACGAGCAGCCGGTTACCAGACCCGTTGCGTCGCCGACAGCGAGCTCCGGAGGCGTAGCGGCGGCCGTAGATGGCGCAGCTGCTGCAATGGAAGCTGTGACGCCGCGCACTGGGCTCTCCAACTTTTACCGTGGCTTTGCGCCAACGATTCTCGGCATGCTACCCTACGCCGGCATGTCTTTCCTCACACACGACACTGCTACCGATCTGCTGCGACACCCCTCGATAGCGCAATACACAACACTGCCGAAAAAGAGCAACCATCCCGACGGAAAACCGGCGCCGCTGCAGTCGTGGGCGGAGCTTGCTGCTGGTGGTATTGCCGGTCTCATCTCACAGACGTCATCGTACCCGCTGGAGGTCATTCGTCGACGTATGCAAGTTGGAGGTGCTGTTGGTGATGGTCACAGGCTCCGCATTGGTGAGACGGCGAGCATGATCTTCCGCGAGGGAGGCTTCCGCGGCTTCTTCGTCGGATTGACCATTGGCTACGTCAAGGTGATTCCACTGGCGGCTGTAAGCTTCTACACATACGAGCGCATGAAGCTTGTGTTCGGTATTTAAGAAAAAGAAGAAGAAGGAGAAGAAGACAAAAGGAGCGGGTGTGTGTGGTGAACATGGACATAGACAACCACACAAGCTGGCTCTATTGGGTTTCAGTGGCAGGCGGCGGGTATTTTACGGCGTTTATTGGCATTTTTGGTTTCAGCATTGTATTAGCGAGGGACATTGATTGGATATAGAAATTTACATAGACCTGTTATATACTCTATGACTAGACAGTCCAACTATACTCTTGTTCAGCGTTGATGGCTTCACGTTTGTCGCATCACGTAGAGGCTATCACCAGCACGCCTTCTTCGTCTGGCGATGCCAATTCTTTTCCTCTGTATACTTCTTTCTATTCCTTCTCATTTATTTCTGTCTTTTGAATTTCCGGCATTTTCCAATTATTTTTACTCGCCGCGTCCGTCTCCCTCAGTGCACCTTCACTGCCAGCCCAATGCTCGACCCTGATTGGCCAGCGCGCCACACCCACCCTCCATCAAACCTCCCGCCAGAAAACCTGCCAGCATCACGCATCGCCAACTCTGCTCCGAAGCACCGCGCAACCTTTGACAGCGGCCGCCCTCCCCACGAAACCCCCATCAAATCCCGAGGCTCCTCCGTCCTCTTGAGCCCGCTGCACCCTCAACCCGCCACCGGCCGTCCGCAATTCGAGCCCGCAGCAACCATGGCCGCCGCCGAGCAAGACGCCCTGCTTCGCCTCCGCCAGGCCATCGCGGCCCAGCAGGCCTTCATCCCCAGTGCCACGGCCGACGCAGGCGCTGCCGAAGTGCCCTTATCGCAAGCCAGCCACCTCCAGTTCCCCGACCAGGCCGTGTCGCTGGCCATTGACCTCGCGACGCGCTTCATTTCCAACGACAGCCCCGTGGACCTACGCTCCATCTACTTTGCCTGGCTCAACAGAGAGCTTGCCATTCCCGAGTACAATGCGTCTGCTACGACGCTCAACGAGCAGCTTGCGGCCGCCGGGTCGGCTGGCAAGGTGCATAACCTGGGCTTCATTGAGCGTCTTGATTTGATTACTTGGCTCGAAGGCGCTAGCGAGGAGAGTGAATACATCAAGCCCGTGTCGGGCGATGCTGCTGATGCCGCGGCCGTTGTGCCTGATGCTGCGGCTGGCGCGGCGACGTCTGTGACGCAGACGAGAGCGGGCAAGGGGAGCTTGGATCCGCGCCTCGCGAGCATCTATGACGGCGAGCGCAAGATGGGCGATAGAAACTCTGTCCTGCGCGGCATCAAACCTACAGTACGTATTCGGCGTCTGCGAGTAGCAGAAGGAGATATCTCTTGTTGGCATTGTTTAGTGTTTGTGACTAACGTGGCGTTTGTTAGGACTTTTCACATGTGCGCAAGCTCGCACTACCATTCATCCAGAAGAAGCCGTCGACGAGCATCGGCTCCAACCCCTCGCTGTCCATCAACCCCAAGGGCCCGACGCGCCGACCCGACCCCATCATCCTGCTATCGCCCTCTGCCTCATCGCTGCTGCGCATGTCGAATGCCCGCTCGTTCCTCGAGGACGGCAAGTTTGTGCCGCCCGACGCTGGCGCGTCGACCGCCAGTATGCTGCATGTGCAGCGCACGATACGCGCGATTGACCCGAACCGCCCGATGCGCTTCATTCTCGTAGAGGGCTCGGAACAGTTCAAGCCCGAGTACTGGAACCGCATTGTGGCCGTCTTCACAACGGGCCAGGCGTGGCAGTTTAAGAACTACAAATGGAGCAACCCGGACGACCTGTTCAAGCACACGCTCGGCATCTACATTGGCTGGCGCGGCGAGCAGGCGCCCGATGTCGTCCGCAACTGGGGACACCGCGTGGTGTCTGCTGGCGTGGACCGCTGGCGCGGCGAGGGCCAGGATGCCTCGCGATTCCGTGATAAGGAGGTTGTCGAGACGCTCTGGAAGGCTATTGAGGCCAATATGCGTGCCAAGGGCTGGAAGAAGGATGCAGCGCCGATTTCCATCTAACAGGCTGCATCTATCAGTTGGGGGAAGTGAAGAAGAGGCTCATCTTGCGAGAGAGAGCGGGAGCCGGGTTGGTGTATAAAGTTTGTATTTTACGGGTGTTTGTAATGTCTTGCTTTTCTTTTGCATCTTCCTTTTTTTGTTTTCTTCTCGCATCAGTTGGTCATGAAAAGAGGCCACAAGCGACGGCGTTTTGTACACAGGATATCATTCTATTTTTCGTACGTTTTTTGTTCTGCAAAAGGGCGTATCTACTAAAAGAGAGAAAAGCAACCACTGTGACTTGATAACACTCTTCTCTTTCTTGTTGTGACTAGCTCTATTGTTCGTCTTGAATACTAACCACTCACTCGACTTGGCCATGACGCTTCATCCCATTTCTTCCTCTCGCCTTACTTACAATTGCCCCCTATACTTCGTAGACAGAAGGCTGTGGCTCTGCTCCATAGCGGAATGCTCGCCGTCTTGGTCATCGCCAACGTCGCCGTCTTCAGCCCGCCAGCCACGCAAGCCTCACGATATCTCGTTTGTCCACCTGTCCACCGCCAGTTACTGCTTCTGCTGCTTCTGCTGCTTCCACGCCTCCACCGCCGCCAGCCTCACCTGACTCCGCTATGATGGTGCTGCCTGATTTCCTATACTCTGTAGTTCCTCCAGCGGTGGCTAGCCGCATGGCTACGCGAACCGTCTAGGTGCATGCAGAAAAACTGCCCGGTACAGGGGGCCAGAGAGCTACGAACAAGGCAGCCATGTGGCTTTCCGTCAATAGTCTCGTCGCAAAAGATTGGATGGGGAAGGGAGTGGCGCTCTATTTTTTCCCTTCGTCGACGTTGCTTCCAAGACTGTTCTAGAAGGACGGGCGTTTTCCGGTGGCCAGGGGGGCGTGTACATTACAACTGGCTAAAAAAACGGTTCATTGATATTCATTCAATGAAATTACGACGCGACACGAGAGGGGATAAAAAAACTGGACTATTGAGGGGCGGTGATGTTTCGTTGAATACGCTGGAACAACGCACACGCAAAACGCACACCCTTCCCGGGATGTCCGCCTGGTGCCTACCTAGTACAGTCAGTACTGTAGTAATATTGACATTCTCACCAGCAGCGGGTAGAGCAAAGCAAAGCAGCTGTGCCGTAAGATGAAACGGCGGGTTTGGGGTGAGGCATGGAGCGAGCGCGGCTATCTTCTGTCTCGGCAGCATGACTTGCTTGTTTTGGCTTCCGTTACGGACCAAAGATGAGATGAGATGCTTATGCCTGCGGCTCTGCTTTCCGAACTAGTCAGAGCCGCGCGATGCTCACCGACCAGGAAGCATTGCTTACGCTGGACGGGACGCTGTTTCGGAGAGACCAAGCAAGCAAGCAAGAACGTAATCATTGGAAATCTGATGCTGCAACCCTGGATCTTGATGGGCCGTCAGCGCTCGTCGCGTGGAAGTGGATATCAAGGAGCAGGGTTTGCCATGTAAGCACAGCTAGGCTGCTGCGCGGCGTCTCCGGGATGACAGGCCCTTTAGGTTGTTTGTTGCCATGGCGAGATTTGAGATGTCTGTGAGATCTAGGGGGGCCGGTCGAGGGGGTGTACAGTAAAGTGTCAACTGTAATACCGGTGTTTTGAAAAATTAAATAAAATAAGAAAGGCCGAAGAGGAAAAATAGTATACGAGAAGGTGTCGGCCATAGCCGTTGAAAGACAGAACACGGTGCGTGCACGCACGACAGAGACTGAAATAAAAAGGGACATAATTATGCATGATCAACATTCTATTAAAAGGCAAAATTAGCGGCCGATCTGCTATAGACCACTCCTCCAAAATATTACTGTGCCAGTGGCGGACGCAGTCCCGGAGAAACTGGCTCACCGGCGCTGTTCTCGGCGAGCAAGGTCAATCCGGGCCGAAAATCACTCCAGCGCGAGCGCAGGTAGTACAAAGTATAATTACATATCTATATAGCGAGGGCTATATTTGATACGTGTGGCAGCAGCACCACCACGCGAATCTCTGCCCTGCAGTGCTACCGTAACGGTGCGGTGGTGGGTGGGCATATAACGGCGGGTGTGATATAGCCACCATACATATACTACTACATGAGGATACCTGCCCGCCTGCAGTGCATTAATTTGTATGTGCGCACAGTCCGCCGTTTCGGCCGGAACAACTATATCCTTTGATTTGCACACCAAGCCTCACCTGCTGGTGGTGGTGGTGCCGTTGCTAATGCAAATTGCATCAAAGCGCCGCTCAATATACACAACACATATATACAAGCCGTTGCACACACACACACACACACATGCACCACATTGGCTTGCTTGTTGTTGTGGTTGGTTCTCGCTTATAGGTGTAATTCGTGGATGAGGATCCATCCCCATCTGTAACACACGCCATGTGGCATGACGTACACGAGGAAACCACACATACGGTGTTTGCTTGCTTTGCAAAAGAAGAGCACAGAAGAGTTTGGGTTTTTGCCTAAAACGTCGTTTCGTGAGCGCACGGTCCCCAACGGACAAGCTTTCCCAGAACAGGCACGCGCGCGGCAAAGAGAAAAGGCCATAGCGTATCCCTTGCTAGCGATTTTATGATGCCACGCCGTGAGATATAGGGTTCCTGGCAAGAACGTCCAAAACAAAAAAAGCATACTAGTTTCGCTGCTACTGCATGTCCACCAAGGCTAAAAGGGGGGGTGGGTAGCCACGCGACGCCAGCATGCAATCCAGTCTAGCCTACTTACTCCAACGTAGAGCCCAGACAAGCCTTATGCCTGCTTGTCTGTCGTTGCAACACGAGGGGAGCAGCCTCGGTAGTCTGTGCGGTTGCATGACTGCCATGAGAAAGGGTAAGGGGAGGGCGTGGGCTCGCAACTCCATCACCAAATATCACACCTGCCAGAGCAAGTACTCGGTACTTCAGACCAGCCCTGCAAACGTATCCAGACCTTCCTCGTCACGCGGGCTAGCTGGCTTGCTGGCTTGCTTGCTTGCTTTCCATACGGTGAGTTTTTACAGGGCGTATGCGCCAGTGAATCCGGCGATCTGAAGCACCGCCTATATCAAAATCCGGTCCTGTGGCGGTAGGAGTTCGGAGACAAATTGGGGAGCTCAATCAACCAACAGGGCTACCTGTAACAAAAGCCCAAAACTACGCCTTGGATGCCGTCATTTTAAACGCGATCTCATGATTGATATGTCATCGCTGAGCAGCAGGGCGACAAATAGCGTTCGTCCAAACGTTGTGCTGGGCCACGCGTTGCTCGGGGGCTTAGACTAGGGATTCGGGCCAGTGTCAAACCCGATGGGGGGCTGTGGCGCCGCGCATCATTCATCACCGCTCGCTTTTGCTTTGCGGGGCGAGCTCAGAAGCGGCCGACAGCCGGCAATTGTTGCGAGAAAGAAAGAGGACAGCAAGCAAGGTAGTAATTAGTTTGCGTTCTTGGCGAGGCAGCCCAATCGCCACGTGTGTGGCAGCATGCATGCTTTGGTGCTGACGACAATCATTCATGTTTGATATCGCGGGCAGCAGTCTTACACCACCCACTAACCACATCTGCATCCGCACCTGCGCCCGCTTTCCGCCGCTGTTTTGTTTAGAAAATTGCCGAGACGTGACGATCTGTCTGCCAGCGTGGGCTGTGTATACGTTCTCAAACCCGTCGTGCGAAAGGAACGGCGAGATGCCGAGCGGCGTGCGTGAGCATCTTCAGACACTGGTTTCAATGATTTGATAACATAGCGAGCGCAGGGACTACAGTACACCATTTCGGCTGTAGTTAGTTTGTAAGTTGGCTGCATCTCGCTCGTATCATGGAACGGTATATTCCGTCCAAACCTTACAAAGCCAAATCTGAGGAGAAAGGGAGGGGAGTGTGTAGGGCAGAGAAAGAAGGCTGGTTTAGTTTCGCCTGACATACAGCAGAGCGGGCGTGCAAAGCAAGCGGCTGAATGAAAAGGACTGTCAGTCGCCGGTGGGAGTGACAGTCGCAGATGCAAGAGGGCTTTGGAGCTAGCTCGAATTGATATCACGGCTAGTTGCAGTTGTAGCAGGCTTGAAGGGGGCGTGTCTGAAGATGTGAAGCTGTGACAATCAGATGAGTGAGCACCCAACTCAACCTCTACTGTAGCATATGGTGTTCAGTCAGCAGCTACAGTACAGAACCAGTGAAGTTGAGGTGAGGTGAGGTGATCGGATCTTTCGGAGATGCGCCGTCGCAACACTACCCATGACCGATATAGAAGGCACCCCTATAGGAGCAAATAATGGCCAGCCGTATATGCATCTTACTCTATTTTTTCCTCTTATCAATCGCAGACAAGACCCATCAGGGTGGTGGTGATTATGATTTGATCTGGGCTTAGCTGCGCTGGGAGATGGATAAGCCGGCATGTTTTTGCCACTCCAACATCCCCCGTCACCGGCCCGAGACTCGCAACGTGCTGTATTTGGTCGGCACCCGGCATCGTGGGAGGGCGTGTGTCAGTTGGCCCCAAACAGCGGCATCCAGCAGTGACGATCACACTCCCGTACAGTAACAGCAAGCATCGTTTAGCGAACACCCCCATCATCACCGCTTCTCAATGAAATAATACATGGAATTCCACGCGAGCAAGTTTAACAAGGTACAGTATAGCACAATAGCCATGCATCGTACGAGCACAGGGCAGTGTCTGCTGAATCCAAACGCCACAGCCCGGCGCTCCGGTGCTGCTGCTGCCGCTCGCGATAACTCAAACAGTGAAAGGTTTCCTTTTTATTTCCAGCGCAACACAAGCCACTAAATCAGTTCTAGTGCACCTACAGTTCACAACGGGTGCAGCGGTATGCCCCAATCGGGAAGCATGGGCGCCCTATCTTGGCATCGCACAGCGACTACTGGTGTTTGCCCTCCGATCCCGCACGACTCTTGTACTACGGTTTGTGTTACGCAATGGACGACCCAAGTACCGGGTACTTGCCTTTCTTTTTTGCCTTTTAAATTAATTAAGCATCCTTCTTTTTTATCACTTCTTTGAAAAGAGGGGAATGAATGGGCCCCTCCTTTGCGCGTTGCGTTGCGTGCGTCCTTTCGTGGGGGCATCCATCGCCTGTTGGCGGGGGCAAATGAAATTCCTACAGGGAATGACTACAGCGCTTTACTTTCTCACCGCCAGGTAGAGTACGTACTATACGCAAAGTACAGTAGCAGTCAGTGCAATATCCAGCATGAAGCCATAAACAACGACGTGCAAGTAACCAAAAAAAAGACAAGCATTTTAATGTACAGTGTCACCTACACACACACACACACACTTCGCTTGCACGAAAATGCGCCGTGATTCCCCGTCTCATTGGCTGGCTGGCTCTAGAAGGGTGGTGGTTTCGCCAAACTCTAAAGTCGCCTGAAGCCACCGCCCAAGTCATGACTTGCCGACGCCGTCCATTTCTAGCCAGGCCCGCGAAACCTTGTTCCCTTTATCGCCTGGCTTTGCGTGATAATGAATGACGTGCAGTACAAAATGACATGACTTGAAGCAAACTTGCGCCGTTGGTTGCCGGCGCGTTTAAAGAGGATCCCCAAATCACCCTCACCTTCTTCTTTGATTCGATCGCCCTTCTCCGACACTGCCCTACGCGAACCAATTCCGTCAAGCGCTCATCAAGCTGTCCCCGTGGAGGACCTGGTTGGTCGTCGTCGTAGCCCGTAAACGCAAGGCCCGATGCGATGCGGTGGTGGTTGTATGCATCCGTCGCTTGTTTTCTGATGGCTTGCAGCCAGCCAGCAGCAGCTCCAGTTTAAAAAAAAAAATTCCCCGACTGCAACCGTTGGTAGCGGTCGCCGTGCATCCTAGGAAAGGCAGCAATGGGACGCTGCGCCGGAGGCTTGCGAACCAATTGCTGAAGAATGAATGGTCGTTCGTCTCGTCCCGCGCCCCAATCGCACGACTGACACACGGAAATTGAGACGACGCTTGCTGTGCGCTGTCAAGGCACGCATCCTTGGCATTCGGCAATTGACTGCTTCTACTGATGCCCTCTGCTGATGCTTGCTACTCCACGTTATGGTGCTGGTGGTGGTGGTTGCAAAACGTGGGGTTATTTAGGCGACTGCTACACCAGCACCAACCACCACTGTTCGCACCTGTGGCAACTAGGCGGAGAACCACACGCGCAGTTTGTCCCGCGCTGGGCGATCATCGAGCAAACCCAAAAGGCGGTTTGGTTTTTGCCAAAATGCGACAATAGAAAAAACGGCGCCAAGCAAAGGCGTCAGTCACACATACACGCCCCCTTGTATATACAAATTGTTTCTTGTGGAGGGCGTTTGCGCTTCTCTTTGTTGGGCAAGCGAAATTAAGACATTCACCGCTGAAGAAAAGCAAGACTTGCCCGATATTCGCGCTGCTTGTGAAGCGGCGAAGCAAAGCCCAGTAGTATTAGCGCAGCGCAGGCGAGCGCATCTCCACGGCAAAGCCACTGAGCGGCCCGACGTCATGTCCTGCGTGGACGATTTACTGCTTCTGGTAACTGCTGCAAGAAGCTAATCTCCGCCCATCGCCTTGGCTTCCTCTTTATGTCGCATGGCGCAGCAGTACAGCACCCGTCCCCTGTGACTCTATTTATCCTGAACAAAACAAAAATGACCAGTCGCCAGTAGGTAACTTTCATTATAAACAAATATCGCAACTCGCCTTTTTCGTATGTGTGTGTAGTCGGGATCGGTCCCCGGCCCAGCGCCAGCGGAGAGGGCGT